TGCCTGGGCGGACTTGACACTTGCTCTGCCTCCCCTCCAACAACAAGCACTGGTTGAGAATTCCTCAGCACTTGGCAGGCAGTGGCTCTCAGCCATCCCCTCCAGTGCAATCCTGAGGCTCACCAACTTTGAGGTGGCAGCAGCTCTGCAGCTGAGGACAATGGTGCCCAGCACCTCGCCCAGCTGCAGACATTGTGGACATGGAAACTTCCATGGACATGATGAAGTGTGCCCACACAAGTCCAAGTGGACTGTGGCTAGGCATGAGCAGGTGAAGAAGGTGATAGCTGGCACCCTCAATATCATCCCAGACATTGAGGTCCACCTTGAACCCTTCATCAGTGACACTACACACAGGAGGAATGACATAAGAATCTCTGGCTCCCATGCCTCTGGGCTGGCCAACCATGAGTATGACATCTCCATTGTGTCACTGGGCTCTGTCCAGGCCAGGACCACTGTCTCCCCACCTGGGTTCACTGGATCCACCCTGGAGAGGGCTTCTGCCACTGTCCACAAATTCCTTGACTCTGTATCTAGGGAGAAATTCAGAAATCTCCCTAGCTCTGCTGCCACCCCCTTCACTCCCCTCATCTTTTCTTTGGGTGGTGTCATGGAACACAGGACTGCCCAAGCCCTCCACACCTGGGGTGAGGTCCTACCTCCCCATTCCCACAGGATGCTTTGTATCAGACTCAGTCTCACCCTCCTTCGCGCCAGAGTGAGAAACTTTGATCTCTGGTCCCATTGAGCCAAGAAACTGCCATGTCTACTATAGTATCCTCTTCCCATAGTTCTTAGTAGTCACACCCGATGCAGCCCCCTACCCCCTAACCCCCTAACCCCCTAACCCCCTAAGCTCTGCTGCCACCCCCTTCACTCCCCTCATCTTTTCTTTGGGTGGTGTCATGGAACACAGGACTGCCCAAGCCCTCCACACCTGGGGTGAGGTCCTACCTCCCCATTCCCACAGGATGCTTTGTATCAGACTCAGTCTCACCCTCCTTCGCGCCAGAGTGAGAAACTTTGATCTCTGGTCCCATTGAGCCAAGAAACTGCCATGTCTACTATAGTATCCTCTTCCCATAGTTCTTAGTAGTCAAAACCGATGCAGCCCCCTACCCCCTAACCCTATGACATCTCCATTGTGTCACTGGGCTCTGTCCAGGCCAGGACCACTGTCTGCCCTCCTGGGTTCACTGGATCCACCCTGGAGAGGGCTTCTGCCACTGTCCACAAGTTCCTTGACTCTGTATCTAGGGAGAAATTCAGAAACCTCCCTAGCTCTGCAGCCACCCCCTTCACTCCCCTCATCTTTTCGTTGGGTGGTGTCATGGAACACAGGACTGCCCAAGCCCTCCACACCTGGGGTGAGGTCCTACCTCCCCATTCCCATAGGATGCTTTGTATCAGACTCAGTCTCACCCTCCTTCGCGCCAGAGTGAGAAACTTTGATCTCTGGTCCCATTGAGCCACGAAACTGCCACGTCTACTATAGTATCCTCCTCCCATAGTTCTTAGTAGTCAAACCCGATGCAGCCCCCTACCCCCAAAGGACTGCCCAAGCCCTCCACACCTGGGGTGAGGTCCTACCTCCCCATTCCCACAGGATGCTTTGTATAAGACTCAGTCTCACCCTCCTTCGCGCCAGAGTGAGAAACTTTGATCTCTGGTCCCATTGAGCCAAGAAACTACCATGTCTACTACAGTATCCTCTTCCCATAGTTCTTAGTAGTCAAAACCGATGCAGCCCCCTACCCCAAATGAAACAGATGCATGGAAGGCTGTGTCCTGCGGGGAAGAAGCGGAGAAACAAGACTGCCCCGCTGGGGAACAATGCCGAACAATACATTTGTGCCTATTGTCCTATTTATCGGTGGTGACAGCCGCACATGCGCCGTAATGGAGCACATAACCTCGCTTGCATCCGCGGACAACGCACTGGCCATCGACGCATGAAACCCGCAGTTGGTCCACTCCCAAGATGGCGGTACAACTGATGCGTCAGTACTGTCAAGCCGCCTCACTCACTCGGTTCCGTTCGCGCCGATGCAGCCACCGCAAGCTTCTGAAGTATAAGCTAACGAATAGCCGTCCAGCTTACCAAGATCATTCCTTGGATCTATGCACTCGAAACCTCCACTGATTGCGCACTCGGCTAGGCCACGAGGACAATGTTCCCGTTGGATGTGTCTGGCTTCCAGAGAACGTCTCTGGGCGCCGGGCAGGCCAGACGGAATTGTAAAGTCTGCCGAGAGCACAGTATACGTATTGTATCCACATGCAGCTGCTGTTGCCTGATAGTTTGCGGCGCAGACACAACTGTTGTCCGAGGGCGACCAGACGGCATACTTTCCGTACTGTTCAGCACAAGCGGCCATGCAGGCCTGGGAATCTGTCGCTGGTATCTGGACGGTGTAGTAGGCGTTGCTCCCTGTTGAAAATTGGGAACCTGCGTAAGACCCAGCATAGTAGTACGGTTCGGATACGCATTGAACAAAGTCATAGGACGCTCCCAGGGCATATAGCTGACAATTAGCAACATCTGGAGCGGAAACTCACCCCTGTTGAACAGGTGGTACTACTTGTACCGGCAGAGTATTGCCCGCCACCTGTACCGGGAGCCACTGGGTCGTTGTTGTCACAACTACCGTAGGTGCGAGGTCCCGTGTAATAAAGGTACTTGTACCCAGCACACAATGTCTGCGTTTCAGCACACTCACTCGCCAATGCTCACCACTGCTTGGTTGAAGCTTGTGATCAGGATCTTCTTTCCCGGCCACGCGTATGGGAATCCAGCGATGGTGACGCAAGCGACGAGCGGCGTCGTGGCCAGTGCCACAGGCAGTTGAATTGCCAGCAGCGCAAGGATTGCGAGCATGAGGGCGTGAGGGAGTGAAGAAGAACAAAGAGACCAGCATCGTGAAATGTCTGGCTATGTGGCAATCTGCAGCGCCCACATGTAGGTGGGTGAGCATGGTACATACAGTGCCGCGGGCGGCGGCACTGCGCCGTTCTAGAATATCTTTATCCTGAGTGGGCAGTTTGGTCCGAATTGGCGCGTGAGTGCGCCTGGGCGCTGACAGTGGTCGTGACATCAGGGAGTAGCATTTGAGGGGGGCGGCGAGGGTGGACTGTGCTTGACATACACTGCTACCGTGCCTCGGCCTCGAGCGACAGACGGACCTGCAGGGATGAGGACTGGTCATCCAACGATGGCGTACCACTGAGCGCCTTTGAGGCGGCGCAGGGACACACGCCGCCGGTAGTCTCTAGGACAATGGTGACAGGGAGCCCGACGCGCCAATTCGGACTCTTGTGGCACACTGCGCACCGCGCACGGTCCCGCGCCCCGCCAGGCGCGCCAAACGCCAAATCGGCTGATGATGCACACGAAACGTCAACATAGAATGGTAGAAATGGTAAGGAATGGCATCCCACCATCGGTGCCTCATAGGATGCCTGAGATACTATAAAGTCGGTCACGTGACTTCCCTGGCTGCTGTGAAAACGCTGAGGTTGATGTCCGTTGCCTGAGGCACTATCAAACACTAATCGGGGGGTTGAGCGTAACCGTCCCACGGTTGAGGGTGACCCACTGGATGGGAGGCTCACTGCCAACCTGGTCGCTGGGGATAGAGCCGCCAGCAGCAGTGGCGCTGCCCGAAGGAATCATGACGGGGGGTGCATCTTTCAGCTACTCCTACGGGCGGCCTGAGGCCGGGTGGGAGGGCAATAAACTTGGGCAGCCGATGACTGTGGCAACCATAACCTTTACAATACGCCGAGACAACCCAAGAACGCGAAAACTGGCCCGACCAGTCATGGGTGGGCTAGGACTGCCGTTCAAATGGCATGATACACTGCTGCGCAGGTTTGTTGAGGCTGTCGCCTGGTGTTTAGGAAATAGCCATGGCACTGCGGAGGCAGGAACACCATATCATTGCCTGGAAGGAGGGCGCGATGATAGGTCAGGCTATAATCGACAAACATCTCGACGTTGACAGCATGATGGACATGCGCCACGCTCCTCTGAGATGCGTCCTGGGCTTAATTCAGCAGCGGGGTGCGCCGAAATCTGAACGAGCCATCTTGGATCAGTAATGACCACCGAAAGGGCCGGGTCCTTCGTCTGGGGGCTGAGGAGACCAGCGTCGGTTGAGGCCTCAGTATGGCAGTGCTTCCTGCTCTTACTTGGCATTAGCGAGGCGCTGTTTCTAGTGCTAAAATATGCGGTACGAGGCCGGGAAACAGCTGGGCACTCAGCAGAGGGACGGACATCGCTGACGTGAATGGCTGCGCAACCTGCACAGAGTGACATGAGCTGCAGCAATAGGCAGCAACGGGGGCAAAGAGGCATGCTCGGCGACACACAATCTGAAACAAGTAACATTGGTAGAAGAAAACGATGACAGTAGTGGCATCAGCCCTGAGCGATGCTACCTATAACGTCGCTCATCTCGGTGGGCAGCGCGATTAGGACGGTAACTTGGGGATGACTGCGTAGAAGACAGTCCAGATCCTCCTCCGGGAAGGCCACCAAGATACCTGTGGGTCTCGCGACGCCTCCATGATTCATGGAAGGCCTCTTTCGTCCGGGTCGCGAGCTCGAAGTCTGGTGCAGAGAACGAGGTATCGGCCGAAGTCAATGTTTCACCCGAGAGCTCGACACTAGAGAGAACCCGTCTCGTGTGTGTGCTCATCATCACTAGTAACCTCATTGCTCAGACCTTGTGGATCTACAGTGACTCGGTACCAAAAGGACATGCCAGGCCTGCGGACCCCGTGAGCGCGTTGGGAAGCGTTCGGTGCTGCTACGGTCGGCGGACTGAGGGGGGAGACGATGAGGAGCGAAGCACCCTGGTCAAACCAATGACGCCCTGACTAGTGTGTGCCATGCCCTTGTGCTGCCTATGGATAAAGCGTTACACCGCCTCGTGGAAGGAACAGACGGGGGTTGCCTCCAACGTGGAGAGTGGCGCTGAGATCACGCCCTTGCTCTAGCCTGTAGCCAACGTCACGGTTTTGCCAGCCGGCACCATGACGATGGAAGCGAGGCAGGTCGCAGACAGCTCGCGTTGCGATGTTGACTCCCTCTTGGTGTCCTTGACGACAGTGTAGCCGTCCAGCTGAAGTGGATCCTCGGGGCAAAGCATGGGCTCAAAGGCGTTGCGCTGGTGGGCAGGGGCGGGGGAGGGGGTTCGAGGGGGTCGGGAGTCGCGACTACCTTGTCCACGTTGGCTGCGTCTGCTGCCTCGTCTGCCTTGTCGGGTCGCTCTTCCAGTCCACCGAACGCCAACGCATGTCGGCCTACAACGCTTCGAAGTCTCTTGAAAGTGAGGGGGGAAACGTGAGAAGGTTAAGCTACCGGTCTTGATGGTCAATTCAATAGCATAGTCCACATTCCCTGTACATTGTTGGATATGGTAAGACCTTGGAAGGCTGTGGTGTGTGTCCATACTGAAGGCATCGCGGTGAATGCTCACCATATCAGGAAAATGCTTCAATTTTTGGCACTTGCAATGGTGGTACAGACGGGTTGCGTTTGTATTACAGACGCAACCGTTGAGGCAGACGCCCAAATGTATGATACCAGCGTGAGCGCCGATATAACCAGGTGAACCGCTGATAGACCTTGGAACGATCTCATCTGGTACTACAATGAGTACCCAACTGCCCCAAACAGTTGGTGCTTTGTGGACGGCGTCATGGTTTAGTCACAACGACAGGACGTTGCCTATGCTGTTGGGAACGACGTGAACACCACCTATCTCAACTGGTCTGCCGCGTTTCTCCGGTGCTCTTCAGCATATGCAGACCCGCCTCCAGCCAACTGTACGCAGTACACAATCGACGCTATCACATACATGGTAAGAATTTTGTATCCCGTTCAGAGTAAAGCTGAGATAGTCCAGGCCGACTGCGCTCTTAAGGGTAGTACAGGTGCTTCACAGCCATTTTGCAGCAATTATCCAAGCTCCAATTTTGTGCCCACCGCGCACAGATGGGTGGGACCTGGCGCTTGGTTTTACGTGTGAAGAAGGTTGTCGCAGCGGCCGCGAAAGAGATGACGGACGAGTGACTCTCGACCATCTGCTGGGCGGTCCTTTGCGGGCATTGAGCATTCGCGGGGTCGCAAGTCCGAGTCGGCGATGTGTACCCGTTCAGTGCAAGCAAACATGGTGTCATATGCGTGGGCAAGGGCGAGCTTGGAAACAAGGGCTTTCTGCCCTCCGTCGTCCAGGTCTTGTAATGGTGACGACGATGGTAAGCGCGGCGTAAAAGAGCGGTCTGAGCCAAGGGACGAAGTCGACACGCTCCGGTCCCGTGTTGGTGGAATCGGGATGTTGTTGACCTTGAAGGAGTTGGGGGACGAGGGGAGGACGACAGCGCCCGATAGAAAACGTGGGGTGACTGTGAGGGTCTGGGCGGACAACTGTGGCGAGACGCCAGCGTCAGAGAGGGGAGGAGTGTCGAAGCCGTACTGCTCAACGAAAGGTTGAGCGTACGTGACGACGTCCTCCTCGGTGATCGACATGTTGTAGTCAATAAGGAAAAGCAGCTGCTTCTCCATGAGGTTGATCTCCACCTGGGAGAACATCTGCACATAGTCGCACCAGTGCTTGTTCTTGGGTGAAGAGTTGTTCAGGTACTTGGCGGCAACGATAAGGGTGGCGAGGAAGACACGATGTCGAGTGCAAGGCATGCCTGAAGTTGAGCATTGCAATAAAGGGCCTCCTTCGTGCCAGAGTGAGAAACTTTGATCTCTGGTCCCATTGAGCCAAGAAACTGCCATGTCTACTGTAGTGTCCTGTTCCCATAGTTCTTAGTAGTCAAAACCGATGCAGCCCCCTACCCCCACCAGAGACAGATCCACTAGACACAGCCCGGGCAGTGAGGGTGCTCGGACTTCTAGTGCCCCCAGTCTGATTCGTGTCACTGGAATGTCCTTTCACATCGGGAAATTATAATCTCTCCGTAAGGTCGCCAGTAAACTATCGCCTTGTGCGGCAGGCTCTTTTGTGGGGCAAACGTAGTACGTGTAGTACGGCACGCGTTTAGTACGGCAGGCCCATGTTGGACTTGAGATCATTGATGCTGGTAATGTTGGAGATCGGCCCGCCTGAGCGTTAGTGGCGGGCTTTGCATTCAAGACTCACTGCAGGACGCCTCGAAGTCAATCTCGTCCATGCGCTCATGGAGGGCTGCGACGACAGTGTCCACAGCACACAGACCGTTTTCGTTCTTCTTGCAACCGGCGTAGGTCTTGTCGAGCGGAAAGACAGCGTCGTTACTACAAGTTAGCCTCGACCATCCTCTTTCGACCTACAGGATGAAGCGGATCTGGGGTGCGCTCGAGCCCTGGCACGTCATGATCTGGGCGACAAAGTTGGTGTTGAACGGCACAAGCTTGGACGTCTTGTAGGAGCGCTTCGAGGGGGGCGAACTAACGTTGGCAGGAAGGGGCCCGTACGAGTCGATCGCAGTCAGGTTGAGCGCGACGAGCGCGGCCATGACCGAGGCGTCGTGAGTGCTGTCGTCAGTTAACGTGCAGAGACATATCACTCACGCGTCGGCGTAGATGGTCTGGTTAACCGGGAATGTCTCAGTGTTGCCATCAAGCGTCGAGTTGGTGTTTGAGTTCCACTTTGCGATCGGGGTGTGGGTCAGGCGCGCGAGGAACTCCTCCACCCAGCCCTTGCCCTGGGCAGCCGCCGTCTGGGCACCGGGACCCGTCAGGTACTGTTGAGGTGTCAGCTCGGGCGGCAACAAAACCAGGAAAAAAATGTGTGACTCACGTAGAACTCGAGGTCGATGACATAGGCAAGGTTCTCGACTGCCGTGAGCTAACATACTAGTGCAAGTACTCACAGTCCGCCTCAGTGAAAAGAGGGCAGAAGCTGGAGTAGCCGAGTGACAAGGTCTCGTAGGCACAAAGGCTGAGCATTGCATAGACGTCGGTCGGGGTGAAGGTGTACCCCTTGAGATCTTTCTGAAGGCGCTTAGCGGTGGCTGCCATTGCCTTGTTGATAAACGTGGTCATGGCAAGTCCGCCCCCGACATAGTCTCGCGCCGCGTTGGCGCAATCCCCGCTGGGGTCTGCATCCGGTCAGGTCCGCCGCCGCATGCCCTCGTACTCACAAACCGTCGCATTGTAACCCGCACTCTCAATCGCAATGGAAGCGCTATACTGATTCTCTGAGTTACGGCCGAAGAACCCTTGACCGAAGGCCTCAAGGGTCTCCACCATGCGGTCCATGCTACCTGTGCGAAACTGGTGTAGTTTAAGCTGGGCCCAAGGAGAACACTCACGACAGGAAGAGTGCCCTTTTCGGTGAAGTCGTTCAGGAGGTGGCCGTACGCCATGCGGCTGCGGACGCCCAGCTCGTAGCACTGTTGGCGACCAAACGGGTTGAGAATCTCGCTTGGCATCAGCTCTGGCATTTGTGACAACTCACGCTCCGAGCTTCAACGTCCAGTCATTCAGGAACGAGAGGTCGCCACTGGCTGTAACCTCACCAGCCAGCGATGCGTTGTTGAGGCGCGTTCCAAACGCAAAGACGTCCTCGCTGGACGAGGGGTAGCGTGCGCCGTGGCGGAAGAGCTGTGGTTAGCTGCCTCCTATAGAACAACTCACCAGATGCACAGCGTCCAGCGTGCACTGTTCCGGCACGACGGGGGTCGCCTTGCCCAGACCAAACGTGTCCGCATCCAGCGAGGAACGGGGCGAGAGATTGCCCCACGACAAGATGGGCGAGAAACCGGACGACTGCTCGTCAGGGCTGAACACAAGTGCGGGCTCACCTTGCCCTTGGCCTCGGGAAGGAAGATGGGGCCAAAGGAGTCCTGAACCTTGGGGAACTGACTGGCTGGACCGGTGACAAAGGCCAGCGGCTCGGCGCCAGTCTTCGTGGGGCCCGGGAAGCCGACGACGGTCGCGTCGGGGAAGAGGGCAGTGTTGGGAAGCGTGTTGGGGGGTGGGAAAGAGTCCGCGGTGACGATGCCTATAAGCGGGGCCGCAGAGACCAGGGCGGGGAGGAGGGCCAAAAGGGCAATGTTGAGCATGGCGGGCAAGGAACAAGTGGAGAGATGTGTGATACAACTTGGAGGCCACTACATATACTGTCGCAAGGGGCGCGTGCTTGGCAGAGCTCGGCGGCGGCATCCACTACGTCCGGTAGGGCCCGCGGTGAGGCAACAAGCGCGACAGACCTGCTAGCGCGGTTGATTGGGCCATAGCGGCCACGTTGTTCTGCCAGTGTAAGATCATGTAAGAGGCAGAGTACACAGTGTACTGTACAGTTGCCACATGGAGTTTGCACCCCGAGGTTGCACACGTTCTTCATTTTTAATATCGTAAGCCAGAGCCACTCACCGGCTTGCATTCCAGGCACCGGGCGCCGCTCGTGGACACTTGGGATCTACCGGGCGATAAAAGAGCCGAAAGTGGCCAGGACATGAGATTGTGCAACCCCCTGTGCGCGCCTGTGCCCTGTGGAACGTGTTACCGGAGACGCTTCGGAAGCGGCCCAAGTGCACCAACACCCTGGCCGCTTTATGGGCCTTGTTATCAACAACTCGGGTTCCGACGGTCAAACCCGACCACAGAAACTGTGGCGTTTCACAGGCGGCAAGGTCGTTCTCAACTACCTGGCCCAGGCTGCCGAATCTGCCGAAGCTTGCCGCTGGTCACAATGCTGACACGGTTTCCATCGCTGTGTTCACCATGAGGGTCGATGTCATCTGTGCTCTCAACGACGCATCGGCAACTGCATCGGCGGCCATCGTCTCCCTCCGTGGCGGTTGAGCAAAGTCATCTACGTGGGACTTCAGAGTGCCCTCGATCAGATTGCGTCAGCCCCCGTTTTTGGACAGGGTGGCCATATCGTCTTCACCACGGCACGGACAGCTCGTTTGCTAACCCCAAGGGCCCCGAGCAGCTTGCGTGTGTCAAGCAGGTGGGTGTACGTGTCTGGTCGGGTGACCTCAACTCGAGCCCTTACCGATCGAGTGAGCGGTCAAGTAGTTGTGCGTATGTTGCGGCCATAATGGTGATGGACGATGACGACAAGAGCGTACAAGGAACACCACTTTAACGCGGCCCCCTTCATTACGGAAGTATTCGCCACGCGTTTATCCCCAACTGCATCCTTGGGTTGCGGTCTGTCTGTCTCATCGCTGTCTCTGTCTGTCTGTCTCTCTCCCTCTCTCTCCTCGCCACCATGCCTGCAGCGACAGCGACTGCACCGCTTCTCGGCCGCAAGCCCCAACAGCCTGCACCCAGCCCGCCGATGGCCCGGACGCCCACCGTGGCCAGCGTCCGCGACTACTTTGAAGCCCTGCCCTACACCCCGCCCAATGACTTTCCCCACCGCGAGTGGACATCGATGTCGTTTGACATCCCGTCCTACGGCCCAGGTCCGGCCGTCAGCGGCGATTAAATTCATTGGGGCCTCAAAAATGCGTCCCTCGCCGCAGCCCGTGCAGTGGGCAGTGGAGACTGGACCACTCTCGACCCGCAGACTGTCGCGTTGGCTGTGTGTGACAAGGCCCTCCAGCTGAACGTGCTCTAGTACCGACCGCGTCTGTGCTGACGGTATGCAGCAACGACTTTTGGCGTTTGAAGCATGCGTCGTCGCCGCTGCGCACCGTTTCCGAGTGGGAATGTGAACGCGTCCGTGACATTACCATTGCGTACAAAGAGGTGAGCGACTCTGTTCATGTGCCGCACTGACAGCAGGCGGGTGCCGTCATTCCCGTTGGCATACGAAGGCAGCGAGTCCCACTGGAGTGTGTCATCACCCTGGCCATGTCGGCCCTACTCGAGCACTACGCACCCGGCTTGGACTCGTACCAACCTCGCCCATCCACCAGGCTTCTGTTTGACCGCGCCTGGTTTGGCAAACATCGCCCTCAACCTGCAGATGGCGCAGCATACGGATACTACACCGCCACGGGCACTGTCGGCATGAGCGATCCCAGCTGTTACGAAAACCTACTCAAGCAGGCCCGCGAACACGAGAAGCGATTCCCACCTGGCCCCAGTCCCTCTGCCCGCAATGCTCTCCACTACCCGCCTACGCGCGCTGCCCCTTTGCCACACCTCCCGACACCATCGCGCCAACGATGAGGGGACACGGCACACCCCACTTCCTGAATGTGTATTGTATGGTATACTTGTAAAGCCGTTCCTGTGATACAGATTGTGTGACGTCGTTCTCTCCACCAAGTTACCCGTCGCCATGCCCGTCACCGTTACAGGTGGCAACGAGATAGACTCGGAACTGATGGGGCTGAGCCTGTGACATAAACCCAGGAGTGCGCAACAGAGCGCATGCCTACCTCATTAGGCGACGCAGAACAAGGTTGACCGTCATAGGTAGCGTTCTTGACAAGGCGATCACCCGTGACGACCACTGTATCGTATCGACTAGTGAATGCCGACGCTACAAAATAACCTCGCAAGCGTACGCACCCGAGTATGAGGTCGAACGCGTGGAGGGTCTGCTCAGGTCGGCCAACAAGCATTTGGTCCAGGTCAAACGCGCAGAAGATGTGCATGCCAGGTGCTACGCCGCAGTGCCGAAGAGATGGCAACCTGACCAACGTTGTGTCCAATACCGCAGGCACACTTCCCTAGCCACCGCCTGACAGTCAGACACGGGCACAAAGACATGGGTAAAAGGTTCTCGACGAGCACGGCAAGCCGGACATGCCAAAGAACTACATGGTAGTTCATACACACTAAGAGGTGCCACAGGGTACCATCGACAGTTACATTGTGAACAAATTACAGCGACAAGACAATTTTCAGATGAGTCATGGCCAGAGGGACATTCTCAGCGAGCGCCAGTGCCTGAGCGGTGCGCACTGTCTGCTTGATCACGCGGCCATTCACCACGTGAGCGCCGAGTGCATCCAAGTCAAATACCTGGGCAACTTGCTGTGGTGCCCACTCTGGGCAGCACAGCTGGAGAAACTTGGCCCACAACACCGCACGCGCCTTTTGCCCAAGGTCGTCAAACCGCAATGTCAAAGAGAAGCGTGACGCAAAGGCCTCGTCAAAGTCTTCTAGGCGGTTGGTCGTCAAAAGCATCACCCCAGAGTAGTACTCGAGTAGTCTGAGGAAGACGCCGACGAGGGCGTTGCGTTCAATGTTGGATGGCGAGCGCTTCTCGAGAAAGATGTCGGCTTCGTCAATGAGCAGCACTGCTTTCCAGACCGTCGCCAATGCGAGTACCTCACTGAGCTTGCGTTCAAGGGCAATGACGGTCGTTCCAAGTTCACCTGCGCTGACGACATAGAGGGGCACTTGCAGGTGCTCGGACACGGCTTCGGCAGTGAGAGTCTGCACCGTCAGTGTGCTCCGAGCAGCTATGGGACCACTGTGTCGACCTAACATACCTTGCCTGTTCCTGGCCGGCCATGTAAGGCAATGATCAACCCCTCACCCTTGTTGGCCACAACATCGTTGATGAGTTTGGACCCTAGAGCGCCAGTGTGGACGTCAACGAGGCTTCGCACAACCCTACGGTGTGTGTCGGGGATGACGAGGTGGTCAAACGCTGCCGAGCTCCAACGGATTGGGGCGAGGTTGTCCACGAGAAATTCCCCCCACCGCTTGGCCTTGAGAGAGAATCCATGGATAGATGGTGGTAGCAGATGGTACAACTCGGGGGAGAGGGCATCCGGGTCGGGGTCGGGACTGTTTCCCACCCCCCCTCCATTGTTGGAAACCATGCGGTTCACGTCATCGGGCCAGATATCGAACGTTGGGTTGGCCCTCCGGTAACTGGCCACATCGATCATTACTCGTCCAGTGCCCGGCACTCGTGCAGACCCTGCCAGTGCGCGGCTGAAAAAGGACCCCTCGTACTCGGTGTTGACGAGCCTGGCGTATTGGCGCGCATAGCGCTGCCCGCGCTCTTGCCGTCAGCTGCCGTATATAAGTCCCAAGGCTCACCTCGTAGGACTGGCCGACGGGAATCAGAGAGCGGCCAGAATTCCAGCTCGTCGATGGGCTTTACCTCCCGAAACTCGGGAATCTTTTTGGAAACGTTGACCTTGGCGAACGACATACCAGACCACTGGTAAAAGTGTCCGTTGATAACGAAAGCCCGTCCGCGATCGTCCATAGTGTATTGCCACGAATCAACATTGTACGCCAGCTACCAGTCAGCGGTCAAGCTCACCCGCTGAAAACTCACCATCTCACCCGTCAAGTCATCCTGGGTCTCGATCTCGGTCCCCGCAGACATGATCAACCAGAGCAGTTGCCATCGAATGGTGCCCTTCGGCAGCTCCTGGATGCAGTCTTCACTAAAAGTCAGAAGCCAAATGACTGGGCAGAGCTCACAACAAGGTAAAGCGATCGAGTACAAAGTCGAGCATCTTCTTGAACGCCTCATATGTCGCTGCCCCAGCCTTCTCTCCTTTGGCCACCAGGTCGACTTGGTTCAGGAACACCTCTCTAGCGTCCACCTGGTGCGTTAGCCCTGCTCCCTTCACAGCCTCACCCCAGGTTTGCGGTCGTACAGGCTCGCATTGCGCGGAAACTGGTCCTTCAGTAGCTTGAGGATCCCCTCATCCAAGACCTCCAGCCAGGTGGCCACTTCCAACAAGTTGCCGGATGGTGGTGTACGATGGTGGGCGATGAAAATGTCTCCGCGGTTTCCGTATTGGTGGACTGGCGTCGGCTCGGCCTTTTGCCATCCCTGACGGACGACATACACCTCATCAACCTCGCTGAAGGTCAAGGATGACTTATGGGTGCCGTTGGCTTGTGTGTGTGGTACGCTGTCGTGAGTCATTGTATGCGGTAGGACAGGATGCATGAACGTACAGCGCGCGTTGTTAAAGTATGAAAGTGGGCATGCGGAACTGGGTCGGAATGATTTCCGTTGCTCGCGGAACCGTGTTCTGCCAGCCAAAACAGGAAGCAACTATGGCCCCTGTGTACCGTGTGTAGTAGTGTACGGAATAAACGGACCCAACGTCATCGAAGTGACCACGGCATGCTGCGTCGGCTTTCCACCTGTGGGTCACAATAGCTAACGCGAAGCACAGATAAAAACCACAACTAACGAGGTCTTCATTGGCTATGATGCATCGTCCATTCGCTCCCAATGAGGATCGAGATCATGTGTCTGAAGATTGGAAGACCACCTGCGCCTTGGCCCCACAACAGCTGGGGATATCCTTTATGGTGGTTGTCCTTCCAGTAGGCTGTGCTACTAACTGCAGCTTTGAAACACTACAATACAGCGTACGCGGGAACAAATCTGGTAATAGGCAATTAAGCAAACCGTTTCCGCAGCCACTTAAGACTCTTTAGTCCCCGATCACCAGTGCAACACTTCCTTCAAACGATCCCCACGTCATGCATTCCAAACAAAATAACCAAAAGGAACTACACACCCAGGTTCACGAAGGGGAGAATGACACACGACGGCGTGTCACCACCAATGTGCAGCTTGTGGGTACCTTTGTTGGTGCCACTGGCAAACGACATGGCCCCAGTCTGGCGAAGCTCGGGCGAGTTGGGATTGTTGCCACTCACAACCACCTCGATGCTCTCGCCAGCCTCGTAGAGAATTCCCATTGCCCAGATACCCACCTCGAGCTTCACTATATCACCCTTCGGGATGGGCTCATAGCGGTCGTGCGGGTGGAATGGGTACTGGGGGTGGATAGAGCGCGAGTGGTCAATGTGGCGGTGCGAGGCTCGGAGAAGACCGACGGGGCCGTCATGACGCACAACTCCACTCTGGGGAGCATCGTTGGGGTCCGTAACGGGGGTGCGAGCGAAAGGAATTGTCAGGTGAACCATTCTGTTACCCTCGGTGTCCAGCTTATTGAGCTGTACGCTCACACACATGTCCTCGTAGTCGTCACAAGCGAGGTACAAGATGGCGCGAGGCAAACCGGCCAGGATCGTTCTCTTGTCGAACGTGAGCCTGAAAGAAGCCACAGAGCTGTCGTCCTCAGAGTTGTATGTTACGACACTCTGGTTGTCCTGATTCGTCGCAAACAATTTACTATCGGGGCCCATGTACCATGTCTTGTAGTCCGTGTCCGGCAGGGGATAGTCGGGCGCCTCGATCCCGTCCAGTGGCTCATTCTTGCCAAACCGAAGCAGGGACAGTCGCACCTTGGGCGTGTTACGCCAGCCATTCTCCTTTCCCTGTGCGGTTAGCCTTTTGTTGGCAGCCCTTGTCCTTTTATCGCCCACCTTGAGGAAGTAGTCGAAAAAGTCCATGAGCTCCTCGTTCGTCTCGTGAATAGCCCATAAATCGTGCCATTCTTGCCAGGACGAGGAGCGGAACCACACATCCTCTTGATTCGGCAATTCGATCTTGGCACGGACGCCACCCATGGTGTGCAATGTGGAGTGCTCAGAAGCGGTTACATACACAGGAACCTTGACAGCCTTCATGTCCGGTCGCTTGTCCATCCAGTAGTCGTTGATAACCCCATTGTCGGTGCGACGGTACATCTCAGGGATGTCTTCAATTCCGTTAGGTCCACGGTACGTCATGTCCTTGATGAGGAGGAAGTTCGACGGGTTGAAGATCCCACCGCGGACAAATTGTTCGCGATAGAGATCACCCAACCCTTCCCACGGCGCAATGGCGGCCAATGAGGGTGGCTGTTGGGCGGCGATGAACCACTGAATGATTGCAAGGTGTGAATTGCCTGCAAGGCCCACCTTGCCATTGCACCAGGGAAGCTTCGCAATGGCTTCTACGCTATCATACCCATCCTCAGCCTCTTGCTGTCCCATGAGACAGGCGTAACCGTCCGAATGGCCGGAACCGCGAGCATCCACGCTCACAACGGCAAAGTCGCGAGCGCACCAGCGAGCGGGATCGACGCCTTCAAACTTTTCGAGGCCGCTGATGTCTTCGTGGGTGACACCGCACTCCCAAGGTGTGACGGGGAGGCTAAGCATTAGAGCTGGTCGACCAGAAACAACTCACAAGAGAATGCCACTAAACTTCTTCCCGTACGGGCTGTAAGACAAAATGGCGGGAACTGGTCCCTTGGGGTTGGCCGGGCGATAGACGTCGCAGTAGAGCTTGGATCCATCGCGTACGACAATCTCGACGTCGTGATCGATGATTATGTCGCAATCGATTGGGCGGGCCCCGTGGGGTCGGTCACCCTTCTTCAGGTACTCGCTGTGAGGGTTGAGGGGTTGGTAGCCATTGTAACCGATCTCGGGTTTCTTGATGGGAAGATAGGCAATGGGTTCGGGGGCAGTGGCGATCATGCTGTGAGATACAGTGCTTTGCAATGTGCTAACATATTGAGAAAGAGAGACGTTTTAAGTGCCCAGTCACCAAGGCCACAATCGGAATGTTGCCGGTCCCCTCCCTCCTTCACGAGTGTCTGGCGGCGGAAAGACACGGTACTTCCGCCGCACCAGCCGGGGCCGTCCACTTCTACAGGGGTTATTCATATGCCCCGGATACGCCAGCAACCGGGCAGCCTCGGCTCCGTTTACATGGGCGCGTGACATGGTATGTGATAGAGCCGGGAACAGTTGGCGGCGGAACAAAGGTGCAAAGAGACCGGCCAATGCCACAGCACACTGCTCTAAGACTGGCGACTGCCTGCAGCATCGGCAACCAATCACCCAGTGGTTCCCGCGGGCACAACAGCGTGTCAGATATGTGCAAACCCATCTTACGCCTTGTGGCAGCACCAGAATGGCGAACCCTGCTGAGCGAACTGGGAGTATCACCCGCCCGTACTTCTCCATGCAGGAAATCACTTTCTCAGTGGTAACGAGCTGCATTCGGGGTAGCGTTACATGTTGAGCCGCAGCCGAGGGCACTTTGAAACCTATTCATTCACTTGTTCTACCTAGCAGAGGGCTAACAGGAAGGACGACTGGGGGAGGTTCTCAATACGCCTTGACCCCAGCGAGCTTGAGAATCCTGTCCGACGCAGCACGAGGATTCTGAGGAATTCCGTCGTCGTCCTGATCGGGAAGGCCAGTGTCGCTACGAATACCAGGCTTGCGCGGATTAACAAACGTCTCGCCGTAAGGAACATGGTTGGTGTTCAAATAGTTTTCAAACGCATAGCGGCGGTCCTCTTTGTTCTTCTCGGTAAGCAGCTTTGTGGGACCCATGCAAACGTCTTCTCAGTCAGTAGATACTCTAACGAGCAACTATCACTCACAGATGACCGCTCGGTCAGTTTTTCCCGTGGGGGATACCGAATAATGCATTGCGCGGCTGTCCCAGAGAATGAGGTCGCCCGCCTCGACGCAAACCTTGACCCATTCACAGCCGCGGTCGTAGAACCACTGATGCTGGTCGTCCGTGAAGCTGTAAAAGTCTTGAGGGCCCCATGTACGGGTCTCTTCACGGCCGAACATATCAAAGAACTCCCCCATGAGAGCCGGAGAGCCCTTCAAAATCATGAGGCCACCGTCATCCTTTCCACAGTCATTGAGGTTGACAAGCCCTTGGAGACAGTGGAATCCCCTGCGACACGGGGACTGATCCATGTGTTCCCCTATTGGTTAGCGATAGCTGATGCATAACAAGCTCAAACAAGCTCACAGCGACCGGCGTCGTAGATATCGGTGCGGTTTGGGTGCGCCACTGTGATAGCGTCAAAGGAGACAACCAGCTCGTCGGTTCCCCTGTAGGGTCAGCAACAGAGGCGTTGTCAGGACGCTTACCAAACTTTGGCAAACGCGTCAACCACCGCAGGGTGGCCACGCACGTCCCATACCCACTGTTCGTGGGCAACACCATTGCAAGACATCATACCACCCTTGTGCTGCACAGGAAGACACTCTGTCTTGTGGGTGTTGGGGTCGTCGCGCTTAAATCCACGGGGGAAGGCCTCAAGCCACGACAGAGCAGCCTCGCGGCTCCTGAGGGCCGTTTCGCGAGGAACAACTGCAGGAAGGACTACATATCCGTCCGTGGCGAGAGTGTCACGCCAATCGCCAAAGTCGGCGTGGTCAAGCAGATTAGCGTACTCGAACGGAGGGAATACCGTCTCTGGGGCGCGGCGGGAGATGATGCCGTTGACGTTGCTTGCTGTCTTCTGGATCATTGTGTTATTGGTACTGATGAAGTAGAACTGTCTGTGTTGTGATCAGAACTGGGGGGTTAATCCCACTGTGCGCCTTTTAGCAGACTACACATGGCGGGACATGCAAAAGGTTCCCGACATCGACCCTTACATAAAAAAACCCGGTTCTACCGCCTCATTCCGCGACCCGCGACCACAACGCGGTAATTCCGCTTTGACCACTCGTCTTCAAACTTCTGGTGGGCAAGCCCCAATTCATTCTCCACTACATATCACACCACGGAGCACAGCGGAACGGTGTCCAAGGTCCTGGAACGGACAGGACTTCCCGGGTGTCGACCTACTGCAGTTCCTGGTTCGTTCCGAATCGCGATCCCCCAGAAGCCCAAGCAGTGCGGTCCTGGGACCCCAACTGCGGTTAGTCATAAGGAGGGCCTTGCGTGCGAGGAACGGTACAGACCACCCCTCACACCGCCGTTCAATAACACCTCCCGCAAATCAGATGAAGAAGGATTCCAATGACGTCTACGAGGACGTGGCTGCCATGGACTACACCAAGCAGCCGGCCACCGTCCATATCGAGAACACCGCCGACGACAATCTGGTCGCCGTCGAGGCGTCTCAGAACGTCCTCAAACTCACGGATCTCAAGTGGTCCACATGGGGAGCCGTGCTCGCCATGTTCGTCACTAGCTTTGGAACGAACTCGTCGTACATTCTCATTATGAACACCACGGCTGCTGTTGGCGCCGCATACCATGACACCACAACTGTCTCGTGGTACGGAACGGCATACGGTCTTGCTCAAGTTTCCGCCTTGCTTTTTGCATTTAGCCTCTCGGACATCATGGGCCGCAAGCCATTCTTTGTTGGTGCCCATGGAAGAGGACATAGGGACTGACCTCTAAGATTATCGGACTTGTAATTTCCATTGCCGGCCACGTCGTCGGACTTGCTGGCCACAACGGGACGCATGTCATCGTCGCATGCGCGCTAATGGGCTTTGCATCTGGTATGACAGGTATCAGGTGAGGCACATCCTCGTAATAACGCTTTACTGACAGCAGTGCTGCTGCTCTTCCCGAGATTCTACCCAACAAGTTTAAACCTTTGGCTTCTGGCATTCAGGAAATGGCCGCAGCCCTATGGGCCATTTTCGGCGGCCTCTTTGGATACCTCTTGGCATCGGCTGGCTGGGCACGCTTGGATTTCCTCTTTGGAGCTGTGTTGCGTGAGCATATGACCCCACAGCACATCCTGACATCTTTCAGACTCTATTGCACTTGCTCTCATTGTTTTCCTCTACTTCCCACCAGAAAACCCCATTGGTCTCCCAGGTTCGAAATGGGAGCAAGCCAGGCATCTCGACTATGTGGGTATTCTCACACTCGTGTCATCCATGCTGCTTCTTCTTGTTTCGATCAACCTCGGTGGAGGTACATATGGTTGGCACTCGCCAATGACGTGGGGTCTGTTTGCCGGAAGCTTGGGTCTCCTAAGCATCACCGTTGCGTGGGAATGGGCTGGCAAGTGCAAGCTGCCCATTGTTCCACGCGTTCTCTTCAAGTACAAGCGCAACTACGTGTGCATGCTTGTATGCGCGTAAGTCCCTGTCTCACCTAATCAGACTAACCTTCCAGCTTTGCCTCGGGGTACTGCCTCATGGTTCAGGTTGTTTTGTGGCCTTACCTGTGCACCCACTTGTGGACGCAAGACCCCATCAAAATTGGCCTGATGGTCATTCCATCGGGCGTCGGCATGCTCGTCGGCAATGTTGGAATTTCGTACTTCACGCGGTTCATCAAGCGGACCGACCTTCAACTTTCGGCAGCGTTTGCACTCTCTACCGCGTGTGTGGGGCTTCTCGGTGTTCTCAACGCCAACAACATGCCTGGCGGTCTGGCACTCAGCTTCTTCATCGGCGCCTTTATTAGCATGCTTCTAGTACTGGTCACAGTTCAAGTCGTCTTTGCCATTCCGCAAGAGCATCTCGGTGCTGGCATGGGACTCTGTGGAGCGATCCGATCCATCGGTGGTACGGTTGGTATGACAATCTGGTTTTCGCTCATGTACACCAAACTTGGTCAAGAGACCTACCAAGTTATCGACGCCGTCATCGCTCAGGGAGTCAACGCAACCCAAGCTGCTTTGATCGCTGGTGCTGCTATCAATGGCGGAGCTCCGGCAGTTGTGTCGTTGGGCTTTTCGGACGCTGTCGCCAGCGCTATTGATGTGGTTGTCAAAGGCGTTTGGCACGACGTCTTCCGGCTGATTGGAATTGTCGCCGCTAGCATGACAGGAATGGGTTTTATCTGTTCTTTGGCCGCCCGCGACGTCTTTCACCTCTATAACGACGGCCGCGCGGTCAACCTCGATGCCGGTGATGCGCGTCACCGTGAGGTGGTCAAGGGAACGATCGAGGAGCAAGTCCATGAGGCCGATGTGCGCGTCAAAGTGTAAACATCGAGGGGTGAAACTGTATGTACATAGATGGCATTCCGCGGTTGGCTGCCCTAATCATGGCCAATCATGAGCTCAAACGGCCTTTGTCATTGGCTTTATATGCCTCACGTCTACTGTACAGGTGTGCCCCCGAAGGCAAAAGGTGATGGTGTGAATGACGAAAAGGAGGCTCTGGCGATGTATTTCTTGAGCCACAGTGTCTATTCCAGTTCCATCGAGCACGGGTTTCTGTTCTGTCAATGGGTGCAATTGGGGGTGTTTCTAGCGATTGCCAAGCCTAGATTCCGACCGTTACCTCCCAGAGGCGCTGTGCACCATATGGTGTTCGGGTGGCTACAACATTGTAGAGACTGGGGTTCCTAGGTACAGGAAGGGAGGAAGCGTACAGCAGACACTGGGGAGCAATCTTCCCTGTGATGTGAATCCAGAGCTCAACTGCATCACCCCAGTCTTTTGCAAGGCAGCCTTTGTCAATTTAACCGAATCAGAAAAACGCAAAGCACTTGGAATGGCATATGGCACCGACTTTCTTTAACCTTCCACGAGGACTACCACTAGGCAAAAGATTTGAGGTACGGAATTCCGGTGAGCTTGTACGCCCGCTCTGAGAGTTGGGGTGGGTTGACAGGAGCCTTTCGGACGCTGGTACATTCTTTGCCGTCTGGGCGAAGGCACTTGAGATGCGCACCAGTCTGAAGCGCTTGCGGCCAGTGAGAGGTACCGACCCAGTTGTTAAAGGCCACACGCTTGTTTTCCAAATCATCCCGGTTGGCAGTGGCCACCGGTGCATAGCAGAGATAGGAGGCGAAACGTGCACTGTTGCCCTTGGGGGGACAGTTATAGTGAGGCAGGCGCGAGTCCCCCAATTATCAGCATGGCGGGCGAGAGGTGCTCCGACTCACATATGATGAGGTCTCCCGGGTCGGCATTAACCTTGACCCACTTGAAGCCCTTGGTGTCCAGCCATTTCATTCCCGCGTCCGTGAAAAAGTAGGTTTCGTTGGTCCAGCGATAAAGTTGCTCCTCATCCTTGAACTGCTCGTGGAATTCAACTGAAATGTTGTGTGCACCTGGGAGGACCAGGAGGCCACCGTCATCGTCGCCGTTTGGGAGAAGGTTCAACAAGCCTTGAACGCAACGAAACCCAGGGCGCTCGGGATCTTGGTCCTGGTGGGGCCAAGGAACGTTGGGCGTGATATCCTTGCGACTGCATTGTCAGCGTGCGCTATTCTGAGCTCAGTTGGGCTCACTTGGGGAACGAAACGTTGATGGCGTCAAACGACACGAGGAGGTCTTCTGTATCGTAGATCGTCTCAAAGACCTTGAGGACACCTGGTTCGGCACGCATTCCCCAAACGAAGTCTTCATGGATAGCGCTGTAGTGGAACAACATGCCCTTTTCGTTGATGACAGGCAGAAGTTCCTCCTTGACGGTTGAAGGATCATTTCGGTCATATCCGAGACCAAACCCCTCCAGGTAGTCGTGGTAGCGATCCACGTAGTGTGCAGCCTTCTCCTTTGAGACTGCCCCCTTGATCACAGCATAACCGTCACGCACAAGGTCGTCGCGAAAGTCGCCGTAGGTGGTGTTGGCCGTGAAGTCCACCGTCTGGATGGCGGGAATCTCGTGTGTGACAATCATCTTGTATTGAGGTCGGCTTAGGTTGTGTATCGCTTGGGCATATTCTACAGCAGGCGAGATCTCTTAAACCTCTCCAATGGCGGATCAAACCGCTCAGCTTTCCGCCTGTCTGGCCCCCGTGTCCCTGGGGGGTAGGGGCCGACAGCACTGCTAAGACGGTCTTTCCGCAACCCTCGCGGTATACCCGCAGTGTTCCGCGTGTCCGAAACATGCAGAGCCAGAGCACGACCAACAGTTTGATGCAGTCTTTCCCCATTTCTTGTGATGTGATCCTGTGAGTGGGCAATGGATCATCGTTGCTTATTTGGACACTGTGGTACAACCTATGCATTGTCTACTCCATGGACAGGAATAACGAGTTCCAGACCAGGTCGTCGGAGTTGAGTTGGTTCTCGCCAGCAACAGTCTCCCACCAGCTCATATCGGAGGCGGCTGTCTCGTGGAGGCTGTTGTGGGTGTTGTGGTACGCCAGGTTCTCAAGCTCGGCCGAGAACAGCTCACTAATATCAAAGTCTACATGAACATCATCTGCAGGAAGAGACTGCTCTGCAGGCGACGTGGACAGCCTGTCCTGGGTCAGGCGGATCACCTGGGAGAGCTGGGCTTCCACGAGTGCGCCGATTTGACCTTCAGCTGCCAGTCCCCAAATCACCTGAACGGCTCGCTCAAAGTGCGTCTGGTACATGGCAAACATCGTTGATGTCAGACCCCGCTCACGAATGAGCAATGTAGCCAGAATTACCACTGGGGAAAAGAGGGTGGTAGCCGCATGACACTTGAAGAACGGGGCGTTCGTCCACGACGAGTGAAGCGAGGCAATGTGAATCTCGTCAACGATATCACAGGCAAGTTCTCCGCATATGATGCCACACTCCGTGTCGTAGGTCAGGTCCAGAAACTCCCCTCGGCGCAGCAAGATCCGAAGGTGTTGACCAAGCTACACAGTCAGACGTACATCTACATCTTGTGCACTCTGCACTTCACTCACAGTTTTTACAATGACGCGCTGTTGGTTGTGTATGGCACTGTTCCCTCGTGGCATGGCGTCAAATCGCCCGACCCACAAGGATATCTCGGCGTCCATGGTGTCGAGAACAGAGCGGTTCCCTCCATTCCGCTTGCATCTGGCCAGTGCGTCATAGCTAGCACTCGCAAACTGCGCGAACTTCGTAAATCCCGCCAAATATGGCTGCACCAAGCCGTTCTTTGCAGCGTCTGCTAATGGCGAATCGGGAAATTCGTTCTGAGGGTTAGCATCAGTCACATCCGCCATACCCTTACGATGTCATTGAGCGGAGCTGGTTGCTCGACCTCAACATCCTCCCACCTAATCCCGTATGGTCTGCCAACATTGAGAGACAGCTTGCAGTCCAGGGTATAGATTGTGAAGAAGACTCGGGCTCGCATGTGTCGCTCATATTCCGACAGGGAGGGTGGTGGTGGACGGTGAAGGTTCTGAAGAAGGGCAACACGCGTCGCACGACCAGCGACTGCATAGCCGTTGGGGAGATTCCCCATGAAGGTGACTACAAGGGCCTAGAGTCAGCGCGGAGGGACTCAAACTCCTCACCTGCAAGGTCAGAATCTGGATGCCGGTGATATCAGTTGTCGAGGTCGGCGTCTGGCGTTTGCCGATGAGAGCCTGCGACTGGCGGTACCACTCGTAGCCGTTGGGTAATTTGTCGTATCCCGACATAGAAGAACGAGAAACCGCCTCGCACAACGCATAGATGGAAAACAACATCGCCAGTAATGGGGTCAAAGATGACGGCAGCACGACTGTGTCACTTGACGGTGAATCCGGGACGTATGAAAAGAGGTTCCTAACGCGTTGCCGTGTTTCATTTTCGTTCAAACAAGGATGGAAGGGGTTGATTTGGTCAAAATAGAAGTCTAGATACTCGGAGTGCTTGGAAGCGCAAGGCAGGTGACAGATGACTGTGCCACAACGAGCCTTGATCGGAGGGATTGTTGAGGGAGCAGACCCCAGCTCAGCTGGTCGCTGAAAGGGTGGAGAGACCACCGACCTGCGGGTTTCAGAGGTGGGGCTTACTGTGTTCCCGGCGCTCAGCCTAGAACCACTCTCGAGCTCCTGGGCTAGCCTTGTGACGAGTCCTGTGACTGCTCCCTCGGCCAACGTCTCGCTTCTGCCGCCTCGTCCAAGCGCTGTCACTCCTCCGCCGGAAAGGAGTTCAGGATGAGACAGTGGCTCTGGGCTCACTCGAGCCGACTGGCCATTGTTGCCCCACAATCCTCGACCCTGACCATCGTTGATGGTGAGCCTGGTGTCGTCAAATATGGAGGGCTGCCTGGGGGACTGTGGGCCCCGGTCTGTATCGACAACAGGCACTATGCCGTCCAGTGGGGTGGGGGGTTCAAGGGGAAGGACGGTGCGTGTGCCAGAGGTGGCCATGGCTTCACGCATGATGAGCATTTCTGTCACCATTGTGGCCAGGCGGTCCAGGACGTGCTGGAGCGTTGGGTCCCGAGGTCGTGCGTCGGTGTTGACATCACAGTGGGCAAAGGGCGCTGGTTCGTCGAGTAGGGAGCACCGCACGCGCTTGCGTGTACAAAGAGTACATGGTCTGTCACCAGAGCACTAGCATAAGCGACGCAGCTCTCCAGACGACGAAGTGACTCACTCTAATCTTACGTGTCCTGCATGCCTCACTGCCATCAGCCAGATTGGTACTCTGCAACTCACCATGCCTTGAGCGCATACTTCTTCCGTTTGTGCAGGCGAAGGACATCGTGTCCCTCCGATTGCCGGCTCACGGGGGATGACAATTGGGGGCTCGTGCTACTGGTTGCTGCTGTTGGCTGTGTCATGGTGTAATGGGAGGAGTGGAACAGGAGCGGAAACGGCGGGCCGACATCAGGACCAGAGCAGAGTAAAACCCCCCACAGCCAAAACAAACCCACCATCTTCGCCAAAAGTGTGGGGCTCCCTGAAGGTGGGCTGTCGGGCCTCCGGCCTCCGGCTGCCATAATGTCCGAGCCCGGAAGGACCGCCCCGTTCCGGCGACAGTCTGAATGGCTGCAAGCAAGCTGCAAGTTTGGGTTTCCGTTTCCGTGTTCCGTCGCGCACCTGGACACACTGCCCGCGTGCTCTTGACGGTCGACCACTCGATGACGCGAAGGGCCTTTCCCTGCTCTAGACAGGCATGGTCACATCGTGCGGTACAACCACGTCCGACACACCCAGACGAAGGCGGCCGGGTGGCGGGGTGGACGGCGCAGCTAGTTCACAGCCTGTTTCGTCTGGCCCTGCCTGGTGCACTCCGGTAATGGAGAGCGAGGGCAGTGGCATTTTCCCCGACGTAGTCTGTAGATCCGCCCCATAAAGACTTTGTATGCACGACAGTAACGTATCCATCCACATGCTATCCGATTCCTCAAGAGTGTACAACCACACGAGCGACTACATGCCAAGCTTTTGAACCATTAACAACCATCTCTTCGATCTCCTGTTCTGTACCACCCGCTTTGTGCTTGTGCTGCAATTTACGACGATTTGACAGTGCCCGAGTTGTCCGCGCAGCCCCAAGGGGTCGTCGTGCCGCCGACGCTCATGGCGCTCTGGATGTCGAGCACAGCGCCGTAGGTACCAGCGACCATGAGGAAGCTGCCCATGACAATGATGAAGACAGCCCACACGACCTTGAGGCGCCACATGACGGTCGGAGCCTCCTTGCCGCGCGAGTAATTGTCGTACAGCCACATGCAGCCCATGGGCTGCATGCACATTAGAGTACCCAGCAGCGCACCGACCAGGGACACCAGCGGGCCAAACACGGGAATGGCGGAAGCAATGATGTAGGAGAAGATGCCACAGCCGGCTACGGCGCCGAGCCAAGACGCCCAGTGCTGCCACGTATTGGCCACAAGGTGCTTGGAGCCGCGGAGTGCGCGGACAAAGATATACTTAGCGGGCAGGTGGGTGAGGAGTGTGGAACTCATAATGAGACCAGGAAGTGCGATGCCGTACGCAATTTTCTTGAGGAGGGGACCAGCAGAACCGAGGGCGGGCGAGGAGACGTAGGAACCGCAGTAGTAGTAGACAACCACGCCGATGACAACGTAGGCGCAAGTGACAACACTGTTGCAGACGATGAGGGCGCGGGTGTACTTGCGAGGATCACGCATCTCCGACACCAGGCCAAAGAATGAAGGCGTACCGGCGTAGGCAAATACAAGTGACGAAAGTGCAGAGGCGGCCTGGGCGAAACTGGGGCTGCCGAACAGCTTGTAATCGCTTGTGAACGGAAGGCCATTTTGGGGGGCAGCGGCTGGGCGGTCCTGAAGACTAACGGCAATGGTGACAATGAGAACTGTCAAGGGTGTTAGTGCTTCACGTGCCGGAAGCATGATGCCACTCACTGGCTGTAATGATTGAAACCAGACCGATCCAGGCCAAGGGACTCAACTTGTGCAGCGTACGGACGCTCGCCACGCACAGGACAATGAGCAACGCCACGACCACAAATCCAGCAGTGCAGATAGCGTGCTCCGAAATAGCGTTGAGCGAGATAGATATGGAGAGCATACCAGACCCAGCACAAAACGTCTGGACTGCAGCGCGTCAGTAACGCCGTGGGTGGCGGCAACATGACCGCACTTTACTCACAAAGAATGTAGCAGACGGCTAACGCCTCACGACCAGCTTTGCCAAACATGATGCTTCCGGCATCGTCGATCATGTACATGTCTGGATGAGCGAGCTTGAACTGGCCCACAACATAGTTGGACCACGTGGTCATGGTGGCGATCGCGATTAGGCAGATGACACCCGGAATCAGACCAAGAACATCGAAGACCGCAGGGATTGAAAGAACACCAAGGCCTATCATCGACTTCATCATGAGACCGGCAGTGCCAATCCAGCCAACCTGGAAGATAGTGTCAGCAAACAAGCTAAGCGTCTGCCCACGAGAGCCTGCGGGGCAGGCTTACATTGCGGTAGTTGGGCACATTCTTGCCCTCAATGTCTCCAAAGACTTCATCGTGCACAGTGTCGTCGACAGGGAGCACTTCGATAGTGTGCCCCGCCTTCTTTTCGTGGACGTAGGCTGAACTGGACTCTTCCGACATCTGAGCGTAAAAGTGTAGTAGGGAGGTGGAGTAGATGGAAGTGTAGATTGTGTGTGGGCCCCCCACCGACTGACATCTCGTCGGCCCTTTTAAGGGTGTAGATCGGCGGAAATATAAATCCGTACCAGAGAAGATTGAAACATGAAGGCTACCAGGCATGTCATCTCAGAAACCGCAAGAACGTGAGCACCAGGCGCGTGTAGGGACGAGGCCGGTGGGCAACATGATACGTACGTCACAGATCACAGAGACCACAGAGAGGTACCGGAAAGGCGATATCTTGGGGCCGGGCTGGGCTGATACACTGTCCTCGGATCCTCGGATGTGTTGAAGATTGAGCCGCCAATTTCCCCAGTTTTCCGACAGAAGCCGACATATCCCTTTCGTGGCGCCCGTTGCTCACCTGTTGACAATCTGCTATCCACACTACCCTCTCCAAGTCCACACTGTGCGTGCGTGCACACACACATATGCATCGTGGCAGGCCCGCTGGCACATCCATCTTCACGCCCTTTGCAATCAACCCACACCCGCAAGCCCCAACGTCCCCGCCATGCACATCATTCTTACCGGCGCGGCCGGCATTGTTGGCAGCCACACGCTCAAATACCTCCTGGCTCGCGGCCATTCGGTCGACGCTATCGATATCGTGCCAATTGCCCCCACAGTGCTCGATGCTATTCCCAAGGAGGCCTCGGAGCGCTTGCGGACGCATGTGGCCGACTTGGTTGATCTGAGCAAGTTTGAAGCGATCGTCAAGGCCGCAGGACACGTCGACGGCGTGATCCACAATGGCGGCATTCCCAATCCTCTGAACAACGATCCGCGGGTAGTGTACAACACCAACGTTACAAGCAACTACAATGTCCTGCAGACTTGTGCCAAGTACGGTATCTTCCGTATCGCCCAAGCTTCGTCTGTCAACGCCTACGGCATGAGCTTCACCCCCGAGGGACACAAGTTCTGGGACGAGCTGCCCATGAACGAGCAGTCGCCAGCACGTCCAGAGGACCCTTACGCCACTTCCAAGATGTAAGGACAGGCGTCTGTGGTATGCATAACTGAAGTGCTAACTTGTACTCTAGCGCGTGTGAGGAGCAGGCCAACGCCATTTGCCGCTTCTACAACGGCATGCGCATCGCCTCGCTTCGTTATCACGCGTGTTGGCCCGACTATGAGACAGCGACACAGTGCGCCCGCTATCAGAGCCTGTTTGGTTGGGTTAGCCTCGAGTCGTGTGCTAGCGCTGCGCTGGCGGCTATCACTTCGGAAGGGTGGGACAAACACGAGGTGTTCAACCTGGTGGCTCCGGAGATCTGTTGGGAGGGAGGCAAGGACCCGGAGTCGCGGTTCAACGGCGAGATGCTCGACTCACTTGCCTTGCTCGAAGCAAACTGGCAAGGCCGATACAGCGGGGTCGACAAAAGCTGGTGGGCTTCCAACCCACGCAGGGGCTTCTGGGACTGTACCAAAGCCGAGCGTCTCTTGCAGTGGAAGCACGAGGGTTGAGTTGTTGGGTTGGCTAGACGCTCTTGATGCATGTACTGTCCACACACCTGATTCGTCCCTCAGGGTCCGGAAAGTCGGTTAGCCTGTCAGGATATCACTGATCATTGTGCGCTGCTGTGCTGGCCGTTGCTGGCCTGCTGGTAGACAGAATGCCGATGACGGATTGTGAGGGTGGGCATGGCCGCAACATGCGATGCTTTTTCGGCATCATGCCCACTGTGCCACCACCCGTCCACCAAACGGCCACAACCTGGGCTGCCCAGGCCACCAGCGCACCCGGATGAATGCAGCAACAATTCGATGCCTTCTATTTTGCACATCGCTGACAGTCACCTGACACCGAGAGACGCCACCCGGAGCAACGGCCCATTGGCTCCTGGCGTTCAGAACAGGGCTCCACCGCTATCGTCGGCGTCCCGAGTTATCGAGTTATCGGTGCACTATCCTCTCGTCGCCACCGTACTGGCCCCGAACGCAGAGTGCGACCAGAAGGTACGAAAGTACTGTGATGCCCAAACATTGTCGTTCCTTTAGCAACTCGACCTATCCCCAAACAATGCGCGCCTCCCACCACCCGCAACGCACGTACCGGGCATGCGACCCCTGCCGGTCGGTAGGTCTATGCGCGCCCACAGTCGTTAATCTGCAGCGCAAACTGAAATGCCATTTCGGCGACCCGAACGCACCGTGGGACGGCCCCTGCCAGCGGTGTATGCGTGAACAGCGCGAGTGTCTGCGACCACCAGCCAACGCAGTGCGGAAAGCCATTCCGCGCAAGGCAGACACGACAGAAGAACGGTGGAGCCAGGTCGCAAAACGACCTCGGGTCTTACCAACAGCTGCTTCTACGACAGAGCCTGGAACCGGGCTTGCAACTCTGTCACCGCCATCACACCGCCGCCTCGGCGCCGACGAATATGTTGGAACCGTTGACCGAGCCACCGCGGGTTCCTTTATGCAGGTTGTTGGCTCACTACCTACGCAACCCCGAGGCCACGCTCCCCCATCTTCAGGGTCAGGTGACGACGACGACGATGATGACGATGACGAGGTCGCAAACCGGGAGACCACTGAGAGCGCTCTTGTCAGGTCGCACCTTCAAAACCCAAACGATGCGCTGCGACTCCTTGTCAGTGCAAGCAGCCTCCGGTTCCCGGCTCGTTGCGACACACAGAGTCACCTGCCGAATGGCACCAGTGGAAGCATGACCAACACTGCCATCTGGGAAACATGGGAGCCGCTCCAGGAGGGCTTGCTCACGTTGTCAGAGGCCCACGCACTTCTAACTTTGTGAGTTGTCTGTTGGTTAAGCAGTGGACTGACGGGTTTATTAGCTTCGAGCTCGAGATGGCGCCACTCTACCCCGTGGTGCTCCCAGAGATATTTGATCCTAGCTACGCGTACACTCTCGTAAATGAGGAGGACCTCCTACTGGGAGCCATGGTCACCATCAGCAGCCGGTACTCGGAGATTTTGTTGCCTGAGCGAGCTACACAGGTGCATCGCAAAGTGGCAGAGTGGGTCCGCACCCAAATCACATGTCTCTTGGATGGTAACGACAGCTTGCGCAAAATCAGCAGCGTAGAAGCCCTACTCCTGCTGAGCGAGTGGCCCATGTTGCCTGTCCAGCGTACAAAGCGACAGAGATCGGGCGACCTCGCGCAGTCCGAAGAGGCGAACCTGCTCAAGCCCAGCGTGCAGTATGACGCGTACTGTTGGACCAACGTCGGTACGTATAGTCAACCTGAACACACTCTGCGCTTTGAACTGACCGTTCAAAAGCCCTCGCTGTACGTCTAGCGCAGGAGCTCGATCTCCAGGGTGCCGTCAGCCTTAGTACAGTGAAAGCTGGCACCAACGACCGATGGAGACAACAAAGAATGCTCAGGACTTGGGTTTGTAAGTGTGGTTGTGACCGAGTAGAGGCTGACTGTTCAGATTCATACAACGCAGACCGACAGTCAGTAACCAGGTGACGTTCGGAGGGACATGAGCTGATCCACCTCGTAGTATAGGTGTTCGCCTTGGCCGCGTCACAGGCCTACAGCCCAGTTCGTCTCTCTACTGCCGTGTCTCGAAGCGACTGCTAACATGCTTAGACAACACGTCGCGCTGGTGGGAGAAACTGTCAGACATCATGGGCAAGAACGTAACCCAAGGGACAACTGATGCCTGGACGTCCGATGCATACACACTTGGGTGTATTGCGCAACTCATGGCCGCCATTCAACAGCACCTCTTCCAAAGCAAGGAAATCACCCGCATGCTATTGCAGACAGGGGCGTGGGAATCATTTCTGCGTACACTGCAGATTGAAATAGACTTTACCAGGCGCTCATGCCGTAACAGGCTTCGTGAGTACGGGACAGCACAGCTCACTGCTGACCAACTACAGGCGATGGAAGCGCCGAGGCGGCTCTCTTACAGATTGAGGTCGACTATGCCGTACTGTACGCCAACTCCCTTGCACTCCGTTCTTTGCAGGAGAAGCTCCGACGACGACGACAGGCGAACGATCCAGCGTACAGCACGCCAACACTCTTGAACATGAGCGAGGGTCCGTGGATCATTGAGGCGCTCTCGGCCGCACGGTCTATTATTGACACTGCCGTAAACTTCCTCTACAAGCGCAAGATGTTGCGGATTTGTCCGTCACGCATCTTTCAATACATCATGTTCGCCACGACGTTCCTGTACAAGGCGCTGGCGATTGGTGTGTTTGAGCACGGCGCTCAGTCACTCGTCGGGCTCCTCGACGACACCGTTGTGGCCCTCAAGCATGTCGCCATCGACGAGGACCACTTCCTAGCGGGCTTTGCGGTGCTCCTCACTCGCCTTGGAAAGCACTGGCAGGCGCAGGCCAACTCTACTGGACCGTCAGTGCTGCACCCCAGCCCAGAACAGACCGTTGTTGCCGCCCCATCCACAGAAGGAGCCTCTTGGGCAGTGCCAGACGCCACTGCTGCTGCTGCTGCTGCACCACACCTCCAAGAGCCCCCGCCTCTTCCAATGTCGTCAGAGACGCTGAACTTGAGCCTCGCGCCCGAAAACGACATTTTCGACCCTTTGCAGCCCATGCCGCAGTATGATGAACTCAGCTGGCTCCTGGACCCGGCTCTCGAGATGCCCGCCGCAAACAAAGAGCAGGAAGACATCTTTCAGACCATCTGGTACGACCAGCAGAACGACGCTGCCAGGGACAACTTGTACGCCATGTTACTGGGCAACACCCTTGGCATTTAGCACCCCTTTGTACTTTGTGCCATTGTACAGTAGGCGGTGAGCGGAATGTATCAGCATCGTCGGGAGCTGCAAGGGTGCGTAAGGCGAGTGAACGCGTAGTGAGACACAGACAGTTACGGTACAACTGCGGTCTTTGGTTTCTCGAGATCTGAAAGGTGGACAAGACAGACCATTCATTGGTGCAGTAACTACCGAAACGGCTGCTGTAGCTAGACATCGACACAGTGAGTGTGAGAAGGATTGTACAACTCAGACACAAGCCTTCAGCGACCGTGCGGCTCATGCTCGATGCCGAATGTCCAATCCATGAATGCAACTACTTCAAATTCCGATGTGCTAACTGAAACGTACAGAGAACATTGCCGCTCTAGCCAGTGGTCTCTTGCAGCGACTGCCACTGAGCCACACTACCGTTCGCGCGAGGGTAGCTGGTACCATTGGGTTGGACGGTGGCAGCGCCATGGGCCTCACCCTCCGTCGGTGGGAGGTAGCCCCCACCACCGGGAGTGTTGATGACCACAGAGTCGCCTGCAGCCATGTCGAACGCCGAGGCGGGCTTGAGTTTAACGCGGCGGGAGGTCTGCCCGTTGATCGACGTGCGCTGCCAGTAGTTCGCACCACGCTCACCGGGAGAGCCGCCCGCCATGCCGTAGGGTTGGGTGACACGGCGTTCACCATTGAGCGAGGCGCGCATTGGGACACGAGCCTTGTACTCGCGGACAACGCCGTCGCCACCGATAAACTTGCCATTACCGCCCGAGCCGCGACGGATTGACCACTCATTGATGATGACTGGGAAGCGCTTCTCGACGATCTCAACATCGCCAATCCTGGTATTGGTCATGTTGACATGGACGGCGGACTGGCCGTTCCAATGATCACCAGCACCAGCACCACCACAGATGGTCTCGCCATAGTAGTACTTGCCGTAGTCGAAGCCAGACATGTTCATGCCACCTTGACCAGCGGCGCAAGCCTTGAAGGCCTTGAAGATGACATCAACCACACGCTGCGATGTCTCGGTGTTACCCGAGCTGACGGCAGCGTGGCTGCTAGGGTTGAGAAGGGTGTTCTCGGGGATGGTGACTGTGACGGGAGCCAGGACACCGGCGTTCATGGGCATGTCGGTGCCGATGAGAGTGCGCAGGCAGTACATGATGGCAGAGCGCGACACGGCCGCCGGAGTGTTGAGGTTGGAGTACGACTCGAGGGTGGTGCCGGTGAAGTCGAACGAGGCCGTGCCGTCCTCCTTAACATCGATGCGGAGGCGAATGATGGACCCGTCGTCCATGTAGTCCTCGGCAATGAGAGGGGTCGTTGTACGCTCGCGGAAGAAGGCACGTACAGCCAGCTCGGCGTTGGTGCGAATGGCGCCCATGTACTGCTGGACGACTGGCTTGCCATATTCGACAAAGAGCTCCTGGATCTGGGACCAACCGACAGCGCAGGCCGAGCACTGGGCGCGGAGATCCGAAATGTTGACTTCCAGCATACGGGAGGCTTGACAGTTGGGGAACTCTCCAGCAGCATTAAAGATGCTGGTGATGCCTTCCATGTTGAACTCGCCGTCACGGACGAGGAACTCGGACAGGAATCCAGCACCCTCCTGCCACGACTCGACCGACTCGGGGTGCATCGACTGGCCCTCGAGACCACCAATGTCACCGTGGTGGCCGCGAGCGGCGACCCAGAACACAATCTCAGAGTCGCTGCCCTTCTCAAACACAGGCTGGATCACTGTGATGTCGGGGCGATGAGTGCCTCCCGCCGCTGGGAGGTTGGAGATAAGGATGTCACCGGGGCGGAGCTGTCCCTTGCGGTGCTTGGCCTGAAACTCGACGGCGTACTGCATTGAGCCCAGGTGGACCGGCACGTTGGGGGCATTGGCCACAAGTTGGGCGTCGGGCCCAAAGATGGCGCAGCTAAAGTCCAGACGCTCTTTGATCATAACCGAGATGGCAGTGCGCTGGAGGGCTCGGCCCATCTGTTCAGCAATACCCATGAAGCGGTGCGAGAAGATGGACAGCTGAATGGGGTCCACGACAGTGGGGTCGAGTTCCTTGTGGGCTCCCAGACCGACGTCAATGAACACGCTGTTGCTGAGGATCTCGGCAATGTTCTGAGGGTGGAGCAGGATAGTCTGCGTCTTGTCCAGGAGGATGGCAGGGCCCTGGATGGTAGTGCCCGGGACGAGAGTGTCGAGGCGGTAAAGCGGTGAGGTCACAAACTTGCCGGTCTCCTCAAAGAAGACCTCATTGTTGGCGAAGTGGGCATCCTTGCCCACGGGAACCTTGGTTAGGGATGCGCGCTCCTTGACAAAGGGAGATTCAATGGCGTCCTGCTCTCCAGCACCGACAGCGCGGACACGAACGTTCTCGATGTCAATGGGCGCGTCCAGGTTGAAAGCAAACTCGCGCAAGTGCTGAGTGATAAACTCGGACGCATAGTCGCCCGACTTGGGCTGGCGGATCATGAGGCGTGTGTCGGAGCCACGGTAGCGGAGGTTCAGAAAGCGCTCGAATACAATGGCGTCCTCTGGGATACCCTGGGCCAGAAGTTCGGTGTGGCCACACTCCTCGAGAGCCTTGAAGCGGGTCTCTAGGGCATCGTTGGCACCGATCTGATACTCTTGGTTGAAGGGCTCCGAGTGGTCGACGGCAACGTCGGCGAGCGCCATCCCAAATGCCGAAAGCAGGGAAGAGTACTTGTGCACAATGACGGTATGCATGCCCATGACCTGAGCAAGGGCGGTAGCGTGTTGCCCACCCGCACCACCGAACGAGGCGAGGATGTGTGCGCTCGTGCGGAATCCCCTCTGCTCAGTGAGAGCGCGGATGGGACGGGCCATGGCACTGTTGGCGACGTTCAAGAAACCCACAGCAACCTCGGCAGGGGTCAGGTTGCTGCCATCGGCGTTGACTTCTTTGGTAAGCGCCTCAAACCTGGTCCTGACGATCTCGTAGTCAAGGGGCATGTCCTCAGTCGGACCGAAGATCTTGGGGAACGAGTCAATGTGAATGCGGCCGAGGAACAAGTTGGCGTCGGTAACGGTGAGCGGTCCGCCCTTGCGGTAGCAAGCCGGACCTGGGTGGGCGCCGGCAGACTCTGGCCCAACAGCGAGCAGACCATTGCGGTAAGTGAGGATGGAGCCACCACCGGCGGCAACAGTGTTGATGTCAAGCTGAGGTGTTTGGATGGTAACTCCAGCAGTAGTGGTCTCGAAGACGTGTTCGTACGAGCCACCGAAGCGTGAGACATCGGTGGACGTGCCACCCATGTCGAAACCGACGACAGGAGAGCCGTCCAGAGGGTCGAACGAGGTCTTGGCGAAACCAACCACACCACCAGCTGGACCGGAAAGAATGGCCTTGAGACCGGTGAACTTGCGGTGGTCGCAGAGAGCGCCGTCGGACTGCATGAAGCTCACGCGGCAGTCGGAGTGGGTGTCGAGGCCACCAGCAAAGCCCTGCGAGAAGCCGTGGAGGTACCTCTTGATCTCGGGGGTGAGGTAGGCGTCAGCTGTCGAGGAGCCGCCGCGGGAGACAATGTTGATCATGGCCTGGAGGCTCGACGAGACCGAGATTTGTTCAAAGCCGATGACCTTGGCGAGCTCCGCGACCCGCAGTTCGTGGACAGGGTAGAGGTAGGAGTGGACCAGAGCAATGGCAATCGAGCGGTAGCCGTTGTCATACAGCGACTGCAGGGAGACTTTGGCGGCAGCCTCGTCCAGCTCCTCAAGCACGCGCATGGGGGCACCGTTGACACCCCCCACCACCCGCCCTGTGGATGCGTACTCCTCGGGCATCCCTTTCTCTCCAAAGTCTTCCCACTCGGGGGCGACACGCTCGCTGACTTCCACAACGCTCGAGTACAGCACATCAGGCTAGGGGTTGTTAGCTATCGGCGCGTCCACTGGCGTGCTCACCTTCTTGATCGCCAGGTCAAAGAGGTGAGGGCGGGACTGGGTTCCAATGTCCAAGACGTCCTTGAAGCCCTTGGTGGTCACAAACGCGCAGCGTTCACCCTTGCGTTCGAGCAGAGCATTGGTCGCGACCGTGGTACCCATGCGCAGGTACTCGATCTCCGATGTGTCGAGTGGCTCGTCGCGAGGAATCTCCCTGCCTGTGAACCATTCAAGGACTCGACGGACACCTTCCCTTGGAGCATCGGGGTAGCTTAACGTAAGCAAATGCGCTGTGGTTGTAATACGTACTTCTGGGGGTCGACAGACAAAAGCTTGACGAGATAGTCACCCTTGTCCCTGCTGCGAGCAATGACATCCTAATGGAATTAGATTGGTTCCGTCGCCCGAGGCCAATGGTAGGGGGCTCACACAAAAGGTGCCTCCTCGGTCAATACAGATCTTGACCTTGTCGCGGTTGGCGTCGGTGACGACAGTCATGACGTTGGAAGAGTTGAGAGATGAGTAGAGTAGAGGGGATAACACAGAACGAGAACACTGCTATGCAAGATCCGGAAGACACACAAACGTGTCGTCTTATACTACCTCACACCAGAGGCCGATGGGGCCAGCGTGGTCTTCTGCGCGCGTTGCCCGTTAGTTGCCGAGTGGGCTGGGGCTCCTATCTCGGCATATGTCGGAACAGGGATCCTATGGCCAGCCGCTAAATCCGTTGATCTATCCTCGCAAATGGCCACGGCATCTGTCGGTTCACTGACAAGGCGTATTGGTGGGCACTGCTGGTGGGCATCGTTGCCTCTTCTCGCAGCCATCCGCTCGGTATCTGTCGGCGTCTCCGGAATGATCTGTCCAGGCCATTATCCGTTTACAGCCTCCATTCGACCATCACCCAGATACTAAAGGCGACAGCAGATGGGCCACGACGCACATACCTGATACCACACTCCACTACCACGTCAGCAGTTACGATGACTTTCAAGCTTGCACCCCCTCAACGCGTCCTGGTAGGATCAAGAGTGCAATCCCTTTGCTGCTGTTGTCGGTGGACTGACGGTCACAGATCATCGGCGGAGGGGAGTTTGGTGCTGTCACTGCACTGGAGCTCGCCAAGGGCCCCTACAAGGGCCAGGCGCATCTCATCACCATCCTCGACAGATCCCCTACTCCTCCAGCAGTCGACGCCGCCTCTTACGACCTTAACAAGATTGTTAGGCAGGAGTACAGTGACCGCCTGTACGCTAAGCTTGCCCACGAGTCAATTCTTCTTTGGCGCAACGACCCCGACTGGAAGGACAACTACCACGAGTCTGGCATCGTTGTGTCAGTGCGCAAGGACAACCAACGCAACGAGTACGTCCAGCGCTCACTTGAGGCGAACTCGATGCCAGGTATGGAGAACCCGGGCCTTGACGCACGGGTGCTCCCTGAGCGCAACGATGTCGAGGGCGTATACCCTTCCAAGGTCGTGCTTGGTGACTTTGCAGACGAGTCTGTTTACGTCAACCAGGCCGGTGGTTGGGCCTACTCGCGCGGTGCTACCGAGGCGGCTATTTCCCGCTGCCGCACGGTCGGTGTCACGTTCAAGGCCGGTACAGCCAAACACTTGATCATTGATCAGGAGAAGAAGCGTGTGCTGGGTGTCGAGACCGAATCTGGTGAACAGCACTTTGGCGACAAGGTCATTGTGGCGTGTGGCGCCTGGACGCCCACCCTTGTTCCCGAGCTCAAGGTCGAGTGTCTCCCCACTGGGCAGGTGGCCGGTATGATCCAGCTTACCAACGAGGAGTACGAGCGGTACAAGGATGTGCCTGTGACCCGTCTCATCGACAATGGCTTCTACATTTTCCCCGTGAGTAATCACGTTTTACAATCGGGCTATCCTGACCGACAACTATAGCCCTCAGCGACCGGCATTGTCAAGTTTGCTCTCCATCAGAAGGGCTACCTTAATCCCACAGGCAACTACCCTTCGCTCCCGCGAACAGTCCTTTCTCGTGGATACGAGTTCCAACGCGTACCCGAGGACGCCCGCCAGCAGCTTCTTGTTGGCCTGAAGCGTATATACCCTGAGCTGGCGGCCAAGCCCTGGCATGCCTCACGTCTCTGCTGGTACTCGGACCGCCCTAACGGCGACTGGCTCCTCGACTACCACCCGGATTACAACGAGACGCTATTCGTCGCTGCGGGCTGCTGTGGCCACGGGTTCAGTGAGTAGATTGTGGACCGGGAAGCAGACCATTCACTTACACACCACTACAGAGTTCATGCCTGTGCTTGGCCGCCTTATTCACCAGAGCCTGGAGGGTAAGCTCCCTAAGGAGTACGCCGACATCTGGGCTTGGGTCCACCGCCGCCCTGAGCGTCGGGATGAGAGCCGCACCTTCTCGGAGCGCAAGCGTCTCGAGCCCGACTTCAAGACTAAGCTTTAATGTCCAGTAACATACATACAGTAGACTGTGGATATTCTGGTTCATAAATGCATCACTTCTCTGTTCTTGACTTTGCTATGCATTTGGTCTTGACAACCGCATTGGTATTGAAATTCCTCACGAATGTCACTCCGGGCCTTGGAAGGCCAGACCATTAACTCTGTCAAGCGATTGCGAGGGTGACAATACGGCTACCATGCTATAGACACATGGCACAGATGCCAGACAACACATTGTCATCTTGGTATTACCTCCCTTCTAAAGTTACTAGGCTAGAAGGTGGTACAGCTATATCAAGGGCCAGGACATCTGTGTTAGCTAAGCTAATGCGCTTCACGCATCAATCCTTTCGGGATACGGGATGAAGGACCTATGGTCTGCAGCCTGCTTGATATCCCCTCGGGTTCGAAGAAGCACGGCAATTGTCGCAAACTGTCGGTTACTGATCACTCACGCATTGCCCTTAAACCGTTGCCACTCAGGCAACGTTCGCCAACTGTCGGCTCGGCACATGGATAACACGGGTGACATCCGAATCTACGGGGACCCCACTTTTGGCCACTTGTGATGTGACCAGATTGTGCTAGCACTATCGCGGAGATCAGCTCAGCCATAAGGACGCCAACCGCTCTGTGGAGCTGCCCCTTCTGGTAGCTAAACATACATAGTGACTAACCGCCTTTACAAGTCTGGCGTTGCTGTCGGGCTACCGAGCATCTGTGCCAGCGACGACTGTCCAACGACATTGTTCTTGTTCATACCAAACACCCAACGCTGTCACCTTGACGATCGTGTGTCCAACGTCACCTTCCAGATGGGGTCGAATAGGTCGCCCAAGCGCAAAGTCAAACATGTTTCGCGTGCATGCGACACATGCAAATCCAGGTTTGGTCTTCAGTAAACGAAATGGAACTCATCACAACACAGGAAAATTCGGTGCGACGCTGCTCTGCCAGCATGTGGACCGTGCATGGCAAAAACGCGAACATGCACGTATACCAATGAAGATGGACGAAGGTATGAGAGCAGCCACAGTGGCTGTTTATCACCCATAAGACCTAACGCTCATAGCAACCGTGATGACGTTGAGCTGAGGGAACGCATCAACGAGCTACGAGGCCGCCTGGACGCGCAAAGCAAAAACGAAGAGGCAGATAACGCAGTGTCATCAACATTGGCAGACTCGTCGTCCGCATCTTCTTTTCAAGGCACGACGCCTATATCTTCTTTGGCTTTCTGTCCCATGAATGTGCAAAAACGCACATGCCTCGGCCACCTTAGGACTCATGGCACCCGTGCGTTGGCCCTGACGCCGACATTGCCCAACAGCGTCCTACCAACAAACACCTTGGCCCAAGTGTGTGTAGGTGCAGGGGTATGTGGCAACGCCATCTGTCTCTTTGCTGAAACAAGACAATCTCCCCCAGACTAGTGTGGCCCTCGGAGGGTGATACTTCCCAAAATCGGTCGTCTGTTTCTCTACAGCTTCCAGACCTACCTGCAGGGGAGTGGGTTGACTGGGGCCGTTCGCTTCCCCCTGGATTAGGTATCACAAAGTGTGTTCACGACGAGGCACTAGCTGTGTTTGGCGCATACCAGGCGCCGTGGTGTGCGGCGGTGGACATGAGGCAGTTCATGAACGACCTCAACGTCTGCAACCTGATTACTCGCAGCGGACCTCGACCTCCGACACAAACGGCCTCTTACTCGCCACTGTTGCACAACTGCATTCTGTACCTTGGTCTTCATATGCGCCGCGAAAAGTGGCCAGCCGTGACCGAGTCTTTGAACCAGCTGATGCCTGAACACTGTGCTTCGCTCATTTTGAAAGAGACCGGTGATCCGACCCTAAGCACAGTTCTCGCACTCAACATTCATTCTTTGTGAGATGATGGTCTGAAGCATTTCAAACGCTGACTGTGAAGAGTTTTCAACTTGCACACTGACTCGTCGTCATCGACTTCAGCGACGGCCCGGTTCATTCACTTTGGAATGGTGGTTGCCACCACGCGAGCGGTGAGTACAGTTCTCGTCACTAGCATACGTAATGGGTTTTTGACAGCCAAAGCTGAGCCTCACATCCAATGTATGTTTATTGCCAGCAATTGAGCGTAGACGGGCAGCTAAAAAAGCTTGGACAAGGCGGCACAGCGATCCATTTGGTGGACAGTGGGAATGCAAGATGCGGTATGCTAGGGTGATATAGGTCTGGTTCTTGTTGACACGGTCAGCTGTACGCTATCAGTGCTGGGTGCCCACCAACGTTGGAGATCCCGGAAGGCTTCCTGCTTCCCGACATTAACACGGCGGTCGACAACGTCTTGTGGTTCGCTGAAGACGATTCGAAATCCAGTATCGCAAATGGCATGAAAGGCATGGCTTCGACAGTGTTCCACTGGACTGCCCGCCTACACCTCGTTCTGGGCAAGGTCCTGGAACATAACCGGTAAGCCAAGACCACGCATATTTCCCCCCTTGACAGTAGAAATGCTCGCAACATGACTGCGGCGGGCAGAGAGCGGGCTGTACTGCATCTAGCGCATGAGATTGAGGGTTGGCGTACCAGGCAGCCATTCTCGCAGCCTGCGCTCTACCCGTTACCCCATGTACTTAACATGCTCCTCCTCTGCGATATGATCCAAATCCACTTGTTTCGCCCCTACTACCGGTCAAGTCTGGAGGTTGACCCCTCTGCCAAGGACAGGTGCGACCAGGCGGCAGCGAGTGGTATCGACCTGCTGCTGGTGGGTTTGTCGTTTTATCGGGAGACTTTAATTAACGTTGCAGGTGTACGAACATGAACATGGGCTGCAGAACGGTGTCCTCCCACTCGGTAAGCCAAAACGTTTGCCACCTCCCGTAATGTGCCCATCTGACAACACCAGTTTCTGTGGTGCTCAGTATTGCCATTGTCCTCCTCCTGGACCTTGCCTCGACAGAGTGGGGCCAGCCACAACAGAAGGACACCCAGCTTCAAGATTGTGTAAGCGCCAGTATATCTGAAGCTGGCTGCTGACACTGGGAAGATCAGGTTCATGAGCCAGCTTGGCAAAACGTGGGCCGAAGCGAGGCAAGCGTGCCAATTGATCATTACACTCAAAATGGAATGGATGGTGCCGTCGTGAGGTCAACAAGACTGAAGGGTGCTTGTTCTGGAGAAGAGAGTGGTTGTGATGCAGCTCATTATACATACCTAGTCGTCAGCTGTTTAATGAAGTCTGATTCCAATGACTCGGGGACAAGAAGGACGCCGCAAATATTATTCAAGTTCATGCTTGCAGCTTTATCGGACTGCTGAACAGGAGCTACGTACCTGAAGTTGAATAACAATGACTTCAGTTGGGCCAGAAGGATTGCCTTTTACTGGTTGACCAGCTTTTCTGTTTATGTGGTCGGCGCCATGCTGCAACGCTCTAAATCTTGCGCGGTAAAAATCCACGCTGACATCGCTCTCTACTGAGTACCAAGGACCCTACGCATCAGTTCACTCCGGATGCGCTTCCGCTCAGCAACGGCACCACCGCTGCCCGACATGACACTCTTGTTCTCGTATGCACGGCGGGCGAGGAAAGGGACGACCTCGGCAAGGGTGCCGTAAGCAACATACTTGAGCGACATGGGGATGCCCCGGGAGTCAAACTTCTCCACAACCTTGTCGGACAGGTCATCGCGCATGCCGTACAGCTGAGCAATGAAAACCTTTCCTGCGACACTGTCCTTCAGCCGCAGTCTGTCGTCCTCGGTGGGATCGACCAGCCCGTACTTTTGCAGCTTGTCGATAATGGTGTCGACGGAGTCTGCATTGTGGGTCGCGAAAATGACCGACGGGGCGAGTTCAGGTTTGGACAAGGCGAGCTGTGAGGAGAGCTGGGAAATGATGTGGTCGATGGCATCGTTGTAACTCTTATCCGTAGCGGGTTTGCTGGAATAGAGTCAGCACACGTCCTTCCTAGCAGCAAAAGGTCTCACTCTGGCCACATGGGGTCCTCACCAGGGCGCCCTTCGTGATACCAAGCGGCGCGGTCCTGGTCAATGTATGCCCCGCGAACAATCTTCATGCCCAAGGAATAACCGTTCTCCTGGGCATGATTGAGCATGTAGCGAATGTATTGGGGCTGGCGGCGAAGATATGACTGGAAAGTGCCAAAAATCAAAGGACCGCTGAACTTTTGTCCAGGCCTGGGTTTGTTGAACTCTTGGCAGAGGAGGAGGGTGTATGCGTCGAGGACGGGCTGGGTCTCCACATGTTCGGCATCAATCACGAGCTTCACGCCGCGATCGCGGGCCAACTCGGCCATGTGACGGAGCTTTTGGTACATGTCGTATAGGATCTCACGATCGTCGTCTGTGGCATACTCGTCAGAGTGGAGGCGCCCGAGTGGCTGGAGCGAGTCGTCGCAAATGGGGACCAGGTCTGTGGATCCGGGCCCGCAAGCAACGACAATGTCGTCTGTTGACGTAGGTAGCCCAGGGCACGGTACAGTATCGTCGACCGGCACAACTGAACGGTAGCGCATCAGAGTGTTTGAAGCGCGGACCAAGACGCCATTGTCCAGAAGGCCCGTCTTGACATGTCAGCACCAGTTGTCTTGCTTCCAACCTTCCATCGCGACTCACGACCTTGACCGCAAACGCAGAGGCACCACGCCTTCCTCCTGCCGCCTCAATCTGATCTTCGAGTTTACCAAGCTCTTCAATTCCTTTATAACACTCTGCCAAGCACCGGTTGAGTTCCTTTGCGTCGCGCACAGCCGTGTGGTCTAGCTCGCCTTGTTCTGCTTCCGCGCAGTAGTTGAGGGCACCGCCCACGTTTTGGTTGTGCATCTGAGCGAGAATTGGCATGCACTCCTCAACGGTCTCTCCGGGCACGAACTGCGCAAAGAAGGTGTGTCGCACCACCGTGTTTGCGAGGGCGGGAAGGCCCGGGATGGGAGATGATCCGAAGGCATGGAGGATGGCGGGGGAGGCGTCGATGAGGGCGGGAATTGAGCACGCGGCGTAGACGAGGTAACCACGAATCAGGTCACGAGTTGGGACAGCTCGAATGCCACGCTCCGGCTTGTCCTTGTCATTGGAACCTGAGAACGCATAGGCAAGACAGCCACCAGCGAGGAGGACTGGGGCAGCGTAGTTGAGAGTTTGTTTGTGGGTGTGCGTCTGTGCACGGATGGTTGAGATGGCCGAGGTAGCTGTGGCAAAGCCGCGAGGAAACAACTTGAGGACCATGTCACTGGGACGGGGCGATGAACTGCAGCGAGGGAGGTCTGTTTCGACCGCAAGACAGGAGGCACAACGATACTTACAAAGAAATGGAGACTTGGATATGCATGGCGGGCCACTGCTTGCCCACCGGAAGCCACGAGGTCAGCTGGACTCCTAGATAGATGATGCTGATGCTGATTATCTACTGCCGACAGTTCCCGGGCAAGTCACTTCGGCTCGTAGCCTTGACAAACGGAGATCGTCGGAACATGTGGGAATCATGTTTAGGTATTGCCCGTGGATCGTCCACAATGCCTGGCAATGTGGCCGATATCGTGCACCCCTCTCCAACTCGCCGAGATCGGAAGGTGGGTGGCCCGGAACCACCCAGCTCTGGGGAGTGCCGACAGATGCCGACAGATCGCTTCCGTTCACCTCGGTCTCAAGTGGGGGGTCTCCGCTTCACCCACTCGTCGCTCTTTCGCTTCGCCCGAGTCCACCCGTCCTGTTACCAGTGAGTGATGCCCTGCGCTATAAGGTGCAGAGGTGATGGGCTGTCAATAAATCGACAGGCCCAGGACACCACAGCCCCTTCGCTCTCCTTTCAACGCCAGCACAATGACCGCTGCAACCCAGGTTCGCAGCCTGTTCCACCTCGCATACCACGTCCGTAACCTCAACACAGCTCGCTCCTTCTACCGGGATATCCTTGGGTGCGAGGAAGGTCGCAGTACCGATACGTGGGTCGACTTCAACTTTTTTGGCCACCAAATCTCCCTCCACCTCGGCGAGCCGTTTGCCACTACCAACACGGGCAAGGTGGGCAACCACATGGTGCCTATGCCCCACCTCGGTGCGATCCTCGAACTCCCTGACTGGGAAGCGTTGGCGGGCCGTTTGAAGAAGGCAGACACCCAGTTTGTTATTGAGCCACAAGTCCGGTTTGAGGGCCAGCCGGGCGAGCAGTGGACAATGTTCTTCCGCGATCCTTGCGGCAACCCTATCGAGATCAAGGGCTTCCGGTCGCTTGACACCGTCTACAACACCTAAAACAGTGTCTCGGGTAGCTCTCACGTCATTCAGCGATTCATTCCAAGCAGTATGCATGTCATCAGTAGCACTTTGGCGAGAGCCAAAGGGGACGCAGGCGTTCGTTGGTCAATACGGTGTGACAGGTGATTGATATACCTGAAATGAAGAAACTGGCTAAACTGGACTGGCCTAATTCACACATCAAATAAAACGTAATAAAATCCCTGCCCTCATGCGCTTTTGAAATTGCACCCGCGCCACCCAGCGAGCGGCCAGCCCAACTCGTCACAACAACTTACTCAATCACTCCATCACAGACCACTGGCCACTCAGCCATATGCATACCAACCACCATGATTGAGGAGCTACGGTCTTACTCTTTTGATCCATTGTGACAGGGATCTCCTAACACGGCCCCGCCCGGCATCACCTTCTCATGCTGGTGCACTGTACTGCTTGCCGGCCGCCGCAGCGTACCTGCTGCCAACGCCGACATCTCCCCAACTCTAACGCCGTCAGACCCACATGATTCATTCACACCAGTACCTGGTGTCGTGCGGTTTGTAGCGGACGAGGATGACAGGGGCATCAAGGCGCTCCTCGCCAATCTCGACGAAGCATGGTGCGAAACGGCTTCCTTGCAACACGACCTCTGTTCCATCCGCGTCGTAACCAACATGATTCTGCAGAGACCACTTGACAGCGAAGTGGACGACCTGCAGCCCCTCATCCGCAACTCTGTTGTCCTACTGGCGGAGCGCATCTTGCTGGACTATGATTCACTTTTCAAACCCGGCACGTTCCATCCTCGTTTCCAAGTGCGCCTGCCCCGCTGGGAGAACGCCCACAGCTACAAACCATCGCGCAACACTCGAGTGGACAGTGCAACCAAGGCACAGTCTATCATCACGTCCTGGCAGTTGCAAGTGCCCGTTCCGATAACCGCTGCATCATTGCCATCACCTGAGCCGTCGACTCTATCCTCCCGCGCTCAACCCAGTGTCGACCCTTCCCCACCGACGAAGCGTCGTCGGCTTACTTCTCCATCTCAAGCATCGGGCGACCCGTCCACCACGCGCTCTACTTCTACCTCGTCTACTAGGCCGCTCCACATCACTTCGTCGCTTCCGGTCATCGAAGAGCCTGCACCAGTCATCCCAGATGCTGCCAACGACGACAACCGCAGCATCCCAATCCCTGGCATCACTTTGGCTTACAGCGAACTCATCCAGATGGAGGTTACCCAGCTTTCTGGAGGCTGGAGTGACCTGGCTCTCGTCACCCAGGGTACCCACTGTCTTTTCGAGATCAAGCTGCTGTCAGCACTTACGACCACCGCCTTCGAGGCCTTCCTGCGAACACTCAGGCGCGCCCCTGTGGATATGTCCGCCACCGGCTTCGAGCCCAACCAGCCCTTGAATCGAAGCAACTTGGCCGTCCACTTCACTTGGGGGCCAGACCCGCAGGCGGCTGATGGCGGCCTTAGTGAGACGATGCAGAAGGTCCTAGGACAGGTTAGTCAAACCCGTTGCTGGCGCGCATTAACCCCAGGTCTTCCAGCAACTTATCCTCAATCGATGCCCTCGTCTAATTCTCTCCAACTGGGACGTGTATGTCCTCGTCTGGCTGGGCGCGGACGGGCGAGTCCACATCTCCCGCGCCTTCAGTCGCGCACGCGACCACAACAGGCGCCTGCGTCCCAACATGGACGAGTCGCCCCTCGAGCTCCTCGTTGCACTGCAAGTTCTGGTCGTGCGCCTAATGCAAGCTGCCGACGCCGACACAGCGGCTGAAAAGGCGGAATGTCTACAGGCCGTTGACCCCATCTGGCAATACGATGGCGAGGATTGGTTCCACAACGATAACGCGAGGGCCAACAGCGTTTCGCAGCCCGTCGTAGGGCCAAACAGGAGTGGCGGCAATGGCGGCGGTGGATCCCGAGGCCGTCGCGGAAGCAGAGTGGGTACGAGGGGCAGTGGGGGCCGTCCAAGTTCCGCAACTGGGGGCCAAGGAAGCCGTAGCGGATCTCAGGCCCAAGGCAACGACAGTACCACCGGCAACCAGCATACGGTCCGCAACATCGACCGGACGGAATTACCTACAAGCGATAGCGATACTGGCTCAGCTGAACCAATGCAAGAGGACGACCACAGCTTCGACAATGTGGATGCGGTGGAATTCGCAGCAATGGGCTCTGGGACTCATGTCCGCGACCGCAAAACGCACATGACTGTCCCTCCTTCGCCTCAACACATCCTCACAGTGAGCTGGGAGCATCCCAGCAGCAAATGGGCACACCTCATCCCGGCAATGGTCGGTACACTGTCCCTCGTCCTGGCGATTCCTGGCAGCCATCTCTCTGATCACTCCCGTTCCAATGTGGATCGCCAGCTCCACCTTGTGCTCGGCAACTTCATAGGACAAGGCCGTACAGGCATCGTGTTCCACGCCCGCGTGAATAACCAAAGAGTTGTGGCAAAGGTTGTCGACCTCACCCCACAGTCTCCACTCTGGTCGCATCCCGACTCCTACAACACCCCTGCCGCAACATTGCGCGCCGCCGTATCGGGCGAGGCATCACTCTACGCCCGTGAGCTGCGACCGCTGCAAGGTGTCGTAGTTCCCGTCTTCTATGGCATGTGGGTGTCAACTCACTTGCGATCCTCCCGGCCTTCCCTTGCGATCGTACTCTTGTCCGACAGTGGCGTTCCCATCGATGAGAATGTCGCCCAGCCCACCCAATGTTTGGCACAGCACGAGTGGGTCTAAACGGTCTCAAATCTACAGGTGACATGTGCTAAAATCCCCTTAGGCAGGCCATTCGCAATGCGTACAACGCAATCTGGGGCTGTTTCGTACTGCACGGTGATGTGGCCCCACGCCATATTCTTGTTCGCAACGGCCGCGTCAACATAATCGACTTCGAGGCGTCTCTGACCGCCTTTGACGGTGCCGGGCAGGTGGCCAAGGAACGCGCCCGTGTGGAGAACATGTTCCAGGACGCGCACAGGCTCGATGCCCCTGAACTTGTCTCCCCTGGCGGTAGATAGATATTAATCAGTTCTGTAGAACACCTACATACGATGCGCCGCCCACGCTTGCTACCTTCCGGGTTCAGTGGGCGACAAAACACCCACACATGATATGCACTGTACCTACCACATACTGAGCATACTGAGCAGTTTACCAAGATGTCCACGTGCGATAAAGCCACAGGTATGCACATATTGAAGCTCAATTGACGAGCCTCCCATGTTTTGTGCATTGGGGTTGCTTTACCTTTACAGTGAAGACACACGGATACAAATCTTGGAAGCCCCTCACTTGCGACCAAAATCAGTGTTCTCCTTATCGATGCGCTCGCGATGGAGCTCCTTGGTGCGGTTCCGATCGTGGTCTTTGTGGCCTTCTTTGGCTTCCATTTCCGCCTTCTCGCGATGGTCCTCCTGTCTCTCCTCACGCTTCTCGGTCTTCTGGTCCCTGCGGGCTCTGCGTTATCAGTAGAGGACAATGTGAGCTGGTGCTTACTGTTCGTAGTCGCTCATGTTTATAGTCGTCAAGGTTGGGGTGTATGGCAAATGGGAAGAAAGTGGGCGAGACGCCTGTGGGAAAGTCAGAGGGCTTTGCGTTCGACGATGCCTGGGGTAGGTCAGCTGTTGGTTTTACGGTTGTCGTGACGTCACAACGCTGGTCCGTTGCCAGTAGGCACCACCGTTTGCAACTTCCAAAAGGCGTAGCCTCTAGTGCTTTCTTGTCGCAAATCTCCGATCTGTCAGATTACCACACAGCCATGGCCGCGCTTCATCATGTATCACCCTCCCCTGCAAACTATCCCCAAACTGCAAATATCACGATAAAATCTGCACGACACACTTGCTGTGTCGTGTCGTAGTGCGCAACACATTTGACGTGCATACTTGCAGAACTGACATACGAGTCACTGAGCGCCGAGGATGATAAATGTGGCACTTGCGCCAAGGAAACACTGCATTAACGATATGTAACCTCACTGATTGACCTGCTTTTCGTTTTACCAACACTTGGTGTACTGCGCCCGCACTCCCGCTCCAACAGCCATGCAGTGCTTTGGTGGAGTACGATGTTTCCATTCCACCCACTCAAACTGAGCTCTCTTCCATGGTCTTTTCGTTGGCGTGAGGGACAGAGCCCGTCGAGGCGTTCGAACCGTCGTTGGCGTGGCGCTTGGCCTGGAGGTCCTGGTCAAGTGCACGCTCCTCCCTCGCGGCGGCAATGCGCTTGGCGGCCTTGGACAGGAAGCGACCACCGAATGTGAGACGGCCTTCTGACCATTTCAGGTAGACGAGAGTAATCATGATCAGGACCCAGTAGAACACGTACGACAGCACAGAGCCGAGGGTAGCCGTGTTGTTCCAGCCCAAGATGGCGTTGAAGATCTGCCAACCGCCGTTGGTCGTTGCGCTACCCGTCTCAGGGTTGCCTGTGGTGATATGCCAGACGTTTCCAGCGACCATGAACGATCCCGGGCCATCACCCTCCTCACTGACATCGCTGCCGACGCCAGTGGAAAAGTAGTAGTACTGGAAGTATCCGATGGCCTTGGAAAAGAGACCGGCGCCGATGAGAAAAATGAATGTCGTTGAGCCGATAAGGAACCAATGCAGCGTCGTGCTTGAGCCCGTGCGGTAAATGATGAAGCCGACAAACGTTCCAGCGATGAGGCCACACACGACGGGAAGTGGAATTGACGATGCCGGGATACCGAGGGAGACGCCGCCGACAAAGATGATAGCTTCCAAACCCTCGCGCAGCACAGTCACGAGTGGCAGAATGAAAAGAGCCCAACGGCCAGAGCGACCTTCCTTCTTGTCGGCTGCAAGAACCTCGCCTGATTCGGTTGAGTCCATGACTTTGCGTGCGGAAGCATCGAAGGCTGCTGCCAGCTTGAAACGCCACTTGATGCGGGAACGGTCCATCTTGAGGAAAGCAATGCCCATAATGTAGATGATAATGGCCGCAATCACCGAGAAAGCGCCCTCCCAAATGTCTTCCGTCTTGGCCCACAGGTCGTCAAGCTTGGTGTAGAACTAGGCCGTTAATCGACTGCTCCTTTTGACCCTGCAAGACTGATTACTCACAACGACGATGAAGGCTGTACCAATGCAGAGGGCAATGATGAATCCGACGAAAGTCCCGATCCAGATCTGCTTACGCATCACACGAAGGAGCTTCTTGACGCGAGCAGCGTGTTCACCATCGTCTGGGCCAGCTGCGTCATCCAGGCGCTCCTGCGGAGCAAGGCGACCAGTGGTCATCAGCTGCTCGACGAAAGAGAGGAGAACGGAGACGATAAGGGCCGCTTCAATTGTTTCACCTGTGAGTGGTAGTCAGCATCATAAATCATTGGACATAGCATTAGCCTTCTGGGGCCACGTGAACGTTAAATCGCTCCATGACGCGCGCACGTATTTTGCATTGGACTCACGAAAGACAATGAAGAAGATTGGCACGTCGAAGACTTTGTTCGTCATGGTGGGCAAGAGGTCCAGTGGCCAGTGGGGTTACCTCAGGCGGGTGTCGAGAAGGGAAGGGTGGGTGCGCAGCAGTGAAGTGGATATGGCCTCGGCAGTGCTGTCGTTGTGGTGGGCAGTCGCCTTTTGAGATGAAAAGGCTGCCAGCACCTCAGCCGCGTATATATTATATCTGCGAAGCCGGACAATGACCATGGTTGCTGCGACTTTGCAGGTTCTTGGCGGCCGAAAGTATGTGACAGGCGAAGTTGGTTGGGCGACAGAGATCTCGGTCAAGGTATTATCTATTTCAGGCTCGGGCGCGACCTCACCCTTCTCAAACTTTCGGATGCACTGCGGGTCGAATGCCTTGGTCGGCCGACGAACTGAGATTGTTCGCAGCTGGTGTTCAGGTTCCGCCTTATCTGATAATTATAATGATGTCAAAAGCACCGAAGACTACTTGCGTGTGACATGTCTGCCGGTGAAGGTGCGCTTGCTCGCCGATGAAGTGGCACGTAAGTAGTTGTGAGCTGCTCAACATTTCCTCGCACCGCTGCATCTGTAAATAGCAGGAAAGCATGCCTGCAAGACAAACGGGCAGGGGCAAAAGCTATAGGAAAAGTCCAAGGTCATCAATATCGCTTGTTTGTGGGATGTCTGTGAAAGATGTTGGTAAAGAAATGCACCAGACGTTTGCTAATGTGTTCTGTTATGCAGTCGGCCGACAGCCGAGGGAAGCGAGCGTCGAATCTATTTTTGGTCCAGCGGTCGGCCTGGAATGCCGATCGCGCTGCACGCAGTCCAGAGGCCAGCGGCCAGAGATCCAGAGAGGTACGGGGCGGGACATGTCCCCCACGTTTGGGCTGGTAGAAGCAGCGAATTAATGCCCCAAATGGGCGGTTGTGACGGTACTGGTAAGAATAATCTCTCTCCCCCAGCTATAGCCTGACGGCAGCCACATGTCACCCCATAGTGTCAGAGGTGGCGCTACTTCATGGGAGCGGTTAAATGGACCTTTGTTGGCTACGTGTGGGACACTGCCACGGGCCTTGAGACGTTCAAAAGTTGCTCAGCAGCGAGTATGGACGCTCAAGGAGTGAAGGTTTGTAAATATCATGTCTACAATGAAGGTGCGAAAAAAGGGTCCAAGACATTAGCTTCCATTACGGCCGCGACGCATTGGCAAAGCGTTAAAGTGTAATGGGCGGTGTCGCTGACACTGGGCTTGAGTCGCCTGTTGCTGACAATCCTCGGACTGCGCACGCGCGCGCACAGGTGTGGTGATGCGAGTCGCATCACCCCGTGTCGGCCGCTAGTTTATCGCACAATCGAAGGACTACAGGTTGTTTAGGAGCTACAACGAGCCTTTTTCTGTGGTTCGTAGTCGACCCATCGCATCCACTATCGGCCGTCAAGCCGGCCGAGGAGGTAGCTAGCTTATCAGGGCGTGAATGAAATAGGAGCGGACACTCCATGCACTACCCATGCGGACTGACTACAGTTGCTGCAGTCGCACCACCCGCAGTTCTTTCAGTGTATAAATAGAGCTCAATACCGACATACCCTGAACTCACCCCAGGACTGGGCAACATTGCGCAGTTTCAACCTCAATTATCGCAGCGTTTGTGAATCAATGCGTACATCTATTCAACTACATTATCTACGACAAACAACGCCAGGAGAGGCAAGACATGTGCCGGCGGCCGACATCGGCTGGAAGTATGCTAGGAGGAGTCGGTATCTGTGCCTATGGAGGTGTAAAAGCAGACAGTTGGACGGTTAGAAACCAGCATGAATTGGCCGACCTGCCACGGCCACTTGTTTTGTTTTTTTTGTTCAAGCGGTCATTGATCCCGCAGTATTGAATCGATTGGCAACCCGGCGCATGGAGCTCCTGAAGGGTGAGAACCGTACAGACAAGGCTTGCAGGTGGCGCTTACTGAATTTGGTGCGCTGTACTGGCGGTCAACAAACGGTGGTATTGACGATGGTAAGACGTAACAAAGGCACATCTGACTGTGGGAAGCCGGGATTTGCCTCTTCCCTTAACAAACCAGTTTGCATGGCAACGAAACAGTGCGATCTCTTCCACTTCTAGCCTGCTCGCCAGTCTCACACTCGCGCTGGTGCGGCGATTGTTTGCTCTTCAATGTAACATATTATTTGCATCTGTTATTTAAAATGTCCGTGCCAGGTGCGCCACCAACGTCGTGTCGCGAATGTCCATGTGTTCAGTGTCTAAAGAATGCAGGCAACCGCGGCGCCAAAGAGGATAGCGGGCAAGGAGACGCCGAGAACAGCAGACGCCGCACTCTTGTTTGCGGTCACACTGGCCGCAGCTGCGGAGGAACTGGACGAGTTTGAGGCGTGGGAGGTGTTGGACGCTGCGGCGGCTTTGGGAGCGACAGTGCTGGCTGAGGGACTGGCGCTTGTGGTCGTCACGTTGCGATCACCAGCAATGTACTCGTTGAAGTCCGGGTAGGTGATGTTGGCCTCCATGTAAGGGTGTGTAATGTTGTAGCCCGTGGCAATGGGGACAATGTACTTGAACGCTGCCTTGATATTGGCGTACTGGTCCATCATCTCCTGCATTGTGAAATTGTCGATTTCGTGGTTGAGGACGATAGGGCCATAGGTGGAAAAGGTACCGTTCTTGGCCTTGTCGATGATAGTCTGGTAGTTGGCATTGATCGTGTCGACAGTGACGCCGTTGGTTCCCTCCTCCCAATCATTGGTGTCATGGTCCCAAACAATGGTGGTCATGTTCAGGAGGGAGGCGATAAGACGAATGCGGTTATCAACATCTCCGTAAGGGGGGCGCCAGCACTTTGGCGTGACTCCGACAATGTCCTTGATGGCGCGCTGCGTGTAGTAGAGCTCGGCAAACGCCTGTTGGTTGCTAAACGAGGTCATGTACTGGTGGGACCAGGTGTGCACACAGATGTGGTGCCCGTCTGTGGCGCCACGCATGGCTTCGATCGGCCAGTCCATAACGTTGGAGCCGATGTAGAACATTGTGGCCTTCTGGTCGTTCTCCTGGAGGAAGTTGTACAGGGCATTGTGCGAGCAGTTGGGTCCATCGTCAAAGCCGAATCCCCACGTTTCAGGCTCGGGCATAGTTGTAAGATCGGCAGCAATGCCTGTGGACGAATTGGGAGTGGTGCATGTGGTGGATGTCCACCAGCAGTTCGGATCGCTGGAGGGATAGGAGAAGCTGCTGCCCCAGCTTCCGCTGTGGGAACCGTCGCCGTTAGGCACAACCCCAGGCAGCCGCTCGTTCACTGTCGCATTGATCTGGGCAAACAGTGCGGCTGCTTCCGTGTCGCCTGATACAAGGTCTGCTGTGCCCCAAATGGTGGGGAACTGAGAGTTCAAGTCGGTCGCCGGCTGGTAGTTGTAAGGTGCGCATTGGGCCGCAGGGTCTGATGAGTTAGAGTTTACATGCACGCACACTGCGACCAAGGAGTGGATATCAACTCACCTTCGTTTGAGCTGGCCACCTGGCGGTGCTCAAGTGACCGGATGGCGGGGCCACCAGTGTTGCGTCGGCCAATGTGCTGGCCACCGCAGCCGGTGTGGGCAGCAACCAGAGGGAGAAGGACGAATACAGCACCAAGCATGGTACCGAAAACTTCCACGAGATAACGAACGAGGGGAGAGCAGGTGTCGATAGGCGTTGGCGTTGGTGCCGATGAATCAACAAGCAAATGTGACTAAAGGGTGTTCATCGAGGAGACGGGCATGTTCGTTCAGTTATATAACGCATGCGAATTCCGTGACATCAGCATAGGGGGCTATGTAGGCCCTTGGGAACCTGCGGGCAGCATGCTGTACGGGTGGGTGTACGGTGTACGGCCGTACGGGTTGTACACGGTTGGTTGTTTACACCACTTGGCGGGATATTTTTAACGCCAGGGCTCTCACCCATAGGCTCAAAAATCCTGTCCTGGCTTTTAGCATTATGGGTTCCTTGGACCTGTACCCACATTCCCTTTTATCCCTTATGTTGTGTCGGGTCTAACACATGCCTCTCGGCACCCTCGGTAGGCATGCGTAGCCCGTCAAAGCCGATCCGCAGATATGTATGTACCCGTTGCGGCCTCGAGGACCGATAGAGCACAGCGCAACATTGAAGCGACCTCCGACCGTCTTTACCACGTTGGCCGAAACACATGGCAACGTTGCCTAGTGGAAAGAGGGAAAACGTCATACACTGTGACTGCCTTCTTTGCTGTTGGATAAGCAAGAAAACGGGAGACTGCCTCGACTCTGCTGTACGCCGGGTGGGTGTATAGGGATGATATACGGATCTCACTTCTCAACTGTTCAACGCCGCCTTGTCCAGGGCCTTGGGAGTTAGCAACACCGCTCACCTCCCCGCTGCCCCCCCTCCCTGTTCTCTATGGCCACCAGGCCACCCCAACACGCATGATCGCCTGCATGCTTGCTGCCCCTGCAAGGGTTGCAAGGGAACGGCTTCCAACGCAAACGTCCGCGCAGTACATGCAAATCCCGGTCCCCACCGGCTCCCATGTTTTCTTGTGTTGTTTGTTCGACTCGCCGTTTACGGGACCCTGTGATTTCGCAGCAGTGAAAGCCACATGCGCCCATGCAGGCCACTTGCTCGGCGCCCCCAATTTCTTTTTTGAACTGATGCCCGTCAGTTTCGGTGGGAGGGATAGGGCTCGCACCTCGCAATAAACAAACAACGCTCGACGACGGGCGTATGCATAGCACTGGCCACTGGCTGCTGGCCGCTGGCCGCCGTAACCCTCGTGATCTTCAGGGGCACAGTATACATAGATAGGAACCCAACATCATGCCCCTCCGCTGTTTAACGCGGTCTCCCTTCTGGCCCACGCTGGACACTGCGGTGCGAGAGAGGCAGTAGCACTCCTGGCACCCATGGTCCGCTGTTTTTATATACCAACCAGTCACGCTCGGAGCTGTCCCTCCCTACAGCACAGCATTCCTCCGTCGTTTGCAAGTAGTGGCCCAGTGTCCGTCATCGCTTTGGCAACCGCATGGGCATGTCATTCTTCACCCTGTCACCGCATTGCCGGTTGTCAGACTGAGGACGCCCATGTCTGTCGGCCCAAATTATGTGTTACTGTGTGCCCGGCAGTCTCAATCATACTGTGCGGCACTCTCTGCGTTCTTCGTCAACTGTGAGCGGGACAAACTAGACATGGCACAGGAGACTTTGCATGTTCCTCATATAACGCGCCTGTGATCAAGTCGAGGCGCGATCAACAAGACCAATCTTCTCACACAGGAGACGGTGTCGCAGAGTGTCGCCCGGGCACGTGACCAAGTCGGCAAGGCAGCCGCCTGATGCTTGGGATTCGTCGTGCAGTTCAACCAACTCGATGTCGCCATCTGTTATGTGTTGCTCAAGAATGGCGTTCTGGACGAGGACAGCCTTTGGGAGTGGTTTGCCGGGACCCCTTGTCTTGTCGTACTCATGAGCATCGATGCCGTGGCGACACCAACTCATCACGAGTCCATCGTCGACTGGCACGCCCAGTTCCACAAGGATTGCGCGCTGACACATGATTTCCGTGGCTCCCTCCCCCTCGGCCATAAACCGAACATCACAGACGCAGCGAGCTTCCGCGCTTTTGACAGACGACCAGGCGATAGGACATCCGAGAAACAGTACGATAATGCCCTTTGTGAACAGTGACTCGTTTGCGGCCTCCAAGCATCCGCCATTGCACCACGCGACAATGTCCGGAGCCGCCTCGGGGTCCGATCCATATGCGAGGGCGTGGTCCCGAGTGTTCTTAAGGTATGAGACAATGCCAAGTGCGTCCATCCACTGTTTGTGCGTCGGACGAGTCTTGAATCGAGACAGGATGGATACGGCGTAGGCAATGTCGGGCCGCGTGGACTTTGCAATCCACAGCAGGCGACCCACGAGAGAGCGGAACTTCTGGAGGTCGGCATCGCGTGCCGGTTTTTCATACGCGCCGTCTGAAAGCTTGATTGGGACCTTTCTGGCTTTGAGAACCTTGCATTCCGAAAAGTCTTCCACGAGCTTGTCGATGTAGTCTGGTTGGCTGATAAAGGTTTGCCGAGTGCTCGCGTCGTGCTCAAACTTGAGGCCGAGGTAGCTGTAAACAGGTCCACGATTGGATACGGGCCACAGGGGACTGAGCGTGAAGGCAAGATCGCGGGCGGCCGTTGGTGACCGGCATGCCACGAGGAGAGTGTCGGCATAAGCGAAGATGATGGTCTCAGGCTCGCCATTCGCATCCTTGTGGACATAGAGACCAGCCGCCGAGGTCATCTGGGTGAAGGTGAGTTCTTAGAGGGCATTGTTGAGCTCCACTGAGAACGCATGGTTGCGGCCCTTGAGGCCGCGCATTGGCTTGCTAATGAGCACAGTGTCATGGCCCTTGGGTAGATCCATGTCGTCCGTAGGGCGCATGTGGTGCTGCTGTGCCAGTGTTGTGTTGAGGCAAGTGCTGTCAATGTCGAGGCGGTGAAGGAACATGTGCTTGCTGGCCGCTACGGCGAGAACGAGGCGCAGGGACTTGATACGACCAAGTGGCATTGTGGTATCGAGAGCGTGAACGCCAGCGGCAGTGTTGTTGGATACCCATAGCTGAGCCTCGTACCCGACAACGTGACGGTCGCGGCCAAGCTTGCGCTTGAAGACCCAGTGAGATTCAAGAGGAGTCGTTCCCATGGGGAGCTTGGCAGATCGCAGCGTCTTGGACGACCAGAGTGCAGCCTTGTGTGTGTGCATCGCCCTCTCCCACTGAGGCCACTCGGGGCTGGCCATTGCTTCTTCGAGGTTCGCCGGCTCGGCACCAAGAACGGGTGGGGTAGACGAGGTCGCCTGGCCGCCATAGCGGTTCCAGTACTGGGGATTATCGCGGAGGTACTGGCTTCTCGGAATCCAGTCATGATGGTACTCGGGGGGCAAAAACATGACGTTGGGCGACGCAGTCGACTTGGCAATCTGCAGCGTCTGCCCACGGTAGTTGAAGTGAAACTCGGCCCAGATGTCGCATTCCGCATGGGCATCTACGAAAGGCTTGTAGCTTTCCGGCAGTGACTTGCTGAACAGTTTGATGGCATCGCGGTCGGTGATGGCTACACCGCGGGTCTCGAGTTCCCGGCGGCGGGCCTCAAACTCGTAGATGTGTTCAAACGCCAAGCAGTAGACAAACGGCGATACTTGAGGCTTGGTTGCCTGGCGTTGAAAGTCGTCCACCAGGCGACTGCGCGCCCTGGCGATGGTGGGCATGCTTGTGGGAGAGTGAATGAGAAAGAGAGAATGAAGAGTGAGTGTATGTGTCGTGTGTCAACGGCATTGCCATGTGTACGCACAGGCGTGTGCATGGCCCATGGGAGGGTGAGTGGACGTGACGTCATGTAAACACGCGGCCATTAGGACAAGGGTTGTAATGAGGCTAATCGGAACGTATCCAGAGCTTGAAACGAGCGGACCTCACAAAGTGGACGTCCGAGTTCCACACTCGTCCACCAGGCCACCAGCCACTGACCAGCATGGACACTGGTACGCTGACTGTTGGGGATCGAAGTACACTGCCGATTTGCTCCGCTGCTACGCCGGTATCGCAGCGCCACAGCTGTCGACCTCGCCGTCACACGCCCTCAGCTCGCTTTTGGCTTTTGTGTTTTTTTTCTGATAGAACAAGTGCTTCGCTTCCACGCGTATATATTGTCGAGAAGTGCTTTGAGAGGCGTGGAAGGAGTTGCTAATGATCCATTGCAGGTACTCTGTACCTGCATGTCATCCACCGAAGACGAGGCGTATCCATGGACGCTGAAGGGGCATCTTAATAATAATATATTCTCGCCGAGTCGTCAATGAATACTGCCAAGGACGATGTCTCGGTGTCCTGATATCCTTGCCCATGAGTCACGGATCGCTGCTAATACATTGCTGCATGCATGTCGGCTACTGATTACATCCGTCCTTACTCGCAGGTCGTGACCTTGTAGTCAACTGTCTTGTTGCCCTGGGCGGGAACTTTGGGCTTGAAGTCGAGATAGACAAGCTATACATAATGTCAGTACTTACCACGTTCGTACCCTACAGCCACGTACCTCGCCCTTTTCCGGGGTCCACTCGCCGTTTGTGTCGCGGTAGTAGACCAGCTCGTTGCTGCCGGCGTCACGGAACTCTGCGGTGGTGTGGCTGATGGCGCCGTCGGTCGACCACTTGATCTTGTAGCAAGTCGACTTGGTCACGAGGAAGGGGACGGTGCAGCGCTTGTTACCATCATCGTCGATGCATTGCTCCACTGCATAGTCCATGACAGAGCCAGAGGAGACCTTGGATGCTGCCAGAGGTTGAGCAATTGAATTTTGTTTATTTGCACTCACGCTTCATGAGCTCAGCCGAGAGACCGAGGGCAGCAGTGGCGAGGTACTGGAAATTGGGAATGTACATGGTGAGTGTGAGCGGCGGGGAGGAGGCATGAGAAGACGCGCGTCGATGCCAAGCTTATATATGCAAGAACCGTATCTGTAGGTAGACGTTGCACGGGAAATGTTGTTCTCTCATGCTCCACCCAGTTAGTTGTTCGATGACATCATCGCCAAACTGATGTCACTCAGCGGTTGAGCACTGCGGGGAGTGGTCCAGCTCCCGCCACTTCCAACACGCGTCACCAACATCCCGGCGCTGGAGCTCCCTAGACATGGATATTGTATGTGCAGTGTGTGGTCATCTTTGCCGAGATGTTGCTCAAATGAAGGGCTACAGCGGGGAGACCACTGTTGCACCACGGTTTAGATGACGGCAGCCCGCGTCACACCGCCACGGCTGCACTGTAACGTCGTCCTCGGCTCTTCAGGGCTCTCTCCGTTGGTTGGACGTGCGACTCTCGTTCGCCACAATATGTGCAACGGTTTAGCTGGTATAGCGGGAGCAGCCGAACACTTATTTGTTTCCTGGGAAGTTTCAAATACGACGAAAACAAAAACAGTAACAAATCAAAAATTCTTTTTCATTCAGGCTTAGCGCGTTGAGCTTTGCATTCAGAAGTTGTATGGTGGGTAGGGTTGGCTCTACGCCGGGACATCGTCAAGGTCGTCGACGACAAACGACAAGGGGGTGAAGGGGTAGCCGCCAGCCATGTAAAACTTGGAGCTAAACTCGACCCAGTGGAGACGGAGGGCGTGGAGGAAGGCCGAGAGACCCTCCATAAGACAGAGAATGGCAAGGGTCAGGACAAACCACATGCCGAACATGAACACGACCGCAAACGTGCCGCCAATGACACCGCCTTCGTACAGGAAGGCGTTCTCGAGGGTCATGCCATACAGCACCTCGGAGAGCTGGGCGTGGGCAAGCGACAGGGCCCAGAGACGGAGGTACGATGCGGTATTGGAGATACAGCCCAGGCAGTACTCGATGGTGTGGATGATCTGGTTGATAATGACGTCTCCGATCTCAAACTCGCCGGAGCCTCCGTGGCCATCGTCGTGGGCAACAGCCTGGCCGGCACCTTCCTCCTCCTCCTCGAGGTCAGCGTCGGTGGAGGTGCTAGGGCGGCCGTTGTCGTGGGTCTGGGCGAGGCCCTGGTAGCCCTGGCCGGCAATCTTCTGGTGGTCCTTCCAGGCCAAGTAGGGCTTGGCACAAAGCATCCAGGGAACACAGACGACAGCAATGAGGAGGAGGGAGGTCTGGACAAAGCCCTGGCCAGCGTACAGGCGCGTGCCGTCGACAATAGTTCCGGGTGAGAGGAACATGAAGATGAGCATGTTGAGGAGACCGGGAGGAGGAAGCTCGGACTGGGTCCAATCGGTGGCCCACTTCCAGATGATACAGATGATCAGGTAGCCAAACAAGCACCACATGAAGATGACCTGGGGCACAAATTCGGCCCAAATGTTGCGGACCTTCTTGAAGTGAATGTGGTTGGGCACCTGAAGGCATGTGGCAAAAGTCATGTGGAGGACACCGATGATGATGGACATCTTCATCTTGTACGAGTTGGTGAAGACGAGGGAGTTGGTAGCGCCGTGCCAGTTGGGGTCGAGACCGAAGGGGTAAATGCTGCCGGTCCTCTCGGCAATAACTGTAGCGTTGGCCTCGTGCTGGGGCCACTCCCAGCCGGAACCCCAGATGTGGAGCGACTTGGAGAAGATGTCGTTGTACATGAAACCGGTAAAGATCGAGAAGCAGCCCATGAGGAGGACGAGGTAGCGACCGTAAAAGAACATGCCAGTCATTTCGTCGAGGCCAGCCGACTGGAGACGGCGCTCAAAGGTAATCATGAAAATGGCTGAAAGGAGGGCGAGGATACCGTGGCCAATGTCGCCGAACATGACGGCAAAGAGGAAGGGGAAGGTAATGACGGTAAAAAGTCCCGGGTTGACCTCCTGGTACGTGGCCATACCGTACGAGTCGATGAGGGCCTGGAAACCCTCCGTAAACTTGTTGGTACGGTGGTACGTGGGTGGGGTCTGGTGGGTGCGAACCTCGGACAGAATGGGCGGCACCGACGTACCAGCCGTCTCGGTTGCGCGGCGAAGACCGAGCTGGACAGCGGTAATATCGCGCGTAGGGCACCAACCCTCGGCGACAAGGGTCTTGCGGCCCTGGTCATACGAGAGGAGGTTCATCGTGCGGTAAATCTCCTCCTCGCGGCGCACAGCCTCCCGCCAGGCCTCCAGACCCTCGGCAATCTTGCTGAGCTCAACACGGCGGGTCTGGCCGACGTTGTACAGAACAGCGTCAACGTCTTCGAGACGGGTCTGAGTCTCACGGAGAGCGTCGGCGCGCTTGTCCGGGGCAGAGTCAACGGTGTAGAGGGTACCACCCATCGACTCGGCGACCTTGCGGATCTTGGCGAGGAGCTCCTCGCCGTGAGCAAAGATGATAAAGACATCCTTGTACGTGTGGACGCCGGTGGTTGCGTCGACGAAGGGAGTCTCAATCTCCGAGTAGTTCATGTAAAGGTTGCCACGGAGGACGCGCCAAAGAATGCGCTCAAACGTGGGCATACGGGTGCGCTCGATGGTGCCGGCGACAAACTCGAGGTCAAAGCCCGCAAGCGTCGACTCGCCGGGAATGTTGCCGTACTCGGCGGCAGCCTCGAGGAGAGGCGTGGTGCCGTCGTCGGCATCGAACGAGGTGCGGATTTCGGTGTGACGGTGCTCGGCCTCATTGAAGAAGCCAGCAGTCTCATTGAGGACACACTTCTTCTCCTCGAGCTCGCCCTTGCGTTTGCCAAGGTCCTCCCACGAGCGGTTCATCTCGGCGAGTCGGCGTTCGTGCTCCTTGAGCTTTTCGTCGAGCTCATCAAAGGCGCTCTGGGAGCGAGGGCCGACCATGGGGAAGGGCGGGATGGCCGAGAGAGGTGGGATACCGATGGGAGGCTCGAGGGCAGCAATCTGTGACTTGAAGAGGCGAACACGGCGTGCCATCTCGCCGAGACGACGGAGACGCGGGGTGAAGGGGCGCTGGAAGGCGGAGAGCTGGGGGTTGAGCTGGAAGGGGGAGGAAAGAGGTGGTCAGCATGAGCAATGCAGGAGCGACAAAGGAGACACCAAGGCCGCACACTACTCACGTCCTTGAACTGAATGTTGCCCATCTCTGCAATCTCGTAGACTGTATCATGGGCGACTTCGGTGGGGATGTAGAGCTGCACGAGGCTCATCTCCTCGGAGCGGAAGAGGTTGGGGTAGGTGTTGCCGGACGCCATCTTGAGAGAAGAACGGCGGAGGCCTCGGGGGGGGAGGGTTGGGGAGGACGAAGGGGGGGACTGGGTGTTGAGATACGAGCAGAGACAGAGACAGTTGGCTGCGGGGTGACGACGATGCGCGCGTCAGGGGTGGGGTGTGTGGCTGGCTGGGCTGTGGGCTGGACGGGATCAAAACATGAAGTGCGGCCTGCGGGATCAAAACCACGTGCGTCTGATCCCGCCCAGCGCGCACAGCCAGCCCCGAGAGAGGATCCTGCGTGGACGGCGCGCGGGTACGGGTCGATGGCGACCACGGCGTCCGACACGCGCCGCTGGAAGGGAAGACGGGGGTTGTTGCCAGCTCGCCCAGCGGCCAGCGGGTGCGGGGTCCACTTTGTCAACATCCTCTTTCACAATCGTTATATACTCTTTGCATAGACACACGGCTCCGCTCGACACTCGGCACATATTCCGGCCCACCCATCCACCGAGGCCACCCACCGGCCCACACTAAACCCGCCCCAAAAACCAAAACCCAAACCACCAGCAACCACCCGACCTCCACTCCACCACCGACCACTCACCACGCACACCCAGGCGGACGACCGTCGTCTGACAACAACCACATCGACCACCATGGGCGCGCTGCAATACAAGCTCCGCTCGCTGCTTTACTACACCCTTCTGCTCACCGTCGGCTTCTTTGCCACCTTGATCGGCGTCGTCGCTACCCTCTGCGGCCGTCGCTTTGACACAAACTACTATGTTGCACGCACCTTTTGGCACGTCGCTGGGCCCATCGTCGGATGGAAGTTTGAGGTCGAGGGGGAGGAGCACCTCACCGCAGCGAGCAATGGCGAGGAGCCCGCCGTCATCATCGGAAACCACCAAAAGTGAGTAACGAGAGCTCTACTACGATCAACAGTAGAGAGGGCTGGGGGGAGAGTGAGTCACCCTACGAGCCGGGGCTAATGGTCTCTTCTCTCAGTGCGGTGGACATCCTGTACCTCGGCCGCATCTTCCCCAAGCATGCGTCGATCATGGCCAAGAAGGAGCTCAAGTGGGTCCCGGGTCTTGGATGGTTTAGTAAGTGCTGCTGCTGCCTGCTTAAGTTTGGCCTATGGTGTGTCCAGCAGCTGACCCTGCCTTCCCTCAGTGATGCTCTCGGGCTCTATCTTTATCAACCGCGGCAACAACAAGTCAGCCGTTGGCATGATGCAGGCTGCTGCCCAGGAGATGAAGCGTAAGAAGGTGAGTGGTAAAGGAACGATGGGCAGAAGTCGGAGCAAGCGTGTGCCAAGAACCCAAGTCACAAGTTGTGTGCAATGAGTGCACCGTCGGCGCGCCACGTTTGCTCGACGGTGGTGTCTGTCCAGCTTGTCCAGTTCTGTGTCAACACTACCACCCCACCCTCACTGCAGCTCGCTAACGTATGCAGATCTCTCTCTTCATCTTCCCCGAGGGCACCCGTCACCTGAGCGACAAGCCCGAGCTGGCGCCGTTCAAGAAGGGCGCGTTCCACCTCGCTGTGCAGGCCGGCTCGCCCATTGTGCCCATTGTCGTCGAGAACTACTCCAAGCTGCTCAAGCCCGGCAAGTACTTCAAGCGCGGCACCCTCAAGATCCGAGGTGAGTCGCTTGCTGAGGGGCTTGCCACACATGGACATGGGCGGAACATTTTGGGTCTTGGCGCGGCTATTCCCCGCCCGTGTCCGCACAGACCACGCCTCCACGGCCTCCACACGCGTCCACGTTTACTAACCAACGCCAGTCCTGCCTCCCATCCCCACCACTGGCCTTACCACCAACGACGTCAACGACCTCGTGGAGCGCACTCGCTCGGCCATGTCCGAGGCCCTTGTCGCCATCTCCAACGACATGCCGCCAGTTCCAGCCACCACCGACTCGACCCGCCTCACAGTCGACTCGCCCCAGCAGTCGTACAACAGCATCCCCAAAGAGGACACGGAGCACGCTGAGCACGAGAACGAGGTCGAGGCAACCGTTGGCGGTGCCGCTGCAGTTGACGAAGACGCGACCTTGCGCGCCTCGACCTCGACTGACGGCAAGGATGCAGCCGACAAGGTCGTCGACGAAGCGACTGTAGAGGTGGTTGCCCCCATCACAAACGACGACAACACCAACCGCAAACTGTCAATCGCGTAAGCGTCTCTCCCTCTCATCCCCCACCCTCCCAAATCTTCATAGACCTCTCGCCTTTTCTCTCTTCATTTAGCAATGCATGGCTTATCACTGGAAACCTTCTTATTTCAGCATGGTCTGCGATTTCTTCCATCCCCAAGTCGGCGGCGTCGAGGGCCACATCTATAGCCTCAGCGTCGAGCTCATGAGGCGTGGTCACAAAGTAGGTCTCTCCGAAACGTTCCGCTCAGCAGCTAATAACACCGCCACAGGTCATCGTGGTGACGCACCACCGCGACGAGCGCCGAGGTATTCGCTACCTCGCGCCCGGTCTCAAGGTCTACCACATCCCATACGTCTCCATTGCCTCGTCGGCGACGCTGCCAAACTACCTCCTCTTCTTGCCCTATATCCGCACCATCCTCATCCGCGAGTCCGTCGACATTGTGCACGGCCATGCAACCCTCTCGTCCATGGCCCATGAGGCCATCCACCACGCCCCGCTCCTGGGTGTGCGGACAGTGTTCACCGACCACTCGCTGTTTGGGTTTTCCGACGCAGTTGGCGTGTTGACAAACAAGTTGCTCGCCAGTGTGTTGCGTAACGTCGACGCCGTCATTTGCGTGTCCAACACCGGCAGGGAGAATACAAGTCTCCGCGCAGAGATTGAGGCGGAGCGCGTGAACGTGATTCCCAACGCGCTGGTGCCGAGCCAGTTCCAGCCAGACCCGAGCAGGGCCAGTAAAGAGAGTGAGTTTGCGAAAGAGGCGGGACGGTGCGGCAAGGCTGATCGTCAGTTACCATTGTGGTGATCTCCCGCTTGGTCTACCGCAAGGGTATTGACCTCCTTATCGCTTCGGCCCCTACCATCTGCGACCTGTTCCCCGAGGTCAAGTTCATCGTTGCCGGCGACGGACCCAAGATGGTCGACCTCCTGCAGATGCGCGAAAAGTATGAACTCGAGGACCGTATCGAGTTTGTCGGCGCTGTCCGTCCTACAGACGTACGCGATGTCCTCACCAGCGGCCACATTTACCTCTCAACCTCCCTGACCGAGGCATTTGGCACTGCCATCATTGAGGCAGCCTGTGCAGGTCTGCTTGTGGTCGCGTCCCGCGTCGGCGGCGTCCCCGAGATCCTGCCTACTGAAATGATCGAGTTTGCTCATGCAGACGAAGACGACGTGGTGCGCGCTCTCTCCACAGCCATCAAGACCGTAAAGGCGGGCAAGCACGACCCGCTCAAGGCCCACGCCCGCATCCGGGACATGTACTCGTGGGCCCAGGTGGCTGAGCGCACAGAAACGGTGTACGAGCGAGTCATGAGCACACCCGAGCGCGGGGAGGGCGAGCGGCTGGCAAGGCTGCTGGGACTGGGACCTGTCATGGGCCTGATCATGTGCTTTATCCGAGGCGTTGAGTGGTGGTTCTTCGTCGTCGTTTGCTGGTTCTGGCCCGCAGACGAAATTGATGTGGTCCCAGCTGGTTGGGATGCCTCGTCGTTTGGTAAAGCGGTTGAGCAGGAGAAACAGAGCAAGGATTTCAGCCAACCACGCGATTGATCAGAGTTTACCGCGTGCAGTAGAGGCTTAGAGTGTACATACAATGGTAGCATGTAACATGACATATAATCAGCACATGTCAATTCGCGGTGGCAGGACAGGAGGACGTGAAACGATTGGGCGGCTCATCCCGAGTCGAGTCGAAAGAGCATGCAAAGCTTAAACGACCTCTTATCCACCGCAGTGCTGGCTTCTTTAATAAGAACCGCCGCAATTCGAAAATGGTGAGAAGATGGGACAGAGACAGATAGAGGATATGATATGATATGCCAGTGCTCCTATCTCGTCCGTCCCGGTCGGTGCTGATTCGCTGGCTGACCTCCCACCCGAGTAGAGAGCCCTCTCAAAGCCTTGGTCCGAAAGCTCAACGCAGGGCCCGAATGGGAGCACGCGTACCGGACATGTTCGCACACGGTCGCACACGGCACTAGCGAGCACACGGGTTCGTGGAGAAAAACACATGTGCACATTGATATCAATGTACAAATGCCGGTAGATTGAGGGACTGCGCCACGGACTCCGACCCATTGGCAGGTGCCGACAAGACGCCCATGACGCGGACCGTGTCCAGAACTCCATGGGGGAGGAGAGGGTGCCACGACTCACTGAGCAGTACCGGGTGATCTGCCGAATACATGCATCGTTCGAGGACCACAGACAAACGCAAGCATTTGGGGACATGGTGCACACCATTGCGTCAATCTGTCGTGTTGGCTCGGCATCCCGGTCCGGTGGGCGACATATCGGGGAATGGACACAGCCATGAGCCAATGGCGCTCGCCACAATGGCCGATGGGGACACGCGCGATAAGCCGCGGGTAGCCGGCCACATCGGAGCAGCCGGCACGAACAGGATGAACGGTAAATGATGGGCGACGAGCGACGGCGGCAAGGTGAGAGTGGGTGTGCGGGACATGCTGCTGAAGTATCCATCTTGTTCTTCTTTTATATACACTCCATCTATAGCGATATCGTTCCCCCCCCCCCGCATCCCTTTGATTGCTTGACTTGTTACTACCCCTTTCGCCCTCTGCCTCTGTCCACCATGGCGGCCCCAAGCATCCCCCTCGAGGTCTTTGACAGCTCCATCAAGCTCAACTTCACTGGTGAGCCCCCTCCACTGGTACTGGTGCACGACCATCAGCTCACATGTTTCACAGAGGTGTCCACCTCTGCGATTGGTGGTCGCGTCATTGCCTGCTCGGATGACTTCTTTGTGTCCCGTGACAACCTCATCAAGCCCGGTGTGAGTACAAGCTTTCGGCGCCGTGTGACGCGCCATGCGTAGCCAGTGCTGACGTCCATAAAGCCTTCGATTTCGATGAAGGGCCAGTTTGGACCCAACGGCGCACTGTATGATGGTTGGGAGAGCAGGCGACACAACCCTACGTTTGACTGGTGAGTCTCTGATGCCATCAGCAGGCGAGCACCTCGAAACGCAGGTGTCGCTTTCGGGTCTGCCTGCGTCGTTTCTGTCGCTCTGGCTGACATTCTTAGGGTGATCATTCAGCTGGCAGCACACGAGTCGCACCTGCACTATGTCGACATTGACACGTCCCACTTCTCCGGCAATGAAGCCCCCCAGAGCCAGGTCTTTGGCTTGCACCTCGACCAGCCGGCTGGAGACAACCTCAAGCTGCTGCCCGGTGACAAGCGCTGGGAGGAGCTTCTTCCCGTCGTCACTCTGGGCCCCAACTCGCGTCACATCTTTGAGCTTGGCGACAAGGCCAAGGAAGGACTCTGGAGCGCTCTTATGGTCCGCATGATCCCGGACGGCGGCATGGCTCGTTTCCGCGCATACGGTCGTCCTGTGCCTCCTCCCCTCCTCTCCGCTCTCCCCACCCCAGACGTCGCTCCCATCGACCTCCTCTCCCCTCTCATCGGTGGCCGCATCATTGCCGCCTCTGACGCCAACTTTTCTCCTCCCAGCAACCTCCTCCTGCCTGGCCGTGGCCACGACATGAGCGACGGCTGGGAGACCCGCCGTTCGCAGGTTGGCCGCGGCAAGTACGCTCCCGACGGCCCGCTGGCTGGCCAGGAGCGCAAGGAATGGGTTGTCGCGCGTCTCGGTGCCACTGGTGTCATCAAGCACGTTGAGATTGACTCTGCGTACCACGTCGGCAACTATCCTGTCGCCGCTGGCGCCGAGGCGACCCTTTGCGATGCCGAGGTTCCCCCGCCGACGCCAAGTGGGTCACCATTGCCGCCAAGACTCCACTGGGCCCTCATCGCCAGCACTGGCTCGCGACCGACAGCTCCGTGGCGCCGACTGCCGTCTTCTCGCACGTCCGCTGCTCAATCTACCCTGACGGGGGCCTGAAGCGTCTCCGCATCTACGGTCACCCCATCGCCCCCACGACCTCGCTCACCGCTCCTGCTCGCACGACCGAAACGGCCCTCCCGCTTACGTTTGAGGCCTTCAAGCCGTTTGGCCAGGTCATCCAGGGCTGGGAGCTCGCTACCAGCGCACCCAAGGGTGTGTCGTTCAACCGTGCCAACCAGGACACTGCGGCCAAGTTCCACCGCCTCACACAGGTGTCGCCGGCGGCCACAGCGCTTGGCTGCCTGCGTGCTCCTGCAGAGCACGATGTGCGTACTGGCGCGACTATCAACATCAAGTCGCTCCAGAAGAGCGACTCGACCAAGGCGTTCATGCCCCAGGGCACTGGTGCCGCGCCCGGCGAAGTTGCGCTCAATGATGGCTCTGCGAGCGTTGTTGTCGTCGCCTTGGCGGGCGAGGACGGCTCGCCTGACCTTGCCACTGCCAAGTCGTTCCTCGCGACCGCCGCTCAGGGCGTGTCGTTCAGTGAAAATGTCTGGTACTCGCTCATCACCGTCAACGAGAGGCAGGACTATGCCATCCTGGGCTCCAAGGACGCCGAATACACCGAGTCGGCTGTCGACTTTGACGTCTACGTCCCGGCTTATAACCCCGCCCCCGTCAAGGCTGTGCCGCCGACTCCCGCACCCAGTGCCGGCGCCATTCTTGCGTCGGCCCTGCACGGCGGCGACGCTATCCACCCCGTGCCCGTCACCGAGAAGGACTTTGCACCCTTTGGCGAGCTCATCCGCGCCTACCCCGCCGGATACACCAACGGAGTCGCTTCGGGCTCCCCCAAGCCCCACCAGTCGTGGATCTCGACCACCACCGACACTTACCCTGTGCACGCTGGCGCGGTGTCTTCAATTGGCGTGTACCGCTCCACAAAGAAGATCGGCCTTGAGCGCGGCCAAGTCTTTGACGTCAAGTACATGGAGCGTCACCCTTACACTTCGCAGTCCTTCATCCCCATGGGCAAGGGCTCGATCAGCGGTAAGGGAGAGAACGCGCTGAGCCCCGGAGGCGCCTTCCTCGTCGCTGTGGCCATGAACGGCCCCGATGACCGTCCCGACCCTGCCACCCTCCGTTCGTTCATCATGGAGAGCGGTACTGGACTGGTCTACCGCGCTGGAGTTTGGCACCACCCTGTCCTCGTGCTCGACGACACGCTCGACCTGGCGTGTATCGAGACCCAGGTGGCTACCGGTGCCGGCGGTGTCTCGGACGAGCGTGACTGTGAGCTCCTCACTTACGAAGTGGAGGGCCAGCCTTTCGGCCGCATCGCCGTGCCCGACCTCTAAAGCGATTGGGGAGAACAGGGAGAACCTTGGGAGAAGCGTATCATTGATTGTATCACCACGTTATGCACAGTTTGGTCACTAGCATCTTACATACATCGTATCGTACTGGTTTTGACTGTTTTTGGTTTCTACTTCTGGACGTCAATCACGCGACCCTCCTTGCTCGACTGCATGCCCAGCTCGATGATGCGCATGGTCCAAATAGCCTGTTCGGGCTTGATGGCGAGGCGCGAGGGGTCGTTGTTGACAATGGCATCGTGCATCGACGAGTAGATCGAGGGGTACCAACCCTTGGCACTGGGCACCTTGGTAGTGGTCCACTTGCCCTCGGTGCAGACCGAGAGCTCGCCCCACGCATCCTCGCTCTCAATACCGTAGCCCTCGTCGGCGACCGTCTTGCCGCCGCGGAGGAAGGGCTCCTGGGGGTCAAGACCAAACTTTTCAAACGAGCCAGTGGCGCCCTTGACCAAGTAACGCAGATGCCTGGGAACCGAGGACAGGATCGACGCGCCGAGGTGGACGGCAAGCGGCGTCTTGGATCCGGGCTGAGCAGGGAAGATGAGCTCCATCTCAAAGGCCTCGTCGAGGCCAATGCCGCGCTCGTCGTAGTTGCGGCACCAGACCTTGTCGGGAACACCAAAGAGGGTGACGGCCTGGTCGATAATGTGCGAGCCGAGGTTGTAGATGGCCTCGTTGTGCTGGCCAGGAGTCTCCTTCCACCCACCGGCGACGTGGTTGGCGGGGAGGGGGCGGTAGCGGTCGAAGCGGGTGTGCATCTCGTGGACGGGGCCAAGCTGTTCTGGTAAGCAGAGCCCCTTCAATGTCACAAGGACTCGGATTCACCTTGTTGTCCTTGATGAGCTGCTGGAGGGTCAGGAAGTCGGCGTCCCAGCGGCGGTTCTGGTACACGCAGAAGACAAGGTTCTTGCTCTTGGCGAGCGCGGCAAGCTCCTCGGCCTCCTGCACGGTAGGGGTGACGGGCTTCTCAACCATGACTTGGCGTCAATCACCATACGCTGGATGTGAAAGACTCACCATGCTTGCCGGCCTCAAGGGCAGCCTTGGCATAGGGGTAGTGGGTGTTGTTGGGGGTCGACACGACGACCTGAAATGGAGGTCAGCTTTGGTAGCAATGTTTTGTTTTGAACGCTGTGTACTCACGACATCAACGTCCTTGTCGTTCAGAACCTCGTCAATGGTAGTGACGACCTTGATGCTGTCGCCGCAGACCTCCTTGGCCTTGCCGCGGTTGGAGCGCTCAAAGACCGAGTGGACGACAAACTGGTCGGGGAGGGCGACGATGAGGGGGTTGTGGAAGGCCTGGAGGGAGAGGCCGGTGCCGAGGATGGAGACGCGGAGAGGAGCCATGGTGTGTGTATGTGTGTGAGAAAGAGAGAGAGAGAGATGGGTGTGAGGAGGGGCGATGAAGAAGGAGCAGGAGAGCAACACGGCTCAGTTGTTAAACAAATGGACACGAAGGGGGGTGGTGCTCCCGGCAGAACGGCACTTTGCAGCTGGCTGCAGCTGGCCAGCCCTGGGCGGAGACGAATGGTCCGCTGATCACATGCAAGGCAAACGGCGGCTAACAGCGGCTACTGCCGCGGGGCCGGGCAGTCACATGGGCCACGAGTGCCGCCGGCTGCGGATGGTCGTCGTGGCACACGGACGGAAAAAGTCCGTGAGCATTTGCTCCCTGGGGGGTTTTGTTTGTTTTCTGACTCGCTCACTTGCATCTGCTTACTCGCACCTGCTGCTGCTGAATCAGCCGTGCTTTGGGCCGTTGCGGGCGTTCCCCCTTGCCCTGCGGACACTTTCTGTGTGGCCCCGCCGTGGTTGGCCAGGTGGTTTTTGTGTCTCCCCTTCAACAGGTGGAGGTGGAGGTGTGGCCTCTCTGACTGACAGAGCAGGTGGAGGCTTTCCGTTCGGGAGTGTGCTGCAGTGCTCTCGGAATCGGGCAGAAAGGCTCTGGCATATGCAAAAACGTGCACGCCCGTCTCAAACGCCGTACACATCTGGGCCCTTAACTCGAAAGGGGACAATCACCCATCACTGACGCGAGAACCATCAACGACTGTATAACTGACTGATGGGTGCCAAGCAGCAGCGAGCGGCAAACGAAAAGGAACTCGGTACACGTCTTATTACGACCAACAGTCCTAGACGTTCCAGTAACGGCCGCAGTAGCCGCACCTAAAGACATTGCCGCCCAAGAACCAACCGATACAGGCTTCTGAAGAGGACTGGGTCAGTTCGTGCATAGCCTGGCGAGCCGTCTCTTGAGATACGTCGGTACTTACTGCCACGGTTCTCTGTAGACGAATTTCCACCGCAAACCATTGTGTAGAGAAGTTGAAGGACGGGGGTGGAGGTAAGCGTGAAAGGTGCTGTGCAAAATGAAGGGTGATGAGCACCGTGAATGAAAGACTCTCAAGCCTTGCTGCTGATTGCATTTTTATATGTACCAGCCACCTACTCGGCTTTTGCTCCTGCTCTCAACAAAGGACATACACGGAGTGGATGTGTTCCCGAGACCCCTCACGCGTGAGTGTTCATGGTGCGCCCGCAGTACTCGCACTTTCCGTCATTCCCCTTGACGCAGGGTGCTGGGCATGCAGTCAGTTATCTACAATCGGACAAGCACCTGCTGCTCGCCCGTTCGGCCAACGAGGGCTTTGGGACCAGGGAGGACACGGTACCTCACCTTTGTAGTTGTGGCCGTACTGGTTGCCTGGGCATAGTTGACTGTTGAGGTCGACGTGGACAACGCGTGAGGCGGCGTACATCAAGAAGGTGGTCAAAGGCGACATGGAGGGCAGTCGAGAGATGCGAGAGAGAAAACAGAGATTTTGACTCTTGTTGCACGGGCTGTCAAAGCTGCTCGATCTTTCCCAGGGCGATGCATCGGTGCGTGCGTCAGATGACGGAATGGACACACACGGAGAGACACCAATGCGTTCACTGATCACTGATGATGGAACTGATACATTTTCATTGAGCCGATGCTACCGTATTACTTGTGCATGGGGTAGTAGGGGCGCGAACTTTCACCTAGCGCTGCCCAAGGACGGGGTTCCATCAAGTACTCAGTGCAGAACTGACAGTACCATCTGTGGCCCGTGTTGGTTGGCCAGCAGACACCTGCAGTCGTGTCAGTAGGGAGACAAGCAGTAAGGATGCGAACTACTTACTGCCCCGATTCTCCCCGTAGACATTTCCAGCGCAAGCCACCATGTTTAGCGTAGTGAAGGAATAGATTAGTCCGCAGTGTGGTACGACTGTGGTGGTTCTAGAGGAGGTTCTATAACCATCCCGAGTGCTATCATGGACCGATCACAAGAGTCGATAGGTGGATGGGCTGCGACAGCTGTGGATAGATTCCCCGGGATGTCATCAGACGAGCGTCGCGACCACCATTGTCGCTCAGGTCGCTGGGCAGGAACAGTCATTTCGGGTGGCAGTGGCAAATCTCATTGTAGTGCTGGTGGCCAGAAGTGTCGACTGGACAGGGCGATGCGGCAACTCTGCATTCGGCGGTGAACATGTTGTAGACTGAGAAGCACCCCCAACTGTCTCAAACCCAGACGTGTGCACACATTTGCTTCTGATTGAAACTTTGGCTTCGATGATGCCGGATGTTGCTCGTGTCGCCATCACTTTTGTGCGAAAGTGGCCATCAGCCGCCAGTCAAAAGGCAACGCCTCCCATAATCTCAAGAAACCTGCCCTGCACCCACCACCACTGATCCTTTTCACTCCCCGCTTCAACTCAAATCAACGACCATGGCCGGCGAAGATCTCTACATCGGGTGCTATTACAAGGGAAAGCAGATCAGAAACTTCACCGACCTTGGTGCGGCTTATCGCGACTCGCAGCCTGAGCCTTCCTGCTGGAAGGCCGTCCGTGAGGAGCCCAAGGCTGAACCTGAACCTGAACCCGCGTGCGAGCCCCAGACGTCCAACGCCGGTGCCTACGGCGGCTATGGAGGTGCACAGTTTGGGGGCTACGCAGGCGTCTCCGGTGGATTTAGCATGCCCTATGGAGGGGGCTTTGCCAGCCAACCGATGGACCCTCAATACGCCGCAATGTACAGTGGTGGCGGCCAGCATCAAGCTTCTCCATACCAGGCCATGTATGGTGGCAGCCAGCCCGGCGCCTACGGAGCGATGTACGGCAGTGGCCAGCAGGCCCAACAGCCCCAGCACCCCTACGGTACCATGCATGCGGGTGGACAAACTGCCGTCTCTCCGTACGGTGCCATGTATGGTGGCGGGCAGCAGATGGCCTCCCCTTACGGCGCAATGTATGGCGGCGGCATGCCCAGTGGTGGACCGTTCGGTAGCATGGGTGGTGGGTACTTTGGCGGCTACGGCGGCGGTCACATGTAAGCTATATGTAGGCCGGTCGGACGTCGCTTCCATCCTATGAGGTGATGGTCATAAAGCCAGTATATAGTACAAAGAGCGGCAGACTCCATAGAAGACATGCAAAGATTGAGTGGACCAAGAGTTTCAATTTACATACGTGGGCGAGGGAAGGCCGTTGCAAGGTGGCGACTGTCGAGTGGTGACAATGAGGGTCAGTGACTTCTAACTCTCAATACGACGGTGTACTGTACGTCGAGATTAAGATTGAGATGCCTCGTGCCCCACATGTAACAAGACGGAGAAACTATCTTTGTTGGATTAGAACTTTGCATGGAAGCTTAACTGGGTGTGCTGAACCTGCTTGTTATCACAGGATAACCTGACCGCGTCCACGGCCCCTTGGCTGCTTTACATTCACACATGCCCCGCTTTCCAAGTACGAAGTGTGAGACAGATACGTACACTGTTGATCAGTCGCCAAAGCTAGCACCTGCTGGATACTCACTCGGTCGTTGATGGACGTCGTGGGCCCATCACCTTTTCAACTTGTGGCGTAAATTGCGGTTAAAAGACGCGACATGTGGCCTGCACTCCTTCATCGTCCTCCACTCCACTCGTCTTCCCCTCAACTCAACAACTCGTCCGGCTCAAAACAACGACATATCCCTTGTCTCTGTACACGCTTCCCTTCAACCAACAAACCAATGTTCGGTGGCGACTACAGCAGCTTCAGCGGCATGGGTGGCGGCGCCTACGGAGGATATGGTGCAGGTGCTCAGCACCCGGGTAGTGCCCAGCAGGGTGGCTACCCGAATGTCTTCGGCAGCAGCGCCGCTTCCTACGGCAGTTACCCCGGTATGGGGAGTGGCATGATCCCCACGCAGTCCCGAGGTGGTGGCTACCGTAACGAACAGGACGCTTCTGCCTACGCCTCGATGTATGGCCAGCAGGCGGCTTCCTCTTACCCCGCCTTCTTCGGCCACCAGCAGCCTGCATACGATATGCATGCGGGAGGCCCGCATGTCCAGAACATGGCTTTGCCTTACGGAACTATGGCTCCTGGTGGTCTTCCCAATGGGTTCAGCCGCTACTCGACCATGGGTGGTGGCGGTAATTCCTTTGGCCCGTTCTCGGGCGCTTACAGTGGGTACCAGGCTGAAACGCCTGAGCCTGCTGAGCAGCACGATGAGGAGAGCTATGGCGCCCCCTCGTACAATACTGAGGGCATGTCGAGGACTATGCAGTTCGCCCTCGGCCTCCGTTAGTGAGGCTTCCCTCATATCACCCCCTAAGAATAACCACTTTCAATCGACAGAGTGACCTCATGCAAAGAATTGACTGGAACCGTGATGCACACTCCCTCCGTCGGTTCCGCTTTTACACTGATATTCTCCATTTTTCGTCACCTGGGCACATGACCGTGCTCTGCGGTCACGTTGTACGCAACTTTAGCAACTGGAGCATGCGTCTCCTCTAAGGGGATGACACACAGAGCACAATGACGCAGAGACTTATCAGAACCACCTTCCACTCCTTTATTGGGGCGGTGAGGGGGGGGCACAAGGTGATCATGCATCGGAAGCAACGGTGTGGCGCATGTGTGTTGTGTGTTGTGTGCTGTGTGCACCGCGTGATGGTGTCGCACACCCATCACAGGTCATGTACGGGACTCTTCTGATCTTCAAACTCCATCAGGTGTGCTTCTCCCCCACGCTGTGACGGCTTGGCACTTGACGCGAATCAGGGTGGATCAACCCAAGCCCAAGAACGGCATACATAAACCGCCACCATCCCTCGGGGGTACTGTATCTTCATTCCCCATCGTTTCCACCTCATACATGATGTCCTCGACAGCTACCGACTCTCGTCAGTACTTCTCTGCTCCTTACTCCATGACGCCTTGGATGGTACGAAAGCAGCAGATTATAGAGAAGCACGGCTGGCCCAAGGTGGCCAAGTCCCATCCAGACCTAGTCATGAACGTTTCATGGGAGACAATCGAGGCAGAGCAGCGTAAATACAACTTGGTCTATATGGGGCCAGACTTTCCCAAGGTCGCCGAGTCTGGTTACGACGATCAACAAGTGAGGGGTTCCTGATTCCAAGCTAAGAAGCTGACGACCCCGCAGGGCGCCGGGTTCCACTTTGTGCTTGACACCATCCCCACTGCCCAGCAGGTTGCTTTCTGGCAACAGACGTTTAGCAGCTACTTTGATCCCCAAGGCGGTAAGTGGTCGAGCGGATAAATTGAGAACGACACTGACCTCCAGCCAAACTGATCACTTGCCAACCGTTCGTGGGCTGCAATGGCATTCAGCTCTATATCCACTTTGCTCGTTGGGAATGGGTCAATGACTGGAACCCGGACCGGGAAGTTTCGCTGGACGACCAGTTGCACGCGCTTTCCAAGCAATGGGATTTCCACATGTGCCCCCCATGCCCATGTTTTCTAGCATGAATGGGACGGCCTACTACCGTGACGAGGAGTGATGAGTGCACTATGGATGCATGTATAGTGCTGCAGGGCACTCGGCCATGGGTACATACGAGGCACATGCCGCGGGAGGCATGGTCCTTGCGATCAGAGATTGGAAATTCAGATGGAAGTCATCACCCACTTGAGGCTGCTGAACAGACTAACAGACTTGTGGCCACCGTCCAGCTTGTACTCATTCCCAATCGTAACACAGTTAATTTCACGTGGGTTAAGACAGTCGGGACGTGAGAAGGTTGAGGTTAACGTTGTCTATCTGGACGACGCGGTCTGTTCATCGGGGTATCCATGTCCCTCCATTGGTGACGTTGCAAGCTTGTTGGCGATGTACAAGGTGGTACGAGCTGACTTGCCCGGAAGCAGCACATCGTTGGTCGTGCCGTCTACTGGTAGCCGTGTGACGGCCTCTCAACCAGCGGACGTTGATGTACATGGGGTCTTGTTGATTGGCCAAACCCGCACCTCCCTCAGTCCTGAGCGTTGCAGCGCTCTGACGGGACTGCCTTTTGTCGGAACGAGTGAGTGCAGTACTTGCACAACCAAGGTCCGAAGAAGTTGACGCACAGCCCCTGTCGGTTAGGCGGACGTCGCCCCCGCCCAAGTTAGTCAAAGGATCAAAGGGGGTGCGGTAACGTGCGCTGCCCGTCCACGAGAGCCCCGGCGGGTCACATCACGACAACACTGAAGCCGGACACGATGGCGCAATGGCGACGGAATCAATTGCCATTGACCAGCAGGGTTGGCCGTTCGCAGACCCAGTAGACGGCTGCCTAAGCGAAGCTTGCGAATGGAGACAAGACATGGGCCTTTTGCGTGAGTGTCGCTGGCATTAGAGACCCCACGCAAGTGTGTGACTTCATTCTTCCATCTCATCGTCTTACAACGACCCAGTTGATGGTCGGGACCTGTAGACCAACTGGCTAGCCCACGCACGAGCACCTTAGACGGGGTTGACCTCGATCTTGAGACCAGCCATGCCGCCCTTGATCAGAGTGTCACCGTCCTTGACGAGGGCGACAAACTGGGGGCTGGCCTTGTGGACTGACGTCAGCGGGTGGTGAACAACAGAGCTGCAGCTCACCTTCGATTGCGGCCATGTCGTCGTACAGCTCGTTGATGTTAAAGTCGAGGCCGTTTTGGGTAATCTCGTACTTGTGGTTGCCGGCCTCGTTGGCATCGGTGTTTGCCTTGACGGCCTGCAGGACTGGTCGAAGTCAACAAGAGCAAGGACACTAGGACAAGTGTTGGCACTCACGGGCCGCAATCTTGGCCGCGGCGGCCTCGTCGACGGCGGTCAGGCTGGCAAGGAGGTTAAGCATTGTCGTTACGTGTGGGGGGTGATTCTGAAAGACAAAGTAGTGGGGGAGAACCGAAGACCGATTAACCGGCTTTCATAAGCACAAGCATTCGCACCGGGGGACCCGCGCGATGTCGTCGACTGCCCGCGCAGTCACATCGATAGGCGGGCATCGGCGCCGAGGCAGGTTAGCTTGGCCGCTGGAGGAACGGTAACCGACTACGCGGGCTTTCCGAAATCCGTTGAATGATATTCCGTGCGCCATCTCATGCTTAATGACCTGCACACATGCACAAGGAGAGATATACAGAAGCAAGGAGCGTCAGTCGACCGTCGGTTCAGCGAAATGCGGCAGTTTGGTAGTCGTTGCCCACCATGCATGAAAGGTATTACAAGGCAGCAGTATTACCAAGCACACGGAACATTATAGACTGATTGTTCCGCTTGTCTTGCTGTCGTCTGAGTCCCGGTGGACCCGCTCAGAGAGAGAACACGGTGTGTCGCTACTTCTGTCGGGTCGAACCAACATTGCAAGAGGAACTACATGTTCCCAACAAGGACGACAAGTTGGACATGGAGGGTACCACTCAACCGCCAGGCTGCCACCGAAGCTGATGACGTCATGCCGTAACAGGCCAACGATACCACAAGGAACCAAGCGCCTTGCCCACCTCGAGTTGTCCGTCCGGCGCTTGGGCGACTCACGCGCGCGCTTATCGATATGGTCCATCGTCATGAGGGGGGGCCTATAATGAGATTAGGAGTGAGTCAGATCAGTGCTGTATCCCCACCTCCCTCAGTGCATTCAAACACACTTTCCTCGTGTTTTTCTTCGCCATGACAGACGACAAGATGAGCGCTGTGCGAGCCTCCAAGCGTGTCTCCATCGCCTGGGGAGGACGCCCAGCCAGGGAGGACACTGACACGGTCGTTCTCACCATCAACGACTACTCGCTCGACCTCCGCGTGTTCACCGAGGGACCAGACACGGGTGGTATCGACTGGGCGATTGTCGCGTTCGTGCACTCGGTCCCCACACAAGGTACGCTACGAGATCTCCTCAACTGTGGGTCGCTTGCTGACACATGTGCAGGCGGCAAACCCGTGTTACGCTGGGACCACATCATCGACTCTCGAGGCGGAACCGACACTGGCGACGAGGGTGCTTTCGAGGTTCTCCCCAACGGCGACGTCCTCGAAACGGGCTCCATGTTCAACCCGGCAAGGGGCAAGGACGAGTCCTATGAGGAAATCTGGCGACGATTCCCAGTCACCCCTCCTGCGCAGTACTGCGTCCTCGAGCGCATCGACGGCGCATGGGGCGACGACGCCGTCAAGGACAAGAGGGCCTTCCTTGGCCGGTTTGGACCCCGCGCACTGGGCGTCGCACAGGACGGCAGCACGTTCCGTGCATACCGCGATGAGCTGAAGGGTGGTGCTGGGTGGAGCCGGGTGTACGAGTTTGATGTGGGCACTGTTGTGCCGCCTGTGCCCGTTGAGCAAGATGCTGGGTGGGCTGTGGGTGACACGGTGTCTGTTGGTGAGGGCCAGTGGGTTGTACGTGCCGCTGGTACAGTCTAGTTGTGGGTGACTGGCGCCAAGCGAGCGCTCGGGGGTGTCAGGCTCTCTCTCGCATGGACCGTTGTTCGAACCCCACATTGTGCCAATGTCATCCTCATTGCATACGGTCCGAGCACCCCTCTCTGCCCCCTTTGTTGCGCTTGTTGTGATGGATACCATACCATACACCCCACCACCACCAGGTCTTGGCGAACTGGTGGCGACCACTTGCACAGCATGCTTTCACTTTCTCACAGTCACCACCCCCCTCACCCATCCCATTCACCATGAGAATACCCCCAGCTCTGCACTGGTGGGCCGCACAGATCCACATGGCCCTGTATGCCGTTGACTTGCTGCTGAGCATCGCAGTCCTCGTCTGGGGCAGCGTCTTGTACGCCCTCGTGGACAACCAATCGCGGTACCACGCCCCAGGACGGTTCGCCGCTTACACCGTCATCAACTGTGCACTCGTCATCTACTTGACAGCTTTGTAAATACCAATCACCGCGGACGTGTTGCACTTTTAACATCTGGCAGCTTCATCGTGTCGCGGTTCCGCCCCAACAGCGGCTTTGTTTCGTCCACGGCTGATACTGGTATCATTGGGCTTTTCATCGTCATCCAAGTCATCTGCTACTGGATTGTTGGTCCCTCTGCCCTGGCCAGACAAGGAACTGTCTACGACGAGTGAGTGTCGGTACCAGAAACGCAGGGCTGACTTGTTTTTTTTGCAGTGACATTGGACGATATAGGACGGTCAACTGGGTCCTTTGGTTCATGGTAGGTGCACTGTCCCTTGACCAGCTGCTCATAAGTTTTCAGTTATGGTTCACGCTTCTCTTTGAGGTCGTGTATCTTATCCTGACTCGCAAGGGGAGGGAACGCCAGCAGCGGCGCAGCTCCTTCCGTGTCTTGGCCATGGAGAGCTACCCCGGCAACGGGAGGGGACCCTTCTCGACCTCGTCCGACAATTCCGGCCCCTGGGTTCCCATGCCAGACTTGCCGCAACCACCACCACCGAGCAGGGTTTGAGAAGGAAGAAACGCGAGCGTCGAGTGGCCCCTTGGAGAACTCGCGGGCAGAGAGTTGGCTCTGACAGTCTAACGGTTGCGCCGGAATCCTATCCAACACACCACCTATTCCGTAACAGAAAAAAAACATGTTGTATCCACACCGCCGAGGTCATATGGCCCCCACGGAGGGGAAGAGAGAGGGTCTTGGGCTCTCACCATGGCGAGTTTATTAGCTTTCCTGTACTTGTACCAAGCGACCGTTGTACTGTGGGAGAACGTAATATTCAGTCGAAGGCACCTCACCGCAACCGCCCCTGCGGGACATGCTTTGCATCGCCACAAGAGTAGGGTGAGCAATCAGAACAGCGGCTTCATCTCAATTACTGAGGACATGATCGCCCTGTCCATCGGCACGCTGGCACTTTGGTATACCCCACCATTGTGTAATTGGGAGGGAGCGAGGAGGATCCGTTGTTCAAGTCGACTGGCCTTTGACGGAGCTTGTACCGTGTATCGCGGGTTGGCAATTGCCTTGTTGGCCTTGGTGCGAGTTTTGTCGACCCACAGTGCGTGGAGACGGCGCTGACAAACATTAGATAGTGTTTCCCTCGGTTTCCTCTCCCTGGAGGCCACATGATTCCGAGGGATACAAGAAGAGTATGAGGAAGCTCATCGTAAGAGACGGAAGCGCTGCTGAAACAGAAAGCGCAGGCGTTGGCTTGCTCTCACACACGCGTCCATGTTCACAGACCCCGAACCGCTAGTTCGAGATACGACCCCGCGTGCCATGGACGACGTCGTCACCTAATGTCATACATAGATGTACGCTCTCGGTATCTTGTGAGATGCGGACGTGTATTGGCTCGGCGCAACCCGATCGCCGATCCCATTATCCTATCCTCAGTTTGCTTGGCAGGGAACGAGATGAACCACAAGATCAGCTGATAGTGTGCAGGTGGCTGACTGTGAGTACTCATGCTTAGATAGACAAGCCAAACAACGCCAACGTCTTGCCGGGCGTACCTAGATACCGGCCCGAGCACTTGGCAGGACTTGGAGGTCCGAGGCGTCATGGACGTTCAACTTGCACCTGGACCAGCAAAATGAGAAGGAGCAACCGGCTGGCCGCGGCTGGGCCGGATGCCTGGCTGCAAAGGGCTATAGGAAAGGGAGACTGCGCAGAGGGTATATTGCAACGCTACCCATGCGGCACTGGCGGCCGGCGGCATGCTCCACAGCCCAGCCCGGCCAGCCCTGGCTGGTTACAATTTTCGCTTCAGTCGTTGGGTCAAGTGCCGAGCACACATAGCAGCAGTCTGTCCCCGCTCTCTCTCGAGTTTTGGCAACATGCTGCCGTTCTGTGCAAAGCAAGGGGTCGTGGGGAGCAGCCACAGAATATACCGGCTCCATCCTCGCCGGCGAAGCCTCAGAATCCTCGTCGAGTGCAAGCGCTTGGTTGTGTCCTTGGCAAGAATCGGCACTGCGCCGAAAATAGTGTGCCTCGGGAACCTTGGCCCTCGTGGTCCCTGTTGTGGCTGGGCATGGGCGGACGGGGGCTCTGGTCCTTGTGCACCTCTATCCGTCGTGTCCATGGATCCATGTGGGTCCACATGCAGCCAACCTGCTCCAGACCTGGCATCTCCGGCACAACCGGCCAAAGATACGACCCAGGCAAGCCAATGCCCATCCTGATCGGGCCTGAGAGCCCCGCATGCTGCACTGTAAAAGCAAATTGAGCAAGGCCAGTGGTCAGTCTCCCTCCCCGCCTCCCCACCTCCGACCCATACCCGTACCCCGTCCACTGGCCGGCGCGTACTGGCCTAGAACTTTGGCAGCTACACTTTTACTTCTGCTCCCCCCATCTCGCCACGGGTCGGACACCTCCATCAACATGGAATACGACAAAGACTACAAGCAGCCCGAGTACGGCAACGCTGTCCACGACCTCGAGGCCGGAGCGCAGCACGGCGACGCTGTCATCCACGACTCTGAGATCAAGGACCAGAACCCGCTGTTCCGCGGTTTCCGCAAGCTTTTTGACAGCGGTGTCGAGGCTCGTGGTATCGAGCGTGTGCCAGAGGATGAGCGCGATGGCAAGCACACCATCGGTCTGATGCTCCTGTGGTGGTCGGTCAACACTGTCGTCTCCACTTTCCCCATTGGCGTGAGTCACACGACCATGTGCCCCTGACCAGTGCTAACAACTCGTACAGCTCCTTGCCCAGGCCTACTACACCATGACCTTTAAGATGGCCGTCGCGGCCATTGTGGTCTTCACTGCCATCGGTGCTGCATGCACTGGCTTTATCGCCACCCTCGGCCCCAAGACAGGTCTCCGTACCATGGTCATCTCGCGTTACTCGGTCGGCTTTACAGGCGGTACCATCTTTGCCGTCTTCAACATCCTGACGCAGCTTGGATTCTCGTGCACTGCCGTCATCCTCGGTGGCCAGACCCTCACCAATGTCAGCAACGACAAGCTCCCGCTCGAGGCCAGTATTGTCATTGTCGGTCTCCTCGGCCTGATCCTCTGCTTTGTCGGATACAGCGCTGTCCACTACTGGGAGCGCTACTCGTGGATGGTCATGGTTACCTTGTTCCTCTGCATTCTCGGCCTCTCGGCCCACCGCGGCTTTGACGCGTCGGCTCAGGAGCCTCTCCAGGACCATGGCAAAGCGTTTGCCGGCGACTTCCTCAGCTTTGGCGTGAGTACAACCGCCCCAGGACCCGCTGTCACCATGTACTGATCTCCGCAGGGTATTGTCTTTTCGTCTGTTGCCGGTTGGGCTCCTATCGCCGCCGACTTCAACTGCCGTCTCCCGGCCACCATCAGCCCCGTCAAGGTCTTCTTCCTCACCTGGTTCGGCCTCATGGTGCCCCTGCTCTTCATCGAGATCCTCGGCGCCGCTGTCATGACCGTCCCCGACTTTGCCGCCGCTTTCGAGGAAGGTGACGCGTCTGGTGTCCTCCAGGAGGTCTTCAGGCCCTGGGGTGGAGGTGGCAAGTTTATCCTGGTCATCTTCTCCTTCTCGATCATCGCCAACATTGCGCCCAACACCTACTCGGCCTCGCTTTCGGCGCAGACCCTTCTGCCCATCTTCCAGAAGATCCCCCGTGCCGCCTGGTGTGTGTTCATGTTCCTGGTCTACACCGCCGCTGCCATTGGCGGTCGTGAGCACTTTTCCGAGGTGCTCTCCAACTTCCTCGCGATTCTCGGCTACTGGGTGGCGTTCTTCATCGTCGTCGTCGCCGAGGAGCACTACATCTTCCGTCGCCGCATTGGCTACGACTTTAGCGCCTACAACTCGTTCAGCCGTCTCCCTGTCGGCATTGCTGGCATCTTTGCCTGCGCCTGTGGTGCTGGAATGGCGGTTGTTTCGATGGCCCAGGTGTGGTACATTGGTCCCCTCGGCGCCGTGTTTGGCGAGTACGGAGGCGACCTTGGTTTCGAGATGAGTGCCGCCACCACTGGCATCCTCTACCCGCCTCTGCGGTATCTCGAGCTCAAGTACTTTGGTCGTTAGACAAAGACATGATTGTATTGGTGCGGAGAGGTATGTGGGGATTATGCTACAACTCGTTCGGTTGCCGGGGGGAGTGTGATAGTTTGGTCCAAGTTGTTAAATTTAAACACACGCGTGTTCTCGCCGTCAAGTTGTGACGTGCGTGAGTCGTGTCTGTGTGGTACGTATCCGTACATCGTTATCCGTATATGTCGTATCCGTATGTCATTGAAAGTTGTCATCGTTCTCTCCTACTCCGTTGCGTGCGTTGCTTGATGAGTCCACTTGTCGCTTATTTTCGAGACCGAAGTCCTCGGTTGATCGGTTACTCGCGGGACGGCCATCTCCGACAGCCTCCGGCAATCAAAGCAATGGGCCCCGCCCACTCCCACCTATGACGGTGCTCTCCATTCGAGTTGCTTCACAACCACACACCTTCCGAACCAGCCATGAGCACACCCAAACCAGCAAATGGGGCCGGCGCCAGGGTTCCAGAGCATATGAGCGACGCGCACGTCATGGACTATACAATTCTGAACTGCGGTCACCCAATCGTTTCAAAGCACGAGGTCGTGATCGGCGACCTGCCGGTCTATGTGCATGGTCTAGACGGGATCCAAGGCAGTAAGCTGCCGGTGGCTGTTATTGTGGGGAACCGTCTGGTACACCGCGACCTGTGAGCTGAGACTGTCCAGTTCATTGCCCATGGGTGGGCCAACCAGGCCAAGACGATGGATCACATGGCATCCGGCTTGATTGGCGAGATTCACCGCATGGAGGCTGCCAGTGGGAAACCGAGGGTGCGCGACGTGCTCGTTGTCACACTTGTGAGGACTCAGATACTTTGGGGCGTGATGACTGACACAACACAGGACCAACGAAACCACGGCGAGCGCGTGCGCGTGAAGGTTACAAACTTTGATATTGAGCCCACGCGCCTGTAAGTCGGCTCCGTCGGGCAGATTGCTGAAAGCGTAGTATCACTATGGCCACGATCGTCAGTGAGTTGACCGGGTAGTGGTGCTTGACGTGGTAGCTGACTGCCTTCAGCTGGTGGCAAGGTTGATCACCAGTATGCGATGGACTTTCTCCCTGCCGTCCTCTTCCCCGACGGCGAGCGCGAGATCGTCGAGTTTATGTCTGTTGGCATTTCGATGGGTGGTGAGTGTGTTCATCACCGAAGTTGCTCCTGTACTGACACTTGTCCAGGCCACGTCACTTGGTGGCTCCTCCGTGAAGGTATAACCCTGCTGTCGCCACATTGTTGCTGAAGCTGCAGACCCCCGCATCAAGATTGGCGTCCCGATGATTACCCTCCCCTCCGAGGCCCTTGGCGGGCTCCTCACCGCCCGGGTTGCCAAGCTCAAGGCTCAAGGCATCAACACGTACATGCCCGAGTCCATCAAACAGGGATTCTACAACCCCACGACCCAGCAGTACAAGGGCAAGAAGATTCTGTCCGTCCACGGCAAGCTCGACAAGTTGATACCACTTCGCTTTGCACAGCCAAAGCTGGACGAGATTCTGGCGCAGGACTCCAGCGGCAAGGATATTCAGCAGCACATACAAGAGGGAAAGGGACACGCAGTGTCCCCCGAGATGGTGTCCAAGGCCGCCGAATGGGTTTACATCCATGGCTTTTGCAGTTGAAGTGTGTGGAGTGCGGTGAAACACGAACGAAGCGCAAACCTTAGGCGGAAGCGACCACCTTCCGAGGGCGATGCACCAAGTTTACAAAGGAAGCCACTCCGAGGGTCGTTTCGGCCATGTGTTCTTGCGGATCTCACTAACGCATGACCGTTACTGATACTTTGCACCGCCCCCGGCCATCTGGGATGTCGTTGACACTTCTTGAAGCATGCATGCATATAAACCCAATGACAGAACCAAGGACCTCAAGGCCAGCTAACGCATCCCACCATGAACCTCGTCAACACCTTGCTGGCGTTCATTCTCGCCACTCTCGCAGCCGCTATCCCGGCTCCAAACCCGGTCCCCGGTGCGGACAAGCCTACACCTGTGATTGAGGCTCGCATCCCGCTCCCGACCTACACCCACGGCCCCATCAACACCACGATCCAGTTCAGCGGGTTCATTACCACAGTCCTTCAAGCCAACGGTCCTATCGCTGCCGGCACTCCCGTCGTTATCAACCAGGACGGCCAGGGCACGTACTTCAACTTGCAGGGCGGTGCCACCTATGTCCGCGTCGTCGACGACATGAGCCTCTGTCTTGCGGCGGGAGACGGTGCGTAGCCTGCTGGGTGCCAGTGGCAAAAGTGCTCAAACTGATATTTCTCGCCAGACGCGAATGCGTACGATGGCGCTGTCGCCCACCTGGCCAAATGCCCGTCCGAGTGCCAACCGGTCTCGCAGACGCAGCCGGGCCCAACCGTGTGGGAGTACACGTCCGCCTCGCGTCTTCAGCTCAAGAGCCAGAGTGAGTGATGACAAGCAGACAAGCAGTGACGAGCAGCTAACGATCGCGTTAGACTATTGCCTCGACCTGGAAAATGGCAACCGTGCCGACGGCACAAAGGTCCAGGTCTGGCAATGCGATCCCAACAATCAAAACCAGCAGTGGCTAATGTTCCCGTGGATTCTCCAGCCCTAGGAATGCACCGCGCTGTTGGTAGCGATTCAGTGATGATGGGACATTGAGCAAGTAGCTAATACCGTTGCCAAGTTGTCTACATACTTTATGACCTGTAATGGACGTCGATGCCGCGTTGAGCTTCTGGAGCTATTTCGTGGCTGCTTGTCCGCAACATCCTGATCGTGGCCAAACCCAAAAGGCATTGAACCAGCACCATGGAACTGTCCGAGACTGGTCAGAGCAAGATCTATTGGTACATACTGCATTCTCGGGTCTAATGCTTACCATTCTGAGGGTCACATGCGGCCTTTTATGAAACGTTGAAGAGGCCACATGACAACACCCACCGAGGCGACGTCATGGATGGAATTGCACGACTGGCACCTTACGTCATCTACGTTCGTTTGCATATATCTTTCTGGTTTAGAACTGGCTGGAATCATCGAAAACAGGTGGCCATAGACGGCATTGCTCTCATGTGCCCATCAGCTGTTTGGCATGCTTGGTTCTACGGTGGAACATGATGGGTATAATTACATCCTTGGCGGTGTGCACCACGGGGGGTCATGGGTCATCAACTTTCCTCTATCCCCCACCATTCCTTCAACTCCTTTCCACCAACAATGACCACTCACAAGCCCCAGCTACCGTTCATCTCTACATTGCCGACTGGGGACGAAGTGAGAGACCACACCCCGTTCCAGTCCCCGCATGCAGCCGCCACGGCGGTTGCCTCGGACAGCAGTACGGTGGCCAGCCTCAAACATCAGCTGGTTCAATCCCAAGCCCAAGTCGCGCGCTGCAAGCTCCACATCTACACCCTCGAGGCCGAGTCAGACTGTCTGCATACCCTCTTTGATATCCAGACAGTGTCGCTTCACCTCGACCGCGCGACGCGTCTCCTCGGTGCCTTCAACGGACTCAACGGTGGCAACGGCCACACGGCGCATGCCCCGAGTACCGCCACTGCTTCTAGCAGCACCACCGCCGCCGACTCCGTGGACACGCCGCGGATACGCCGCCAACGCGCCGAACTCCATCTCCGTCTGCGCGAACTGGAAGGGTGGACTCTCAAGCTGCGTAACCGGTCGGTGGCGCTGCGCGAGCGCAAGGCCGCACACACGAGCCGGCCGCTCCCGCCCATGGAGGTGCTGTACCCGCTCTCCCCGGCTGTGACCGCCGAGCAGCCTGCGACGGCCGACGCTGCGGTACCGGGCACGTCCACGACGACGCGCACGTACGCCACCACACTGGAGGACGCGGCGCTCGCGGCGGAACACTATGGGATCCAAGTGGACCGCCTGGGGCGCCTGAACACGACGTTGGAGGAGCGCCGGGGCGACATTGAGGTGTTGCTGCAGCAACAGAGGGGCATGGCCGGTACGCTCCGCGAGGTGCTCAGGCAGATTGAGCACAAGTATGGAGACCGCCTCGACCTGTCCGCCGCGCAAGCCGACGAGGACATGAGCCGGGTGGCCAAGGAGGAGATGGAGAGTTTCCGGACCCAGTGGGCGAGAGAGGTGGGTGTCACTGTAGTACCTGGTGTCCACGCTGCAGAGGCGCTGGACGTGGAGAGGGAGAGCAAGCGTGCTAAGACGGAGGGTATGGAGGTGGAGGAGGAGCAGCAAGATGAAGAGGAGGAGGCCGAGGACTATGGCGACGAGTGAGTTGAAAATGAAATGGAGCGATTGAATAATGCAGATTATGCGGTTATAATGCGAATGACTATGCTATACGAGCACCTTGCCCGATCCTGCGGGGGGTGATACAATGCCTTACAACGGAGTAGAACGAGGTGGAAAGAAGAAATGAAGGGTGGGGTGCTTGCGGTGTGGCCCTTGCCCTTCGCTGGTGTTGTTTTCGTTGCTGGTGGGTGTCAAGGGGGTCAACCTGAGGGCTGCGAGCCTCCAGCATCCTCAAGCTGGTACGGTGCAGTGGTCCACCCGCTCTCCTCGATGCCGAGCCCGTCCCTCACATCGCCCATCTCGCTGAGGCACATCATGCGCGCGTGGTCGCGTGACAAGGCCTGGAGGTTGACGGCGTGGCTGAAATCAATAACCTGGATTCCACGCTCGGGCGACAATGTCCAGTGGATGGGCTTGACGTCGCTGTGCATGACGCCGCGGGCGTGGATGGTAGCGTACGCGGTCAGGATTACCTGTCTGAAAGAGTCAGCACACATGTTAAGACACCGCCCCGGCGCCGCGCATAACTTACTTTTGCTCCACATTCAACGTGGCGACGTCCACGGGCTCGCCAGCGTGCTCCTCGAGCAACGCCCAGTACTCCATGCCCTCGACATCCATGCCGGCCCACACGCCTAGCATCTTCGGGGTACAGCTCAGGCCGTCAAGCTTCAGGTGCGCCTGGACGTCCTTGACGACATATTTGCGGACCTGAGCGCTCTCGCTCCACTCGTCTTGCGCCTCCGTATACGCGCTAACGCACGTGACCTTGAGGACCGCCGTCGTGCCGTTGGCCAGGGTGATGGTAAACGCATTCCAGATGGCGCCTTGGCCGATGCGGTCGGTGACCTCGACGACCTGCAGCGGAAGTGTTGGAGACGGCAGGGATGACGGGGTGAGGACTGGCAGCTCGTCAAGAGCAGCCAACGCGGTGGTGTCCACTGGGCCGCGGAATGTGACTCGTGTGAGGTCCTCGGGATAGAGGGCGCCGACGAACGAAATGTCACAGGAAGTTGGGTTCCGCGCACGCGACGTGTCGACGGCAATGGTGGATGTGCCGATCTGGGGGAGGGTTTCATGAGTTCCGTGCCGAGTGAAGAAGCAACAGGCAGGCAGGCACGTAGCTAACCAAGACGACTCACTTTATCCAGCGAGAGTGGGCCTCCTCCTGGCGCCAAAGTGCTTGCAGCGTCTACGATACTGTCCAACGCTGAGACTGTGACTGTCGTGGCCAATGCGGCGGTGGCTGTTGCGGTGGCTGTGGCTGAGCGTGTCTGGCATGTCAGATATCAGAGAGCGGATATTTTAACCGCCGGACAACGGGAGCACTCACCTCTTGAACCGACGAAGAAGCTGATGCGGTAGTGTTCAAAAAGGCCGACGATGTGATGGGCACTGGTGCTTGTACGCCTACGGACATTGCAGGAGGTTGGTTTTCACGTTGGGCTGGGGGTGTGTATAAAAGGAACTTGGTGTCACACGAGTTTAAATGAGAAGTGAGGAGACGAGTGCCAATTGACGAACCAGACCTGGCAACGACGATGTGGAGCAACATGGATACGCGCACGGGAAAGGGGGGGCACGTAGAAGACCCGAGATTTGATTCCGTCGACCCCCCTTGTTTATCTTGTGGGTGGTGCGATTTCCCACACACACACACACCGCCTGCAGCCTGGGCGCCTTCCCTCGCCTTCCCCCCCGTATATCCATCCATATGGTGACTGTTGGCGACCGGGGGTGGGCTTGCACGACAGCGGCGACATCGAGCACACCACCTCCCCCACCTTCCGCGCCGTCCAGTATCACTTCTTGATTGCCCTTCCACAATCCCCTGCAGTCAGGCGTCGATCTGGGGGTGATGTTCCATTCCAGGGGGGCAATGAGAACTGGGGGGTTGAGTCCTGCGGGGGACCTCGGGGTGACACCACGGTGGTGCCGTCTCGTCTCGGGGGGGGCACCACCACCATCGACTGTGCGGGTCCTTTGGGTGCTTGCGTTGACGACCGTGGATGTATATGTCTCTTGTGTGGGGGTGTGATGGCCAGCAACAAGAACGATGGCATTGAGCTGGACATGGAGAGCACCATGCCTTGCTTCACACGGACGGGATATCTGTAGAACACCTGCAGAACATGTAAAACTCCCTCTCCGCAAACCCCCCCACACCCCACACACCCCACAGGCCACACACCCGGGCCGAGTCGGACCGTTGTGTCAGAGTCTTCCGACGTCCTGGAACACACACACGAGGCTATGGCACGCACACCCAAATAATAATGTTTCTTGTTTGGTGGCAGGGGTTCCATTGTCTCACATGCGCTGCTCTTACCCAGCGACAGGAGCGGGCGAGCTGCCATCCCATGCATCTGTATACGAGGTGGGCACAGCTGCATGGCATGAGGGTTCCCATGTCGGCCAATTCGGCACCTGGCAATGGAGGGTGTGCAAACGGCGGCGGCGGGACCGGGCCGGGCTCTGGCTGCACTCGCGCCGCCCCGGGTATGCGCGCGCGTCCCGACGACATCTGGCGACCAAGCTGGCAACAACCCGTGTGTCCCCACATCCGCCTGGCCGCTCTGGTTTGCATTGCACTGAAGGCAGTGATATCGCAACTGCACCGACCACAACAGTACACGATGCTGTCGCCATCAACATCTCCAAAGGCATCCCTCAAGCCCGGCCAGATCCTCCTGGCACACGGCCTCGAGGCCCTCCCACAAACAGCAACAGTCCTTCCAATCAACGAAGCTGTGCGTAGAACATACACAAATATAGATATCTCTCTCCTGACAGCTCCAGACCCAACACCCCAACCTCCCCTCTGGACCCGTGGTCATTCTCGGCACCCCATGTCCCAGTATCGAGTCCATCACCTCGCTCGCCCTCCAAAACCCACAGTCACAGATTGGCCTCTTGGTACCCCTCCCACCGGGGCCGGACGGCGACAAGACACTCCGCGCCGCTGCATCCGGCTTCTTCTCCCCTTCGTCAGTCGCTTTGCTTCAAGACAGCGCTGCAGTCTACCTGGGGGATAGGCTCTACCTCGCTGCAGCGTTCCATGTCCTCGAGCAGGCCATGTGGGGCACCAACATGATGATTGCGCGCGAAGCGTTCGCCCTGGCACATAAGAACGGCGTCGACCTCAACTTGCTATACAATGCCTTGGGGAACGGAGCAGCGGGCTCACACGCGTTCCGCCAGCTGTGGAGTATCCTTATTGCGGGCAAAGTGGACGAGGCAAACCGTGTCACGCAGGTAGCACACACGGCCCTGGCTGAGGGCTTGGCCCTTGCATCCAAGGAAGTCTTCTACGCGCCTCTCATGGGACTGTCAAAGCAGGCAGCTGTCCGCAGGCTGGCCATCCGTGATGTCGCCGTCGACCGTAGGAACAGTGTCAGCGCCAAAGCTGCCATCCAGCCAGAGAATCCCATCAAGGTCGGATTTGTGGGTCTCGGCGCCATGGGCTGCCCAATGGCCCTCGTTCTGCACAAGGCAGGTCTCAACGTGGACGGCTACGACGTCTGGGAGCCCGCTCGCGACGCATATACCCAAGTGGGCGGTCTCGCCGTCGACGACGTCCTGTCTGCTGCCCATGGTGCGGATGTCTTCCTCCTGATTGTCGTCAACGCCGCCCAAGTCGAGGACATTTTGTTTCACCAAGGTGCCCTCGCCGCACTGGCCGACGACGCCGTCGTACTCGTCATGTCCACCGTCCCGGCATCCGAGGCCCGCAAGCTCAAGACAAAGATCAGCGGCGTGCGCCCTGATGTCGGGCTGGTAGACTGTCCGGTCTCTGGTGCGGTCCCGCGCGCAGCCACCGGCGACCTCATGGTCTTTTGCGGTGGTCTGGAGGACATCAAGGACCCCGTGGCGCAGGCTAAGGCCTACCGTGTCCTGTACCTCTTGTCCTCGTCACAAGGCCACGAAGAGTATCTTGTCCGAGTCCCTGGTGGGGTTGGACGCGGGTCAAGCGTCAAGCTGTCGAACCAGCATCTGGGTGGCACACAGATATCCAACTGTGCCGAGATCCAGGCGTTTGCGGCCAAAATCGGTTTACCAGGTCGCAAGGCGCACAAGCTGCTCATGTCTGGTCCCGGATGGTGCTGGGTATTGGGTCATCGAGGACTGTCTATGCTCAACGGGCTCATCACACCACCCATGTCGGCCATAGACATCTTTGTGAAAGACATGGGGATTGTAGTGTCCGAGGCGGAGGCGCTCGACGTGCCCATTCCATTGGCAGCACTGGTCCAGCAGCAGTTTGTGTTTGCAAAGTCGCTGGGGTGGGGTTCGGACGATGACTCGGGGTGAGTATAAGATATAGCTGTGCGCGAACGTTGTGGCTGACAGAGGAAACAGGTTGGTAAGGGTATGGGGCTTTGCTGGTGTGACAGTGGACTGTCCCGAGGAGTAGCCAGGTGTCAGTGTTGATGAACACCATGGACACTAGGTTTGTATGTAGCTGCAGATATAGCACTTCATCTTGGCTCCTACTGAAAGCGGTGTCCGATGACTACCCAGAACATGCACACGACCCTTTCCGACAACCTTTGCCGGTTCCACTGCCTGGGACAAACAAAGCAACACTATAGAGAACAATGGCCTAGAGACGGGCATGCACATCCAGGATGGGGCCGGCCACCTTGCTGGACCAGTCCGGGAGATCCTGGAGCTTGTGGAAGCCACCGTCAGGGCCCATGCGCGAGAGGTGGCTGCGCTTAATGTCCGAAATCTTGGTGCAGCCCATGAGGGTCATTGTGGTCGCAAACTCGTCGTAGAGGAGCTGAATGGCAAGGCTGACACCCTCCTCGCCATTGTAGGCCAGGCCCCAGATGGGAACGCGGCCCACCCAGCAATGGTCCGCACCGAGGGCGAGCGCCTTGAAAATGTCGCTGCCGCGGCGGATACCGCCATCGATGTGCACCTGGATGCGACCCTGCACGGCATCCACAATCTCCTCGAGCGCATCGATTGTCGCAACTGCGCTGTCTACCTGACGACCACCGTGGTTGGATACAATGATACCGGCCACACCGCAGCGAACAGCCTCGAGAGCGTCTTCCGCAGTTTGAACACCTTTGAGGTAGACGTCCATGGTGGTCGTGGCCGCAATGTGGCGGATCTTGGTCCAGGTCAGGGCAGCGTCATAGGCCTTGCGCGGGTCGTAAGTGACAACGTCGCTGTGGTCCATGTCCGCCCCCATGTTGGGGAAAGTGAGGTGTTTGGGGAGGGAAAAGTTGTTGCGGTACTCGTTCAACCGGCGGCCAAGAGCGGGCGCGTCCACTGTGATGACAAGAGACTTGCAGCCAGCAGCTGGTACAGTGTCAGTTGTCCGTCCGTTGGTCCCATTCCAGGTCTTGCACTGCGCTTACCTTCGGCGTCACGAATAAGCCTGGTGTTGGTCGCCGGGTCCTCGGTGAGGCACACCTGCATGCCATATGCGTTGCCAGCGCCAGCGCCCATGGCGGTCACATCTCCAATGGAGTCAGTGGCGTACTGCGACAGGAGCATGTTGATCCCAAACTTTGCAGCCGCGCGCGACGTGCCACACTCGCCGTCCTTGTGTGCGAGCTTGTGCATGGCAGCAGGCGAGAAGCCGAGGGGGAACGCGACCTTGGATCCAAAGCACTCAGTCGAAGCGTCGACCTTGGCGACGTCCACACAAACACGAGGGCGAAGACGGAGCCGGTCGTAGGCGGCAGTGTTGTCCTTGACACTGTGAGATGCCGGTTGTAAGGACTTGTTACGCCAAAACGCCGTTTCCCCACTCACGTGACGAGGTCCATTGCGCCTTCATTGTAGTACTCCCTAACAGTGGTAGACAGCTTCTGCGACGCCTCCCTCTGAAGGTCAGAGATGCTGAAGACGACGGAATCACGGGTGGCCTTGCGGTTCATTGTGTGGAGTGTGTGTTGAGTGAGGAGGCTGAGAGGAGTGAAAGATGTGAGAGGTGTAAGAGTGAGGATCCGACTCCAGGCGCTTGTCTACGCGTTATGTATGCGTCATGTGCTATCTGTTGGCCATATCCATATGCCCATGTCCGACAGCGATTCCCTCGGCCGGGTCATTTACGGTGGATCCAGCGGAATGACCGAATCTGGTATTCTTATCTGGCACAAAGGCAGGGAGACGTCGAGATGCAGGCTGCAAGCCGAGACACTGCTCGGAGTGGCCGGGGCGGCTCGAGACGGCAATCACCGAAAGCCAAATGTGTGCCTGGCCCACATTGATTGTACGTGCCCCGAGTGATCTGACCACTACCTGCGCTTGGAGTAGTACACTGCCCACGCTCGGGAGGTATCGAGGTCGAAGGGTCCAAGACACTGGGGGTGAGGTTGCTGGTATCACAAGAATGGGTGCATGGTCGAACGAGACAAAAAAAGGTGGTGCGTGGCTGTCAGCCACGCAACAATCCACGCGAAGTGGCTGCTACAAAAGTCTTGTCCGACTGACCGAAACACAGTATATTCACTGTCTAGAGCAAATTCATTCATGTAGACACTACAATACGCCAATAGGACAAATAAGGCGCCGCAAGACTAATCGCGTGTAGCGGCAATGATGGAGAACTCGACGGCAGCGTTGAGGGGCAGAGCCGCCACTCCAATGCCGCAACGGACGGGCAGAGGCGAGTCGGTGGGGAACGCTGCGAGATATGCCTGCTACGTCAGACTTTTGGTCTAGAGGCCACCTGCCCACCTTCTGGAGACCAGAAAAGTTCTCGGCATAGTTGCTGATGTAGATGGTAACGCTGACAACTGCCAGTGAGCAGGGCCTGTTGGACACCAAAACTTACCATCGGAAAGGTGCAGCCCAATGAATGCAAGACGCTTAGCAGCCTCCTTCAATGCCTGGGTAGTCTCTGGGGCAACACCTCCGGGAACTAGCGCGTTGTTTTCGCCGATTCCAATGCACCCAGCGAGATAGACCGTCTTGCCTGACACAATCATGTTTGAAAGGTAGGGAGAGCCTGCTGGTTTAGACCGGTGGTGGTATGTGTGCTCACCATTCGGGCCGTCCGCCTCTTTGACTGCAATCTTACTGGGATTGGACATGGTGTAACAACTGGAGATGATAACTACAACAAAAGAAGCCAAACAAACCTCTTATATGTATGAGTGGCATAGATGCATAGATCCCAGATCGCCCAAATCCGACTGGTAGGCGATTGTGGTGACCGGAGTGGCCGAGGTTGTTGTTGCTCACGGCGGCGTAACCTGCAGGGTTCGTGGGTTCGGTCAATGACGCATGGTCCTGCGAAACCTGCCTCCTGTTTTGAGATCCATCTCGCAATGGCAGGTTCGCAGCGACATGCTGTAAAAGCGTGAGTCAATGGAGCCCGATGAGGACGTGTTTTTGCCATTCCCTGACAGACTTGAACTCCATTTACAAAATGTGACCTTCAAATCTCTCTAGACATCTGCATTCCATGTAATTTCCCTAGTTCAATCCGGTTATATACATGTTCAAAGCAGAGCAGCTGGGTACTTCTCACGGAACAGTTCGATGTCGGGTTGAATCTCGGTGTACAGGCACTGTTTTGGGGTCAGCATGGAGTCTAGGCGGCGGTCTGTAGAGCCGTACCTCCGGGCTGCGATGGGTCAGCAGTGAACTCGTTCACGCAAATGAAGAATACGTACTCGCGCATCTCGGCAACAGTGTACTCGGCGTCCTTGTCGGAAATGACTGTCTTCTTCAGGCCACCAGCGGCGGCTGCCTCGACCAAAAGTTGGATCTGGCACTGCTTCTCCAGTGTGTTGAACAGGAACATTGCCTCGTCGCAAGTGTCGCCAAGGGTGATGAGACCGTGGTTCTGGAGAATGCCAGTACGGTTGGTGGCTCCGAGGGCGTCGGCGATGGCCTGGCCTTCGTCAGCCTCGAGAGCGACACGACCGCCGTCAAGGTAGATGCCCTGGTTCTTGTAGAAATAAGTCGCGTCCTGGTTGTTGACCTCGACCGGTTTGCCAAACACGGACCAAGCCCGGCCATACTGCGTGTGGCAGTGAGCCGCCGAGTTCACCTCGGGACGAGCCTTGTGGATAGCGGAGTGGATGGCGAATCCAGCTTCCTGCACGGCGTTAGCTTTGTACATGCCACACTCAGCGCTTACGTTAATGGGAAGCTGAGCACCAATGGGAGACACGTAGCCATCGGGTCCAACCAGGACGAGCCTGACCGTCAGCCCAGCTGCAAACATAAGCTCACTTGGAAACCGTAATGGCGCTGAAGTGAACGCCGAAGGGGTTAATCCAAAAGTGGTCTGGGAGTACAGGGTCCTAGTGGTGTGAGAATCTGATTGTTTGCCACAGTGGCACCTACGCGAACGGTGATGTGACCAGCGACACCCTGGCTGTATCCCAGCTTGCCCCACATCCTAAAACACAGTGCCAAGTGTTCCTACCAGGTGTGGTGAGCGATCACCCACAAGCACGTATACTCACCTTCACCCACTGGCGCTTCTGAAGAAGGCTCTCCTTGTCTGTCCCAGTCACGAACTCTGGGAACCCGATGCGCTGGGCAGGGATAGTCTTGGCCTTGTCCCCTCGGTACCACCCGTCGACAATGCTCTCGCGGGGGGTGGACTGGTGCTCCGCACGGAGCTGGAGAACCGGCGTAGCGGTAGTGGTTTGAGTAACAGTGGTCATTTTTGTCTGATTGTGAAGAGGAGTACATAGTTCACTGGGTGTGTGGGGTTGACCTGTTTTAAGTGAGACACCTGTGCAAAGTGGGGTTTGTGGACGCGCAGCGCTTCCCCGACTTATCGTCTCGGGGCAAACATCATGGCCGTATCGGCACCCACTGATAGCGACCCCGTTGTTCCCGTACACAGAGTCCGAACTGTGCAGTGCTCTCACGGCTTCGGGATGGCCGAGCTCGGAGTGCCCGAAAATTGGATCCCAAGTGCCCACCTTACCCCACTGGATTGCGGGGCAAGCAACTGACCCAGGTCATACAGTTATCAGGTGACCTGTCGTGTCTGTGCTTGCCACTGGGGTAAGCAGCGATGGCTCGACGAGCCGTCAAAGCGGCCAAATGGTGGCTGGGAGATGCCGCGGTAACCACCGATTTGTAGCAGGGCAGGATGGCGACTAAGTCCCCGATCAACATACATATATACCTGCCGTGGATTCGACACCTCATACTGGGATGGACCTCCTTCTGCATCACGAGTTAGCCATACAAAGACTGCTTGATATTCTTCTGTCCTACTTTCATCCCATCATATGCATTGCAGTGAACTATTTTCCAATTTGGGTCATTCGGTTCTTTCGAACCTTGTTTTTTTATTGATTTACTCTAATTTTCTACAACTTCAACTTCCTTCTGCGCCGCACTGTACAATCCGCAACACAACTATCCCCAAAGCCAGCGGTTGAAGCGAGCAAGACGTGTGTTCTCCAGAGGGGGCTCGTTGGCCTCCATCTCGTCAAAGGCTGCGATACCGGATGTCACGTCCACCTCTTCGAGGGGAGGCTCTTTGAACGTGTGGCTCTTGAAAACGCTGTGGGTGACGTATGCAACGACGAAGACAACGATGGCAAAGTAGGCGAAAAAGAAGTCACGAACAGACCATCCACCGTTGACAAAGACGGCAAATCCGTTCGTCTGCGGGATCCAGGTTAGCGACTAACGGCGAGAATGGGAGTCTGATACTCACAATCCACATCAGGAGATAGACAAACATGCCAATGTAACACAGGTACAGTTGACCGCGGGGCATCTTCGACATGTCCTTATCCTGGGCCTTGTTTGCCTTGTACCATCGGACATAGATATAGTTCATCAGACCGTAGATGAGAAGCAAGGCGGATCCCGTGAGGTTGACAATCCAGTTGAAAGCTTCGGACGAGCTCGTCGAGGCGCTCATGAATGACAGACAGGCAATGGCACAGACAACGATGACGCAGTAGACGGGCACTCCTCGAGCCGTCCTTGTGAAAATCCGCGGGGCGCTACCCTCGAGAGCAAGGCCGTACAGACCACGGGAGGCAGCAAACGACAGTTCGAGGCCGCAGGAGAAGGCAGAGGTGAAAATGACGGCGTTCAAGACGTGGGGGAAGATTGGAATGCCCAGACGAACGGAGGCAAGGACGAATGGAGAGGAGCCGGCGCCCGGGAGAGACTTGCCAAGGTCAGGGTCGCTCGAGGGCATCTGGGATGGATCAGCGAGGGACATGAGAAGGTTGAATCAGTGCTCACAAGAATGGTCACGCAGAGGACACCGCCGATGTAAAAGAACAGGAGACGGAAAATGACGCGCTTGAAGACCGATGGGAGGACGCGACGGGGAGACATGGCCTCACCGGCGGTGAAGCTAACCCATTCGGGGCCACCAAAGGTGTAGGCTGCAGTCGTCATACAGCTCCAAAAGCCTAGGAAACGCCCAAGGCTTCCGGTGGCAACATACTCGTTCATTACCGGTCCGGATTTCCAGTATCGGAACCCAAATGCGTCATGTTGGGGGTTGCCGCCGGCCATGGTGATCACTAAGAGTGTGGTCAGTGAAAGTAGTCTTTTGAAGGGGTTTTTCCACTCACAGGTGAACAGCATCAGAGCAAAGACGAGAATGAGTTTGCCGATCGAGAGCCAGAATTCTCCTTCACCGAATACACGAACGCCGATCGTGTTCTGGGAACTCTGTTAGTTTCCAGTTCACAAGATGACAAAGACGTACCAGAGCAAAGAAAATGACAATGATAATGGCACACCACGCAGCATTGTTAATCGTGTCGTTCCAAAAGTTGATGAGGGCGGCAATAGCAGCGACTTCGGCGGCCACCAGAGCGGCACCGTTGTAGACGTAGAGCCAACCGAGGGCAAACCCAAACGATGGGCTGACGTAACGCTTGGCAAAGTACAGAAACCCACCGTCGACGGGCAGCTGCGAGACCATGGCTCCCATTCCACGGAAAGTAATCCAAGTAATGAAGGAAAAGAGGACGTAGGAGAGGAGAAGGCTAAGGGGGCCGGCCTTGTGCAAAGTTGAACCTGTACCGACCTATTGTATGTGTCGTCAGCGTGCATGTAGGTACAACAAGAGCACTTCACGCACAAAGAGACCAGTACCAATGGCGCCCGAGATAGCCATGACCTGGATGTGGCGCGGCTTGAGGCCACGGATCGTCTGCTTCAGGTGGCCTTCGGCGCGCAGATTGTCATAGTCGTTGACTGCCATTTCTGACACGACAGAGTCGCCGAGCTTCTCTTTGTCGATGGACATTGTGAATGGTGAGGTGTATGACTATGTACTGAAAGGACAAAGAAGAACCAAAGGAAAGGGAAATGGGAGGAGGTCAAGGTTGGGGAAATGAGCCGGAGCGTGAGAGTAACCATGGTGCCACAGGTTCAGGTATTATAAGACTCAAGTGGCCTGCTGGTTATCGGTGACACCTGTGTGGTCTTGGGTGGACGGTCTGGGCCCCACATACTATCAGTATTGGCCGCGCCCGACCCTCGGAAGTCCCTGATCCAGGTGCAAGGTGGTGTCCTTCGGAATGGCCGAGCTGTTTGGCTCTGAGGTGGGGGGTTGCACAGGATTGCGTTCGCTGGCTTTGGTTGGCGAGAGAAGAGAGAACAGTGGGCAGGGAGATAACGCTATTGTCCAAGGCCTCCTGCCTGCGAGGGACGGCGAGCCCACCTGCATTCAGCCTGCGCTTATCTCGCCAGCCATTGCGTTCTCGGTCACTCCGAGATTGATTCCATAGAGATTCTATTCCCTGTATCCCTGTGGGTTTGTCGTATCTCGGTATCAAGGGGCGGAGGCAATTTTGGGCAATCTGGCCCCACAGACGCGCAAACGTCGAAGGCCCACCTTGCCCTCCCAAGTCTCGACTCACCAGCGTCTATCACAACCGTCTGTTACTACTTTCCTCACCATCCAAACATTGTCCATCACTGCGCTACACAATGCCTCCAACGCGCACCGAGCCTGTTCCCAACGGCGCTCTTCCATCCCCTCCTCCCTCATCGTCGACACCCGACGAACCTTCCTCCGCTGCTCAACCGTCAAGCACAGCCGGGCCTGCTCCTCCTGTCCGTGGCCCTCGAACCCGCTATCTCCGCGCGTGTGACACCTGCAGGTAAGTGGTGGACATCTCCCCTTGAAGGCAACATTACATTGCTGACCAGCCCCAAGGGCACGCAAAGTCCGCGTGAGTTATACCGCCATCGTTGCGCGAGTTGGGCGCTCACGGTTAGTGCGATAACAATGACCCATGCGAACAATGTGCAAAGCACAATCTCGAGTGCACTTTCAATGCCGACTTAAAGCTTCTTGCCTCATCGACATGCCGGGTCAGGTAAGTCACCGCTGGTGTAACCGTACTGACATCGCCCAGGAAGCGCCCCCGCATATCGCGCCCACGGTCGGCATCTGTGTCGTCATCCAACACCTCTGCCAAGAAGTTGCAGCCTGCCAACAGCCTTGATAACATGCCTCCACGCCCCAAAGCACCCGCAAGTGAGCAACTCTACTCTGTTTCGTTCTCCCAGTATTGCTGCTAACAATGTCCAGTGGGTGCTCAAGATCGTCGCATCGAATGTGACTGGGCGTCGCACTGGTTTGTAGGCAGTGACGGTCTCCCACGATTGACTGGCGTCACTTCCGGACTGCCCATGTTGTGCGTATTCCTGATGGTAATTCATAAGGTTGACCATCTCCAGTGATGCCGCCCTGCACATTGCCTCGTCATCAACGCAATGGCAACCCGACAACGAGCGTGACTGGGGCGCTTTGAGCAACATGCTCCTGGCTGATGAGCCCACGGACGATACTTCGTCGAGGCCCCGACAGCTGGGCGGAGACGACGGCGAGTTCTTCCCAGACCGTCAAACCGCCGAGTTGCGGCCCCCGCCCACAGACTACTATACCGAGGTAACCAGCGTTAGTGAGTGACATGTTCAGCGACAACGGACGTAGCTGACGAATGCAGTCCCAGAAGACTTACTGGCCATCCTTATTCCGAAATTTGTGAGGGTTTCATTACTATGTCCGGTGCTAATCGCAAGTTTGAAGTAGTCCACGCGTGCTGGCCAATTATCCACCCTCCCACCTTCCTCGAGGTCAGTCGAAGGCAGCCACTGAGATATACTGATGCCAGCAGCAGCTGTATCGATGGGATGACCCGGGATGCGCAGCATTGGCTGTGTCAATGTGCATGCTCGCATCCCGTTACACATGCGATCCGAGAGTGCTCTCAATCCCAAGTATGTGGATACGGCATCATCCTGAGCGTCACTGACTCAAAAGGTGACCCGTCTTCGGCTGGGCGTCACTATCATGACCTCTTTGTCAAGTTGACCGACCTCCAGAACGGACACAGCCTGTATGAGCTTATCGCGTTCTTCTTTACGTCACAGTTCTTCTGTACCGACAACGTCCCCACGCCACTTGCACACACATACTTCTCTATCGCGCTTTCCAAGACCATCGACGGTGGTGTTCACAAGTGAGCCTAAGAACGTGGAGCAACTACTGAACAACAGGCACCTTCCAGCATCCATTCCCCTGGACGAAAACAGGCGAGAGATGCGCAAGGTAAGTTGCAATGCGTGAACTTCGCTGACTTCACGCAGCGTGCGGCATGGGCCGTCTTCTGGTTAGCACGTTCCATTATCGCGGTCACTGACGCTAGCAGCCTTGACAAGCAGTATGCCTGTCTGTCAGGTCGCCATCCATTGTTGAGTGTGATGGACATGAGCCTCGGCAAGCCGGCGCCATTTGTCGAAGAATCGGCTGCGACCGCTCAATCCCAACTCCTGGACAGCAAGTACATTGAAATCTTCGAGGCCTTCGTATCGGTCTCATGCGTGCTCGACTACGCTCTTAAGGTACCTCTGACAGTGCTCCACGATTGGGACTTCCTTAATGATGTTACGGGGCAGCTCGAAGCGGATAACGTCCCCAGCATCAATCAGCACATGGAGCAGGCGGAAAAGCTGCTTGATGAGTGGCGCAGGTGAGGACCAACGCGCGGCTGCGCTGTCGACATGTTTGGATACTGATACTGGTAGACAACTGCCCCCTAGCCTAGCTAAACGGTCTCTGGCCGACCGATTCACCTCTCCCCTTCACTCGGCTGCGTCTGAACAGGTGGCCAGCACCGAGACCCTGATTTCACTTATATTATGCAATCGACGCATGTACCAGTCCACGATTCACGGTCCTGGAATAAGCGAAGACGATACACGACCGCACAGCATGGCCATTGGCCGTGTTCTCCGCGATCCTGTCCTCAAGCACGCGCGTGAAATGATCAACTCGTGTATTCAAATGGGTGCTATCGAGCATCTAGGCCACCTCGACATGTTGGTTGTATACCGTGTCTTCCTGGCGAGCAGATGTTTGATAACCAGCTATCTGTGTTGCCGGGCAGACGCCGACCGCGAGTACGCATTCAAGATCCGCCAGTCGATCAACGCCGCTTCCATCCTTCTCCACCGGCTAGTTACCCTGTTCCCCGCTGCTATTGGCGCCGCCGAGACCTTCGACGAGATGTGCCGAGGCAAGTGTTGCTGTCACTTGAGGATATCACAGAATCGCTGACATCCTGCCACAGTGTGCAGCATCCCAGTGCAGCGTTCGTCTGACGATGTTATGCTGGGACGAAAAAGCCAGACTCTCTGGTATCGCCCAATGCGCGCAAGAGCACGCTCAACCACGACCTCGCAGGCGTCTCAGACAACAGGCCGGACCCCACTCGCTGTTTCTGGCGGCAATCAGACGGTGGACAGCAGCCCTCTCGAAGCCACTCAGTGAGCCTTGAGGTCGACGATGCACATGTACAGTACTGATTGGCTCGCAGATCATCCGACGCACTGTCTTGGCTGACACCGTGGTTGGATACAACGAGCTCAATCGCACCCAGTGCACTGGCTGCGACCCTTGGCAGTCCTTCCACAACTGTCGAGGACCTCAACATTAGCACTCCAGACCTGACTTGGCTCCTCGCAGGGGCGCAGAATTGGAGTAACCCATCCAGTAACTGCCTGTTGTGAGGACTGAGGTTACGGTGGGGGTTGCATCGGATGAGGTACACATAGTGAATTACGTTCCGTTTGTAAATGAAACTCTTTTGTCCCAATTTACTCACGCAGCAAAGGCGGTGTGAATAACGTAGAGTCCACGTTGCTATCCTTTGACGCTGAGCCCCAAGTACCTGTATTGCCGCAGCATTCAGGCAAGCATGTGGCTCTTTGTTACCGTGGTAGTCGTCGTCGAAGTGTGGTGGGTGGTCTCTCCGGCCCAACTGCACGAGACCCCAGTGGAAATACGTGTCTCCCATGCCACCCGGGCACCCGCGCGCCCCGCAAGGAGAGGAAGCATTTATTGTTCCGTTCCACCCGATTCCTTGTCTCGTCACGTGTTACATTGCTGCAGTCTACAACAGGCCCCATCTGTCTAGTACCCCTTTGCAAAGCTGACGTCGTTAAGGTGAGGCTTGCCCTCACGGAGACACTTGACGTTGGCGAGCAAGATAGTGGTGGACTGGCTCAACTCGTTCTCCGCCTCACCAGACAGGTGCGGGGTGATGATGAGACGAGGGTGGTCCCAAAGGAAGTGGTCGGTGGGGAGGGGCTCGGGGTCGGTGACATCGATCGCTGCACCGAGCAGGCCGTTGGGGGCATCCAGAGCCTTGATAATCTCCTCTACAAGATGGTCAGCCCATCCACGCAACATTTGGCGCTATTGCACGTACCCGACTTGATGAGGGTTCCACGACCGACGTTGATGAACACACCATGAGGCTTCATCCACGCTGCCCCAGCTGTCAGCTTGGGCGCTCGACTGAGAGACCGTCAAGACTTACAGAGCTTCTCGGCGTCAAGGAGGTGAGTGGTCTTGGCTGTGGAGGGCAGGGAGGACACGAGGACGTCACACTCAGAGATGAATTCCTTGAATGCCTCGGGGTCGCTGGTGGAGTACATCTTCTCTGGCAGCTTGGCCTCGAGGTCTCCAGTTCCTTCAAAGGTGAACTGAACGCAGAGGTTAACACACTAGCGGCCGTACCGATGTCGAGACTCACGGTGTCATCGACGGTGCGGGTACCAGTGGAGTTCGCAGCGATGATCCTAGACTTGGGGAAAATGGTACAAACGCGGGCAAACTCGCGACCGAGCTGGCCGTCAGCGGCTGCCTTCGCGCCGGCCATGGTCACTACTCACGCTTCCATAGCCAAGGAATCCGAATGTCTTGCCATAGATGGGACGGGCACCGTAAGCGCCAACCCGGCGAGCATCGTCCATGATGTCAGATGGCTCAGCCCAGCGCTTCTTGACGCGCTGGTAGTAGATCATGGACGGAATTGAGTTGTAGAGGCCGGTGATGTAGTTGAGGACAAAGTTGGGGATTCCCAGACACTGGCAAGGAGATCAGCTAGTGGACGACCCAAGCTTGCACTCACGTAACCTCCGCAGGAGTTGGACAGAACAAGGGAGGCCAGCTGCTCGGGGGTTGCGGCCTGAAGAGCGGGGTGCTTGCTAGACGATGGTGAGTTGTGGAACCAGAGACAGGACTTGCTGTAACTCACATTGTTACCTCCACACCCGTTGCGTTGGTCTGGATGAGACGGAGCTTGGGCATCTGTTCAAGAGACCTGAGCGACTCGGGGAAGCCCCACATGGTGTTCAGGAATGCGACCTCAATGTCCGCATACACCTCATCGGGGACGACCGCATTCCGCTTGGGGTAGTGATAGACAGTCTTGAATTCGTTCTGGATGCGCTGCAGATCCTCGTCGGGGATGGGGAACTGGACGAGGATGGACTGGAAGGTGGAAGCGTCGACGGTCATGTTGGATTTACTGAAGTGTTGCATGTTGAGAGGAGAAATGTGTATTTTAAGGCCCTCGTAGCATGGCGAGCAAGTGGGCAACTCCACCTCGGGTTGCCGGGTCACCGGTTTATCGATGTCGGTCGGTTACTCCGTTTGAGGTTGCTGTTCACGTGATAACGATACATATGAACTCATCAACTGGAGGATCAGATCAGTTGTTCCATGACAAGCGTCAATGCAATGTGGGCACGGCGGCGCTGGGTGCCAACGCCCGGAGTAGCCGGAGCGCCCTCTTGCCCACTTATCATTGGGTTCCCCTGTGCTTGTGGAGTGATCGGTAACTTGACTGTCATCCGTCCTTATCGTTCAAGCTCGGAGTGCCCGAGCCCAAATGCACCTCGCGCAACTCGCCTAGTTCTGGTTTGGGATGCATGGTACGCTGGACCGCACCCGTTCATAAGCAGTCGCTCTAGCGCCTGGCCTTGAGCATCATCACACCTCGTCCCATCACTTCATCCCCATCCAGCACTACACCATCCAGCACTACACACTGTAACAATGACCATCACTGTCCAGTCCCCCAAGCTCGGTTACGAGGTCCCCACCAAGGCTGTGGACCCCCGCACCAAGCCGACAATGTACCGGTGGGTGTCCTTTTCCTGTCTCGTGACTGACGGATCTCAGTATGCCCGGTGTCCCCCCAAAGGCTGTTGCGACCCACAACGTGTACATCGAATTCGACAATGGGGACCGCATCATTGACGGAATGGGTGGCGCCGCCGTCAACATCATTGGTTTTGGACAGGAATCCGTTATCAAGGCCATGAAGGAGGAGATGGACCGCTGCGGCTTTATCTACGCCGGCCAGTACTCGAACGCGGCCGCCGAGGACCTTGCCGAATTCCTGATCAGCAAGAGCGAGGGCTACTTCTCTGGCGTAAACTTCGTTGGCGGTGGTGCGTGTGCCGCGTCCAACACAAGTTTCAAAAGCTGACAATACTTGAGGCTCCGAGGCTATCGAATCGGCTCTCAAGCTCGCCAAGCAGTACTTCTGGGAGAAGGGAGACACTGTCAAGCGTCGGTTCATCGGTCGTCAGATGAGCTACCACGTAAGTCTAGGTTGTGATTCTTCATTGCCGGGGCTGACTGAATACACAGGGCAACACCATTGCGACGCTTTCGATCGGCTACCACCCGATCAAGCGCAGGCCATTTGCTTCCTTTGTCAACGAGGACGTCTTCTCCTGGGTATCACCCGCCCACTACTTCCACTATGGACGTGAGGGAGAGACCGAGGAAGAGTACGCCACTCGTCTTGCAGATGAGCTTGAGGCGGAGATCCTGCGCCTTGGTCCCGAGACTGTTGCGGGGTTCGTTGCCGAGCCAATGGTCGCTTCGTCGCAGGGCGCCACCTGCGCCCCCAAGACATACTGGCCCAAGATCCGCGCCGTTTGTGACAAGTACGATGTTCTTCTTATCATGGACGAGGTGTGAGTCGCACGAACATTAAAGAATGATACTAAAGCGCAACAGCATGTCGGGAATGTGGCGCACGGGACGCATGTACACTTTTCCTCGAATCTGCGAGGGCGTGCAGGTAAGGGGCTCAGAGCGCACAGCAATCAATCTTATACATAAGCTGATTGGATACAGCCTGACATTCTCGGCTGCGCCAAGGGCCTGGGTGCTGGATACGTACCAATTGGAGCTATTGTGAGTGGAAGCGAGCCACGGGAGTTGCCGTTCCTGATCCCACAACCAACAGATGGCTGCCCCCAAGATCATGGACGCGATTCACAACGGCAGTGGCGCCTGGAACCACGGGTTCACCTACACTTCTTTCGGCGTTTCGGCTGCTGGCGCGCTCGCGGTCCAGAAGTACATGTACGACAACAACGTCGAGGAGAGGATCTATGCTCTCGAGAAGCAGATGGGCACTACCCTCAAGGCCCGCCTGCTGGGCCCTGACTCGGGCCTCGACGGATTCGTCATTGACGTCCGTGGAGTCGGTCTGATGTGGGCCATCGAGGTCAAGGCGCCAGGACAGAAGGACATGAAGAAGCGCATTGCCCACCGCATGATGCAGCGCGCCCTGGAGAACGGTCTTATGGTTCTGGGAATGGCCGGTCTCCGCGCAGACAACGAGTGAGTCACCTCCCCCCCTTTCCGTTTTGCTCGTGCGCTAACGCATGGACAGCGGCGACTGCATCATGCTGTGCCCTCCTGCCGTGTTGACCGAGGCCCAGATGGACACCATTTGCGATCTTGCGGTCAAGACTGTCAAGGACATCCGGGCCGAGCTGCAGGCAGAGGGCGTGTTCGATGCTTGAAAGGATCCAAAGTATGTATATCCCTTGCAACTCGTCGGCACATTGGCATGGGGGAGAATTGGCTACATTGTGGGACGGACAATGCGATACAGCTTCTTGCGTGCTAGGTTTCGGTGTGGGGGTCCGTGTGTTCAAATATACTAGCCAATGGCGAGGAAGGCGACTGTGATGCGAAACTTTACCCGAAGAGGACACAGGTAGTACAGAGAATGCACAATTCACGAGCCGCAGAGCTCGCTGTAGCCACGACCCCACCAATACTCTTGAGGGAGCAAGTTATATTGGCAGCAACGCACTAACGATTTCTAAGGAACGCAAGGTAGCGGTGCAGTCCAACCATATGGCGTCCATCCATTCATGCTTAACAACTACCTAAGGCCTTGTACAATCTCGTTCTGTTTTTTTTTTTTTTTTTTTTTTTTTTTTTTGGTGTGCAAACCTGGTGTTTCCCTCATTCCCCGCCTTCGTCGGTCCTACACACTGTTACTGTTATCGGCGCAAGAGAAGACACCACCGACGTCTCCCGATTTCAAGTTGTCGCGGATGCTGACAACGCTGGTGTACGTGCCGCCGATCGCGATGAAGACACTGCACAGGAACAGAATACCGTTAATGAGTGCCATGGCAAGGAGCAGCGGTGTGCGCCTCTCCTTGAGATCCTGCTTCTTGGCGTAGAACCACATCATAAGAGGCATGGTGTACGCGCAAGGAGTGCCAAGGATCGCACCCGTGAGGGAAATGATGTCGTTGAAAATGGGAATTGACTCTGCGATGATGAACGAAAGAGTGCCGTTGGTAACGATGCAGCCGATCCAGAAGAGGTAATGCTTCTTGGTCTTCTCCGTGAGGTGGTGCGAGTTGCGGAGAAGGCGGACAAAGACATACTTGGCGGCCATGTGCGTGTTGAGGACGGCGCTCACAATAAGGCCAGGCATAGCGATACCGTAGCAGACCTTCTTCATGAGAATTCCAGCTGATCCAAGGGCCGGGGATGAAATGTATTGGCCGCAGTAGTGGTAGGTAAGCGATCCTGGGCCCACGTCAGCCTTGGATAAAGAAAATCACTTCAGCCAACTCACCAATGATAAGGTAGGTCGACGACGTGAAAATAGAGCTAGCCGTGATAGACCTGTTGTAGTGGTTGGGGTTGCGAAGTTCAGCCGCGACGTTGAAGTAGTATGGGGATCCGGCGAACGAGAAGAACACGGTAGCGACCGCGTTGATCGCGTCGACAAACGAAGGGTGTCCAATAACGACCACGCCCTTGTCCCACGGGCCAGTCTGAGGTGCAGCGCTAGGGCGGTCCTGCCTCGAGACAGCAGCAACCAGAGTGATCACCGAGGTCATGATACACGCGACACCGGCCCAAGAGAGCCAACCCAGCTTCTCCAGCGTCTCAGTCGAAGCAATGAGGACGACGACAACCGCCGCGACAGCCACAAAGATCACAGTGCAGGCGCCGTGGGTGCTCAGCGCGTTGAGTGCCGTCGAAATACCGATCATTCCCGCGCCGGCAATGACAGTGAGATAGATCCAGAAGAAAGCACCAAAGATTTCGCGGCCGATAGGACCAAACATGACAAAACCGACGCTGAGAACCGTTAATAAATGAGGGGACACGTGCCTGTCGTCTCAAGACTCACTCCGCAAGGGAAAAGATCTCGGGGTGAGTCTTCTTAATGGCGCCAATCTGCCATTGAGTCCATAAAGCCATGGCACCTGTGGCAGCGACGACGATGATTCCTGGAACCATGCCGAGAATGCTGAGAACGTAGGGCTGAGCACAGTAAGTGACTAAATCCATCTTTTAGTTACATAAATGACCTACCAGTGCAAGCACACCGAGACCAATTTGAACCTTCGTCTGCACGACCGCGGCACTCATCCTGCCTTGTTAGTCAATCGAGGCCACGGGAGCTGTGGAGTCGACCTACCATCCGAGACTGCGGTAGTTTGTTCCACCTTCCTTGATTTCTCCCCACACTGCGTCGTGGACCACGATGTCGGGTCCAGCCTCGACGCTGACCACCATGTGGTCATCGTGCTTGCTATCTGTCTTTACCTCGTAGCTCATGGTGTCCAGAAGTTGTCAAAAGTTGTTGCTGTAGTGTTGAGAAGGTGAATAGAGCCTAAGGCGAGATTGACCGCTGGTTGGCGAGTTGGAAAGATGAATCCTCCATGCCCTCGGCGTCCACCCTTTTAACTATCACCCAAGGGGATCTCGCTTCGCTTATCGTGGTAAGAGGCGACAGTCCGGGGGCCAAGGCCACTAAGATCCTTCGAAGGAGATGTTGGGCACAGACAGTCGTGGAGTCCCCAACGGGGTGCGGCATGTGGGGCGTTGTTCCGTTGAGTCCGAGTGGCCGCGAGTGGCTTGTGGTGGCGGCGTCGCCGAAGCGTCCGCGAAGTCGCGGCTGCCCCGCGATGTAAATCAAATACATTAGGGCGGAACCCCGGTCTCATTAGGATGTTGATTACCGGCGGAGGCGCCGCCGTTAATCGCCGAACCACCCCATCGTCTCCTTCGCCGCAGTTCTACTATGATTCCACCCCTCTATCGCTGTGCGGTAACCGCGGCCTGCACTCAAATTATGAACCCTGAAACGATTGCGGTGCTCTAAAAAGGGTTATCGCCACGGAGCCACAATCTTGGCACTCAGCTATGTACAGTGGTGGCTTTGGATGATCTGTTACGGTATTGTCTGGGTTGGCTGCTCCAGTATGTGGGAAGGATTGATAGGCATTGATAGCGGCCAGTGGCCAGTGGCATCCATATCGTCCACACCCGAAAATAATTAACACTGCTCACTATGTAGGCCACCGCTCCCCGAAATTATGATTGGCCCGACGGCTGCGCTGGCGGCGGGTTCAGTCCTCCGGGGAATAGCCACTCAAAGTCGACCAGGTCGAGATCCGCACCCAAGGCGACGTCGGTGTTGTTCTGCCCGACCATTGGTGTTTCATAGAGGGCCATGTCAAGCGAAGTTGGTGCCCACCCCGGGGGGACTACGTGGTACCGGTGCGAATGGGGGTTATCGATCGAAGCTGCCATGTTGGCCGTTTCGGTGCTGGACACTGACGCCGCGTCGCTCGAAGTGCGTGAGTCACGTTTGGCGGTGCGCAGCGTGACAGGACGATACCAGGCAAACTTTGGCCGGCTGGATAGCCTTCCACTTCGAGCAAGAGGAGGGGAAAGCACTCCACAGACTGTGGCAGGTCAGTTTCTAGCGCCACGCCAGGCTTTTCACATGCCCGTAACGGCACTTACCACGACATGTCTCGTCAAATGTCTCAGCACAACCAAGAGAAATTGGCAGAACGTTCGCCAAGTGATGGAGTATGACAGTAGCAGCCTGCACGGCGGATGTTGCGTCGTCCTGCTGCTGTAAATCACCGTCTGATCGTGCAGAGAGGGAGACTGCAAGAATCATCCGTCCAGCCAGTAGGACACGGTAAGGTAGCACTGAGATTGTCAGTTCGTCAAGGAACACCTTAACAACGAAGAACCCCGAGTTTTTGAAACCTGTGGACTTGGCAACTCACTGATATCAGACTGAGCCAGCAGACCCGCAGAGCCAAGCTGCACGGCAAGGGCAACCATCTGGCGAGATGTGTCGAGAACCTCTTGTCGTGCGGCACTGACATTCACTGCACGTGTACCAGGCGTTAGAGCAGTGGTGGGAGGGCCAGAAGGGGTCGCAAGCTGCAGTCGGCGCCCCGCCAGAATGAGCTGGATGGTGAGCTCCATCGCCGAAAGGTTTTCGAGCAGGACGCCGTGAGCAGCATAACGGAGTCTAGCCTGGGTATTGTTGATATCCAACTCGGAGGGCTTGTGCTGGCTCCACTCATTGAGAAACGAGCGTGCAGTGTCGAGCTTTGCTCGTCAGACAGGTCCGGCCGTGCGCTGACCGACAGTCGACTGAGAAAATCCGAGTGGGGACGCGCTGGATCGTGTATAGGTCGGCGAGAGGTCGCAGCGAGAGCTTTTTCCAGCACTCCGGAAAGCAGAATGGCTTGGGAGAATACAGCAACGTGTTCGCTGTCTCCGTCGCCGTTAACAGCGGCTGGGGTTGTGGCTGTAGCGGAGAACGGCGCAGGCATCGCAATTTCAATGTCCCAAAGCTGGGCTATCGGTGGGCGACCCAGCACTGTCGCAAGCTGCTTGTCAAAGACGTAACAAGCCCAGGCGGTGCGCTAAAGGGTCAGTATCGGTAGACCGTACACCCACATTCAACTTACCCGACGGCTCTCCTTGTGGTTGGCGTCACGCCATGAGAGGTTGGGCATCTCACGGTGGAGCCCACCGTCCATGCAGCGGGCATATGCCTCACCGAAAAGGGATTGGGCCGTACTGTGTGGAACATTGTCCACACAGTGGAACTGGGAGGCGAGAAGCGTAGCCTGCACAGAGGACAGCGCGCAGTCGACGTGCGAGGTCGCCATGTCACGGAGCTGCCCAAAAAGAGGGTAGTACTGCATGCCAGCCGACGCAGGGTTATCTAGGGCCATGTCAGCTGCGGGCACAGCACACCGAGAACCAATTGCGGGGCTACTCACTCGGATCAGCACGCACCCGTAGGTCAGAGCTGTAGCGGGATGCTAACATGCAGACGGCAACTGCAAGGGCTGCAAAAGCGGGATTCGCATCATCCCACTCTGCTACGCTCTGTAGTGAATTAGAAAGATGCCAAGCAACGCGAAGTTAAGACACTGTACGCACCGCATAGAAGGAAGTGGGATGGAGGATGGGCCAGACCGGGTGAATGATAGCGAACTGGCTGCATGAGAACTATGCGTGATGGTCCAAATCGAGATCCCACTCACATAAAGCCTGAATAGCTCCCTCTGGAGATCGACAGGTACTGCCATATCAGCCAGATGCACTCGTCACTAGTGATGGATGGTTCGCTCACTGGTTTGAGACACAAGCGCGAACAGGTCACGATGTGGGACGTCTGACATGCTGTCGACCCCGGGGAAGTATTCCGTCTCGTCGCCGTGGTCTCCAACACTGCGCGGTGGAGCGGAGAACGAGTCGGTTCCTCCAGAGATTTTGAGCAGAGAGGATAGCCAAGACCAGTCAGGATCCACGTCGTCATTGTCACCTTCTGGACCTGCAACTCGGTCCTCGACAACTCTGAGTTGTTGACGAGCCGCGTCACTGTTGTCATGAGTGTGGGCTTCTCCCGATCCCCAGAAGTGGACTCACAGCAGAGGCAGACCGGAGGTGGAGCCTACCCAACGCGCGCTTCCATCGCGCATCAAGTAGAAATGGCTGGTGTTCAAAGGTGAATCACCAGCCGCATCTGCTGAAGTTGATCCGACAGAAGGAGCAGACGCTGCCTCGATTTGGCTTGAGTCGGTAGTACGGTACAGCTCAGCTGCTGCAGCTGTGTCTCCAGACGGTTCCCCGTTCTCCCCATCAATTGTCTTTGGCGGGCGCTCTGGAGCAGCAGAACTGGCTTCTGAGTCGTCCTGTGGAGCCGAAGGAGAAGGCAGTCGCCTGCGCTTGTTGCTGCTTGGGGCAACAGAGACGGTAGAGGACGTCGAGTCGCGTGCTGCTGCTGATGAGGTTGCTGACGAGGTGGAGGGGTCAGGACCGCTAGGGTTCGCGCTCCTACTGATAGTTCAGCGCAAGTTTGTTTTCGTGACCACTACCTCTAGAACTTACGTGACGACTGTGTTGGCCAGCCTTGGATGAGGCTGTTGGTCAAACGTGCATGGAGACCTTGCGCGGACACATCGAGTGCAGGGGTGTGCGCTGTCGCACTGCGGACCCGGTGTCAGCGAGGAGGCCTGGAGGATGATAATGGGTCACAAACCTTTATCTTTCGACGGCTTGGGTCGTGTGAGCGTGTGCTGACAAGAGATTGTGTGCCTTCTTACCGGCATCTATCGCAAGCGCGCAAGTAGCGGAAGCGGGGGTCATCGACAGAGTCGTTGTCCATGGGGGCAGTATGTTGTTGTGTGTGTGTGTGTGTAAATGATGTAATGAGTGGGGGAACAGACGGGGACGTGCGTGAGCGGTGCGTCCTCGAGACGAGGCCAGAATTCAGGAAGGAGGCCATGACAATGTCGGAGTCGCCGTGTGGGGTTTAATCTTTCTCCTTGGTCTCTCGCTTAGCGGTCTTCAATTGCCCACCGCGCCACAATCTCCACAGATCCAGAGCCTGTGCAGCCGAGAGAGAGGGCGACAGCAACGGCGACGAGCCAAGACAATTCCAGGAACAAGCCGATCAGCCGAGACACCCAACCACCCAGGTGGCCACAGGTGGAGTAGCAAACGGGAGCTTTTTTTTTGGGCCAGGTCGGCAACAAAAAAAACATCCGCCCCTAATATGTTTACGTAACACAAGGCAATTGTAAAGCTTACGTACACACTCCCCCGTGGCATTCCCTTACGTAATATAGCCTCCGCTGTTGCTCTGGCCAGGCCTTTGGAGGTGGGACCATATGGGGACCGACGGCGCGCCGTGGACCATCATGGGCAAGTCGCACACAACAGCCATACGCTGTGCGCAGTGCACCTAAGAGGGCTCGGATCTCGGAGCTGGGGAATTTGGGGAACAAATAACGTCTCGCGTGGCGCCTGACGTCATTTTTCGCGAGGGAATGGGGGGTGACTAACCACCCCACTGATTGAACCCGTGGGATTGGTCGCCAACATTATCTTTGCACATCCACATCCGCTTCTCAGGCTTTTCCGTCAGATCTCGTCTCCCATCTCCCACACCCACAACCCCCACACACATATGAACAACAGAGCACATCTCGGCCTACGCTCACTCACTCGTTCACTAGCAACAGCATCATCACAGTCGGCCCTCGCAGCTCGCCGTCTTCCATCCCACATCCCCCTTGCGCCAAAGTCGATTCGTCGCGGGTGCTCTTCCCACAACACTCCCCCTCCTCCCTCCACACCAGCCGCCACCACCGTCGCTGCCGATTCCACCAATACCGGCGCTCCCCAGTCCTTTGTCTCCACCATGGCCTCGTACCTCCAGCAGTCCCATGACAAGATCTTCACCCAGAATAAGAAGTGGGCCGAGGCGCAGCTTGCAAAGGACCCCGACTTTTTCAAGAACCTCGCCGCCGGCCAGAACCCCGAGTACCTGTGGATTGGATGCTCAGACTCGCGCATGCCTGCGGAGATCATCACTGGACTCGACCCCGGAGAGGCCTTCATCCACAGGAACATTGCGAACATGGTCAACAACCTCGACCTCAACGCCATGTCGGTCCTCAACTACGCCGTCCGTCACCTCAAGGTGAAGCACATTGTCGTTTGCGGCCACTACGGCTGTGGCGGTATCCAGGCCGCGATGACGCCCAAGGATCTGGGTATCTTGAACCCCTGGCTGCGTAACGTTCGTGACGTCTACCGCCTTCACGAGAAGGAGCTGGACGCCATCGAGGACGAGGAGAGGCGCCTCGAGCGCCTGGTCGAGCTCAACGTCGAGGAGCAGTGCCGCAACGTCATCAAGACGGCTGCCGTCCAGCAGAGCTACGCCGAGAACCACTACCCAATCGTCCACGGATGGGTGTTTGACTTCCGCACCGGCCTGCTCAAGGACCTCGAAATCGACTACACAAAGGTCCTTGGCAACATTCAAAAGATTTACAACCTCACCGAATAGAATAATATGCGACTGCTTCACTGGTTCTACGTGCATTTCTGTATTTTCCTACAGGCAACACCTAATCTAATGACCTAACAAGTGTGTTATGACCGGTTACGCACGGGTAGCCGCAATCTGTAAAGCATCAGCCCATGCCTGATGTGTCCTTGACCTCACGACCCGGGTATCACTTACGACTGAGAACTCGGCGGCGGCGTTGAAGGGAAGAGCAGCGACACCAACGGCTGCACGCACCGGCGCAGGTCCATGCTGAGAGAAAGTGGGAAGGTAAACCTGAACATGTTAACAGATCCTGGAGGACAAGGACAACATACCTCGTTCAACAGGGGCAAGTTGACTGCATAGTCGGTCAAGTAGATAGTCACGCTGATGACTGTGGGCGTAAGTACTGAGATGTGGACGTCCAGTGGTTGTGCTGACCATCAGAAAGGTCCAGACCCGCAAGCTCAAGGCGGGCGGAAACGTTTTGCAGGGCTTGGGCCGTCTCTGCCTTGGCTCCGCCAGCGACGAGCCCACCGCTCTCATCGGTGCCGAGGATACCAGCGAGGTACACCTTGTCGCCCGATACAATCACGTTGGACATCATGGGGTTCGCTGTCCTGTGAGTTGTACGTCCCAGCAAGCTACAGCACACGTACGCTTAGGGCCGTTGGCGGCCGTCACCACGCGCTTGTTCGGGTTGCCAGACATGATAGGTGGGGATCGGTGACGATAGGTGGGGACTGAGATAGGGCGATGATTAGCTATTGTTCTGCACAACGTAGGCGACCTCGCGGTGCTATATGTCAGTCTGAAGGAGATAAGACGGATGCCATGTCCGGGACGGAGATGGTGGAGAGGAATGCGGAGCCTCCGCTTCGCCACACCAACATTCCATCAACGGCGGCGCCGAGTGAGCGGTGAAGCCGTGCCGTGTTCCTGTACCCAGGAAGACAATGCAGGATGCGAGATAGACACAGTAGACAGCACCACCATGCCAGCGTCGTGCGTGCTTCATATCCCAGCACACGAGCGCGCTTTTGATCCCTACCTCTCACTTTCCACAACCTTACCTCATACCGAGTCTCACCTCTCACTCCACCAGCACCATGAACCGCCTCGCCAACCAGGATGAGCTCGTCTTTAGCATCAAGGACCTGCAACGGGAGGGCACCAAGAAGCTGTCCAAGACGGTGGCAGAGTACTACAACGAGGGTTCCATGGACCTCCTTACGTGAGCAATGTAGCTGGGCAACGGAAACGGTGGGACCAAGTGTTGACAGCCTGCAAGCTTGAACGACAACACCATGGCCTTTGACCGCGTCCGCCTCCGTCCCCGTGTCTGCGTTGATGTGTCGGAGATTGACACCTCGACGAAATGCTTTGGCGCAAAGGTGGGCAACACACGGTGACACAAAGGAACCTGTTCTTACCGTTTCATAGGTGGCCATGCCGCTTGGATTTTCGCCAGCGGCAATGCACAAGCTCGCTCACCCTGAGGGAGAGCTTGCAACCTCGCGGGCAGCGGCCAAGGCGGGCTGTAACATGATCCTGTCCACCTGGGCAACGACACACATCAGCGACGTTGTCAAGGAGGGTGAAGGCTACGGCAATGCGTACGGCATGCAGCTCAGCATGGTTGAGGACTGGCAGACAAACATCGACGTGGTGCGGAACGCGGAGAGTGAGCATGTCCCGTGATCCCCTCCTCCAAGACTGTAAATCTAACATGGCACAGAGGCCGGCTGCAAGGCCCTTTTCCTCACGGTCGACTGCGCAGTGCTGGGACGCCGCCTCAACGAGTACCGCAACGGCTTCTCCCTCCCAAAGCACCTTCAGTTCCCCAACCTCCCCGAGGGCATCGACCCCCACTGCAGCACTGTTTACGACCCTCGTAGGGCATACGACCGCTCCTTCACATGGGAGAAGGTCAAGCGCCTCGTGGCATCCACCACGATGCAGGTCTACCTGAAAGGCAGTGAGTTTCCAAGTGTCTCGTGCTTCAGAAGCATAGGTTGACAATTCCAGTCTTGACCGCCGAGGACGCGATCCTTGCCGCCGATTGTGGTGCCCACGGTATTGTCGTCTCCAACCACGGCGGACGTCAGCTTGATGGCGCCATGTCCACCCTGGACGCTCTTGAGGAGATTGTAGCGGCTGTCAAGGGACGCATCCAGATCCACCTGGACGGCGGTATCCGCCGCGGCAGTGACATCTTCAAGGCCATTGCGCTCGGAGCTGACCACTGCTGGGTGGGACGCATCCCCATTTGGGGCCTGGCTGTGAGTTGCACCAATTCTCCTGAATCTGGGCGCGATTTACTGACAACCCAGTACGACGGCGAGCGCGGTGTCACTCTTGGCCTCAACCTTCTGCAAGAGGAGCTTACCCTCACCATGGCCCTGTGTGGCTGCAGCAAGCTCAGCGACATTACACCTGGGCACCTTGCCCGCCTGCGTGCCAACGGTCTGTTTGCCAAGTTGTGATCTATCAATGGAGGTTGTTTAGGGTTCCTGGGATATGAATTTGATTTGTTTACATAGACGTTTGCGGACGAACATCCATGTGGCCCCAATAGGAGTCTCGAGTCTCGGCGTCACTTTCCTTAACCTCCAACACCCTGTGTCTGTGGCTTGAACGCAGCCATGTCCCACCCAGTACATGGCGTTTCTCCACCTGCACACGCGGCGACTGTGTTCTGTGTGTGCCTAGTGTACAGTATGTACACTCTAGCAGGAACGCACCGCCGCATGCGCGGCAGTTGTCCCTCGCCCACGGCTGCCATTTGTGCTCGTGCTCGTCGTGCTAGGTGCGCTGGCCGCTGGCAGGCATACCATAGTCCTTATCTTGGCGCGCCTAAGATAGAGAAAAGAGCTGTCTGGCAGAACGCTGTGTGCGCATACATAGTGCCAGTCGGTGTCACTTTTGGGTGGCTGAGGTATCAGTGTTCCGTGGCTCTAGCAGCAAAACAGACAGAGAAAGAAGGAATCGTGGGGGACGCCACATCGCTTTATATCAGCCTACGTTTGCCGAGACACCACATGAGGCCACAACGGTCTCGCGCGGTATGAGTTGCCTTGACCCTCAAACCACCCCTGTGTCTGTCGCGACAGGCTTGAACGGCATGTCCCAGTACGCGACGTTTCTCCACCGTCATGGAACCTCGTTCTGGGGATCTGTGGGTGTCTACACATACTGCCGGCCCGAGTATTTATCCTGGCTGCCCCTTCACCCAACCAAATCTCCACACGCGTTCAGCCTGAACGGGTGAAGTAGAAGGCTTTGTCGGGTAAACGCTGGATGTCGGTTAACTGCAAGTGTACGTCGGTTAATTTCAATTAGGGTGACCGACACGGGCCGTCCGCCCTTCACCGTTGAGGGGCGACGACGGCGTGTCCGTTGTGTTATCAACGTTACAGCAGCGGCCGAAGCCAATCAAGAGGCACCCAGTACCCTTTCCAACGCGACCAGACGCTCGAGTCATTTGCGACATCTGTTCGAATATACATATACCAGGCCAGCTATAGACCTGCACCCATCTTAGACCTTCATTCAAACCCAAAGCTGCCGACACAATGACCAACACCAAGGATACCGTTTCCATCAACGGCATCGCCGTGCCCACTGGCCTATTCATCAACAACGCATGGGTGCAGGGCAGTGGAAAGCCGCTGACCACTGTCAACCCGTCGACTGAGGAGGTTATCACCGAGGTGCGTGTTCGTCCAAAGCAACACCCCTGCTGACAAGCAGATTCAGACTGCTACCGCCGAGGACGTCGATGTCGCCGTCAAGGCAGCTCGCGAGGCATTCGAGAACACCTGGGGCACCAACGTCAGCGCTCAGCTGCGTGGCCAGCTCCTGTTTGCCCTTGCCACCAAGATGGAGGAGGCCATTGAGGAGCTCGCCGTTCTTGAGACCTTGGACGCCGGCAAGCCTCTCGCATGTTCGTCCTAGTCTAGTCCCTGCTGCCCGTCTGCCTGCATGTCGCTAACGTCACCAGGGGCCAAGGTCGATGTTGAGGACTCTGTGGCCTGCCTGCGCTACTACGCCGGCGTTGCCGACAAGATCCACGGTTCGGTCATCGAGATTGACGACAAGTCCAAGTACGCCGAGACGCGCAAGGAGCCCGCAGGGTGAGTTTTGGGTGGACATGTGGGACTAGAGCTAACGTCTAGCGTTGTGGCTCAGATCGTGCCTTGGAACTACCCCCTGCTCATGATGTGCTGGTGCGTGCGGTCTTGTTAAGGTGTCTTTTGCATTGCTGACGAGGGCAGGAAGATTGCACCTGCGCTTGCTGCCGGCTGCGCCATTGTGTTCAAGGCCGCTGAGCAGACCCCTCTGTCTACCCTCAAGTTCGCCGAGCTCATCGTTGAGGCTGGATACCCCGCGGGCGTCTTCAACCTGGTGAACGGTCTTGGAGCCATCACCGGCGACGCCCTTTCTCGTCACCCGGACATTGACAAGGTGAGCAGGATGGCGACGGACGGGAGTCTGTGTGTGAGGCTGACCGCGCAAGATTGCATTCACTGGATCCACCGTCACTGGCCGTCGCATCGCTATTGCGGCCGCCGAGAGCAACCTCAAGACTGTGTCGCTGGAGCTTGGAGGAAAGTCGGCCAACATTGTATTTGAAAAGGCCAACCTCCCCGAGGCTGCCAAGTGGGCGGCTTTCGGCGTATTTGAGAACATGGGTGGGTGGATCATGGCCGTGTATCGCGTACGTTCGCTGACAGACACCAAGGTCAATCGTGCAGTGCCGGATCTCGCGTCCTCGTCCAGGACACCGTCTACGACGAGTTTGTCGCTCTGTTCATCAAGGCGACCGAGGCCTTCAAGGTCGGCGACCCCTATGATTCGGACACCTTCCAGGGCCCGCAGGTCAGCGAGGTCCAGTTCAACAAGATTCTGGGATACATTGAGGCGGGCAAGAAGGACGGCGCCAAGCTGGTCACTGGAGGTGGCCGCCATGGCACCAAGGGCTACTTTGTCCAGCCCACCGTCTTCACTGAAGTCGACATGTCTATGACGATCGCCAAGGAGGAGATTTTCGGCCCTGTCGCATCAATCATTCGCTTCAAGACCGAGGAGGAAGCGACCCAGATCGCCAACGGCACCGAGGTGAGTAACAACTTCCATGGTCCAACTGACATCCAAAGTACGGTCTTGCTGCTGCTGTGCACAGCACCAACTACGGCCAGGTCAACAGGGTGACACGCAGGCTCAAGGCTGGAACTGTGTGGATCAACCAGGTAAGCAAAAAGCGTAGACAAACCAAAAACTAACCCTCCAGTACACCTTCCTGTCGCATCAGATTCCGTTCGGTGGTTACAAGCAGTCTGGCTGGGGTCGCGAGCTCGGTGTCGAGGGTCTGGAGCCGTACTTGGTTACCAAGTCTGTTCACCACTACTACGGTGAGGACTTTGAGTGGCCTATCAAGCTCTAGGGGAACGGTTCAGACGATAGTGGACTTGGTACATTGTAAAGGTTATGCACGACGGGGATACGAACACATAATCTGAAACAAGAGCATCGCAGATGATGGATGTCCTTCGACAGAGTTGGCATCTTTCTGACGCCGGGGCACCAAGGTGCAATGTGGGGCCGGCAAAGATGAAGGAACCAACTCCTCAGTACAGCATGTGATAGATTTCACGGCCCCAGTAGCACCGATGCGAGGCGCCCCGTAAGACCGGTAAGCATTGTCGGCAGGTGTGGCGATAACATGTAGTCATTGGGGCCGCGCGTTGCCCAGGGTTCTGAGAGCTGTTGCTTCCAACCAAGGAATGGACCGTGCCATGCCAATGCGTGCCCACCAAAGAACGAACCACCACCTGACCTGCCCACCAAGGAACAATGGAACGACACAAAATGGCGGTGCGGACGCACCGAAACTCGGTGTACCGGTCAATTCAAGAACGCGGAGACGCCGCGCCCGCTGCCTCCGATAAGCCACAGACGAGGTTCATGTGAGGCAAAGGGGCCTCCGCGCTTCCTGCCGCATCGATGACGGGCCATGCACAAGCACTGCTGAACGACCACATAAAAGTGCATGGGATGGTGTCGTCCACACTCATTCTCCACACTTGTTCTCGCATCGCATTCGCATTCGCATCCCATTTCACACCCTACCCACCAAAACACCCCCCCCAACACCTCACACCATGACTGCCAACTCTGCTCCCGCCGGCATGGCCAAGCGCACCTACCTCCGCAACGCCCTCAACAAGGGCGAGGCCGGCGTCGGCATGTGGCTCACGCTCCCCGGCTCGGCTCTGGCCAAGACCGTGGCGACCATCCCCGGCTTCAACTGGATCCTCATTGACGCCGAGCACGGCCAGATTGTCGACTCGCACTACTACGACGTGGGTGAAGACACTCTGATCGACCGTGTCCGTGTGCTGATGCCCCGTTACAGCTTTGCCAGCACATCACTGCTGAGCAGATCAGCCCCATCATCCGCATCCCCGGCGACGAGCCTTGGATGATCAAGCGTGCCCTTGACTCTGGAGCCCACGGCCTCATGACCCCCATGTGCCACAACGCCGTGAGTAACCTCTGCAGCAAATGGCTTTTACCGCGCTGACGGAACGTGCAGGAGATCGCCAAGCGCGTGGTTCAGACCAGCAAGTTTGCCCCTGTCGGCACTCGTGGCTGCGGCTCGCCCTTCACCCACCAGATCTTTGGTGTCGCCGAGGGCGACTACGAGGTCACTTGCGACGACAACCTGCTTGTCATTGTCCAGATCGAGTCGTCCCAGGGCCTCCTGAACGTCAAGGAGATTGCCGAGGTGCCCGGTGTCGACGTCCTGTTCGTTGGCCCCTTTGACCTCGCCAAGTCGATGAACATCAAGTTTGGCTCCGAGGAGCACGAGGCTGGCATTGCCAAGGTTCTTGCCGAGACCCACGCCGCTGGCAAGAAGGCCGCCATCTTCTGCATGACCGGTGCCCAGGGCAAGAAGCGCCTCGACCAGGGCTTCGACATGGTCTCCATTGCTACCGACACCGACTCTATCATTGCCGAGTTCTCCCGTCAGATCGCTGCTGTCCAGGGTGCCTAGGTCAGGAGGTAGTCAGTCACAGGGACTGAGGACGAGGGGGTTTCTGAGTACATTGTATGGTATGATAGACATGATATTTTGATGCGACAGAGCACTTTCAACTGGCGGGCATTGTTCGTTTACTGATGAGGCTGTTTACTGTATATGCCATGCCAACATACGGCCAGTGGGCGAGTGTGGCGCAGCGGTTCACCACGAGATACAACCTGCCTGCATGGCTGTCACTCCGCTCCAGCCGTATTGACTGGTGACCAGCTTCCACAAGCTTCCACAGTATCATTGCGAGTCTATGTTGTTGAGCACAAACACAAGTCGGTCGACGAGCTCTTCCACCATCTGGTCCTTGCTCTTTGCATCGGCTACGTGTAAGCCATAGCCACAGGGGTAAAGAATGCTCACCAGCATGACCTGTGTTCTCGTAAATCCTGCCAAGGAAGACACCACCAGAGTTGGCGGCCTTGGTGGCCTGCAGTGCTGCCAGATACTTTAGCGAGTGGCCCGGAATGACACGCGTGTCGTGGTCGGCGGTCGTGACCAGGATGGCCGGGTATGTCAAGGCGTCAGGGTGGACGTTGTGCACCGGCGACGTAGATGCCAGGACGGGAAGGTGGTCGGCCGAGTCTGGGTCCCCATACTCGCTGACCCACAGGCGTCCCATGGTCTGCTGTTAGGCTGAACTGGGGCATGTGCTAACGACTCACAAACTTGTGGAACCGCACAAGATCCAGCACACCAACATCACAGAGGACCGCTGAAAACAGCTCGGGATTGCGGTTCACGGACGCAGCAACCAGGAGGCCACCGTTCGAGGTGCCGTAGATGCTGGTCAAGCCTGGCGTGCTCAATCCCTCGGCGTGTAGATACTTTGCAGCGGCGCCAAAATCGTCCCATGCCACCGAGCGCTTGATGCCCTTGGCTGCTTCGTGCCAGTCCTTTCCATACTCGCCGCCTCCACGAATGCAGGCGATTGCGACGCTGTTATAATGTCAGCACGCCGTTTCTGCTGTAACTCGTTCGACTCACATGCCACCGGTTTGGCGAACAAACGAGGGCCAGAATGGGGCGTACTGCGGCACGTTGGCGACTTGGAACCCGCCATATGCGTGTAGCAGCAGGGGCTGCGCTTTGCTCGTGTCAAGGTCACCAGCATGGCACAGGAATATGGGAATGCGCGTGCCGTCGTGCGACGTGTACATGACCTGGCGCGTAACAAGGTCATCGTTGAGCGTCGTCGCTGCCCCCAGTCGATCGATCACGATTGTTGAAGCGGGATCGGTCTGTAACTGACCGCGGAAGGTAACAGGAGGTCCAAGAAAGGACTCGACGGCAAGGAAGAACTCGTTGCTGTCCTTTGCCGACGTCACGGTCGATACCGAGGAATTGGGCGGGATGCCTTGGGTGGGAGCTGCAACAGACTCGCCGGTGAGGGCATCGACGTACACTATGTGCGCGCAGGCGTCACGAAGATAGACCAGTACCAAAGCACGGTTGCCGACAAGGGTAGCCGAGCTCAATGTTAGGCCCTCGGGATGCTTGGGGACGAGGACCGAGGTGGGCAACTCAGCGCCGGGATCCGTCGAGTCCCAATCTTGAGCCCTCAGAGACACGACGCAACCAGTACTGCAGCCGTTGTAGGTAGAAAGGAAGAGGTGGTTGTCCGAAGGAAGAGTACCGATATCTTGGCCGTCAGTGGGGGGCGTAAAGTGCTCTGTCACTTACACCTCATTGTCCCGCTGAACCCCCTGCAGAGCCACTTCTTCTGGTCCTTGATCCGGCGTGCGATCTCGACTCCAAGGCCCGGTGCTGACAGGTCCTCGGGGAGCTCGATCATGAAGTTTTCAGCCTCCTGGTCGGTGTTGCGATACATGTCACAGACGAGCCACGCACGTCTGCCGCTTCCAGGCTTGGCATCGACGGAGCACACGAGAGGGTGGTTGACGAACTGGCTGGGGGTTTCTCCACTCCACACAAGAACGTCGTCTGTCTGCGAAGTCCCCAGACAGTGAAAGTAGGCGCCAAACTGCCCGTCGGCAGTCCCATCGCTGATGCCAATCTCCTTCTTGTACAGGAACCCCTGTCGTTAGCGGTTGTCCCAAGAGTGCGTTTTGACGTACACTGTCGCCGATCCAGCAACCGCCGAATGTGAACTTGGACTGGGTCAGGTCATCATTTACAGGATCCATGGTGTGTGTGTCGAGTGTGCGAATGCTTTGCCAGTCACTCCTGCGTCTGATCAGCCTGTGTTCCTGCCCGTCCTCTTCAACTAACCCAGACTTCTGCAGGATGAGATTGGAGAACCGTCCGCTAGGGCTCCAGCTTTGCCAGTACAGGGAGGTGTGCTCCTCGGCCGATGGATCAAACATGAGGTCCGGACCTCCCAACGCGCTGGGGCCCTTGCCATAGTGAGAGTCGAGGTCACGCGAGCGGACGACCACGTCGCGAGCAAGGGTACCATCGTTGAACTGCCAGTAATACCATCCGTCCGCCTGCCGTTCCGGACATGTCATCTTGTCATAGTCGTAGTTGGCAGCAACTGCATCATGCATGTGTTTGCGGCGAGGGTGGGACTGGAGGTAAGGGAGGGAGAGCTTGTTGAATGAGCAAACCTTGTCCAGATGAAGAACGATGGATGACCCACCTCGTTCTGAGCTCTAATGAACGACTTTGTCACCTCGGACTCGTCGTCTTCCAGAGCACGGTGTGGGTCATGGATGGTGACACCATGTGTAGTCTCCGTAACGCTGCCTGTGGAGGGTGGGGGAGGATACTGAAAGCTCATGAGTGGGAGGGCGATGGAGGGAGTCGTTGATATAGGTGTGCGATGAAATGAATTGGAGGGACACGACAGCGAGCCTAGCGAGAAACAACCGGAAAGAGGTAGCATGACGTGTGTGCACAACAACAAATTGTTATATGGCCCTGACCACTGGTGCCTGCTCGCAAGCGTGCCAGGTCCCAGCAGTAGATAGGAATTACATGCACAACATTTTGTACTGTCGTTACGACAACTTTGTGCCGGAGGCTGTAGAGATGATCGATGTGGGCGCTGTGAGCGGCGATGGGATCGATGGACAGAGGTGCAGAGGTAAGGAAGAGGTACAGAGGTATTACGGCGTGGACGTGTCGTTGTGGGTGCTTGCCTTAATCATATCCTAATAACATATACCGTACCGCACAGGCATGGATATCCCGAAGTTAATCCAGAGGCGTTTAAGCTTCAAGCCATTTCCGGTCACGTGCCGCAAACCGACTTGCGTATGTGCCATTTAATGACGTGTGTAAAGGATGATAACCCTTGGGGGGCTTTTTTAAGGCCACCGGTGTGCGTGTTGTTTGGTTCCGGGTGGTGGTCGATCCCCCCTCCCGCTGCGCCGCTGCGCGCCCCTGTGCCCACCGCCGGTCTCCCGGGTCCCGGGTGGGGGCTGGGGTGGGCTTGGGGTCCGCGGCTGTCGCCTTTTGCCCTTTTTGCACCTTGGGCCTTGGGGGGGTATGTGGGCGGCGCGAAATATTAACATGTGGGATATATGGGCAAACGAGACACACAAAGGGAAACCACCCGAGTTTAGTGCGGGTCATTCGTTGCACAGCCGCCCAGAGAGTCTGTTGGGCCTTTTGGGCCGCGTCAAACCCAATCATCCCACCCAACCAACTACCTCCTCTCTCTCTCTCTCGTTCTCTCACTCTTCACACACCCCACCATCCACCCACCATGGATCCCCCGTCTCCACCAGACCATCCACAGCAGCCATCCCCTAAACGCAAGCGTCCCGCCGCAGACCGCCGCATCGCAATCGCTTGCCAGCCATGCCGCCAACGTAGAAGCAAGTGCGACGGCCAACGTCCTTGCAGCGTGTGTGCTTCGCGCTCAGATTCAGAGTGCACATACCAGCACAGCGATCGACGCGTCTGGATCTCCCAAGCGTGCGTTCTGTCGTCGTGTCGTCGCTTTCTGTCGTAATGCTCTCCTCGGAAACTGACCCAACAACAGTACATACTTGGGCCTCTTGGAAGAACGCGACGAGCTCAAGCGCCGCTGCAAGGAAATGGAACAGTCCCTGGCGGCCATGTCTGTCGCCGAAAAGGGCCCACCACTGAATCCCATGTGGGTGCTGCTGCGCACACACGCGCGACACTGCGCCCCTTCATGCTGACTCTCGCCCAGTACCCCCACGTCCGTTGAGACCCGCCTTAACGCGGACGAGCATCCACACGACGACGATCTCGAGGACGACGAGGACGATGCCGCCATGGCCACGGGTCGTCTCCTAACCGATGAGCGTGGTGTCGCGCGTTACATGGGCGACTCGTCTGGCGCTGCCTTTTACTCTGCGCTGATGGAACTCCTCGCCCTTGTGCTGCCCCCCGAACGTTCCGTCACGGGCCCACACGCGTCGACTTCATACCACACCTGGGACTCTCGCCCACTGCCGCTGACCCGCGCAAACCCCTTCATCCTTCCCCCCGTCCACCTTGCACGCCAGCTCGTATCCATTTTCCTCCAGCATTGCAGCGACATCTTCCACTTTGTCGCTCCAGACGCATTCAAAGCCGACGTTGACGCCATGTACGCCACGGGCGGGACCTTCCAACCCCAAGGCTCAGCCGAGGTGTGGCGCCTGGCCCAGTTCTACCTGGTGCTGGCTCTCGGGACGCTTCACACGCACTCGTCGCCGCTGGACCGTGCTGCTGGCAATGAAGAGGGCGACTCGAGCTTCCCCGGTATCGACTACTTTGCGCGCAGCAACGTGCTGTTGGTCGGCTTTGCCGAGCACTCGAGTCTCGACGCGGTCAAGGCGCTGGCGTTGGCGGCATACTATCTCTTGTCGGTGTGTCACCGAGACGCTGCCTATGCGTACATTGGTGCAGCCATGCGCACAGCCATCTCGCTCGGCATGCACCGCATGACCTCGCGCCGGGACGACGAGCACACCAAGCTCGTCTTCTGGACAGTCTACATTCTCGACCGCCTGATCAGCTCCACCCTAGGCCGTCCAGTCCAAGTCCTCGACGACGAAATCTCTACCCCCAAGCCATTTGCTCCCAACCCCAAGCTTCGCGCAGTTGGCTTGGCGGCGCATGTGCACATCGGCCAGCTGCAGACCGGCATTGTCCGCGACCTGTACGTCACTTCCAGCAGGGACAAGTCGCGTCGCCTGTTCTCCGTGTCGGCGGCCGTCAAGCTCTATTCTGCCGGCGTTGCTGTCGCGCAAGAGTTGCAGCAATCCGATTACGTCTTCACCAACCCTCGCGCCGAGGTTCTCCTCAAGCTCGCGTGCAACCAGACGCTCAACGTCATTTGCCGCCACGCCATGCTCCACGCCCTGCGCATGCGGTGGAGGCAAGGCAACGCCTACGCGTTTGACCTGCTTGCCGAGTCGCCCATCACCATCAACGCGAGCGGCGAACTGGAACGCAACCTAGCCCGCCTGTGTACCGACACGGTCGCCACGGCGCTCGACTCGGCGCACCTCATGCAAGTGCTCTACGCCACGGGAATGTGTCTCCCCTGGTGCTTCTTCGACAGCCACTGCGCGTACAACGCTGGAGTGGTTCTCCTCCTCTCCAAGTTGGTCGACCCGCGCCCTGTCGACGACGAGGTTGCGACCACCAAATCAGTGCTGGCCACGCTCGCTTCGTGCGGCAACGAGTCTGCGCAGAGCTGCAAGTCGATTCTGGACACGTTGACCCTCGCTATTGAGCAGGTCCCCACTGTGATCCCTCCGATGGATGATGCACTCGTCATGCCCGATGCCCCCCAGTCGACAAACGAATGGGTCGAGTTGCTCCAGTCGCTCGGAATGTCTGTTTGAGGCATACAAGAAAAGAAGGCGTTTTCGCATACCCCATGTAGTGTACATATTATATAAGAAAAGCAGCGGTCCCCAGCAAGTGGGCTAGCTGGTGAGAGCAATGGGATGCAAGCACCTTGTTTTTGTTTTTATCATGCTAGTATCGGTCGCGGTAGTTGATCAACGCGGACGACACAAACGAGCCCGGCCACGAGAACCAGTGCTTGGACGTGACGACGCCCGTGTGTCTGTCCACGGCCTCGGAGAACAGGCCATCCCACTGGACCTGGACGAGGAGTCTATTGATCACCTCGCTGACGTCCTGGTGCAGCTGTGCCTTGATGACCAGCCGCTGTCCTTCGCCCAGCGGCCATGGGTCGCGCGTATGCACTGACCCGAGGCCGCCGTATTTGCCTCCCGGGTAGAACCCGTCCGTGTTGGCCGTCGAGAAGCCAAACGCGAGGGTATTGTGCCACGTCTGTGAATCGAGGGCGCAAAAGCCCCAACTGGGCGCCAGGGCCGTGGGCAGGTCGTTTGCGTCGTGGTAAAACTGGTATTGTCCCGTCGTCGAGGTGAGGTATGCAAACATGTTCTTGCCCGTCGTCGGGTGCGTGGTGACGAAGTGGCTCAAGGTGTCGTTGCGGACGCGCGTTGCCCACTCGTCGACGGGTGTGGAGATGACGCAGGGGCCAACGGCCCGTTGGAGCTTGGCGAGCGACGACAAGGTGCGCCATAACACTACATGGCTTGAAAAGTGGTATGGAAACGCCACCTCGTCGTCGGCCGGCGTCTCGTCCGTCTTGAACAGCCACAGCTGCTCGCCATCGCTGTCACCGTTGCCGTCGCCTGACCACTGGTGGTCGCGGAGCATGGTCAGGACCGTGTCGACACTGCCCGTCGCCAGCTTGCTGATGAACGCCAGCTCTGCATCCGCGTCGGGGCTGTCGGGCGAGGCAAAGTGCGCGGCATACTCGGCGAGCTCGAGGAGCGGGTAGCACTGCTGGTCCAGTTGGAAAACGGCGTCTTTGGGCTCGCCGTTGACAAAGAACGACCGCGCCCAGTACCCGTGGGGGCGCTGTGCCGTGTCAAACACCCACCGCAGGTGTGCCTTGAGAATGTGGTGGAAACGCCGGCGCGCCATCTCGGCCGCGCCCGGAACGCAGACGGCGTTGAGGTGAGGGTACAGGTCGTACAGGAGCCGCAGCTGCCAGTAGTTGTCGCGGTTCCAGCCCAGTGGCAGGCATTGGTGGTCGGCAATGATGCACACGCCGCGGTCATTGTCCCCGTCCACGTCCTTTACAGGAATGGCACAGCAGCCCACGAGATAGTCGACGTTGCGGAGAACAATGTACGCCAGGGCGTCGCCGCGGTCGCCTCCGCCGAGAAACGCCGCGAGGCGCGGGAACGATAGGCCTTGGAGTGACGAGTTAGCGCTGGCAGCGAGGTCGCGGGGAAGAGGCAGGCTCTCGAGGTCGGCGACTGCCGAGCGGCCAAGACTGTACACTACGGAGAAGACGCGTTCCTCCGCTGGCGCAATGTAGCATGTGGTAGCGCATCGATACTCGAGCGGTCCAGTGTCGGTGTTCAACGACACGGGATCCAGCGGCTGGAGTTCATCGTCGACATACCAGCCGGCCTGCAGCGTGACGCCCAGATGGCGGTTGTGGATCACAAGTGTCTTGCCAGCGACGAGGGTGTTGTCAAAGTCGGGAATGGTGCAGATACCTTGTGGGGTGAGCTGCGTGTAAGGTGCGCGGTGGACGCTGAACAGGCCGCCAAACGAAGCTGTGACAGGCAAGGCCGTGTCGCCGTGGTTGGTGGCACGGATCGTGTGCAAGACCATGCCATTGGCGACAACGTACTGCTCAATCGTCGTGACGCTGTCGACACTGGCGCGAGAAGTCGGCCACGAGCCCTCGGCGAACGACCACTTCTTCTCCGAGGTTGTCGCGGCGCTATCGTCACCCCCGACGGCTAGGGACATGCCAAACCCAGCCTCATGGTCGACAGCTGCCTTGACGGGGAGGGCTCGATACTGCCTCACATAGGACTGGTCGTAGAGCTTGTCCTCTGGGAACTGTTCCCATGGGGCGACCACCACCTGACCGTGGATTGGGTCCGCGGAGAATATGGAGAGAAAGCGCCCGTACTGGGACAGGCTGGCTGTCACTCCGGCTGATCCAAAGTCGAGCGTCTTGTGTTGGTGGCCAGGCAGCAGTGGAAGGGCGTCAGCGTCGATTGCCATGTTTGGGAGAGTGGGAAAGAGGTGGAAGTAGGACAACGTCTGTTTGCACATTGCGCTGCGTCAATCTATGTGGTGAACCCTTTTGCGGGGCTGCTGCTCTCGGTTGCTGTCCTGTCTGGAGCAGACCGGGAAAGATGCGAGATGCAGTGAATGGTGGAACGGGTGAGAGCCGGCAAAGGGCATATAAGCCGGAATCGAACCGGAATAGACTTGATGGATCCGTGTCCGTTGTGTTCGTTTAGGAATGGCGGGAGTGGGCTATTAATGGCCATGCGGGGGGTTGGGATCGGTTGGAGCCGCGCAATCACGTGACTCATGTGGGCACCCGAAAAGGGAAAAAACGGCAGCGGCACGGGAGATCTCAGGGCATGGGCAGATCTGCTGTACGCCCCAGGCACTCCAACCTTCTCTCCCGTGTCTTCCCTCCTCCGCCCCGCCGCCTCTCTGCCCGGCCGCCCCGCCCGCCCCGTGTCCTTCCTTTTGCACCAGAACACACACAATACAATACAAAAACCCATTCCACCCATCTCTCCCGGACAAGTTCCAGCGTGTGCATCTGCGCGTCCCCCCCCCATTGTCCTTCTCCCAGCACACAACACACCACACCACACAGCACAGCCCTTTTCCACCACACCCAACAACAAAGGTGTCGTCCCCTCAACCCCGCCTCGCGGCACAACCGCTATGAGCATCAAGTACGAGCTCGACCATGTGGACAAGGCCGAGCATCATATAGAAGAACCACACAGAAAAGCCGTTCCCATGCACGGCCTCGACATGACCGCCGCAGAGCTCAGGCTCGTGAGTGTAGTGTGACGTGTTCTGTCTGAACATACCCCCGGATCGTCCCTCCGCTGACACCATATGACAGCACCGGCGCGTCAACCTCAAGATGGACTGCTGCGTCCTCCCGCTCATGTCACTACTCTACCTCATGAACGGCCTGGACCGCAGCAACATTGGCAACGCTGCCACTGTCGGATTTGCCAAAGACGTCGGCATGCCCGCAACCGCTGTTAACAACGCCGTCACCTTGTTCTTCATCACCTTCCTCATCTTCCAGCCCATCTCGGCGGCGGCAGGCAAGGCACTCGGCGTAAAGTACTGGATGCCCTTCCTCATGTTCGGATGGGCCATGTTCACCATTGCACACGCCTTTGTCAAATCAGAGGGTGAACTGATCGCCTTTCGACTCATGATCGGCGTGTTCGAGGCTGGGTTTTACCCCTGCGCCGTCTACTACCTGTCGACATGTTACATCCGGTACGACCTCGCACTCCGTATCGCCATCTTTTACGGCTCGTACGCCATTGCCGGAGCCTTCTCGGGCGTCCTCGCGTATGGGCTCCTCCAGATCAAGGGATCAATGCACTCTTGGCAGTACCTCTTCATTATCGAGGGCGCTCTCACGGCCGGGCTCGCCATCATCGCCGTGTTTTGGATCCCAAAGCACATTTCGACCGCCTGGTTCCTCAACGCCGACGAGCGCGAGTGGGCCGCAGAGCGAATGGTTCGAGACAGCGGTGGCGAAGACAATGCCGCGGCGGGTATCGCCATGACCGACGTCAAAGAAGCGCTCAAGGATTGGAAGTTCTGGATGGTTCTGCCCGCAAACATTGCAGCTTCTGTACCTGGACAGGCCTTCTCAGTCTTCCTCCCGCTCATTGTCAAGGACCTCGGGTATACCTCGTACCGCGCCAACCTGTTCTCGGTACCAATCTACTTTGTCGGCGCCGTCGGCCTGTGGATCTTTGCCTACTCGTCCGACAGGTTCAAGGAGCGGTCTTGGCACATTATCACTGCCTTGGTGATTGTCATTCTGGGCCTTACCCTCGTCAACCAGCTTCCGACATCACAGGGAAAGTACGCCGCCCTGTGCGTCCTCCAGATCGGCTCATACACGGCCCCGCCCCTCACGGTCGCCTGGCTGGCCGGCAACACGCCGTCCCCAGGAAAGCGTGCCCTCATCCTCGGCTTCAACGGCTGGGGCAACCTCGCTGGCGTCATTGGGTCGCAGCTCTTCCGCCCACAGTATGCCCCAAAGTACCGCCTCCCGTTCTACGTCTGCCTAGGTGTCAACGTCTTTGCGCTCATTCTCTATGCCGTATACCGGTACACCTTGCTCGCAGTCAACAGGCGCCGTGCTGCAAAGCTGGCATCAATGACTCCCGAGCAGCAGGACGACGAGCTGTCCAACGAGGTGCGCCTGGGCGACAAGAAGTACACGTTTGTGTACGCGACCTAGTACACGCTTGTGCACGTACGCGACCTATCCGTAGTGTCGCCTTATACCTTTTTGACCGTTGTGGATTTGTGGAAATTTGGGTTTTGTAGTGTTTGAGTATAAATATGTATCCATGGTTTCTTGTCGCCACTGTGTCTGGGTATCATCATAACTTTGCGAACCAGGTGGCCAGGTGGTGCAGGTGGAGGCAGTGTTAGCTGTTCTTGGCCGGCGATCGTCATCGTTTTTAGCGCCGAGATCGACCGCACATGGGAACACAAGTCTCCGATCCGCCCGTGATAACCGCCGTGGCGGATACAAACCTCCGAACATTTCAGACCTCACCACGAGGAAGACATACATTGGATTTCTTGGGACTCACCATTAAACAGCCATGGGCTCCAGCTCGTGCAGGCCGGTTTGCCATCGACGGCTCAGGTTCAGACGGTAGCGTGATTGATCCAAAATGCTCCAGAGTGACCGTCGCAACAGTCAATAAGTAGACACAGGCAGTAGGCACTCATTGTCTGCCAAGGCATGTCAGCAGCACTGGAAGGAGTAGTAAGTGCATTCAACTAATGAGACCTAAATGAGGCCCCAACGAGTCAACGTTCCTCCTTGGGCACTCCCCACGCAAGGGGCCCGTCATCAATGACGGTCGTGCGGCGGACGTCCCGTGCTGTCATTGTCGGAGTGTAGAGGTTGGAGCGGTGCATGGACTGGCGGTTGTCCCACCAGACCATATCGCCAGCTCCCATCCACTCCATACTGAACACGTACTTGCCCGTCAGCAAGCAGCCATGCGTGTGGATGTGGAGCCCTGAACTCACCTTGGGCTGAGTACAGTGGTGAATGAGCTCCCAGATGAGCTTCTGGCTTTCTTCCAAGCCCCATCCAACGACAAGCTTTGCGTGAGCTGCCAGGTAAAGCACTTTGCGTCCGTCCGGCCCGCGTTGGACCAACCGGTGGAAGGCAGGAGGCTTGGCAGCAAGCTCCGACGGCAGTGGGGCTGTGAAGACGTCGGGTGCTGCAAGCGCACGCGAATGCCACAGACTGGAGGGAGAGGTCAGGCATATGTCGGCAAGGGAAAGCAAGGTTAGGTGGACTTACTCATGTTCAATCACCAGGTCCTCCAAGCGTGCCTTGGTCTCCTCGGGCAAGTCGGCGTACGCCTGGCGCGTATCGGCAAAGTGTGTCCAACTACCACCGACCACGGGGTTACCGTGCGAGAGGAGGAGTGAGTACTTGCTCCGTTGCTGATGGTACGACGAATCCTGCGGTCAGAATTGGGGTTTCAATATGCCTCACTCACAGTATGCCAGAGGGCGTTTCCGCGACTGTGGTGCCAACGACGCGAGGAGGGCTGCACAATGGACCCATCGAGCTCGATGCTGTTGGGTAAGAGGCCGTCTCGTCCAGGAGAACTCACTTGCCGACATCCCATAGCAATGGCTCGCCCAGGCGATCCTTCTCCCTTCCGTAGAAGAAGGGATTCACTTCAAGGTCTTTTCCGAGGAGCTGTGTGAAGGCAATGTGACCGGCATTATCGAGCCCCGTGTTGCGAAAGATGAGGACGCCGTGTTTGTCCTGGAGCGCGACGAGCTGCGGTTGTCAGCGTCCTTGTTTCCATGATCATCACCTACCTCTTTCAGTACTTCGGGCGATACTGGCTTGCTCCAGTCGATTCCTGATACCTCGGCACCAAAGACGGTGCCCTGGTCGTATCTCACGATTGGCGTGGCGCACAAGTCTCCACCACGGAGCTGTAAAGTACCTGCAGTGGGACCCGCGGTGGTGGTGGGATACGTCCGAGGTCCAACAGATGTTTCAGTGAGGGTAGCCATGTCTAGCGAGTACAAGTGTATGTCGGTGTGCTGGTTGTTGTCCCATGCAAATGACCGCATGGTCATTATCAGTTGATAGGGGCCATGCCACAGGCGGTCTGTCGGCTGTGGCCCGACCACCACGGCATTGGGCCGCCCGACCGACCGACAGTTGTTTCTGCCGACCTGCCACCAGCTGCCCGCCCTATTCTTCGCTTTCAGGCAAGATAGGGTAGAGAGGCTTGGATTGCGCGCACGATAGTGGTGTGGATAAGCCCATCTAGCCAATCAACCCGGGAAATTATCCCGCACTCCCGTGCCGTGCTTCTCGGGATCTCGGGATTTCAAGACCCACCTCCACTATGTAAATACCTAGCCCCCAGGTGGGCATCTTGGACCTCTACCTTCGCCAGCCTCTCTCCAAACGACGCAAACACATTACCACCATGGGCAAGCGTGACGACCTCATCCTGATCAAGGCCGGCGGGTTCCGCTTTATCGGCATCCTTGAGACCGCGGACGCCCCAGCGACGGTGGCCTTGTTCCGCTCAATGCTCCCGTACACCCAGAAGCTCATCCACGTGCGATGGAGTGGGGAGGGCATGTGGATTCCTCTTGGCGAGACTGGTTGGGCCAGCTCGCTCCCCAACGAGAACCACACAGCACACCCGGCGCCAGGCCAGCTGCTCCTCTACCCCGGCGGCATCTCCGAGACCGAGTTCCTCTTCGCGTACGGCGGCGTCTCGTTCGCATCCAAGATGGGGCCCCTGACAGCCAACCACTTCCTCACTGTTGTCGCAGGACAGGAGCAGCTCCGTGCACTTGGCGAGAAGACCCTGTGGGAAGGCGCACAGGAAGTGGCGTTTGACTATGCGACAGACGAAGAGTAAGTGCCCACTCAGAGGCCGTTTCGCAGTACTGACGGTTCCCAGCATCAAGAGCATTAAGGCAGTGTCACGGCTGTGAGACAGCTTGTAAATGGTAGACAACAGGCGCATGTATGCATGACATAGTATCACAATGTTATTCCACAGCCCCAGCCAGTTGGTGTGGCGGTACTGTCAACAAGCAGGCTGCTTGGCCACTCCAGTCCCGCATCGGTCATGAGGTCAAACAGAGGCTGCAGCGCGAGGTCCGTATCGTGCGGGTCACTGGTCTCGGTCTGTTGTACCAAGCCTTGAAGGACAAGGGTGGTCGCGTTTTGAACCACAGGCTGGAAGTCGCGTCCAGGATGGGCAGACGATCGGGGGCTGATGGCTGAGAACACGGCAGCAGCGAGGGTGAGCAAGCGACCGAGCACTGATTCGGCACGAGCCCCTAGAGGCGTACAGGTTCGACTTGTCGTGAAAGGCGCGAGGCTGCATATCTGCAAGTCGTCTGACATTAGCATCATGGTTGCCCATCTGTAACTCACCGTCCACCACGCCACGGACGTAGCACAACGCAAGAAAGGTGACGGCGAACGTATGCGATATCCAGGTAGAGTCCACTGCATAGTAGATCTTGTCAAGGGCTTCAGTGTCGACCTCGAACGGTCCCGGTGGAAATGTCGTTGCGTCTTGCGACTGCAGGCACCACACAGCAGTCCCACCCGTGTCGGCCAGGGCGAGGATCGTCTGAGCCGCAGCAGTCAAACAGATGTCCAGAGACTGCAGCAAGTGGAGCTGGAGCGGCTGGTGGGAGGCCTGGGACGAAGACGATAGCAATGGACCAAGACAGGTACTGTTGATTGTGAGGCGATACATCCGTAGGGACGTGAATGGCAAATGGATATGCTGGGATGGCGTTACTCGTAACCTCTGAACCCAGTATGCCTCCCATTCGTCCATTTCCGTGTTGGCCTTCTTGAGAAGGGCGACATCCAGGATGCGGGGCTCGCAGTGGAGAGCGCGGTACGCAATAGCTGCCAGCTCGATGAGGGCAGTGACTCGGAGATCAGGTGGCTGCGCATCACCGGCGCGAGCGTAGATGATGCGTGACACCGATGCGGTAGGCCGTGGATCGAGACTGGCAGGAAGACCAGACGACAGCATCAGGTTGCAGTCGCACGTAACGAGGTTGATCCAGACGCGGAATCGCGACATGTCCTCGTCCCCCAAGACCTCATTCTGGAGCGGTGCAAGCACAGAGCGCTCCAGTCCTAGGAATACAGCGTAGCGCACCGCGAGGCCCAAGACAGCCCACGCGCTGACATCGTTGTACCGACTCTTCAAATGTGTCCCTTCTGCACGGAACGGCATCCACTGGGCGTACAGGAGTAATACGCGAATGGAGTCGAGGCACACGTCGGCTGGTGTTGGTCGTAAGAGCATGTTTGATATGACCGAGTCGAGCATAGCAGTGAGGTCGAGGAAAGACGGATGCAGCCCGCGATGCTTTGTGGAAGACCTGGGGATCAGCTCCGCTCCGCATATAGACAGACGTACGCTTGGTCCCAAAACCGGCACCCGACGGTGCAGACCGCAAGGAAGAGAGAAGCATTACCTGCTTCCAGAGCTCCCACGTCTTTCAGAGACCAGCTGAGAACTGGGGCCATAGCATGGCAGTGTTTGAAGTATCTGTGCAACGTCAGGAGCCTTGTAATGTCCATAGACTCACATGTCAACTGCCCGATGCGCATCAGCTCGTGAAATCACGCCTGCAGCGACAGGGTCATGTGGACAACGTTGCCCTGGCGGCGTTGAGATGTTAGACGGTGATGATCCTTGCACGCGTCCTGGAAGGGCCCCGAGAGAACGGAGTGTCGCAATAGGGGGGCCAAGGTCCAGCGTTGTCATGCAGAAGTCGGGCGGTGGGGATGGCGACTGGCCAGAGTCGTCGACATCGGCAAAGGGTACATCATTTGTACACTGGGAGGGAACCGTCCCCCGCTCCAGTTGCACTATCCTCGCCTCCTGGGCATTCACACTTGAGTCAGATACAGCATCAGCTTGGTCACATACCGCTTCATCAGATCGACGAGAACCTGGGCGACGTTGGTAGGCGTAGTCGCGAGGCCTGGCCCCGGAGCCGAGTCGGTTTCAAAGCTACATGTCGTCTCAAGCTGGCGGCACCGCTCACATGGCGAAAGGAGGGCCACCGTTGGGTCGTCACTCGTTGGAGCCGGCCCATTACATCGCTGCTTGCGTGAACGGCACTTGGACTCAGCAATGTCTGGATTTCATGTTGCCCACCTGCAGACAGGCCCGGGCTATGCGGCGTGTCTTGGTTGGACGATCGTCGCCAGAACTGAAGTAAACATATGATGACAATAGCTGGGTTGTGAGGCTTACGTTGGGGACAGTGATCTTGGGTTTGACGCAAACATGTTGTTGTTTCGGTCAATGATCAGTGGGATGGAAAGAAAACAAAGACATGCACGACGGATGTGGCCGACGCACTAGGCTCTACATACCCCACAGGCGCCGCAGTCGGGATGGGATGGGTGACATCGTGATAAGAGATGCTCTGGCCCTGACTGCTCTCGGGGTCCAACATTTAGGGCTTGCTATCATTTGAACGGGATTGGATCACAGCAGTGTCTCCGTATTGGTCACTGCACCGACTCCCAAGTTAGATCGCGCATGCACACCGGCGCACCGGCATCGGCTAATACTCGCTCGACATCCTGGGGCACGGCTCGGAACAAGAACTGTGCATCTTCGAACCACACTCTACCGTCTAGTCGTACAGCCAACCAGCAACATGCCTCACGATCTTCTCCTGTCCCGGAAGGTACCCAGGAAGTACACTTGGCCCCCGCTTGAGGTACTGTCCATAGCCACACTCTCCCACAAGCTCTCCATTTGCGAAGACGGCCTTGCCGCGAAGGATGGTGTAGCGTGGCCAGTTGCGGAACTCCTGACCCTCGTAGGGGGAGTCTAAGCGTCAGCAGGCACTCTTACACGCAGTGGAACCCACAGTCGACGTTATGGTGGAGCATGTCGTTTTGTAGCTTGAACGACTTGAACGACTTGTCTGGGTGCCACTGTTTGTCAGTCATGTTTCCAACATGTCGCTTACAATCACAAGATCCGCGTCCGAGCCAGGCTGATGTCAGCTCCTCGATCAATTCGTCCAGCCTACCATAATTGCTCCCTTGCGCGGATACAGCCCATACTGCCGTCAGTGATGTGATCTAGATTCGCAACTTACGATCTTGGCGGGATTGGTCGAGGTGATCTCCACGAACTTTTGCGGAGTGATGTGGCCCTCGAGGAGACCAGCAGTGTACAGGAGCGGGAGTCTTGTCTCTACGCCCGGAATGCCGTTGGGAATGTACTTGAAAGCCCCAGTCTTTCGCTCCAAGAGGGAGGTGAGTTTCGCGGGCTCGACGCACGTCTCATGAGCATGCGGCTCCTGCTGGTGGTGACACTCTTGCTCCCAGACCTCGCCCTCCATGCTTGCCTCATGTTCGGTGATGCCCACAGCCTTGCCATGTGGGTCATCGTACCGAAACGGACAATGGTCCGAGGCAAACGTGGTGAATGTTCCGTTGTGCAGCCCCCTGCTTGTCAGCCAAAGTGCTGCACCGGTGAGCTCACGTGTACAGTTTGTCCTTCTCAGATGAGTCTGGTGGAGGAGGAGGGGAACAAATCATCTTGCTATTCTCAAAACAGGTAGGCGAGTGGAATCGTTTCTTCTTGTTAGAAACACGCCCAAAGAGGTAATGCTCACCAAGTCGTCCCAAGTAAGGTTGAAGTACTGTGGACACGTTTCGGCGTAGATAGGAAGACCCCTGGACTGAGCTTCCCGAATGTGCTCGGCAGCCATCTTGATATACGTCAGCCGCTGATTGAAAAGTTCACATACTGAAGAGCCAACATGGACGAAGAGGATTGGGTTTTGAACCAAATGGGCCAGTGAAATGGCTCTGCTCGTAGCCTCGCTTGCGGCAATGGTTGGTCGGGAAAGAGCGTGGTACCAAGGCGCTGGCGTCAGCTTTGTTTCTCGCCCACTCTTACCAAGCATGCCCTTTTCCTCAAGTTTCTCTGCCGTTAGCCCCGTTGGTATGCAATAACGCACCTGTAAGCCACTCAATCATGTCGCCATTCTCCGCATGAACAAGCGTTGTAAGCTTGTTCTTTCTGGCAGCGAACATGACGTCGAGGAGAGCCCTATCCCCCAGCCGGATCGGTTCGTAAGTCATGAACACTTTGCAACTCGTAACACCCCACTCGTTCACCAAAATGGGGAGCTCGTCACGTAGAATCTCTGGGTCGTTGCGCACAATGTACACGTGGAAGCCATAGTCGACGTACGAGCCGGTCGCAGTAGCCTTGGCAGCGTACCGTTCGACGCAAGCGATGAGAGATCGGTCTTCCTCTGCGCGGGTCTGTGGCGCAAATGTGACGACTGTAGTCGTGCCTCCTGCTGCGGCACTCCTGGAACCCGTCTCAAAGTCGTCCGCACAGCGGCCACCGACACCGTTCGGACCTGATGTGGTCAGCTCAAGATCCAGTGGAATGCAACCCTACCGCTGTTCAAATCTTGTGACAGGTGGACGTGGCCGTCGATACCGCCTGGCATGACATATGCGCCCCTGCTGTCAGACAAATCCGAGTAAGGTGGACATACTCAGCGTCGATAACCTCCACACCCTCAAGGTCCCCGGGTTCAAACGTCGGTGCGAGACAACTGATCTTGCCATCCTTGATTCCAATGTCAAAGCGACTTCAGTCAGATTCCGCTGGTCAATGCTGAAACTCACCCGATGTCGCTTGCAGTGGCGACGAGGCCGTTGGTGATCACCAGGTCGAACTTGCTCATCGTGTGTATCAACTAAGGGGATTGAGCGTGACGTTGAAATCCCAACATCAAACAACGCCGGAACGGCAGATAGGCCGGGTCGTCGCTGGCGCATGACGCGCCTGTCGGTATCTTGCCGTCGGCCCGTCGAGCCGACGGATATGACCGCGGCGCACAATCTCACAACTCCGCACAGGCCGTTTACTGCGAGCGATAAGGGCGGCGGGAGTAGGACACACTATGACCCAGTGGTCAAACTGAATGCATAGAAGGACAGTACATGACAAGATCCGTCGGCCAGTTTGAGGTAATAACGATTCGCACCAGAAGTAAAATAAAATAAAATAAAATAAAAACTAGAAAAAGCAGAACGTGTGGAACAGATTCCCGGGGCTTCTGAACGGTTGGTCGTGTCAAAACGTGCACAATTGAAGGCCAGCCAATCATCCCATTGCATCTCTCTCTCTCTCTCTCTCGACCATTACAACTACTAGTCTAGCCCAACCCTCCGCTCAGGCGTTTGCCTTGAGCCAACCCCAAACGCCCTTCACCTCAGGCTCCTCGTCGGGGATGTCCTCGGAACATCCTGTGACAAAGTCCATCTCCTCATACTTGACCATCTTGCTTTTGTTGAACCACTTATAACCAAAGAAGAGGACAGCAAAGAAGGGGATGGGGAAGTAGGTCGTCACAAACGAGGAGGCGTTGAACTCGTGGACTGGCAGTCAGACATCTGAACTCGAGCACAACGACTCACTGAAAGCCGTAAATCCGGCGAAGATGAGGACGAAAATGCAAACAGTGAGACCATCTGGATGGTCAGTGGGAGCCCCCAACGAAAGACACGTACAGTAGCTGAGGTAGGGCTGGAGGGGTGCGATGTAGGGGAACGACTTGCGGTCAATTCTATGAACCTTGAGGCCGTGGTTCCAGCGAATACCAGTCCAAAGAATACAGGACCACGAGATAATACCGCAGACGGCGGTCATGTTGGAGACTGTTTGTTAGAGCCTGACAACTCTACACCAAGACACTCACAATACCCAAACACCGTTCCAGCTGAGCTGGTTTGGCTGGCAGCCATAAAGGAGAGAAGTGAGAAAGCGCCGCTGACGAGGACGCAGACCCAGGGAAGGCCGTCCTTGCGCGTCTTGGACAGCCACTTGTCGGCAAACCTCGGGGTCGCGCCACGGCAGTACAACCCATAGAGTGTGCGAGAGGAAACGTACATGTCGGCCGAACCCGACGACCACGCACTGGTGAGCAGAGCCGCGTTAATGATGGAGGGAAGGACCTTAATTCCGGCGTTCTTAATTGCGATTACAAAGGGGCTCTTAGCGGCCGTCGAGGACAGGTCCAGAGACGGGTCGTAAGGCGAGACAAGGAGTCCAACCATGAAGGCGCTAGCGATGTAAAAGAGGGCCAGGCGGATCCAAACGGTCTTCATTGCCCGAGGCACAGCTTTGCGAGGATTGGCACACTCTGCTGATGCGATAGCGGTAATCTCAGTGCCGATAAATGCAAACGCAGCGTCGATGAGAACGGCGAAGAAGCCAAGGAACCTTCCCCATGCCCCGGGGATGCCCTTATACTGCATGAACGGTTCCTTCCAGTAGCGGAACCCGATAGCTTCGTGGTTCGGCCCACCGCCTGCCGAAATCACAATACCAGCGATAATGAGGCCAATAATCGTGATCACTTTGATGGACGCGAACCAAAACTCGGTCTCTCCGAACACACGAGATCCGCTGAAATTGATGGTCCACTGTGGGTCAGAGGCGTCGCTGCACAGATCACTTACCACAACAATCAACATCAATGCCACCCATAGAGCGTTGTTACAGATGCCGGTCGTGCACGTCGACCCATCGACTCCAGCGGGTGTCCAGTAGGAAATGAGGACAGCAGAAGCAGAAATCTCGGCAGGCAGAACGACTTCCTGTCAGTACATAACAAGTTGTAAGTGACCCACTGATGTAGCTACCCGTCAGCTGCCACCCACACCCATGTGAACTCACTTATACCAATACAGCCATCCCATAGCAAACCCCATCTCGGGAGAGTTGAATCGACCAGCGAGGGCGAACTGACCACCAACCAAGGGAAACATGGCAACCATTTCGCCCATCGTCACCATAACCGCGAACAGAAGCGAGGCCATCGTGCAGTAGGAGATTAGCAAGCCAGCGGGGCCAGCATTCTTGAGGTCGCTGGCGGTGCCCAGGAACAGACCTGTACCCTGTTTACTGTCAGAAATGCAGAAAGGCACCACACGATACCTACAATGACTCCGCCGATGACGATCATTTGCACGTGGCGAGGACGAAGGTTGCGCTTGAGTTGGTTCCTTTCAGCAGAGGCCGACTCTGCTTCAGAGGCCGGGATTATCGTAACGTCCCCCATCTGCTTTAGATCCTGTGGTAGTCAGATTCAGGCCGTGTCCGTAGTTGCCCACTTTCTCAGTCGACATGTCGGAGGTGGGGCTTGAGGTTTCAGGTGGCTGACTTCTTGTCCAGAGGCCGGCCTGTATATACTCGTTTCTAGAAGCCTTCCATGGAGGCGTCGGCATGATCGGATCCTACCCGTAGCAGTGATAAGGAGAGAGATAGCTATAGAACGTGCAGCGCATGATGAGTTGCGGTGACCGCGCGATGTGGGCAGAAGCCAAAAACTCTCGGCCAACCAGGATCCAAGAGCTGGGGCTTATCTGGGCGGCAACCTGCCGTCGGCCCGCTGCCGCAGTCCCGACACCGGCAAACCCTGTTATCAGGTTCCTGCACCGAAAGTGGAACCGAAGACTGACGGCATGATAATCGACATGCATTGGCGCGACTTGCTTCAACCCATACCCCTCACCATGACTGTTCCACGCACCTTCCGCCCAGGCGTGTACGGACCCCTCCCCACTTTCTTTGACGAGAACGAGGAGATCGACTATGAGGCGTACAAGGCCCATTTGCTCCGTGAGTTGTCTCCGGCGATGCAGCTGCTGACTGTAGACCTCGCCAAACTGGGAATTGGTTGGTGGCGTGTCTCCCATGTATAGCACTGATGACAAGTACCTGTGGTCGGAGGATCCTTGGGCGAAGCAGTTCATCTCGTGAGTAGCAAACATACATCTCAAAGACACACCTTGGCTGACCACCGCAGAGCCGTGAAGACCGCATCTCGCTGCTCACCTTCGTTCGTAAGACCTTGGACGAGGCTGGGCTGCAGGACCGCCCCATTGTGGCTGGTGTCGGCGGCATTAGCTTGAGGGAGACGATTGCCCTCGCACGTGATGCCGCGACAGCTGGCGCGTGAGTTCATGTCTACGTCCCTAAGACTAATGACAGGGATGCTGGCATGGTCATCTTGCCCGCCTATTACGCCGCAAGCCTTGGGAGCGACATGACACAGATCGTGCAGTACTACGTTGACGTTTGCGCTGCCTCTCCTGTAAGTATATGATTAGCAGAAAGACGCTCACGCCAGATTCCCATTCTGCTCTACAATTTCCCTGCCAATGCGGGCGGTCTGGACATGCCCTCGGCCGTGATCGAAGAAGTGATGCGAAAGGCTCCAAACCTCTGTGGTGTAAAGTTGACGTATGTTTCTGCCTGGCTTCATTTTGCTAATTCCAGGTGTCCCGGAAGCGTTGGAAAACTAGTGCGCCTGTCAGGTGCTCTCTCGGACGGATCGGTGAACGCCGTACGCAGCTTCCCGTTCCTCGTTCTCGACGGACTCATTGCAGACCTCATACCATGGTGCGCCACTGGAGGCCACGGCACGGTCAGTGGCATTCCAAACTTTGCTCCTCGTGCAACCATGAAGTTGTGGAATTACACGCAAAACCCAAACCCAACCGCTGCCGAGACCAAGGAAGCATGGCGCTTGCAATCAATTCTCTCCAATGCCGACGTCGCCGCTGTCCCCTCTGGAGTGCGGGGAATGAGTGAGTGCCGGTGATGAGGCACCCATGTATTGACCTGCAGAATACGTCCTCAACAAGACCCGAGGCTACGGCATTACGCCTCGCCGCCCCTTGCTTCCACTCGATGAGTGTGCAGGTGAAGTGTTTTATACAGCCCTAAAGCAGCTCCTCGATATCGAAGCCGAGTTGGAGCTGGCAGATACCGATTGAATGTAGCGGGCGAGCTACTCTGGTTGTTCTCCATCATGCGGGATTCCAGATATGAACGTTGGGCCACACGGGGCCGCTCGCGGCAGGCACATTTGGATTGCCGTGATCGCCAGAAGCAAAATCCCATTTGCCCATACTTTGTAAATTTGATACCGCGGCGCCCATGTTACAGTAATCCCCGGTTTCCAGTTGTTAATGGGAATATGACTATGTGGCGCTCGGCCGGCCCACAGAAAGTACGAGAGTAGGGTAAAGTAAGTGTACTGCAGCACTAATTTTCCTCCCAACATAAGGGACGAGACAGCGGACACCAGTGTTTGTACAATATCATCTGCTCCAACCACGGGGTTTTCTATGGATTACCTCTCTGTACTCTGTAGCTCTAGATCTGAACTTCGTGGAGATCTGGGGAGACTGCGAATTTGGCACCGGTCTTGGCCTTGACCTCCTCGAGTGTTGCGCCAGGCATGAGCTCAGTGAGCGTAAGGGCGCCCTTCTCCCGGTCTACTTCGAACACTGCGAGCTCGGTGATGATCATGCTGACACAGCGAGCGCCAGTGAGGGGAAGAGAGCATTTCTCGACGATCTTTGGGTTACCCTTCTTGTCGCAATGGTCGGTTGTGACTGCGCTGGTCAGTAACGAATAACAGCGACATGGCAATCCGCTTCCACCATCCACACGGGCTCCCCAAAGCTTTCGTTGCTTACTAATAACCTTTGTAGCATCAGGTGAGCTGACGAGGTCCATTGCTCCACCCATTCCCTTGACCAGCCGGCCAGGAATGATCCAGTTTGCCAGGTCGCCGGCACCCGACACCTCCATAGCTCCGAGGACCGCGACGTCGACGTGGCCACCACGGATCATGCCGAACGACTCCACCGAGTCAAAGACAGATGCACCTGGCACCAGTGTGACGGTCTCCTTGCCTGCGTTCTGACTGTCAGCTGAGATCAGGGCCATGAGTAACTTACGATAATGTCTGCGTCCAGCTGCTGTTTGGTCGGGAGAGGACCCATGCCAAGGATGCCGTTCTCACTTTGGAGCCAGACCTTGCGGCCCTCAGGGAGGAAGTCTGGGATAAGAGTAGGCATGCCAATGCCAAGGTTGGCATAGCACCCCTCCTTGAGCTCCTGTGCGGCGCGCTGTTGTGTCAGCACGCGGTGTGGGTAGATAGCCAGCTCCTGCAGCTCACCTTGACAATCATTTCACGCTTAGCACGAGCGTCACCGGCTCCGAGGGCGTCACCGCCATCCTGTCCTGGCTCTGGAGCCAGTGTAACGTTCTCAATCTCCTTGGGGTGGTCGCCTTGACGATCCTGTCAACATAGATACCTGGGACGTGGATCTGCATTGGGTGCAGCTCTCCAACAGGTACAATCTCCTCGGCCTCGACAATCGTAATCTTGGCACTGCGCGCCATGGCCCCCGAGAAGTTGTGGGCCGTGTAGCGGAAGATGGCGTTTCCGGCCTCGTCGACCTTCCAGGCGCGGATGAGGGCCACATCGCCCTTGATGGCGCGCTCCATGATGTACTCGCGACCATCAAACTCCTCGACGCGACGAGGCTCGGGGAAGGTGACCGGCTATGGGTGTTAGCGACCCCGTCCGCTAGTCCGCTAGTGCCATTGACCGGCAAATAATGGGTCACTCAGTGGTAGCTCACCTTGCCATTCTCATCGTTGCGAGTCGCGACCTCACCGTACTGCACTGCGGTGCGGTTGCCAGTCGGCGTGAAGAAGGCAGGAATACCAGCTCCTCCAGCGCGGATACGCTCACTGAGCGTGCCCTGCGGAGTGAGCTCCATCTCGACAGAGCCCGTCAGGTACATCTTCTCGAGCATCTTGCTCCTGTGTCAAGAGTCAGCAAAACGTTTGGGGTGGTCGTGGTCCCGCCTTCCACACTTCCACTTACGCGCCGACGTAGCTGGCAATCAACTTTTTGAGCTGTCCAGTCTTGAGGAGCATGCCGAGACCCTTCTCCTCAACACCAGCGTTGTTGCTTACAGCGGTGAGACCTGTCACATCCTTGCGCTGAGAGAGAGCCTCGAGCAAAGTGCTAGGCAGGCCACACAAACCAAAGCCGCCGGAGAGGACAATGTCGTTGGGCTTGACGGCCTCGACCGCCTCGGCGGCGGATGGGTAGACCTTGCCATTGGGAGCACGCAGCAAGGCGGATGACGCGAATCCGCGTGCGATCAGGTGACGGGAACGGAGCGCTGGGCGCAGAGTAGTGGCGAGCATAGCTGTAGAGAACAGTGTGGGGACATGCGGAACAGGAGCGCTAGGCTTGGTGCATGTACAGATATATGGAAAGCAAGGTCCGAATCTCGGATCATGCGGCATGTCTGCGGTCAAGTGTGTGGAGACGTTGGCTCGGTAAGCAGATGTCCGATGAGGGACGACGACGGCGGCGTTCGGAGTTCGGTCGCGATTTACCCGGCATACGATCAGTCCTCGTCACATCTGGCAGAAGTTATAAGAACCGTGTGCATGTTGTGAGCCCCACAGCTTATCCAGACGACTAACGAGCATGCAGAACGCGACCCAGGTACTGCCATGGCTCTGCCGAGCTTCGTCTGAAGGGTATCTCCAGTGGATAAACCAAGAAGACGGAGAATTGATGGTGCTGGAGACATCAGCTTGGGCATTCGGTTTGGTGTGACCGAGCGGTTGGAGTCCCCGCATGCCCACTTTCCACCAACTCTCGCCCCTCATCGCGTCCCACAACCACCTTTGCGGCTTCCGAGATCAAGTGTCTCCACAATGTCGGCCGAGAAACTCGTCCCTCTCGTCGACGTATTCTGCGAGGGGGGGAACGAATTGTGCGCCAACCGATCAACCGAAGCCGTCGCGGATCACGGAATGACGGAACAACACAATGGCCGTGCGGAATTCAGGAAACCAGGACTCAGACCAGGACTCCTCATAAACAATGCCCAAAGTTAAATTTCAATAGCCCGGTTATATCAGTCGGTAGATAGTTTGACTCTTACTACTTTAAGACATCAAAATGTCATGGGTTCGAGCCCCATACTGGGCTTTCCTTTTTTGCTATTTGGCCTCCTTGCTATGATAGATGCCTCTGAATGTGGAGACCGGTTGCCTGGTGGACTCGTGCTTTTTGTGGGCAATCGTGAACGACAGTTCCAAGCCGGTGAAATGGAAATCTAAGCCAGTTCTGACCACCACCGTCCTGCCAACAACACATCCCGGAAGGTGTTGAATCATGGAGCTCTCAGTACCCGTGCTGTGACCGGGAGGTGCCGTTGGTGGTACAAAACCTCAGCTCCACTACCCTTCACACTGCCGTTGGCCGAGAGGGAGCAGATTGGAGACGACTCAGAACACTCGGGACAAGGACAGGGGTCTTGCGCTCCTGAGCTGCCGCAGTCTGCGCGATGTGTGTCTTTCGTTGTACGACAGCGCAAGCACTTCGGGAATCGCATTGTCAGATGCCGAAGTGCACCTCTGCCATGCCATGACTTGCCTTGCGTTGGATGCGGTAGGACGAAGACCCCATTCAGGTTCCAAGAGGGCCCCCAGATTACCCCGGCAACTTGGCCCACCCGTCCTACTGGCCCGTCTGGGCAACAAACGTCCTTGTTGGCAATGGTGACAGGCACACTCCCGACAACCCGTCTCTCCTTTGCCGTCTGATGCCGGAGTAGAGCACAAGGGAGCGGGGTAACAGGGGGATTCTGTGGGTCTCCAGGTGGGGGTGGCCGACTCCATGTCCAACCCTGAGCGGGGGGGCAACAGTGTCTAAAAGGTGGAGAAAACCGAGAGACGAGTCACCTTTCCCCCACGTCTCACTCACTCACAATGACCCACGACGTAGCGCCAGCACCACGATTTCACGACGAGAAGGCCGCGTCCCTCGAGGACTTGGCGCTGATCGACCCCCACCTGGAGCGCAAGCTGCTCTGGAAGATGGACCTGCATCTTGTCGTAAGCCTGTCGGAGAAGAGCGTCAGGCTAACCGCAAGCCCATTCTGTGGCTCATGTGGACATTCTCAAACCTCGACCGTGAGCTTGTCTCGACGAGACACTTGAGGCTGACAGTCCAGGCAGCAACATTGGCAACGCGTATGCTGGAGGAATGAAGGCCTCTCTTGGGATGGACAGTACTCACTACTCGATTGCGCTGCTAGTGTTCTTCATCGGTAAGCGCCGGAGGCAAAACCAATCAGCCACTTAACACTCATACCACTGCCAGGTTATGTTATTCTTGAGATTCCAAGCAACATGATTCTCGTCCGTCTGCGCCCATCGATCTTCCTGCCCGCCTGCATGTTCCTTTGGGGTGCCATCGCCATCGCCCTCGCCGGTTGCAAGACCCCTGGAGCTCTCGCCGGCGTACGTGTGCTGCTTGGTCTCGCGGAGAGCCCCTTCGCCCCCGGTGTGCTGTACCTGTTGTCCACCTGTGAGCTGCAGTCGTTTGGGTGAAAGACTAGAGCCATATCTGACCCACAGGGTACAAGAAGAAGGAGCTGGCTCGCCGCTACACTCTCTTCTGGCTTGGCACGTGAGTTGGTGCAGTCTAACTGCGCGTGGATGTGGCGCTGTGGCGTCAGCCGAAATGTCCTTTGGACTGACGAGAAAAAAAGTCCCGTGTCAGGAATGATCGGCGGTATCCTAGCAGGAGGAATCATTGGCAAGCTGCACGGCAAGGGCGGATTCGAGGGCTGGCAGTGGCTGTTCGTCGTGCGTAGAGAATGGCAGTATAAGCAGCCTGACAAGCTTGGCTTGGGCTAAAGGGAACAGATTGAGGGCGCTGCCACTTGCGTTGTGGCGCTCGCCGCATTCTTCCTCCTCCCGGACTACCCGACCACTACGAAGTGGCTCACCGACTCGGAACGTGATATCATCCTCCGCCGTCTCGGTGAGGAGAACCTTAATGTTGAGGGCGAGGAAATGGGGCACATGGAAAGCTTGAAGGCAGCGTTCACAGACTGGAGGACTTACGTAAGTGTTTCCACGTTGGGAAGATCGCCCTCTGACTTGCCAGCTCTTCGTTCTCCAATATGTGCTGGCTACTGGCTCGATGACCATCACCTACTTCATCCCCACACTCGTTGGTACCTCTGGTCTTGGCTACACCGGCTCCATGGTGCAGTACATGACTTCACCAATCTGTAAGCAGCGGGACCAAAGGCAAAACGCATTTTGCTAATATTTCGCCAGACGCCGTCGGAATTGTCTGTGTCTTCACGGTCTGCTTCCTCTCCGACTACCTCCAAGAGCGCGGGTTCTTTGTTGTCGGTGCAGCGCTCATGGGCACTGTGTCATTCGGAATCATCATGGGCGTCCAAAACCACGTGGTGCAGTACATTTTCCTTTGTTTCGGCCTGGCATCCATTTTTTGCTGCGTCCCGACCATCCTCGTGTGGGCCTCCAACGTCGTATCGTGGCCCAGAGAGAAGAGAGCAATCATACAGGCCATGCTGAACGTGGCTGGTAACGTTGCAAGCATCTAGAACGTGTCAAAACAGGTGTAAGAGGTGTTGGAAAGAGGTCGCGAGTGGAAAAAAGCTCAAGAAATGACCTCGGCGATATTTTTTGAGTGGTGGATCGGCGAATTGCCGAGTGCCACACTGCCACCTTGTCTCTTCCAGCGCACTCTCGGGCGTTTGAATGTGAGCTAATACTACGCAGTGGGTCGTTCTTGTGGCCCTCGACCGATGCTCCAAGGTATTTTGCTGGATTTGGCACGACAATGGGATTCCTCTTCCTCCTCTCGGTCACGGCCTTGACGGCTAGGGTCCTGTTCCACAAGTTCCCCTATCCCGAGCAGTAGGCGTAGCAGCAGATCGTAGGTGTGTAGGGCCGTTGAGAGGACTGAAATGTGAGAAGATTGTCTGCCACGATCAGTATTGCACCAGGGGCAACTGCCACACCAAGCCTTCGCCAGTACCCTCCCTAGCTGCATCTAAACTCGTTGTGACAAACCTCCTTCTCCCCCACCGCTGCAATGCGCTATATATGCCAGGTACCGATGTGCCCAATAACTTACGTATCCTAACAGCCTTTCAACACATGGAAGGTTAAGCCATTGAGCCCAGGCAGCAACGCACCCAAGAATGACTACCGGAGAGCATGGTTGTTTGGTTCCACCGCCTTGCTCAGCGGGATCAAATTATGCACCCCATGCACTGGGTCCTTCTAAACTATGCAGCCAGTCGCCGATGGGTCGCCTGGTGTACTGTTTAGAGGAAATGCAGCACTACGCTCTGTCTCGGAGCCCATAACCTGCCGGTAACGAAGGTACATCTGCTGAACAAACCCAACAGTGGACGGCGGTATATAAAACAAAGCACCAGATCACCAGACGAAAGATGAACCCACATGCTTGCTAGGTTCTATGGACTCAGTGCCAGTGCCTTGCGATTGTTGTCACCCCCCTTGTGCTTCTTGAAGCCATTGCTCTTGGGAGACTTTGGACTGGCCAGTGCGCGAAGCCTCTTCCTCTGCCCTCTGCTGTTGGTGGTATCGTGAGTGGGGGAGAGTGGCTGGCCTTTCTCGGCCATGTCGACAAAGTCCACCACGAGGTCGTCATTGCTTCCGCCAGGGCTGGGCGAGGACGGGGTCGAGTCGCTCTCACCGTACACCCACTTGTCGAAACTGCCAATCTCCTGGCGCGCCTCGCGGTAGCTGTCCAAATCGAGCATGTCGAGGAGGTTGTCGGGGAGACGGGGGGCGTTGTCCGGAAGATATTTAAGGACACGCGGATGGGAGGGCTCGCGTTTGGCCAGAACCTTGAGAGTTTTTGTCAGCTGAAGCCGTGTGGCCTTGGGAAGCCGCACGAACAACACGCACCTGCCACAGCTGCGTCGTAGTTGGCTGCATCCGGGCCGCGACACCGTGCTGCTTCCAGTCGGGGACTTCGAGGTACATTGTCATCTTGGGGCCGCTGGTACCGAAGTGCACAGTCGTACCCTGGAGAGCGTTGAAGATGGCCTTTGAGTCGCGCGAGCGGACAGCCGAGGTTGGGATCGACTTGAGTGCCAGGGCCAGGGCTTGCATACCTTGCTTGCGCTGGAGGCAGGTAAGCACAGAGGGTGGGGAATGGCACAAGCTGCTCGTACCATCGAGTAGGGAAGGTACACCTTGGTGTCCCCCGCAGCTGCAGGTTTGGTACCAGGGACGCCGACGAGGGGGAAGATGCATTTCGGCTGCTTCTTTTCGAGCTCGGTGTTGATGTGTTCCGAGACCCTGGCCACACACCAGAGCTTGGTACCGCTGAGGACGTTGGGGTTGTGGTACGGATACCCGCCGCGAAGGTCGTCGACAGGGATGCCTTGAGCAGAGAGCGCAGCATGAATGACGCCGTTCTTGGCGACCAACGCTTGGATCACGCTGCTGCCGTCGTCGTCGGCGCCGGAGTCGCCACCTTTGGCATCATGCGCCGCCTCCTCGTCGGTAGGGTTGGATGCCACACAGAGGATGGGAACCCACTGGTTACCGAGCAACGACGCGGATGCGAGATTGGTGAAGCCGACGTGGTGCGCTCCGAGGATCTCGAGGACAGTGTCGCCAATGAGGAGGATTTGGTCGAGGTTGTACGACATGAGGCGCACCTCTGCCTCGGCGTCGTATTCGTGCTCCTCCATTGTGGTCGGATATGGGGGCCGGGAGAGTCGAAGCCAGATGTCAAGGACAGAAAGATGGTAAAAGTAAGAGGATGGGAAGTTGGTGGAAGGAAGGGGCAAGCGGGGGAAGGCGTGTGTGAGCGTGTGTGTGTGCGTGTCCACGAAGGATGACTGTGCCCCTCAACATGATCAGCACCTTTCCATTTTGGGAGTCGCACAGCCATCAAGTGCAACCGACATGTGCTGTCCGTGTGACGCGTAGACATCATCTGTCTGGGCTCTTGGGCATGTGCCGTGCATGTCCCGATAGTAGTAGCTCTCACCATCCTGCACAGAGGTAGAGTCGGCACGAGTGTCAAGCTACGTTAAACCACTTTGCGTTTGACATCATTATATACTTTTTATATCTCTGTTTCAATACTCAACGCTACGTGCTACGTCTAATCGACGCCAGGAAAGGCGTCCAGATCTCTCATCAGAAGGGTGACGACCCTCATGCACATAACTCACACGCGTTTGACAAGGTGGCTCCACGGGTCCTCGCAAAAGCTCTCTTTGAAAAAGCCGCGCTCGCCGTCACCTCCATGGTCGTTGCCACGGCCGTGGCCACCTCGTCCACCCCGTCCACCTCCACCCCCGCGGCCACCCCATGGCCCGCCGCGGTGCGCAGATCCTGATCCTGAACCTCCCGCAAATGCGCCGTGTGGCTGAGCCCCGGAGGCATCCCGGCCGCCGGCTGTTGCTTGTGATGGGGACGATAAGGGGTGTGGGCGCTGCAAAGGGTCGTCAGCGTCCAGCGCCAGAGAACAAGAACAAATCGGGTTGGGGGTTGACTTGAACCCGGCCACTGCCATAGCCAGGGGTCTCTGCTGCTGCTGCTGCTGCTGCTGCTGCTACGGCCACTGCCCCCCCTCCCGATCGATTCATCCGGAGTACCGGAGTACCCGATGCTGCAACGCCGAACCTGGCAACAGAGCCCTATCCCCCCCCCACAGCTGTGGAGGCAAAGGCAAACCCGCCGACGCGTCGGGTAACGACGAGAACCAGTAGTAATCGGGGAATGAAGCAAGCACGAAGCACGCCAAAGCTCGTTTGAGAAGTAAAGGAAAACACATACCTTGTCGCCTGTAGTGAACCCGTGGGTTGAAGAAGCCGACTCAGCCTCGGCCGCCGCCGTAGCGCCGCCTTCCTTGTCGGCTTCGTTTACACCTTGGCCTTGCGTCAGACCGCTGCCGCGCGCTGCATACGCGTTTGCAATGACCTGCTGCTCGGTCGGTTCGTCTTGACCTGGCGCACGGGCCCCGTCGGAGCGTCCATGTCCGCCGCGCGTGCTGCGACCCCGCCTGCCACTGCCGACGGCGCCGCGGGGTCCTCTTGTGCGCGCCTGGCCGCGGGAGGAAGACGACGAGGGGTCGGCGGAAGAAGAAGCTTCGGCGGGCGCGGAGGAAGAGGAGGATGAGTTGTTGGCTGGTTGGGTGCTGTTCTTTGAGGCTTTGCCAAAGGCCATGGGGAGGCCGAGGGCGTCCATGGTCGGCAGGAGAAGGGGTGCCAGGGGGGAGGGGAGCGTGGGGTTTTGTGTTGATGGGTGATGGTGGATGGAGGCGCGGCGGTGGATATGACGGAGTTGTGAAAATGACCCGAAAGGGAGCAAAACGGTGTCTGCAGGTTGCCATTATGATTAATTATAAATGTAGAGACTAATGGTCCTAATAGGCCCCCCGTCCAATATGTCCGTGTCGGAGGAGAGAGCCAAAACACGCACCATGTCGGGGAGCAGGGCCGGTGTGCCGGACATGGTGTGTTTTTTTTTCTGCACCCTGAAGGCCCAGGAGGCAGCGACACGGCCAGCGTACCGGCGTGCAACTTCTGGCGGCTGTCGCTTGCGCGCGCGGGGCGGGGTGTCTCGACGAGACACTGGGGTGTGTCCTTGGCCGCAGCGCTGGCCGCCGGCTTGTGGGCGTGCACCTGCGTATTAGCGTTTCCTGGCTCTCCCTGCCCCGCCTGGACGACCCGCCAGCAACACCCTCCCGGTCCTCGTCCACTCCCCCCCCCAACTATCCCTATCCCCCGGCTCTACTCCATCCTGCCTCTCTCTCTTCCATCTCCTCTTGCACATCTATCGTCTCCATCCCTCCCTCCCACCTCTCCCCCCTCTTCCCCTCTCTCCCCCCCAAAAACACGCCAAGCAGCTGCCAGCCATGTCGGCCGACGCTCAGGCTCACCCCGCCTCCAAGCTCGCGGCCATCAAGTCCACCGCGGGCTCCCTCGTCAAGCCCGGAGAGTCCGAACTTGCTCGCTGGAAGCGCACCTTTGACAAGTTTGCTGGCCAGGAGGTCGACGGCACAAAGTGAGTGCCGCCCCCCCGCCCATACCGCCAGCATGTGCTTTGCTAGCTGTCTAGGCAGCTGGCAAAAAAAAAAAAAAGGACAGAGCCACCACCGAGCTCGCCGTGCCCCAGCCAGCTGGCAGGCATCGAACCTGGTTCTTGCATCCTCCCCTCTCTCCGCGGTGCTGCATGGACCTCTCCAGCACACACGTCCCGACTGTCCACACGGGCAGACCTTCACTGGCATACGCGGCTGAGTCTATGGGACGCGTCGTCGACGCTGTCACTTTGATCGCTCCGGAAAAACATTGTCACATTCCAGCACTGCCGCCCACCACCCATCGGGTCCCGCCGAACTGGGACAACGCCAAAGACATTACCCGCTGACGCCGGTCCAACCCGACCATTTACTCTCTACAGATACCTCACTGTGCAGCAGTTTATCGATGCCATCGCCCCTACCAACGAGGGCTTTAGCCGCATCAAGCGCGAGCAGTACAGCATCCGTGCGTCATCATCGTCTAATCAAACTCGACTAGACATCAATCTCCAAGCCTCGCCCGAAAAGCTGACCCGAGGTGCTTCTTTCCGTAGTTTTCCGCGTCGCCGACACCCACAACCGTGGCCTCGTTTCGTTTGAAGAGTTTGTGGTCTTTGAGACGAGTGAGTAAACATGCGTGCGCGCGCGCATGTGTGCGTGCATGGCATATGCTTTGCATGCATGAAGGGAGCTTGGCAGCTGACACCAAACAGTTCTGAAGCGGGTGAGGACATTACCCGGTGACTGCCGGGCCCTATAACTGACCCTGGCCACAGCCCGACGCGGACTACCAGCTGGCGTTTGCCGTCTTCGACGTGTAAGTGGCGGCCATCGTTTACAAGTGTGTCTTGCTGACATGGTACAAGTGATGCCTCGGGTGAGGTCGACTTTAACGAGTTCAAGTCGGTCCTGTCCGAGAACCTTTCTGCGAGTGGCATCCGTGCGTATGCTACCTTCTTCTGCCCCTTGTGACTTGTGTCTAACCGCCCACCCAGCGTTCAACTTTGACTGTGACTGGATCAAGCTCTACCTGGGCAAGCGTGGCGGCTCGCACGTCCTTGGCTACGACGAGTTCACCCAGCTCATCAAGGGCTTCCAGGGCGAGCGTCTTCGCCAGGCCTTCCATTTCTTCGACAAGGACTCGGACGGATACATTGCGCCCGATGAGTTCCAGCGCATCATCGTCGAGGTCGCGGGCCACAAGCTCTCGGACTCGGTCCTCCAGCGCCTGCCCACCCTCTGCACCATGAGCCCCGGCCGCAAGATTAGCTACTCCGAGGTCATTGCCTTCCACAACATCATTCGCGAGATGGACCTCGTTGAGCGTATCATCAACCGTGCCGTGCGCAATTCGCGTGACGGCCGCATCTCCGTTTCGGACTTCCTCGACGAGGCTGCCAACAGCATGCGCTACGGTGTCTTCACTCCCATGGAGGCCAACATCATTTGGCACTTTGCTAGCCGCGGTGCCGATGGATCGGCACAGCGTCTCACCAAGGGTGACTTTGAGGCTCTTCTCGACGCAAAATGGCAGCCTCCTGTGGACATTCTTGCTGCCCCCACCAAAAAGACCAGCCTCCTCCACGAGATCGGCAACTCGACCTACAACTTTGTCCTGGGTGGTATTGCTGGTGGTCTCGGTGCGTTCACCGTCTACCCTATCGACCTGGTCAAGACCCGTCTTCAGAACCAGCGTTCGACGGTCGTCGGTGAGGTTCTGTACCGCAACGCGTTTGACTGCGTCAAGAAGGTCTATGCCAACGAGGGCGGTGTCCGTGCCTTTTACCGCGGTGTCCTCCCCCAACTCATTGGTGTCGCCCCCGAGAAGGCCATCAAGATCACTGTCAACGAGCTCGTCCGTAAGAAGTTGACCGACCCCGAGACTGGCCGCATCTCTCTTGCCGCCGAGATCCTCGCTGGTGGTGCCGCTGGTGGTTGTCAGGTGTCGGTCACCAACCCCCTTGAGATTGTCAAGATTCGTCTGCAAATGGCCGGCGAGGCCGCCCGCGTCGAGGGTGCTGCCCGCGTTACTGCCGTTGGCATCATCAAGCAGCTCGGTCTCGTCGGTCTCTACAAGGGTGCCATCGCATGCCTGTGGCGTGACGTTCCCTTCTCCATGATCTACTTTACCTCATACGCACACTTGAAAAAGGACGTGTTCAAGGAGGGCCGCCAGGGCAAGCAGCTCGGCATGGGCGAGCTCCTCCTCGCTGCTGGTATCGCCGGTATGCCCGCCGCCTACCTCACCACCCCTGCGGATGTCATCAAGACCCGTCTGCAGACCCAGGCCCGTGCCGGCCAGACCGTGTACAAGGGTGTTGTGGACGGTTTCAAGACCATCCTCCGCGAGGAAGGTGTCCGCGCCCTCTACAAGGGTGGTCTTGCCCGTGTCATTCGCTCGTCGCCTCAGTTTGGTGTCACCCTCACTGCGTACGAGATTCTCCACAAGCACTTCCCTTACCCTTACGCCGACGAGCCCGCCGTCACCGTCTCCCCACTCCGCCAGCACACCGACATTTCGCGTATCCGCGCGCGCAACGGTCTGCGTATCCTCCTCGACTGCTCGAGCAGGTTTGGCATGGTCAACGCCGAGTCGGCCGCCAAGCACGTCCAGTCGCTGCCAAAGGTGCTCCAGGCTTGAGATGAGGGTGGCCGCAAGCAGCACACCACACCACACGGTAACGAGCCAGCCGTTGTTTTTGGTTAATTTCTGGGACATTGTTGTCGGGGATAGAACATGCATGCCTCATTTTGTCACGCTTCTTCAGTGTACCAGTGTTCAGTGCAGAGAGACCTAGTTGCACATGCGAGCTGCGCGCTGATGTTTGTTGCCGGCGGCTGGCGGCTCTCGGCGCCGTCCTTTTGGCTCACACCCCTGTGCCTCCACCTGAAACGTCCACAACATCCGAATCCCACCTCGTGCTCCTTCTTCATCCTCCCATACCCCCAGCAATGTCCCTCGTCTACCACGGAGCACCACGTCTATACCCAGAGGCAGGCCCGTCGCTCCCACTACAACCACCACCATCCATCGCAGCGTCCGCGTCCCCATCGTTGCTTGTTCCGAGCCTGCCATCTGGGCCGGCGCGGAGCGGCGCCGGCTCGCCTGCCATCGTCCTCGAGGGAACGGACGGTGCCAGCTGGAACATGAGCGGCAGTGGGATGCGCGTCGCCGCCATCAGGTTTCCGAAACCTGTGAGGCTCAGTAGCCTGCGCATCGTGCCCGCGGGTGTGCGGTGTCCCCTCGGTGTCGGGTGAGTGGAAGCGGGGGAGGAGAGGTTCACCACCTCGTGCAACCTCCCAGCAGCTGTGGACCCCTCCGGTACGATCAGCTAACGCCCCCAGCGAAACGGACGACGTGGAATTCACGGCCGACATCTTCCTGCACGTCACGCCCAGCGATCCCGTCAACGCCATGGTGCGGACGCGAGCAACAGTCCCCGCCGCACCGCACGCCATTGACTTTGCGATGGACATGCCAGAGGGAGTGAGTCTACGGCTTGCTATGGACCAGTTTGAAGCTGACCAAGCAGACGTCCACAAGGCTTGTTGTTGTGCGCGCACCCGTTGACAAGATTACCATGTCGTTGTACGCCTACGACGACGGTGCAAACGCAACGACCGCCGAAGGCACTTCCGCGATCATTCCCACACCGCCCACTACATTGCCTCTCCCGTCCGCATCAGAGCTGCTCTCTGCCCTCGCCTCCCTCCCAGCCAGAGGCGACCTCCGGACACGTGCATTCAAGACACTCGCTCTGCTGGCACGCACGCCGAGCCTATCGCTGGCCGACGTCGTCGTCGACCGTGGGGCGGTGGACGCACTCTGTGTCTCCGACGACCAGGACGCAGACTGGGGGGTGCGTTCCGTCCTCGGCCTCGAACCAGACTCTGTCATTTACCCCGTTCCCCTCGCCGAAGTGACAGAGGTCCCGCCCGTGTCTGCCGGCGAGGCACTCACTGCCCTCACCCGTCTGCCCGGGTACGCCAGGGTGGCGGAACACCCGTCGTCTATTTCATTCTTCTCCATCGTGCTCGCCCTGGCTCGCGCGCAGATGCGGTCAGCCCACCCGCGCGCGGCGCACGCTCTGGCCAGTGTACTTGAACGTCTGGCTGCAGTGAGCGACGACGAGGGATCCACGGTCGTCGGCGACCACCTCGCCCGTTCGCTCCCGCAGTTGGCAGCACATGCCCGCGCGCGGGGTGCAGATGTCGCCCTCCCCATCCCTTTATCCAAAGCGCGGACCGTTCTCGACGTGCTGTTGCCCGTCACATCCGAGGTCACTGCCGAAAACACCACCTGTGCCGCCGCCGCCCGGGCCTTGGCAGAACCATACCTCGCCGCACTGGGACCACACGACCCCATCCGCCAGGCGTGGACGGCGACCAGCCCCGTCCCGAGTCCTTGCTCGTCTGGTGGCGCCCAAGTGGCTCGCGCGCTCGATGCGCCCACTACGTCCATCCATCTCACGCCTACAGCGCACGACCTGCTCGAAGCCCTCGCACCGGCCTTGCTTGTCAGCTTGAGTACGGCGCCAACCCCGCCTCTGGGTCTGAGGTCCAAGTATGTCGTGCCCTCTGGGCCGGGCACGGCGAGCCACTACGCTGGCAAAGTCTACTCGGCGCACGAGTTTAGGCGCGAGAGGGACACGGCAAGCGGGCTGGGCGTGGGTCTCGCTGGGGTTGGAAGGAAGGCTAGTCGTCATGTGGACGATTTCATGTCGTAGATGGAGTCCGCCAGGACACATAGCACAGTTGTATAGCTTAGGAATGAACGGGTCAGTGCATCGCCCATGGCCTATGGCCACTTGTGCTGAATCATTCAGGTCGCGGAGCCGTATCAGCACGACTGCGACTTCGATGGCTGTTTTTGCTTCGAATCTTACAAGCTTCTAACCGACCAGGCGCAAAAAGACTGCCATTGTGGGGGACGGCGCAAAAAAGAATTCTCCGCCAGGGAGTTGAACCCTGCTCTACCGCGATATTCCTAGGAAACTCCCTATTGAGAGGCGGTTATACTAACCGATATACTAGCGAAGATTTGATATTTGTTACAAATTCTGCATTACCAGGGTCAATGATTTTGCATTTGGCAAACTTTGTTGCAACGTCTTCGACCCCGATATCTCATGCCTCTCACGCTTTCTGCTCTGCTGGCTAAACATATGACAGTCGTGTCCCTCCGTTAACCGTAACCTATCCACGACGTCGCTCTCTTCCAGCATGAAATCTCCCACACATGTGTTAGTCGTCGAGCTGGCACACCGTGTCCTACCAGATCGATAGTGTATTGTGTCAACAGCAACGAAAGCGAAACTAGGAGGGCTGCATTCGTTATTCATTTCTGCTTCAGACTATTTAAGTGTACCAGGTGGGCTCCGGGATCTCGTCCAAGAGGAAGTAGCGGCCGAGCTCGCGGTTCTTGTAGGCGACGGGGTCGTGAAGAGTGTGGGTGCGGACGTCGCGCCAGAAACGGTCAAAGCCGTTCTTGGCAGTCGTCGCACGCGCGCCGGTGACCTCGAACACGCCCGACGTGACGCGCAGCGCAGTGTCGGTGGCGACAACCTTGATGCTCGCAACCCACTCGGCGAGGTCGCCGCGCTCGCGGGCAGTGAGGGTCGAGTGGTCGTCCGCGTGCTTGGCGTACAGCTTGGTGGTCTCCTCGCCAGCGCGGTCGGCAAGCGCCTCGGCCGCGCGCAGGTGGGCAAAGAAGTTGCCGTACGTGGCGAGAATATAGTGCTCGTCCGTGGCCTTGTCCTTGGTGTCGCCGCCAGTGTAGGGCCACGGGCGAGTAGACGTGGTCGTGTATTTGCGGGCAGCCTCCAGTGCACCGCGGGCAATGCCAATGTAAAAGTTGCTGAACACGAGCTGGATGGTTGGGAGCAGCAGGCTAGCAAAGGGGATGAGGAGGAAGGCCGGGTCGGGCTCGCGCGTGGACGGGTTCCAGCCGAGTGCGTCACTCCAAGGTGCCGAGACGTCAGTGACAGTCGCGCTGCCAGACTCTGTGAGGCGGACACCAATGTTGTCCCAGTTGTAGGCAAACTTGATGCCCTCCTGCTTGGTAGGAACGATGGCAAAGATGTGCTTTTCCGGGGCGCCGTTGATGGCACCCTCGAGGACGAGTAGATCAGACACAGCGGCACCGGTGGTGAAATGCTTGAACCCGTTGAAGGTGAACTTGTCCGTGCCGGCTTCAATAGCCAGGTCGTTGTCGCGAGGGTTGACAGCGCCGCCGACGTAGTAATTGTTCTCGATGATGAGCTTGTGGGTGCGTTCAATCTGCTCAGGGCTACCGAGGATCACGGCGGTGAGAGACCAGAGCAGGTGGTAACCGAGGAGCATGCCAAGCGATCTGCGATCAGCCAAATCCTCGGCGGTGCACTCACCCATCGCCAGTTGCCACGGCGCGGATTGCCTGGTATCCGACGCTAAGAGGCTGCTCGCCGCCACCGTACTTCTTGGGACCGAGGATACGGAGGAGGCCCGAGTGCTTCAGGAGTGCGACCTCGGCGAGGGGTGACTTGTTGGCGCGGTCGCGGGCAGCGGCATCAACGGAGAGCACAGCTGCGACGTCGCGCGCGCGCTGCAGCCATCCGTCGGCATCGGTAGGGTACACTGCCCACTTGGCCTCGTACTGGGCGTACACGGCAGGGTCCGAGGCAGTCGGGGGCTCGCTCTTGAACTCGAGCGGCGGGGCGCTGCTGGGCTTGGTATCGGTGGTCATGGCTGTTGGGTTTGGTGGTGGATCATGAAGCTCGGCGTGGCTCTTATATGCGCCTACAGTCGAGCACGTAATACCAGAGTGCTCGTCAATGTTCGCGCCATGTTGTGTAACAGACACGACAGCATGTCGTCGTACGCGCTAGCCGGATGTGAGATGGATGTGTTGATTCTGTGTGGTTTCTGTGTATGGAGGACCCTAGTCCTGCGATGGGCTAGTCACGCAGCCATATGGCGTCATCGCCAACCATAATGATGCCGAAAGACGCTTCTGCCATCTCATCATGTCGCCTTGGTTATCTTGACGCAATCCGACACGGGGTAAGGACTAACCGCTAGAGATCGGACTCAGATCGGACTCTGTACTCTGGGCAAGGAGCAGTCCAACAAGTGACGGATATCAGACATGCGGCCAAGTGCAAGTGACCAAGTGGGGAGGGACCCCAAGGGTCGTTGCTGCGGTTGGACAGGTGTATACGATTTTGATTTTGATACCGGAGTCGCACAGTCATATTAGGGTGGGAATTTGTAACGGGGGTTAGCAGCCTAATTGGAACCCAGCTTGGTGAGCACGGCTTTGGGTGGCGGACAGCTTAGTGCTTCCCACTGTGTCTAAGACGTCCAAGTCAATGTTCAATGGTCAATGATCAATCACGATCCACACGGCCTCCTGTTTCCCAGATCCAAGAGAAACACCGGCTGGCCAGGCTGATCGCCTGAAGATAAAGGCCATACGTTGGCCAGAGGGCTTGGGAAATCCGGCAATCCGTTGCGACAGGAACGGCAGAGACCATCACGGGACCACGGGCACTTTACTACAACGAGATACGCCGGCGGGCAACCCGGCACAAACCAACATGTTTCGCTTTTTCCGTGCAAGGCTGTAAATAAACAACGTCAGAGGCGTTGGAGAGGACCTGGCTGTCTACTGGAACTTTTGTCTTTGTCCCATTGTCCATCTCGATTCCTCACTCTCACACTCACTCTCACACTCCCACCGCAAACCTCCACAGTCCACAGTACCACCATGCTCGGCAAGATCAAGCTCGGCCTCAAGAAAGCGTTCGTCCCACCCGACGAAAAGAGCGCATATGCTCCGCCAGAGGGGGTACAGCGTCCCAAGGTCTTCTTCGAGGTGGCCAGTGGCGACACTCATTTCGGGCGCATCACCATGGGTGAGTGGACGAGCGGGTGTCTGTGGTAGAGCAGGTTCGATGTGGTTTGGTGGCTTGGCCCAAGTGGAGCTGACAATCATCAGAACTCTTCAGCGACGTCACACCCAAGTGCGTGTCGTTTGTAATTGAAGCGGTCGGGAGGACTGTAGCTGACCCTCAGGACCTGTGACAACTTCCTCGAGTTGTGTTCAGGCAACGTCGAGCATTGCTACAAGGGCAGCTTGTTCCACCGGTATGTTCAGGAGCAGGAGGCGGAGCTGGTTGTTTGGCTGGCCGGCTTCAACATCCCGCGTTCTCCTTGCAGTCACATGAAACGTTGCTGACACCACAGCGTGTAAGTGGCCACTCTGGCCGGTGCCCCCCAACTCTCCATCAACTGACGCAACAAGCGTTCCCGACTTTATGATCCAGGGCGGCGACGTGATCGCCGGCAATGGCACAGGCAACTGGAGCATCTACGGCGGCGCGTTTGCAGACGAAAACTTCCGTTTCCGACACAAGGTCGCAGGTCTCTTGAGCATGGTGAGTGCTGGGTCGTGGATCTGTGGTGGATGTTTGTTGCGGGACGGGGTAAGAAGGTGGTGGTCGGCAATGGCCGCAGTCGTGGCGCACGCGAGGTGGGCGGATTTGCTAACCTGCAGGCCAACTCTGGTCCCGGCACAAACGGCTGCCAGTTCTTCATCACGACTGCGCCTGCTGATTTCCTCGACAACAAGCACGTCGTGTTTGGCCGCGTTCTTGAGGGCATGCCTGTCGTGCACCAGATTGAGAATGTGCCCACCAGGGAGAATGACCGGTGAGTCGTGCCGACCCGTGTCCCAGCTGCGGCACTGGCTCACACCTCCAGTCCCTCGACCCGCGTCGTCATCACCGCCTGTGGTGTCCTTTAAGGGTGGGGTGCTTTGTACAAGAGCCCAGTGGCTCCACATTGTGTATCAATACAACCGCGCGAGCGCGTGAGTGAGATGTAAGTTGGCTGCTCGGTTGGCTGAGCCGGACCTCCCGGTGGTCCGTATTGATCCAATTGACCTGCCCTGTGGCAACGAGTACATGGTTGTGTGCATGTCCTTACAGGTGTCGTGACTGACCTGACTTATCGAAACGCTCTCTATACTACAATCTGCGCGCAGTGCTTCAAAAGTTCACGAGGGGTTCGCCATATTGGCCGTGGGAAGGAGCGCCGGAAAGCTTGGCCGGCTAGACTTCACTGCCAGTGATCTGAGGGGGAGGGCGGAAGGTGGGTTGCTGGGCGGAGGGTTGGACAGCCTGGGCAGTTTGGATGGCTTCCTGGCCAGCGTGCTGAGCAGGAGGAGGGCCGCTGTGGTGTACTGGTGGCGAGTGCTGCGGGCCGCTGGGCGCAGTGTGGCTAGCCTGGTGATCTTGGTGGTTGTATTGGGGAGCCTGGGTCCATCCAGGGCGGACGTGGTGGATGTGCTGGGGGTGCGGCATGTTGGGGGGCTGGACCATGGGCGTGAATACGCGCGGGGGACAGGCTTCCGCATAGGCGGGCACGAATCCGTGTGGCAAGAAGCGAACAGGCTGGGTGTAGTATGGCGAGATTGGGGTTGGGGGCTGGGAGCCGAGAGGAGGAGGATTGGCGTAGATATAACGGGCGGGAGCGTACATGGGAGGACGGTACGTATAGCCAGCGTGGGTAGGGTACGTCTCAGGTTGTCTCCAGTGAGGTCCTGCGGCCAGCATGTCTTGTTCCCCGTGGATTGGTGTCTCTTGGGGGTGCTGGAGGGCGGGAGGCGGAGCCGCGTGGCGCAGGGCAGCGTCGATGGCGAGGGTAGTGGGGATCCTGGCCGGGCCAACGTTGGTGCCGTTCTGTACAAGCGGATCGACAGGCGTGGCGATCTGCGAGGGAGGGGGTGGAGGCGGCGGGACACGGGTCATGGCGGTGGGGTACGATAAGATGCTGATGCGGGCGGGAGCGCTGACCGGCTCAGACTCGGTGTTGAGGCTGGGGGTAGCAAGCTCGGTCGCGTTACTGAAGGGCGGCTTCTTGTTGTTGTCTTGAGGGTCCGAGACCTCGAACGTCGCGATCGACCTAGGGGCTGTGACACGTTCAGCCGTCGAGCTGTCCTCAGAGACGTGGCCCGCGTAGGAGGTATCGTCGGAGGTGGTAGTAGCGTCGGTGCCGTCCTTCATGGCGATGTCCTGGTCGTTGTCTGACTCATGGCTGTTGACATTCCCAGTGAGCTCCTTGCTGATGCCAATACCGAGAGCACGACAAGCTGGGCCTGGAATAAAGCCTTGCGTGATGGTGGGGGTCATGGCCACGTAACGGTTGGTGGGTGGGTATCCCAGCCCAGCGGCCTGGAGGTGGAGCTGCTCGCGCCTGATTAGTCCAGACTCCCTGGTGAGGTTGCAGAGGTGTAGGAGGAGCTCGTGGGTGGCAGCGTTCTGGGTGTCGAGGTCGGAGTTGACGAGGTGAGTGGACTGCACAGTCAGCTCTGGTAACTCGAAACTGGCGCAAACAAGGTCGTGGCCTGCCACTCACCGTAGTGGAGGTAGCCTACAGGTTGTCAGCGGGTTACGTTGGTCCGGAGCTACCCACCTCATGCTCAACAGACATGATGTGGTGCGAGTTAGCTTGCTCGAGGGTCTGCAGTGTCAGGTGGAGGACGAAACCGCAGACCGACAACCGAACGCACCTTCGAAGGGATGGTGGTGGCGGCACTGGTGCGAGCTGGAGCAGATGCGGCTGGATGGGTAGCCCCCATGGCGTGGACCATGGCGTGGTGACACGAGGGTGATGTAGAGAGAGATGGAGCAAGTGGTGAAGAGAAGTGAGAGAATGTTTGTGTGAGAAGAGAGAAGGGGAAGACTGAAAAGGGGGGGTGACCGGGTGACGTGGGGTGACGCGTGTTGTGCTGGTGGGATGGATCGGCGGGATCCACACGATCAACGCCCCCTCCGGCCCCGTCACAACAACCACACGGGGAACATCGCTCAGCACATGTACAGCACTGTGCCCTCGCTCATACAAGATCAAGCAAGGCGACTCATACGTGGTCTGAACATTGTAAACAGATGTCCTTCGCTTCACCACGACCCGGGTTCAGACTCAGTTCCTCTTCCCCTCCTCTCTCGCTGCAATAGACTATAATTGATGCATACCTATGCAGATGCCCAATGAGTGGACGGAGTGATGTAGATGGTGCAGGTGATTGGAGGGGAATTTATGTACTAATATACGATATCTGCTACAAAGCAATCAGGTTGCCTGAGAGCTGGTCATGCCCTTGCTGGGCGAAGTGTCTCGGCGGCGGGCAGTGGGCTGTGGTGGTGGCTGCAGAGCAATGGGAGCCAAAGTGGTGGCCCTGGCGGGCAGCTGTCGGAACGGGTTGGCGAGGTCTGCCTTGCGCTTCATGCGGTAATGGTACACGTCGACCAAGACTTGGCCGAGTTTGGGAATGTCGACGGGCTTGCACAATACACCAAAAAATCCGGCTTCGAGACATCTAGTTTGGGTGGCCTTGTCGACGTTTGCGGAGAGAGAGACGCAGCACGGCTCGCCTGCCAATGGGCTTGCCTGGATACGTTTGAGGGCTCCAAAGCCGTCGAGGACGGGCATCTGGAGGTCGAGGAGAATAAGGTCGTAGCGCTTCCTCTCGGCACACTCGGTCGCTTGCATCCCGTCCAGAGCAGAGTCGACGCTAGTGTAGCCGAACAATTCGAGGATCCGCGTGCAGACGGAAATGTTGACAGTCGAATCATCGACAACGAGCACGTGAAGCGGCTTCTCCTTTCCGAGGTTGGGGTCAATGGCCTTGCGGGAGGAGATGCGATTGTTGAGACGTGGGACAGGGGTGGGCAGGAACAGCTCGTTGAGAGCCTGGAACTTGAGCGGGCGCGCGAGGATCGAGTCGCGCGGGATCTGGAGGCGGTCCATCTCGAGAGAAATCTCGGTTGCACGGGACACGAACATGAACTTTGCGTTCGGCTGGAGCTGGCGCATCCTCGTGAGTGTATCGCGATCGATCATCGAGGCGTCCAGGAGGATGAAGGCGTAGTGTTGGCCCGAGTTGAGGCCGCCAGGATGACCCTCCTTGAGCGCAAGCTTGTCCTCTGTGAACCGTGTTGGCGCACAGTTGAACTCTTTGAGATCTTCCTCGAGCACTTTACCCCACACCATGTCGGCCTGGACGAAGATGAAAACTGACTGGGTGATGGTAAACTTGCGCAGCGGTGTCGGCGCCCAGTCTGGGTCCCGTGTGGCGACAAAGGTAAACGTAAACTTGGACCCTTTGCCAAACTCGGACTCGACCACACAGTCGCCGCCGAGGAGGCGAGCGAGGTCGCGTGAGATGACAAGTCCCAGACCACTGCCACCATAGGACCGTGTAATCGATTCGTCTACTTGCGAAAAGCTCTTGAAAAGCTTGCTCAGCCTGGATGCCGGAATGCCCACACCATTGTCTTCGACGGTGATGCTGATCATGATTTGATTCTCGACTTCCTCCCAAGTGCGTTTGACAGTGACACGTGCGGTACGCTTGCCCTTTTCTCCCGGAGGTGTGAACTTGACGGCGTTGGACAGCAGGTTGAGTAGCACCTGCTTGACCCGGAAGGGGTCGCCGAGTAGACCTGGCGGGTCGTTCTTGAACATGCTTAGCACGGTGAGTTCGACGTTCTTGGACTGTGCCACTGGAGCGACCATGTCTAGGGCGCCCTCGACGACGTTACGGACGTTGAATGGAATGTGCTCGAGCAAAACAGAGTTGGACTCGAGCTTGGAGTGGTCGAGAATGTTGGAGATGAGCGCCAGCAGGTCTTGGCCACTGTTCATGATCGTCTGGAGGTGTTCTCGCTGAACTGCTGTGAGACCCTGGCTGGCCTCGAGCACCGCAGCGAGACCCATGATGGCAGCGAGGGGGCTACGCAACTCGTGGCTGCACTGGGATAGGAACTGCGTCTTGGCTTGCAGGGCCGAGCTGAGCTCGCGTGTTCGCTGAGTGACCTCCGTCTTGAGGCGGCTAGTGAAGATGTGGTGCAGGTGGATGATGTACGCGAATGTCGCAAGCGTGCTGACGATCTCTGGTGCGGACTCGTACTGAACAGTCGGACTGGCCGAGGTCATGGACATGAGAAGGATGACGCCAGTTTGAACGCCTTGGTTGATGATGGGGAGACACAGGAGCGTGCGGGGCTGACGGTTGTTGTAGAATGGGTCATTGCGCAAGCGGGACATCTTGACTGGTTTGCGGATAGGCTGGCATTGTCAGTTGAGAGTCCCCACGAGAGTCACAAACTCACAATACCTGTGCGCGCCACATGGAGCATGACGGTGGTGGGACAGATGCTCTGTGCAGCATCGTCGCTGATGTCCAGGTCGTATGACACGATTCTATTGAACGGTCCCGCGGCCTTGAGGCGGATGATGGACCTGTCGTCATCGTCGCTCAGCCCAATAGCAGCATAATCGCAGCGGGTGAACTGGCACAGGATCTTGAGCAGCTCTCCTAGCAGTGCTAGGCTGTCCTTGTGCTGAGCGAGGGCGATGGCGGACCGCATCAATGTCAAAGTATCGAGATTGTCGTTGATCGAGTTGATGGTAGGCTCGAGTGACGGCGAGCTCGTGCCGTCTGCGATGACCTCGGACCGGGGAATCGAGGAGGACGCTGTTTCCGCTGTGGTCGCAACCGAGATGCGGCGGAGCTGGGGGATCGCGTCGGGGCTGAAAAAGTCGGCTGGACCGCGCGGAGTAATCGCAATGGTGGAGCAATGGGCAGGGTACCTAGCACGAAGCATAAGGCAGAGCCCGTCGGCGTCACCAGCACGGTACGAGTTGAAGGCAGCCCGGATGTAGCCGGCCGCCAGCTTTGCCGAGCCCGAACGTTCCTCCAAAGCCTTTGCAAAGCAAAAGTTGACAAACCCAGACAGCATGTACTGTCCCCCCTCGTCCAGCGAAGTGGTCATCTCGTCGACCATGTGCAGGGTCTCAAACGTTGCTCCCTGGCCTTTCAGGTCCTCGAGTGCCGACAAGACGTCCAGGCGTGCACGAAGGTCGGGTGAAAACTCGGCGTATGGCGATATGGACTTGCGGACCGCGTCCAAGAGGTCGGTATCTTCCTCCACCCGCAGCTGTGCCATTGCCAGAATGAACTGGAATTCGGTGCCGATGGCGAGGCCAAGGCTGAACTGTAACGATGATCGACCGGCAGCGAGGGTAGCCTTGATCTCTGCTTCTGGCGCATCAAACAACAGCTGCAAGCGAAGCCGCAACATGTCGTAGATGGCCTTGTGCAGATGCAGGCCTTCGATCCCATCGAGGTCATGCGGGATGAAGAACGGGCCCTCCATGTCCCAGGGCCGGACCTTGCTCGCACGTGACAGATTTTCGGCGTGCTGGACGAGAAGATGAAACCAGACGTGGTGCGTGGCGGTCGCGTACGGCTTGATCATGTCGTACCGACGAGCAACAATGCCCCATTCCACAGGCATGGGGCCGAATATACGTGTTGTCAAGTCGAGGGCAACGACATCTGGGGGCATCAGCTTGGGGAGGTGACTCTACTCTATCACAACTCACAAGCTGCAATCTGATAGTCGGCCAGTGCGAGAGATGCGTCAAACGCGCGGGTCATGGGCTCGACAACGTCCTTCAGGGGCGAAAACAGCTATCCCAGTCAGCTTTCAGCCATCGCTTCAGACACCTTACATGAGCCTGCGCGGCAATGGCAATGCGCGAGCTGTTGGTAAACAGCGAAGTTGGGTACCGGTCACAAACGTCGCCGCCAAGCTTTATCAGGGCGTATTGCGTGGGAGGGTCATCAATCTTCTATGTCAGCTTGCACGTTCGCAAACAAATCTGGCTCACTGTCAAGGCGTGCACCGTGATGAGATACGAGGCACTCTCGTGGACGCGCTTCACATGCTTGGCGATCGACAGTCCAACCTGGAAGACGGCCTGACGACGTTCAGGATTGGTGACGTAGATGGAGGGGCCCGCATAGCTGATGAGGGACATGATGAGGACTCCATCTTCATCGCCCGTAAACGGGTCGTCAAAGATCATTTCCCGCCTGAAAGCTTCGACATCCTGAGGGCTCTTTGGAGCCCACAGGGGCACAGCTGTTGGAGCCTCGGGGTTGAAGCCAAACTCGTCGAGCGTCTGGAACAGGTGCTCAATCGCCGTGACATGCTGGTTATCCGAAATAAGTTGGCGGATATGTGTTGTTGAAATGGTAATCTTCTCAGTGGACGTGCGGCACAGCGGCTTCATGCTCTCCAGGACCTTGAAAGCAAGGTCGTGCTCGTGAAAGACATTCGCCACGTCGGTCAACAGGCGCACATGGTTGAAGCAGAGGTCTCGGTGGTCCACAATCCAAGTCTCAAAGCCGCCCGAGGCGTCGATGATGCTCTGCACGCTCGTGGCAAAGTTCTTGGCCAAGGTGAAATTGGCCACCAGGCTGGCGCACTGAGTGGCGTCAATGAGAAGACTGACCAGGCGGCTGTCCTCGGTGACAGCGATTCCCATGTCTCGCGCGATGATGCCTTGCTCGACAGCGTCAAAGATGTATTCGTCCAGGAACTCGTCGCGGCAAAGGTAGCTGAAGATGCGCAAGTGCATCGTGCCAACGTCGGCCTCGGGAACCAGAGACCGTGCTGCAAGCTGGGCCGGTTAGCCAAAACAACGACACGTGGAGGAGGAACAACAAGGACGCTTACCCTTTGCCTGTCATGAGTGAACCGGACTTGGGTGCCACGGATGGAGACTGCGCCCGAGGCAATGGCCACTTGGACGAGGTTATCAGTCTCGCCGAGTCCCTTGCCCAGAGCACCGGCCAGTGCTTCGAGGGGGAATCCGTTGGCTGGTAAGAAGCCGAGGACCTAGACCAATCAGCACACGGGGGTCCCATGGTGTCGCGCGTGACTCACCTTCAACATGTCGTGAACATCTGTCGGCAGCCGCCGCATGACACTTTCCAAATAGGCGTCAAAGCTGGCATCGGACAGGTGGGACTGGAGGGCCACCAGGTCGAAGCGCCACTGCAGGGCGTCATAGTCAAAGGCAACAACGTAGTCTTTGAGCAGCGTGTTCATGAGGCTTTTCAAGAACAAGGGACTTCCGCCCGTTTCGCCGTAGAGAAAGCTGGCAATGGCTTCTTCCGAGTTTGCCACACGGCCGCTAAAGCAGCTGTTGATAAACGCTGCGACGCCGTCTTCTGTCAGGCGGCGAACGTGCAGGCCGACCGAGGTTCGGGACAGCGTCCACGAAACAGGAGGAGGTTCGGTCGAGTTTGTTCTGGTCAGGTAGATCACCAGTACGTGGTCGAGGGGCTGTGAGCCGTCCAACATATGTCGCCAGCTGGTTTGGTCAACAGCGCGCCTCTTGTACAGGACGCTAGGCACTCACATGTCAATCTCATCTGCAGACATCCACTGGGTATCGTCGACGACGATGAGCAAGGGGCGCTGTTTTGTGGCGAACAGCTGCAGAAAGCGTTTTGCCCAGTTCCGAAAAGTGACCAGGAACTTTTCCGACTCGATAACAGGGTGATGTACTTCATCCACATTGATGAGCCGCCGACAGTCGTTGGACAGCAGTGATGCAAACAGGGTCCATTGCGTCCCGAGCGTCTCGCGCATATCCTCCAGCCACGTCCTGGAGTCCTCTCGTGGGTCTGTGAGGACGCGGTCGAGCAGCGACTGGAAAAGATCGACAAAGCTCGCGAGAGGCTTTTTGACGTGCTCGCTCAATGACACATTGCCGACGAGACAGTTTGAGACTTCGACTTGGTTGATCCACTCGTTGACTAGGCGCGATTTGCCGTTACCACTCTGGCCCCAGACGTTGATGACTCGACTAGACGTGGTCGCTGATGCCACGGCGTTGAACGCAGTGTCCAGCGTCTCTATCTCTGGGCCACGCTCAATCACTTGGCGAGGGAGCTTGAAGCGCGACATGCGGTCCACCTCGCCAACGGTGAACTTTGACAAGTCGCCCTGAGCCTTGCAGACCTGCGAGAGCTTGCTCAAGTCGTATGCCAAAGCGTCTAGGCAGTGGTATCGTTCTTCGGGGTCCTTGGCGAGTGCCAGCATGATGATCTCTGACAACTGCTGTGGAGGCAAGTCGAGTTCGACATTGTTCTCCTCGGCATATTGCGTCAAATACTCCATCGGTGGTGTCACTGTGGTTGTGACATGTCGGTGCACATCGGCCAACAGGTCAATATCGGCCAGATCTGGCGAGTCGGGACCGCCATCGATCGTTGTGCCCGTCACAAGCTCGTATGCAAAGACGCCCCAGCCGTAAATGTCGTTGCTGGGAGACACTCGTTGTGAGATGGCGGCCTCGGGTGCGAGGTACCGCAAATGGCGAAACACATAGTTTTCGCTCAGGGTGGACGAGCTGTGGTGGATGGGGTCGCGTGCAAAGAGTGCCGACGACGCGAGGGCTGGGGTGAGGAGGGAGTTGAGGGATAAACCGGGAAGTGCAGTCGCGTCCCAGAGACGGTTCACAACGACCTTGTCGTTGAGGACCATGAAGCAACTGGGATGGCACCAGTTGAGTGACATGCGTCGGTCGTGTAATGCCTGGAGACATTCGACAGCCTGTAACAGCAGGTCGATTGCTGCAGCCCAAGGTTTGCGGACTGGCTTGTCGTCGGCATCTGTAGCGCACGCGCACGGCCAGTCTTCACCCAAGGTGTCGGCCCACACGGTCGGGAAGGGGATACATGGTGTTGGTTGGCCGTCTATGACGAACCAAAAGCCCAAGCTGTCCTCCCACCAGGCCAAAATGCGAGCTGGCGGGCGAAAGCGACGAGGAAAGCCCTTTTGCTCTGGTATTGCTGGAGACGAAGGCGAACTGGGGGAGCTGGCGACGGTACGCAGGCTGTAGGGCACCGTATCAAGAGCTTTAACCTGCGCCTGTCGTCGAAAGTACAAGGCCGCTGAGTGTCATTAGCAGACAGACACTGGGAGCACGTTGTCCTAGGGGTGCCAGTAGCCACTCACATATGGTGTCGTCATGAGGACAGAAGCTTGCTCATTAGCCAAAATGGCTTTCGTGTGCCGAGAAAACATGAACCACTCACTGCCATCGGACGAACTGGTTCGGGATAATGTCGTCGAGGAGGGGATACTCTGCAGTAGGCTCGATACGTGCCCAGCCCGACACCCAGTCGGCACTGGGCGCACGCCGTGACTGCAATGCTGATGCGTGTACTATGATCATGGGCGAGGCGGTTGGTGATGTAGGATCGATCTCTACCTCTAGCAGCCCGTGGGCTTGGAATTGGGCGTCTGTTGGCAGCATGTTGAGACGTTTGCCAGAGCGTCTGGTTGTTGTGACTGGAAGCAGGGGAAAAGGCGCGCTCTCAGCCAGTCGGTCAAGGTCGAATAAAAGTGCTTGCTAGGCAGCGGCCATGACCTGGGACCGAGTGGCAGATGTGCGGCTTGGTGTGAGCTGGCTGCCAGAGGCTGTTTGGTGGGAGTCGAGTGGGGTGTGGGTGTGTGGCGGGGGGTGTAATGGGAGGGGCGGTTAACGGCAGCACTGCGGGATCGAGATATGGCCAGCGATTGAATGGTGGGTGTACCCGTTGTATGGCCCAGGCTCGGGATGTGGATGGAATATGGTGTGTGTATGTGTGTGTGTGTCTGTACGGTGTGGCGGAGGCAAATGACGCAGGTACTCAAGAATCAGGACGTCCGCGCGGTGGACATCCGGTCACATCCACAAAACCCCCCACCCAGTTGATGCATCAACAACAACAAGGTACATAGTAGAGTACCCCGTGACATCTTTTGTGTGTACCTGTCTGTGAATACGTAACCATAAAACAACTCTACTCTTATCCTTGTTCTTTGACACCCCACGCGCACATGAAAGTTGCACCTGTGTCGTCGTCGTTGTGTCTTGTGCGGAGAGAGAGGGCCAGCGGAGAGAGCGGAGAGAGCGCGGAGGGGGTTTTTTGGCACGCATTTCCCGCCAAATGGAAAGCGGGGCCGTCAATGACGCAGGTGGCGTCAGGGTCCCTGTGCGCAGTCGCAGAGTCGTCGTCATCCAAAATCTGCTTCCGCGTTACGATACAGGGCCTCGGGGATACACACTACGACGGCCATGGTGTGCCGCTCGTGCCGTCTCTATGTGTTTTCTTGTCACATCCACATCACCAGTCGACCTGACATAAGGACGGCACGTGACCACGGAAACAGGCCATATGGGTCATACGCCTTTGCCACATTCTCGCCATCACAGATCACAACTAACACAGCCCATGCCGTCCGCCCGCACGAGAGGTAAACCTGGGCCACACTTGTGGATAGGATACTACAGAGATACGCTTCGGTACTGCTAGTCCTGTACGAAGCAAAGCCTCTCTGACCCTCTGCAACTCGCCTGGAACCCGCCGAAAACTCGCCCCATCTCGCCCGTAGACCATCACCATGGAGTAGAGGTCGGACACATCCGACCCCAACCTGCCCACCGGTCCGGGCCGGTCCGGTCGGCGGACGCTCTCAGTTGCAACATTGCACTCACATCCCATCGCGAGGCCTGAATGCCCGACATTCATAATGGACGCTGCACGAGAGAGGTCCTCACACGTCCATACATCTCATAATGGTGCTCCTGCAACCCAACGCCTTTGTGGATAACCCGTTCCAGACTCGAGAGGATGTCCAGCGCGGGCTCATTGGCCGTGAGTTGCAATACGCCTTTTCTTCCGCTCACCCGCAGTCCTCGACCCCCTCGCCCCTCACACCTCCCCAGGTGGAGCTGTCATTGACATTGGCAACACGTCAACGCACTATGACACACGTGCAGTCGCCTTTGAGACATTTGCACGCCCACTGTGGGGCCTCACGTCCTTGCTCGTTGGCGGAGGCAAGTACGAAGGAGCCGAGCGGTGGTTCCGCGGCTTGGCCAGTGGCACCGATCCAACTGGGCCAGAGTACTGGGGCGCGTCCAAGGCCAAGGACCAGAGAATGGTTGAAATGAGTCCCATGAGCTTTGCCATTGCGCTTGCCCCGGATGTCTTCTTCGAGGTGGGTTGAACCGGGCCAGTACAAACCACTGACAGTCACAGAACCAAAGCCCAACTGCAAAGGAGAACATTGCCGCCTTTCTCGACAGCTGCCAGAACCAGGCCATGCCAGATAGTGAGCTGCACCTCCCTGAAGAGTAGACTGACAACCAGCCAACTGGCTATGGTTCCGTGTCTTTGCCAACCTTGCTCTCCGCTCCATCAAGTCGCCCTTGTTCAACCCAGAGCGCATGGAGCGCGATCTCGCGCGCCTCGATTCGTTCCAGCTCGCACCCCACCCGCCCACCGGCGACGACCTTGTCGGCTCGGCAGGATGGAGTCGCGATGGTCCTGAGGGTGTCATGCAGCTCGACTACTACTCGGGATCGTTTGCTATCCAGTTTGCACAGATGGTGTATGCCAAGATGTGCGCCGAGAGCGACCCCAAACGCGCCGCCTCGTACCGTCAACGCGCCCAAGACTATGTCCGCGACTTTGTCTACTACTTTGACGACGAGGGCAACGGAATTCCCTTTGGCCGCTCCATGATCTACCGCTTTGCCATCATCTCGACCTTCTCGGCCATGGCGCTGTGCGACGTTGCCCCGCCGGCCCCGCTCGAGTGGGGACACATCAAGGGCCTTGTCCTCCGCCACCTGCGTACCTGGGGCCGCCAGCCTGCCATCTTCCGTTCAGACGGCACCCTCAACATTGGCTACGTGTATGAGCAGATGCACATGACCGAAAACTATAACAGCCCGGGCTCGCCCTACTGGTGCTGCAAGGCGTTTGCCTGTCTTGGCGCCCCCGCGACACATCCCTTCTGGACATCCGACGAGCTGGCATGGCCTACAGCGCTTTTCCCGCCCATCAAGGCCCTTCCCGACCCATACCACATCATGGTGCGCTCAGGTGGCCACACATTCCTCCTGTCGTCGGGCCAGACCGCGCACTATGCCCTGCGCAACGGTACCGCCAAGTACTCCAAGTACTCGTACTCGTCGACCTTTGGTTTCTGCTGCTCGACGGGCGACCTGGACCTGGAACATCTCGCTGCAGATGGCGCGCTCGCGCTGCGAGACAACAGCCCAGGCATCGACGCCTGCGACTCGGACACTTGGCGCGTGCGCCGTGTTCCCCTCAACGCCCGGATCGTCGGCCGCGGCACGCCAGAGGTGCACCTGCGCTCTGGGTGGCGTCCCTTCCCCGACGTCGAGGTCGAGACGTGGCTCGTCCCACCCACATCCGACAGCCCCAACTATTACCTCCGCGTACACAAGGTGGTCGCTGGGCGGCCGCTACGCTCGGCCGAGGCCGGGTGGGCGACGTATGGACAGGGCGAGGACGGCCGTGCGCTTGTCCAGGCGTTCTCAGGAGAGACCAGCAAGGGTGGACTGGAGGCGGACGGGGAAGCTCGCGCCACTACGGCGGGCGGCTCCGTGGGTGTGGTGGACCTCGCTGTGGGAAGCAGCAGCAACGCCAAACGTACAGGCAAGCTCGTGCAGTCTGATCCAGGCTCAAACGTCATCTTTGCACGCAGCGTTCTCCCCACGCTCATGGGCGAAGTCCCTGTTGGCACCACGTGGATCGCGACTGCCGTGTTTGGTGTACCGGGCGCCGTGGTCACTGGGGCCGATGCCGAGTGGGCAAAGCGTCCTCGGGTCCCCGAGTACATTCTCAAGGAGATGTAGAGCGTGTAGTCTTGATGCCACTTTGTTCTTCTGCCATAACTGTAGACGCCTGCGCTGCGCTTGATGACGACGCATTGTCCACACGAAATGATATCACATAATCTATCAAACTCTAGCTCTAGAGATCTTGCTTCTCCACACGCTCATACAACTTGTACCCCCACCTGATCGCAACAAGAGACAGTGCGGTGGTAGTGGCAAACACAAAGAAGATGTTGCCCTCCTTGCCCCTCTCCCCGCCAGCCAGCCACTGCTGGAATGGCAAAAACGTCGAGCCAACCACGAACGCCATGCTCCAGTTGACTGCTAGGCCGACCGCGCTGCCTGCGGCCCGCGCGTGCGGGGGCATGACCTCTCCGAGGACCACCCAGGTGACGGGCCCCAGACCGAGCGAAAAGGCAATCACAAAGCCAACAATTCCAACCACGGCGAGGACGCCCGCGTTGGCGTTAATACCCACTGCCAGGGAGACGAGGCACACGCACATGACCGCGGTGGGGTAGGTGAGGAGCGGGCGCGTACCGATGCGCTCGATCAAGAACGCCGGTGCGACCGTGGCGGGAATCTTGAGGATGACGACAATGAGGGCCACGAGCTTTGCACTGCCGGGAAAGACGGGTGAAAGGATCGAGGTGGAAAAGTACATGACTGTCGTCAGTTGGACGTTCAGGACAAAAGGCGACTCACCTGCGCTGACGCCACAGACCTGCTGTGCAAATTGCGTGATGAGGACCAGAGGGACTGGGGGTCAGCAGCTGTTTCCCCAAAGAAGAGGGATCAGCTTACAAGCGTAGCGGACACGGGCGTCCTTGGTCGTGAAGAGCTGCGAAATCGTGAGAGGCTCGCGTGCGACATTTCGTTCCAGCAGGGGCTCGTCCTCTGCACTTGCAGGTGTCGATGGGTCCACATTGACAAACTTGCTGCCAATGAGCTGCCCGATGGCCACAACGGCAGAGACTGCCGGTACGCCTCGCCACATGTACGCATGTCCAAGGGGGAAGGAGAGGGCCTGACCAACGAGGACACCTGTTACGATGAAGAGCTGGTTCAGAATACCAAGCGCGCGCTTCTGGTTCGCCGGCGCAATCTCGGCAAGGACGAGGGGCACAGTGGTCGTAGCTAGACCGCAGCCGAGGCCAACGATAAGTCTTGCAATGATGGCGGCGTGGACACTGTTGGCGATGGAGAGCAAGAGCGACCCCACAAGTACGGCGCAGGCCGACGACCGCAATGTGCCCACGTTCCCGACACGAGCGTGGACCACGCGCGAGCCGAGGGCTGCAGTGAGTCCGCCGAGGGTGAAAATGGAGACAACGATGCCAAACTTGGCTGGCTGAGGACGAGTTAGCAAAGTGGAGAACGCACTGCCAGACCTACCGTCATTGCAATGCATGGCTCAAGCCAGCCGCTGGTGTCCGACACTCCCTCCCCCTCACCAGCATCCTTGCAGGTGAGGGCAGACTGGACACCGTTCAGACCAGAAACAGCCAGGCCGAACTGGAAGGTATGTAGTGCAGCCCATGCTGCTGTCAGTCCCGTAGAAGCCATGGTGTGGGATGATGGTTGCATGCAGGAAAGAAATTACAACGTCCTCGTTGTCTATCCGACTCTGCTCGGACACGTCCGCCTGCTGCGCAGCGACATGAACGGTCCCCACCTGCCGGCGGCTCCGGTGGTCCGGCACCGGTGCGCCGAACCCAGCCAAATACGCCAAATACGTCACCTGTCGGAGCCGACCGTGATAGCGCCAGGATCGAAAGCCTGTGCTGGCCGTGGCGGTACATGTGATCCGCATGTGCTACACACCAGGACGCGCGGCCATGCATCTCTGAACCACACCATCACTCAACGATGAAGTTTTCACCTCTCATTTGGGCGACGCCAGCTCTCGCAGCTGTTCTTCCGCATGTTCCGACCGCTGGGGAGCTGCTCGAGGCTGTTGACCAGGTCCTCTTCCCTGCAGACCACGACAGTTCGATCTTTTCGATAACCGAGGGGTTCAACGAACTGCTCGGCGGATGGGGTGGCATCTGCAGCCTCGTTGCGACTCCAGAGGGACAAGATGACACGGATAACATTGAAAGGCTGTTCCAGAGGTGCGGCAAGAACAGTATTGTGACGCTTCCCAGCGAGAGATAGTGAGTTTGGCAACCTTTCGGCGGCCACATTCAGAAGACGCGTAAGCGTCCTGTCTTTGTGGTTTGTGGCGGTGGGAACTAATCTGCAGCAACATTACGCGGCCTCTGACCCTTCACCTTGAGAACATGTATGTGTCTATCAAGGGCTGGCTGAGCTTCTCGTCCGACAACATCGACTCGTGGATCGAGAAATCCTACGTCTTCCCCTTCCAAGACCAGCGCCTCGCGTTCATCATCGAGGGTCACGACTTTGTAATCGACGGCCACGGCACGGGAGGAATCGATGGCAATGGCCAAGCGTGGTATGACTGGGCGGAGGGTGTCGGCAACAAACACGGTCGCCCCATCGCAATGACCCTCAAGGGCGTGAGGAACGGTGTCGTCAATGGCTTCCAAATTATCCAGCCGCAGCTCTGGGCCCACCTTGTCTGGGATTCTGCAAACATCGTTTACGACAAGTGCTATGTCAATGCCACCAACTTCAACACCAAAGCTCTCACCTGGGCTCACTCTGGTCTCCAGAACACGGACGGAATCAACACGTACCGCTCGCGGAATGTCGCCGTCAGCCACTTTGTGTACCAAGGCGGCGACGACTGCATCGCCCTCAAGCCCAACTCGACAGAAATTGCCCTCAACGATATTCGCTGCCACGGCGGAGCGGGAATTGCGTTTGGCTCCATTGGGCAGTATGCTGGCACGGTGAGTCAGGAGTGTATCGCAGGCTTGGGCGCTGATCGCCCCAGACGGATATCATCAGAAATGTGGCAATGTCGAATCTCCACCTGTCACCCTCGTCGCAGGACCAGCTCTACCATGGTGTATACTTTAAGAGCTGGGTCGGGGTCGAGGTTGGCAAGCCGCCCAACGGAGGAGGAGGCGGTGCGGGATGGTGCAAGAACGTCTCCATCTCACACGTTCATGTCGACGACGCAATCCACCCTATCGCGCTGACTTCGAGGTGAGTAAAACACCCGTTCACTCGGGGCTGACGCCCCAAGCCTCACGTACCTTGAGGACGAGCACGGCAAGTACAAGGACACGAGTGTGTTCAAGTGGAGTCACATCAACTTCACAGACTTCTCGGGCACTTCTCGAGGCAACAGGGTGGTGTGGATGGACTGCTCAGCCGCCATGCCCTGTCACAAGTTCAATTTCACCCATATCAACATCGTGCCAGGCAGGCAGGACATCCCGGATATTGGGTATGTCTGCAACAACGTCCACAAGGTCGTTGGTGACATGCCGGACTGTCATCCCTCGGACTCGGACGAAGAAACGGACGCGGGCGGCACGGTCTGAAGGGATGAGCGTTGTATTAGGTTTGCTCGTCCAAAATGATCAAAAAAGGGGAGAAGAAAACAAGCCGTAGAACAACTTGTGTGCTGGCAGCCTTCTCGCCTATTGCCCGTCGGCCGCGAAAGTCTTGTAGGCGACGAGTACAAAGGTCTCCAATAGCCCGCCCCATGGGAGCTGAACGTATGATGCAAAGAGTGTTGAACAGCACAACCGTGTCGTTCAGGCCTTGGCACTGTTCCCCTCATCATCCCCCCCATAGCCTTTCGCCTTGGCGTGGAAACGGGGGCTTGAAAGAATGCTCCCGCTGTTACACCATCAAGGCTGGATATCCAGGATGTAACATGGGCACGCACCCCACGTACTCCACAGCAACAATCCAACACGTGAAAAAGAGAACTTTGCGGTCAACGATCACTTAAATGCACATGTTGAAGAGGGGTTTGACGGCGCCCCGCAGCGTGGTGCCCCAGCTTCACGTCGGCGATGCCGCGGGGAGTGCCCGACGAGCCGTCGAGCCCATGAGCGATTAAGATCTCCATTGCACTGTAACCAATCGGTTGTCGTCTGGCGTCCGGGTTATGGTGCTTGGCATTGCGCCATGCGCGTCAGTCTTGCGGGACCCCCGCGGGGATGTCCACTGCAGGTGTCCACTGCGCGGCCACTGCAGGTCTCTGCCCGGGATATGCCCGGGATGCGCTCGTGCCCTCCGGTGAATGAGATCGCACAACGAGCAATGCCTGCGGCGAACCCCGCTGTGCCAACAATGGGGACAGTGATGCACGGATCAACTTTGGCCTATCAACAATGTCAAGAACCCAAGGGTCTCAGCCTCACCACGAATCTAACTCAGTGGGCGAGCTCAGCATGGGACCAGTCCACGAGGTCGCTCGGGGTGGCGCCGAGGAGCACGACGAGCTGGTTTGTGGGCTGGGGAATTTGTACAGAGGCTCGCTGGATTGTTGGCAAGACCATACCACACTCGCACTGAAACAGCCATTGGTCCATTCACTGACACAGTCAATGTCCGCCAAGACATGCGACTTCTGCATTGTGTTCGTGGGTGGGAAGGTCCACAAATTTAAGCACTCATCACTGCCTCGAACAGTGCAAAAAGTCATGACGACGGTGAACGCAAGACATGCGTAGTTTTTGACAACGTGCACAATAGGGACTGCAACCGAGGCTACGATGCGCTGGAGACGAAACGCACGGAAGCGCCAAGTGGTGCCAAGGCGGAAGAGGCCTTGGAGATAGGAGCAAAGAGGAAATCAATCACACCTTTGAAGAGTGCGCCTTCTTACTTGGCACTGTGCCCAGGGTTCGCTTAGAGGTCGCTAATCCTGCTGTATCTGGTTCTGGTGCCAACGTGTTTCGTTGCATTGTTGCTTTGACGGGGGAACCAACAAATGGCAGGAAGACATGTGGGCGAGGCCCACACGAAAAGTGGCGGATAGTACGGACAAAAGGCACCACTTGGCAGGGAGGTCTCGGGCATCCCGGAGCCAAGACGGCCCGCCAGCGAACACGCCTGCAGTCGTGCGTTCGTGGCGCTCTGCTGGGACAACAATGCGACCAGAGTGTTCCAACGGCCAAGCCTCTTGCTTTGGGGAAAGTGGAGGACAGTGGCGCAGACGACCTGTTGCTTATCGTGAGACTAACCTCGTCCACTGTTCCCCGCGGAGAGAGTGGGGGAGCCTGAGAGGCCCCATGGGAAAAGCTTCATCGCCCACCGAGCCCCGCAGAGTGTCCGGCGGCTACCCCAGGTTGAAATCGCTTGGCAATGTCACCCCCACGAGAGTCCACGTTGGAATGGTATAAAGAGTGTATCATTTGGGCCAAGAGAGAATCCCCATCACCATCGCCTCTTCGGATCACTCTTTGGTACACAATGACCATTTCGGCCAACCTCGACAACGGCGAGAAGTTTGACGTCGTCCAGACCGAGTATGTCAAGGATGTCAACGACTCGTCAGCCAACTCGGACGACGGCGACCTTGAGACTCAGGATGTCAACATCGCAAAGTTGATCCGCAAGGTGTGAGTAATTATGATCCGCAGCAAATGGCTCACTCCTTCAGCGACTACCACCTTGTCCCGTGGCTTGCCCTCCTCTACCTCCTCTCGTTCCTTGACCGTTCCAACATTGGTAACGCCAACCTCTTCGGCCTTTCAAAGCACCTCCACCTCACCTCAAGTCAGTACTCGCTCTGCCTGGCCATCTTTTTCATCTTTTACGTCATTTTCGAGGTTCCCTCCAACATGGTCATGAAGGCATGGCGCCCTTCCATGTGGCTCCCGATCATTATGCTTGCCTGGGGCGTCGTCATGGTCGGCATGGGCTTCGTTCAGGATTTCCACTCTCTTCTCGTCACTCGCCTCTTCCTCGGTATCACAGAGGCCGGCCTGTTCCCCGGCGTCTCCTACTACCTCACTCAGTGGTACCGGCGCTACGAAATCAGCTGGCGAATTGCTCTCTTCTTCTCCGCTGCGACCGCTGCGGGAGCATTCGGTGGGCTTCTCGCGAGGCTCATCAACTTGATGGACGGCATCCAAGGTCTGGAAGGATGGGTGAGTGGCATGAAAAAAAAAAAAAAAAAAATTCCCCACGATGACATTTGGCTAATTCTCAGCGCTGGATCTTCATCCTAGAGGGCATCCTCACCGTCGTCGTGGCGTCGGCCTCCTTCTTTGTCATGTACGACTACCCTTGCACTGCCAAGTTCCTCACCACTACCGAGCGCAAGGTCCTTCAGGAGCGCCTTCACCTCGACCGCGATGGCTGTAGCCAGGAGTTCAAGGCTCGGTTTATTTTGGACGCCTTCCTTGACTGGAAGGTCTGGTGTTCGGCGATCATGTTCCACGGCTCGCTCTGCCCCGTCTACACCTTCTCCCTCTTCTCACCCACCCTTACTGCCAACCTCGGCTACAGCGCAGCCAAGGCTCAGCTCATGAGTGTCCCTCCTTATGTCGCTGCCGCTATCGTTACCATTACCGCCGGCTGGCTGTCCGACAAGATTCAGCGCCGTGGTGTAGTGGTCATCGGCTGTTCGCTCATCGGTTCCCTTGGCTACATTCTCCTCCTCGCCAACGTCTCGTCGGGTGTCAACTACTTTGGCCTCTTCCTCGCCGCCTCGGGCATGTACCCTCTTATTCCCGTTATTGTCGCTTGGGGAAGCAACAACTGCGGCGGATCGCTCAAGAAGTCGGTCGGCACCGCCATCATTGTCTCTGTCGGTAACCTGGGTGGCGTGGCCTCTGCCTTCATCTATCCCAAGGAGGACGCCCCGCTTTACCGCAAGGGTCACGCTGTCTGCCTCGCCTACTGCATTATTTGCATTATGACCGCCCTTGTCCTCTGGTGGTACTGCGAGCGCACCAACCGCAAGAGGGAGGCGGCCAACGCCGCTCGTGGTCACAGCTGGACAGCCGAGGAGAAGAAGGAGCTCGAGGATGAGGGTGACAACAACCCTTGGTTCGTCTACGTTATCTAAAATGTTAGAGTTGTACATATGGGAAAAATGTAAAGAAGTCTTAGATCAATGGCAAGGAGTTGCAAGGACGTGATAAGATTACCGGAACCACTTCAGTCCGCGTTCCCTGGACTTGCTTTCGAAGAATCAGGAATGAAATCGCCCCGCATCAACCAGTGGCCAGTGGACCTCACAGCATTCCATTGCTCTGTAATGTTAGCGTTCTGGGTCAAGAATAGCACTGTGCATCCCACTATCTGGAGCATTGCTCTTCTCTACTCCACGTGACCGCGATGCAACGAACCGATCGGCACAGCGGAGGGCGGACTCAGCGACCACCTTTCGTTCAATGGCTTCCCCTCTGTTGACTGTTCCCAGCAGCTGTTCATCCCCCGCCTTCTTCACGGGCCACGGGACCATCCCACTTGTGCATGCTGTGCAGCCGTCCACATCACCTCCCGGAAAAGGCATGGGCAGGATCGGGATAATAAAATAAAAACAAGAATAAAATAAAGGAAAGGTCCGCAACTCTCCTGTGGTGTGGTTGAATAGCGGACAAAACGCCATCCACCTTCTCCACCGCCCTGCGGTTCCACTTAACCAGAAACTGTCCGCGCTCTAGAAGTGCTGGTAATGTGTCACTTGACTCTAACGTGCATGCATCTACTGGGCGGGCAAGTAATCGGCCGTCCGTAGGTACGCGGCGGTTTCTCGCCGCATTCTCACTGGTTGGTGGGGTAACACCGATCCGGACGTACGCTTAGTGGGCCTAGTGAGCCGTGTGCACAAACAACCACGTCGTGGTCATGGATATGGGAAAAGCGTTGCTGTTAGGGGCTCAATGTCCCTTCTGCATGTGAGATGCGGATCAACTATTCGTGTAGAATGTGCGGATCAACAATAATTCGCGCAAGAATGCGTACCTACCTGTGAACATACGCACGTGAACGAACGAGATCTCTGAACTGGAGGGTCCCCCCTCGTCAGAGCGAAGGCGCGACAGCCCGAGGGGCAGGTGACGTGGGGAAAGCGGCATCTGTCGGCCCAAACGGACGCCGCTCAGCCAATCTACACTGCACACGATCACGCGTTATGCAACAGGACGGCGAACGGGGGTCCGCCACAAGCACAGCACATCGTGAGCAACAGAAAGAGCAGCAACACTGGGAGGCACTGTGCAGTCCAAACCCGATCTATCGGTCGAGATTGTCAGAACATGAGTGGCCTGCGCATGTGATCAGCAGTAAATAAACGCGGCTCCACCACGTCAAACCATCCCATGTCCTGGAAGGTCCTCTTTATCTCGCCTCGGTTCCTATGCCTCTGAAGATGCAAGGCACGTCCCGTCAGCGGACCATTTTTCGCTGTATAGGCAAATTGCTTGGGGAGCGAATTACATACTAGACGTAACTTTCGCAATTGAATCAGTGTCTTGAAACAAGTGTACAGAGAGAGAGAGAGAGACGTGGGTCGACCTGGTTGGCACTGCGCAGTCTCCAAGTAGTCTCGCCCGCCAACGGGACGGGCGAGATGGCTTGATCGGTTTGACACGCTTTGTCACGTGTGGGAGATCCGGTTAAGCACTTTCCGCTGACAGTACCCACTGGCCACTGGCCACTTGGTGTCGGCGATGCCGAGCCATGTAGAGATGAGGAATGATTGTGCAACTACCCAGCTCGTGCTTGTGGGGCCTGTTGCTTCCCACAAGAACCCAGACGCGTCGTGAGAGCGAGAGAGAGAGAGAGAGAGCAACAGCGTCGTCTAAACGGCCGCTCTGTGCCGGCAACGTCACCTTGCCGACGGGACCTTTAGTCGTTACCCCACGCCCCCGCCACCATACGCGGCCCCGCATTCAGCCCGTCCCTGACCGTGGAGGAGAGGACGTTGAAGTCGCCGAGCAATCTGCCGCCCAGTGCCGGTACGGAGCAAGGACAGCAGCACGCACACCAGAGGTGGGCTACGGAAGGGGGGGGGGGGCAATGCTTTTGCTATCTCCACATCACCTATAAAAGAGCACAACCCCTTTTCACGATGGCAGACCCACAAGCTCAACTTCCTCAGAGCAACATGACCAAGTCTCTCCCGACCTCCAACACCTCGAACGGCACTGGTGCCGCCTCCAAGTTCACCTCGGCAGCCAGCCACCATGCCCAGGACTGGCTGAACGCTTTCAACTCTGCCCTCCAGGCTCGCGACATTCCCAAGGCCGTCTCGCTCTGGGGCGACGAGTCCTACTGGCGTGACCTCGTCGCCTTCAGCTGGAACCTCACCACCGTCGAGGGCCACGACGGCGTGACCGACCTCCTGGAAAACACTCTCGACCGCGTTGATCCCTCTGGCTGGGAACTCACCGAGGAGGCCGCAGAGGCCGATGGTGTCAACACCAGCTGGATCAAGTTCCGCACTGCTGTCGGCAGCGGCTGGGGTATCCTGCGTCTCAAGGACGGCAAGGCCTGGACCCTCATCACCGCCCTCACGGAGCTCACCGAACACCCCGAGCCCCGCGGTCCCCTCCGCCCCAAGGGTGCCGAGCACGGCCTCAGCAGCACCCGTCTCAACTGGAAGGAGAAGCGCGAGAAGGAGGACGCGGCTCTCGGCAACGAGACGCAGCCGTTCACCCTTGTTATCGGTGGAGGCCAGGGTGGCATCGCACTTGGAGCCCGCCTCCGCCAAATGGGCGTCCCATCACTCGTCGTCGACAAGCACAAGCGTCCCGGTGACCAGTGGCGCGGCCGCTACAAGTCTCTCTGCCTCCACGACCCCGTCTGGTATGACCACCTGCCCTACCTGAAGTTCCCGGACAACTGGTCAGTTCCCCCCGCCCGAGAAAATCACTAGCTCAAGCTGACCACCGTGCAGGCCAGTTTTCACCCCCAAAGACAAGGTGACTACTTTCGATTTTGCGTTCGTTGGACAAAGCTGACCCACGCAGGTTGGCGACTGGCTCGAGTTCTACACCCAGGTTATGGAGGTCCCTTACTGGTCCTCGACCCTCGTCAAGTCGGCCAACTTCAACAAGCAGGCAGGCGAGTGGGAGGTCGAGATCGAGCGTGAGGGCAAGCCCATGACGCTCAAGCCCAAGCACCTCATCTTCGCTACCGGCATGGTACGTAGCGCAAACTTGAAACCAGATGGCTAGATGGCTGACCATGTCCCAAAGTCTGGCAAGGCCAACATCCCCAAGTTTAAGGGTATGGACGTCTTCAAGGGCGAGCAGCAGCACTCGTCGCAGCACCCCGGCCCCGACGCCTACAAGGGCAAGAAGGTCGTGGTTATTGGATCGAACAACTCGGCGTTTGACATTTGCGGAGCGCTCTGGGAGGCTGGCGCAGATGTGACCATGGTCCAGCGCTCAACCTCGCACATTGTCAAGTCGGACTCACTCATGGACATTGCCCTCGGCGACCTGTACTCTGAGAAGGCTCTCGCCAACGGCATTACCACCGAGAAGGCCGACCTCATCTTCGCCTCGCTGCCTTACCGCATCATGCACGAGTTCCAGATCCCAGTCTACAAGAAGATCGCCGAGAAGGATGCCGAGTTTTACCGCCGTCTCGAGGAGGCTGGCTTCCGCCACGACTGGGGAGATGACGGTTCGGGACTCTTCCTCAAGTACCTTCGCCGCGGATCCGGTAAGTTGTGAAACAGGAGGGCACGGAGAGGGACGCGATGCTGACTACGAAAGGTTACTACATCGACGTCGGCGCAGCTTCTCTTGTCGCCGACAGGAAAATCAACCTTGTCCAAGGCAACGTCGACCACCTCACCGAGAACACTGTCATCCTCGATACTGGCAAGGAGCTCCCGGCCGACCTGGTCGTCTACGCCACGGGCTACGGTTCGATGAACGGATGGGTCGCCGACCTGATCAACCCCGAGGTCGCTGCAAAGGTTGGAAAGGTCTGGGGCTTGGGTAGCGCTACCACTGTGAGTTTCTTTTCTCGTCGGCGCAACGCCAACTGGGACGACGGTCACTTGTGCGCTTTTCCGACACTGACGCCCACAACAGAAGGACCCTGGACCTTGGGAGGGCGAGCAGCGTAACATGTGGAAGCCGACGCAGGTCGAGAACCTTTGGTTCCACGGCGGTAACCTTCACCAGTCCCGTCACTACTCGCTCTACCTCGCTTTGCAGCTCAAGGCCAGGTACGAGGGCATCGACACCCCGGTGTACCGCCTGCAGGAGGTCCACCACACTTCTTAAAAACGCAGCATAGGGTTGTAGCACGAGTTGTCTAGTTGTTTGCCATGTTCAGAAGTGTTTCAATATGCAGTCATCAAAACACCAGCGGCCCGCAATATCCACATTGAATCAGCAGCACTTATGTTGCGGTAGGTTATATACAACTGTCATAGGTTACAGAAAAGCTCAACGGTGTGGCGGAACGGACAGAGCCACCGACCCGCAAGACATGACACAACGAGGGGGAAAGAAACCGAAGAGACAAGCTCTGCTTCAGCCAACACTGCGTTCCACTAGCGGTAGACGTTCCCTATTCGTCCGTAAAGGAAAGGGGTGTGTGCCCAGGCAGGACGGTGACGCCGATGGGCGGGTGGGCGAGGGGCAGAGAGTGGAGTGGAGACGGTCCGGGGGCCAGTGGCTCATAGCCGTGTGTACGCACGAGGCGCACAGCCTCGTCAAGAAGGCTTGACTCGCTTTCGGTAGCGGAGATTGATCCCTGCCAGAAGGTGTAGCCATACGCTTTGGCATCGGAGGGACCAGGCGCATAGACACCAAAGGCGCACCGGGGAAAGGGATCCGACATGGGTGGATGCAGCTGATAAGCATCAATGCCAGGCATCCAGACCGTGTGGAGAGCTGCAAGCATGGTTGACTTTGCGCGAGCGAACGGCGGGAGAATGTCGGCAGGAACCAGCCGGCGAGCCTGGTCGCAGGTTAGCATATCGATGGAAGAACACACACGATGGATACATCACTCACGGCGTCGTACAGGAGTTCAATGTCCTTGTCGCGCTCCATGCGCCACGTGTCGTAGGCCATGGGTGGAGGACGGTATGGTTCTGGAAAGCGGCGCCTGTCGTTCCTCCCTGGTCAGCAAGGTAACGGTGGAGTCGCAAACAAACGTCAGACGTACATTAGAAGGATCGAGTCGCACAGGCTCAGGAGCACAGCGGTAGGAGCATCCTCAACGGCACTCCAGTCAAGGTTGTGGTCGACAACAGAGATGACGACGGCGCTTCCCTTCTTGCAACCCCACGAGATCTCGCCAGGCGACACTTGAGTGCTAGTGTAGATTGGCAGGTCGAACACAGCCGTGCTCCACTCACGGCGTGGGAAGGGGATAGTCGCCTTGCTGGTGTTCGTAGCCCCTGCAGTTGACATTGTTGGGGTCGCTGTGTATGTAGTCGACTTTGGCATTGTGTTTGTTGTCGCTGTTGGCGCTGTCGTCATCGTCCGTCGTTGTTGTATGGTCCGAAGATGGCAAATGTGTGGTACGATACCGTGTGTGCTGACGATGAGAACGCTCAAGACAATGATGAGACAATGAGCCCGACTCGGTGTTTCTAATAAAACGGGGGTGGTTTCTAGTTGGGTTCAATGTGGTATCGTCAGAGCACTTCAGTGGCAGACGTATGTAAATCCCACTTCGCGTCCCCGTCTTCCCGGAATGTATGACCATGTTCATGCATTGGTCCTATGGACATGTGGTAGCTTAGCGGGCGTTTTTATTGTATGTACAGTATCTCGGGATGGGTGTCGAGGTATGGGGTCGTCGTGGGTACGACAAGGAAGGCTGTAGCAGGCTGCAATACAAGTTACTAAACAGGGGGTGAGGGAACTGAGAATGGGCGGGAACAGAGAATGGGTGGGAAAACAGTGTTCAAAAGGGGTATGTCGGTGTCTCGTCGGCGTCTGTCGTCCGTCGTCCGGTGCACAGCTACACTTGCACGGCTGGTGACAGCTCTCAACTCCCTAAGACTCCTCATCCCAGTCCCAGGTCGTAGGGTCAACGGGCCTCATGCTGCAGAGCATGCGTTCGACGTTGTCCATCTCCGTGGCCGTAATGACGTCCCAGTATTGCTTCTGGGTATCAGGTAAGTCTTGGAGGATCGTCGCGCGGTCGAAATCGATGAGGCGCATCTTTCCATCCTTCTCCCGTACGTGGCGCCACTCGACGTCGCCGTGCAGCACGCCCGCAGCGTGCAGGGCGTGGTACATGTTGCGTATGCGGCTCCTGTTTACATCGTTAATAAATGTACCACATTAACGGGTTTGTTTATCTTCGAAAACTCACGAAATGAGCTCATCAGAGCCAAGCGAGGGCTGCAGACGCTGGCCGGCATCATCGAGAATGGAGAAGATCTTGTCGTCCACTTCGCACTGGGCGTACAGGCGCGGCGCGAGATCGACTCCGAGCTCGTGCAGCACAGTGAGCGCCCGGAGTTCGGCCGCGCTGGCCGCGCGCGCGTCGGCCACGGTAGGCGTGTACGGGTCCTCGGGGTCATACTTGGGCTTGAAATCGTTCAGGAAAATAATCTTGACAATACCTTCCATGCCCAGTACGCTCGCCGCGAAGGCGGCACGGAACAAGCCCGATCCAATGATTTTGCGGATGATGACTGAGTTAGACGACGGAGGAGACGGGAGTGTGCATGAGGGTGGGTTGGCCTGGTAGAGCGACACGGGCTGCGCGTCAATCCTAACCTCGGCGATGAGGTCGTAGGTGCCATCCGTCGGCGTAATGGGCGACGTGATTGAAGGCATGGTGGTGGCATGGCAGTAGTCGCTTGTCTTGAGGCCAGAGTCCCTCGAGTCTGGAGACGGAGGTTGGAATGAGCTGCCGCCCGGCCCAGTCGCAGGCGCTGCTGATGACGATCTTGCGGGCTGCAGAGGCGGCGGAGCGTGGGATGATGTGGCAAAGGGTGTCTGGGATGGTCCCGCCGTGGGAGTAGGAGGTACCGTCTTCAATAGGCGCTTCAAATCTGGCGCGTTCTCCATCACCGCGTCGAGGCCAACTCCCAAAAGAAGACCAGCGGGAGACTGGGCAAGCTCGAACGACGTGCCGGGCGAGTGGATGCTGACAGGGTTATCAAAGAAAAAGACATCCATACTTGAGGTGTGGTCGCGACGGCAGCCAAGAAGCATGTTGTAGTTGGAGATAAAGGCGTAAGGTGCGCTGCTCATTACAGTCTCAACACGCATCTGCGCATCAGCAGCCAAACACGAGAGAAAACTTACCTGGTCAAGGACACCGAACTCGACCGAGCGGTGGCTACGCGCCACATCAGGTTGATTGGCGTGGACTGCACCACCATCATGGGCCACACTGATTTGATGTGCAGCCAGTAATAACACCAGCCGAGTGATATCGCGGTCCGTAAAGGCCGCCTCAGTCATGACCTCAATGACGACCAACGTGACACAGCGCGACGTGTTTGGTTCCCAAACAAGGTGGAGGTCGGGCTTGCCGGTGAGGCTCCGCCTGACTTGCCAGTACAACGCATGTCCAGTGTCATGCAGGAGGTGTACCATGATTTTATTGAGAGGCGTCAGCAGGGATGCAAGGAGGAAGACAGTGATCCCTGTCTCTCCCGACTGGCTGTGTTGAGCGTTCAGCTGGGTGTTTTGCGCAAGCACCTTGAACGCCGCCGTACAGAGAGGCGCCACGCGAGCGATAGCCTCAGAGCATTCGTTAAGGACACGATTGGCTATCGCGGTGACGCCTCCGGCTTGATGCACAAAGACCTGTCGGCGGTCGACGAACCCTCCCAGCTGCGCGTCGCTAGGGAGGTAAGGCGCCGAGCTGTTGCCACTGCTTTGTAGGCGAAGGGTCCGTGGTAGCTGAACGAGATCCAGGAGTTCATGGACCTTGAAGCGAGCGTCAAAGTTGTCCATGTTGAGCTGGTGTCGGCGAGGGGAAAGAGGAAGTTGCCGTTTGATGGGGTCGAGTGTGGTGGTGGCAAAACAGCAACAACGGCAACAACAACATCAACACAGATCCGTGGCGGGAGCGGGAGCATTTCCGTCCTCGTCACCTACTGTCGACCAGCTAGCCTACACTGTCAACACGTCTGGCCCACACCCACCCGATCGCAAGGAAAGGACCGCTTGTGTTGTTTCCACATGCCACATGCTGACTATAATGCATAACTGTATCTGGTAGGGTATCCGTATAGTTGCCACACATTGTAAATTGTAGGGTAGGTCCCAAGAGTCACAAAGTACGTTAATAATGTGCGTGCGTGCGTGAAAATGCGAGGACAAAAAGAGAGAGAAGGGTGGGGGGGGAGCATGCTGGGGGGGTTGGATGCGTGAGGGTGGGGTGGGGAAATCTAACGGCGGGTCTGTATGTCTAGAACATGTCGTCGGCCATAGGACACTCGGCTGTGTTGTGCGCGTCGCTCTCGCAATCGTTGCACCACTTCTTCTTGCTGCCACCGTCGCCAGCTGCAGCGGCGTCCGCCGACAACGTCGTGCCAGCAAACACAGGGCACGCGTCCAGGTCATGAGGGCCCTCGCACAGCTCGCAGCGTGTCTCGTCGATGCTCGCGACACCGTTGGAGGTGAGCGAGGTGCTCCGGCTGTGTGCCGAGCTAGCTGCGCTGCCGGCCGCCAAGGCCTGAGCCTTGGCACGCCAGCGGTCGACGTCACGCTCCAGCTCCTGAAGGCGTGTCTCCAGCTCGTCCTCGCGGTAGATCTTGGACTCGATGAGCGACTCGAGCTCGGACACCTCCCGCTCGTACTGTTCTGTTAGAATGCGGTTGCCCCGTTCCGTCAAACACCCACCTCCTTCATGGCCGCGCCCTGCTTCGTCATCTCCGCGCGGAGCTTGGCAGTCTCGTCTGCATGGCCGTTGACGTTGGCGGCAGGTGCGGGCGCTTCGTTGAGCTCCTGGAGCAGCTTAATCTCCTCCTTGAGGCTGTCAATTTCGGCCTTGAGCTGCGAGTTCTCGGCCTTCATGTCGTTGACGATGTGGTGGTAGCCCAGAATCTTGGGGTCGTCAATCGAGCCGTTCGACATGCGCGACTGGCGCGAGCGGGCGCCAGGAGACGTCTCCACTGCCTTGGTGCGAAGCTTAATTTGTCAGCTGATTGTATAGGAAAGCCTCGACTTACAGTCGCCACCTCGGTTTCGAGCTCCGACACCTGCTCCTCAAGCTCGTTAGTGCGAGTGTTGGCAGAGACGAGCCTGCTCTGGAGCTCGGCCATCTCAGTCTCAGACACGGGCGATTCCTTGCTCGTGGCCGAGCGAGTAGCGGCCTCGGAAGCCTCAGCACGGAACGTCTCAATCTCAGCACGGGCAGTCTCAAGCGCGGCCTGGTTCTCGGCAAGAGCACCCTTGAGCTCGGTCTCGCGAGCGCTGTGCACACCATCCTCCTCGTTGAGCTTGCTGATCTCGGCCTTGGCGACCTCGAGCTGCTCGGCCAGCGCCTTTTCGTTCTCGCGCGCCTTGGTGTACTTGCCCTGCCAGGCGTCGGAGTCGGACTCGGCCTGGCCGCGAGCCTCCTCGAGCTGCTCCTCGAGACCGAGGATACGGTTCTGGAGGTGTTTGACTTGCGCAGTGAGGGTCTCGTTGTCAATCTCGGCAGCGGTCGCCTCGCGCGGGGTAGTGTCAGGGTCGGCTGGGGCGGCTGCCTTGGTCTCGAGGTCTTCGTTGGCCTGGTCCAGCTTGTCGGTAAGCTCGCGAATAGTCTGCTCGTACGAAAACGCCTTGGTTTCGTTGAGCTCGATGATTTGCTGTGTTCGCAGTTAGCAACGACGCACTCTCTGCAGACCGTTTTATGACTACGTACGTTTCCAGCCAGGGTCAACTCGTCAACCAGCTTCTTGAGCTCGCCCGCCTCGTGTTCGGCAGCCTGGGCGCGCTCTTCCATCCCGCGCACTTCTTCACGCTTGGCCTCCATGCCCGCCTCGAGTTCGCCTGCCGAGCGCTCGGCGGCGAGCTCCATCTCCCTACGGAGTTCAAGCAGCTCGACCATTTTGGCATCGAGGTCCGCCTGGAGCTTGCCTTCGTTGGCCTGGAGCTCCTCGGCCTGCTGCCGAACGTCGGTTGCGTCGCCGTTGGAAGTCGAAAGCTGGTTGCGCAGCTCGCCGGCCTCATGAGTCATTCGCTCCAGCTCGCGTTCAAGGTCCTCAATGCGCGCAATGTCAGCTCCAGGGTCAGCACTTGAAGCCTGCTCCTCGAGCTCGGTGTTGCGGCGCCGCAGCTTTTGAATTTCTTCCTCGAGCGCAGCAGTGGCAGCGGCGCTGGCCGCAGCAGCAGCGGCCGCAGCGGCTGCTCCGCCAGAAGCCACCTTGGGGACTTGCGGGCTGGGTGGTGGTGGCATCATTTCAACGGCAGAGCTCATGCGCGGCCCACGAGCTTTGGGGGTAGCCAGGCCCATGCTGGGACGAGCGGACCGGGCGGGTGTCGTGGCGCCCATCTTGGACATCCTCGGTGTGGGGGTGGACGTGCTGGAGCCAAGAGTGCTCGAGGTGAGCTTGGTTGGTGGCGTAGTGCCGGACCTCTCCTCCAACTGCTTGGCAGTCATGCCCAAGTACTTGGACGCTCGCGATCCGGCGGTGATCCTTGCCTCGGCGCGTGCGGCATTGGTCGCAGTGCTGTTGCCCAGAAGCGTTCGGCGCCCCGCGTCCGTTGGCGTCTGGGTGGCGTCTTCCTTGGGCCGCGCCGCCATCGAGCGTGTCAAACCGGGGGTCGTAGCACCAGCACGACGGGTACGCTCAGCGGCGGGGGTCTGACGACCAGACGCAGAGTACGAGGACGTAAGGGAGCGATGTGATGCCACCGAGGCCGGACGCGACGGGCCAACGCTGGAAGTGGGAGGCGCGAGCTTCTCTGCAAGGGCAAAGATACCGCAGTTGGGCGCGCACTTGAAGTACTCGTGGCTAAGAAAAAAAAAGTCAGCTTTTGCGATTACGAGCCGACCGATAACATACCCATCAACAGTGCCATCATTTCGTCCCCTTCCCTTGAAGGCTCCTTCGAGTTCGACACCAGCCCAGATGCCGTCGCGAATGTGCGTTGTTCCAAGGTAGCGGAGAGTTCCTTCGTAACCATGAGATGGTAAACGCACCCTGTCACCGACCGCGGGTATCCACTTGTCTTGTGCACCGGCGCGGGATTCCGGACGAGTGTATGGCGTGGACGTCGAGGCAGCTGCCGACGGGCGACGTGGCGTGTTGGCAGACGCGGCAAGGGATGGGCGGGCAGACATTGTTGGACGCGATCCTGGACGCGAAGTTGGAGTGTAGGACGGCGTGTTGACTGAGGAAGGGGTACGGGGACGGAACGCTGGTGTTCTGGGAGCGTGAAGAGACCGCGCGCCGTCGCCTGTGCCAGGAGCAAGATAGCCCGCTGCCCCGCGGCCAGACGCAGTGGGTGTCTCGGGGTCTTCACGGTCCTTGATGGATCCCAGAGAAGATCCCGGACGGTGACGGCCAAGAAGGTCCTTGAGTGCAGAGTCCATTTCTGCATCTTGTTGCTTGGACCCGGGAGTCGGGAGTGCGCCAGGGCCAAGAGACGACCGCGGGCGGCGAATCGATGGGGTTGGAATGCCAGAGCCAGGCGACGAGTTGGCACTCCGCCCCGGCGTCGACAGAGTCGGCAGGCGGGACATGTGTGCTGCTGCTTATTATTTTGATGGAGGACGACGGGTTAGGGAAGTGGGTTGTGATGGGTGGTGGTGGTGGTGGTGTGGGTGGTGCGAACAGGGCGGCGCTTTGACGGAGGCTGGGTCGACGAGGAACAGGCCCTAGCGGCGAAATCAGCCCCTTGTGAACGGTGTCGCAGAACCGTTTGGGCGAGGTGGAACTACGTGGCGGGGTTGTGGGTGAGATCGCTGCTGGTGTGGCAGTGTCACTGCAGGTGGTGGGGAGCACGGACTGTTGTCGTGTGAGGACGAAAGGGGTTGTGATGGCAAAAGGTGCAAGATGTGTGTGTGGAATGTGGATGTTGACTTGTTGACACCACAGGGTTGTGTTGCTCCTGGCTCAAACAATGACGTGTGCTGAAACCATGTATTGTCTATCGCGGTCGGTGCTAATGAAGGTAATGAAGGTACTATTGTTGTAATTTCGCATTAGCTCAACTGGCTTTACAGCCACTACACGCAGTACGCAGGCGCGTAGGCTTGCAAATTGGGGGAGAGGGAAACGCTGCGCGCAGCGAGCCTCTATGTGGATCCTGGAGGGGGATTTCAGGTCTTGACAGAGAGAAACACGTAACGTCAGTCTCGTCGATGACTGTGCCCGTCCTAGTGGGTTTCGCAGAACGAAATGGCCCGGGACAGTGGTGTCAGCGGAAGCAGATGACGGCGGCGAGAGGCCACACACAGGCCCCCGCGCCATGCCTCCCCACAGTGTACCAGTGCCGTCCACCGCCGTTGGGAGAGACGGGAACGTCACACTCACATTTCCAACAACAACCCATTATCCAACAACAGACAGCAGCTCTCAGCGCCGGCCATAACAGCGAGACTAAAGAACAATCACTAGTTCTCTCTCTCGCTACATTTCTGTGTCGCTGGACGCCATCAGCCTTCGCTACAGACCCCCCACACTCTCTTTTGGGGACCAGCTGTCCTCCCCACCAGATCCAACGGCCAGCTTCTCGCCACCTCACTGTCCTCGTCGCCACCACGCTCTACTGCAACCTCGACCAACCCTAAACCTTGACCAGCCATGGACGACTCTCCTACCTCTACTTACACGTACGCTTCCTTTTATGGAGCGTACCCCCCGCGCTCCCCGCCGCCCACCCCGCCCAGGCCCGAGCCCGTCACAGGCTACAACATTCGTTTCGTCGACTTGATGGCCGAGCGCACTGGCAAGAGCATGTCAGTGTGGTAGACACCTAGCAGCCATGACCCAAGCTAACAGCTGCAGTGACCTCGTGTTCGTTCTCGACTGCACCGGGTCCATGCAGCGCTACATCAACTCGGTCAGGGACCACATCTTCGCCATCTGCGACATGATCCGCGGCGAAGAGGGTCTGAATGGCGTCGACGACCTCCGGGTGGCGGTGAGTTGGTTATATCAACATTTTTTGTGTACAACCTAACCCACTCCAGATTGTCAACTATCGTGACCACAAGCCGCAAGACAACACGTATGTCTACAAGTTCAACCCCTTCACCTCGGACATTGCCGAAGTCCAAACCTACCTCCGTGGCTTGACTGGTATGTGACAACCACTCTTCGCTCCGCATGTGTGCGTGTGTGTACTGTAACTGACAGGTGATTAGCTGCTGGTGGTGGTGATGGCCCCGAGGCAGTGACTGCCGCCATGGCCGCATGTCTCACCGAGCTCGAGTGGCGTCGCGAAGCCGCCCGCATGGTCGTCCTCATTGCTGACGCCCCGCCTCACGGTAAGAATCCCCCGGTTTAATGTGGGCGCGAGCTGACAGATATAGGCATTGGAGAGAGCGGCGACCGTGAGACGAAATTGCCCGTGGCCTGGAGTGCTAACTTTTGCAGAGATCAAGCAGGGTGACCCGGACGGTGAGACATTCGATGGCATTGTGAATGACCTCAGCTGACACTCTCCAGGACACGACCCACTCGTCATTGCTCGCACAATGGCCCAGCACGGTATCACCTTTGTGAGTCACCATCTCGTTTTCATTTCTGATGCCTCTCAGTTCATGGTTGCCTGTGAGGAGACCCTCAGCAACTACTCTCGCGCTGTTGACTTCTTCACCGCCATCTGCAACATGACCTCGGGCGTGATGATGCCCCTCACCACGGCTGACCTGTTGGCAATGACCATTGTCGGCAGTGTGCTCGAGAACATGGACATGGAGCGTCTTATTGCTGGTGCGTTGTGATATCTCTTTGTACAACAACTGACGCGTCTCAGAGATTGGCCGCGAAGTGGCGGAGCGTATCCGGGAGAAGGGCGAGACGATGCAGAGCGTCGAGGAAGTGGCCCAGTGAGTTCGAGCCCCAATTGAGAGACTGACCCCACAGGGAGCTCCACGAGCGCCTCTTGCTTCGTAACGAGCAGACCAAGCAGGTCCAGCTTCCGGACGTTTACATCCAGAGCGACCACTCACGGAAGAACGTGCAGGCTTGGATGAACGCCCAGTTCATCTTCAATGCCGCCCCGAACATTCTTCCTGTAAGTTTCATCTTGGTCTTTGCGACGGCTTTGGCTGACCTTTTTTAGGTTCCTGGTCGACGCCTGACAGACAAGTTCCGCCGCAACAACCAGGCCCAGGGATTCAAGTACACCCCCGGCGGCCGTCTCCCTCCTCGCCGCACCTCGGCTACCACTGGTGCTGCCCCCACTTCGCCTGACCTGTCCACCTCACCTGCTGGCCACGATGTCCACCCGGCCTCGCCACCTCGCAAGATTGTCTCCGATTTCAAGGCCTTTGGCGCCTCCTCCTCTACCATCGGCGGCAGCAGTCTCTCGGTCTTTGGCGCGCCCATGCTCCCCACTGGACCTGGTGGAGGCATGTTCGGCGCTGCGGGCTTGACTCCCGCCATGAACGCGTCTATGAGGGGCATGCGCGGACAAGGCGACGACGATGATGATGACGATGACGACGAGTCGGGCACGCAGCTCAAGCGCGAGACGATTAGTCTGGACCAGGCCCGTCGTATTGCCACGCAGTCGGTCTTCCGTGCCGGCCGTCTGCCCATTTGAGCCAGCCACACGCAACGCGTTCACGAGTATATACACACACATAAATGCCACGACCAGATGGGCAGAGTCAGAGAGCAGAGTCAGACGTACGTAGTTATTGGCGCCACAGTGCGCACCATGCATTATTTTCATGTGTACGGGGCATGCATCGAGGGGAGACAGAGCATGAGACAATGACGCGCCGTGATGCGCGTGATGGGTGTGCCCGTGGGTGGGGTGCATGGGTGAGTCAACCGTTGCCAAGGCACGCCACCGACTCGTTTCCCCGCCTATCTGGTTCTAGGCACGCAGACGCGTCAACGCGTGCAACCCGCCAGACATGACACGGGTTGTTATATCCTCTTCGTTTTGATTTCATAAACAACACCACACACTCTCTCCACCATGGCCGAACCAATGGACGTCGACGAGCCCGTGGCCATCCCGGCCCCCGCTGCTCCCGCAAAGCCTGTCAACGCCATGGCCGCCATGATGGCCGCCGCAAAGGACAACAAGGGCAAGGGTAAAGCCGTGTCCGCCGCCGACGACAAGGAGGGTCTTCCATGGTGAGTCGGGCAGAGTTGAGTTGAGATGCGGTGACGCGGGGCGACGACGACGTCATGGTGTGTGTCTGGATCATGAATGCAATGGGCTGACACCACTCGCATAGGGTCGAAAAGTACCGTCCCGAGACGCTCGACGAGGTCGTCTCGCACCACGACATTACAGCTACAATTGAGAAGTTCATCGAGGCTGGGCGGTTGCCGCACCTCTTGTTCTACGGACCACCAGGTCAGTACTGTCGTCTTGTCTCGTTTTGTGTCTGTGTTGCCTAACGTGACCACTGCTTGTGGTCGTCCTCCTGGCGGCGCAGTTAGCGCCCCCAGCTGGGGGTCCTGCAATGACGCACTGCTGCCAAGACCCACTACGACAGTGACTAGAACCCAGACGCTGACTCTCTCCTTAGGAACCGGCAAGACCTCGACCGTCCTCGCACTTGCGCGCCGCATATACGGCACGCAGTACAAGAAGCACATTCTCGAGCTCAATGCCTCTGATGACCGTGGTATCGACGTTGTCCGTGAACAGATCAAGAGCTTTGCTGCGACCAAAGTGCTTTTCTCGTGAGTACAACTGGCAGTTTGACAACACGAGCTCCGTGTGGTGTCTCAGCATTCCGGCCTGGCAAGTCGGTTTCTCTTGCTCACACTACGCAGTAAGGGATTCAAGCTCATCATCCTCGACGAGGCGGACATGATGACGCAGGCGGCGCAGGGAGCTCTTCGTCGTGGTGAGTCGTAACCTCTCGGATGGTGACCATCTCCAAGCTGACCAGGGATACAGTCATCGAGCAGCACACCAAGAACGTCCGTTTCGCTATTCTGTGCAACTACGTCAACAAGATTACCCCCGCCATCCAGTCGCGTTGCACGCGTTTCCGCTTCTCCCCTCTGCCAGAGACGGAGGTGGCCAAGAAGGTCGACGACGTCGTGATCAAGGAATGGTAAGCTTGCTCGCGCATTGCACAAAAGTTGAAGCTGACCTCTCCTCACAGCGTCAACCTCACTCCAGACGGCCGCGCAGCCCTCCTCAAGCTCTCGCGCGGTGACATGCGTCGCGCCCTCAACGTCCTCCAAGCCTGCCATGCGGCTTATGAGACCATTGATGAGACCGCAGTGTACACGTGCACGGGCAACCCTCACCCTTCCGACATTCAGCGTGTGGTGGAGAGCATGATGCAGGACGAGTTTGGTACTGCGTTCAGCACCATCACCGCACTCAAGACGGACAAGGGTCTGGCCCTGCAAGACCTCATTGCTGGGGCGTACGATTACCTCGAGTCTGTCGACTTGCCACCCAACAGCCGGGTCTATCTCATGGACCACCTGGCGTCGACAGAGTGAGTCACAAGGCTCAAGTCCCAAACAAAAGAGCAATGCTGACAGTTGGTACAGACATCGCCTGTCCCTCGGTGGCTCGGAGAAGATGCAGCTTTCGGCGCTTCTGGGCGCATTCAAGGTCGCCGTCGAGCTGTCGCAGAAGAACAAATGAACGGAGGGAAGAGACATGTTTGATAGAGAGTGTGTGTGCCCGTGTGTGTGATAAATAGTAGACTGACTGACAAAGCCAGTGCATGTATGCAGTGTTAAGTGTGCTCTGCATCACAGCACCTGCTCCTAATCGCGTGTGACCTAATGGCTACTAATGTTTCGGACCCACTTTATTAAAATGGATCCAGTGGCCAGTCATTCCACCCCGTATCCGGTGGCAAACGAGGCACGGATCGCACGGAGGCATGTTGGGGTTTCGTTGTCTTTGTTGTTGTCATCACCATTGCATTATCGTCCATCTATTGCTGGCACAACACCATCCCTGCACACACGCAGATGAAGACATTTGGCAACGTCTTCCGTCTCCGACCACCGTTTGTCGAGTCTGGGCCGGATGGCCTCGCGCTCATTTCAGACGAGTCTGATCCGCGCTACAGTGCCCTGGTGACGACCTTCATGTACTGCGCCAGCCTGGAGCAGGATCAAGAGCCATTCCTGCAAGAGCAGCTTGTTCAGTTCTTGAGGGGCTCAATACAGCGTATCAAGCTCGACTTTGATGTCGACGTACTCGTCAGCAACTCCATTACCCTCGACTCGTTCCGCTTGGCAAACATGCCTCAGTACAGGGAAACAAACGTGAGTTCTTGCCTGCCTGCCGTGTGTCAAGTACTAGTTGGGTAGACGTTTGCTCTGGAGGCAAGAACAGTTGGCTCCACAAAAGTCATCCCTAGTCCTGCGTCTCTCCCAGCCAGTCCCAGTCCCAAGAAGGCCAACGCTCCAACTCCTCTCCTCGACACTCCCCCATCACACCGCTTATGTGTTTCTTCACCGCCTGCGGGCAGCCCCCCTCCGGCGACACCACTGGCTACAACCGCGATGAGCACCCTGTCAAGCACGTCGAGTACTCCTGCCAGTAAACTGGAGGAGCCACCAGCCAAGACGATGGGAGGCTCCTTAGGAACGCCCTCGCGCTCGTCCAAGCGTTCAGCGTCACCCATTACATCGTCTCCGTCTCCGGCACCACCAGCTAAGAAACCGCCGAGTCCGAGCGTCTCCGAATCGTCTTTCGCATCCAGTATCGGCGGAACTTGCAAGCCGGATATTATCGCCACAATGGATTCCATGACAGTGCAAGGGGATAAACACCGAATTGGGCTCTTGGTCGGTGAGGTGAAGCGCTTCGCCAGCTCGGCTTCGGTCGCCACTCGAGACGACAAGTATCGCGAGGGCGCGCCTCAACTTGCACTCTACATGTCTGCTCTTTGGGAACTTTGCCGCACCTGGGCAGGCATCCTCGTCATCAACGATTGTTATTCAAGGTCGCTGGTACTTGGTGAGGCCGACTACAAGGCTCTCGATACCACGCCGTTTCACGGCGACGCAATCCTCTCAGACGGAGATCTTCCACCTCTCATCATTTCCCTTCGAGGTCCCAGACGATCATCCCGCACGTGGGTCAATACAAACGGCCAACTCTTTCTTCGAGCGACAACTAGAGGGCCCTCTGCGCGACCATACCTGTCTGCTCACACATAACCTTGTGGCGCGGGATTCGAATGGTGCCTATGTCCGTGCGGGAGACCTGCAGGGCCTCAACACATTCGGCAGCTTCTCTGACGGCCTTTTCGCACTTGGCCTATCCCACTCGGCTGAAACACCCTTGTCGCCGCTCTCTGGCCCGCTACCAGACTTTGAGGAACTCTGCCGAGATCTCATCAGCAGCAGCTTCGTGACCGCGTTGACGCCTTCCAACCTTGAGCTCGTGGTGCGCGTCCGTCGGTCTTTCTCGCGTCCAAAGGCGTCGACCCCACACAAGCCTCGCATCCCATTGGGCGTACCCCCATTGGGCGTACCCCCAACGGGCGTGCCCTCGACCGTCATCGAGTACGAGACAGTGTCCCCTTCAAGCAGTGTGACCTCGAGCGAGGCCAAGCCCCAACGGAACCCCGCCACTCCAGATGGTTGGGGCAAACGCCAACCTAAAAACGACAGCCCAAGTGGCAGCGGCGGCGGACTCGGCGGTGGTGGCAAGGCTGGTGGCGCCTCGGGCGACATGTCCACGTCCAGTGCCGTTGGTGCCGGTTCGAGTACAGCAGGTGAAACCGACACCAAGATGAATGTGGGCGCTGGTACGGCCTCCAAGGACCAGAAGCAGCACACCGCCGCCGTTACATCGCCTCTATACGACCTCGGTCAGCGCACACCGCCGCAGGAGCAGATGACGGCCACGCCAAGGTTAACCCCTTCAACGAGCACGCCATGGACCCAAGCGGGGTCCGCAAGCAGCGCCTCTACTGTTCCGTCCAGTGTACCGTTGCAATCCGCCAAGAATCCTGGTGATCGTAACAATGTGGACTGTGACACTGCCGCAGATGAACCCCCATGCGACTGCGCTGTCCACCAACAGTATGGCCACCGTCCCGTGTTGATTCTCGCGATCACAGCCCAAGAGACCACGCAACTGTTCAACCTGCGACTGGCTGGCGCCTTGGGCGCTGTTCGGGCCGCGTAGAGGTTGGGGGCTGACGCACTCTTATTTTGAGAAGAGGAGGGTCAATACGGATCGGCCAATACGCGAGACAGCGAGACACAGGTTGGAACAGCAGAGGGTATCGCTACGGTACATGTATGCAGTGTGTACAATATTTGCAAACGTCCCGAATCCGAAGGGGGGGTCTGTTTGTGTAATTAATGGGGGATGGCCGTACGCTTTCAATAAACGTTCTCGATCGTTACCGTCCTAAAACACGTCGTCGTCCACGTCCGCCAACACTGGCATCGTCTCGGTGTGCAAGAGAGATCCACGGGGTGGGCGCGACAAGCTGCCCTGGAACCAGTCCTTGAACTCGGTCTGGAGGTCGCGTTGGTTGACTCCCGACTTGCGCATACGGGACGCGTTCATGGTGAGCGAGGCGAGTTTCTCGGCCGCACCTGCAACGCCGGGGCCAAAGTCGCCATGACCTGGAGGCAGCTTGGCGGTGGGGGTCGTTGCTGCTGCTGTTGACGAGGGGGTGAAGGGCGACGCGGATGAGTATGGGTATTCCTCGACGTCGTCCGAGTCCTCGGTGAGAGCAGCGTTGACCCACTCAAACACGGCGAGGACCTTGGCTTCGGCCTCCTTGCACCGTGTATGAAGCATACGCTTCTCCTCCTCAATAACAATCATGTTGTTATGCAGGCGGTTTGCCCAGATGGTCTTGCTCTCGAGCTGGTCAAGCACCTTTTTGTGCTTTGCGTTCCATTCCTTGTCAACGTCTTCGCGGACCTTGCGCGACGGCTCGCGCAGGTGTCGCTCATAGTCGTCCGCAATCATGCGCAGCTGGTTGACCTCGTCCTGCAGCTTAAGGCATCGCTCATCGGGGTTCACGGGACGGACGTCGAGCTCTGCCTTGAGGCGGGCAATCTCGTCCTCTTGTTCGGTGATGCGAAGCTCGGCGCTGTGGAGCTCCTCTTGAAGGCCACTGGTCGACTTTGCCAAGTCGAGCTTGGGGTACTTGAGCTTGGTGGGGCTGAGTGGGCGTGCCATTGGAGTAGCGGAACCTGCGGCGTGGGATGCGACATCGATCGAGGCCGATGTAAGGATAAGACTCTTGAGCTCGTTGAGACGGCTCTCCATCTCTTGATTCTTCTGTTGGGTCTTTCGCCTGTCGCTCTTACTCGTTGCGGTGTTGGTAGGGGTCAGCTCCTTTTCACGGAGGAGCGCCTTGAGGTCGGCAATCTCGCTCTGGTACTGCTGGATAAGGGCCTCGGGATCCACCACCTCCTTGCGCTGGGCCGACAGCATCACCCGCTTGAGGCCCTGAGCAAAGGAGAGGGTCGAGATGGACTCGGCGAGGTTGACGTACGCCGGTGAAATAGTGCAAATGACCGAAATGAGCGCATCACCGGATAGCGACGGTTGCAGCAGACGAGTGAGTTTGCTGTCGCGGTAAGGGACGTGCGTGACTTGGCGCTTGGATGCCATGTCGGCAAGCTTGGAAATAACCAGCTTCAGAGTGAGAAGCGACTGGTTGATGTGTTTGCCCTCGGCATTGCGCTCCTTGGAGCTGGTGTGCCTTTCTGAACCGGCCAAGTCGATAATGGACAAGGTCGAAATGCGAGTGGTCTTGTCACGGCCTGGAGTCCGAGTACCGTCTGACGCTGTGCGTGATTCAATCACGATGCGGAAGACACAGTGACTACGTGACGAACGCTGGTTCCAGTCCGTGCCACCGACCTTGCGACGTTCCTCGCCCAAGCGAATGAGCTTGCGCACCTCGTCCTCTGTACGCACGGCGCACTCGGTGAGACCATTGATGATAATCTCGCCCTTCTTCCGTCCCTCGGAAATCGAGAGCTCACGCCCAGCCTCGGGTGAGAGAAGGTCGATAATGGTCTCGTTGTAGAGTTCGAGGTAGGATGCGCGCAGCAGGAACTCGCGGTCAGGAGTGGCCCTGATTTGGGCAAAGAGGTCCGAAATGGCCAGAGGAATGATACCGGGGTTGGTTGGTGAACCTGTAAGAGTGAAAGTCTTGCCGGATGCCGTCTGGCCGTATGCAAACACGACGGCATTGTAGCCCTCCATGGCAGCTGAATATGGTTAGTGATATGCGCACAGACGTGAACCTACATCTGACATGTGCCCTGGCCGAAGTGGCATAAATCTTGGCGTTGTCGGTCTCTGGGGGAAGGATACGGTCTGCGCGCGCAACGTCAGCACCTCATCCGACAGCAAACCCAAAACACCCACCAAAGTTCCATTCGCGGTTATCGCGCTGGCCATCACGACCCTTGGTGAGTTTGATCATGCGGTCGTTGAATGTAGATGTGTACCATGCTGACGTGGGGTCCAGTCGCAGCTCGGTGCTGTTGTGGGGACGAACACTGTGTGGGGCGTAAACAACCCTGCGCTAGGCAGTGACACGGCAAACATGATGACTGACCGGACTGATACGAGCACCGTTTCCGACGCATCAAGTATAGGAGCAGGTTCCATGGCATCCAGGACGGCCTGATGTTCTGTGGTGCCGCTAACCCAGTTGTCCTCGACATCACGGATGAGCGGCTTCATGCGCGGTGGCGGCGGTCCTCGGGGCTTGACAAGGACACGGGACCGCGCCTCGGGAGTGGTTGCACACTTGATCTTGAGCTTTGGTGCGCCCTGCACGGGCGACAGGACGGACTGGGGAGAGTCGGGGACGTTATCGTTGTGGTTCCCAAGTGGAGCCAACGTCGCCGCAGAGGAGGCTGCGGAAGCCGGTCGGGGAGTAGGCATTGCGCTGGCAGGGCGACCGATCACGCGGGGTCGTGAGGTGGTGACCTTTGGGGAATGCGAACGTGACGAGTGTTCGCCCATGGCTGGCGATAGAGGGAAGGAGGAGTGTGAGGTGATGGGCGAGAGTGAGAGCCAGGTATGCTGTGTTGGATGTGGATGATGGAAGAGAAGATGTTGACACCATCCGCCCAGGCCCAAACACACGGCGCCCGTGGCGCCAGGCTTATCGGGGGTGCGTAAATAATTATATTCCCGTGCCCAAAATCAGGCGCGTCTGTGATCCCGCCTGAGCCACACGAGATCACGAGATCTCTACCTCGTTCCATATTCCATCCGACATGCTTAAAGCTGACAGACTGGGATCGGCCTGTATCTCACAGTCAAGCAGCAGTGTCGCGTTCCCACCCATCGATACATACATAGCGACTTTCAAGATGTCCTTGTAACAACTGCATCGGAGAACTCGTGTCAACACGTAACGCTGCGGCGCGGAGCGGAGTCTTGTCCTTGTCGACCCAAACAGGCTAGTGGACGCTGGCTACACCAACAGACGCTTGCCCTACGCTGCCGCAGGTCATCCCGTTCTTGCTTTCCTTTCTCCTCGTGTTTCCACCCTGTTTGCAGCCCGGAACTGGTAAAAAAAAAAATGAACGAAAGATGTGTTGAATTGTGGGCGTTCGGGGCGGTCGCTGCCGCATGGGAACCGACCTAGCGACCGACTCATGCTCTGCAGGTGTGGGCAGAGTGTGGATAACCAACATTGCCTCGTTTTGGCAGTTTGAACACGAGAACTCGGTTGACGATCAGCAAACAAGGCCCACTGTCTGCTGGCGTGCGTGGTCCGGGGTCAGACGGACTCGATTAACAACCGAGTTCGCCTCGCCATACTGGACCCGCCCACCAACGCTATCAGACTCAGCTCAGGCAGCTCGAACTCCTTGCTGTATCATCTGCTCTCAAGACATCTCTCGTACTCGTACCGTTGACGAGCTTTGATCCCGGCCTCGGCCCAGCCCCGATCACTGCCGTTATGGTGCACGCTCTGTCGCTTGGATGCGCGGTGGCATTGAAAAGCGTCCGTCCACCCTAAAAGCATGACTGCGCTGCCGTGATGGCTGTCGTGGGTCCACCACACGCTGTCATCACCGCACTGGTCTTGGATCATGGACAGTCTCCTCCCCCACACAATGGCTCCAGCCACCCCAGGGCCGTACGTCTTGCCGAAGGAAAGTTTTCAGGTTTTTACCAGGTCGTGGGTTCAGCGGGTGTCTAACACGACGCCCACCACCGAGCAAAAAAGGCCTTTGTCGTTCCTTTTTAGAGTTATACAATACATAGGTGGGCCGCCTTTAAAGTGTTGCTCCAGGGCCGCGGCCAGGTCCTGGCCGGTGCAGGACCTGGCCCGGCAATGTTACGGAGCCTTCCATTCCTGCCCCGCGCGGACGGCAGCGCCCATGTTGAACGGAGACGTCAGGACAGATCGAGAGAAAGGAGGGCCTGTGTGAGGCATCGTATGTGCGACTTGTATTGTATGTACTGTATGACCAGCCCCCGCACTTCACAGACGCCCAAAGACCTCTTTCGTATGAAAGGCCGCGCCAATGTTGTACGGAGACGTCAAGACAGACGAAAGAAAGGAGGGATCTGTTTGAGTGAGCCATTGTAAAGTATGTGCGACTTGTATTGTAGCCATTACCAGCCCCCCCGGGCTTCACGGAAGCCCAAAGACCTCTTTCGTCTCATTAACCGCCTCCAACCGAACGTGCCTGTCCCAGACGTCATCCCTCATGTCCCCACAAGACTCATGTATCGCCATTGAGGCCTTCGTGGTGGCTGGGTCCGCGTGGGTGAGCATGAGTGAGGCAGTCGCGTGTACGCCCTCACGTATGAGGCTCAAACGGGTGTCATGGTGGATCAGGACGACGTGTGTCACTGGTTGCACAGGCGTACGACGTGTCCCGGCTGCTGAAGAATTTATCATTAAGAAGATGACCCACATATGGTTGTCTGCGTTCACGCCTAATGGATCCGACGGAAAAAGTGAATACGAAAAGGGTCATCCCACCCACGCCGACGGTGTGAGAAGTGCAAAGCATGCTAGTTGTCGACCGGGATGGAGGGGATCGGCCGGGACGCCATAAGGGCAGCTCACCGCCATCATTCCACGGATCCACGGGGTCCTCACCAGACACCGCTGTACCCCACAACGCACAAGATCCCAAGAGAGGGTGTCCTGGTCTGAGACAAAGCGGCAAGCATCGCTTCGTGGACTTTGGGTGGAGAGCCTCTGTTCCCTTTGCCTGAACCTCCACAGGTGGAACGTTCATTGCACGGCATTCAGGACTGGCCATTACTGTAGTATCCAACAGCCAGCAGAAGACGGTGCTAAAAATGTCCCGCAACGCACCTTTGGGGCCCGGGCCTAATGGGTCTGGAACTTGTCGAGTAATCGGAGCCACTATAGTCTTTAGGGAGACAGCAATCCGCTCCCTTGGTGCAGTATGTTTACCGCCGCTAATGCGGGTCGGGTGAGGTGATAGAGAAGGACGGGTGCACATCGAGTGCCATCGAGTGGCCTTAGTGTCGCACTCGCGCACCCGTGTGCGTGCACAAGAAAGGAGGTGGTGGTGTCATACCGTAGGACGACCGACCTAAAACACGCGAATAAACAGCAACCGACAGTGGTCGGTTCACAGAACAAAAGCCACATGTGGTGTTTTGTTGCTGGGGTGTGATGTTTATACCGGCAACGAGAGTTAATCCGTCGCCAACCGCAGTCTCTTGGTCTATCGAGTCTCTGATCTGGTACGGACAGAGGGAACGGTAAGCATGTAAGCATTCTGTATGCATGCGCGGTCTAGACAAATACAACATGAGGAGTCGTACCGAGACCTTGACGCACCCCCGTTCCTTTTGCGGAACCCTTGTCAAGCAAGACACAATTACTCGGGCCCTGCGGGTGTTCGGCGCGGGGCAATCCGCAGAGCACTTCCAGGGGGGCAGCTTGCGGATGGCTAACAATACTCTCTGCCAAGCTGCCTTGCATCGAGATAACGGCGGGCATACTGCCATATGTCGTCCGTGCCCAGCCCAGGCGACGTTCGCCCCGGAGGAGAGGATACACCCCACCCAACCGCCAGACCGGCACTACGGGAAGGACAGGACGATCCAACACGGGACCCAGAACACAACTGACATCACTTTTCCGACACACGAAGGGAGGTTTGTCTTGCGTCCTCGTGGCCCGTGGCCCCGAATCTCCAGGTCAAGGACCGGGGCCATGGGAGAGAATGGAGGAACAATTCTCGACTCTCTTCACCCGAATACCACGACACGCACAATTCGACAGCAGACGCGGCGAGTATTCTCCTCAGTACCCTCGAAAAATGTGAGAGAGTGAGTACACTTGGGCCGCACCCGCCGGTACACCCCACGCGTGCGTGGAGCCACATGCACACAAAGGAAGGTAATGAGGTCCACCACTACAAACAAGAGGCCACCCTCGTTTTCCAGATGCATATAAGAGAGCGTCTCGACCCCCGTCAAGAACTCCCCACCATCTCCAACTCGACACTCTCTGTCTCGCCTCCCTTCTTCTGTGAAGAACCGAAAACATCAAACCCGTCCAAGCCGCCTTTTCAAACGCAGCCCAACCACCTTCTCTCAACCAACACACATTATCAACATGTACGCCAAGACTCTTGCCCTCTTCTCGGTTATGGCCGCCACCGGTCTCGCCGCCCCCGCCCCCATGTCGCCTCGCAACGATGTCCAGTACCAGGCCACCTGGTACGATGTCGTAAGTGTCCTTTTGCTATTGTGGTGCCACATTATACCACCAGCGCAACCACTTCGCAACCACTTTGCTGACGCTATACCTAGGGCGCCAACGCCTGTGAGGGTACCAACGACAACCCCAGCGACTACCTCGTCGCCATGAACGTCGCGCAGTTCGACGGCTCGTGCGCCAAGTGGGTCGCGATTACCAACACCCGAGAACGGCAAGACCGCCACTGCCCAGGTCGTCGACGAGTGCCCCTCGTGCGCCTACGGCTCGCTCGACATGTCCAAGACCCTCTTCCAGGCCCTTGCGTCGGGTGGCCTCGACCAGGGTGTCTTCCAGATCAGCTGGTCGTACACTGACGGCTCGGGCTCGGGTTCCGGCTCGGGTTCTGCCTCCTCGGCCGCCGCCGACTCGTCTGCCACCGACGCCGCCGCCGCCGTCGACTCGTCTACCGAGACCGCCGCTGCCGCCGCTGAGACGCCCGCCGGCTCGTCGTCGTCGTCGTCGTCGAACTCGAACTCGAACTCCGGCCACCACGGCCACCACCACGGCTGGAACTAAGTTGTTCCCGTCCGTTGGTCACGACAACGCCGCGTATAGAAACCCGCTCTCCACCTCTTGAAGGGGTCCCCCTGGATGGGGGTGGGAGAGGCCCATACTACTAGAACCCCCTTTTACTCTTTTGCGACGGAGATGCGCTGGTTACACTGGCTGTGACCTGTCGTTTCGTCTCCCGCAACTCACACTCGTTGTACCAAAAATGCATTTTAAAGGCACAACCGCGGCATATTGTCAGCATAGGTAGCATAGTCAGTATGGTGGGGTGAATCTGTGCTTCCCCGGTTACAGCTGTGTTTCTTTGCAGTAGGTACGCTGAGTACGACAGTTCTCAGGCCTCTAGCGAGTGGCCACGTCTGTCCGTTAACGTCAGTCCATTGCCCGCGGTCCAGAGCTGGGCAGTTGTGAAGGGAAATGCTACATCGCCATCTCGCCCAATGTCCGCCTGACTCCCCTAAAAACCCCCCCAAGAGCGGAGCAACTCCGGAAGTACGTGGAGGTACGTGGAGTGGAGCGCGGGAAGCTCGGTTCGTGGAAAGGGTCCTCGGAGATGGTGTTCGTCAAAGTATTGTTAGGCGTGCCGTACTGCTGGTGGACCTTTCAGACGAGCTCCAAACCAGTTGACCAGTGCAGCAGCGCCGAGTTGCGGTGGCACTTTGGTCCGCCCCGGCCGTTTGGCGTCTGCCGTTCGGCCTTCCGGCGCTTTCGACCTTAGTTGTTGTTGGACTGCTCGGCAATTTCTGCACGACGGGACTCGGTGCAGTCCCACAGAGCCTTGAGGGGTGCCGAGCACTTTTCCCGCACAGCCTCGTCGGTCTCGCTGGCGTTGGCCTCGAGGCATGCGCGGTAGTTGAGGATGGGGTTGGCGCAGTGACGCTTCACATCGGCGAGGTGTGGGACGCTGGACGGAGAGCGTCAGTACGGCGTGTGTGAGGTCAGATGTAATCCTCTACTCTCACCTCGCGTCAGCGCAGGCTGTCAGAGCCTTGCCCTCGGGACGACAGATTGTCGACCAGTCGCCGTTCTGGTTGTTCAGAACGCACTGGCGTTAGTTCTACGACCGGTAGGGGGAAGCTTACTTGCTGGTACTTTGCCATCTGCTCAGCGCATTCTAGTTCTATCAGCTAAAGGAGACCAACGTTTGCTTACTGGAGGCGACGAGGTCGAAAGAGAAGTCCATGGTGTGTCAGTGTAGTGGTCGAAACAGCCAGACGCAGCGTTTCCATTATCCGTGTACGATCCGAACATTGAAGTGGAGGTGTTTTGGCTCCGCCACATTCTATTACGTAACAATTACTGTTGTTGCTAATATGATCCCCCCTGTTTATATTATTTGCTCCCGCCCGTGTGGCCACCACACCGCTGCGTGCCCCTGACTCAGCCCCCTCTGCCAGAGGCCACCGATATCCATCATCATCATCATCAACACCCACATCTGTCTCGTCACGTCCCACCCCGCGCAACACCATTCTGTTTGTGTCCTTCGCCTCATCCTCTTACATAGTCCACACAAACAGCTCTCGTTCACCCTTTACACCGTACCCATCAAAACAACACAACGCGCAGCCCACGCTTCCCCACACCTTCCCACCGGCGCTCACCGCGCGCGAGCCGCTGACATGTCGTCGGCCGCCCAACCTCCAAGCCTGATGGCACCTGCCCCAGGTCTGGTCGGCCACGAGACGCAGCAGCGCCCGGGAAACAATGCTGTCAACAAGAGCTCGCGCGCACGCCCAAACAAAAATCAGTACGGCTGGGGCAACCTCCCGTCACATCTCATCCAGTGAGTCCAGTCACCCATCATCATCATCATCACAACCCCTCGCTCGCCACCCGCCCCTGAGTCGACCAACCACTGACGTCGTTTTTTTCCTTTTCAGCAACATCCTCACCACTGTCAACGATACCGACACCCTCGAACGCGACGTTCGCCGCATCCCCCAGCCGAACGTTCCTGTTGCCCTCGCCGTCCTCTGTCGCCAGACGCTCGTGGGCCTCCGCCTCGTGTCGAGCGGCTGGCGCGACGCCGGTATGTAACCTCGCCTGCGTGGATCACCGTCGTTCACGGTTGCTGATGATGGTTCCAGTCGACTCGCATCCCTTTTGGCAACAGTATCTCTTGATCTTGCGTCCCGATGTAAAGGACGAGCCCGCGCGCCAGTCCCAGTCGCTCTTTGATCTGGCACACAAGGCGACACACGGTGTGTGCTTGCCCTGCATGATCATTACCAACCGCCGGCTGGTCACCTCGGCAGACGGCACGACAATGACCTCTATGCTCGGCAAGTTGCCAACTTGCAGGCACCATCTGGAAAAGTTTTGCACGCATTGCCTACGCATAAACCCCATCCCCCCAAACTCGCACCTTGGACTGAAGCCAAGTGAAAATGGTGACCAGGACGAACACGGACGCCCTCGTCCCCGCGGCCGCTGGGTCGTCTGCTACCACTGTCGCGAGGTAGCCATGGCAGTCGCCGTTCGTCGCGAACTGGTAGAGTGCGCCCGTGGCGGTCCCGTCTTGGGAATCACTGCGCCCTTCCATATGACGCAGTCGTATCGCGAGTATACCCTGGCTGGCCGTGGCCGAGTCGACAGCATGGCCAAGCGTGCTGTTGACGAAATGTGCCTCATGCAGCAAACGCGCTGGGTCGAGATCGAGGCCTGCATGACCGACCTCCAACGTCACCTTATCAAGCTCCGTTGCATCTTTTATGACACTCGCCAGCCACGTCCCTCGCCGCACGACTTGGACTTGTGGAACCAATACTGCAACCGCATCTGGGCTATGGGCGCCGGCGACCCACCCGACCTCGGATACATGTACCGCTTGTGGGCCAACGACATTGAGACCAGAGAGTACACCGAGCACGACTGGCGCGAGGACTATGAGCGGTCCCGATCCATGGAGCCCCCACGCCTTTGGCCGTTCCTCCGCGAAAAGCTCGTCCACCAGTGCATCGACTACTGGATCAACGACCGCGTTCAAAATGGATACTGGATCATGCCATCAGACGAGGTCGAACAGGCAATGTCACTCCCGGAGACGATCCACACTCGGTTCACTGCCCAGGACGTGCGCCACCCCCACAGTGACGCGCCTCTTGCCATCTCGGACCACCGTTTCACTGGTCGTTTCCATTTCGGATCACCAGCCATCCACAGCCAGTACTACCTTCCCTCCAGCCGCCTCTTGGCCGCCATGGACGAGAAGTTTACGTCTCAGCTGGGCGAATGCATTCGCCAGCCCCTCTACGACATTGTCGAATGTCACCGCATGCAGAGCCGCGAAAACCTCGACGCTGCCGAGACACAGTGTGCTGGTATGAACATGGAAAGGATCCTCGAGTTTCTGGGGTCTTCACGAGGCGTGGATTGATGGCGGGTTGGCGAACACGCGTTCGCTGACACTTGTGGCCCACACGCCCTCTGATCCCGGTGGTGGTACCGTTGTCTCCGACCTTTCCTCGCCTGCTGTGGGTCCCGAGTCGCCACGTTCCGCACCAAAGTCACCGCATATCGAGCTGGTCCTGGATGAATCCCACGTCCACGAGGACTTTGGCATTGTTGACGGGTGGAGCTCGTCTGTGCGCGATGAAGACGCCTTGTCAACGTCACCAGAAGCCACTCCCCCTGCCGACGTGTCCCCAATGTCGACGTCGCCCAAGTTGGGGAAGCGCAAGTCCACAGAAGAAGACAAGTTTGCGTCTGAGGATCGTCCGCAGCGCCCCCGCCTCAGTTCTGGCCAGACATCGCACACGAGCGAGGGCTCCTCCACGCCCGCACTCGTGACGCCAGACGACAGTCCTGACCTGTTGGCTGGCACCATCCAGCTCGCCGACGAGGCTGCCGTGACAGCGCATGTCATCGATGGCGCGGCACTCAACGGCGACATCAATGTCGCCATCAGCCGTAACGGCAGCGTTGGCGATGCCCCAACTTCACCAAACCTGGGCAAGCGCAAGTCTCCCGAAGACGACGAGCGTGAGCAGCGGCCGGCCCGCCGCCACGAGTCGCGTCCCCCCTCGGAGCATGAACTGGTTGACGGGGACAAGGGAGACGCCGTCTGTGAAGATGTCGTGACCGCAAGCGCTGAGCGCGAAGTTGCCCGGGCCGAAGACATCAAGGTCACATGCCAAGACGAGGTCGTCACCAGCATTGAAACACCAGTGCCAGAAAAGCAAAACATTATGGCGACGCTGGCGCCCGTAGAACCTCCTGTTGCGCCAAAGACCGAATCTGCCACGCCCGTCTCTGTCGAGTCGACCGGCATCCGGAGCCCATACTTTGACTCTCCCGCACGTGCCGTCTCGCCCTCGTCATCACTCATGTCCTCTGAGTTTGATGAGTCAGAATTCAGTGACGGGTACGCGCCATATGTTCCTTGCCCGTATGTCAAGCTCGGCCCGGGTGCGACAGCCATTATCCGCGACGAGTGGTACCGCGCCCGCGAGCCGCTTCGCGAGTGCCAGTGCAGGATCTGCCACCGCGCGCGCAAAGACGAGAACGACCGCATACTGTTCAGCAACTTTGGAAGTCTGGAGAACCAGATCTTGCGTATTGCCTGAGACGAAGATAAAGAGAGTGAGACGGAATATCATGTGTGATGGAGGACGACCAGAAGAGGACGTGCAGCAGCCGAACTCGCACACGCGTTAGCCATACGCCCCCAAGCCCCAACCCCCAAGAAGCTTAGTTGTACCATCGACTATATGTACCACTCTAGATCCCGCTGTGTAGATTACGGGATGTCATTTGTGACTATGAGCGAGCAGAGAAGGAGCCGAGGGATCGCGAGCGCCCGTGTCTCCGACGCTCATTCGTCGTCTACACTCCGCCCGCTCGTTCGTGCCCGTTGCTGGCGGGAATGTTTCACAACAAAGCTCTCCTTGAAGCCACGCAGAAGGAGAACAAAGGAGCGGTGTCGCCCAAGTCTTGCGTTGCGTCGTTGACAAATAAAACAGCCTCAGCTCGAGCCGATACCAGATTTGCATAAAACATGGCCTTCTTGATCGTATAACGGTTAGTATGCTCGCTTGTCACTGCATTCTGCATGATCGCGGGAGATCGGAGTTCGATTCTCCGTCAGGAAGTTCCTTTTTGGCTTTCCAGGCGTCTGCTATGCATCTGCGTGGTGGAAGCAAACGTTTTGGCATGGACAAGAGAAAGTTGTTGTCGAGTGAAAGATGTCGACGGGTGGATGGGTCACCTTAGCGCGTTAGCGTTGCTTTTAGCGTGTGGGGTCCCCGCAGTCACGTGGCAAAACTTGAACTTTTGAGTAACCCCCGCGCGCCGATGCCTTCACTTTCATGGGAGCCTCTTTGGACAAGAAGCAGCAGATGGATCCTGTTGACATCACACACACACAATCCACCATGGCAGAGGACGCACCAGCACAAGCACCAGTATCGGCACCTGCCGCTGTCCCTACCCCGGCTGCCGCCGCCGCCCCTGCTGTCACCGTCAAGAGCGAGGCCAATGACACCACCCCCGCTGCTCCCGTCAAGCGCGAGCGCGACGACGCCGCGGCCTCGGAGGAGGCGGCCATGAACGCTGGGTCGTCCGAGGCCGGCGCCAAGCGCGGCCGCTTCGACCGCAAGGGCAACCACGGCGGGCCTCGCAAGGACGGCGCCAAGGGCCACTGGCAGCAGAAGAAGGAGGAGCGCAAGGCCAAGGGCCGTGAGCATGGCCGCCGCGGAAAGCCATGGGAGAAGAAGCCCAAGGGGCCCGTGGACGAGGAGGAGGCCGCGAACGCTGGCTCGGCTCGCCCCGTCAAGGCCGAGGGAGAGGAGGGCGATGGCGAGCGCCGTCTGCCGAAGAAGCGCGCCGCCGTGCTGGTTGGTTACTGCGGAACTGGCTACTCGGGCATGCAGATGTACGTGACGACTGACGGACTGTCTGGAAAGGGTGTTGGTGGCTGACCTTGTTGTTAGCCAGACCCACGGGTCGCGGACCATTGAAGGCGACCTGTTCGCTGCTCTCATCAAGGCCGGTGCCGTCAGCGAGGAGAATGGAGCCGACCACCGTAAAGTCGACGTCCAGCGTGCTGCGCGTACCGACGCTGGTGTCCACGCCGCCGGTAACTGGTGAGTAGCGCTGCAAGAAAGACCTGGCTCTCTAACACTTGCTACAGTATTTCGCTCAAGATGATCCTCGACCCCCCCGTCCCCGCCGAGTTTCCGGACCTCACTGCCTACGTCAACTCGTTCCTCCCGGACCAGATCCGCATGTGGGGCTTTGTGCGCACCATGAAGTCGTTCCAGGCTCGCACTGCGTGCGACTCGCGCGTTTACGAGTACCTCCTTCCGTCGTACTGCCTCCTTCCCCCGGCCTCGGACGACCCGTTCGCCAAGACGCTTGACGAGGTGTCGCCCGGATGGCGCGACGTGGTCAAGACGTCTGCCGAGTTTGTCAACGCTGCCGTGCCGCCTGCCGAGACCGACGACGGTTCCGTCGACCCCAAGGCCCGTGGCGAGTTTGAGCGCCGCCGTGGATGGCGTGTCGACGAGGACACTCTGCGCCGCTTCCGCGAGCTTGTCGCGCAAGTACAAGGGCACCCACAACTTCCACAACTACACGGTCGGCAAGCCCTACAAGGACCGTTCGGTCAAGCGCTTCATGATCAGCCTCGAGGTCCGCGACCCGGCCGTGTACGGCGACATTGAGTGGATCTCGGTCCGCATCCACGGCCAGAGCTTTATGCTCCACCAGATCGTGAGTAGTGGAGTTGAGAAGGAGGAGGTTTTTGTGGGAGGACTGCTGCTAAAACCGGCTCAAGCGTAAAATGATGTCCCTCGCGATGCTTGCGTGCCGCACCGGCACCAACGTCGCGCTCTTCAACGAGACGTTTGGCCCCAAGCGCATCCACATCCCCAAGGCGCCGCCTCTCGGTCTTTTGCTCGAGCAGCCCCAGTTCAGGACCTACAACGAGCGTGCGCGCACCATGCCCAAGTCTGGCGACGAGGTCCGCGAGTATGTCGACTTTGGCAAGTATGAAGACCAGATGCACGCCTTCAAGGTGTCCTGGATCTACGAGCGTCTCCGCGAGGTCGAGCTGGAGACCAACACGTGAGTGGAGAGGAGCGAGCCCGGAGGCAGTGAAGGTGGTGCTAAACGGAGCCCAGCTTCCACAAGTGGATCCGCCAGATTGACTGCACGGCCACCAAGGCATTTGCGTTCTTGAAGTGAGTAAATGGCCGAGGTTTGCGGTTCTGACGCATGCAGCACCGCCGGCACCATCCCCGACGACGCCCTTGTCACCCTCACGAGCAAGAAGTACTTTGGCGAGGAGGGCAAGGAGGGCAAGGCGCCCGAGGGCGGCGAGGACAGTGATGCCGAGGACGCCGGTCTCGACATGAACTCGGACGTCGAGGGATAGACGAGTGGGGGACGGAGAGCACTCTCCCGAGGCGTTTTTGTGCATGCACAGCACAAGGCCCTTGGGGACTGTGACTGTCTGTACACAGGCCCCGGGAATCAAGGTCGGGGGCCTTGTCGTCAAGAGCATGCTCTCTCGGTCAATTGCAGCACCTCCCCCCACTGGGGCATGAAACGGGCGACCCGTTTCCCCAGTCCGACGGAGCTGTCCTTTATGCACCGCGTGTGCCTCGTGGTGGTTACTTTTAGCACATATCCAGATACACAACTACAGATACAACATGTACCGATGCAGCATCAGATTCTATACCGCCGGAAGTACGAGTATTGGACGCGCACGCGAACGAGGACGCGACGCGACGCGACGACGAGATCTCTGCAGCCGCGTCTGCCGAGGCAAGTTGGCAGCCCGCTGCAGCCCGATGCCGTTGGTGTCATGCGCGGGAGGCGATCGTGTCTGTGATCTGTGAGCCACTCTACTGGCCCGCCATGACCAGAGCAGCCGACATCTGTAGTCCGCGGGCAACGCTGGGGCCGAGTGGAAGGTCACCTGCACCGTCCTCGCTAGCTCGCTAGTTCAGCTGGAATCTGGGAGACGCGGGTGTGGGGTCCGAACCATGCGGGGAACCGCCGCACCCGTTCCCAGCAACCCATCCTCCCTCAGCGCTTCTGCATCGCCACTGTGCACACGTACATACTCACGCCCGCCTCGTCCCCTCATTTTACCATTTTCCAGCACGTCGTTCACGGCCTTTGGCGATACAGTCGGGTGGCCGGCTGCCATGTCACGCCAAGGCGGTGGGATCTACTTTTAGAACATGGCAGTGCAGCCATGTCGCCATATGTGTATGGTGGCCTGGTGGCAGTGACAGCGAGAGTCTGCACCCACACCACAACTCCATTCCACAGCCATGGCGTGGTCTGAGGATCGAGGAGCCGGTTCCCGCCCAAAAGCGGGTCTGGCCCGTCTGGCCCGTCTGGCCGAGGGCGGCTGGGCGATCTCGGCCCCCCAGAGCCTACTTTGTTCCGTCATGTCCAACTAGAATTGCCAGGCTCCCACCCATCGTATGGACGTACAGTACCAACCACCAACCCATCCGCGCCCGACGGTGCCTGACGTTATGTTTGTCCAAAAAAGGTGGGAATGGTTTCACGTTTAACCTTTTTTTGTTTGGTCTTCTTGGCGAGCCACACTACTCTACACGCATGTTCTTTTCATGGGCAAACACAAGGGTACAAGGAATTCATTCTTTGGCTGGGACTAGGCCGGGTTTCTGCATGCCGGACGGGTGTGCCAAGCAAGGCTAGCAGCTCTACCATCTAAACAGATCGCTTGGCCAATACGCTTGGCCAATACAAAGCTTTTTACAAGCCACACCACAACCGCCCGCTCTGGCACAGCGCTCGCGCTCGGAGCGATAATCGCCTCAGCCGCTCTTCAACGGGGAGTGGGCAGGGATGGACACGGCGGTACGGCGCGGACGGGACGCAAAAAGGTCGCCACGGCCCGTCCCCGAAAGGGTCAAGCGGGGGGCGGTGTCGTATGCAGCGCGATGCACAGGGAGTGGAACAGGCTTACATGCTGCACATGCTGCACATGCTGCACAACCCACGTCTGTGCATTGCAGGAGCGAAACACGGGCGCCCACGGGCCCACGGGCTGGCTGCGGATGAACCGGCGCCGCGCTGCGGATGCCATGCCCACGCTATCTCGTTGAATTGGGAACACACAAAAATGTAAACAACGTAAACACCACGCCCACGACACGAGGTCGAGAGTGTTTTCTTTTTTTTTTCCTGGATCCGGATGGGGGGAGAGAGAGAACAAGAGGGGGGACAAGGGCTGTTCGGTACCATGCAGTGACAGCATCTGCACGGCGTGGCCAGCAACAAACTGGGCCAGTGCCCCAGAGTGTTCGTTGACCAACACTGCTCCGCTCTGGCCGGTCGTCACGGCAAAGCGTCGCGTTCCAGGTACCGGGGGGTGGGTGGGTGGCTGTCGCGTTGTCATTCAGCCCACATCGCGGTAAACAGCGGCAACAACAACAACAGTTGGGACACAGTGGCCGTCGCTTCCTGTCGCTTCCTGTGCTCCTGTCGCTGTGTTGTGCGCTCCCCAAGACGCACATGGTGCGCACACCCATGGCCAATTTCCCACCGTCTCCGCCCCGCCATCGCAATTTGATAGATACGAGCACAGACGGGCGGGGGCCTGTTTCTCTTCCCCCCCCCCTGTGCCCCCGGGCCACCCCCCGTTCACATGTCCGACTCCCCCCCCTTGTCTCCACCGTATCGTACGTTTGCACGTCCCTTCCGTTGGTGTAACCAGGGAGCGACGGGTGTCTAAGGTTCCACGTTCCGGATGGTCCGTCACAGATCACAGATCGCAGACTATACGGTGTGGCTGGCTGGCTGGTCTTCATGTTGCGGCGCCTTTGTATTGAGGCGGAGCCGGGGCGAAGGAGAAAAAAAAGCCACCCAGATGCACTGCATTCTTTTCAGCCAGCAACGACGCTTGTCTCGCACTGGCGCAACTGGTGCTGTGGCCCGTGGGCCGTGGGGTGGGCGAGCCAAGCGGCTTGCGTAGGTGCATACCAAGCAACTAGAAAGAGCCCAATGCCAAGCTGGTTTATGTATCTTTTTCCCCCCATCCTTGTCTCTTCATCTCTCCGTCACCCCTTTGTTCTCCTCCCCCTTCTCACCAGCTCTCTCTTTAACCGAACAATGCTCTCTCTCATCGCTCCAGCCCTCCTTGCCTCTGTCGCTCGTGCCCAGGTCATCGCCACGGGTGCCAACGGCGCGACCAACCCCGATGCGCCGGCCTTCTACCCCATCGGCGCCCAGGTCAACCAGACCTCGTACTCGCGCCTGATCACGATCAACAGTGTCGACGACTTTTGCGTCTACGCGCCTCCTGAGCCTGGACCCGACTCGCTCATTGGTAACACCGAGGCCATCGAGGTCGCGTGGTGCACCAAGCCTCGCAACGGTGCTCGGTGAGTAGCGAGTTGAGAGTGGGGACAAGTGGGTAGGGCTTTGGTTGCTCCAGGGATGCGGCACCGGCACGGCCCCTGTTGCCAAGCATCCCGGTGTCCCAAGCGTCCCGATGCGACCCCCCCCAAGGCCCCCAACACGGCCCCAGCACGCACCCAGCACGCACCCAGCACGCACCCCTCCCCGTCCAAGCCCAAGATCCAGCACATGCTAACAACACCGCCCACAGCCTCATCCCCGACGGTGTGATCAAGAGCGCGCACTTTATCAAGACTGCGGCGTACGCCCAGGTGTACGGCACATGGGACGGCACAAAAATCAACATTGTGGCGGGCGACACTGGTGGCGAGCTCGACCCGCACGGCGCCGAGAACCTGGGCAACCCGATCGGCGGCAACGTGACGTCCAACTGGGGCGGCTCGGACGTCTTTTACGAGGAATGGATGTCGTTTGTGTCGTCGACGACGTTTTGTTTCCGCGTGTGCACGGCCGTGGTCAACGGCGTCACCACGGCCGAAGAGTGCGAGCACAAGCTCGACCTCTTGGGCTGTGGGTGGGTCATGGCGATTCCCAACGACGCGGCCGACCCGGGATTCACGTCGTGTGACGGCGACGTGGCGGTCGCGCCCGGCCGCTACCCCTTGCCCGACGGGTCGACGTCGACGTTTGCCCAGCGGTTCACGTACACTGCCAACGGGACGCCCGTGACCATTGGCCAGACGGCGACGCCCGCCGCGCCGGCGCTGTACCCGTCCACGTCCAACTGCGTCACCTACTCGACCATTGCCAACGGCGTCGACCCGGCCAACCTCATGGTCACGGCGGCCCCGACGCTGCTCCAGTCGGGCTCGAGCGTCGTCGTCACGGGCGTCGGCTCCACCACCATGGCCACCACCACCGCCGTCGTCTCGCCCGTCGTCGCCAGCTCGGGCAACAACACCAACGCCGTCGCAGGCGCCGCGGACGCTACCGGCGCGGCAGGCGCGAGCTCGGGTGCCGGTTCGGGATCGGGCTCGTCGTCGTCGGGCGGCGCCAGCGCCTCGTCCACCGGCGCAAAGTCGGGTGCGCTCGGCACGACGTCGGTGAACACGGGTCTCGTCGGTGTGGTCGTCGGCGCCATCCTCGTCGGCGCCGCCGCCGTCTTCTAAACGAGAGCACAGTCCTTTGGCCCAAGAGGGGTACGACCCCGACATTCTGTATCTTTTGACAGCTCGCCTAATAGACGTTATCCCGCTCATGACCATAGGTTGGATCGTTTCCCCGAGTAGACGTATATGATGGACATTTTTCAGCAGCACTGTGTGAGATGGATGACGATGACCCAGCCCCAGCCCCGCGCGCTCTTTCCGTGTCCTCTTTCGCTTGCGGATTGCCACACGAGTGAGCAGTTAGTAGCACATGACGATCACATCATCCAGTGCCACAAACGCTGCAGGCGCGGCAGATACACTCCAATGACTCACCGGATCACTGGGTTACCGCCACTGCATGACGGCACGTGCACAGCCGGACGCAAGCGGATGTTCGGTTCGGCTACTTAGTGCTACAAGCTAAACTCTATGGGTTCGGTTGAAGCACAACCATGCGTGTGTGTCTCACCATATGGTCATTTTCCGTCTCTGCATCGCCCGGTAGCATCGCCGGTGCGCCGGTGCCCTTTGCCGGCAGGTGTGGGTGTGGTGTCTCATCATCTTGCATCTGGCAATGACCCAAAACCGCACTAAACATGCTGTGGTCCAGGATGACGTTGCCCATGGCCGACGACGACGGCGGCGGGGGTCGAGAAGCAAAGCAAAAAGGAGATCCGGTGGGGTGTGAAAGGCGGTGAACGAGGTCTGTGGAGGCCGTTCTCGCCGTTCTCGCCAAAGCAGACGTAGCCCTTTGACGTGCACCCACAGCGCCGACAAGAAGCAAAAAGGCGAAGTAGTGTGTAAGAGTGCATCTCGCGCCGGGGCTGTTCGGCCGCATGCATCCCACGGTCCCACGACATGCACGGCACCCACACCCCCACACTGTCCAGGCGATGCAGGTGGATCAGGATCGACGCCTCGTTGCGAAAGGGTTCTCTGGTTCTCTGGGCGCTGCCGGGCAAGAGAGGCGCAGAAGCGAACAGTGGTGGTAATGTCGAGGCTGTGCAGCACCACTACTGTGGTGGCCTGTGGAACAGCAGTAATGTTGCCGCCGCTGCAAAAGGGTAGAGGGTAGTCATGTGGTCGACGAGAGATATAGATCAACTGCTACTGGATCCTGGAGCGATCCGCCGACCAAGGCTCGCGGCTCGGCTGGGTCGGTAACGATAATGGTGGAGAGAGAGGTGCGCCGGTCCGGCGGCGACGGAGACTGCACAGTGCAGAGAGGGTGCGGTCCCACACGGCGGGCGCCGCATGTTCCCACCTGTCGCGCTTGTGCTTGAGAATTATGTTTGGCTGATCGGAACGAGCTAACGAGGCATGCGAGCAGGTCATTCCAGCGCCTCTGGCCCTCTCTAGTAGCTAGTTGGGAGCCATGGGGGGCGATACTGTCGACATGTGATCGCCCCGTCGCAGCACTGCATCTACGCTTGATCTCATCAAGCATTGACCCGCTTTGTTGTGTCGTTGCGCGCATGCCGCCACGGCATGCGAGAGCCTGTTTGGGTCCCACGGGGTGGTCCCTCTCTCTCCCCATATGTCCTCCCTGGCCGTCTTGGCGGCGGAGGCGGCGGCGGCGGCGGTGAGTCCTGTGAGTCCTGTGTCTCCTGTGAGTCCTGCGTCTCCTGTCTCGAAAGCAACACTGTGCGGAGCAGATCGCGGCTTGGCTTGAGAGAAGAGAGTGTGTGACTCTTGCCCACTGTGAGGGCTCCACAAACAGGTCCAGGTCTGCACGGAAGACAACGACTTGCCTGTGCTCATCCCTGGGGTCGGATGTCTGCGGAACGAACAAGTGGCTGGGCGGATGAGAGAGACAAGACCCTTTCGGCGTTGCTTTGATCCCTCTCTTCGTCCTTGTGGCCTTGTGCCTCCCCTCATCTCGTCGTCGTCGTTGGCTCAATTGCAGCACAAACACCTGTCCAGGGAGGGCGAGAGATCCACCATATGGCCATATGCAGGGAGAGAGGCCGACCATCCCTAGGGCATATGCCCCCTTCTCTACCTGCCATGGTGCGAATATACAAAAACAATAACACCCGTCCCCGCGCCGCTTCTCAGGGTGCATGTAATGGGTTATGCCGTTCCCCGCCCGCGCGCGTTGTTTATACACACTCTATGTATACTCGAATGACGACCCCCTCTCCCCCGCCCCGCAAATACGGCGAGCACGAGCAAAGGGCCCAAACAGGGAGTCCCTTTGCCTGCTTCTCTAGCGATCTCTCTCGTTTTCCTAGAATGCAGACGAGACACAAACATCGTCATGCGTGTGGCCGGGGCAAAAGAAGCAGTGCCCCCACTGTGTTGGCTGTGCGTGTTCTGGCTCGTACATCCGCCCCGCGTACAGCCCCGACGCTGCTAGCTTCTGCTTGCTTCTGCATGTGCTGCATGTGGTGCTGGGTCGTGTGCTGGATCGTATAGACGCTCTCCCTCTGCTGTTGCTGATGGGGGGCATTACTGTGGGCGTTTGCTTGGCGCAGGGCCCGACCGCCCGTGTTATGTTTGGCTGTGGGTGGGTGTGAGAGAGCATCCGCCGCCGCCGCCTGCATCGCTCTCGCTCGCTCGTCTCGTCTCCGTCCTGACCCTGCTTATGCAGCGGCAAGGCACACAAACAAGCGTTTCTCTGCTCGGAGGGGCATACGACTGCCTGCTGCTGCCTGGGATGCCTGCGGATTGTGCCGTGTATACTGACCCACACCCCCACCCCCACCGCCCACCGCACGGGGCAATCCTCCTCATCCGTCCTTCTATAAGGACCTGCTGCGCCCCCGCATTTCGCTCTCCTTCTCTCTCCATCCTTCCAACCCACCCCCTTCGACCACCACCACCATCCTCACGCCGTCCAACAGGCGTCTCCCTCTTCCCCCCTTCGACACTCCCATATAATACCAGCAGCTGCTGCCTCCCCGTCTCGTCCGACTCGTTTAATATCTATTGTCTCTCTGCATTCACCCAGCCCATCATGATCGTCGCTCCCCTCTTCGCCGTGGTCGCCCTCCTCGCCTCGTCCGCGTCTGCAGTCTGCAACGGTGCCGCAAAGGTCATCGTACGTGTCTCCCTGTGTCCCCTTTCTCATGGGAGTTCCACCCCCAGCTGACCCTGCTCTGTAGACCAACTGCAAAAACACCAACCAGGTCGCCCTCACCTTTGACGGTAAGTGATCGCTTGATGGCACCACCCTCCCCCGCTGACACTCGCCCGCAGATGGCCCCTACCTCTACGAGGACGACATTTCGTCGCGCTTCACCGCTGCCGGTGCCCACGCTACCTTCTTCCTGAACGGTAAGTGTGCATGTACCCATATGATTGCTGTGCATGGGGGAGGTCCCACCGCCAGGCGGCCGGATCTGTTCGTTTGGCCGCGTGTGGCGTCCGCTTTCGGTGGCGCAAACAAAACGCCCACTGTAAAAGCGCCTCCGCCCCGTCGGCCATCGCCTCTTCCGTCCGTCTCCGGCGTTACTCAATGCTCTCTCTGGTGGCCGCCATATGCATACACGCCGCGCACGGTCGCGCATGGGGCATGGGACGTCTTTGCACCGTGCTGACTTCTCGCTTAGGTAACAACTGGGCCTGCATCTACGACCACGCCGACACCCTCCTGAACCTCCAGGCGGCCGGCCACACCCTCGCCTCGCACACCTGGTCGCACCCCGACCTGACCAAGCTCGACTACAACGGCATTGACCAGGAGCTCGAAAAGGTCGAGGCCGCGTTCATCAAGATCCTCGGCCTCAAGCCCACCTACTTCCGCCCCCCTTACGGCAACTACAACGACCTCGTCCTCCAGGTCCTCCGCGACCGTGGCTACCAGAAGGTCTTTATCTGGTCCGACGACACTGAGGATGCCGACGGCCAGAGCGTCTCGTACGGCCAGAACGTCATCACCTCGGCGGCCAACACTGCCGGCCCCCACATGGTCCTCATGCACTCGACCGAGCCCCACACCCATGACCAGCTCGTTCCCTTTGCCCTCACCGCGTTCAAGAACAAGGGCTACGGTATCGTCTCGGCCGACACCTGTCTCGGCTCGGACGGCGAGTGGCCTTACGTCTACATTGGCCCCCCCGGCACCCGCGACTCGACCTGGAAGTGCTAAGCGTGTTGTCTGCTTTTGCCTCTCCCGATACAATCGACACCTCGCCCGCCCGCCCCATCCATCTCCACCCGCCGCATGCACCCCAGCCAAACACATTTTACATGTCTCCTGCCGTGGCCCCGCCGTCACTGCAAACCCCCCTCCACCCCGTCGTTGATATTTGTGAAATCACACCCCCCTTTCCTCCTCCAGCAACGGACGCTCTCCCCCCAACCAACCGAACATTGAACCAGGACATTTGAGTCATAGTAGTCGTAGTCGCGTAGTAGTTAGTACGTACTAAAAAGCCCTTCCTCAACCCCCCTTATTTACATATTGTACATGTTGCGAAGGCCAATGAAAAGCATGTGTCAATGCGGTGGCGTCGAGCCGGCTTGCGTCGATGCGGTTGCGGTTGCGGTTGCGGTGCAGTGTTGCTGATGTTGCTGTGTGAGGCTGGAGGCTGGAGGCTGTGCGCGTGGTCGTCGGTCAGCTGGGTCCGGAAGCGTGCACAAGGTGTCGGACCGGAGATGATTGTGGCACAGGCACACGCGCACACGCCGTCTTGGGATCTTGGGTGGCACACGCACGTCGCGAGGCGCGTCCAAACGTCCGAATCCGGGCCGCGGGTGGGGTCGAAAATGACCGAGATTTCGCTTTTTCACCAAGTGCCCAGCCATATTCTCCGTCGGAAACCGGCTTGTTCACCGTCCGAAACGTCGAAACCATCTCAGACAGCTAGCTGCAAGAACCGGCCTCAACGAGGCGTTCGTTAACACGCCGTGCCCGGTGTGCTCGTGTGTCGACATGTCTGCCCCAGTGTCCCAGACACTGCGCCCAAGAGAGGACGGAGGGTATGTTGAATTCTTTGTGTTGCGCCGCGTCTTCACCTCTTAACTCGCGTTGACACGCGTGCGGCTCCACAAGCTCTATAGCCAAGCTGATAGAAACCGGCATACGTGAAGGTCCCAGGTCTCTCGCCACAAATTCCATCTCTTGCCAGGTGGCGCGAGTCATCCCATTATGTTGCATCGCATTACTTAAAAAAAAAAAACACTCCATCCTACCAGCCCCACACCTCCCTCATGCCCTTTCCCTTCCCATTACGAGACCCCACGCACGCGACTCCCCACTCCCCCGTTCACTCCTTGTGCACATCCTCGTCGTGCTTGTATCCAGCCGCAGCAGCGGCAACCACGGCCGTCTCGTTGGCCACGTCCTCGGCGGCGTCCTTGGAGTCGAACAGGACGTTGACCTCTTCGAGCGTGTACCCCTTGGTCTCGGGGAGGAGGAAGTATGCGCCGACGACCCAGCACACGTCCGTCACGATGAAGACGAGGTAGTACTTCCACCCGATGGCCGAGAGACCGATCGGGTTGACGTACTGGTTGAACTGGGGTGTGCGTTAGTTTGAGGCCAGTGTTGCGTGGAGAAGGAACAGGAAAGGAAAGGGGGAAAATGACCCGAAAATGGGTCAAATAAATTAGTCAAAATTGTTGTTCACACCCATTTTGACACACCGCACCACACACCCCACACGCCACACGCCACACGCCACACTTGACACTTACGCAAATGGCCGCGGTCTGGAAGAAGACGTACACGGCAAGCGCCTTGCTGCGGATCGAGTAGGGAAGGATCTCGGTCGTGTACAGCGCGCCGTTGACGATCCAGCCGGCGTTGTAGCACATGAAGAAGAGGTACAGGAACGGGATGAGCGCAATGCCCACCTCCTTGTGCGGGTTGTTGGCGTACGAGCCCGACAGAGCCGTGATGATGATGAAGCCTGCGGGGGGAAGCAAGTGAGTGGGTGTTTTTTTTTTTTTTTTTTTGGCAAAAGGTTATATAGACAGGGTGGGCAGGGAGACTCACAGACGAGCGTGCCAGACGTGCAGAACAGCCACAGGGGGCGGCGGCCGAAGCGCTCGACGAGCTGTGCGCTGAAGGCAGAGTTGAGCGTGGAGAAGATGGCAAGGCCTGCAAAGTGAGCGTTGTGGTCGCATGGGCATATAGCTCACCTCCGTTGATTCCCTGGACCTGCTTGGCAGCAGTGATGCCGACGAGCTTGAGGATGGGCGCAAGGCTGGGGATTTAGCACAAGGCATGCCGGGCGGCGGCTGCTCGGTGGGCTGCCGGCCAAACTCGCAAACTCGCAAACTCACTAGTACGACACGAGGGCGTTACCGCACATCTGGCCCGAGACACCAATGAACAGCAGAGCAATCATACGGCGCCTGTTTCCCGGCGTGCGCACGAGGTCGGCGTAGCTCGACTGCTTGTCGACCTCGAGCGCCTTTTTAATCTCGGCCATTTCAAACTGGACCAGCTCGTCGTTTTCGTCGCCGTTGCTGTGGTAGTATGCCAGCGTCTGGACGGCCTTGGCGTCCTCGCCCTTGGCGATCAGGTAGCGCGGCGACTCGGGCATCTGGCCGCACAGCGTAAACACCACAATGATAAACGTGCCCGTGATCTGGAGGAGGGTCGGGAGACGCCACGCCCACATAGAGTTCCAGTTGAGCGTGCCAAAGCACACCCACGCGGCGACGACGGTGGCGAACTGGTACACGATAAACCACATGGCACTGGCACCTGCGGGGGAGGGTTAGTAGCTAAACGGGGGCACCTCGATGACTTGTACGTACGGGCCCTAAGACGCGGGTGGCAGATCTCCTGCATGAGGGGAGGACCAATGGTGCTGAGTGTTGTTAGATGGTGGGCTCGCGGGAGAAAAGTAGCGGGAAAGCCCAGTACCAACTCACCTCTGCATGCCGAGCGCGGCACCCATGATCGCACGACCGGCAAGCAGCTCGGCCTGGCCCTGTGACGGTGTCAGTGGATGGGTTATTCGCGACAACGGCGCGTCGGAAAGAAAATCCGCAAAAATCGACCGAATCGCCCGCCGTATCTCACTCACCTTTGCAAACGTGTTGCACAGGGCACCCGCAATAGAAACTGTGCACGCAACGAGGAGGGTGATGCGCCTTCCGAAGCGGTCGCCCATCCAGCTGGCAAGGAACGACGTCACGAGAATGGGAAAGTACTGCGCGTGTGGAGTCAGCGATTATACGGCAGAGACCGTGCAGGGGGCTCCAGCTCACAAAGATGGCGCTGATGAGACCGAGCGTGCCGTCCGAGGGCGAGTGGAAGAACTCGAGCCACTTGGGGTGAGCCTGCATGGCGTTGAGGAGGGTTCCTGGAGGGTTCAGTACAAGTTTTTTATGTTTTTGGGTTTGTCGCAGCGACCACGGCCTTGCCAGCTTGTTGCTGAACTCACCGTCATATCCCCAAGTGTAGGCATTCATGTACAGCACGCAAACGCTGTTATGGTCAGTTTTTGCCACCTCGAGACTGACGAGGCGCTCTAGAAGATGTGGCAGAGGAGAATTGCACGGCAGATTGGCTGAGGTAAAGATGCCACACGCCCGCCCAACTTCTCTGCACACCACCCACTCCCAGGCTGCGTTTCGTGTACCACTTACACAATGATCATTTTTGTGAGACCAGGGTCTTTCCACCACTTCGGGTTGGTGGCATCTGAAAAGAGTCAGTGTACGCTGTCGTCGAACGCGAACGGGCCATTGTGACCAAACTACCCCGACTCACTGTGAAGGTTGCCGTAGGACGTCCCGATCATGTTGAACGACTTTGATGAGACCGAGGGTCGATTCGATCTGTGGAAAGGGGTGGGTGGGTGGGTGGGGAGACAAGTCTACTGATAACAGGTGGACATATATGTACCTCGCGATCTACGGCTCGGGGCGAGTCGCCGAGAAGCGGGGCAACGGGGGCGGGGCCAAGGGTGGTGCGTGTGGGGCAAGCGACGGCCCCAGGGAGCAACCTTCTGGTCTTTAGCCCCTGAAAATCTGCCCAGGACATGGGGCCAAGCAGATGTAGACGAGGAGCCACAAGACCGAGTAACCCGGGCAGGAAACGCTCGTAGCCGTTCTATGTGCGTCCACACCTGCAAAAAGGCCCCTGGTCACGTCGAGGGCGCCACGAACGGGAATCGCCCTCAGCTGACCACTCGCATGTCACATTTGCCAGACCCACTGTCGCTCCAACCGGCTACGGAAAGCATCACACGAGCGCTGGACGAGGTGTTCTCGGTCAAGTTCGCCGAGCTGGACGGAGATTACCGGCCCGAGTCCAGGAGAATAGAGCGTTCCGGGATCGCATCTCGCGACCATGGAACACGCCTCCGCAGCACCTCCAGGACGTCCTGAAGGTACTTTCAAGGCTACTTGCACGATGCATGCCCGCACGTCCGCACGCTCCATACAGCAACCTTGCTTTTGGCAGGAGAAAACCGACGGACAGAAAAGTTGTCAATTAGTGGGGTGTACCCAGTGTTCGATCCGGGGGTAAGCCGGACGGCGCGCGGTCTAAAACCGGGCAGATACCCGAGAGCAAATCCACAAAACCCACTTTTTTCCATTGCTCGCTTCATGTGGAGCGCAGCTCGGTGGACCCGGCCCGAGTCAGCTCAAGGGATCAAGGGTGTGCAGGTGGCCAGGCATGTGGATGATCTCCATCGCTGCCAGTCCATGTGGGCACGTAGGGGCTCCAACTGGGGAAGGCGTATGCCGGTTTTGGGCATCCGGCAACCAGGTTTTCATGGTCGGTCCACAAATAACCACAGCGCGGAGGTTGAGGGACGCTGGTGGCCGCTTTTCCGGCTCACGACGGCGTACGGAGGGGATACTGGACGAGCTTGTTCAGCCTGCAAGACGCGGCCCTTTCGAGGAGGTCAGTGTACGAGTGTGCTGCCACAAAGGTCATAGTTGGCGTCTGGCGTGGATGATACATACGTGTGGTATGATCTTCAGGCACAGAGGAACATCGGCGCGCAGTGTCTGTGGCGGCTTGTGTCAAAGACATCCACGATCCACGAACTCCGGCTGTACTGTTTTGTGGAGGCTGCCATGGGATAACCCGCACGCAGATTCTATGGCAAAGCTGCACCGCAGTCTCGGATGGGAGCCTGATCGGGCCGGGACATCTTTCCGCGACGCGTTCCGAAACACGCGCCTCGCTCACCTCGGTCCGGGTTTGTTTTGATGAATAAAAACTCGGATCGCTCGAGGTGCTTGTTCTCGCGTCGGCAGCGTGGTTCCGATCGTCTCTGCTCCCTTACAGTCGGCCCGGGGGCTCGGTGGATAGGTGGCGGCCGCGATTTCCTGTTCTGAAACCCGTGCAGCGTGCAGTAGCGTTCAAACGATACAGGATGTGGCATTACCGCGACCACCTTCACTTTTCGTCCAACTACACTGCGTACAAACTGCTACCCTCTACTTCCTGCCGAGAATCTTGCCCATGACAGCGGTGAGCTCGGCCTCTGGGTCCTTGCTCATGGACATGGAGCGCCATGCAATGTGCTTGTCGGGGCGAACCAGGAGTGCGCCGTCCTCGTTGACCTCGCGGAGCTTGGCCCAGTCGTAGTAGAGGTCCTCGGCGTCCTGGCCGGGGCCGACAACGACAGACGTGAGCGGAACGCCGAATGCCTTGGCGACCTTGCTGGCCGCAGCGGCCCAGGCCTTGCCCGTGGTGCCCGTGAAGAGCGTGTACGTGTTGTACTTTGCCAGGTCGAGCGTCGAGTACTTGTTGTGGCGCTCACCAGCGCCAAGCCAGCAGTGCGGGAGACGGCCGCCAGGCGACGTCGTGGCCTTGTAGTAGAGCTCGGGGTCGCGGTCGTTGACGGGGCGCGTGCCGTCCGAGACGACAACGTCCGACTCGTAAAACTGGCCCATCTCGACACCGTGCGCGTTGAACTCGTAGTTCTTCTTGTCCATCGCGGCGACGAGGTCGGCACGCTTCTTGCAGCCGCGCGGGGTGTCGGCCTTGCGCTCCTCAATCTCCTTGGAGATCTCCTCTTGGTTCATGCCGGGCTTGATACCGAGGGCCTCGAAGATGTGGACAAATTCGCGAGCAGACTTGTTGGCACGAGTGACAATTTGCTTGGCGACGGGCGCACGCTCAACGCTGTAGGTCTCGAGGATGCTCGGGTCGGCCTGGCCCCGGAGGACCTGGGCAATCTTCCAGCAGAGGTTGTAGCTGTCCTAATGTGGTGTCAGCACTGGACAGGACTCATCTTCTTCTTCTCTTCCTACTTACCTGGATCGAGGTGTTCGAGCCCAGGCCGTTGGATGGCGGGTGGCGGTGGACAGCGTCGCCGGCGCAGAAGACGCGTCCCTTTTGGAAGTGTGTGGCGTAGAGCTCGTTGTTTCCCCAAAGCGACTTGCCAGTGATTTCAATGTCAAGGTCGGGGATACCGACAAGCTTGCGAACAATGTCCCTCGCCTCGTCGTCGTCAAGCTTGGGAGGCTCCTTTGTAATGTCGTAACCGTAGATGACGATCCACTCGTTCCACGGGCGAACCATGCGAACGGCACCGGCACCGATACCGCCAATGTTGCTGCCAGGCTGGATGATCCAGTAGAGAACCGACGGGCGGGTTTCAACATACTGCGCAAGGTCGGCCTTGAAGGAGATGTTCATCGAGCCCGCAATGTCCATGTTTCCAACAGTGGGCAGCTGGAGCTCCTGGGCAATGATCGAGCGCGCACCGTCGGCGCCAATCATGTACTTGGCCTTGATCTGGTAGACGTGTCCAGTGAGGCGGTCGCGGACGTTGGCAGTGACACCGTTCTCGTCTTGCGTGTGCGAGAGGTATTCGGTAGAAAAGCGGTTGTGGCACCCGCGCTTGGCGGCAGTCTCAACAAGGATGGGCTCCATGTAGGTCTGGGGAATGTCGCACATGGAAGAGGGCGACGCCAGAGTGTGGTCGGCCTGCCTGGCAGGGTGGGTACCCCAAGTGAGGATACGGCCAATCTCCTCGCCGACGAGCGAGGTGCCGAAGACGGTGTCACCGCAGAGCGCGTGCTCGGTGGCATCGGCCTCGACGCGCTTTTCGATGCCCATGTCGCGCATAATCTCCATGGTGCGCTGGTTGCTGCAGAGGGGTTAGCAGTGCCACAGTGGCAATCTGGTGCGGAACTCACGAGATGTGGGCACGAGGCGTGTTGGCAGTGAAGCGGTACTTGGTGATCATAATGGTCGGGATACCCAACTCGGCAAGGAAGAGGGCAGCCGCACCACCGGCGGGACCAGAGCCGACAACGAGAACGTCAGTCTCGATCGAAGCTCCGGTGGGAACCTCAGTCTCCTTGTGTCCGTCCTGGAAAGCGGGCATGTTGGTTACTGCTGAGACAGCTGGGAAAGTGGCAAAGTGAACAGTGGAAAACGGTTGAAGGGGTTGAGCGGGAAGGTCTGTGAGAGAGGAGTGAAACTGGCTGTGGAGAGTGTGAGTCGTTGGACGACTGGCGTCTTATATAGCTGGCTTTGGCGTAGATGGACATTGCTGGCGGGATGGGGGGAAGCCAAACAGGTTTTTGCGTCATGTGCTAGCAGCTAGCGGGTGCGACGAGATGGCCACGGCCAACATGCTGCGACCATCAAACACTTCCGCACATTAATGCCGGCTTTTTGGGTGTTTGATGGGAAGTGATTGCCCGATTGGGCAAATCTTTGATTGCCGCCGCCACGGTTGCTGACGTTTAACCACCACCAAATCCTGACATTCCTGGGGGGCGGAGCACATTCCCGGCACACCACATCAGGTGACGGCCAATCCGGAAGCTTCATCGTTGCGGGGTTCTGCTGGGACCACTTCCGCTGGCCGGCTGAACACCTTTGTATTGACGGGGCTCCCGTTGGCTTACGTGGTCCAGTGACGGCCTGTGGATGTTCTATCCGGGAATGCTATCGCGAGACAAGAGTCAAAAGGTGCTCCAGACTGAAACCGTTAAACTGGCAGACACGGATAACGCCTCCGTGCAGGCCTGCTTGGTCAGAGGCCTGGTCTTGTTCCTGGCACCGTGCGGCGGCTCGTCACTGTCTCCACGGAGATGTGTAGAGGCCCCACAACCTCTGCCGCAAAGCAGAACACGTCCCACAACCTTGCCACCCCCCAGAAGGACAGTTTGTGAACGGAGTTGACGCTAAGGGGATCGGTATTCATTGGTGGGAAACCAGCACCGGGGTCACATGTTGCTCACAACACCCCCCGTGGGGCCACCTATCCGCACTTGCGGCAGATACATCCGAGCCGCTGCTTAGCAACATCTGGGTGTCCAAGTAACCTTTGGGTAACATCGCTATGACGCACTGGGCACCGGGTTTGCGAGCGCGTGGACTTCCAAAGGTTCCACGGTCTCGGTACGGGAAGTGGCGGCTGTAAACGATGGTCTCCAGTGGCTCACTGGATCTCCGCTGGCCAGTGGAGATATCCCTTTATCGTTCGTAGTCCGAGTTACGCGGTTTGCACAACACGAGCTAGCAAGGAGACGGACCAGGCAGGACTCCCCCACCTTTTTGCTTGAGAGGGAAATGTCCCAGTCAATCACTTCCATCAGCCTATACAAGCGCATGGCGATCGGCAACCTCCGCCGGGGCGGATGAACGAAGGGGTTTCAACATCTCTGGCCGGTCCGGGACAGGATGCTTTGGTGCGAGCGTGCGAGGGTGCTCGCGAGGTAACCCACTTGCTCTACTCTCGACGCCATATGGTACCAGGTAAGGCTAATGACCTGACGCACTCCAAACCCGGGCCGGGCACCGAGTTGGAAAGCCGGCGCCGACTTTGATGTTCCCTGGTCAGGTGGTCGGCGTCTCGCGCCGACTGATACTGTTCGTTCTACCTGTTGCTCATGGCGGCGGGTATACAAAATGGTGATGGCCCGTTTTCTTGTTCTCCCCCACCGAGACTCGCTCTACACCTAGCCCACCATGGCCGCCAAGCTCGCTCTCCCGCACCTGTTCTTCCAGCAGCAGATGGCAAAGTCGACGTTCCGCCAGGACCACGAACACACCAAGGCTTTCACAAAGGTCCCCGTCGTCGTTGACGCGCGCATCAAGGCAGACCCTTCGGCTGATACCATCTCGCCCCTCCTCTACTCTGGCTTCCTCGAGCACCTCGGCCGCTGCATCTACGGTGGTATTGTCGACAACCCCAAGGCCCCCTCGCCCCCCGAGCTCCTCGATGCCCAGGGCGACGGCAAGGCCGGCTGGCGCAAGGATGTTGCCAAGATTGTCGCTGCCGACGGCGAGCTGGCTGTTCCCATGATGCGCTGGCCTGGCGGCAACTATGTGTCCAACTACCACTGGCAGGACGGCATTGGCCCCGTCTCTGAGCGCCCCAAGCGTGTCGAGCTCGCCTGGCTCACCACAGAGTCGAACCAGTTCGGTACCGACGAGTTCATCGACATGTGCCGCGCCAACAAATGGGAGCCGTACATCTGCCTTAACATGGGCACTGGTACCTACGAAGAGGCCCTCGCGTGGGTCGAGTACTGCAACGGAACCGGCGACACCCACTGGGCCAACCTCCGTCGCAAGAACACTGGCCGTGACGAGCCCTACAACATCAAGTACTGGGGTCTCGGCAACGAGAGTAAGTCGTGTGAACGTACACCAAGGGACTTGACGCTGACAGTCTACAGTGTGGGGTCCTTGGCAGGTTGGCAACGTCGACGCCGACACGTACGGCAAGATGGCCAAGCAGTGGGCCCACGGCCTCAAGCTTGTTGACCCCACCATCAAGCTCATCTCGTCAGGCGAGACTGGTTGGTCTGACTGGGACCGCGAGGTTCTCCAGCACGTCGTCCCCTACGTGGACATGCACTCGCTCCACTTCTACTCGACTCTCTTCCACGAGTTCTACACTGCCCCCGGCAACGACTACGAGAAGAACGTGTTTGGTCCAGCGGCACCCGAGAAGGGTATCCAGATCTGCAAGTCGCTGATTGACCTTGTCAACATCGACAACTCGCAGCGCGGTGTCCCTGCCAAGGACGTCAAGATCTGCTACGACGAGTGGAACGTCTGGGACCAGACCAAAGCCCGCCCCGACGAGGGTCTGGAGCAGATTTACGACTACACCGACCTGCTCGGCACTGTCGCATGGCTCAACCTGCTCGTTCGCCAGTCGGCCGATGTCGAGATTGCCTGTATTGCCCAGTCGTGCAACGTCATCTCCCCCATCCTCACCAAGCCCGACGCTATCCTCAAGCAGTGCACATTCTACGCCCTCCAGCTCTTCTCCAACTTTATGCGCGACGGCCACCTTCTCCAGACCCCGTCGATGCCCGACTACTATGACGGCCTCACCTGGCCCCTGTTCATCCAGCAGGTCCACTGCAACCCCCGCTACATTGACATGTGCGCCATGGCCAAGCAGGACGGTGACAAGTTGTCGGTCCGCATGTCGGTCATGAACCGTCACCCCTCGCTCGACTGGGACGCCACAGACCTCATCGTCGGCGGAGTCCAGGTCGACAAGGTCACCGTTCACGAGATGTACTCGGACGACCTGACCGCCGCAAACTCGTGGGACGAGCCCACAAAGCTCAAGCCTGTTGTCACCGAGTACTCGGCCGCGGAGTGGGCACAGCGCTCCCACACTGTCCGCAAGCACTCGTGGCAGTTTATTATTGTCGACGGCAAGGCTGCCTAGACGTCGACGTCGCATATTGCATGGAAGGGCGTATAGGACCTGCGCATTAGGTAAATGCATGGATAGATGTAATGTACAGCTGCACGTTGAGACACGCTGTGCTTCAGAGTAGGCCTGGAGAGTGTGCTGACGGCGGGTGCATCGGGCCGGTTGTAGTGGCCGCGGAGATTGCCGACCGGGTTTCTTGTTTGGTTGCCGGCGGTCTTCTCCACTTCCCATATCTACCACATTGCTCCATCCCCAGAGTGAGCCAGTTCCCCTGTCCTCAACTGACGCCAGCATGTCCTTTGAACCCATGCGCATTGCTGTTCTAGGCGTCGGCCTCATGGGCGCCGGCATTGCGAGCCTGCTCGCAGACGCTGGCCACAATGTCACCGCGTGGGACGTGCGCGCCGACGCCCTTGCCGAGCTCAAGGCCGCGTTCCCGCGCATTGCAACCACCCCCGATTTGGCGACGGCAGTCGGCAGCGCGCAAGTGGTGATGGAGGCCATTGCCGAGAACCTCGCTGCCAAGCATGCCGTGTACGCGTCCATCTCAGCCATCAACGCGACGTGCATCGTCGCATCCAACACGTCCTCGCTCTCCGCGTCCCTCCTGGCGTCCGGCCTGTCGTCTCCCGAACGCTTCGCGATCGCGCACTTTTTCAACCATCCACGCATCGTTCCACTGGTCGAGGTGGTCCCCGCAGAGCACACGAGCGAAGAGACGCTCGAGACCCTGCGCGCGATGCTCGACCACGCCGGCAAGCTCCCCGTCATCCTCCGCAAGGAGGTGCCTGGGTTCGTCGCCAACCGCCTGCAGGCCGCAATGTACCGCGAGGCGTTTGCCTTGGCCGAGGAGGGTGTTGCGAGCTTTGAAGACATCGACCTCATCGTGCGCGGCGCTCTGGGCTCGCGCTGGGCCGCGGCTGGACCAATGACAGGTATGCTCAAAGGTGGATTCTCGCTACGTCGCTGACACTCCGGTCCTCGTCCTTGTCTTTTCCACTTGGGCGTCCCTGTCTTCTTCCCGTTCCACCCACCAGTCGTCGACGCCGCGGGGCTGGACATATGGCAGGCCGTGATGACCCAGCTCTACCCTCTGCTCTCGAACGTAACCGAGGCGCCCGCAGCCATCCGCGAGGCCGTGGAGAGGGGCGAACTCGGCGCCAAGACGGGCAAGGGCCTCTACGGGCACACCAAGGAGCAGGACCAGGCGCTGCGGGATCGTATCGGGGAGCACTTCAACCTCGAGTTTCCTGCGGTGCCAAAGTAGTTGTTAGGAGCTCGGAGAGCGGTTGTACAGTCCTGACACTGGTCCTCTGGCTCGAGGGCAATGAAGCGATGAAGGATAGGAAGGAGAGCGAAAGTGTTCTTTAGATCAAAACCACAGTTCCGGGCCGTCGCTAACGCATGCCGTGCTCCAGACACTCCTTCACTCCTTCCGAGGTACCATGATTTGCATGCTAATGGATAATGATGTTGTTGCGTGACCGTGATGGGGGCCACCTAACGATAAACAGTTGAGTACACATCCGCACCCCAGGTGGAAAGTGCACTCTATTACACGTTGGCCTTGAGCCAGCCCTTGAAGCCTGGCTCGCGGGGTTCCTCGGGAATGTCCTGCGACGAGCCGGTGACAAAGTCCATGTCGTCGTAGTCGACCATTTTGGTGCGCTTGATAAACTTGTAGCCGAGGAGGAGGACGAGGAAGAAGGGGATACCAAAGTAGGTGGTGATAAAGCTGCTAGTGTCGAACTTGTGCATGAAGGTAGTGAAACCTTGAACGTCAGCGACATGTTAACCGACTTTTGACTCACCGGAGAAGAATACAACCACAATCGTAACAATGAAGCCGTAGTATGAGAGGTACGGCTGGAGGGGAGCAAGGTAAGGAAGGGTCTTGCGGTCGATGCCTTGGGTCTTGAGGCCCTTGTTCCAGCGAATAGCGGTGAACAAGATGGCCGACCACGAGAGCATACCACAGTTGGAAGTCATGTTGGCAAAGTAGCCAAAGACAGTGCCGGCCGACGCGTTGCTGGTGGCCGCGAGGAACGACAGCGTCGAAAAGACGGCACTGACCGAGACGCACACCCAGGGGAGGCCATCGCTCTTGCGAAGCTTGCCGAGGTAGGGGTCAAGGAAGCGCGGGGTGGCGCCACGCGAGTAAAGACCGTAGAGGGTACGGCTGGAAACGTACATGTGCGCGACACACGCCGACCAGGCCGAGGTCAGGAAGGCGGCGTTGACAATGGACGGGAGCACCTTGATGCCAGCCGACGTAATGGCAATGACAAACGGACTCTTGGCAGCGGTCGAGGCGAGGTTGAGGGAGGGGTCCTCGGGCGACACGAGCATACCGATGAGGAGAGCGCTGACAATGTAGAACAGGGCAAGGCGGATCCACACAGTCTTGATAGCACGAGGGACCGACTTGCCGGGGTTGCCAGTCTCGGCGGCGGCAATGGCAGTAATCTCAGTTCCAATAAAGGCGAAACCGGCGTTTATAAGGACGGCGAAGAAGCCCAAGAACCTGCCCCAGGATCCGGGTATGTCGTCGTATTGCACGAAACCACCGGTCTCGTTCCAGAAACGGAAGCCGATGGTTTCGTGGTTGGGGCCACCGCCGGCAGTGATGACGATGCCGGCGATGATGAGGCCAACGATAGTGATGACCTTAATGGAGGCTGCCCAAAACTCGCATTCACCGAATGCGCGAGTGCCCATGAAGTTGATGCCAATCTGGTGGCCACGAGTCAGAACAGAGCTCGGTCACGCACACGTATTGGGCCACCACTCACAACAACAATGAGCATTAGGCCCACCCACATGGCGTTGTTACACACGCCCGAGGTGCATGTAGCGTCTCCCTTGCCCGACGGCGTCCAGTACGAGATGATGACGGCCGCAGCAGACATTTCGGCGGGGAGAAGAACAATGTAACTGGAGTCTTGGTCAGCAGCCACCCGATCGCCGGGTTGTTGGCGCCACACTCACGTATACCAGTAAAGCCAACCGATAGAAAAACCGAGCTCGGGGGAGCAGAAGCGCCCAGCGAGGGCAAACTGTCCACCGGCGATGGGGAAGGCGGCGATCATCTCGCCCATGGCCACCATGACGGAGTAGAGCAGGGTGGCCATAATGCAGTACGAGATGAGGAAGCCGGCCGGACCGGCATTCTTGAGGTTGTTGGCGGTACCAAGGAATAGACCGGTACCCTGCCGCGTCAGCAACAGCTAGAAGAGGAGGTCGTGGCGTCGACTCACAATGACGCCGCCGATGACAATCATCTGCCTAAACCATCAGTCAGCAAGCTCGCAAGGGAGGGAGAGGGCTCCCCGGTGGGCTACACGTACACATGGCGGGGCTGCTGTCAGTGTTTGTTCTTGTCACACGACCCAACTCACCTTGAGGGAACGCTTAAGGACCGCGGGGGAACGGTAGAGGCCTCGGAGACGATGTCTGACGAGGCCTGGATCTTCTCTTCAGTTACACTGCTCTCATTGGGAGCGGCGGCTTTTAAACGAGTCTTGTCGAGAAGGTCCTGCGGGACAAGTGTCAGTACTGGGCGCCAGCCAGCAAGCAAGCAGTCATATGGCCCACCTTGTACGCCATGTTTTGTTTTGGGCTGGGGGCTGGGCGGGTGGTCGCGTCCGGGGGAGAGTGAGGGAGTGGGGTAAAGCAAAGTCACAGAACGATGCCAATTTCGCAAAACGGGATGCTCCGGAGCGACGCGCGCAGTAAACATTTTGGCCGTCTGCTCGGATATCCGCGGCTGGGTGCCGCATTTTGCCCATCATCTCGGTCTCTTACAGAAAGACGCAGCCATACATACACATACACATGCACACGAGCGTGTATCACCGCACATTCATGCAGGTTCCACATTGACCACCGATTCCAGCACTCAACACTATTCATCCCGCACGGCCTGCACCGCGTGCGTTGCTGCTGCTGCGGGGTTGGGTGCAAAGGGACTGTCGACTCGCACCGATTTCTCGGACCATGGCCCGCCCGGAATACCGTCCCTGGCCGGCAAAATTCCTTTTTGACAAAGTGGGGGTTTCCGCCGGGGATGGTCTCGAGGTAAGCGCCAGGCCACCCTGTTGAGGCCCTCGTTTCCGTCCACCGGCCACTGTGGCCACTCTACTGTACCACTGTCTCGCTCTCTCGCTCTAGCAATTGCTGCATGCAATGTGTTGTTACACGGTTCACGATCTGCTCTACCTGATTTCCCTCTTTCTGTCTCTCCTCAGTCCTCATCCATCGCATCGTCCGAGTCATCGTCGTCGTCGTCGTCGTCCGAGTCACCCTCGACGACCGTAAGCTTCTCCAGGTCAAAGTCCTGGTCGGCGCCAGAGTACGAGTCGCAGATGAGGTACAGCTTGAGCTTGTGCTGGCCCTGAGGGAGCGTAAACTCGAGCTTGGCCTCGAGGCGCGCCTTAACGGTAACCTTCTTGACGGCGTACAGGTTCTTGGACGTGGCGTCGCCCACAACGAGCCACCACTGCACGAGCTTGCGGTGGGGGAAGTGCGGCGCGTCGGCGGCCATGTCGTCGGGGTTCTCCTCGTCGGCCTCGCGGTCAAGAGTGACGTTGAGGGTGACGGGGGTGGTGCTGTCGAGCGAGTCGGCGTCTTCCACCTCGTACGACACCTCAATGTTGGGGTACGAGTTGACAAACTTGGCCACGCGAGCGAGCTGGCGGTCGTTCATCTGCAGAAGCTGGGTACGCTGGTCGTCCTCGAGCTCCATAATGTCGTAGACCGAGTCGAGACCGGCGTCCTTGAAGCGCTCGAGCACGTCCTTGTCAAAGTAGGGCACCTGCTTGAGGGGCGAGTCGCGGTCCCAGATGGCCTGCACGCACATCTGCGACAGGTCCATGGCACCAAGACAGTTGAGGTACGACTTGGACGACATGACGTCCACGCACGCCGACAGGAGACCAGTGACCTTGCCGAGGATCGCGGCCTGGTCAATAGCAAGGTCTGGCGGCAGGTGCATGCGGCTGAAGTGGGCCTGGAGGAGCAAGTACGTCTTGAAGTATGGCGAGTGGAAGTCGGGCTTGGCGACCTTGACGGGGACACGGCCGTAGATGCGCTCCAGGAGCGAGTCCTCGTGGTGGCGGATAGGCACAGTCTCAAACTCGTGGGCCGACGAAACAATCTCCAGCAGACCCTTGAGCTTGGTGGTGTCCTTGATGGAGGCCGAAAAGGTCTCGACAGTGACGTACGAGATGTAGTAGAATGACGCAATCATACCCAAGTTGTTGGGCAGCAAGTCCATGTCGTCCTGCACGATGATGCAGTCCGACTGCTCCAGGTCCGTGACAGTGTTCTCGACGAGCTCGGAGAGGTACTCTGCAATGTGCGTCGGGGTCGTTCCCTGCAGGTTGTAGAAGCCAGGGTTCTGCGACAGGCGACGGTAAAACCACGTCCATGTGCACCAGTCGACGGCCTCTTGCTTGTTCTCAATGGTACGAGCCACCACCTCGGCGTTGAAGTGGTCGTGGAGGTAGTTGGGAAGGCTCGACTCGACGGGGAGAGCCTCGTTGAGGAACTTCTTGAAGAAGTCCTTGCGGGTCTGCTGGCACATGAGGATGCAGCGGCTGGACGAGTCGATGGTCGGGCGGCACGCACGGCCCATCATCTGCAGCACGTCGGCAATGGCATAGTCGACATAGCGGTGCTCCTGGCCGTCAAAGCTCTGGACACCCATGATGATGACCATGTAGCTGGCCACAGGGAGCGACCACGCAGTGTCCTTGGAGGCAACGAGCACCTTGATGGCGCCGCTCTCAAACAGAGCCGTGACGATACGCTTGTCGACCTTGCTGAGGGCCTCGTGGTAGTAGCCGATACCGTACTTGAGCACCTCGGCCAGGTCGCGGTCCTCGAGACGCTCGAGGTGAGGAGCGAGCTCCTCGGGGTCGACGTTAAGGAAGCGCTGCTCGTCGTCGTCGGCGAGAACATATGTCAAAATGTCATTGGCAGTGAGCTTGGTCTGCTTGCGGCTGGCAACAAAGCAAATCGTTGGGCGGTGGGCAGCGTGCTCGATCATGGCGAGGTAGGCGGGCTTGGCCATGGCGAGCATGAGCGACGGGAAATGGGGCACGTTGAAGCTCTGGAGGTGGACCTCGAGAGGCAAGGGGCGGGCCGACGGCGAAAAGTTGAAGACGTTTTGCGACGACGCGCCAATCCAGTCTCCGAGGTCGCGAGCGTTGGCCAGCGAAACGGAGCAAGCGACGATACGCGTGGGGACACCAGTCTGCTGCGAGACGTAGCGGGTACGCGACACGATAACCTCGTAGGTCGAGCCAACGTCACCGCCAATAAGCTGGAGCTCGTCCGCAATGAGCAGACCAATCGACTGGACGTCCTTACGGGTCTTCCAGCGGCGCGACAGCAAATCCCACTGGCTGGGCGTGCAGACCACAATATCAGCCTTGCGGACCAGTGCCAGGTCGGCAGTAGCCTCGCCAGTGAGGGCGACAACCTCCTTTTCAAGAGGCGCAAACTTGGCCGACCACTCGGCGACGCGCAGGTCAACCATTTCCTGGTACGGCTCGATACACACAGCACGAGGAGGGTCGCGCTTGCTCCAGAGACGGAGGAGGGCAAACTCGGCGCAGAAGGTCTTGCCCGAACCCGTGGGCGCACCAATGAGCACATTGTCGTCGGTGGTGAACAAGGCCTGGAAAACCTGGGTCTGGATCTTGTTAAACGAGTCGAACGGGTAGAGAGCCTCAAACGCCTTGTTGTGCAGCGCCGACACGGGCAGGGGCTGGAGCTCCAGGAGCGGGGTGTGAGGCGGGAAGGGCTCGGGGCGGATAAGGTGCTGGAACGACACAGGGAGGCGAGTCTCGCTCTGGAGCCAGCGGTCCGAGATGACCGAGATGTAGTAATTGGGCGGGACAGGCTCGGAGATGGGGACGGTGATGGTAACATAGTGCTCGTCGGTGGCGAAACGCTCACGGAGGAGGAATGAGTCGTGGAAGAGAATCTTTTCGCCGTCGACGTCCTCCACCATGATCCAGAACGCCTGGGTGTGGCCGTGGATGTCATGGTCCCACTGGAAGTCGGGCGTGATGGTCACGTTGATCTTGAGCAGCGAGCGAGTGAGGGGCAACACGTGGGCCTGGAGGTCCAGGCGGGGGAACTTGTGCACCAGCGACTCAATAAGCTGGCCCGACTTGGGCAGACCAACCAGCTCGCCGAGCTCGGCGGCGTCGAGGTCAAAGTAGCGGTACCAGGGGAACTCCTTGCGCTCAGCACGGGTGATAATCTCTTGGCGGACGCGAGGGAACTGGCGGAGGGGCGACATGGACTTCCACATGCGGCGCTCGACCATCTTGCACAGGTCGAGCAGGAGACGAGTGGGCTGGGCCCAACCCTTCTTCAGACAGATCTCAAACATGGAGCGCAGGATACGGCCAGCCGACTGCTGGATAAAGACCATGTCGGTGACAATGTCAAAACCGCTCAGCGTGAGCTGCGAAATGTACGTCTGAAGCAGCACATTGACCTTGGCAACGGGCTCGTCGACGCTCTCTTTGACAGGGATAGGGACACGCTCGAGGAGCTTGGCGAGCTCCAGCTTTTCCTCTTGGCGCACAGGCAGAAGCTTGAACTCGTTGGACAGCGCAAAGACGCGGAACAAGTCGATGAGGCCGAGGTTGGGCTTGAGGTGCTTGTTATACGTCGACATGGACGAGTAGGTGACGTAGTAGTGGCTTGCAATACGACCCAGGTCGGTCGACTGAAGCACACCGGTAGCACGGTCGTAGCGGACAAGACCGCCCTTTTCGAGGAGCACAGCGGCCGAGTGGATGAGGTCGGCACGCTTCTGGATGAGAGCCGAGTCACCCTCGAGATAGTCGGCGCCGACATTGTAGAGAGCAGGCGAGCCGAGCATACGCACGTAGAGGTACGTGTAGCCGAGCCACTGGACACCCTCGTCACGGTTGCGGACAGTACCCAGGACAATTTCGGCGTTGAGGTTGTCGACCATTCGCGACACAAACTGCGATTCGATAGGGAGCTGCTGGTTCATGAGGGAGGTGTAGTACTGGAGCTCGCCGTGGTTGGTGATGATAATGCCTTCACCAAACGTGTCGAACTGCGGGCGACCGGCACGACCCAGCATCTGGAGAACGTCTTGCGGGGACAGCTCGGACCAACGGCCCTTTTCGGGATTGTACACCTGTGTACCCTTGATAATGACGGTGTGGGCCGGCAGGTTGACACCCCAGGCCAGGGTGGCAGTACAGACGAGCACCTGGATGTGGCCGTCGTAGAACAGGTCCTCCACGGTGGTACGGTCCTCGCGAGTCATACCGGCGTGGTGGATACCGAAACCAAACGGCAAAATGTCCTTGAGATTGAGGTCCTTGACATCATTGGACTCCTGGATGAGAATCTCGCGAGAAGCGCCCTCCGGGTTGATAAACTGGGCAAGGGTCTCCTTCTCCATGGCCATGTCACGGAGGAATTTAGCCGTCTTGGCAGTCTCTTTGCGCGAGTGCACAAACACCAGCGTCTGCGACTTGCCGGCCTGGTTGAGGACCTTTTCGTAACAGACCTCGTTGATGGTTTGGAGACGCCTGATGGCCTTCTTCTCAGTGACACCGATGAACTGCTGCTTGAGGCCGACGGGACGGTACGATGCGTCAAAGTAGAAGAGACCCTTCTTGACGTCGACGCGAAGGAAGGCCGCAACATCCTTGTAGTTGGGCAGCGTGGCCGAAAGACCGACGACACGGACTTCGTCGTGGGTCTGGTCCATGCGGCGAATGGTACGGGCCAGAATCGATTCCAGCACGGGTCCACGGTCGTCGTGGAGCAGATGGATCTCGTCGACAATGATGAGGCGCACGAGGTTGGTGTACGACGTATCGGTGGCCTTGCGTGTGATGACGTCCCACTTTTCAGGAGTGGTGACAATAATCTGGGTCTCCGAGATTTGTTGCTTGGTGAGCTGAGAGTCACCAGTCAACTCGGCCACGCGAATGTCGAGAGCGGCGAAACGCTTGCTGAAAGCAGTGACCTGCTCCTGGACCAATGCCTTCATGGGTGAGACATAGATGATTTTGAACGAGTCGCGGTCAATGATGCCAGTCTCCGGGTCGCGGAACTGGCCGATGGTACGGAGCATGGCGAGGGCAGCGCAGTTGGTCTTGCCGGCACCAGTGGGCGCACAAATAAGCATGGGTTCGTTGGTTTCGAACGCGATGGGGTAGACCTTGCTCTGGATGGTGTTGAGCTTGGTGGCATTGACGCTCTGCCAGACCGGTTGGGTCCACTCGGGCATGGCGGTGACCGAAACGAGCTCGCCGGGTTGGAGCTCGCGACGCTTGGGCTCGGGCACGTGGATCTCTTCGTAGCCCTTGAACTGGCGCTTGAAGGAGCCCTCGGGCAGCTTGACCTTCTTCTTGGACATGAGGTGGCCGCCCTCGGAGAAAATGAGAGAATCAATGTCGATGACACGCTGAGGCTGAGCAACCGAGCCTGGGGCCAGCGTGGCCTTGTTGGGAACGGTGACAGCGGATGTCTCGGGGGCGTCGTCGCCGCCCTTGCGTCCGCCGCGGAGGTCACGGATGATCCATCCCACGCCCTTTTCGCGGATGGCCACCTCCACGTCTACCTTTTCGTCGTCGCTGGCGCGCGCAAGACGGGTACACCAGACGATGACGTCGCGATTCTTGGTGAGGGTGGCGATAAGGTCAAAGTTTTCGTACGAGAACAGGTCTGCGAGCGCGTTCTCGAGGTCACGGAGCTCGGCTTCGCTTCCCAAGAGCTCGAGGGCCTGGGTAGTGTAGTCGGCAGCCTGGACGGGGTCGGGGTAGTACTGGCCGATGAGACGCTGCAGCCAGAATCCATCGACATCGTGTGGCGAAACACGGTCAGACTTTTCCTTTTGCTGAGCCGCTTCGCGGCCAACAACGACAGCGTCATCCTCGTCCATGGGCTCGTCATCGCCGGTTGCGTCTGCGTCTTCGTCTGCGTCTTCCTCATCATCAGACTCGTCGTCTGAATCACGAGCCTTGACCTCGAATTCCTCCTCGCCTTCATCGTCGTCGTCCTCGAAGAGCACAGCAACACCTTCGGCGTCAACCGCGCGTTCACGGTCATCGCCTGCGGGAGCCTCTTCATCGTCCACATAGTCGGTAATCTTCTTGCTCAAATTGACAAGCTGAGACCAGGCATCCTCGGTGACGGGGCCGATAACGGACTGCACCTCTTTACGGCGGTCAAACTCCTTGAGGTCGTCGTCTTTGAGCGATTCCAGAATGGTGTCGGTGGCCGAGCGCACGACCTCGGAGGTCTGGTCGCCGAGCTGGTTATGCACGAGGCCCAGGAACAGCTCGTAGACCTCGCTGGTCTCGACTGTCCGTGGACGGTATCGCAGGCCCTCCATCTCGGCCACAGAGGCGAGCACGTCGGCAGCGCCGAAACGCGCGGTCGAAGTCTCCTGTGCGCGGCGGATACTGCGCTCAACCGCGTCCGCTTGTGACAGAGCCTGCGCCTTGGCCTTCTTCTTGTCGAGGTCCTTGGGGGCCTCACGCTGCACGCGCGAACCCATGTCCTTGACATTGATGCGGCCAACAAGCGTTTCAGGCTGGCCAGTGGGTTCACTGGAACGGATCACGGAGCGGTCTGCGTGGATTCAGTTAAAGCGCTCTTTCTGTGCGTGTTTGAGAGGACTGACCTTGCTGGACCACCAAGCTACTCATGGCAGAGTACGCGAATTTTTCCATTCCGGCTGATTTCCCAGACTGTTGGCCAGACATCGTGAAGTAGAGAGTCGACGGTAGGAAGGGCGATGGAAGGTGGTGGTAAAGACCAGGTGGCGGAAATGGATGATAGAACGGGGTATATGGCGGCCCTTGGAGGGGCTTTTTCGGATAGGGTCGTACCGCAGCGCCTGGGGAACGATCTGGCGCGTGGATGGACCGAGACTGGCCAGACTGGTGATGTAGCGGCGATTGGAGGGAGAGTGGAAGGATGGAGGTGTTTATTGAGTAACTGCTCTGAACAAGGCGCGCGGATCATTGTCCTGTCCTGGAGAGCAATCAATCAGGCGGTGATACAAATATACACGTTATTAATTTAACCATCTGCCAAGCTAATTACGTAAACGTGGAAGAGGTCTTTGCCTCCGTGGGCAGCTTGTGTGCGGCGGGTGGGTGACGCGCTGTCCATAATACATCCATCGTGCGGTGGTCGGTGATCGCAATGCGACCGTGTTGTGCAGTACAGGCTGACCGACCGTGGTGCATCGCATACGCTGGTGTGGGATGTGTGTGACTGCGTGCAATGTAACAAGCAGCGTCCTTGGGTTAGAGCCAAGGTTTGTTGTCGCAGAGAGAGGAGGGAGCGCGCGTCAGCGCATTTACGACATGTGAATTTTTTCTTCCCCGCCGCGGCCGCCAGCCCGTGTTGGCGCGTGACACCCAACCTGGGCGGGCGGACTAGATGGCATTTACTCCCGCTTCTAATGGCCGGCGCTTGACTGTAATGGTGACTGTAATGGCGGTGTGGTGGTGGTGTGGGTGCACACTTGAACCGCCCGCATCCAACATGCACATCGTCGACAGTAGACACTCTTGAGACACTTCTTTCTTCCATCCAACTCAATCCGGCTTCCCGCCACCCTCCCCTCCCCCCCCTTCTTCCCTCCCCTCCTCCCCGCCCTACCAAAAGGACGCAACGGCTAGCACCAGGCGCACAAACGTGTGCAACAACACGCTGCCTCGCTAGTCCACAGCTCCACCCCGTCTTTCACTCTTTCGTGTTCGCCACCTAACCGGACACGTCCTCTCGCCATCCTCCTGCCCCTACAGCGTACATTTCCCCCCGTCTGCAGCCTCATCCGCCCACACCATCCTCACTGCCATCACCCACGGCGCGCCGCGCCATCTATACCCCCCTCTCTCAGTCGGCTCTGAACCCCCGGACGTCGACACCACCCCTTCAACCTTCCCGGGACTCCTTTATTGGTGCACTCGTGGACTCCCTCCCCTACGTCCTTCCTTTCGACACCTCTCCCTGTGATCAATCCTGCACATCTGTGCGGCTACTTAACAAATCTGGTAACCCAGCGCCTAGATCACCAAGCATAACGACCCACAGCCAGTGGGTGAGATACATACACAGAGGCGTCAACAAGAACCTCGACTTTGCTGACTTTGTCCCCCAGCTCTGCGCGCTTTTTTCATCTGCAACACTCCTTTTCGCACCATCCCTTTGACCAGCTAGCGCCGTAGCGTTACCGCTCCTCGCTGCCACCCGCGACACTGCCTCGCCTCGCCCGTGATCTATTGGCTGCCTGGCCAAGATGAGTGGCGAGGACACGAGGGCGCTCCCCACCGCACCGGCCGCCGTTGATGATCAGGCGGTGCAGGGGTCGCATCCCCATGCACAACCACCACCACCAATCGCTGCGGAGGATGTCTCCATGCACGCTGATGATGGTGGCGACGAGACTGAGGACGAGGGCCGTGGAGAAGGGATGGATGTCGACGATGTCTACGCACCTACAGTCCCTGTGGCCGACGTCTCGCGCGAAAGTGCTGCTCGAGGGTTTCAACCCGGGATGGCAGAAGGGCCCGCGGCTACACGTCCTCGCTCAGCCTCGACAGCGCACGGTGGCCCCTTGCCAGCAGCCATCTTGTCAACGCCCCCAGCGCCCCCACGTCGAACATCGCCTCCTGGCTCTGGTCCGTCCGAAGAAGCAGCGGCGCTGCTGCTTAACTTCTCGGCCGTCGCAGACCACCCTCTCCCACCAATCGCCGAACACTCTTCCTACCCTCACACCCCTCCGCAAGATTCGCCAAACTCTGTCGTTCGTGCCGGCACCGCATCATTACCGCCCCAGGTCCCCTCGTCCCCTTCCGGTCTTCCTACTCCGACTGCTCCCAGTCCAGACGCTCCCGCGAAGCCAGCAGCCAAGCCCAAGCGCAAGCGCAATGCTGTAGCTGGGCCCTCGCGGCACACGTCGACAGAGGACCCCGCTGCCAACGAACGTCCACCGCATTGGATGGGCGCCGACAATACCGTCATTCGTTGCATCTGTGGCCTCACTGAAGACGACGGATTCACTGTCCTCTGTGAGCGCTGCAATGCTTGGGAGCACGCGCTGTGCTTTGGCTTCCGCGACGACGCGTTGCTACCAGAGGTCTTTCTGTGCGAGCTGTGCAATCCCCGACCGCTGCCCTTTAGCGCTGAAATGGCACGATCACTGCAACTGCAGGCCCGCGCGTCATATGAAGCCCGCCGAGGTGTGGTGGTGAGGCCTGTTGAGGAGGTCGTGGTCGAGCAGAAGAAGTCACGACCAAAAACCAAGCGACCACGAACAGAGAGTATCCGCCGAGAACCAGAACCCACTCCTGTCGAGTCTGGCGAAGAACCTCTCAAGGACCCCACAGGGATGGCACCGCCGTTGACAAAACCCAAGCGACGCAGCCAGACGGGCAAACCTCGTTCCAAGACAAACGACTCTTCCTCGTATCCCAACTTGATATCGGGCCAGGAAGATGAGGACTATTTCCGCATCCTGCCTTGGGAGCTAGAGTACACACCTCTCAAGGACAATGTCATTCGAGGACGTGCCACTCGCCACGCCATGACTCAGCTGTACCACGAATGGGTGGAAGAGGACGAGACTGCACCACCTCGCAAGTCCGCCCCGCGTCCAGCCTACCACGATTCAGGTTTACCTTCCCCCACCGACACTGGTCTCCGCCTCTCTCCCGACCCCACTCTCATGTCTCCCCCCGACTTTTCGGCTCTCGCTCCGCCAGTCCCTCCCGTCTTTATCAACGGCAACGACCTGTCCGCTCTTGAGGCGCCTACGACTATCCGTCCCATTGAAGAGTCGGCCTGCTACTTGCCACTAAAGTACATTGAGCCAAGCTCTGGGGTCTACCCGCGCCCCACCATTTATGGTGTCTTTGCCATCGACCAGATTGCCGCGGGTGGATTCATCGGCGAGTACCGTGGAGAGGTTCTCGACGCTGCGTCGTACCGCAAGGACCCTATCAATCAGTACGCTGCGCTTGGTGTGCCCAAGCCCTACGTGCACTCGATCGGACCTCCTGTCAACCTCATTCTTGATGCTCGCTCGTACGGCTGCGAGATGCGCTTTGTTCGTAATGGTTGCCACCCCAACGCCGTCATCCGCCCCCTTTTCTTCCGCGCCGACGACTCTTCGTGTGCCAAACTTCGCTTTGGAATCTTTGCGTCGCGTGACCTGGCCAAGAATGAAGAGGTTGTACTGGGCTGGGAGTGGGATGACCAGCATGTCGTTCACACGTTGCGTACCATCATCGACTTGACGCTTAAGAGCTCTGCCGGCCAGCCCGTCATTCCGCCCGAGACCGTCGAGCTCCTCACTACCAAGTTTGACTCGATCCTCACCAACATTTTCGGCACCTTCCAGTCGTGCGCCTGTACTGTCACTATGGACTGCGCTTTCTCGCAGATGCGCCGTCTCGTGGCAGGCCAAGCCTTCCACGGCGTCTCTGGCCAGCGTGCACGCAAGCCTATCGACATTGGCGAGCTCATTGGCGCTGTCCGCGGCTGGCGTCGTCGTGAGCTCGAGGAGGCTGCCGCCGCCAAGGCCCGCCGTTATCGCTCGTCTGGCGAGTGGGAAGTCTGGCGCGCTGGTCCCAGCAAAGACCTCGAGGAGGCATCGCGTGCTCAGTCTGAGAACGCTGGGTCAGAAGATGACGAGGACGAGCAAGAGGAAGATGAGGACGAGCAGGACGACGAGGAGCCCGCGGATGAGGCCATTGAGGTGGACGAGCCTGAGATTCCAGAGGTGAAGCCTCTCGTGGAGCCCGAGCCCGAGCCTGTCGCTCAGCCTGTGCACGAGGTTGTGGAGGAGCCTACTGAGCCTCCCAAGCCTGTCGCCACGCCTGCTGAGGAGCCTGCCGTCGAAGTACCCGCAGCTGGTCCTGAACCCGAACCAGTCAAGGCTGTTGAGGCACCCGCCACTCCCGAGGCCGTCTCCGAGCCCATCGCGGCGCCCATTGTCGAGCCCGTTCCGGAACCCGTCGACCCCGTCGATCCCGACGAAACCGACGACGAGTCTCCCCCTATGGAGATAGTCGAGGCCATGCAAGTCGAAGAAGCCCCGTTCAAGTTTGAACCCGCCGCCGAACCCGAGGCTGCTCCTGAACCTCAACCGGTCAAGCCCGACACTGTTGCTGCCGCCGAGGAGCCCGTCAAGGCCGAGCCCGCCATCGAGGAGGCCGCTCAAGACGAGGATGTCGTGATGGAGGAGACCAAGGAGACTGCTACAGCCGTGTCCCTTGCTCCTTCATCTTCTGCCCTCTCGTCCATCGACCTCCCCAGCGATGACAAGGTTGTCCCTCTTGCCACTGCAACTCCTGTTGAGGAGGAGGGCGAAGACGAAATCGGCTCTGGAAACGAGTCGGACGCTACGACAGTCACCATCGTCCGCTCCCAGTCTGAGGCCGAGTCCGAGGCCGATGCTGCTGAAGAGGATGTTCGTCCCCCGGCCGCCGTCCGCCGTGGTCGCCGCGTGCTGTCACCCACTGCCGAATCGTCCAGTCACGGCGCTAGCTCGTCGCGTTCCGACAAACCAGTCACCGAGAAGCCTGCCGTCCCCGTCGAGGTGCCTGAGAAGCCCAAGTCTCGTGCCCGCCTCGTTCCCACCGGCAAGGTTGTCAGTAAGGCCGTGCCCCGGTCCGTCGCGCGTGTCACTGCTGCCAAGGACCGCAAGCGTCCACGTCCCCGCAAGAATGTCATTGCATCCAGCGATGAAGACGACTCAGATGGAGCAACGGCGGACTCGTCCGTCCGCAGCCCCAAGCGCCCCGCTCGGCCTCCCCCAAAGAAGGTCGCCAAGCCGTCATCGTCGTCCAAGAAGCGTAAAGTGGAAGTGGACGACGACGACGACGATGACGACGTGGACGCCGAAGAGGAGGTGGTTACGCCTGCACCCAAGGCTGCTCGCAAAAGTGATCGCAAGCCAGAGTCCAAGGACAAAGACACCAAGCCCGATCCCAAGAGCGAGTCGTCTTCCAAGCCCGACAAAGCCGAGTCAACACGTAAGGCCGACAAGAGCGAGCGCGGTGCCGACAAGGACAAGCCTGCCAAGGACGCTGTCAAGGACACCACCAAGGACTCTGTCAAAGACAAGCGCGACAAGGACCGGGTTGCCGACAAGCAGCACAACAAGGCGGAGAAGCTTCATGATATGCCAAGCAAACGCGACAAGACGGACAAGCATGACAGGCACGACAAGAAGAAGGGCAAGGTCGACAGGAAGGACAAGACGGAAAGGGCCCAGGTGGTCGACAACTCTGCGGCCGACAAGTCTATCGACAAGCCTACCGAAAAGGCAACCGGCAAGCCTGCCGACAAGACCACCACGGTCCAGCCTGATACCTCTGTCGAAGAGCCTGCTCCCAAACCCACCAAGTTGACCAAAGCTACCCCCAAGCCCACCGAGAAGCCTGTGGCCAAGGTCGACGAAGCGATGGATGTCGACGAGAGTCCTGCCGATGCACCTGCTCCTCCTGCCAAGGAGAAGACTCCTGAGCCCAAAGAGCCTACACCTCCCCCCAAGGAGGCTACCCCTCCGCCAAAGGAGGCCACTCCGCCTGCCAAGGAGCCGACCCCACCGCCAAAGGAGCCGACTCCACCACCAAAGGAACCCACCCCGCCTCCGAAGGAGCCCACGCCCCCGCCCAAGGAGCCCCCGCCCCCGCCCAAGGAACCCACGCCTCCTCCGCCCAAGAAGGTATCGATGAAGGAATACCTTGCCAGCCATAAGATTCGCAAGGTATCTCACCCCATCGCGCCTCCCGAGGACCCCGTGGTCGAGTCGCCTATTGAGATGGTCAAGGAAAAGGACAAGGAGCCCGAGAGGCCAACAGAGGAGGTGCCAGTCAAGGCCAAGGTCGAGACTGCCGACGTCACACCGGCCCCTCCCTCCGTGTCGACCCACCCATCGCGCCTCAACCTCTTTGAGCACCTCCCCTCGGCTCGTGCTGGTTCCACCACTGTCACGCCGCTCGGCACCCCCTTCACCCCGACCGCACCAACTCCTGCGTCCGAGGTCCCAACCCCTTCGGCGGCCTATGTCCCGCGCACCGACTACTTCCCCAACCAGTCGGTCCCGCTGCCTGCACCCTCGTTTGCGCCCCGTCCCAGCCCCAGCTACGTCCCGCGCACGCTCCACGACGAGTCTCCCAGCTCGGCCGGCGGCGGCCCTCCCCACCCATCGCCGTCGTACGTGCCCCGTCAGTCCGACAACGACGTCGCGGTGAGCCCGCTGGCGATCCGCCCCCCACTGCCAGCACAGACCCCGCCCCGCCCATCCATGCCTCTGCCAGACATGCCCCCGGCCATTGGATCTCGTGACGGCCCTCCCCACCACACACCCAGCTATGGCCCTCGCGCACCGCCTACCGGCCCTCGTATCCCACCGACAGGCCCACGGGGCAGCTGGGGCGGTCCCGGCGCTGGCCCAGTTTCCGGTGCGAACGCGTCTGGCGGGCCTGTGTCCCCCGTCGCTCCCCTTCGTGGTGGACCACCATACCCTCCGCGCGGCGGCGGTTTTGGCATGCGCGGCGGCTTTGGCGACCGCGGTGGAGGCCCACCTTGGCGCGGTCGCGGCGGGTTCCGCGGTCGAGGCCGGGGTATGTGAGGGAGGAGAGAGAGAGAGAGAGAGTACGTCGATGTGTCGCGCAGACACCAGTGTTTTGTTTTTTCGTTTTATCGAGGGCTTCCTTTCCTGTCTCTGGTTCTTTTTTCAGTGCTGGATACCCCTCTGTCCTATTAGTTTGCGTGTTATATACACAACAGCCCCCTTCGTTTAGCTCTTTTCTACCAGTAGTTTTTTTTACATTCAACACCACACGTAGTCTGCGCGACGCTGTCCCCGATGCACCGTTCATCCCCAACGAAAAGCAGCAGCTGGCAAACCTGTAGCAAAAATGTGATACATCGATGTGTGGGGGTATGTGTGCTGGTGTGACTCTAAGAAAAGAATGCCTGAAGGGAGAATTAAACGACGACCTCAGAAAGCCCACAGCTGGCTGACGGCATCGCGCTCCGAGGTGGCGCCGCGCGCCGGGAAGAGGGGCGGAATGTCGCTTGCCTGGCCGAGCTCGAGGGCGACGGCGAGGCTGGGCGCATTCTTAATCTTGCGCGCGGCCTCGGTCTCAAAGAGCGTGCCGTATCCGTGGTCGAGGAAGTCTTCGAGGTTGAACTCTGGCTTTGTAAACTGCTCGGTGAAGACCTTGGCCAGGGTCTGAATGGAGGCGAGGTAGTGGTTCTGGAGAGCGGCCAGTTCCCAGACGGACGAGTCGATCGCGTGCGTGGCCATGGGCTTGGGCTCGGTGTTGTCGTACGGGTCGCCCTCCTCCATCTCGTCCGGCAGGCGCTGGAGCATGACCATGGTGCCGGGGTGGCGCTTGAAGAGGTTGTACACGAATGGAATGACCAGGATGGCGCCGGCAGGTGGCGCGCCGAGGCTGAGACGTGCGAGGCGCTTGATAAAGCTTGCCACGAGCGCAGCAGAGAGCAAGGGCGAGCGGAGGAAAGTGTCGAGCAGACGGAAGAAACGCGCACGGTAGCGAGCGTGCAGGACGTTGGCGTCCAGGAGGGCATACAGACGCTCGTAGAAGTTGGGGTAGTCGAGGTTGTACTGTGTCATGAGGACGAAGAGACCGTTCATGGCGAGCATGGCGTTGGCGCCTCCACCGTCAACAGTGTTGCCCAGCCAGTCGGCGAGGCGCACGCGGCGGGCGGCAGCCCAGTGAGCGAGGATACCGCGCTCACCGTGCAGCGAGGCCAGGATACGGCGAGTCCAAGCCACATCGAGAGGGACACGCGAGAGGAGACCCTCCCAGACGGCAGTGTAGGCGTCAATGTGAGCCTTGATCGAGTGAACGGCAGCGTGAGTGCCCAGGGCGGTGGTACGCGTGCGCTTGCCGCCCACAATCACGTCGTCCTCATCCTCCTCGTCCGACTCGTACGTCGCCATCCACTCCGGAAGCTCCTCTGCCTCGCGCTTGGCCTTCTTGCTCGAACGCGAAGTCTTGGCCTTCTTGTTCGCGGATTTGCCAGATGCGGGAGGCTCAGCAATGTGAGGGATGAAAAAGGCGTTGAGGTCGTCGGCGACCTTGGGCAGGTTGGTGAGAGGCGCAACCATGATGAGGAGGTTGGTCGGGTGGACGTCCTGAGCAGCAATAGCAGCCGCCGTCTCGCGGAAGAAGAACAGACGGAGGTCGTCGTACTTGGCCCAGTACTCCTCCACGACCTCGGCAGCAACGTCAGCAGGGAGAACGCCGGCCTCGCCTTCCTGGTTGGCGGCGACGGTGGCCCAGCGCGTGCCCGAGGCAGACGAGCCGGCAGCGGGACGTGCGCCGCGCAGCGACTTGGTGGGAGAGAGGAGGTGACGGAGGATCAGGCGGAAGTAGGCCGAGTGGTAAGGGACACCGCTGGCGGCAGAGAGGGGAGGGAGAAGAGCGAACATGAGCTTGAGGCCCGAAGAGCGCAGGCTGGACTCCGAGTCGTGGAGAAGGCTGCCGAGGAGGTCCGCATACTCGAGGAAACGGTCACGCACCCAGCCCTTGACTTCACGAGCGCCAGCAGAGCTGGAGGCAGACGAAGAGTCGGGAGTCTGGGCGCTAGCGCGAGCATCACCGGTGATGCCGCCGACACGGCCAGCTGCGATGAGTGCGCCAAAGACACGGTACAGCGCCCATGTTGCCTTGTGGACGACCTCGGGGGAGGAGTGGCGGGCGAGGGTGAGGAGCGGGACGAGAGGGTTGGGGTCCGCGGGCTTGTCTGTCAGAGCCTTTTCGAGCTGCTGCACCTGGACGAGCGGCGACGGCATGGTGGTGGTAGTAGTGGTGTATGACGGATCGATGTGGCCTCGAAGTTCTGAATTCTCAAAAGTACAGTGCAGATCGAAAACAGAGGACACTCTCCCACGGTTGACCGCATTAGGAATGTTCTGCTAATTTAATTAGCCCGGGGCCATTTGCATAGTCGTTCTGCGACTACAAAAGCAGCCGCTGTGGTTTTAAATGTTCCCCGCCGGTAAGCCTGCTTGGTGGCAACTGGGAATGGCTGCCGTCATTCCACTCTCTCTGCGCACCACCCATCCCAGTCTCGTGCAACTTGCTCGACGTCGCCTCCCGTGCTCCCTCCCCTCTAGGCGACCGCAACCGTCTCTATACACATGCCCCCCACTCGTCCAGGCGCCAACTCGGCCTCGTCGCCTTACCCCCCAAGCCGTCCAGGCTCGGGCAAGCCCGACGCCGGCGTCAGCTCGACCTCCAACTCGTCACTCATCCTCAGGAAGCAGCTCCTCGGTACGTGCCTTCCCTCTGCACTCTCCTCCCAGAAACTGGTCTACGCGCAGTCCTTTTACGTGTCGTGTACGTGCTGGCGTTCTATTTGCCATACAGCGTACACGTCACCACACGCGGCCGCGAGGATCATGGCCCAGAGCTGAGATTGTCGCACCCACAAACAACACGTATGTAGTCCAGTCAGCTGATCAGCGCGCAGAGTTCCAGAAGAACCCCGTCGACGGCTTCAGCGCCGGCCTTGTCGACGATGACAACATTCTTGAGTGGAGCATTGTGATCATTGGGTGCGTAGCTTGACGCCGTCTCGCTCCCTGTCCTGTCGCTGACCGTGGTGTGTCTGTGCTCCCCCAACTGCTTCCCGCCGGTATGAACCGCATTCCGCGTCTTGGCTCATTCTGTTTCCTCCCTCCATTAACCTTTACGCACACGCGCGCCCCTTACATGTCCGTCTGCCTCCTTTCAGCCCTATCGACACTCTGTACGAGGGCGCCATCCTCAAGGCTCGCCTCATCTTCCCTCCCGTATGTTCCCAGACGCGTCCATGACGTCGGCCAGCTGTGTGTTTGCCAGTCCAGCTGACGGTTCTGCAGGAGTACCCCCTTCTCCCTCCCAAGATGATCTTTGACACTGAGATGTGGCACCCAAACAGTGAGCTGCTGGTTTTCATGGTCAAAGCTGACGTTCAGTCTACGATAACGGCTCGCGCAAGGGCGAGGTCTGCGTCTCCATCCTCGTGAGTAAAGCTAAGCACAATGGGCAGCAGCTGACCGAACAGCACGCGCCTGGAGAGGACGAGTGGGGTTACGAGGACGCCGGCGAGCGCTGGCTCCCCGTTCACAGCGTCGAGAGTGTGGTGAGTTAGCTGGGCGCTCGTCTCAATGGCGCGTCAAACTGACGGGCAGCTCATTTCCGTCATTTCCCTACTCTCGGTCGACAACCCCGACCTGAACTCGCCCGCCAACGTCGACGCGGCCAAGCAGGTCCGCGAGGATTATGACGGTAGGTGATAGATTCTCCTTCGGTTTGCGCGCATTCAGCTGACTCTCCGCCTCAGGATACAAGAAGCGCGTCAAGAGGCTGGCACGCAGGTCGGCCGAGGAGGCCTGGGACTGAAGATGAGGACGCCTCACCCCTTTTGTTTGTATCCTCCAGTCCGTCCAGTCCAGTCAGTTTGTTTTGTTGGTCGTTTCCTGCATGCATGGGCCAGCCCGTGCCTTCATGTGGAGTGTATAAGAAAGTGGGAGCAGGAGAAGGAACGAGAGGACCGCGGCGATGCTGCTCTTATAGCCGTTCCAGAGTTGGCTTTGCCTACACAAACACATGACCCGTCACCAACCTCACCTTGGTTGTGGGTTGGCTTGCTCTAGATAACAACATCATACATCGCCACTTGAGCATTCATTTGTCCTTCTTACGCCTTCTCCATATCCACTACCTCCCACATTTCCGTCTTGTTGGCACCCTCGCCAACAGTATACGTCTGCACCGTCCAATCGATGGCCGGACGGGTCCGCTCCCCATCCAACTTGGGACCCAACATTGCGTCGTGGACACGGCCCGTAAACGCCTCCAGACGGTTGCGGACACGTTTGACCTCGTTGGGGCCCATATAGCCCCCGAGGGGCGGCAAAGCTGGTAGACATGCCTCGGCGGCTGGTCCGCCAAAGAAGACGCCCCACTCACCCTCGAAGGCGAGTGCAAGACCCATCTTGGCTGCAGTGGCCTTGGCCACGTCGTCCATCTCAAAGAAGACAAACATATCCCACCTCGCCTCGGCGTATTGGTATGCCCTGTCATTGCACGACTGGCAGTGTTCGGCGTTGATGCACGTTCGGCATTTGCTGCAAAAGAGAATGGCCAACGAGTCGGGCGCGGCCTTTGCGCGTCGAGACTCAATTCGGGATACACGCGCTTGGATGCGATACTTGTTCGGAAGGGTAGGGTTTGCGATCGCCTCCGACAAGGGTGTGACGGGGTGCTTGATCTCTTCCCTGTTGGTGGTTCGGATGGGAGCGCGCGTCTCAGGCGGAGGGGCTGACGGGAGCTGCTCGAAGAAATCAGGCGGCGGTGCGACGGCGACGGGAAAGTCTTCGCCTCGCTTGGCCTTTTGCTTGGTCTGTTCAATGCGGCTGGGGGCCGTCAGCCAAGTCTGAGAGGAAGCTCGACTCACCGTTCAATAGCCTTGGCCCTCGGGTCTTCCTTTGTGATCCGTGTAAACTCCTTGTTCTTCCATCCGGCCGCCTTTTGTGTAGTTTCGACTTTTTCAGACCAGTTAAGCTCAAGCTCCCCGTGACGGTCCTTGCACCGCACGTTAGGGAATCGGTAGTACTCGTACGGTTGAAAATCGCGCGTGTCGCCATCGGCACCATCACGCGCCCAGACTGCTAGCATAAAGATGGCAGATCCGGGTAGACCGGCGCTGACGTTGTGAAAGTTTCGCGTTGGGCGTGGATTGACAGAGCCGTCGGTGAGGTACAGCTCCCACCGAGGAAAGGTGTATCCACGGTCATTCTTGATGACTGCGACAATCTATAGAGTCAGCTTGGCTTGCTTGCAGTGAGGTGGAAACTTGCCTTTACGACAATGTCCGCAAACATGCTTGCGTCAAGAGCCTCTAGCAAGTGCTCTTTCTTGGTGGTGCCCACACCACCGTCGCCAACTTGGGTTGATACTGCAGCGAAGTGGGAGGCATCATCTTGCTTGTTCCACCAGCCCGACAATGCCCGGAGACGTTCATGTTCCTCTGGAAGGAGCCTGGCACCTTTCCAGTCGACCGAATACTTGATCTCGTGCCCGCGTAAAGTCGCCCACTGGTTGGAAGAATTGGAGTAAAGGTTGCCCTTGACCTTGTCACGGAACTTGTTGGTCTGATATGTCAACGCCGCTCTCAGCAAAGGCAAGCTCACCTTGACACCACGAAACAGGACGGCGGCGCCCACGTCGAATCCAACCAGCTCTTGTGGCGTCTTGCGAAACACAGTTACGACCATGTCCTCGCTCGACACTCCCGCGGTGTGCACGGAAAGGTCGCTAATGACCACTGTGTGGATATGGTCCACTGCAACGTTAGCCGCCGTATTAGTCCCATGACTCACTGCCTGGCACATGGCCTGCTGTAACTCTGATGATGACACCCATGATGTTGACGAGGACGCCATCGCGGACATCCCTTAGGAGAGCGTATGTATTTCCCTGGGCGTGGTCAGCCAGGTAAAGCAGGACAGACTTACACCTGCGCGGAGTTCATGGCCAAGCATTTGCGCGTTCGTTGCCTCCTCGGCCGCCTTCTTCTTGGCCGCATCACGCGCTTTTGCCTCTGCCGCAGCTTGGGCGGTGGCCATGGCCTGTTTCTGCGCTTCGACCCTTGAGAGTGGGGCTGCGCGTGCAGTCGTGACGGTCCTGTCAGGAGCTTCTGGGAGTCGGGCAACTCCTGCGTGGGCTTGCCTGTTCTCGCTCGACTCGGTGCGCTGTTTAACACGCTCCCTCCCTTGGGAAGGTGTCGCCGCAGCAGGTGCGATAGAAACGCGTTGGGCAGGAGTGACCGAGTTGCGACTTTGTCTGCTTTGCAGTTCCGCCCCGCGGCGTTCCTCAGCCTCGAGCATGTCGTTTAGTTGTTTACGTCTTTTGACCTTTGCCATGATTCTCTTGGATTCGGGTGACAGACTCTCGTCGCGAGACACAGAGTCCTCTCGTGCTCGCTTGTTCTGCATACTGGGCGCTGGGGGTGGTGGTGTGGGTTCGTTTGCGATGTCGATGTCGAGAGAAGTCTCAAGGTCCTGAGGCTGGCCTGGGTTATCCAGTGCCCAGTTGATTGGGGATGACGCGGAGCGAGAGACACTCGAAGGGCGAGATAACACGACCGGATCAGAGCTACTAGGTGGCGACAGAACAAGTGCCTCTGTCTCACCACTGCTGTCTACTTCGATGGTCTCAGGACGAGAGGCGTCTGACGGGGTAGGGAGGAACTGGCGCGCGCGGTGTACAATGTCGAGCGGCGCAATAGCGGGCTGCGACAAGTGTGATAGATCGAAGCGTTCACGAGTTGGTGGGGGTGGTGATGTCTGGAGGCCCTTGTTCAAGGTCGTGCTGGCACTGGCAGTGGAAGTGGTGTTGTGGTTATGGGGAACAGCGCTGACAGGCGCACCTGGACGCTTATTACGACTGTAACGCGGAGCCTGCGGGGTGATGGGAGCAGCACCGGCGGAGAAGCTGAGCTGTGGAAGGGTGGATAGTGGGCGGAAGCGTGGGGGAAGTGCGACCGGTGGGGCTTCGGCGACAGCTGGAGGTTGTGCTGGGGGATGAGGGGAAGACGGACCCGGGGAGAAGACGTCGTCGTGGAAATCCCAGACGTGCGCTTTGGATGAGGATGCCTTGGTCTTGGAATCTGCACGCCTCGGGTTGGGTGCGGATGTTGCACAATCTAGTAAGGGTGTCAACTATGAGCGAGAAGGCCAGCGACACAGGCCAAGCGGACGTGACTTACCTAGCAGAATACGGTCCACACCTTCAATGACAGCACGTCGTGGGCCACTCGCGCAAACGGCGACGTTGATTCTATCCTTCTTTTCCTTGTCGTACTCACGCGACACGACCTTGACGCCAGTACAGTCAATCTCAATTAGGCCTTTGTGCTTTTGTGCCGCGGAGAGTTTCTTGTAGTCGTCCTTCGCCCTAGCCGTGTCGACAGGCTGTCCTGGGGCAGAAGTAAGGGTAAAGATGATCGTGTACCCCGTCTGTGGTTTGGGGATATGCGACAGTCCGCTCTCGTTGTCGTTGTTGTCTGGCACAGGCGCTGAGTAGTCGGACGGTGGAGAGTCAAGGCGCACAAACACGCCAAACTTGAGGCGCGCAGCGGTGGCGTCTCCGTGTCCTGGAAAGAGAAACCGTGGTTTGCCCCTTACGATGCCTTGCAGTACTCTTCCGGGGACAAGGTCGCTTGAAGCGATGTGGGCCATGCGGAGTGGTGGAGGGTGTGATGGACGCGTGAACGCGATGTTGTTGTTGTTGTTGTTGTTGTTGGTCAACGCGTCCCACCGCGTTGGGCCTCTCAAGGTGATCGGCTCGGGCCCATTATCAATTTGCTTCCGTCCATCAGCTATCTGTTGCTCTTGGGGGTGCACTGTGGCACCATTCGACTCTCTCTCTCTCTATAACTCCATGCATTGAACGACGAGAGATATGGAACTGCCTCTGACACTCGGCACAGTCAAACAGTTGACATTCTTTGCATCTGCGTTACTCAGCCAATTTATATACCTAGGGCCTTGACCGATGTCTGGGTCCATCCTTCATGTCCTCACTTGGCTATCGCTAGCCTGCAAGGGTCGTGACCCTCTCCTGTTGCTCAATCTCCGTCACATCCTTCTCCGTCACATCTTTCTCATCGTTATGAGCAGCATGCTCAATGTCCTCGATACCGACTTTTGGCGGCTTTTGGAAGCCATAGGCGCCCTTCTCGAAGAGGAATGAGATCTCCTCCAGCGGCAGAGGTCCGTTGGGTCCTCTCGTTTCGATCAAGAAGACGTAGAAATAAACTACCTCAAAGGCGAGGAAAACGCAGTACACCAGGTAGTAGCGCCATCCGAGGGCAGAAAGCGCAATCTAAAGAATTAGCATAGACGAAGGGTTGACAACGACGAGATACTTACGGGGTCTGTTCACGAAGGAAGCCACGGTCAGCCAGAGCGTTCACAAACAAGGTCCGTCACATGAGAATACTCACTGACATACTGGTTGAACACCAGGGCAGCGTTGACGGCCATTTGGTAGACAAAAATTCCCTTGGTGCGAAGGCGGTAGGGGAGAATCTCAAGTGCGTATGTCGATCCGACTGGTCCAATACCAATCCAGTAGAAGAGTGCGTTGATGAAGATGAAGGCCAGAATAGCGTGACCGGCAGCCTGGTTGGCGTTCGTAGCGACACAGTTGGCTGAACTACCACCGTTTGCCGCGAGGCAAGCAGGGTCGTACTCGGTAGCCGACTTGGTGTAGATGGCGGAGCAGATGGTCCAAGATGTAAAGTTGAAGCACATGCCGATGAATGAAATAAGAATCATCTTTCGACGACCCATCTTGTCGATCATCAGAGCAAAACTGAATCCAACGATCCATGACCAGAGCGTGTTCATGCCGTTGATCAACGTCTGGGTGTCCTGGGAGGTGATACCGATAGAGTCGAGAACCACGGTAAGGTAGTAGCTGATAATTCCACTGCCCGACCATTGTCCGGCGATCGCGAGAGCCAGGTAGACACGAAGACGGCGGAGGTTGGGCTTGGTGGTGAAAAGCTCCTTCATGCTGGAGGACTGTGCGTTCTCCTTCTCCGCACGAATGGCCTCCTTAATCTCCTCGAATTCGAATGCAAGAAGCGGGTCGTCGAAGTTCCCGTTGCAATGGTACTTGGCGAGAATGTTGCGAGCCTCTTCATCGCGTCCATGGTCGATGAGCCAACGGGGGGACTCGGGAACGAACCAGATGCCAATGACCTGGATACCAGCGGTAACACCCTGGAGGAGCGAAGGAAGGCGCCAAGCCCAGTTGTTGGATATGCGGAAGGTGCCGTAGGTCGTCCAGGCAGCAATAATCGAACCAAAGCCCCAACCAGTGTTGAAGATGGAGGTGACGGGGGCACGGTGTGTGGGGAACGCGAGCTCGGTGATCAGAATCGGCGCGCCCATGCAAGCTGGAGTTGTTAGCCGAAGCCCAGAAGTGGTAGTGGCGCGTCAGCTGCTGAACTAACCAAAGCTAAGACCAAAGCCGACGAGGCATCTCGAGCCGATGAACATGCCGACATTCTGGGCCCCAGCTTGAATGCCAGTGGCAATGAGGACAATTGCGTTACCGATGAAGATGGACCACCTGCGTCCCAGGCGGTCGTTGACAATGGGAGCCAGCGGGAGGCCTCACAAGAGTCAGCCTCACATACAACAGCCGGTAGGTGTGCCACTCACCAACGACCGCGCCAATCGTTTGAATAGCGTTGAACACACCCAGAAGGGAGGCATTGTTCTCGGGGTGGTTGAAATAGGTCCGCCAGTTGGTAAGGGATCTGATGTTAGGGACGGTAACGTTTGGGGGCCTCACTGAAGACCGTTCATCATTGAACCATCGTAGCCGTTACCACAATTGGAGAGACAGAGGAAGATCTAGCCACCTGTCAGCACTATCAAGCAATGGTCCCCTCTCAACTCACAAGCATCATGTTGAGCTTGAGAAGGCAGCCCTTGAACCATCTCGTGTCGCGACCTCCCAAGACCGTCATGAGATCGGTGGTGATACCGGCCGGGGCGGTGGGGCCAGTAATGACGCCCATGTTGTGGCAGTTGGAGTAGTAGACGAGTGCGAGTCAGAATAAGGCGGATTGGCCTCGCTCTTGGCCAAAAGTGGTATGGGGAAAGGGGTGCCGTACCGTCGTTGGTAAACTCTCACTTTATGTATGTATATCACGAGTGGCGGCTGGACCACCGAGTGCCAGTGCGTTACTTCCTATCCTCCGTCTGGCAAGCTAGGTCCCAAACGTGGGCCAGAATAGACGGGTCACATCACTGCGCCAAGACTGAAGTACTGAAGATGTACATATCCTCCGCTCGGGTCTTGCGGCGCTCCACGGGTCTGCTTCTCTTTAGCACCCAAGCGTGGGGCGCCACAGCCGATCCTGACGAAATGAAAGGAGCACCGTGTGGCACCCTCATGACGGCTAGACGGCCTCGGTTCAATTGCGGTATCGAAAGGTCGGCATAAAGGAAGCCAAGCACTGTGGAGGGACAATCCAGCCGCATTTGTGCCGCCAGAAGATGGTCCCAATGGAAAGAGATCAGAGAGCAGGTTGAGGTTATACAGCTTTTTAAGGATGATTTTCCTCATTTCCCCCGACGAAGTATCATCCTCGGTTTTACACCGCAGTGATGAGGAAACACAACCCGTGCTATTGTCGGTAATGGCTTTCCTTCAGAAATTCCAAGATACACACCATGCTGAGGCAGCCAGTGGGAAGTTGGCTGGCTCTGGAGTCAACGCAGCAGTCGCCGGCGAGATCATGGACAGAGCGGGTGGAATTGCCGAGAATCCGGCGACCCATGCGGAGCAGCTTATCGGCCCGCGCCACATGCATATCCGTGGCACAACCGCCGCGTACCCTGTCTACGGTGACCTTCGGACCGAGCCAAGGCACCTGTTGTTGCTTAACTGCGCTATTCTTAAGCTTGAGTATTGCTGTTTGGTCCTGTGCACCCAAGCACATAGCGCCATTCGGGAGATCGCATGTGCTCTGTCCACGGGACACATTCTCCAGCATCCATACATCGTTTCTCCCCACACTACCCCCTCATTGCCCCGCAATCCCCCCGGCCTCGGCCCAATGGTGCCCTTCTGAGTACCACACTTGGCCCACCACCTCCACAATTCCCACCGGGCGCCCTTTGCGGTCGGTGCCACCCACCCGCCGGACCATGGGCGTCAGGCCGTACTGAACCCGCCTAACTGGCTCCCTTGCCTCCCATATTGCCACTGATATCCCCCTTCTCCGCAGTCATTTGCGCCGGCTCGGAGTATGGTCGCCAAGGATGCCAGGACGTCTTGGTCCTGTCACTCTCGCTGAAATGGCGGGCGATGGACCAACCGGCGACGCTAACCCACTGTCCTGTGACTTGGTATCAATGAGGCTCAGTCGCCAATGCCAACAGATTACTCGCGGCACATGCCTCTCCCGAGCTTGTTCCGGACGGAGGTGACCGAAAGACAGCCAACTCCTAGTTGGAGGCGCCTGCCATAACCCCTATGTAACCGCTCCGACCCACCAACGCCGGAAGCCAGGAGCAGTGACTTGCCCTTTAGGCAGGTAGTTGGCGGATCGGCTACCGTATCTCGGAGGATTCATGGCACTCACTGTACGGTCCTTATGGAGGAAACGTCCGGGTAAAGCGTCAACATGAGCTCCTTAAAGATGCCACGCTCGCAGGCCCCCATGACAACTCCACACACGACAGCACTTCACAACAATGGCCCACCTTTCGACCTTTGACTGGATGGTACTCTCGGGCCGTGGAGCAGACCCGTCACTGCCCACCACGGCAAACCACCCGGTTTCCCTTAGTGTGGCGCCGGTGGTCATCGACGCCATGCAGCACGCCGACACGGGAGGTGAACTTGTGACCGAGCTCATGTATGGTGGTTTCATCGAGCACCTGGGCCGCTGCATCTACGGCGGTATTGTGGATGACCCAAAGGCACCCTCGCCCTCCAGGCTTCTTGAGCAGCAGCCAAACCATGCTCCGGCCTGGCGTGCCGATATCCGCCGCGTGATTGCTCGTGATGGCGAGCTGGAGATTCCCATCATGAGGTGGCCTGGTGGCAGCTATGCTTGTGACTACCACTGGCAGAACGGTATCGGTCCCGCCGAAGAACGGAAGGCTGCTTGGGACCCCGCCTGGGGCAGATCGGAAAGCAACCGGTTTGGCACAGACGAGTTTATCGCCATGTGCCGTGCCTACGGGTGGGAGCCCTTTCTCTGTCTCAACAGTGGGTTTCCTTGGTGGCAATCCTGACGACGATCAGTGGGTACTGGTACCTTTGAAGAAGCTCTTGCATGGCTTGAGTACTGCAACGGGACTGAGAACACGTACTGGGCCAACCTCCGCCGCAAGAACACGGGCCGCGATGAGCCACACAATGTCAAGTATTGGGGCCTTGGTAACGAGAGTGGGTGTCCTGCGTTTACCTGGCTTACACTTTAGCTTTTGGTCCCTGGACTATTGGACAGCTCACGGCCACCGAGTATGCGCAAATGGCAAAGCGGTGGGCTCTATCTATGAAGATGTACGATCCGACCATCAAGCTTTCGTCGTGTGGCGAAAACGGATGGTCCGATTGGGACCGCGCGGTTCTGCAAGTCCTGATTCCTCATGTCGACTTCCACACCATTCACTTTTACACGGCCATGCACGGCGGCAAGCCCTCTGGGTATGAGTATGAGAAGAATGTTTTTGGAGCGGCGGCCCCCGAGCGCGGCATCCAGGTCTGCAAGTCGCTCATCGATCTTTACAACATCGACAACACTTGGCGCCAAATTCCTGCCAACAGTGTCAAAATCTCCTACGACGAGTGGGGAGTGTGGGACAACCGGAAGGCCAACGCCAAGAATGGTCTTCAGCAGACCTATGACCTCACAGATGCGCTCGGTCTCGCGGGTTGGTTGCATGCGTTTCTCCGCAACCACACCTCCATTGGTATCGCTTGCTACGCGCAGACTGTCAATGTTGTGAGTTGTTCTCAACTTGTCGGTTCAAACTCCTAACTCCAAACCCAGCTATCGCCAATCATTACCCGTCCCGACGGCATTCTCTTCCAACCCAACTACTACCCGTGAGCCCATGACTCAGATTGTCACTGACGTTTGTCAGTCTCAAGTTTTTCGCCAAATACATGAAGAACGGCCACACACTGCAGGTACCTTCTCTTCCTGACCGCTATGATGGCCCCACATACCCGGATTTCATTCAGCAACTCGGTCTTCGCCCTCGATACGTCGATATTGTCAGCATGGTCATCCAAAAGGAGGGGCGTGTTAGTGTTCGGCTGTCTGTCATAAACCGTCACCCATCTGCAGATTGGGAAGCACCTCTCGTGTTGGCCGGGCTCAAGTTGGAAAGCGTTGTCGTGCACGAGTTGTATCACGACGACATTTCTGCCATTGTAAGTGCACGGTAGAAAGAAGAAGGGCAATTGACGGCCCCTCAGAATACCTTTGAAGACCCCAACAATGTAGCTCCCGTGGCCACGACGTTTAGTGCGGCTGAGTGGGAGAAACATAGGAGCGTGGTGCGCAAGCACTCGTGGCAATTCATCGTTGCGGAGGGTACTGCCGAATAGGTGTTCACGGAAGTCGCTTCGGGAATGAACAAGTAGACAATGCCAGGCTCCTCGCTGTCTCGCTACGCGATCACAAACACTGCCTCCTGGTAACTCAACACTGCAGCAGGTTGTATACAGCCACAACTCAATACAACATGGGTTAACTGTTCAGCAGCCAAAGTAATCAGCCACTTCACCCAAGTTGCGAAAGTGAAGGGGGTGTCGCGGCTGCGGAGTCACATCCTTGATGTTGTCGGCACCATACTCTGTCGGCCGCTCAATGTAGGCCGTCTGCAAGCCACAGTCCTGCGCCGCGTCCAGATCGGAGTGATGGGCTGCTATCATCATGACGCGGTCGTTGGGCACCTCGAGGACCTTGCCGACGCCGTTGTAAGTCCGCGGATCAGGCTTGTAAGCCTTGAAGACCTCGGAACAGAGGATCACATCCCAGTTCAGGTCGGCGCGTTTGGCCATGTGTGTGAGCAGCCCAATACTGCCATTGGACAAGGGAGAGAGGGTAAACTTGGTCTTCAGCCGCTTGAGGGCCGTGCTCGAATCGGGCCAAGCGTCGAGACGGTGCCAGACATGGTTGAGGTGGTCGAGCTGTTCGGCAGTCAAGTCGAGCCCAAATTGGGGACAGATACTCTTCAGAATGTCCATGTGGAGCTCGTCAAGGAGGCGCCATTGACCCGAATCCATCGTGGCCTTCATGGCAGGAGCGTATCCCTGGCGCCAGGCGTTGGCAAACTTGCTGCCGTCGACTTGAGGTGCAATGTGGGCCATCTCCTTGACAATCGTGCCGTGCCAGTCGACAACGGTGCCAAAGACGTCAAAGCACAAGACCTGGGGAGTAGGTGCCGCAGTCATGCTGTACCGATGGTGGTAGTGATATGGCTTTGCGACGTTGCTGTCCGTGCCAGTTTAAGTAGCTGAAGCAGGAAGAATGGATGGACGAGCAATGTGAACACCTTGTCGGTTAAGGTGTAACCGCGTGCGATGATAATGGCGTCACGGCAGCAACGATCCATCGGCGATCGGCGGTCGGTGACTAACGCCCGTCAATGCCGATGGTCAGATGTCTCGGTTTCACGAGTCAGCATGTCAGTCGAGTTAGAAAGCAGATGCCTTCTTCAATGCGCCAGTTACACGCAGACAAGCATGGTTCTTGCCGACAGGGGCGGCACTGATGATACCCATAGAGGGGTTGCGGAAATGGCGCCCAAAGTGAACGACATGGTCAAGGACCCAAGTGTCCCGGCAGCTCACCTTAGCCACATTGCATGTGTTGCGTGTAAGTTTCTGAACGTGCAAGATCGTAGGAATAGGAGCAAGTGAGACCTATCGTGCACCTCGAACATGTCGTACATGTCGTACATTGTACATGGTATTAAACTGTGACCTTGCCGCACTGTGACCCTCCTAATTCCCGTAACAACCGCAGTGGCGCGTGACTTCAGACTTGCAGCTTGCTGGTAGTGATTTGCCTACTCCCGCCTTACATGAAGCTCTTTCAACCCCAAAGTCTCAATTTCCGACTTCTCCAGGTACCCCGACTTCATAAAGTGACTCATGAAGGGGGTGTGGTCGAACACGAGGTCGCGCAGCTTGGACAGTGGCCAAGGCACCTGGTGGAACATGTAGCCGAGGCGACGGGCAAACAGCATGTTGTGGTTGACATAGTCGACGCGCTCCGACTCGTAGACCTCAAAGGCAGCGGCCACGGCGCGCTTGTCGCTCAGGTCGATTCCGTCAAAGGCGCGCGCCAGGTAGTAGCCGTCCTCGATGGCCATGCCCATCCCGTAAGCGGCGTAGGGCGAGACGGGGTGGACCGCGTCGCCGACACACACGGCACGGCCCTTGGACCACTTGTCGAGTGCTGGACGGTTGTAAATCTCCCAGCGGTAGACTTGGGTGTCAAAGTTGGTCGCGTCTGGGAAGCGCGGGAGGGGGTCGGCGAAGTTGTTGAGAATGCCTTGGACGTGCGCCTTGACGTCGGTGGGGACCTCTGCCGTGGGCGAAGAGGGCTCGACGACCCACCACTCGTAACCGGGCTTGCCCTCATGATGGGTCATGGGGAAGAATGACGCCTGGTACTTGTCATCGTGGCAGATCGCACCCATGTTGACAGGGATATCGGGGATGGGGTCGCACCATGCGAGCCAAAGGCGGATACCGCAGTGGAAGATCTTGGGGTCGCCAAACATCTCCTGTGAAACCGCCGACCGGATCCCGTCAGCGCCTACAATCAGGTCGCACTGAACTGTCGACCCGTCCTTGAACTTGGCCGTCACTTCTTTGTCGTTCTCGTCGTACCCGACACACTCGGCGTTGGTGGTGATCATCCCCTCAGGAACCTTGTCGAGCATCTTCTGGAACGCAGAGGAGCGCAGGACGCCATAGTGCCATCCCTTGATACCCATGGCCTCCTCGACCTTGGGGTTGAATGGGAGAATCACACGGTCGGTGCCTTTGTTGTTCATAAAGTGGGTGATCGTAAACGAGCCAAAGTTTTCAACGTCGATGCCGTACGAGCGGAGCACGGCCAGGACGGGGACGGAGAGGAGGACGGCGCCGCCAATGGCCGTGCACTCCTTCTGACGCTCAAAGACGCGGACGTCAAAACCGCGGGCATGGAAAGCGAGGGCTGTCGAGATGCCACCAGGTCCGCCGCCCATGACGGCGACGCGCTTGCCGACGCGCCACTGTTGCTGTTGCTGGGTCATGTTGCGAGTGTGCGAGTGTTGGGAGAGAGTTGGAGGTTGCGAGTGTGCGAGTGTTGGGAGAGAGTTGGAGAAGGGAGTGGGTGGCAGCGTCAGCGTTGAGAGTCGCCGTTTATATGATAAGCGAATGAGTAAGGCAACGCAACGTAGTTCAGCGCGTTGATGTGCGGAGGTCAGCCTTCCGATCTTCCGAGTTCCGAGCTCGGTGGGTCGGTCGTGTCTTTGGTTTTTGGCTCGTGCAGCAACAATGGAGCCTCACGTCAAGGTAGTGACACCCCCCCGGGGTGCATTATGCGCCATAGCCGCCATCCGCAGTCCGGGGTCAGACGTGCAGGCGAGCAAGCGTGCAAGCGTTTGCACATGGGCCCCCCCAGGGCCCGGGAGAGGCTGCAACATCCCACGAAATACTGTACAACAGGGACTCTTAACGGCGTCTTCCCCCGCCATCGCCACCAAAAGTCGCCCGCCGTCAAACACAACCACCCGCCTCCACCACCCCGTCTCCACTACCACCATTATCGTCCCTTCTGTCAAGTCCATGCACATTAGTGACCACAGTCTGCGGTTCTTGAGCGTGTGGATCCATTAGCTGGTATCAACTGCAAAGGGACGCCGGGTTGACTCAACTTGAACTGGGGCCACGGGTTGATAGTTCTGGAGTTCCAGTGATAACGGCGACGCAGGTCCCCAGTAACTCTCCCTCTGGCCTCTCCCTACTGCGAGAGCGTGGTGGAGTGTCAGTACACATGTGAGCGGAGAGCACGGTACGTGTGCGGTGACTGCTGCGTGTGTTGCAAGGGCGTGCGTACGCGCGTACGGGAAGACTTGAGAACGTGGGTGAGAGCAAATATCAGATATCGGCTGTTCATGACCGTCCACCACCCACCCCACCTGCATACCTGTCATAGTGCAGCCCATTCTCCACCATGCATGCTCCCCCGTGGCCCAGCACGTTGCTGCTCCACGTACCATGCCTGTTACTTGCCCACCACATCAGAACCGACACGTCGACAGGCCGGACATTCTGCTTACCAATGTGACTCACTCGGCCAAAAGGGTTCGACGTCATCGTATCGGCCAGCGGGGCAACAAAACATGTTAGCGACGCCCTCTCGCCGCCCCCAATGTCAACAACAACACTCCCTTCCCATGGCCACCATAACCCCATGACACCATGGAACTCCCCATTGCCATTCTCCTCTGGTTCTCGGGCACCTCGTGGTGTCTGTACAAGTGGATCGGTCGGGCTTACACGGCCTGCGAGGCTCCAAAAGGTGGGTGGCCATTTTCTCAACGGCAGGAGCTCACCAGCACAGCCAGTGCATACGGATTCGGTGTCGTCCTCGACCTCGTTGGCAGCAACTTTGGCTCGGACGCCGCGTTGCTTGCCCAGACGGCGTGCGTTCCCTTCCAACTCACGTTTGGCACGCTAGGGTGGTTGTACGACCAGATCCCCACAGCCAACGGTTCCACACCGAACGCGACCTTGTTATCAGGCTCCACCAACTTTTCTTCCCAGCAGTATTCCCTCGTTCCCACAACACCAACAACTCGATCGTCGCTCGCGCTGGCGACCTACCTTCGCACAGCGCAGTGGTACACCGTCAACGACTGCGTCAAGCTGCTTGAGAAGCAGTGGGCAACCATGTCCGCCAAGCTTGATTGGGTGGTGGACCAGACGCCACCCGAAGTTGTGGCCACCGTCAAGTGAGTTTGAAGCTGGAGTTGAGTGCTGACATCCTAGGCAGTATGTATGGGTTGGATTCGTCGCCGTGGCCGCCATTGCAAGCATCTGGCGGTACCACAAAGTGTCTCGTGGGTTACATAGCTTTGTACTAACGCTGACCCATCAGACCCATGGCATGCCCTCTCTCTCCTCCTCGCCGGCGCCGGCTTTGTTGGCCAGAAGCGGTACACAAACACCCGCTTCACCTCCCAGTGAGTCACTCACACCTTGTCTGAGCTAATATCCAGCGACCTCGCGACCCTTCTGCTTCTCCTTGTGCTCGTAGACAAGGTGTTCACCTTGCTTAGGGGCAACGGCAAGGACGTCCAGGTTCTCCAGACCCGCATTATCGAGCTCGAGGATAGGACCAACACGCTAGAGGGCCAGCTCGAGAACCTCCAGCGTTCCCTGGACCTGCTTCGCAGCGAGATGCACGGGGCCAGCGAACGCGCAGACAGACTGGCGAGTCGTTGCCTCGACGCCACGCCGCACATTACCCACCGCCCTTCCTTGCACGGTCTGCAGCTGGCCACACCTGCGCCCACCGCGCCGTCCGAGCCAGACCCCGAGGCGCACTGGCATGATGATGAGGAATCTAAAGACGCGCTCCAGTTCGTCATTGCAGCTCACCGCACACCTTCGTCTCCGGCATCGACGGGAACGTCGACCGCAAGTGATACCAACAAGCGCACCCGGATCCCACGCAGAGCCAAGGACCGCGGTGTAGAGAAGCGTCGAGCGATGCAGGGCGGTAGAGGGACGAGCAGCGATCGTGCTCGTGACGCGCGCGAGGCTCGCAAGGCGCGTGCGGACTCGCTTGCAGAGGAGATGCTGGCGTGAGGTGTTTGGATCTGATATGTTGTTAGAGATGACATGTACCATTTGTGTATACTGGTAGAGCCTGTGATATGCACTGTGGGGGAGTATCATGCGCTAAAGGGAGAAACACACTGTTTGTCAATTTCATCCTTGCTGGACACATGATAGTGCGTTTCCACCCCCCTCACGAAACACATAATGTGTCGATGTAAAACGGCGCAAAAAGACTAGTGTGATTTCCCAACTTCGCAAGTGCGCAAGTGCGCCGCTCGACGGATCGATCTGCTGAGGGGGGACGTGTGCCCCGGGTTCTCTGCACGGAAGGAATAGGGCCGACACGTGATTGTTATTGGCATTAGAATTTTGGGCCCGCGTCGTATTAGGACAGAATCGCACGATTGTGTGTTCCCCCATCGGAGCGCGGAGCGTCGTGGTCGTCGTTGCGTCGTTGCTCGTCGCTGCGCTCTTGTCAACCACTCTACTATCGGACGCCGACCGCTACCTACTCGCTCTCTCGCCCTCTCGCCCTCTCGCCCACCTCGCTCTAATCCTCCCAAGGACCTCGCCAGCTTCGTCCGCCCCTCTCTGCCTCTGTCTCCTCACGGCCTTGCACCATGAGCACCATTACTCTTCCCCCTCCCCTCCCCGGAAACGCGCTGCGCTTCACCATCAGCGCGGCCTTTTCCTCGCTTGCCCTCTGCCTCCTTCCCTTCTTCCTCGTCGGCCTCCTCGGCCAGTGCATCTTCTACCCCCTCAGCTACGCCTACGAGTCATGGACGGCCAAGCCCAAGAAGCGCCGTGCGGCCAAGAACGCGGCCAAAAACGTCCCCACCGTTGCCGTCACGGCCGCCGCCCAGCAGCAGCAGCAGGTGCGCGAGGGATCGCCGACCAGCATCTCGTCCGTCTCGTCCAACTCGACCGGTCGCGCGACCCTCGCCAGGCAGTACGCTGCTGCCAACTCGCCCACTGCGCGCCGCTAGAGTGACGAGCTCGCGTCGAAGACTGCTCGGCCGCCGGTGTAGTGTGTGGAGGTTTGTTTCTGACTGCTTGGCAGCTCGGCGAGCCCGCACACCACCGGGCGGCCTCACGTCCTCGCGAGCCGTTCACCCCTGCCCCGAACGCGACCCACCCTCACGCGCCTTGACGCGTTACGCGTCTGGCTAGCAACTCTGCCACCTATCCCACCAACCTCCTACACGTCCTTATCCTCACCTCCTAATTGCACGTCCGCCCCTCGTGTGCCGGCTCCCATGGACGTCGCCGGCGCGCTACGTTCCCCCGGGCCTGCACCTATGCGTGGCGACGTATATCCCCTCCACAATACACCCACACCTACCTTACCCCCTTAACCACCACCCACTCGCCTACGATACCCATTACCGCGTACGGCGTCCCTTTCTCCCATACGTTAACAGTGTACTATGTAACTTGTTTCGGCTGCGTCATGTCCGGCAGCGCGCGACCCTCGTCGCGTGCGAGCTCGGTTGTGGATCTATTGACCATACCTGCCACGATGCCGCGCTGCCGCGCGTCAGTGCAAGATAGAACTACCCATGCTCCAGGCCGTCTGCTCCAAGGGAGCGATTTCTCGCACCCCTTATCTCACTCTCTCGCTCCTCCCTCGCTCGACCACAGCGAGATTGTATGTCTGCCTTGCACTGCCTCTGAGATCTGACTTGGTATATGGGTAATTCCCTCGATGACGCTGTACTGTACGCAACGCTTGACCCATGAAGAGAACATGTTGGGACGTGGCACAAACCAAGCTCGTGCTGGTCACCTGCACGCGGGCAAGTCGCGCGAACCCCGCCGTGGCTCACTTTCCTCCCCTGCGGTCCATCTCGCCCCGCACCCAACGGCAGACACCGCAGCTCATAGCAGCAGCCAAGTCCATCCAGCACAAGGGTCAATCAAGCGCAAACGATGGGCAGCGGCTGTACGTGTTTGTGTGGTAGTCATTAAAAGAAAATCCATGCCATGAGATGCAATATATGCCAGTAAATGTGCCTAGCCTCTATCTACTGCGCCTACCCGCCACTCTCAAAATAAAAAGGATGCGCGCTCACTCGCTCTCGCTCATTGTCCTGGCCACGTCTCCTTGAGCTTGGTCGGCGGCGACATTCGCACCGCCGCTGCGGGCGTGAGGGTGCCCTGGATGAGCTTTTCCTCGCGGATCGCAGGGGTCATGCCCACGAAGGGCGTGACGGCACCAGGGGTGACGGGGACGGAGCGGTTGTGCTTCATGTGCGCCTGGATGAGGTGGCCGGCCGCGAGGGCGGCCATGAGCGACAGCTCGCCGGCCATGACGGACGCGCAAATGACGCGAGCGAGGCGCTGCGAGTTGGCGCCGGGGGTGGTGGCGTGGGCGCCGGCGATGCCGAGGAACTCGAGCATGGCGCGCTGGGGGCCGAGAATGGTGCCGCCGCCGACGGTGCCGACCTCGATCGAGGGCATCGAGCAGGTGATGAGCAGGTCCTCGCCGTCGTTGATGGGCTCCATGAGGGTCATGCACATCGACGACTCGACGTTCTGCGCGGGGTCCTGGCCAGTCGCGATGAAGATGGCGGTGAGAATGTTGGCAGCGTGTGCGTTGAAACCACCAATCGAGCCGGCCATGGCCGAGCCAATGAGGTTCTTCTTAATGTTGAGGTTGACCATCTCCTTGACAGTGGTCTTGAGGACGCTCTTAACAACGTGGCCGGGGACAATGCCCTCGGCGACGACGCTCTTGCCACGACCCTCAATCCAGTTGATAGCAGCAGGCTTCTTGTCGGTACAGTAGTTGCCGGAAAGGGCGAGAACGTCCATCTCCGGGTAGCGGCGCTGGAGAGTCTCGAGGGCCTTCTCGGTACCCTTGGAGATCATGTTCATGCCCATGGCGTCACCAGTCGAAGTGGCAAAGCGGACGTAGAGGGTACGGCCGGCCATGGCGCACTCGAGGCGCTGGAGACGAGCGAAACGCGAGGTCGAGTTGAACGAGTCACGGAGAGTGTGGAAGCCATCGTCAGAGTCGATCCAGTGCTTGGCGTCCGAGGCCATCTTAACGGAGGGGAAGTCGATGGCGGGACCACGGGTCATGGCGTCCTGGGTAAGAACGGTGGTGACACCACCACCGGCGTTGAGGGCCTTGCAACCACGCGAAGTCGAAGCAACAAGGGTACCCTCGGTGGTAGCCATGGGGATGTGGAGGAGCTGGCCATCAATGTTGAGGGGGCCGGCAACACCGACGGGGATGGGCATGTAACCAATAACGTTCTCGCAGCACGCGCCAATGATCGACTTGTAGTCGTAGTCGTTCATGGGCAGGAGCGAAGCCTCGAGGGTACCAGTGAGCGAGATGCGCGAGACAACAGCACGGCGGACGCGGACAGCGCGCTCGAGGTTCTTGAGCGACTTCTCGAGGGCGTAAGGAGCAATCTTGCCCTTCTGGACAAGGTGGATGACCTCCTCGTCCGAAAGGTTGTTGGCACCAACACCACCAGCAAAGATCTCAACACACTCCTCGAGCGAGCGACGGGGGCCGTCCGAGTCGGAGGGGGGCGAGGTCTCGCGCGAAAGAACAGGCTCGGCGACGCTGGGCAGGGGGGGAGTAGGGACGGTAACGATGGTGCCGATGCCGTGGCCGTTGGCGTGGCCGTTGGAGTGGCCATTAACGCGGCCATTGGCGACACTGGCGATGCCGTTGTTGCGGTGGGTAGGGGTTTTGTCGCCCTCGGTGGTGATACCCGAGATCGAGGTGCGCGAAATGTGACCGTTGGAAAGAGGGCCGCGAGTGTCCTTCGCACGCTCGGCGCGGTAGCGCTCGAGGACCGAGGGGGAGCGGATACGACGGCCGGGCTGGTCAACGGCCTCAAACACACCAACAAGAGCCTGGGCGGCAGCGGCGACGGGGCCCTTGCCGCCAATCGAGTTCGAGGCAATGCCCTTGAGGAGGTAGCCGTTGAGGAGAACACTGATGGCGAGAGCCACAACGATCCACTTGGAGATGACGGGGTCGCCAACCATGGTGGTCCACTCGGACATGAAGGTGTCAAACGACTCCATGCGCGAAGTGGCGTGGTTCTCAAAGCTCTGGATGATGTGGGTAGGGGTGACGATCTGGACAATCATGTCGGTACCCTTGGGCAGAGTCTTGTAGAGGGCGTCAAGAACGGGCGAAAGGTTGGTGACGCGCGTGTCGGCACGCAGAGGAGGGGCCGAGTGGGCCGAGTGACGGTTGAGGGCAGTCTGCGACGTAAGGGTGGTCACGAGGTTGAGGACGTGGAGGACGATGAAGGCGATGATGAGGAAAAGCTTGAGGCGGACAACCGGGTTCTCGGGCTGGCCCTCGACCTTGGGCGCCTTGTCACCGCCCCAGAACGAGAGCTTGGCCGGAGGAGGCGATTCACCGGGGGTGGAAGCGGCGAGCGAGACGGCGCTGGCGCTGCGCTTGAGCGCGGCCTTGGCACGGCGGTTGCCGCGGATGATCTTGATGCGGTGCACCTCGACCATGACGGCGAGGATGGCAACAAAGAAGGTGAGGAGGAAGACGCAGTCCGTGGCCAAGAGAATGGCGGCCAGGTAGCAGAACTCACGGACACCGCCAATGCCCGAGGCGGCGCCCATGGACAGGACAGCGATCTCGAGGGCGTAGTCGCGCACGATGGTCATGCCACCTTGCTTGACGGCGTCGACAACGATCTGAGTGGCAGCAACGGGCGCAACCCAGCGGATACCCTTGCCGTCGGCGAGTTTCTGGAGACGCTCAAGGGGCGCCAGCTCGCGGTGGAGGGTGCCAAGGTCGAGGTGGGTGGGGTTGGCCTCGCCAGAGAAGTCGTCGTCCACAGGGGCGAGCTCGGGTGATGCGGCGACAGGTGAGATGTCAGGGTGCTCAAAGACGGCACGCGCAAGACGGAACGGCTTGTCGAAGCCGACAGTGATAACGAGGAAGGGAATGGCCTCGGAAAGAACGACGGGGTCGATAGGGACGTTGAGCAGGTACGCGCAGAGAAGGGCAACGATGAACGCAAAGGTGGAAGAGACAAGCGTCAAGAGAGCTGGTCCATGGGTCAGCAAAGCAGCACAATAACCGCCGCGTTTCAAGTGATGGAACAACCCCATTCGAGTCGTCAAGTCATGTGGTAATATGACCCAGATCTCGTGGTGTGTGGATGTCTCTCAAAACCAAAAAAGCAGGTCTTTAGGCGAAAGCCCCGGTGGCGCCGCCAGCGCACGGGCCCATGTCACTCACCGAGCCAGAAACTGGATCCGAGCTTGCGCATGTTGATGAACAGGTGCACAAAAGTGGCGTGCATGAGGATGTAACCCAGCAGCACGACGAAGATGTCTGCAGAGTCGGCGTTCTGATGAGGGTTGTTAGTTTCTGATTTTGTCCATTTTGTCTGTCACCACACCGAACTCACCTTGGCGAGAGTGTAGAAGCGAACGACCAGGACGCGGGCAGCGTAGGCGATCCAGCGGACCTTGCGGACAGCGGGGTTCTGCTCGTCCTCAGCAGCAGCCTTGGCCTGGCCGAGCCCGGCAAAGATGGTGGGGTCCAGCGAAGGAAGGAGGCCCCAGTTTCCGCTGGGCGAAACCGACTGGACGCGCAGGGTGGTGTTGGTGCCAGGAGCGGTAAACGAGGGCAGGTGCGAGACATAGTTCAAGTAGGTGAGCGACGGCGTGTCGTGGGCCGGCGCGCGGAGGAACATGGTGAGGGTAGCCTGGCCGGCGTGCAGCGGGTGCGCGTCAAACTGGGGAGCGTCCGCACACTTGGAACCAAAGCACAGGTCGCCGTACGTGTACGTCTTGTCGCCAAACGCCACGCCGACATCGTGCAGCAGCCACTGGCGCCATGCCTCGCGTGCGGCCTCGTCTCCATCCTCGCGCGTCACAGTAAGCTGCTTGACGAGGACAATGGCAGCCTTCTCGCCCTTGGCATTACCGCCCGACGAGGCAGGGAGCACATAGCCGCCCTCGAGAGCATTGGCCTCGAGGGCGCCCTTGAAATCCGAAGCCGAGAGCGGGACCCAGTTGTCACTGGCCGGCGCCCACAGGGGAATGTGCGCAAACGAAGCGTGCGGGGCAGCGTATGCAGCGGCGGCGTTGTCGCGGACGCCGTCGGCGAGACGCACAAAGTGCACGGGACGCGCGGGGGGTGCGGGCGACGGGAGGGTGGTGAAGCTGGGAGGAGGTGGGGTGTTAGTGGGACGGCTGCATGGGTTACGTCGGGTGGGTGTCACGACGACGACGACGACAACGACGGCGTGGTGGTGTGGATATCGTTCGATTATTTTGCCGAACGAGCGCTGCGATGGCACGAGACGCGACCACCAAAAATGGGTCGTGCCATGCGTGCCGCGGCGGCACCACAGGGGAGGGAGAGAGGGGGGAGGGCGGATGGGAGAGGGGTGGATGAAGGCTGCTCACAATTCAGAGCTCTTGAGAGCAGCGAGGAGCTGGAAGTATGCCAGGGTGATGACGATGAAGGTAGCGGTGATCACCTCGATTGGCGCGCTGGCCGCGAGGCTCGATACGGCGAGGACCGTCGAGCGGACGGTTGAGCGGAACATGTCGACGACGGTGGCCGGGAACGGAGGAGCGCTGGTGCGGCGCTTCTTCAAGATGGGGGGCAGGCGTTTAACGCGTGGCCGTTGAGGGCCAGGCGCGGGGTCTGTAGAGGGCTTGCGTGGGGGCAAGAGGATACGAACCGTCGCCGTGGGCCGTGGATGGACGAGAAGAGATGTAGGGGGCGATGGAGAGACGAGACGTAGGATCGAACAAGGAGGGCCAGGAGGTGGTTCGATCGCAGACGGCGAATAGGACCCGGCGTAAAGTTGTTGAGAACGGCCGGCACTAACGACGGTGGGTTTGCTGGCGGCGGGGGGGTCGGCGACGACGGGTCTGGCGATGTCGCAGCGCGCGCTGGCTGTGGAGAAGATGTACGAAGGGGTATAGAGCAGTGCGGCGTAGAGAGCAGATGGAGAAGGAGAATCGTCCTGCTGCTGCAGCTGCGGCGGCGGCGGCGTCGTGCTGGTGGTGGTGGGCGCTGCTGGGTGGTGGATAATTCCTAATCCCCCCAAAAAGGCCGTCGACGCGTCAAACCCGATCCCTGAGTACAGCATGGCTCTCTCGCTCCCTCCTGCGCGCGGGGCAGCGGGTGCGGCGGGTGATATATCCGTGGGTGGGTCTCGCTTGTGCGCGAATGCTGGTCGTCGCTGCCGCTGCTGGTGTCAAGATGCTTGTGCGTGTCGAACGACGGGGGAGGAGGGGGCGCTCTCGGGCTACTGCATATCTCTACTGGGCGGCACGTCTGTCTCTCTCTGCTGCATCTCATATACCTCTCACAAACATCATCTCACTCGCCTGACCCATTCGTCATGGTGTCATGGTGTAGGGGCATCGCCACATTGGTCTGCAGAGGGCCTGCCGGCATCCCCTCCTACGCCAACGTCCCACGCTTTTGAACCCAGAATCTGGTCGCTTCCGTGGATGGGTGGGGGGCCACAACCGAGATGTTTTAACAGTGCTCAGTGAGACCGCCTCGAGGTGAGGCAAAAGATGCAAAAGAGGTCACTTGTCTCGTGCACGTCGCGGGGGCAGAGAGGGTGAGGACATCCATTGACCGTACGATGATCGCCATGGTCTCTGCCAACCCTTTTGCTGGTTCAATTGCCCCGGCCTCTCGCTGGCGCCTCACCCTTCCTCTCTTTGCCCTCTTGCAACACTTGCTTCATTCGACCCGGGTGTGAGACATGACACATTACAAGGCACGACCGACAGATGTCGCCAGAGCGCGCATGGGAGAGAGAGAGGGGATGGGAGCGGCACGGTGTCTGGGGCCGCCCAAACGCCATTTTTGCGGCCATGGTTTTATGGGGATAAGGAAAGGAGTCAAATCAATGCCGGTCCCCGCCGCTCGAGGCCGAATACTGTAGAGCATACTCATGAGCGGCAGAGATCCAGATGCCCCACATGAGGGGCCTCTCCCACCTTGTGGCCTGTGGCCCTCCTTTGCCCGCGAAACGCGTCGTGCGCTCTCTGGCAAAGGGAAAACTGCGCGTTCGGGCCGGCAAGCCAACAAGCCGGCATTGCATTATTGGTCCATCCATCTCTGCTGCGAGTTCTGGCCAGCTTGTTGTGACCGTGGCGTGCCGCGGCAGTGCCCGCATTGCTCTGTGCACCGACATCACACTTGTCGGTCGCCGCTGCCCCGGGTACACCTTGTCTCTGCTGTGTTCTGACAGCCTTGAGACTGTGCTGTGGTGCGCAATGTGTGGTTCCTGTGCCGCTCTGACGGCGTCGTTCGGCGACTGGACCTACTTTGCTGCTTTTGCGGCAGCTGCCCGTTCAACAACGGAATCCCGAATACGAATCGAGAGGGAGAGACGCAGTGCACATGCGTACGTAGCAGGACTTGAGAATGTAAACGACTTGCGAGCCGCAACACCACATCCAGCAGCAGCGGGGCCCGCCACGGATAGAGACACGGACATTGCCATCGCACGATGCGCGGAAATTCCACCCGCCAGACACATACACACGCCACACGGCGCCCCCCAAAAAGCCACACCAAAAATGACGCTAGTGAGTCAGTCGGACGGGGGGCGGAAGCATTTAATATTTATTATGGCCCCGTTTTTGTTGTTTTTGGATAAATGACGTGTGTTAATAATGACAAGATATACCTCATTGATAGTGGCGATGGGCCAGGCACGCTCTCCCTCGCCCCTGGTGTTTTGACAAGCGCCCATATTGTTTACGTTGTCTCGCCGCCCATCATCAACAAACCTCCAAACACACAAAACAATGGACACACAAAAGAGCCAACACAATGTCCATTTACCCAGCAGCAGAGAAGCGAATGTAGAGTCGTGAAGAGGGGGGATATTGGGCAGTTACAAACAAAGCCACAGAGGGGCCAACAAAGGGAGCCGCTTTAATGGAAGAGGTTGAGCAGACCCGACAGGAGACCACCGCCAGAACCGCAAGGAGTGTACTTTGTGGACCCCGTCCTCGCATCGATGGCTGCCCGGCCACAGGGTACGCTCGAGAAGCCGAGCTGCGCCGGTGAGTCGTTTGCGGCATTGAACTTGAGCACCGTGTAGACGGTGGACAGGAACGTCGTGCCGAGCTGCATGCTGTCGGGCTGTCAGTCGGGGCGGCAAGGAACATCGGAACCGGGAACAGCGGCGACTGAACTCTGACGGGGGGGGGGGCGGCCAACCACCGACCGACCCATCTGACGGACCGCATCCAGTTGCTGGTTAAAACTACTCACAAGTAAGGACCGTCTCCAAAGGCAGACGGGATGGTCTGGAATGCAGAGGCACATGTGCCGTCGTTGTTGCGCTTGACCCAGAGGATTGGCGGGATGGGGTAGTCGACACCGCCCAGCGTGAGCGTGATCACCTCGGTCGCGCCACAGGGGACAGAGTACTGTCGCATGTCACCTTGGTCGGACGTGACATCAACAGCGACAGCGCCAGCAACACCCTCGTGCAGCTTGTCGGCAACCGAGCGAGGAAGCTGGATCCACGGCGCGAGGAAAGGGGTGAACGTCAACGCTACGCCTCCGAGGTCCATTGACGCGCCGTTGACCTTGATCCCATCGCCGGCAAACAGCCAGTTCTGCTCAGTGCCAATGACGGGGCCCATGACGTTGACGTAGTCGACGTTGCCCTTGGAGTAGTACGAGTCGATCCCGCCCCACTTGATGCTTCCGGCGCTGAGCCACTGGTCCTGCTTTGGCAGCTGGTCCAGGTGCGTCACGTTGAGCGCGTGGTACACGGGGTTGAGGTACAGGCCGATCGTGGGCTCGGGCCACGAACCAGATGCCTGCTGCCACCACGACGGGCCATACGACAGCCCGTCCTCGACGCGGTCGTTGTTGAACCCAAAGCCAAGCGTCGCCGGCACGAGCGGCTTTCCATGCCACACAGGGAAGAACTGGTTGTCCGTCTCTACACTCAAAAAGTCCATGTGGAACCACTTGTACAGCGTGAGGAAGATGCCGAACGTGTCCTGAGCGTTTGACGCATTGCCAGTGGGCGTTGTGGGGCCTTGCTGGTAAGTGAAGGAAAGCTGGGGCTTGTACGCGACAAGCAGGGTACCGTCCAGGAAGTGCAGACCGGTGGTGAGAAGCTGACCGCTGGGCGTATCAGCTTGTTTCTTCAACTGTAAACCGCGACTGCTCACCCCATAGACGTCTGGATACCGTAGCCGTGACCCTGCATCGATGCGGCTACACTAAACAGATCAGCGCCGAGTTCAGACTGCCTGCCACATACGTCGAAGTCTGCGTGAAACGCAGTGCGCGGTCCTCGAGGTCAGCCGCGATTGGCGAAGCCACGACGCCAGTGAGCGCGCCGAGGGCTGCTAAAGACTTGGTGAAGAGCATGGCGGAGAGTTGATGGATAACAACATGTCCCCCCTTGCAGCCCCTTTGCTCTTATATAGACCTCTTGTTACCCTTTACTCGCTACCTTGTACTCGCCCAGCATTGCTTGGCATTGGCATTGTCGACACAAACAAGAAGACGTGTTTCGCGGGACGGGTCGTGTATCGTCTTGTACGTGAGCGAGACGCGTCGGAAAAGAACAAATCACGCGCGAGGCTCGACTTTAACTCGCGGCTAGGAGCGTGGGGCCGCGCAGGCTGGACTTTGGGCGGACACGCGGGACGGTTCCACTCTGTTACATGCACGGTCTTTGGCTTGCAGAAATGTTAGGCGGCTTCAATAAAAGGTACAACGAAATGGTGGCTGGGCAATGACGGGAGTGTATGCATTAGTACCCGGACACCTGTTGCAAGCCAAGTCCACCAAAGTCTCGTATACTCGTTCCCGTCATGCTCACTGGACACGCGGATTGTACGGTAGGTCCGAGAGGTGGAGTGGGAGCCGTTTCATCTCGGCCTTCGCAACGGCCGTTCGGTGCCAACAGACCTGCAGTCGGGTCGATTGTGGCGGTTTCCGGCAAGGGTTAACCTATATCGACAGAGGCGGCCCGATGAGCGTCCTTTACGTTGCCGATCTCGTCATGGGCACAAGTGTCCGGGATGCTATGGAGACCAGCTGAAGCACACTTCGTGGCGGGACAATGTCGGAAAGAACAGAGTTGGAGACCAAAAGAGCCACTCACGTCACTGCCACGGCGTCTGATCCATGTTTCGAATGTGGCTCGTCGTCGAGAGGGTTCTGGCCAGATGGCAGAGACGCGGAACTAGGCTGGAGATGCATTATCGCGGCAAATTGCAGACCCCGGCTGTTAGGGAAGAGCGGGAAGGCCGTGGTAACAAAGCCTTGCGGATGACTAGACTCCTGAGGGGTTGCAAGATGGCAGTGGACTGTCGGAAGCAAAGGTTAAAACACTGGCAGGAGTTGGCCATTTCCCCCGACTCTATCGAGATAAGCGGATTCTACGGGCCACTGGCCACTGGTGAGCGCTGCATTCGGTTTTTTTCAATTCGGAAACGGTTTGTGAGCCATACAAACGAGTCGGCGACTGGGGATACCCGCCTTTGCTATGACGGACATTAAGTGGTGCCTCGTATGAGTTCCTCATGCCATCTCCACCTTGCCACACTGCCTCCTGGCGACCCTCTTGTCTGCTCGCAGTTATCATGTGAGGTATAGAGCTCCATATGGCCTGTATGGGCGTGGACAGTGATGGCATGACGGCAATTGATACTATACTTCTCGACACTGGTGTGGGAATGCCATGCGCTCACCATACGCCGTCAATGCAGTCAAAGAGGTCCTTCCTTTCTGTCCCCTCCATGTCGCGCCCGAGGTGCCATTCCCCTCTTGGTTCCTTCCCTCGCTCTCCTTTCGGATGCCCGTGCTGCCCGCTTTTTCTCTGAATTCTGCAATTCCTCTGTATCTCTGGGCAGGAGGAGAGCAGGCCATTCACGTGTGTTCAGGCGTTGTGGAGGTATCTGAAAGTGGGAATAAATACGGATAATGTTCAGCACAGTCGGGAACCATGACGCAGACCACAGAGCACGTTTGCAGGGGCGTCTTGGGTTGTGGAAAGAAGAGGGAAACCTCTCCCCAACTCTGAAAGGTTTATAAGCACAAGTGGCACACAATGTATGAGCCCCTCCACCTCATCCACACAGTGACTCTTCACGCGCCACCATGACGAAGACTTCCATCCCTCTGCCCCATACAGTGGCGGTTCAAGACCTTGTTCCCATCCTCAAGTCCCATTGGGTCGCTGTCTTTGTGGGCGCACTTGTCGCGGCTGGTCTCTACGCCGCCGTTCAAGGCGCCTACGAGACATGGCAGCAGAATAACACGACTTCGAACCTCCCCGGCCCCGCCAAAGACCACTGGTTCTGGGGCAACCTCACCCAGGTGATCGCCACAACGCCCCACGCCGTCGGTTCGGGATGGCTCGACAAGTATGGTCCTACGCTCCGTTTCAACACTGCAGGCGGTAAGACAGCCGTCCTCACCGCAGACCTGACTGCTATCAACTACATGTTTCAGCGTCCCGACATCTTTGTCAAACCCGGCGGAGCCCGTCTCATCCTCAACGAGGCACTGGGAAAGGGCCTCATCTCAGTTCAAGGTCCAGACCACCGCCGCCAGCGCCGTGTGCTCAACCCGGCGTTTGGCTGGCGCCAAATCCTCGAAATGGCGCCCATGGTCTTTGACAAGGCATATGAAATGCGCGATGCGCTTGCCCGTCATGTGGCATCCCCGGATCTGTCTTCTCCGTCCGTTGACCGCGTGCCTGGTACCCGTCGCCTGGACATGAGCAAGATCTCCATGCAGGTCACCCTCGACATTATCGGTCTTGCGGGATTCGGCTACGAGTTCAACGCACTCACCGACGGTTACAATGAGCTCCGCGAGGCCTACATCGGAGCAATCAAGTCGGCCTTTGACCTGAACCCGATTACCATGTTCCAGATCATCTTCCCAATGGCAGGGATCATCCCCACTGCCCGCAAGCGCGACCTCGACGCATGCCGCGCCACAGCCCAGCGCATTGGCAGACAGCTCGTCGCCGAGAAGAAGAAGAACCTCGTCGACATGTACAGTGGAATTGCCAAGGACACCCAGGTGGACAAGGACTCGCTCTCCCTGCTGCTCAAGGCCAACCTCGCCCCGGACCTTGGTCCCGAGGAACGCCTTACCGACGAGGACGTCATGGAGCAGATCTCCACAATTGTGAGTCGGACATTCCCCGCAACATGCCACACCTCATGGCAGCGTCGTGGGCTAACAGATGTTTCAGCTGTTTGCTGGGCACGAGACGACAGGCACTTCCATGATGTGGGGTCTCTATCACTTGGCCAAGAACCAGCGCGTCCAGGACAAGCTTCGTGACGAAGTCCTCAACCTCGGCCAGGAATGCCGAAGCTTTGACGCTTTGCAGGAACTCCCGTACCTCGACAAGGTTGTGCACGAAATTCTCCGTCTCGAGAACCCGGCCCCTGTCCTCAGCCGCGAGGCCACTTGCGACGTTCACATCCCGCTCGCCACGCCGATTATGGGCCGCGACGGCACCATGATCGACAGTGTACACATCAAGGCTGGGCAGCTCATCAACATCCGTAAGTCTGTCTCTCGGCAACCTGTAATGCACTGTGATTGACCACGCACCAGCTACGGGCTATGTCAACCAGTGGCCCGAGGTCTGGGGCGACGATGCGCGCGAGTTCAACCCCGACCGCTTCGGCCGCGAGGGTATCCCGAGCGCAAAGGTGCCCGGCATTTGGGGCAACATCCTCACCTTTATTGGTGGGCCGCGCAACTGTATCGGCCACCGCCTCTCTGTCCTTGAGCTCAAGGTGCTGTTCTACGTACTCGTTGGCAACTTCAAGTTTGAGGAGCTTCCCAGCAAGCCAGAGTACAAGCGCACGTGGATGGTCATTGAACGCTGCGTCGTCGTCGGCGAGGAAGAGGCTGGACCGCAGCTTCCCCTGCTTGTTCGTCCTGTTGTGGACATCTAAAGACAACATACATACATGGCGAAGACGTGCTAGTCTTATGGACAGTTAATACCGTGTATAAGCCTTCAGCAGTGCGGCTGGAGGGGCGGTACACAATGCATTGCCCGTGCCGACAGTTTGGTTTGCTGTGACGAAAATCGATTTTAGTCGCAGAAAATCCAATTCCAAAACAAGGAGACGTCTTGCCCAGGATTACGGCATCAGATTGCTATATGGGGTCAATGTTCTTGTCGTTCTCTTGAAGCTGAATTAGGACTGTTATCCGTGGCCGAATCCCACCACACCGCCGCGGAGGGAGGGGTTGCCGTGGATGGACACAGGTCTCAAAATACCCGCTGCTTCATCACCTTGCTGACCATGATCCCTTGCATCATACAACCATGTAAGGGTTGCGCTTATTCCCGCTGCGTCTGCCGTCATTCTCCCAGCCACTGGCCACTGGGCACTGGCCGCTGCCTGTCGCACAACACAACCGTCCAAGATATTTAAGCGTTACCGACTCCACAAGGTACAGTACACCGGGACCGGCGACCCAACTTTCCCACCAGCTTCCATTCCTGGCATACGCAAGCCACCTTCATTCTTCTCTCCACTTCTGGGTTATGAGGTGATGTGACGTGCTACACGCGGAAGGGGACCTGGCTGACCAGAATTCCAGCGTCTGTGGCGATTTTGAGAGTTGTCTTGCATGGCATGTGGCAAGCACCGAAGCCAATATATGGTACAACGTGGCGCGGAGCCAAGTGTCTCTTAGGGCCATGGTTACACCTCGAGGCCTCAGCACCGGGTATCCTCCCTTCCCAATGAGAACAACATGAGGCACATGGACATGGACTGCACCTGACAAGGCCGTTTGAGCGCATGGCGAACATGCCGCTCCGTCGTGACGAGGTTGGAGTTGCGCGTCAAAGTTGACCGAAAAACCAAAATCACCTTCGCACTTTCGCATAACCAATCGAACAAGGAGGGACCTCACTGGTAACAGGAGTAGCAGGACCTTTAGTTACGCCCCAAAGGAAACCGAGGCCCCAAGTCTCTCCATCTAGGTAGAGGTGTCGCGCCTGTTCTGCTCGTCATCGCGTCGAACAACATCGAACATCGCTATGGCTTAGTGGGAAAGCGCCAGGCTCATACTACTGTTGTGATAACCTGGAGATCCCTCGATCGAAACGAGGTGGCGATAAATTTTCTCTTTTTGCTTCTCAGATGCTTCTCAGATGCGTATATACAACGTGAAAGACGAGGAAGATTGGCCGGAGAGTTGTTGCGGACGACGAAAAAAAAAAATCCGCGAACGTCCATAATTTCATCTACTTTTGCGCCCGTTACATGTCAGATCACCCATAGACCACTGCTCACCTCCTACCTACTCAAGACCTTGATGTCTCATGCTGGTACTTCATGGAGTCTGATTCATGAGGTGTGGCGGGGACTAGCAAGGAGGATTGATTTTCGCCACTTGATTGTCGTGCCCAACTGATCTCTTCCGCATCTCTTCCTCCCCTTCTAATGAACGTTTTCGCAGTTCAAGGGCACTGGTTGTGACTGCCCTGAGGTTCTCCTGAGGGTAGACAAGAACAAAAAAGATATATTTGCGCGTACGCTGAGTCGAACAGCGGTTGGCTCAGAATTGCGATTGAACACCACAACGAACAGTGATAACCACCTACACTATACACGCTTCATGTTTATGTTTCTCAGCCGATGACCACCATCTGGGAGACCCAATTTCTTCCGCCCTCCAAGTCTCACGACGATGTAGAACTGAGCTGTGCCATGAGACTGTTCTACGGGTAAAACTGCATCGATAGTTGAAAGACCTACGTATTCGGGCGAGGGTTTGGGAACCCGGTGGCCGTCAGGGGTCTCGGATTTGGTGGCAAGCAACATTGGCGAGTGCTGCATGTGTCGCCTTCAACTGTCGTCGTTCTGCCGACTGCTGAATGTTATCTGTGTGCCGGCCTAATCGCCCACACAGACACAAACCTGTTAGCCGGTGGTAGAAACCACCATTGATTTTATGTTCGCGCATCTGGACCACGGGTGCATGGGGAGGTTGGCCTCTTGACGTTCAGAACCATCCCCATCACAACAGCCACGATCATTGAGCGACCTTTTCATGGGTTGGGTGCGTAGCAACCTCAGAGCATGTCAGCAGGCATCGGAACAGGCTTTTCGGCTCTTGTAAACTTCAGATAACCGGTGATTCGTAAATTGCAAGAAAAGGCGGGAAAATAGGACAAAAAACCACATATTTATGACTGCTGTTTGTTGTGATCTGGTGAACGTGAAACCCCAGAACGTCAAGGGGGGTCGAGCGATACTGATGTGTGAAACCTGTCCGCTGTGGCTACCAGCATCGCCTTCGCCCGACCCGCCACCACAGCTTTTTTGTTCAGTACACATTGTATGAACGTCGTTCCCCTGCCAGTGCGTGGAGAGCAGAGGTGCGCGCGTTATGTACCAGTGATCAAACGAGACGAGGCGCGAGCTGAGGCGTTTAAACGCAGAATGACGTTCAAACATGACAACCTCCAGGGGATGATCTGGGTTGCGCAGAACTCGTGCTTTACTCTGATGACATACAATCTGCTCTAGAAACGAAAGAGTCAGTGCTTCAGGCACTCGGACCCCTATGTAGATAATCAACACGTTTCGTCAGAACCAGTCTGCCTATAGACCACGACAGTTGCGCAGGTAGTTGACATGGTTTGCCAGGTCGAGGCGGAGCGACTGGTTCCAGCCGTTAACATGGAAGTTGAGTTCGGTGGATCCAGCAAAGTCGGTGAAGGGCTGGGAAGAGAGTACCGACACTACTTGTCAGTAGGATGTTGTGCAAGCTCCACTCACCTCCATGCGCAGAGAGCCACTGGTCGATGTACACCTGGAGTTGAGGCAGGTGGTTGGGGTGGACGTAACCGAGACTGACGCTCTGCTATGGTTAGCGTTCCGTGTCGCCACCCCCGCAGCAGCCTACGCACCACGTTGTAAGGCTTGGTGTTGTAAGGGTTGTACATGGTGTCTCGGTAGTTGTTGAAGGCATTGTAACTGCTGTACAAGTTCGGGCGGTAGAAGGGCTCGGGGTAGTAGGGCTCCTGGAGGTATGCATCGTTGTAGAAGTTGTCGAAATAGTAGCCAGGACGTTGGACAGACAGCGGCTGGTACGGCGGCTGGTAGCCTGGGTAGGTGAGTGCGAGCATGACCATAGTGAGGAATGTGAGTGATGGGCGATGGGGTGGCAAGGGTGTTACTGGAAAGAGAACATCTCACGTTGACTCGGCCCCGCATAAATGCATCTCGGGCAACGGCTACGTCGACCACACCCTTATTCTAGAAGCACGTTATACTTGTAAAACGGCCGGAGAAGCAACGGGATCTACAGCGCTTTCCTTGCCCCCATTATTTCGGAACAATGAGTGGTTCTGCTTCCTCCTCATCGGTGGTCGTCTCCTGCGGCGGCAAGTCACGGCTGTCGCTCGTGACTGCCTTCGGGTTTGCAAAGTGCCGAAACACATACTCGTGGACCATCCCCTGGAGATAGGGGTCCCACCTCTCAGCCCACCCCCGCAATCCCAAGCGAATGTTGGTATACTGCATGTTCGGGTTGCCGAACGCGGGTGACTGGCTCCAGAGTTCCAGTGGCGCGGGCGGCATGGCTCGCCATGGGTCCCCGTAGTGGCGCTCCGTCGTAAACTGTTCCAGCTCGACTGTGGTTGAGCCACCACTGTCCACAATTCGAGTCGACTCACTTGGTTTGATGGCGAGATGCGTTTGGAGAAATAACCGAAGAAGCCCTCGTGCTTGGCTTCGGAGGGTGGCTGGGATGGTAATCACCCGGTGCTGCGCGAGGTTAGTTGGCTGTTCAGAAACGGGGAACCTACCGCGACTTCTGGACCTGGCATGGTGTTTGAAGTCACAATAAGAAGGGAGGTGTTCTTAATAAGCAAGCACCAGTGCCTCCTTGCACCGGATATGTAGCATTCTGGATCAGTGTTGACTTGGGACGGTGCGCAGCATTGATGGCACGAGTTGGCCATCACCAGCCAGCCGGTTTCACCAATTCTCTCATGGTCCACGGTCGTACAGTCTAAGTGATGCATCACTTCTGCCTGAGAAGCCTCAGAGTCTTCTCCTGCTGGAGCATATTCTGCCTGTCCATGGCCATGATAATGCCCCGCGCATAGTTGATGCAGAGAGCTTGGAGGAACGCGTGCCAGCTGTGCTGCCATCCTCGGATAATCATGTTGACCTCCATGCGCTGGTTGCCAAGCGTTTGGTGGTTCATCATGTAAACCGACCCTGTAGTAGTCTGAGTACTAATCCAACAGGTTTGCTCACCTCCCAATGGTTGAATATGGTGGTTGACGTAGTGCTTCAAGCCCACAGTCTGCCCGGAACTGAGCTCGGGCATGGCGAAGGTCATGAGCTGGGAGTCAGCCCTTTCCTCCAAGGTCACATACAGCTTCACGAGGCACAGCACTGGGTCGTGGATCAGTGAGTTGGGTTTGAAAGGTCATTGGTGGGTGGTGTATTGAGGAGGAGGAATGGAGAGGATACTTGTGCACTGGACGTGGTTGCGAACGAGACTCTGATGGGACTCACGCGTTACATACTGGACCATTCGCACCGCAAAGTTCCCACACACGACAAGATATTGATCGCAGAGGGTACCATTGCCCCTGCTCTTTGCTGGCTCAAACGGTGCATGCAACTAGATGTGGCGCCAGCGACGCCGACCTTGAGTATCCACAATAGACTGAATGTACTGCCCCCAGGCGTCCTCCCAACCCTCCACCGCCAAATGAACCTGCGAGTAAAAGCCATACGGCGCAATGGAGAACGAGGTCATCCTGCCTAGCGTGTTAGAGTTGCCCTCCCCAAAGGCCCACCTCCACGACCTCGGACGAAGATGTCCACGGCAGCCCATAATCGAGGCCCACAGTCGGAGGGAATGACAGCGTCGGCGAGAAAGACTCGCTGCTGAGGTCTGCCGAGAGGCGGCGTGGTCCGAGATCCGACCTGCGTTGACATTGAAGCGATTACAGGAGGTGGGTTGAGTGACGTTCAGTTATTCTATAGTGATACTCGAACCCAAGACAAGCCATCAGTGAAGGAACTACAGAGCAGCAACATGGAATGAAGGTGAGACAGCAAAAGTGGCTTTCCGGTCTCCTCTGATGGGCATCCAAGCCATCAATAGTGCCCACTCGCCACCAGGAGCTGAAGCGTGGTCCCCAGGCTGGCGCGGTGGTACGCTTGAAAGTCCAAGACCCACTTCTCCTTCCATGCTGTCATGAATGAAAGAAACTCGGTGTGACCCTTGTCAGGCCGGCAGATGACCTCGACATGGAGAAGCTGAGCTGGACACTGTCAGAGTTAAAGGACTTGACAATGGCTCACCTCCGCGCAGCTTGAGAAAGCCGGACAAGTGGAGTTTGAAAGTCGTCACCATCCAAGTCTTGACCTCTTCCTTGACCTCAAATATGTGCCTCTGTGTTTGCAGTAAGCCGAGGTGAGCTGGTCGTGTAGTAGTGTATATGTACATACGGCAGGAGTTGGACAGACATCCCCAGGTGGTACGGAACGTGAGTGCGCCTTCTGGAACATGTAAGGGTTTGGCGCACAGCCTCATTTAAGCAGTGTTGAAAAGTATTGAGAGTTGTAATACCTACCACGTTACCGAAGGTGTTCAGCGGTGGGGGCACAGTGCACAGCCACTGATCCCACAGATGGCTGTTTGAGAATCAAAATAGCGGGCCGCTAGAACGAAAGCATCACATGTCTATGACCTGGGGGGTATGGGGGCTTAGGGGAAGTATAGAGAAACTTGAATGTGTCAGAACCTCAGGAGGGAGCGCAGTGTGCACGATGAAATGTGCGGAGAGCAGCACTACAACTTGGCTGGGACATTTTATTACCCTTCGTTCTTATCCAACCTCTGCACACGTATCATAAGCGGCGCCGAAGTGTAACACATGTGCAGTGCAGTGCATAATGCACTGTATTGCACGTTAGCCTCCATGCGTACCCGGTGGTATCTGTAGTCAAAACGTTGGACGCTGGCCTATGGACTGCGGTGACGTCAGAGTGATGAGTGGTAGTGATGAGTGGTCTTGTTGGGCGACCGTGGCCACCCAAGTTGATCACGGTAGGATAAGCGGCCGTCTGTCAGAATACTTGAGCGCGCCGGTGTCAAGGTGAGACGACGACTGCCTGTGCGTGAGGGATGCCAGACCACATCTCTCGCCACAATCTCGTCTTCGGCCTCGTCCGCCACCCAATTGTGCCCGTAATTTGCTGCCGCCGCCACTCGATCCGGAGGGGAGACGTCGGGTGACATCCGGGCTGTTCATGCACTCCTCCGCATCTCCCTCACCAACCCATCCATTCCTTTCACCCCCCTTCGTCATGGTCTTTCGCGACAAGCCGGACGACCTCGCAGCGGCTGCCGAAGAGTACGAGCTCGAGGGCAACGCGCAGGACAATGACCCCCTCCTGCCCCGGTACGAGGCCCGACCTTCGTCGCCTTCCGTTCGCTCCAAGGCAGCGATAAGGCGGAGGCTGTCTCCGTGCAAGGTGCTCTCTCTATTCATTGGCACCCTCTTCGGAATGCTTGCCATCATCACTATTGTTGCCGTATGCTTTGCGCCGCCGTCTGCCCTCGCTGAGTGGGATCGGCTCCCACCTTCACTCAAAGAATGGCTCAACACCTTGATCCCCGACATTGAGGAGGAGCTCAAGGACAACGCCGACTTCCCAACCAAGTACGTGTCCAACCTTTTGAGTCTTTGCTGACTGTAAGCGTGGGTTACGCTGGACCGACCCCCACCGGATCTGAGTGAGTCGTCTGACACCTCCAACCCGGCACGCGTTGTGCGCACGTCCATGGCTGACACCACAGGGCGGCGCTTCTTGCTACGGCCACCAAGCTTCCGATGTACACTGCCGTGGCCCCTCTCGTGCCCCCGCCATCCAAGAGCGAAGGCTTCAGCATTATCCAGCACTGGGGTAACCTGAGCCCCTACCACTCTGTCAAGAGCCACGGTCTGCCCGACAGCTCGCAGATCATCCCGCAAGGATGCGAGCTTGACGAGATGCACTGGCTGCAGCGTCACGGGGCCCGCTATCCTACCTCGAGCCCCCGTGGCCCTGCCGGGTTTGCCATGCGCATTGACAAGGCCAAGGGATGGAAGGCCTCAAGTCGCCTCGAGTTCCTCAACGACTGGTCTTACAAGCTCGGCGCCGAGCTCCTCACCCCCTTTGGCCGTAGCCAGCTCTACAACCTTGGTGTCGCTGCCCGCGTCAAGTATGGTTTCCTCCTCGACCGGTTCGAGGGCCGTCTCCCCGTTCTTCGCACCGAGTCCCAGGACCGCATGCTCCGCTCCGCTCAGAACTGGGCTGCTGGCTTCTTTGGTATCCCGGATACGAAGCAGCACAACCTCGAGGTGATGATTGAGGCCCCTGGTTTCAACTGCTCCCTGGCCCCCTACCACTCGTGTCCCAACGACCGCAAGGTCTACGAGCCTACCCAGGAGAAGCTCGCACAGTGGGACGCTGTGTTCCTCAAGAAGGCCCGCAAGCGCATCCAGAAGCAGATTACCGGCTACGAGCTTTCGTTCACGGACGTCAAGGAGATGGTGAGCTGAGCCACGTGTGATGGTCATGGCCAGCTTGCTAACGTACAGATGGACATGTGTGCCTACGAGACCGTTGCGCTCGGCCACTCTGCCTTCTGCAGCCTTTTCACTGTCGAGGAGTGGAAGGGATACGGCTACCGCAGCGACATTTACTGGTGGTACGCTGCAAGCTTTGGCAGCCCCGTCGCTCGCGCCGAGGGTCTGGGCTGGCTCCAGGAGCTCACTGCGCGTCTCACCCACACTCCTCTCACCACCTTCAACTCGTCTACCAACTCGACCCTTCACGACAAGGTTCACTTCCCTGTCAATGACCCCATGTACATTGACTTCACTCACGACACCACCTTCGCTCAACGTGAGTTTAACCCCTCAGTGTGCCCAACTGACATGCAGTCCTCCCTACCTTGAACCTCACCACCTTCTCGGCGGCTGGCCCGCCCCCTCTTGACCACATCCCGAAGGACTGGCCCTTCCTGTCGGCCAAGTTCTGCCCCTTCGCGACCAACCTCCAGGTCCAGGTCCTCACATGCTCGGACAGCGCGCTTAACCGCACCAAGACCCAGGACGAGGGCCTGTTGTCCGAGTGGTGGCCGTTCAACGATGACGAGGACGAGGACACGACCCGTGCTCGCAAGCGTGACGACGAGGACGAGGACAAGGAGCCCGTGGTCGAGTCGGGCAGCAAGTCTCGCTACGTCCGTCTCATTCTCAACGACGCTCCTGTGCCCCTCACCGGCGTCAACGGATGCAAGCAGAACGACGACGGCCTGTGTGCCCTCGACTCGTTCGTCTCGTCCATGCAGACCCTTATTGGCGAGGTGGACTTTGACCACGACTGCCGTGCAGGTGAGCTCCTACAAGGTAGACATTGAACTGACGCCAGACTATGAGTACGACGCCGATGACATTACGGATGGTCGCCCTGTGCGCAGGTAACATCTGGGTCTTGGCATCGTTGTGCTTTTCTTCCCTTTGTTCACATTTATCTCTTGTCTCCCTCTCCACGGGCGCTCGTCATCTCGCCGCCCCTCGTGCGTTGTAGAACGCATGCATATCGATGCACCAATTGACACCGTACGGCTGTATGTGTGGACAATGCCCTCGCCGTCAGCTCATGCGCTCAAACTGGTGGCGAGGCTGCCGGTCATGTCCCCAGCGGGATAAAGAGTGCTCGCCCACGCACGCGGCCATATCGTTTCTATCTCCCCTGTCTCATCTGGTGGGTTGTGGCTGTAGAACGAATGCATGTGATGCAAATTACTATGCAGGTGCTGAGGTCTAGGGAGATATGCAAGGGGGGTACAGAGTGGTGGTGGGGATGGCTGTGTGATGGTTGTTGGGGGTTGGGCTGTACAAGCGCTCTCTCTTCGCGCTCATCCCTTTTGGAGGTAAAGATACGGGTGGTGTGAGACACACCTTGCCGTCACCAGCCAAGTGACATTATACTCGAGGCTGTGTGATGCTGGTACTCGGTGGACCTTGGCCAGTGGCTTTCCAGTAGGCCTGCTGGCTGAGTGTGGTCCAACCAAACTGAGGAGGAGCCAGCTCATGCCAATGGTCGAGCTTCCTGCTCCAGTGCCCTCTGCTTCTTGAGGGCGAGCGACTTGAACAAGTGTGCCAAGTTTTCGTACACGACAAACGTCGTGCAGGTTCCCGGCAGGATGCGGATTGCGTTGGTGCCGAGACCCTTGTAGAGGCCGACAAAGCCCTCGTTACGCCATATATGGGAGATGACGCGCGGGATCGTAAAGTCGGGTCCGTTTGCGTTCTGCGAAAGGAGGTTAGAGAAATCTTGAACACGGCTGGGCCAGGTGACCGGTAACCGTCACCTGGAAGTCTTGTCTGGGTACTCACCTGGATGCGGGCACGGACGACCTGGTACGGGTATGTCAAGGCAATGGCGACAAACTTGGACGCTCCCGAGGCAAGGATGTACTCCCAGTTGGTCTGGACGTCAGCACACGCTCCTCTCCCACTCAGAGGTCCGCGCCACCACTCACGAGCTTTTCGTCCTCGGGCCTGAACTCGATACCGCGGTGAGCGAATTTCCTCTTCTTGAGCTCGACGCGCGCCCGCTTGATCTCCTCATAGGTCGCAAACTGGATACTGCCGTTGGAGACGCCGACAAGAGCGAGCAGTGAGCCGCGATACAGACCGCGCCAGCCCTCGGCGCTGTAGATGCGACCAAAGCTGTTAAACAGGCCATTGTAGGCTCCTGGAGCGTTATGCGGGGTCGCAAACACACGAGTCTTGACGACCCAGATCGGGTTGGTGAGCATGGCGGTGATTGCTGATGCCTCGGCAGCAGCGAGGAGGTGTTGGCCAGCAGAGGTGCGGTATGTTGGGTCGCCGCCCTGCATTTGCTTTTTGATCATGTTGTAACTGAAGCCGTCAGTGTATTGTCACAGGCGTGAGGCTGAGCATCTTGGACGCTGCAGCTGTAGGTGTAGCAGGCCACCCCCTACAGCCCTCGTCACACGATGGCTGATAGCCAGGCTCACGGTTCACTCACAACAAGAAGTACAGTCCCCAGCTTCCGGCGCCTCCGACTAGGTTCGGCACGAGACCGCGATACAGGCCACGCCAGCCGTCGGCCTTGACATACTCCTTGAGGACGTCAACGAGCGCGTGGCCAAACTTGGGCTTGACGTTTGTGTCGGCGAGCTGCATGCGCACCTTGACGAGGTCAAGCGGGTGCATCACCAGCGTCGCGACAGTTCCGGCTCCAAAGCCAGCGATGGCATGGTCCTAACCGTTGTGGAAAGAATCGGAAATGGGAGCAGCAAACGGCAGCAGTGGAGATACGAGGGGATGGGCGAGAAGAGGGTGGTCAGCGTCATAACAACGGCGGCGGCAAGGGGGGCATGCGCGGCCCAGACTCACGATTGACACATCGCCAAAGAGCGACGGCACAGACGAGGACGAGGCCATGGCGTGACCCTGTTCGGCGTCGGCGTCGGCGGCGACGGGTCGCGGGCCACCGAGGGTTGGATGTGGGTTGGTGGGGAGGGAGGGGCCGGACGGCGGCGGCGGCGGGGTGGATGATGGATAATGGCGATGTTGTGGTTGCTTGAATCGCCAAAAAGTTGGATTTGGCCGGTGCGGAGGGCTGGGCTCGGCTAAGACCCGGAGACTATTAGTACGCTGGAGGAATGGGCACACGACAAGCCGGGGGGATCGCGAGCTCGACGTCGTGCAACACAAGATGTCATTCATATACACAGAGGTCCAGAGATCCTAACCCATGCGTTGGGCGGCTAGAGCCAACACGAAACATTCGCTGCTGTGGGGGGAGCTGCAACACGCTAAAAGCCAGAGCTCGGAGCGGCGGGCTGGGCGGATGTGCGAGTCGCCAACTGCTCCGTTTTCGAATCACACGAAGCGGCACAGATAACCGCTCCGCCGTTTCTATCAATTACAGTCGCCCTACCATTATCCTGTACGCTACAGGCTGCGGCGCATGTCGTCCGCCGTCACTTGCAGTTGGCCCGTGTCCACTCGACTAGCGTCTTGAGCTCGTCCCACTGCCGCTGTCGCAATGGCGCGTCATCGTCGTCGGAGCGGCGTTGGGCAGCTTCACACTTGTCCACGAACGCCTTGGCCTCGGCGCGGTTGCAGAGGGGATGGGTCGAGATGGAGCTGTACCAACTGTCTGCTCAGCTCGCGGTCTGTTCCAAAAGACACTCAAGCTCACTATTTCGAGTTCCAATAGTCACCTGCAACCAGTTAGTGGATTGTCAAAGACGTCAACTGGACACACCTTCTCTCCGGTGCAGGGTGGCGTGGAGGAGGTCAGCGGTGGGATCCTGCGATTAGCTCGTGTGCAAAGATATTGCCAGCTTACGCCTTCATTATCTTGCGCGATGAGGTGACAGCTGTCAATGTCGTCGTTGGCGAGGTGGAGCGCTGGACGTTAGACCTGGAGCGAAAGGGCAGGAGTGAGGTGGTGCCGGGGAAGGAAGGCCTCGTTCTCTCAGCCCACACATCCAGAGACCAAGGCCAACGCCCACCCTTATAATGCTAGCTCTACTCACCTGCAATCACATAGCGGTGTTCTTGCAGCCCAGCAATCTCCCGCTTGAGCTCCGGCGCCCACAACTTGGTCCCAGGCTCCAGCGGTGGAGGTTCGCGCGCAAACAAACGCGACACAAGCTGGCTCGTTTTGCTCATGGCTGTTGACAGAGTACGCCTTGAAGCGAGGGTGTAAATAGAGTGCCAGGCCGAGTGTGGTATCGCGGACGATGTGTAGAGAACGTTGGGCAACATGCACACGAAAGTGTTGCGAGATGCAGCAGTTGCTCGCTGCTAACCGCGGACGTCATTGTGAGAAACCTGCCCGCAATCGGTCCGAGCGGCCCGGAAATACCATGTCTGCTAGTTGTACGGTTGCATGCTGTTCTCCCCATAATCCCTCGTGACACATCTGCCCACACTGTCTCCTCCTCTCTCTACGAAAAGTCCTGCGCGTCAAGCTCGCCGAGCAGCATGTTCGAGTCCTTCGAACCAGTGAGAACAATGGGCTCGACCGGGTGGAAGTCGACACCGGTGACAGTTCCCTTGTGCCCCGGCAGCTTGTACAGGATCTTGCCAGTCTCCAGATCCCAAACGGTAACCGTGCGGTCACCACCGCCGACGGCTATCCTCGCGCCGTTGTCGTGCTTGGACCAAGCACAGCGGATGAGCGTCTGCTCAAAGCCAGCAGGTGCGCCGCTCAAGCTGCGGTACACACGCATGGGGTCGGACGAGAATGGTCGCACATCGTAGATAATGAGCGCAGAGTCGAGCGAGTAGGTAGCGAGGTAGTTGCCGCTGGGGGAGAGTGACATTGAGGCAATCTGAAAAATGTCAGCTGTCTTGCGAGAGCGGTCAATGCAGCTAAACGTACAGTGTCGGCGTGACCATGCAGCGAGTACAGCACCTTCTTCGTCCGGAGGTCCCACACCTGAGGGTTAGTCCTGGCATTCGCGTTTGCAGTACACCCACCTTGACCTCGTTATCCACTCCTCCCACAAAGCACTGGTTGCCGTCCTTGCTCCACTCAACGGCAGTGACGGGACAATCGCGCTCGTCGTCAAACTCAGCCACGGGCTCCTTTGTGTCGATGGAGAGGTCCCACACGCGAGCAACACCGTCGTCACCTCCTGTCAAGACCAGCTCACGACCGCCCGAGATGGCCACGGCGATCGAGTTAAGGGGTCCAAAGTGCGCCGCGTAGCGGGCTAACCGCTCGCCATTGCGCAGGTCCGTCGCGATCAAGTATCCATCCGCGCCACCCGAGTACAGCGACTCGGAATCCAACGAGTAGGCAATGTCGAGGATTGCCTGCTTGTGGAGGTTTGGGAGGATGCCATAGTTCTCGTGGGGCGGGTACGTCTTCCACAGCGCTGGAACATTAGCATCATGTGTTAGACCGGTGCTCCAGGTCGTCGCCGTCACTCACAGATGCTGCGGTCGACCGAGCATGCCGCCAATGTTTGTCCAGATGGGTCAAACTTGCACGCCGTAATCTCGCCCTGGGGAGAGTCAGTACGCCTGCCCACCTTGCGGTTGTGACCTCTGCCTTTTGGGTTATGTTGAACTTACACCGTGAGCTCCCGCAAGCGAGACGATGGGCGCCTCGAGTCCCGAAGTCCTCTTGATGGTCCGCACAAGCGCGTTCTTGCGCTGTCCCTCACCCGATGACGCGACGGTGAGAGTCATGGTGTTCTCATCCTCATCCTCGACACGAGCACGCTTGGCGACGGCCATGCCGGGTCCCGATGGAGGGGGCGACTTGCGGACCGACATGAGGAGAATAACAAAAGTCGGGAGGGAGAAAAGAGTCTGTGGGAGGAGAGCCGGAAGGGGGCTAGGCGTCGAAGACTAGCGTTTCGGGGGTCGCACGTGTGAGTGTGTCTAAGACGTCGAGGGGGATGCCTGTTGGGCAAACTCGCGACAAGGTGTGGATGATGGCTGCGAGGAGATGGAGACGGTTGCTTGCGAGAGACTGGTGTTGGCTTGGAGCAGAGAGTGAGTACGGCGGGTTGCTGATCGTGAGAGAAATAAATGACGTGTGATATTACGTTGGTGTGCGCGTGTTGGTGGGACCTGCGGGATCAAATGTATCACTCCACCCACCTACCCCGCCCCGCCTGCGGGCTGTGTTGTGCTTGCACATGGAGTGGACGCCTTTGACCTCGCCGTTCTCTTCATCCAACAACAACAACAACAGCTCCCCATCTCTCGCGCGCGTCTACGCACCCCCTTCTCGCGGTCGCCAATGGCGAGCTAGACCCCGCGCACATAGCTCCGTTCCCAACAGTGCCATTTCCCCCCAGGCGCCCTCGCCGCCGAGCATGGCAACGCCCACGCGACGGGCCGCGTCGCGTTCAGCTGGACCTTCCTCGGCGCGTAGCAACAAGACTGCGACAAAAGGTGGCCCTCCAGCGTCGCCGCTCGCTGGGCGGGGGGACGATATCCCCATCGACCCTGCATTGCTGGAAGAAGACGCCACCTTGCAAGATGACCTCGACGCCGAAGGCGAGGTCGACGACGGGGTGGGATACTACATCCCCGTACGTCTCTGCATGCTGTGACCGACCTCCACCTCTGTGCATTGCTGACTATCTTTTCCAGGCAGAAGATTACTATTACCCGCCACAGCCCGTCGACGCGTACATGGACCACCTCAACGCCCCCATCCCACCCCCACTGTCCTACCTCAATGACCAGCCCGTTGCGTCGTCCTCGCGACTGTCGCTGGCCCCGACCGACTATGACCTCGCGTCCATCGGCGGCTCTATTGCGTCTCCCTTGTCCACCCTATCCAACGGCACTGTCAAGCGCAAGCGTGGTCGTCCAAGGAAGGTGCCCCAACCTAATGGAGTCAATGGAGCCAACGGAGCCAACGGAGCCAACGGAGCCAACGGGTCAGCTCCTCCAAAGTCCCACAAGGCCAAGCCCAAGTCGGGCACCAAGTCGGGCACGGGCACACCGGCGCCTGCTGCCAACGGCGACACACCGCACCATGTGACGCCCGAGACCGTCTGCTCTCTATGTGGTGGCACCGAGGGCAAGAATCGCGAAGGTGTGCGCGAAAAGATGGTCAGCTGCGTTCGCTGCGGTCGTTCTGGCCACCCGACGTGTCTCGGAATCACCAACCCGGATGTTGTCAAGAAGATGCGCAGCTACGACTGGTGCTGTATCGAGTGCAAGCCGTGCGAAGTGTGTCTCGACAAGGGAGAAGATGTGAGTTGCAAACCTGCGGTGCGCGCCGCTGACAATGTAGCATAAGCTACTGTTCTGTGACGGCTGTGACCGCGGCTGGCATAGCTACTGCCTGAACCCACCTCTGAACAGCCCGCCCAAAGGCAGTTGGTACTGTCCACTGTGTGTCGCCGACAAGGGACACAAGCCCAAAGCGAGCACCTCTAAATCCAAACTGGCAGCCTCCAAAGCCATGCCTACAAAGGGAACGCCCCTGGCCTCGAGCACTTCACGCAAGGGCAAGGACCGCGCTGTGGACGGCGACGGCGACGTCGAGACGCCCAAGCCAGCGCCTCGCAAGTCCCACCACAAAAAGGTCGAGAGACTGCCATCGGTCGAGCCGAGCCCAATTTTCGATACCCCCACTCCCAGGATCAAAATCAAGACGAACGGACTCAAGGACAAGGATAAAGATAAGGACAAGGACAAGGACAGGCGAAAGGCGCGAGCAGGGTCTTCGTCGGCGGACGCCGGCATTGGAAATGGCACACCGACAGGCATTGTCGTGCGGTTACGCGTCCCCAGCGCACGCAAGGACATGGAGGCGGAGGAGCAGGAGGAACAGGACCCCTACGGCGGCGTCTTGACTGGAGAGGATGCCGAGAACCAGCACACTCGAATTACCCAGGCTGACAAGGACATGTTCAACAAGTCTCTGAAGGCTGCCGAGACTAGACTGGGCGGCCCTCCACCACCGCTGTGGGACCCATTAGCCATGATCGCATCACCGACACCGACTCGGCCCTCAACCCCCGGCCCATCCAAGTCGACACCTGCTCCATCAACACCTGGCAAAGCTACACCCACCAAGGCCATCCCGGCCAAGACACCAGGTATTGCCACTCCCTTGTCCTCTGCCATGTCCCGTTCCCTGCGCGACCGAGTTCTCCTGCAACAAACAGCTTCCATTAGCGGCATCACCTCGGCGCTCGCCCCGGGAACGCCCATGACTAGTGACACTATGTCCAGCGGCCACCCAGAGAAGATTAACAAGATCCGCTTTGGTGTGTACGACATTGACACTTGGTACCAAGCCCCATACCCAGAAGAGTACGCCCAGGTCCCCGATGGTCGTCTCTGGCTGTGCGAGTTTTGCCTCAAGTACATGAAGAGTGGGTTCGTTGCCGGACGCCACAGGATGAAGTGCAAGGCACGACACCCACCGGGCGACGAAATCTACCGCGACGGTTCCATCTCGGTGTTTGAGGTCGACGGCAGAAAGAATAAGATCTACTGCCAAAACCTCTGTCTGCTCGCCAAAATGTTCCTCGACCACAAGACGCTCTACTATGATGTCGAGCCGTTCCTCTTCTACGTCATGACCGAGGTGGACGACTTGGGTGCTCGGTTCGTCGGCTACTTTTCCAAGGAGAAGCGTACGCCACAGAACAATGTCAGCTGCATCATGACCCTCCCGGTTCGCCAACGCAAGGGCTGGGGCCAGCTTCTTATTGATTTCAGTGAGTTAATCTCCGCCGGATCCAACTGACGCCAGGCTACTTGCTGTCCAAAAAGGAAGGCCGCGTGGGATCACCCGAACGCCCGCTGTCTGGTCTTGGCGCGCTCAGCTACCACAGCTACTGGCGGCTCACCGTGTTCCAGTATCTGCACAAGGCTACTGAACGTGCGACAATAGAGGGTGAGTTGAAGACAGCGGATTGACTAACTCTTAGACATCTCCGTGGCTACGTCCATGACGCACGAGGACATTTACGTGACTCTCCGCGACAACGACATGATCAAGGTCTTTGAGACTCCGCCTTCGTCAACTCCGGCCAACCGCTCAAAAGCGCGCGGGCGTGGACGTCCACCAAAGAACCCACGCCGCGAGCGTCGCGAGTCTGAGGAAGAGGCGGTGGAGGGCAAGGAGCCCAAGGTCGCGATTCCGGAGCGGTACGAGATTGTTCCCAACCGCGACGTCATTGATGTGGCGATCCGCAAGTACGAGGCGAAGGGATATCTCAAGCTCCGTGCCGAGCGACTCCAGTACACGCCGTTCCTCACCACTCGTGACCCGATCGCGCCGCCGCCGCCGCTTGCCGCCGCGCTGGTCACTGGCGGCCGCGCCAATGGCCACGGTTTCCACTCGGACACGCCGTCCTCGAGCAACAAGGAGATTCTATCCACTCCTGTTGACCCGGACGTCATGGACGTGGATGCCAAGGGCGAGCCCAGCACCCCAGACTCGAAAGACAGGGTGGTCACGGGCGAGGACCAGGCGACGCTCGACCTTGTGGCGGCCTTGTCTGCTTCGCCGACGCGTCACCTGCGCAAACGCAGCGTGCCCATGATCACGAGCCCAGAGCGTTCCGAGCGATCGGAACGAGCGTCCAAGCGCCGCCGCAGTGTAGCTAGCCCCGTGTCGCGGCGTCACAGCTTGCGCGGGGGTGACGACCTGGCCACGCCCACACGCAGCCACCGGAAACGGCCGAGCGTGACCCCGCGCAAGGTGATTGTGGAGGATGATGACGACGAGGAGTGGGGAGACGAGGACGCGGAGGGCGAGGATGAGGACGCGGAGGGTGAGGATGACGAGGAATATGAGGGTTAGCTGTGTGTGCAGAGGTATACAACTTGTATGTTATAAGTGGCTTATATCGCGGGAGCTTGACCACAGCGAGGAGAGATGGGTACAGCCTGGAGGTGAGCGTGACTTGTGCTGAGCAATATCGGTACGGGTGAGTGACATTGGCGGCGGGTGAGCAATATCAGCCACACCATTGGATGTCCCGCAGACAGTCAGTCACCACCTATGCATGCAGGGAACAAGGAGAGACTATGACCAATGCATCGAGCCGTATGCATACCTGCCCCGCGTTTGACAACCAGACGCTCGCATGGACGGCTGCGACGGCCCCATGTCCTGATCCGCCGACGTCGCCTGATATGACATTGCTGCCACCTGCCGAGGCCGAGCCGACTCGCGGCTCGCGGCGTCCTGGCCGTCCTGAAATCCAATCCACCCAACAACTGTGGGTGGTTGGTTTCGTTTTGATTTCCAAAAATCGCCGCTTACACCCCGTTTTCCACCCAACCCACCCACTCAAAAGTCGGCTACTCCCTTCCTAGCCATCGACAACAACACACCAAAGCACCATGCGTACCTCGCTGTTCCGCTCTGCGCTTGCGCGCGCCGTCCCTCCCGTCCCCGCCCGCCGCGTCCCTGCGTCGCCGCTCGTCCTCGCCAGGCCACGGGTGCTGGCTGCCGCGCGTGCTCCCGTGAGGATGTTCTCCGCCTCGGCTCGTGAGTAGCTTTGGGGGCAGAGAGATACAGTGAGGGGGTGCCCCCCTTTTCTCTGCTATGTGTTCTGTCTTAAGAACAGGGAGACGGTGCTGGGCATTTCCCGCGTGGACAAGAGCTGCACAAACTGACACTAGCTCCCCCCCAGCTGCCCGTCACGATGAGATTGTTCGCCCTGCCCCTGGTACTGGGTGAGTCACCGGTCACCAGTCACCAACCGAGCGTCTGCGCCTTTGGCTGGTTGCTGATAAGCAGCATCAAGGTGACCTACGAGGACTCGAACGGGAAGGTGATCAAGACGATTGAGGGTAACGAGGGCGACAACCTCTTGTTGCTGGCCCACGAGCACGACATTGACCTCGAGGGTGAGTTTGCAGCTCTGGGTCTGGGTCTGGGTCAGGCGGGTGCGGTGTTGGGATGCCGACGGCCTAGCTGTCGTCTGGCGACTATGGCTGGACCATACCGGGACTGCTGTTCACCACGCCCGCGCCGGAGCTCCGGAGAACCGCGCAGTTGATCGACCTGCGACACTTGTGTGTGGACCGGATCTCCGGGTCGGAACATTATGTCAACACCTGTCTACTACACTTATGGCCGGCGCTAACAGGCCCAGGTGCATGCGAGTGTTCGGTCGCCTGCTCAACATGTCACGTCGTTGTCGAGCCCAAGTTCTTCGACAAGCTGCCCGAGGCAGACGACGAGGAGAACGACATGCTCGACCTGGCCTTTGGCCTCGAGGACACCTCACGTCTAGGCTGCCAGGTCAAGCTCGCACCAGAGATTGACGGTATCAGGGTGAGTTTTGGCCGCACGCGAGGATGGAGCTGTGCGCTGTACGCTGTGCACCGTGCTCTGGCTTGGGGCTGCACGATCAGTGTAACCCACTTGGCAGCCCCGCTGTGTCGCCTCTGTAGCTCGTTCTTCAGCTGACATGATCCCAGGTCAAGATCCCCTCTGCCACGAGGAACATGTATGTTGACGGTGAGTGACGCATGCGCGAGACCATGGCGGATGGAGATGGAGAGGAGGGGTACGTGAGCGACGAAAGGAAGTGGTGGAGGAAGGCATGCGGCGGAGGAAGGCAACATCCTTTAACCAACCCCGATCACCAAGCTGGCCGCTGACTCTCCCAGGCTCTAAGGCTCGCACGCACTAGACGGGGAGATCGATTCACATTATGCACACCACTTGTATTCTGAGGACACACATGTTCGCGGCGCCGCACGGGGTACGGTACGACGGGTTGGGACGATGGGGCTGGGGGAGGTACGGGACAGGTGTGCGGGTTATGTCGCTGCGGAACTCGGGAGCCTCGACAGATAACTCTGCTGTGGAGCTCAGAGGGATAGCAAGGGGGACGGGTTAGCGACACCACGCGTTTTGCTCATTGCGAAAACGGCGGAAGTGGATACCTCCCAGGACGCAGGTCGCATAGGAGCAGAGCGTCGCGGGACGCTCAACATCAACACCCGCCATACGGTGTGCGTTCAGGCCTTGTTCACTGGCGTCCATCGCGTTCTGATGAGGATGGTACTGCAGATTCCATTGCATTGTTGTGGTGCATTTGCCGCTCTGTGGACCCTTTCCATGGCCACTGGAAATTAGTCAATAAAGAGCATGGTTGTATCTATGACTCGTTGCGGCGCAGTCAGCCGTGCAGGTTCACCCGGCCATCCGAGACCCACAACAGCACGCAATGCCCATACTAGAGTCACATCGAGGCTCACCAGAGCCTATGCTAACAAACCCGCTCCCCCACGCTCCACAGTTCTAGCCAGAGCGGTGAGGGATCACACACACCGTTGCCCCCGTACACCTGGTTCCCAGCGCACCGGCACTTCTTACCGCAGGCGCTGCGCTGTTGCCGGAACGGCCGCGGCAGCGGCGGCGGCGGCGTCCTCCTCCTCCTCTTCCTCCTCCTCTCCATCCTCGTCGTCCTCGTCGTCGAACAGTCGGCCATTACGTGCCTCCTTTGGCGCGGTCTCGCCCTCGCCGGCACCCTGGGGGCCCGAACCGTCCTTCCATCGTCCCTTCCAGTCCACCTGCTGGAGCTCGTCGTACCGCTCTGGCCGCTCGCGCAGCCAGCGCATACGGGGTCCGCTCCTGGCGCGCTCCGACACTTTAAAGCCGTATATGCGCGGGACGTAGACCTTGCCGAGGGCGGGGCGCTGTCCGCCGTGAATGTTGGGGTTGGTCAGAGTCTCGCCGCCGACAGCGCCGCCCCTTGGCGACGGCGACATGTGGCGGTCTGACGGGGTGGCGGCCGAGCTGGTGGCGCCGCCGGCCTGTCCCGGTGCGAAGGGTGCCGAGAGGAGCTCGGGGTAGGTCTGGAAGAAGAGCGGGGAGAACGAGGTGCCAAAGAAGGCGCCGTCGACCTGCGAATACTTGCTGCTGGGCGGGGTGTAAATGTCGCCACAGTTGGGGCAGTAGAGCTTGACAGTGTCAATGCCGGGCATGTCGGAACGGCCGCAGGGGAGGACGTGGGTGGAGTGGCAGAACACGCGGGGGCAGCAGCCAAAGTGACCAGCCTCGTACTTTTCAACCTGGCCGTTAGCTTGGTGGAGGCAGGAGGCAGCTCACCATCATGGCAAGTCCCGGCTTGGTCAGGATAAAGCGCTGGTGCACGAGACCGTACAGCAGCTCAGCCGACGACTCGACAATCGACACGTCTGGAATCTTGGCCGAGTCCTCCTCTGTGACGTATGAGCGCACGATTCCCAGGCAACCGGCAAGTCAGTGAGTACTACACACCTGGCTCGACGTCAAGCACCATCTCCAGCGCCTCCTTCCAAAAGGGGACGAGCGATTGCAGGCCTGAGAGTCAGCGTGGGCAGGGGGCAAGGCGCCTTACCAGTGAGGTTGAAGTCGTCCTCGATAAAGTCCTCGTGGACCTCGCAGAAGTAGTCGTGCCCAGGCAGCGAGGTGAACCAGGTCTGCACACGTTTATCAGCATGGCAGTTGGTGACAGAACAGCAAGCGTTCAACTACTCACAATCCACGTCAAGGTAGAGGTCTCGTCCGATGAGCCTTGGGAAGAAGAGTCTTAGCATCAGTCAGCTCATGGCTGGGGGACGAGGGAGACATGCTGGCTTGGTTGCCATGCAGCCGGCGCGAACGACGACTTACCGAACTCGAGCTCGTCCTCGTCATGTTCCAGGTCGTCGCCCTGCATGTCGCGCACGCTCATCTCGGCGTAGCGGTGAAGGGTAGGGTCCATGTGGTGCACAGGTGGTGAGTGTACTGGCCTGGCTGGAAGCGCGGCCAATGTACGAAAGCGAGGGAGGAGGGAAGGGGATGCTGCTGTTCGAGCGAGCGATGTGTTGGTGCCGTGTGTCCGAGAAGCTGCCTCGAGTCGGGATGTGTCGCTCTACAAGAGAGATGCCGCAGTGGGTGGGGGTATGAGGAGGGGGTGCACGCGCGCAAGAAAGGGCGGAGACAAAGAGAGAGTAGAGGGTGTCGCTGTGCTGAGCGAGAGATGGGTATGGATGTGTGTGGTGGTTGCCTGTGATGGAATTGCACAACACCCTGTGTGCTCTGGGTCGGCCGGTCTCCCCCCCCAGCCAGGCCAGCCAGGGGAGCCTGCGTAATGAGACAGCCCAGGCAGCGGCGCGCGCAGAGGGGGTGCCACAACGGGCACAACGCGTCCGCCAGCTCTATATCGCCGCGGCAGGCACAAGGATGTTGCCACGCGAGAAACACGCGCCTCCCACGAGACTATCACGTGATCTTAGATTATGCCTGCCACTGCCAGCCCTTAAACGCGCCACCCCGGATCCAAAATGGTACAACGGCACAGGCGCGCAGGGAGCGTCACCGCCGCCGTCACACACAGAGAGACTGTACAGATGGTGTGGCCTGGGCCGCCTGTGGGGTTGTATCGTGCTGTCCGGGTCGGTCTCCTCTGTATCCCCTGTTCTCTCTGTGTTTCTCTCTCCTTCTCATACTCTATAACACACACTCTCTCTCACCTTCTCTCTCACTACACCGTCGCGCCCGTCTAGTCTCCTCTGTCACGCCCTTTACTACCCTATACATATAACTTTGCCTAACATGGACGAGGAGTACGACGTAAGTACCATCGCACCAAACCCCGTTCTCGTCCCATTCAACTCCACACCCACCTGTGTTTGCCGCCGTCCAGTCCCCTCTGTTACAATACATGCTGACCACCATGTCTCTTCCAGGTCGTTGTTCTCGTAAGCATCATGCTACCCGCTCCATACCTCTCGGGGAAAGCTGACCCCTCGCGCACAGGGCACTGGCCTCACCGAGTGCATTCTCTCGGGCCTCCTGTCCGTCGATGGCCAGAAGGTCCTCCACATGGACCGCAACGACTACTACGGTGGTGCCAGTGCGTCCTTGAGCCTGTCCCAGGTACGTCACGGATACTCTGATGGCCTCCATTGTACCCAGTCACTCACACGTCGTTCCCACAGCTCTACCAGAAGTACCGTGGCTCCCCGGCTCCCGAGAGCCTCAACCTGGGCCGCGACCGCGACTATGCCGTCGACCTCATCCCCAAGTTTATCCTCGCTTCGGGAGAGCTCACCAAGATCCTCGTCCACACCGAGGTCACCCGCTACCTCGACTTTAAGCAGATTGCCGGCTCGTATGTCTACCGTGACGGCAAGATCTCCAAGGTCCCCTCCAACGAGTCGGAGGCTATCCGCAGCCCCCTCATGGGTCTCTTTGAGAAGCGTCGTGCCCGCAACTTCTTCCTCTACGTCCAGAACTGGCGTGAGGACGACCCCACGACCCACCAGAGTGAGTTGTGTGGCGGCCATCTCTCCCCGGCTATTCTCCGAAGCGAGTCGCTGACCACGGCGACACACACAGACTTTGACGTGACCACCAGCTCGATGCGTGAGCTCTACAAGAAGTTTGGTCTCGAGCCCGGAACCCAGGACTTTATTGGCCACGCCATGGCCCTCTGGCAGGACGACTCGTACATTGACAAGCCCGCCCTCCCGACCATCAAGCGTATCAGCCTCTATGCGCAGTCGATGGCTCGTTACGGCAAGTCGCCTTACATCTACCCCCTCTACGGTCTTGGCGAGCTGCCCCAGGCCTTTGCCCGTCTCTCTGCCATCTACGGCGGTACCTACATGCTCGACAAGAAGATCGAGTCGGTCAACATTGACGCCGACGGCAAGTTCACCGGTGTCACCTCGGACGGCGAGACTGTCAAGGCCAAGAAGGTCATTGGTGACCCCAGCTACTTTGGCGCCGGCGAGGAGCCCACCGAGGGCGGCAAGCTGCGCGTCATTGAGACTGGCAAGGTTGTCCGTGCCATCTGCATCATGAAGCACGCTATCCCCGGCACCGACGATGCCGACTCGTGCCAGATCATTATCCCTCAGGGCCAGGTCGGCAGGAAGAACGACATTTGTGAGTCCACACTGCCTCCCCAAGCGAGCATTACGTTTTACTGACGTCCCTCTTAGACGTGTCGTGTGTCAGCGCAGCGCACAATGTCTCGGGAGCCGGCACCTGGCTCGCAGAGGTCTCGACCATTGTCGAGACTTCAGTGCCCGAGCGTGAGATCCTCCCTGGTCTCCAGCTCCTCGGCAACGTTGTCGACAAGTTTGTCTCCATCGAGCCCCTGTACGAGCCCACCGAGGACGGCACCACCTCCAACATCTTCATCTCAAAGTCGTTTGACGCCTCGTCCCACTTCGAGTCGGTTGTTGACGACGTGAGTTGACAGTTGGGCCGGGACACTGGAAAAATGACAACTGTACTGACAAATTCCCCCACAGGTCAACGACCTCTGGCTGCGTATCAAGGGCGAGCCCCTTGTCCTCCAGAAGCGCGAGACCGAGCTCGAGTCGGCTTAGTAGATTGCAACAGACCCAGTATGATACTCTTTATTTCAGTAGCGCGGATGGTGGTGTGTGGACGGCATGGGATGGATGGACGTCAATTGCACTGACCGTTCGCGGACATTGTTGCTCTGGGTTCAACCATGTGGGCTACGAGGGTGGCGGGCCAGGTCCAGTCCATATGATCCACGTTGCATCGCGAGTATGGCCGGCCACACCCATCTGATGCAACGTGCGTTTGTCTATGTAGCGTCTCCGGTCTAAATCTAGTCATGGTGATGCTCCTGCCTTGACTCGGCGAGGCTATCTTTGGAGACAATCTTGATGCCCCGGCGCTTACGCCACAGTGCCAAGCCTTCGTTGAAGGCTTTACGGCCCGTGCCGTCTGTGATGAACTGCATGGTGACGCCCAGCGACTCGACTTCGAAATTGCGGTGCTCGTCGTCAAAGAAGAGCTGTGGTTTCGTTTGTGAGCTGGGTTGTGTGTGCAGATGGCAAACGAGCTCACCATCTCCTCGTAGGGGATACCAGTTTTCTTGTGGATCGCCTTGAAGTGCTTGAGCTTGGATGCTGGGCAAGTCAGTCGTCTGGGCCCGAGCCCGGATAGCCGGCTCCACAAGGCCAAAACACACAAGGATAGATTTCCATCTGGCGGTCAGCTTTTGTCTTGCTCCAGTCAAGTTGCAAACGTACAGTCTGAAAGTAGGATGACGAGCGAACAATCTTGCCGTCAATGTCGGGGACGAGGAGGAGACTCAACGCCTCACGCGCACTGAAGGTCAGCTCAATCAGCCCAGACGATGAACTCACAGGTCGCCCTCGCCCGTACGCGATGCGATGGCAATGTGGATACGACGTTCCTTGAGCTCTTTCAGAATACCAGGCACTTCGGGGTAAAAGTCGAGACTGTTGCCTCGCCTGCTGTCAGCTCACAGTCTCAATCCTTGCAGCCGCGCACCTGTCAGTCAGATGGTTGATGTCGTCGGCATGGCGCTTCAGCGGCGGGCTAATGTGAGCTTGGCAGGGGTCAGTGGGATGCAAGACGTTGGAATAAAAAGCGTACTGTCGATCCATAGGTCCCACAGAGTGTAGCTGCGAGAGTGTCAGACGAGTTGGCAACGGGGCGCGGCCCAACTCACTCGAGATCAAACACCATGGCGAGTGGCCAAGCGGCTGGGTCGTCCTCTGTGCGCAACTGCCATCCGCCAGGAGGAGTGCGAGGCTCGGGGGGAACTGTCCTTCTCGGCATTGGGATGGAGGGAAGGAAGATGGGGGTATAAGCTGGCCACGGATCCACAGAGAGACCGGTTACAGAAACACATAACGCGAGCGTCCGGAGCATTCTGCCCCAGCCATAGTCGGTTTGTGCACCACCTCCACTCTGCAACGCGACTCACCCACCCACCCATCGATGACGTGTAATTGACCTGCTCCATCGGATTTCACCGGTCCGGCTGCACGACGTGTGATAAGCACCCAAATGGCCCCCGCCGCCCCTGAAATGGCCGCACATAGAATCCGAGTCATCGACCAACGGGTCGGTGCAGCTCAGCAAAAGTCTGTGTTTCGTATCTCCATCTTGTAAACTCTCCCCAACAACACCTCCCCTCTCTCTATCCATACAACATGGCGTCTTCAGCTCCCGCCGATGTCAAGGCCGTCCTTGACAGGTGGTCGAAGCGCCTCGGCACCTTGCCAAGCTTGGCACTGCCCACCGACTACCCTCGCCCAAGTGAGTGAAGATGAACCTAGAGACAGGAGCGGTCGGACGCGACAGCCCGTCCTTGTTCTGGTTTGGAGAACAACACTGACAGTGTCATCAGCGCCGGCCAAGATGGTCGAGTCGATCCAGACTCTGTCGCTCCCTGCGTCTCTCACCCCGCCCCTCATGCACCTGACTGTCGAGTTCTCGAGCTTGTTCCCGTCGGCACCCCTCCCGACTCCTTACCACCTGCTCTTGACGTCGTTTGTCATTCTCCTGTTCCGCTACACCCCGGACCCGTCGATGGTGCTCTGCACCAGTGTGCCGGGCACCTCGACCCCCATTCTCCTCAAGCTCGACCTCACCGCTGAGATGACATTCTACGACGTCCTCCGCCAGGTCATGGAGCGCGAGGAGGACGCTGCCGCCGACGTGCTGCCCATCTCCACCCTCATCAGCCACCTCAAGCCCGAGGGCCCTCTGTACCGTGTCCGCTTCTTTGACTCGACTCACATTGATGCCGACCCGTCGGGATCGCTCACCACCGACCTCACCTTGTTCCTCCTTGCGTCCGACAAGCAGGGCCAGGCGACCCGCTCCGCCATGCCCTCGCTGTACCTCAACCTGACTTACAACTCGCTCCTGTTCACCCAGTCGCGTATCCAGTCTGTTCTTGACTCGCTTCTCCAGCTCCTCCGTTCGGCCTCGTCGGCTGACGCTGCCCACCCCATCGGCTCGCTCTCGCTCCGCACCGAGAGCCAGGTCGGTGTCCTCCCTGACCCCTCGTCTGACCTCGACTGGTGTGGCTTTGTCGGTGCCATCCCCGACATCTTCTCGGCCAACGCCAAGGCCAACCCCGACCGCACCTGCGTTGTTCAGTGCGAGCAGGCCGAGGGCCAAGGTATCCTCGACGGCCCGTCCAAGGGCAGGAGGGTGTTTACCTACCGCCAGATTGACGAGGCGTCCAACGTCCTTGCTCACTCTCTGGTCAAGAACGGCCTCCAGCCTGGCGAGGTCGTCATGGTCTACGCTGCCCGTTCGGTCGACATGGTCGTCTGCGTGATGGGTATCCTCAAGGCCGGCGGTGTCTTCTCTGTTGTTGGTGAGTTACTTCGTGGCTTTCGGCGTCCGCTAACTCTCAGACCCCGCCTACCCTCCTACCCGCCAGGTCGTGTACCTCCAGGTGTCGACCCCCCGTGCGCTCCTTGTCATCTCGTCGGCTGGCGTCCTCTCGCCCACCGTCTCGGACTACATCAAGGAGAAGCTTGACCTGCGTCTCCATGTCCCTGCCATTGAGATGACCGCCACTGGCATCACTGGTTCGCCCAAGGGTACCGCCGAGGACATTCTCGCTCCCTTCCAGCAGTTCTCGCAGACGCCTGCCGGTGTCGTTCTTGGCCCCGACTCGCCTGCCACTCTGTCGTTCACCTCGGGCTCGACTGGTATTCCCAAGGGTGTCAAGGGCCGTCACTACTCGCTCACCCACTTCTTCCCGTGGATGGCCCAGCGTTTCGGCCTCAGCAACGACTCGCGCTTCACCATGCTCAGTGGTATCGCCCACGACCCCATCCAGCGTGACATGTTTACCCCGCTCTTCCTCGGCGCGTCGCTCTACGTGCCTACCGCCGACGACATTGGTACTCCCGGTCGTCTTGCCGAGTGGATGGACGACAACGAGGTTACGATCACCCACCTTACCCCTGCCATGGGTCAGCTCCTCTCGGCCCAGGCTACTCGCCAGATCCCCTCGCTCCGCAACGCCTTCTTTGTCGGCGACGTGCTCACCAAGCGTGACTGCCACCGTCTCCAGTCGCTTGCCAAGAACGTGTGCATCATCAACATGTACGGTACCACCGAGACCCAGCGTGCCGTCTCGTACTTTGCCATTCCCTCGGTCAACGAGGACATGACCTTCCTCTCGACCCAGAAGGACCTTATCCCGGCTGGTCAGGGTATGATTGACGTCCAGCTCCTTGTCGTCAACCGTACCGACCGCAACGTCCCCTGCGCCGTCGGTGAGATGGGTGAGATTTACGTCCGCTCTGGTGGTCTTGCCGAGGGCTACCTTGACCCCAACGCCACTGCCGAGAAGTTTGTTACCAACTGGTTCACCGAGGGCGTTGAGCGTGAGGACACTCTTGTCCAGACCAACCCCGCTGCCGCCCAGCACTGGTTTGGTATCCGTGACCGCATGTACCGCTCGGGTGACCTGGGCCGTTACCTCCCCGACGGTCGTGTCGAGTGCACTGGCCGTGCCGACGACCAGATCAAGATCCGTGGCTTCCGTATCGAGCTCGGTGAGATTGACACCCACCTCTCGCGTCACCCGCTTGTCCGTGAGAACGTTACCCTTGTCCGTCGTGACAAGGACGAGGAGAAGGTTCTTGTCTCGTACTTTGTCCCCAACGACGGTCCCGAGCTCGACGGCATGGCCAGCGCTTCCGAGGGTGGCGGCGATGACGAGGAGGTCGACCTCAAGCAGGAGATGATCCGCGGTGTTCGTCGCTACCGCCGTCTCATTCGTGACATTCGCGAGCACCTCAAGAAGAAGCTCCCTTCGTACGCTGTCCCTGCTGTCTACTTCCCTCTCAGCAAGCTGCCCCTCAACCCCAACGGCAAGATTGACAAGCCCGCTCTTCCCTTCCCCGACACTGCGCTTGCTGCCGCCCCCTCGGCCAAGGCCAACGGTAACCTTACCCCCGTCCAGAAGACCATCCACGACGTCTGGCTCCGTCTTCTCCCGTCGCCCCCTCCCTCGATCGCCATTGATGAAAACTTCTTTGACCTTGGCGGTCACTCGATCCTCGCCACGCGTCTCATTTTCGAGATCCGCAAGGCGTTTGTCGTCGACGCTCCTCTCGGTCTCGTGTTCGAGAAGCCCACCATTGCCGCTCAGGCCGCCGCCATCGAGGAGCTCACCACCGAGGGCATGAACGCCGCTGACTCGGGTGCCGCCCCCGCCGCTCCCGAGGAGGTGCCCTACGCCGACGATGTCGCGGCCCTCTCCGCCCAGCTCCCCAAGGTCTTTGAGCCCCTCCCGGCCGACTTTGCCTCCAAGAAGCTTACCGTCTTCCTTACCGGTGCCACTGGTTTCCTCGGCGCTTTCATCCTCCGCGACCTCCTCCAGCGCCGCGTCGCCAAGGTCATCTGCCTTGTTCGTGCCAAGACCACCGAGGACGGCCTCGCCCGTCTCCGTGACAGCGGTGAGGGCCGTGGCGTCTGGGACGAGGCTTGGGTCACGGAGGGCCGTGTCGAGGCTGTCGTTGGTGACCTCTCGGACGAGCACTTTGGTCTTTCGCAGGCCGAGTGGGACCGCGTCGCTGCCGAGTCGGACGCTGTGCTCCACAACGGTGCCGTTGTCCACTGGGTCTACCCTTACGCCAAGATGCGTGCTGCCAACGTCCTGTCGACCATGACCACGCTCGAGCTCTGTTCGACCACCAAGCCCAAGCTCTACAGCTTCATCTCGTCGACTGCTGTCCTCGACAACGAGGGCTTTGTCCGCAAGTCGGATGAGATTATTTCGGCTGGTGGCGCTGGTCTCTCCGAGGCCGACGACCTCGAGGACGCCCGTACCGGCCTCGACACTGGTTACGGCCAGTCCAAGTGGGTCGCCGAGAAGATTATCATGGAGGCCTCCAAGCGCGGTCTGTCGGGTCACATCATCCGTCCCTCGTACATCCTTGGTGACTCGACGACTGCCGTCACCAACACCGACGACTTTATCTGGCGCATGGTCAAGGGCTGTCTCCAGCTCGGTCTCATCCCCGACATTAACAACACCCTCAACCTGTGCCCTGTCGACCACGTTGCGCTTCTCGCCTCGCTGTCGGCCCAGAGCGTCTCTCCCGACGCCGCCTTCAAGGTCATCCACGTCGCTGGCCACCCGCGTCTGCGCTTCAACGACCTCCTCGGTGCCCTCCTCACTTACGGCTACCCGGTCAAGCGCGTCGAGTACATCCAATGGCGTACCAAGCTCGAGCACCACGTCCTCGAGACCCAGGACAATGCCCTCTTCCCCCTCCTCCACTTTGTCCTGGACGACCTCCCGACCTCGACCAAGGCCGTCGAGCTCGACGACAGCAACGCCCAGGCCCTCGCCATCTCGGGCGGCGAGGCCCCCACCTCGGGCGTCACCGAGGACCTCATCGGCCTGTACATTGCCTGGCTCATCCGCGCCGGCTTCATGGAGGCCCCCACCACCGGCGAGGGCAAGCCCCTCCCCGTCCTCACCGGCGGCGTGTCGCGCGCCATCGGCCGCACCACCGCTGGCCAGGCGTAAATCACGCACAACGGCACCTGCGCTTGTTCTAAAATAGAAAGAAAAGAACATTCCCAACAATACAATCCAAACACAACATCCACGGGGCAAAACATTATTGTAAAACCAAGAGAGATCTGCCTTGGCCACATCCCAATGGAACCAGCATAAGACTTGAGCTTTGAGCTTGCGAGAGGGGTATTTGCAGGGTGGCAACGCGCGGCGCGCAGATCGCACAGCAGCACTGACTTGTGTGTGGGATCTAGCCGCGGCGAGATCCCCAACTGACAAGATCTGACGTTTCTTACACGCTGTGGGCTGGGCTAGGACGGTTCAGTTGCGGCGACGCCCGCGCCCGATAGTGCCAGAGCCTGGACAATAGGCCAGACGCGACACACTACTGGATAAGCCAGCCGCATGTGATCCGGTGGGAAGATGCTGGGTATGTGGGAATCACCTGTGCCCGAGTACACGAGACAGACCACACAAGACACACGGCGCGCAGATGGCGAGAAGGGGGGTGCGGTGGCGAGGTGTTCCTGTGTCGGTGGGAGGCTGTCCGTTCCGTTGGGGGCTGCGAAGCAGAGACAAGAGACAAAAGGAAAGTATCGAATGGTGGTGTGTGTGACCAGCTAACTGCTCGTGGTCCCATGAACTGCATCCAAGAGCATGCGCTGCGGCTGTTACGCCAGTTCGACCGGTCACACACGCGGACACTGAACTGATGGAACTGTGGGCTGTGAGACACAAGTGGCCTACGTCGCGATTGACACACGGGCTGTCTGTGGACACGTCGAGGTAGGGGTAGGGCACACTGCCACGAACAACAAAGTATCCTTCACACTGTATCTGTGTGTGAGAGCCGCTTTCGTGGCACAGGAATACGAACCTCTTCCGCTTGGCTGCCACACGCCCGCGCCCAGTGCCTGCGTGGACCAAGAGACGCGATGCAAGCTATGGGTAATGGCACTTGTTGCTCTGACCAACACTGCTGCCACCCCCATTGCTCATGGTGTGCCAAATCGCCCACCCACACAAATGGTCTTGACTCTCCGTTCCGGGGAGGCGGTGTTGGCCAGTCCCAGTGACTACCTCTTTTACTCGACGTGGAGCGGGAGCGTGGAGCCAACCGCCTTCTTTTCTCTCCACTGCGAGACTCTAGAACATGGCCATGAACGCACAGATCTGGATTTGAGTCCACAGCCACCCACAGCACAGCCCATACCCCGCACGGTGCCACGCACCCACGTATCCGCCCGCGGGCGCGCGCCCCAGCGGCGCCAGACTGCCCAATGGGCAAAAGTAAATAGACGGGTTGTTCCGACCTCTGTGCGGCCTAGATTTGTTCTTTCTCTATTTCGAGCCGGCTGTGGCTCCATTCGTGGGATGGCTCGTGGCACAGACCCAGACCCCGGCCCACACCCCGCATCTCCGCCCAAAGTCTATATCCACCAGTATGCAGCAATGGCGCTCGTGGGTGCGTCGTAACGACCCCACCCATTGGCCATTGGATCCCAATGTGCCTCACTCTCACCCCCCATAAGCGACACACATTCCACAAATATACCTCACCGCACCTCTCCGCCCACCGAACTCACGCCCACGCGCGTACATACATACTGGAGCAACATACCCGCCCCCAGGCGCCACCGGGAGATATGTACATATACCCCCAGTCCAGCCCGCGGCCGAAACAGCGTACACCGCGCCTCTTGCCTCGGTCCAATCGAGAAAAAATGAGGTATGGGTGAGCAGGCCCGTGGCGCCATGTCGCGGTGTGGGAGGGAGCGATTTTGTTCTATTTTTCTTTAGGTGGGGACACGGACCGGTGAATGCAAGTCTGTAGAAACCGTGGGCCTGCCTAGACTGCCTGACTGCCTGCCTGCCTGCATCGCTCGTGGTGTGCTATGCGACTGAAATGGACTGTGCGTGTGCCACGGGTTGATGACCGCCACACGAGATGAAAGACCCAGCGCCAGATTCCCAAGTTCCGATATGGAACGCCAGCTCAGAGCCTGGACCTGGAGTGAGGCGACAAAGTGTGTGACCCCCTCTCCCCCGGGCGGCCGTAATGCCATTGGCGTCCTGTGTTCGCTACGAGGGAATGAATTTTGGCCGTTTGCGCGCTTTGCGGCCGGGGAAGCAGCAGATGGGCAAGGGGGGACGTGCGGTGGTGACACACACGCTCTGATCGAGAGACTGAGGCCTGTGCTCGTGGTATACAACTGATGGTCGAGGCTGTGACCGCGCTAGCTTGGTCGAGAGAGAGGAGACCTCAGCGGTCCTGAGCGGGGTAGACGCTGGGCGACAACCCGGGTGACTCGACGCGCTTTGCATGACGCATACCGTTCGTTGGCAGTATGCAGTACATCCGTACGGGTGCGACCACGCGGTGACGAGGTATGCAGGTATGCACAGTCAGGTAGCGACAGCTGGAATCGATCGCATGGAGGGAGCGAGGGGTTCAGAGCCCCCCCGCGCGCGGCCGTAGGGACTGAAACAACCACCGCGCAGGGTAATGTCTCGACATTGCAGTATGCGGAGAGGGTGGGGGGGGAGTTGCACAGTGCCCACCAGCTGGAGGTGGCACCCGTGCGCCTGGAGATCTGAGAACTGAGAGGACATTGCGTATCGTGGTGGTGCACATGCCACCGCGTATCGTAATTGGTGCCACGATCAGATCAGCGCGCCGCCGCATGGAGTGTGGTGGTGTGTGGGGAATGTCGAAAAAAAAACAGAGTAAATCCTACCTACCATTGGGGTGACTGTCCACAAGGGGCAGGAATGAACCTGCTGCAAATGATCTGCAAGGCTGAGGGTTTGCGAATGAAGCTTTGCAATGAATGGCACCTGTCGCAGTGTGGACGTAAGCGCCGTGTCGCGCTGGACGATCTCCTCTACGTGGACGTTTCCTGAACAGCCGACTGAACGTTTGCAGGATGTCTGCTGCCATGCCCCCGGTCTTCAACTAAACGTGGCCATTGATACCTCAGGCCTCAGGAAGTAAAGGCAACAGGCCCTGCAGCGACCGTCGTAGCAATACAGTACTCGTACTGAAGCGAGGTACCTCTAGAAGCACGGCAGCCAAAGTCGAACGGCGTGTGCCCCGTTGCCATCCCCGAGTAGCCAGAACAAAGATTGTCTTAGGAAGGCTGAGGGTCATAAGAGCAAAAGTCCGACGTTGACCCGCGGTCAGCCTCCATGGAGATACGGGGACCGTCGTTGGCAACGTACACTGGTGGTCGTGCTTGGGACGGCTGGTGCGCTCGGGGGCACCGGCCTGCAGTGACCGGTACGCCGGTCGGTGTTGAGAGACGTTGGTTCTGAAGCGAGAAGAATGCAGGCACATTACGCAAGCTTTGGGTCTCACGCCATCTCACGAGTACAGCCGCTGTAAACACCTTTGGATCTGCCAAGGAAAGGGAGCAGAGGCACGCCTGTCTATATTCCATGTGTATACACGCTTAGAACGCCCTTATGTACTATGTTTTGTGGCCACGGAGATCCACCATGAGAGCAGTAGCAGTAGTATAGCAGGACTAGAGACGAACTCTGGTACTCTGGTTGCACGGCTTACGGCGTTGGCGACCGGCGGCCTGCGCCTGGGGCCTGGTATAAACGCCCACACGCCGTGGCGAGAAGACGGGTGATGAGCCGAGTGGGACCTGACGCGTGGTTGCGCGAAGGCTTGACAACAATAAACGTCGAGGCCAGGTCAGACACAGGTTAAGACTCGTCACCGCTCTGCCCCTGATGGAAGGGCCCGTGTATTGCTCTCCCCACCTGGACAATGCGGGTTCTGTGCCAGGGACGGAACGAGGAGCGACAGGTGGAATGGCCCCGGTGGCGTAACTCGACCATCAAGTCCTTTTGTTCTCGCTGCCGCCACCACACCACGCAATGACGCTTCGCACCCTCCGCCCTCACCTGTCTCTGGTGTACCGGGGGGGCGCGGGCGGCAGCTGCACGGCGAGATTAACCTGCTGCTGCTGGGTATGCACTCGGGCATGCCCCAGCGCCACAAAGTGTTAAAGTGGTGACCCAAGAGGTCCTGTCAGTCGCTCGATCGCAAAAGTGTGGGCCACAGCGGACGGAGAGCAGCTGCGCAGCTGGCCCCCTCGCGCTTTGCTCTCGATCACCCAGGAGAAATGGGTGGGTCCCGGGGTGGACGACCTGATCTCAGTCAAGAGCGAGTAAACTGGCCGCGCGCTGGCGTTCTGGGTTGGCAACCGCGAAAGAAGCACGCGCGCGGGGGATCTGGCGAGCTGGCGAGGTGTCGCGCTGGGAGAGACACGGCTGCGCGGAGGTTGGGAGAGCTCGAAAAAACACGCAGCCCATAGGCCACAGGGCGCGCGACGGCGAGAGGAAGTTAGGCGATAGGCGAAGGTTAGGCGGCCGCACCCGCACCACCCCACCCACCCACTCACAAGCAAGCAGCAGCGAGGACAATGGCGACATATGCCTAGAACGAGCTGGCACGGGCCGCCCCAGGCCCGTGCGAGATTCGGCGACCAGGAAACAAGTCGTCCCGGGGGTTTGGGAAAGCTGCTCTGCTGGATCGCTGTGCTGACATCAGCGACAACCCGGGAAACGACAGTGAGCGCTGGCAAGGTCTCACAGGATCACAGGCCACAGGCTGTTGCGCTGTGTTGCTCTTGCGACCATTTAATTTCAGCCGGGCTGTAGATTGGTGCGCATCCTCGTCGTCGTCGTCGTCGTTGTCCATTTTGCGCGAGGGAGCATGCATGTGCTGGGTGTGGAATGTGCCAGCCGGCCCTCATGGCGTCACCTCTCTCTCTCTGTCCCCTGTGCCCCCTCTTGGCCTCTTGCGCGCTGGGTGGTTGCGCCATGAGATGAGCCATACCGCCGCCATTGCCGTCCCTGTGTGGGCCACCCGGAGAGCATGCGGACAGAGAGAGCTCGTTCATCTATTGTTCGTCGCGCCAGTAGAGTGACACACACGACGACAAGAGGTACCAGAGAGCGAGAGACAGACAGACGTACAGCACCCGAGCAGGCGCGCAGTCCACGCAGACAGAGGCGGGGCTCAGGCAGAGAAGGGGGGGAGAGGGCCAGGCAGAGTCGTCACAAGGACCACAGGCAGACAGACACAGCCAGAAGGGGGGGGGGGGGGGGGGGCCAAGACTAGAGGCAAAGGCCCGGTCGAGCGTGTGAGATGGGTCATCGAGGTGGCACAAACGAGCAGCACACGGGTAACACGGGTCGGTGACTCACGCACGCATCCTGTCCCCCCCCCCTCGTTTGCCAAGCAGCGGTTGGTATTGTCTTTGACGAGAGCTTGGACATTTGCTGTAGCCGCCGCCGCCGCCGCCGGACCCACACGAACACCCACCACCTTTGCATTTGCCGGCGTGTTGTATGTGTGTCGCGTGTCTGTGAACAACCAAACGCTCCATCACATACACTCACACTCACACCCACACCCACAGCACCTCGACGTCCACCGCGCTTCCCATCCCATCCTTGACCACTCGCTCCAACGTCCTCGCCACACCCCCGCGTGCACCCGTTCGCTCGGCACGTCCGTCCGTCTGTGGCCCGCTGCCAGGACGCCGTAAGCGAGGCCACCTTGTCCGAGCGCCGACGCCCTTACACTCTCTCCCCCACCCACCCCTCACTGCCCCCCGTCGCCTCTCTCGCCCATCGCCAACAGAGCGCGCATCCTGTTCGTTTGTCTCCTTTCATAGTCATTTTCCCATTAGCCGCCCCTGGTTCTCTCCCACCACCACATCCCCCACTCCCGCCTACCTCTCCCGGCAACCTGCGCGCCGCGCGCACACCGAGACGTTGAGTCTCAGGCTTTGCTCGTTCAGGCGACCTTGAGAACTAGTTGGCCTGCGTGACCTGTGTGTTTCCGGACGATCGATCGACGACGACGAGATCACCAACACCAAGCGAACGTTATTTACAAAGAGAGCGTGCCGGTCTGCACGCACGCAATGTTTGCGGTCCCTCCGTCGCCCGACAGTGTTTCTGCCAGTACCCCCGCTGCACCTCCGTACGAGACCGCCGCCGCCGCTGCCGTTGCTGCTGCTGCCCCGTCGTCGTCGTCGCCGTCGTCGTCGTCGTCACCGGTGGGGACTATGTCGCTGGCCAGCCGCCAACGCCCGCCTGCTTCATTTCCTTCCGCGCCCCGTCGCCGGCGTTCCTCCGCCAACCCTAACCCCACGCTGGCCCACACGCACGCCGCACTCGCCCAACGCTCAAACGCTCTCGCAATCTCTCTTGCTCCCTTGCTCCCAACACACCACTCAAACCACATGCACCGCTCCCAGCAGGGCGGCGGCAGCGCACAACCACCATCAGCGCTCCTCCCCCAGCACGACACAGCAGCAGCACCACCACCACCACATGCATCGTCATCATCATCATCCACCGCCATTCCCGAAGAACACGAAGAAGAATCCCCCGCCCAACAACGCCGCCCCTCTGTCGCATCCATTACCAGCGGCGCAGAATCCGCTGCATCCGGCACAGACAACGCTGCATCGTCCACAGGACCCGTGCGTCGCGTCCCCAGCACAACACACTCGCGCCGCCTCGGCGCAGCCAATGCATCCTTGGCCCACGGCGGCCACCGCACCGCACCGGCCACTCCCGGGGCCATGACCGGCACCGCGTCAGGCCTGGGTGTTTACGGCACGCCCACCAACCCACAACGTCTTGTCCCCGTCCGAGGTGCGAGCCCCGCCATGGTGCATGCAGCACAGCGTCGCCGTCCACCGCGCTCGGCGTCGGTGACCAGCGATACAGGATCCACAGATACCGAACGCGGTGTGTCCGCATCGGCCACGCCCAACTCGGCGCCTGCCCTGGCACAAATCCCCCGTGCTTTTGTTCTCCAGCGCCTGCACGAGCTCGCCCCCACATTCTGGTCCAACCCCCGTTCCGCCGACGTCCGTCTCAGTGAGTAACATGATCGTGACGGATGACCTCGCTGCATGAGCCGGCCTGTTGTGCATGTTGCATTGAAAAAGAGTGTGCTGTTCCCCGTCGGGCACGGTTCCGATGGCGGACGAGGGCCAAGACCCACATCCGTTCCCGTGAGACAACCCACCACCCAGGCTGACACGCGCAGTCGTCCCAATGCGTGAAAAGACGCCACGACCAGGAGAAAGTGGGCCATCGACGCCAAAGCGCACCCCACAACCCACTCCCGACCCCGCACGCCGCGACATGGCACCTGCACAAGGTGCACCAGGTGCACCGCGCGTCCCGGCCATGAGCTATGCGCTGCACCGAGACTACCTCGCGCCGCAGTCGGCGCTCATGCGGATGGTCCTGTTTGGCGGCCTGCCGCCCGACTCGCCAGAACTCAAGGGCTGCCGCGTGCTGCCCTTTGGATCGCTGCACGGCCCCAGGCCACTGTACGTGCCCCTGCCGGACCCCGAGAGCTTTGGCGTCCTCGTGCACTGGATGTACTGGGGCGACGTGAGCGCGCTGGAGAATGCGCTGTCGTCGGGCGCCGTCAGCTGGCGCGGCATGGTGGCCAACATTGAGTATCTCGGCCTCGACGACCGGACAAAGCGCGCCGTGGGCCGCTGGTGGCGCCGTTGGGCCAAGGCCGAGACGCGCGCCGCGGCGCGCGCGTTTGACGACGACGCAGACGTCGAGTCGGAAGAAGAAGACGACAATGACAACGACGACGGCCGCGACGACGCACTCGAACCCATGTACCCGCCCTGGAGCGGCGGCGGCGTCCTCGACCAGAACCCCGGGTCGGCAGCGGCACACCACCCGGCCAAGATGCAGACCGCGACACAGGCGGACATGCAGTACGACGCCGACGAGATGGCAAAGCGACTTGGCATGATATGATGTTGTAGGCTGGAGAGAGAGAGAGAGGGAGCGAGAGAGAGAGAGAGCGAGAACGACGGAGAGAGGTGGAGAGGCAAAGACGATCGGGTCCCTAAGGTTTAGAGATAAGGGAGAGAGAAGGGGAGACGACGTGAGCTCGTTTGAAGCGGAGGAGAGACACGACGACGGCAACGACAACAAGAGACGATGTCGCGTTCATCCAGGGGACACAAGAACCGAGCAGGAAGGCTGGCCATCGAGTGGCCACAGCCACACCGACGGACGTTGGGTCGGATGAATTGTAGCACTTATATGCAACTTTACACAGTCATTTCTTACAAGAGAACGAACACCTACACACACAAGAGTGCCTACACAAGGTCGAGGGAGCAGGAAGGGTCAGTAGGCTATATCAGTCTAGTCTAGTCTCCCTTGGCCTTTGGCTGAGCCTTGCCGTTCGCGGCCTTGGGCATGGCCGGGCTGGTCGCGAACACCGAGTGCGGCGGGGCACCCAGGATGGGCGCCGCGAGGGTCCACAGGACATCAATGACGAGCGCCACGAGGTTGATGACGGCGTAGAAGAGCTGCGTTGTCGGTCAGTTGCTGGTTCGGGGCTTGACATCATGCGCGCCACGGCCGACTCACCATGGGGATAACACCCATGAACAGGTTGCCCACGACCCCGCGGCGCCTGATCGTGTCGTACAGCTCGGTGCGCACGATACCGGGTGCTGCAGACGAGCGATAAGGGCCCACAAGACGGTAGAAGGTCGGGAATGCCGCGCCAAAGCTGAGGGCGTGTTAGTCACTTGATCGTCGAAACATAATGGCGCGGCAGCTCTTGCGCGCGGCTGAAGAGGACCGTGACAGCCGCACACAGTACAGCGGCCGCTGATCTGCCGACACCTCGGCTCACGTACCAGTACACAAAGGTCACAAACCAGCCGTGCTGCGTCACGAGGGACCAGAGACTCGGCGCCGAGCCCATGTCCCGCGCCAGCTGGGACATGTACGACGAAAAGTCGACGCCGTACTGAATCCGGCCCTCTTTGGCGTGCAGGAGGTGGTAGTGTTCGTCGGTCGCGGGGACCGGGATCTTGCCTGTGGTGAGGAGGAAGAAGAACTGCGCCTGCATCTCAGACATGGGCGGGATGGCACCTGGCCGTCGTCAGCTAGCTTTAGCGCCTTGGATAGCTCACCAACGCCTGGCCGGAGGAACCCAATGAACGCGACACTGGGGTCGCTCGACGCGCACACGCCCCGCACATCGCACGCGTCCGGGCCCTGCGGGTATCCGGCCCCAAGCCATTCCCAGTCCTGGCGGTATCCCGTGCAGAGCACGACGAGGTCGGGGTTACACTCGGTCTTCCATGCCGTCTCCTTGGCGCGGTGCGCTGGTGGAGGGTTGAAGATGGCAGTGCCATTCTCAAAGCGTTGCGGGAACGGCACGGCGTGGATCGTCGGGTCGTGCACGCCGTCCGGCAGCGGCGGATCAATGTAGTGGAAGAAGAACTTGTGGAACGCCGACATGGCCTGGTAGGGCCTGTTGATGAACTGCATTGCCTTTCTGAAAAGTGTCAGCTGAACAGTATCTGCTCTACCACAACTCACCCGCTCTTGTTCAAAAAGACATAAGCACGGCCTTGTCGCTCCGGTGGCAGCTCGCCAGCCCACTGGTTACACCCTGCGGTGGTGCCCGTGAGGAGCCACATGACGCGGCGGATGACAAAGTCGGATACGAACCAGCGCAGGTGGCTCGCTGCGACCCATGGGTGGACGTAGGCGTCTTCAAAGAGGTTGGTAATCAGGCCGTCGATGGGCAGCGCACCGTCAAACGTCGAGCCCAGGATACGAAAGTTGTTGAGCACCTGCGTGTCAGCTACATGAGTTCAACCTGCAACTTACCTTTGGGAACGACAGAAACCCGTTGCGCACACCGAGCCAGACCTTGGCCGCAGGCGCGAGCACAGACTCGTAGCCGACATCCATGCCCGTCTCGCCCGCACCGAGGACGAGGACCCGTTTGTCCTTGAGCTGTGAGCGCTCCTGGTAGCTCGACGAGTGGATCCACGCGATCGGCGGGTCGGACAGTGGCGCAGCGTTCAAGCCTGGAATGGCAGGGATGTTGGGCGTGACGTGCAGTCCCGTGGTAATGACGACGCGCTTGGCCGCAATGTGAACCGGCGCAACGTCATTGAGCGCCGCGGGGTTGGTGTTGCGCACAGTGGCCTTGTGTGAATACTCGTCGCTCGCGTCGGTAGACTTGTCCAGCTTCACAACCTGGGCACACAGGTGGATGCGGTCGCGCAACTTGAACTCGTCGACGTACGATTCGAGGTACTGCACAAAGTTGGGCAGAGACGGGTGGTCCGGCGCCGTCAAGGGGTATCGGAAGTCGGAGAAGCATGTGAGCTGCTTGGACGACACGAGTTCGGCGTTCTCGTACGACCGCCAGCTGGGTTACAGCACCGTCAGTTGTCCCTCCCTCCTCCTCCACGACGACGCGACGCTTCCGAGCGCGACACTCACCGGAACGTGCCTCCAAGCTCTGGCTCGGACTCTACCAGCACAGGCTCCTCGCCGGGTTCGTACTGGAGCGTCTCGAGGGCATACTTGAGCGCGACAATTCCAGATGGGCCACCCCCAATGACCAGCACGGCCGTACGGGAAGGCAGTGAGACGCGCGGGTCGGACATGGCGGATGGTGTGAACTGGAGAGTGGGGGATCTTGAGACGCCGAGAAGCAAGCCGTGTACGTAAGAGGGCCCCACAGTGCTGGACCACCAAAGTGGAGGTGCAACACGACCGCCTTCTTGGGTGGTCTGTCCGTAGTTTCCACTGAGCATCTACTCCAGGGCATGTGGACTACTGTGGTATCGGGAAGCTAGCTGCGGGGGGACATCCTCATTGGCAGTGGACGTACAAGCTGTTCACCTCGTCAAGCGGAACAGGCCTCAGGCGGTCCAAAATGCCGAGTGCTCTCGCGGCCAGCGAAATGGCCAGCCGTGGGCCAAGCAGTGGGCCAGTAGGTCGGCGGCTGGTGGGCCGTGGCAATGAAAGATCGAGGTCGAGTACAAGTGCAGAGTGGTACAGTGGGGAGGAGGTAGCTGCGGCAGATGTGTGAATGACGTTGCAGTGGCCATCTGTGGGTCGACGTTGTTGTGGTACCGGTCGTACGGTCGTAGGCGGTTGTGGCACCAGGCAGCATGGGGCGCTGCGTGTGTTGGGCGTGTTGCCATGCAGATCCCCACGGCCTCCTCGACATGGTGGGTGCAAGGCGCACAGATCAGTCGAATGTGCTTCTCAGTCTCCACCACCTCTCTCCCTCGCACTCCTCTCCTGCATTCTAACCCGTAATACAATGGGTCAACAAACCAGCTCGCCTGTCAACATTCGTGCTGCGAGGAAGCCGTCGGACACCGTAGCAGTCACGCTCTGCCAGGACAACACCCTCGTCACCTCCATGACTGCACCTGGTCGCCACCTATCCTACACCTGTAGCCGCTCCGAATGTGGGCCTGGCGCGTCGTTTGCAGCTGCAAGTGGCACCAGCGATGACAGTCGGACATCGATTCACTCTGCTATGTCCCACTTCACCTTGTCACCCTCCATCGCGACTTACATTCTGGATAGGCGTAGGTTTATGCCTCCATACCCCCGTTAGTTGCATGTGTGCTTTGTCCAAGTCGAGATAGTATGGAAGTCGATGCAAGTCCAGACTGACATCAGAATCGCCACTCCCCGGGTCTTTGACCAGTGGGCCAGTGACAAAGACGATGAACAGTAGGCAACACAATGCAAACACCCACACACCTCAGCAACGTGCATATGCACCCTGAATTCAACCGCGAGAATGGGATCTCCAGCATATGGTAATGTGGCCATTGTGAAGCAGACGGTAACATCTTTCATGAGTTACTCCCACATTGCCACCGACTTGCCTTCCTCTCACAGACCCTCCGAATGAGACCCCCACCTCCTGCTCACAGTCCACACAGCCCCGCTGGCACCACGGCATGCATAGAAGCCAAAAAGGGGGTGTGTGCTCGCACGCTGAGTCGAACAGCGGTCGGGTCAGATGAGGGAGATTGTTGCCAAACCACAACGACCAATGATAACCACCTACACTATACGAGCTGAATGTTCGTGTTTTTTTTTTCCTCACGTGGGTTTATAAGGCAACTGACCGACGCCCACGAGCCTCGCTGACATTGATGGTATGTGCGGTGGTAAACTGGGCACTGTGGCATGCGGGGGGTCACCTGTGGAGTGGCCATCTGACAATGGTCGTTCGAGAACGTCGACTTGCCCACAACGACCCTCGTTGGTCGTGTTTCGCTCGGTTATGGAGTGAACTGCTGGTGGCCACCGTGCTTATTGTGGCATGGCACACAAGAGTTGCCTGTGACCGTCCGGTCCACAACATCCACGCACACTGGGTGAGACTGCCAAGCTCGTTCTACTGGCCTTGTGGAATCGTGGCGCCACTGGTGCGCGCGACAGACAATGGGTTGATTGGAAGTCTGCTCATCGGAAAACCAGACATGTCCGTGTCATCCCTGGTCGCGGCAACCCTTGGCCCGGCATCTTGCTAATACAGGCTACCCGCGAATCAACTAGCCGACCAACGGTTGGACTGCTGCAAACCGAAGCGTCAGCCTGGCACAACTGCGTTTACTTGGCCCGTTCGAAATGCCATTGGCATGGTGACGTCGTTTGGTCGTTTGACCCATTGTCGGCCCAATAGTCGTCCACGCAACCGGTTCATTAAGGCAGTGGTGCCGGCGGTCGCCACGTGCAGCAAGGTCAACCTACGCACCGCCTGCACAGTAGAGTCTGCCCCGAGCGCAACGAGCGCCGCCAAAAGGGGTTCTCGGTCTCGCGGCGTCGGGACAAGGAGCTGAAGCGCGAACGCTTGCCTTGTTTGCCGGGCCAAATGAAGGCCGTTAAGCGTGTGCCAACGTCAGGTTCAAAGTGCGTGGCGGCAGGTTTCGGTTGTTGGGTGGCCGCCGATGACATGGGTCCCTACCAAAGCCCTGCCGGTGGATGGACTAACTCCCCGGCTACAGGTGTGCAAGTGTGCCGGACAACACGCATACTTGAACTTGGACTTTTCCATCGCTCGTTGCTGCCATCGCACTCTTTCTCTCACTTCTTAAACGGCATCGCAACAACATACATCACAAAGCGACCTTCTACACAGCACTACTTTGTCCCTACCCCACCTGACTGCCCGCAACAATGGCGTTCCCCAGGCCCAAGCCCACCACTGTGAGCTATCTCGCGACATGGTCACGTCGACGATAACAGGTTGCAACAACAATGCTGACAATACACAGATGGACACGCTCACCATGGTATGTACACGAGCCGGCAGCTTGCCTTCGGTCGTATACGTGCCGTCTGCAGTCCTGCCGTCCACCCGTCGAACCCGTGCTGATTAGCAGGAACGTGCGAACCCGCCGTTCAATGTGCGCAAGCTCGCCATCCTCCAGGAGGGCTCTGAGCGTGCCCTCGTCCTCAAGGAGAAGTTCATGGCTGAGGTGAGTCGCATTGAGGTTGACGGTCAAGACGTTTGCTGACCTCGCTCCCAGCTTGCTCGTCACCCCGCCTTCAAGAACAGCGACATCCACGACCTCTCCAAGGACGAGGTCCGCGAGCGCACCATGGAGAAGGTGGGTTTTTGAGTTGCATGTGCTAAACCTACTCTACAACTCCCTGCTGACGACCAGTTTGCTTCCATGGTTCACTTTGTGACCACCGAGTCGCTTGACGTCTTCCAGCTCCGCATGCAGGTGAGTAGAGCCAACGGAAGCGGGCCATCATCCTCCACGTAGCAGCCGAACTGATCGGAAAGCTTGTTGGTGTCGCGGACCCCGCCTTCTGGACCCGCTTCGGTGTCCACTACGGTCTCTTCATCGGCGCCCTGCGCGGCCAGGCGACCAACGGACAGATGGGTGAGTAGCGAGTGCAACTTTGCGTTGCCGCGCGCATAACGAGGCGTACACATGGGCTTGCAGACAAATTGTTGTGCCCACGCCCATGGCGGCTTGTCCCCTGGGCCGCTGCGGCCAGGCGCCATGTGGACGCGTGTGCCGCCGGCAAAGACAAACCGCCCCCGCTCAGTCGCTGACACCACCGCGTAGCCTACTACATCGAGCACGGCGCTCTTGGCCTCAACGGCATCATCGGCTGCTTCGCCATGACCGAGCTGGCTCACGGATCCAACGTCGCTGGCCTCGAGACTACCGCCACCTTTGACGAGGAGACGGACGAGTTTATCATCCACACCCCTCACCTCGGTGCCACCAAGTGGTGGATTGGCGGTGCCGCCCAGACTGTGACCCACGCTGCAGTCTTTGCGCAGATGATCATTGGCGGCAAGAAGTACGGCGTCAAGACCTTTGTCGTGCCCCTCCGTGACCCCAGCACCTTCACCACCCTCCCTGGTATCACTATTGGCGACATTGGCAAGAAGATGGGCCGTGACGGTATCGACAATGGTTACATCCAGTTCACCTATGTTCGCGTTCCCCGCGCCTCGCTTCTTATGAAGTACACCCAGGTCACACGCCAGGGCCTGGTCTCTGAGCCCCCTCTTGCCCAGCTCGCTTACGGTGCTCTTCTCGGTGGCCGTACGTCGATGGTTTCCGACTCATCGGTTACTGCCAAGAAGGCTCTCACCATTGCTGTCCGCTACGCGTCTGTCCGTCGCCAGTTTGCCCAGCGTGGCAACAAGCTCGAGACCCAGCTCATCGACTACCCCATCCACCAGCGTCGCCTGCTCCCTCTCGTCGCCCAGGCCGTTGCCGTCGGCTTCACTGCCCAGAAGCTCAACGTCATGTACCAGGAGATGACCGAGGCCCTTGACACTCTCAAGCCCTCGGACCCCAACCTCCTCGAGACCATTGAGAAGCTCAAGGAGACCCACTCGACCTCGGCCGGTCTCAAGGCCTTCTGCACCTGGGCGTGCCTCGACACCATTGAGAAGTGTCGCCAGTCGCTCGGTGGTCACGGCTACTCGGCCTACTCAAACCTTCCCGCCATGTACGCCGACTTTGCTGTCCAGTGCACTTGGGAGGGCGACAACACCATCCTGTCGCTCCAGGCCGGCCGTGCCCTCGTGTCGTCGTACAACGGTGCCGTCAAGGGCGCCAAGCTCCCTCCTGGAGTTGCCTACCTGGGCGAGAAGGGCATCTACGACGCCAAGTCGGACGACTCGCTGTCGCTGGACGACGTTGCCCGCGCGTTCTCGTGTGTCGCCGCCAACGCCGTCAAGAAGGCTGCTGTCGAGTACGGTGGCCACCGCAAGGCCGGCCTCAACAAGGAGGACGCCATGGAGCGCTGCTCGCAGTCGCGCTTCATCGCCGCCAAGATCCACACCATTGGCTACATTTTCAAAATGTTCAAGTCGTCCATTGCCGAGCTGGAGAACAGCGCCGAGACCGACGTGCTCACCACCCTCGCCAAGCTGTACGGTCTCTGGCAGGTCGAGGAGCTCCGCGGCTGGTTCCTCCAGACCAGCTACTTTACGCCTGCTCACCTCGACCGCGTCCAGCAGACGGTCGACGAGCTCTGCCTCGCCGTCCGCCAGTACGCCGTCCCCCTCATCGACTCGTTTGCGCTTTCGGACCACATCATCAACTCGCCGTTCGGCAAGTTTGACGGCTCCATCTACGAGTCATACTTTAACCAGGTCACCGCGTCCAACCCTACCCCCAAGGTGCACCCGTACTTTGACCGCCTCATCAAGCCTCTGCTCACCCGCCAAAACGACGGCATCGAGGACCTCGGTGCCGAGATGGGCGGCCTCGACGAGGAGATTGCCCGCCTATCCGGTGCCGGCAAGAAGGCGGACAAGTGAAAAGGTGTGTGGTGGATGACAGAAGCAAAGACAAACTAGAGCTAGAGCGCCCGAGCTCCCGAAAACGTCGGCCAAACCCAGAGTAGTGTGTAATGATCGTTTGTGTAATTTGCGGCCAGTATTTCTAGACGTTATGAAAGCCTACCATCGAGAGCAGGTCCAAATGTGTGTTGTCCAGAGGCCAAGAGGCCAGAGAGCGCGGGCCCCCCGCTGGCCCGTTGCCTTCTCGCAGCGACTCTACGCGGCATGCGGGTCGCAACGATGGTCGAAGCCAGGTGATGGCAGACGTTTGTATTGATTATCAATTTCAAATGACAGTTCAAATGCCGGTTACAATATTGATATATTAAAGTGGGGGGCTCAAACATGCAAAATGGACCTTCATGACGCAAATGGCGCTTTGTTTGTGTAGGTGTTGTTGTTGTTGCTCCTTCTCATCAACGCGACTCGTCAAACCAGCACCTGTCCAACCATCACCCCCTCAACAATGGAGTCGGCGACCCTCAAGGATATCAAAGACGACATGGAGAGGCGTGGGTTTCGACCAGCCGACCCCATCAACTTGGCGTCCATGCCGTGGCCCGACGAGTTTACTCTCCCTGCCGACCTGGTTCTGCCCCACGGAAATTCCGTAGTGTTCTTTCTCGACGTTCCACAGCTGCTGCCCCCCCTTTCTACCCTCGTTTGCGATGGGAATGTCAAACGTCTGCAAGTACGACTTCGTGACATGACGTACCCCGATGAAAGCTCGTTTGGCGTAGACAAGACTTTGAACTGAACAAACATTTCCTCTCGTCGGCCCAATACCTCGCCATCCCTGCTGTGAACCTTTATCGTTCGCGGCAGACGGCATACTTGCGCTCGAGCAACCCCTCAGTGAGTCGTGCTGGTTGCCAACAACTAACAGTCACAGGCGGCCAGCTCGCGAAAACTTGGCTCGACCAAGCCCAATGGCGTCCTCGTCACGTCCACGTTGCGAGACCCGCCACACCTGTACTTCATAATTGAATACAAGTGGGCCACAGCTCCCGACGAGAGCCGCGACGCGACACTGGCTGTGCTCCGCCGCGAGGGCGCCTATCAGATCCTGTGGTATCTTCACGTCTGCGGCTCGTCGGAACGGTTTCGCCGACAGCAAGGTGCCGCTCTTGTCAACGACCGTGTCCTCCCTGTCGCCCGCCTCATGGATGGCACCCTGCTCTTACAAGGGCCCGAGACTACGCCGGTGCAAGGTACGGAATATACGGTCGACGCGCTCGACAGCGATGCCACCTTCTGGGACGAAGGGTTTGGCTCCAAGCTGTGCCAGAAAGACACCATGGCGTCCTTCCTCGCCTGTGTTCAAGCGGCCGTGTACCACGCCGCAGTCGACAACCCCGCGGCCAACACACCAGTGGACGCTACCCGCCCTCCACCTCCCCCACGCCCACGGAACCCCGTAATCCTGCGAGGGTCTGACGATGCTATGGCATCTGTCATGGAGAAGAAGATCGAAGCGGCCTCGGAGCTGAAGCGTCTCCGCAACATCTCAAGGCGCCCAACGACGAACGTGCAACAGGGCGAGGACGATGGCGAGGGCGGCGATGGAGCAGCTCCGGGAGACGGCGCCGACGATCACGACGACGGCGCCGAGGCGTCCACGTCTGGCGACGCCGGACATGTGTCTGGCGGCCTGGACGACGGACATGCCGCCGATGAGGAGATCGAGGGTAGGTCTATACGCACAACCATGTGGGCTGACATTTCAGAGCTGGAACTGCCGTTCGCTTGGTTCCGGAACCGTCTCCGCGAGGAGGGTGTCACTCTGAGGGTGTACCCTCCATCCGTTATGCAGAAGATCGGGATGCACGCCTCCAACATCGACGACCTCGCGCAACTGGCCGAGCTGGTGGCCAGCACCAATCCGTCACCCTAGCCATCTCGCCTGCCCATGACTTGACTCAGGAGCCTCCCTGATGCTGTGGTTGCTGCAGCGCAGCTTGCAGCAAACTAGCCACGCTTGGCCTCGTCTGCACACTGGAACCTTTTGCGCAGCGATTCGGCCTTTGGTCCTGCCCTTTCCTGCCAACAAGTATTGTATTATCCTTTCCCTGCCCCCTGTATCTACTAGTCTACCAGCATTGCATTGTCCCTCTCCCTGTGCTATCATTATTACGCACCCACCCATGCACGTGTTTATCACCTTACCGATTGGGATGGCATAAATGGTCAGCGAAATGGGCCAGACCACCTGTTTCGTGCCATGGCGTTAAGTGGCGCTCATCTGACGGCCCGTGTTATCCATCTTCGCATCCACCGAACGGTTCCTTCCTTTTTTCCGGGGTGGTGACCACCACTGGGCCGGCCAGTCGACGCTGCAGGGGTTGGTGGCGTGGCGAAGAAGAGGCCCAAGCACGGGGTGCTCATGTACAGATAGATCACCATCATCAGTGCTTCCAATGTTCTCTTCACCCACATACCCCTCATCCATGGCCTAGCCCGCCACCCCACTGGCCACTTACACCCCCCGCCGCCATGTTTAGGCGAAATGACTGCATGGAGGGCCACTACGTCCTCGGCCTGTTCCTCACATTCGCCTCTGCCGCGCTCCTGTGAGTATCCCCTTGCTTCCAGCTGCCTGATGGCAATGAACCCCCTCACTCATCACTCACACCACTCCCAGCGCCATCGGCTCCGTGTCCACATTCATCGCGCCCCTCACCATGCTCAGCGTGCCCTCCAAGCACCTCACCTTTGGCGTCTTTGCGTACTGCACCTCGTCGACCTGTCACCGCGGTCTCGGCGTGTCAGGCCCGGCCTACACCGAGGTCATTACGGGGCTGGACAATGCCCAACTGCTGGTCCCAATTGGTACGCCAAGACAATGGATGGGTGGGGGGCCAGAGCTGGGCACCCACTCGCGACGCAGATACAGCCAAGCTGACAGGCAAAATGCACAGGTGCCGGACTCGAGTTGCTCGCATTCCTCGTGCTCGTCGTACACCTCACCGAGTCGCCGTTCTGCGACCACCACCTGTGGTTCCGTGTAACGTCTGTGAGTGGCGAAGCGGGGAGGTGGTTCACGCGGGCATTGTCACCCGCAGAAGCTGCTGCGCGAAGGGGTGAGGGGAGGGGGAAGGGGAGGGACGAGTGCGCGGATCCAGCTTGTCGCGCAGGCAACACCGTAATGTGCCAACTGGACATCCGGACCGCAGTTGGGGGTTCCAACCCGCCGCGCAGCACTGTTCCCGTCATCTCTGCTGCGTCTCTGCTGTGTCGAAAGTGAAAGCACACACCCACAGGCCACAGGCCCCGCTGACACGTGCTTGCCAGTTCCTCGGAGCCCTCGTCTCCCTCGTGGCTGCGCTGTGCGGCACTGCGCTGTGGTCGATCGCGCGCAAGCGCTTCAACAACGAGGGCGCGCCGGCGTCGTTTGGCGACGCACTGTGGATCGTCTGGGGCGGCACCGCCGCGGCCATGTTGGCGTAAGTATCGCACTGCTGCACAGTTCCAGTAGCTGCGGCGTGCACACACACAAGGTGGAGTCGAGTCGCTGATGCCCGTCGCACAGGTTCTTGATTGGCGGACCGGCGTATAACGGAACGATCATGTATCGCGCCACGCCCAGCCGCGCGTATTCTGTGTAGCAAGAGAGAGTGAGACAGAGAGAGGGCGATGAGCAGTTTGAGTGACACGAACGAAAATGTGCGATTGGTGGTAGTTTATGTGTAGATCTAGATACAAGCCGGGATCGTCTGTGATGTGATGTGATATCGAAAGCGTCGAGGGGATCGCAAAGAGACAAAGAAGAAGGGACATTGAAATGCGGCCATGCGTAACGGCCAGAAAGTGTTTTGGTTTTGTGCCGTTGCGCAAAAGTCAGTCGCGTTTATTCCATCATTCCCTTATATCCACCCCTCGGGCTCTTGTCCTCGTCGGCCTGGAATGCATGTGCGTGTGCTTATCTGTGCACTCTGTTTACCTTTCAGTCCGTGTGTCAAGGGACCCAAGGGATGGTACAGCATGTCCTTCTTTTGTACTCTGGACACTGGTCAGGTCAACTACGAAAGGGATGCCAGTGGCCACTGGCGCCACTGGAGAGGCTGCCGCCCCAGTGCGCAGTTATACCCATCCCCCGCATTGTGTAGCGCACCCGACTTGGCTGGTGCATTTCCTGGCATCCACACGCCACGAGGGCTTCAACGTCACAACCGAGGTAGGTGGGGGGCCATGCCGCCAGCCAGGCCAGCCATGGGCCATGGGCTGGGGCCCAGATCAAAGCGAGAGGAGAGCCGAAGAACGAAAACCGCTGCGTCCCTTCGAGCAAGAGGGTGAGCAAAGCCACCCACGGTTGTACAGTGAACGCGGGGACGTCGAGGATCAGAAGCGGGAGAGACGAGAGACCCATGTTTTTAATGCACGCGCGCCGTGTGGCATGCGTACATCCGTTGCAACGTTGTGTTTTTCACAACCACTTCAACCACTTGACGCGTTTCACGTGTGTCGTCATGAACGACAAACCCCTAGCATACTTGGTACACTGGGAGGGGTGCGGCCATATGCGCAGCTGCAACGCCGGGGGGTAGAGCGCAACAGGTCTCGTCTACGTCAGTAGACTCGGTCGTGAACCAACGGTGCACGCGGTAACTGGGTACGCTGAACGCTGGAACCGGAACACAGGGGAGGTGCCAGGGTATGTTGTACCGCCTGCCAACGAGGGGGTGGGGTAGGTGGACGTTTTGTTTCCTGCCAAGAATAACCAGGCGAGAGCTTGGCTCCCTCTGTATGGCCTCTGTTGAACACTGCCTGCAGCATGTCGACCTGTATCTTGCCATCTCGCGGCCGTCTTCCAGCGGGTGTGCCCTTGTGCTCAAATGAAGGGGGGACGAGAAGGGGAACCTCTTGACACACGACGCTCCAGCGCGGTACGACGTCCGATGGCACACACCCTGGCTATGTGCAGGGAGAGAGAGGACGAGGTCGCGACGTCGCCAGCAGTGCAGCAGTGCAGCTGCATAATGGGGAAAAGGGTCGTTTGCTGGGTTCTGCCGCGGCCCGCGGCCCACAGCTTTTGCGCATGGCGTGTGCATGGCGCGCATGGGCCATATGGGCGGCAATTGCGCAGCATGTGCGTGTGGGCTCTGCCGGTGCTGCTGCTGCTGCTGGCATGCTGGCTGGCGCTGGTATCCACGTATATCCACCGACAAGGTTGTCGACCCGAACTTGTACACCCTCGTTTGATGTGCGTAGTATGGGAAAATATTTGGATATTTGGACCTTGCTTTGCGACAGCCGTGGGTGAACGTGGATGCCCAGCACAACGAGGTTGCTGTCCACCTGTCACCCACACGTTGCAACGGGCACGCTGTCGCGCGGTGCAAGTCAATACGCACACCTGTTGTTGCATGCTGAAACGCCAAAGGCCCAGAGATCCAGAGACCGGCCAGAGGGAGGAGGAGGAGGAGGGGGCCCATTTGAGACAAGACAGACTGCGGTGGCGCAGAACGGGGTGGCGGCGGGTGGTGTGCGGGGTCGGTTGTGGTGGTGGTGAGCCGTGGTGGTGGCAGCTGTGGCTTCCTTGCCTCCCTGCGCGCAATCCCTTATGCTCGTACACCCTGTTCAACTCACCCTTTGCTCTCCTCAGCACAGATCGCACAGATCCCACACACACACAGATCCAGAAAAACGCGAGGTAACCATGAGGTGCTACGGCTGCTGCTGCCCACGACGCTCTACACGCGTATCCTCGTTCTTTTCTCCTCGTTTACACCTTCACGACCGTCTCCCTCTCACCTCCCTTTTAGCTTTACCACCTTTTGACTTTGTCGTCCCGTTTCTGGGTTCATCCGACATCCGACACGCCAGCCCTGTGATCCTGTGACGACGGCCCATCCTGCAAAGCTCGTTATAGAGTGTTGAAACGACACAAAAGCGTTGCCGGGCCTGCTCTCCTCATCCTGCACCACCCACGACGGACACACACTCTCTCACACACACGACCCAAAGCTGCTGACAGCTTGCTCGATCTCGACTTGTACTGCCCAACCCGCTAAACGGTCCTTGTGCAACCCACCCACGCTCTTTTACACTCTCGAATGCCTTCTTCTAATACACAAATGCTAGGCGCCATCTCGTCGCTCGTGTCAGCCGGTCTCTTGTGAGTGAAGGAAGCCAGGCGACCCGTGTGCCCGTGTGGATTCGGTGCGCTGACCACATGAACCAGCTCTGCGGCCGCGTTTGCCGGGTGCAAGTGGGGCGTCGCGTGCAGCTATGGCACAGCAAACGTCTCGGTCCTCCAGGCCGCGACGCACCTGGTCCCAATTGGTACGTCCACAAAGAACAACGGCCACACGGCCTGCGTCCGTGTTCTGTTCTGGGTCTGAGGCTGACGGGTTCTGCCAGCCGCCGCGGTCGAGGTCGCCGCGTGCTTTGCCCTCCTCACCGACAGGCGCAGGACGAGGAAGCTCTACCCCACACTAGCAGTGAGTAGCAGGACAGCATGGCCTGGGGTTTGGGTGCTGCAACCGGCGACCCCGGCGAGCTGGGAATCGTTGGCGGGGAAAACGGTGGTACGGTGGACGGTGTAACCGTGCTTGCATATGCTTGCTGGTCGTGCGATCGGCGGTCATCGCCGGTCTGGCCAACAACCCATTTCACCCACACCCCAGGCATGCCAGGCACCATGAGCCATAACGCAAAATGTCGGCAGCTTGCAGCTGACCACCCCATCCCCAGATCGCAGGCATGGTCGTTGCGCTCATCGCTTTTGTCGCTGCCGCCGGGCAGTGGTACCTCGCCGACAGGCAGTATGGCCCCGCACTCGCGGCCAAGACGGGCCGGGGTGTCGTGCTCCTGGGCCACGCGACGTGGGCTGCCGTGCTCGCCTGCCTCGTGGAGGCGATGGAGGGCGAGCAGGAGGGCAAGCAGGAGGGACGGGTCAGGCTAGCGGGGGTCGACGACGACGCAGAGACCGTGAGCGTCGACGAGAAGAGCCCAACAAGCGCCTAAGACCAACAACGCTGGAGCCCTTCCATGGTGGTGGTGCTTACCGAACCGACGGACGCTGGCAGGGCCGCGCCGGGTGGGACATCGCCTTGGGCTGTAACATTGTACGAGGCTGCATACCCCGCATAGAGTTGTACACGCGAGGGAGAGGACGTCGTGACGACATTTGTAATGATACTACGCATCCATCATCAGCATACCCCGGTGTCAATGTGTCCCGAGGCCGACCTATCGTCGAGTTCAGTCAGGTCCAGCCTCCAGGCAACAGTATCAGTGGCCACCAGCAACAACGGTTAGTGCAGCGCCAAACAATTATGAGGGTAGGATGTAGCATGTGGTACAAGAATACAACATGCCGGTCCCAAGGAAGGTGTGTGTGCGGGGAGCGACACGCTTAGTCGAAGAGACCGAAGCCCATGTCGTCGTCCGACTCCTCCTTGTCCTCGACCTTCTCCTCGGCGGCGGGGGCCGACGACGACGAAGCCTCAGCGGCGGCGGGGGCAGCGGCGGCGGCGAAGGCCTCGGGGTTGGCGAGCATCTCCTTGATCTTCTGCGAAGCCTCAAACTCGAACTCGGTGGCGATCGAGATGGCGAGGATGTTCTTGTACGAGTTGACAAGCGAGTGGGCGACCGAGGCGATGGTGGGGACACCAATGGCGAGCGAGATGGCGGCAATGGTCTTGATGCCAGCCGAGAACTGGTCAAGGAGGGTCTGCTCCTCAATGTCGAGAACCGACGAGGGGAAGACGGCGCCGTTGTCGTAAACCTGGACAACAGTCATACCGTAGGTGAACGGCGAGATGTTGAGCATGTTAAGGAGGGTAGCCTCCGACTGGCCGACCTTGGAGCCGGCGGTGACGACCTGGACGTCCGAGACGATCTCAATGGTACCACGGGCAATCTTGGTGGGGATACCGAGGGCCTGGAAGAACGAGGTCTTTCCGGGCTCCATACCGGTGTTACCGCCGGGGACGTAGACGTCCGAGGGGGCAATGGCACCGGCACGGGCGGGGGCGGCGACGACGTTCGAGACAACGATCTCGCGAACCTCCTTGAGGTCAGAGTCGGTGAAGATGAAGCCGATGTTGCCCTTGACGAAGGGGAGGATCTTCTCGAACTGGGGGAACTCGGGGAGGATGGTGCGGAGAGCACGGCGAACCATGGTGTTCTTGCCCATGAGCACCACACCCTTGCCGCGGAGCGACGAGCGGACCATGTGGCACTGCTGCGACGAGACGTTGTCAATGTTGACAATGAAGACCGAGGCTGGAGACGGGGGTCAGCGTGGGTTTCACTGTAGGGTTCCGTCGAAGCATGATACTCACGGTACTTCTCAATGAGAGCACGGAGCTTGGTGAAGTAGACCTCCTTCTCAGCGCGAGTGGCACCCATTTTGATTGATGTGTTGGTGGGGGGGTTGGGGGGGTTGTAAGGGGGGGTTCGTGTGGTGTCTCCCAAGTGACCTCTTCGTTGAGATCAGAAGGCTGTTTAAAGACTGGTGTTGGAGAAGAAGAGAGGAAAGAGGCAATCGTGCAGCAAAAATCCACCGTCGTCCACCCCGCGTCTCCTCGTCGCACCCCCCGCCAGGCTGCAGGCTGCACACGCCCACACACGCTGGCTGGCAATGCACGCTGGTGTCGGCCGCCTGGGTGGGCGGGAATTTGGACAGTGACGGCGTTATAGAAATGCCACGTGGCATGTGGCACATGGGATCCCACCCACATTTGCTTCCGTTCGATGGCCCCCAGGGACCTCCCCGGCCGGCCAACGGCGCGCGAGGCGATGGAAAGTGCTGCACCCGTTCCAGAAATCACAAAGCAGCGACTCACCCCATCCAGTATACAGCGACCACAAACGAACGCATCGACAGCGCTCAACCACCTCGGATTCCCAGACAACGACGAGCGCCCCCATATCGGCCAGTGTAATGGCCGGGGCGTCATGCTCGTCCCCTTAGTCCTGCGCTCTATCGTGCTCCCATACCTGCGCACGAGCACGACACACGCAGCTGCTGCCTCGTCCAGTACAGCACCCCGTCTCGCCGCGGCGTCCATCTCGTCCTCGGCCCGTACGTCGCGTGCAGCCGAGGCAGAGCTGTCGCAGGAAGGAGGACTCGAGCACACGCCATTCCAGCCTGCGTGGGAACCTCCTGCCGAGCTACGGCACCATGCGCGCACCCGTCGGCCACCACCGACGACGACACATCTGCCTCTGGCAGCGTATCCGGGCCAACAACATTGCGTTGGACCACCGCATACCAAAGGAAAGCCACCACCACGGCCAAAACCACCACGAGAGGAAGATGCCAAGACCAAGACGAAACTGTCAAAGACCAAACGTGAGCTAATGTCTTGTGGCGAATTAGCTCATTCTAACAACAACAACAGCTGGCTCCGAGTCTTCACCTGATCCCCACCTGGCATTAGACCCGTCTCCCCCTTCTCCATCACCACTGCAACCTACACCATCACAAGACACAGCTGTGCAGCGTGTACCTGTAATTCACAAGCCCGTGGACATCTTCGACCGCACTCCCAACGTCCCCGAATATGTGCTGCCTCCAAACATCGACATGATGATCAAGGCAAAGCTGTACCGCTTGGCCGTGTACACGATCCTCTCGACTGTCGAGTACTCGATCGATGAATCGCTTGTGCAAGAGGTGGCCCGGAAGCTCAGGAACAGGGGGGCCGGCGCGCTCGCTATCCGTCTGCAACGGTCGGTCAAGCAGCCGTTTCGCCCAAACGGCAAGCCCCACATTCTCCTCCCGCTCTGCACCGAAGCCGAGCTCGCAGCTGGTGTCGAGACCGCAGCACCCGCCCCTCCCAAGCCGGCGGGATACTGGCGGCTCCCCTTGGTGCCCTTCAAACCCGACGAGGTCCGCGGCCTGACGCCCGTCGAGCGCCGCACGCGCTTCTACAACAGCGAGATTTCGCGGCATATGACGGTACAGCACCCGATCCCGCGCTCGTCGCCCATCCTGCGCATGGGCCAGCCGAAACCCAAGCTGCGAAAGGTGCGCGACATGCTCACGTACATTGACACGTTGCGGCGCAACCACAAGTTTATCCCGGACCGCGTCACGGCCAACATTGTGCTCAAGGCGTGGCTCATGCAGGTCTCGCGCGGAAAGACGTGGCGCGACGAGCACGGAGCCCGCAAGCAGGACCTGCGCAACATCTTTGACATTGTGGCGACATCTATCGAGACCGAGACGCCCATCCACATTCCAAACCCCGACCCGGGACCCGTGCCCGACTTTGACTTTATCACCGCCGTCGACTACCACCGCCACGTCGTCCCCTTTGGCAGGCTCGTCATGGAGGCCATGGTGCGCGCCGGCGACAGGGAGGGACGCCAGGTGGTTAAAGTCTGGATGGATAAGATGAGGGACCAGTGCGAGGCCAAGGAGAAGGCGGCGGCGGCGGCCAGTGCTGCTGCCAGTGCTGCTGCGGCCAATGCCGCTGTCGAAGCCAAGACCAAGACCAAGGTGAAGGCCGGGGAGGAGGCAAAGGAGGTCGGGAAGGAGGAGGAGGGAGAGGGGGAGGGAGAGGACGAGGATGTCGCCGGCCAGGCATGAGGCGGGCCCGGACCACTTGCATACCACATACTTCAAGAATTTGGGAGTCTTAGAGACCACTGTGACGATTTCAGCATTGACATAGCACCATCTGGCATTGCATGCATTCATTATCATCCATGCCTCTCGTCCCCATCGGGAATGCCTCTCCGTGGACCGCCAAGGACACTGATCTCCACAAAGTCTGTCGGACTGATCGGACGGCCGTCCTCAGCCCGAAAGCACTGTAGCGTTTCGAGGTTCGGAAATGCTGCAGGACTAGCACCAACTTTGCTACAGTCTCCTCGGCCGACAAGCAACAAGCGTCGCGACCATGTGAATACGCACAGCCCGATGCCATCGTGATGGGGATGGACAAGGGACTGTCCGCGAGGTCCTGGAATCACCACTTCTGAGCAAGTATAGACAGAGACCTTATGCCTTGAGCCACGACCATGTTTCTCTCGTGCGCGTCTTGGGCCTCGCGCTTGCTGTCACCCAAGCCACCACCTATTCCGGTCGTCCACCTTCTCACTCTACGTGTATGCCCGTGCGATGCCATGCAATGTCATGCGATGCGATGCCTAAATATATGAAATTGTGTCTGTCTCCATGCCCAAACCTACACCCCGACCTCGCCCTCGATCCACCAGTTATCCGCCTCCCAGCCCTCCGCCACGACTCGCAACCACTTGTGCCCCTCTTGTGGCGACGGCGTGATATCGTCGTCGTCTCCCGTGGCGCGCAGGACAAACCCGTCTTGCAACGCGGCGCGCTCGACGAGCGCGCGCAGCTCGCCCTCCACAAACAGGTGGTAGTACCGGTTGAACACTTGGGGTTCTGGCTCGGGCTCGGGCGCGGGCGCGGTGGTAGCGGGTATGGGCTCGGAGTCGGGCTGCTGCTCCTGCTGCTCCGCCTCCTGCCGCTCCTGCTGTTCTTGCGCTTGTGCGTGGGGGTGCCGTGTCCCCTTCACTCTTGTCTTCCTCGACGCCCTTGGCTCTTTGGGTTTACTCGCCTTGGGAGCCTGCGGCGCCAGGATCCACGGCACCATGACGTCCTGCACCTTGTCCACCGGCGCCACGGCCTCGCTCGAGCCCCCGCTTCCACCCCCGCCTCCGCCTTCCCCTTGGCCAGCGGCAGCGGCGGCAGCAGCAGCAGCATTCGCGTCCGCGAGCGAACCCATCTTGCGCCGGCTGAGCGGGCCCTGCTCGTATGCCCAGACGTAGATGAAGAACCTGGAGGGCTCGCCGGGCGCGAGGCGGAGCGGGCGGAGAAGCGCGCGGACGCCGTCGGCGCGCCGGTCAGGCGTCGAGAGGTGGTGGATAGCCGCGACCGAGATGGCAAAGTCCTGCAAAGGGGGAGGGGAGGAGGGGAGGGTCAGCACGGTCTTACCGCAACCTTCTTCTTTTACGACTCACAAACAGCCCGCTGCGCCAAGGAACATCACACAGGTCGCCGCGCACGCACTCGGCCGTGTTGGCCAGCTGGCCGCGCGCAATGTCCAGCAGCCCCTTGGAGCGGTCCAGCGCGATCGCCCATGCGCCCGCGGCGGCGGCGGCGGGGAGGTATTTTCCATTACCGGCGCCGGCGTCCAGGCCCAACGCGCCTGCGGGGAGGGTGGCGAGGAAGCGTTCGATGAGGGGCCATGGCTGGTGGTGTGTCAGTGTCAGTGGAGAGACAATGTGTGAGAGGACGTGGCTGGTGAGGTGAGGAAATAAATCCACAGGGGAAGAGAGGGGAAGAGGGTGGACGGGGACGAGGACGAGGACGGCTGGGTGCGAGCACAGCTGTGCTGTGGACGAGAAACGAGAGGGCAGGAAGGGTTGGATCGACATCGGCGTAACGGCAAGTGCGAGCAGCGGAGTTGCAACAGCTGTAAACTCTGGTGCGAGCGGATACGGAAGAGCCAGTTCCGAATGGAGAGCGGAGGCGGACATGCCAATCACGGAGACGGAGACGGAGACGCGAGGGCCTACGGAGCCACAAAGGGCCATGCGGACACGATAATGACAGAGGGCAGGCTCTCAACCGAAACTCACCTTGAAGCGCGTACGAGCAAAATGCGGCGCGATGGCCTCGTACACTTCGTGCACCTCCTTCTCCTCTGCAGCTGCTGGGTCGTCGCTGGGGGTGGCAGGAACGGGCACGGGCTTGGGACCCATGGTGGTGAGGGGTTGTCGGTGGTTTTTTGTTGTTGTTGTTGTGAGGGGGAGAATGAAATGGGTGTGGGATTTGTCCTCCGCGGTTCCACGGCCGGCGGGGGCGTGGTGGGCGGCGCGTTTGGCGGGCGAAATTGAATTAATTCGCCGATTTGACTAATTTTTCTTATCGGCCGGGTTAATCATCCACTGCCTCCAGTCCGTCCATCAGGAGCACCTGTTGCTCTGCTGAACACGTGTATCCACATTCCGTGCACGTCAGCCTGCAGTCCTGACAGCCCTGGGCCTCGCCCGTTAGTTGGCGTGCTTCTGTGAGGCGTCATGCGTGGAAGAGCCAGGAAGATCAGGAAGGGACCAGACACGGCCTCCTTGCTGTTTGCCACATTTAGACATCACGTGCAGTTGGGCCTGTACTTCATCCCCTGTGTCCCGCGGCCTTACGTCGGCCGACTTTGCAATTGTTGCAATTGCATGGCCGCAGTCTATATCGAGCTGGCGAAATGGCTGAGCTCTATGGCACATGTGCAATGAGCAACGGTGGAGGAGACATCTTGGAGCAGATGTGTGCCTGACGTGAGATGTTTGTGACAGAGAGGTAGACCAGACGGTCACACGTCCGGTAAGGCAATCGCCATCGTTGTACGTCTCCGTCTGCATAACAGCTCAGCAGTCAATCGCTATAACCTTGTCGATAGCAGAAGCCAAAAAAACATCATGTTGGCTGACGCGCACTGGAATGTATTTATACCGGACGACAGTGGCCCAACAGGTCAAGACGAAGAGGCGTCTGGAGCCGAGACCGTCTAGCCGTCGCTCACTACCAGAGTTCACGGCCATGGGGTGCCCCACGGCAGACTCACCATAACTGTTGCACCTTTCACGGCCGTCAAACGCCATTAGGCGTCAATCAACTGTAGTGGCGTCCTTTGCCCATTACCCCACGTCTTCACTGAGTGACAAGGAGACGTCGCACGACGTCTTGCTCCACCGGCCAGCTCAGCAGCGGGAGAAAGATAATGTGGGGAAAGAAGAGGTGCCCGAGACACAATGGGCACTGTTTTGGGTTTACTGCTCGATGCTCTCCACACACCAGGCCGTTGCATGTCGTGCACGTTACCAGCTTTGGCTGCTGGAATCGAGTGGATGTGGCCATCGCTGGAGTGATTCCAACATGACATCATCAGGTCGCGACCCATTAATGTCAGGGCATTAGAGTGTGTTGGCCATATCAGGGCGGGGGAACGGAGTGTTGTTTGGCCGCCACTGCCCGGGTCGAAGGAGATCGGTCGGGCCACAGGTGGCGCTGGGTGGGCCACAAGTGGAGCGGGGGATTCGGAGCATCCTCTGCCTTGTTGCTGCCTCGTTACTCGCCTCTCGGCCGTCAAGTGGAGTCACTCTGCTGGCGTGCCTGGCGGCCGACAACAGTTATCGGCCTAGTTTTCCAACTGTTACGCCTGCTGCTGTTCTGTATATAACAACAGCGCACCCACCACGTCGAGATGCAATCAAAAAGTTCTCCCACCCCCCAACCACCCCCCCCCCCAATACAGAACAACCGCCCACCATGGCGTCTGATAATTCAACTCTAGCCGGTTCGACATCGTCGCCCAAGGCCTCGATGGACCGCAAGGCCAGTGTCGGCCGCAAGCAACCCTCCACCACGTTTGAGGATGCCCCCACCCCCCACTACACTGGTGCCACACCACGCACCATGAACAACCCCCTTTCCCACACCCTCTCCACCGCCTCCCGCCGCTCTCGCCACGTCGAGCCCGACCTGTCCTTCCCTTACCTCACCCAGGTGACCACTGCCGGTGCCACCAACGAGTACCGCGCCGAGACGGCTGCGGGCTACATTCGCGCCGACGACCCCGATTTCGGTCTCCACCCCGTCCTCTCGCAGTACATCTCCCGCGAGCCGACCCGCCAAATGACCCTTATTCGCGAAAAGACCAAGATCGATGACATGAAGCTCGTTACTTGGAAGGAGCATGACCCCGAGAACCCTTGGAACTGGGGTGTCGCTCGCCGATGGGGTGAGTAACCGCGCGTGATGCCACTTCGTTTAATTTCCGCCACTGACCACATTCATCCAGTCTACACTGCCATTGTTGCTTGTGCCGTTATGCAGGTCGCCCTTTCGTCTGCCATTGTTACTGGTGACTTCAAGGACCAGATGGCCCACTTCAACGTCTCGGAAGAGGTCATTGCCCTCACCGTCTCCCTCCCCGTCTGTGGTTTCGGTCTGGGTCCTCTTCTGTGGTCGCCTGCCTCGGAGCTGTTGGGCCGTAAGCCCCTCTGGATCGTCCCCTCGTTCATCTACATCATTTTCAACATTCCCTGCGCCCTCGCCCCCAACATTGGCTGTCTCCTCGCCTCGCGTTTCCTGTGCGGTTTCTTCGGATCCGCACCGCTCACGCTTGCCGGTGGTACCATTGCAGACATTTGGAGTCCCGAGGAGCGTGGATTCGCCATTGCCATCTTTGCCGCTGCTCCCTATGCGGGTCCCGTCCTTGGTCCCCTCATCGGTGGCTTTATCGGCAAGTACGCCGGGTGGCAGTGGCTCTACTGGGTCAACATGATCTCGGCCTTTGTCGTCTGGTGCTTCTGCTTCCTCCTCCCTGAGACGTTCGCCCCCGTCCTGCTCAAGAAGCGTGCCCAGAAGATGCGCAAGGAGACCGAGGACCCCACCTTTGTTACCGAGCAGGAAGTCCTCCGCAGGCCTCTCGGCGACATTGTCGTCGAGACCCTCATCCGTCCCTTCCAGATGCTTGTCGAGGAGCCCATTCTTCTCCTCATGTCGCTCTACGTCTGCCTCGTCTACGGTCTGCTTTACGCCTACTTCTTCGCCTACCCTTACGTCTTTGGCGAGCTTTACGGCTGGGACGACGCCAAGACTGGCCTCACCTTCATCCCCGTCCTTATTGGTGTCGCCCTCGCCCTGATCGTCACCCCTATCCTTGAGAAGCGCTACGCCGCCATCGAGAACCCGACTCCCGAGGACCGTCTTCCCGGTATGCTCATCGGTGGCCCCTGGGTCCCCGTCTCGCTGTTCATTTTTGGCTGGACCGCTCCCCCATATGTCGCCCCCGGTGGTGGCTCGTGGGTCGGCCCCTGCATCTCCGGCGTCCCCTTTGGCTTTGGCATGGTGCTCGTGTACTTTAGCTGCAACGCCTACCTCATCGAATCGTTCCCGGCCTACGTTGCGTCGGCGCTCGCTGCCAAGACCGTGGTGAGGTCCGCCGCCGGTGCCGCGATGCCCCTCTTCATCTCCATCATGTTCCGCGCCCTCAAGGCCGGTCCTGCGTCCTCCATTCTCGGCGGCGTCGCCTGCGTCATGGCGCTCATCCCCTGGGCCTTCCGCAAGTGGGGTGCTGTCATTCGCTCGCGCTCAAAGCGTGCGGCCACCCACTAAGGTTCCAAAGGTGTTTTTTTGACCGCACCACCTTTCTTCCCCCTTGCATCTACACACGACGACATATTATCGTCACCATCATCCATACTTTGCATTAATAGATAGCATTTGTTTGCCCATAGGACATTGAGAGCAGAATGCAGTTTTACATCGTCAACGCAGCAAACTGCCACAACAGGAATAGCTTACGTAATATGGCATCTATTTGGCCGATTTGATTCCGCGGTTAATGCGCCGGCCACCTTATGTGGCTATATCCGGCCACATCCGGGCATCCTGACAACATCCTTCTGACCATCAACGTGACCGTGCTGCAACACTGACGACCATGGACCCCAAGAACGTGCGAGCGACGCCATAGACAGACAGTCCTTATCGTGGCCAACCTCACGCATATAATGACGGTATAGCGGTAATGTAACGCCACCGACGCGCTCACGGCGAGACCTGCGGCAATGAAAGCCAAAGGCCAGCCACTTCCGCGTGACGGAGATGGACGTGTGACTGTTGATGAGAGACAGACCACATATATGAGACTTGTATGGACGTGTGTGCATCCCGCGCTTTTCTCAGAACCAACACCCCTGTAACTTGTTCACACACGCTTCTTTCTCAACCTCTCAGATCCCCCACGCCGCCCAGCGCTGCGCACACACCTTTGCACAATAGGGGCGACAGACATTGACAACAACATCTTGGGTGGCCACCCAATCTCGACTCACACAACCCCCCTTTCCCCCCACCGGCTCCGGGGTCCATATAGCCCACGGCGCTTCGCCAGCTGATGGGACCCACAACGCTCTTCTCTTCCACATCCACCACTGCCGTCCATTCATCATGACCACCTCCCTGCCCGTCCCCACCACGATCGTCACGCCGCCCAGCCGCAGCTCCACCCCGTCCGGGTCGAGCACGGCGGGCAGCCCCGACTCGACGTCTGCCACCCGCGCGCCGGAACAGTGGTGGCAGTGTTCCGGCAACCACGCACATTTCAATCTCGGCCGTGAGTCGTGCAGACGTGCAGGCGTGCTTGCGCAGTTTGGCTGACGGACGGGGTCTAGGCCAGTGCAAACCCGTGCCCATGCGCCTCGCAGGCGAGCATGTCATGGGATGCTTGTACTGCAGGCGCGACCTCAGTTTTCTCCCAAAGCTCCCTGCCGCTGCGGCCATTGCGTCAGGCAACGCTTTCAAGGCCTTTTGAGCCGGCCGCCAAGCGCACTGCTCCTCCTCCCAGACAAAAGCGCGAGAACGGGTTCATCCTCCACCTCCTCCTCTCGTTGTAGCTAGACCCCTTCCACTGTGTGTATGCATCAGACTATACGATCCATCCTGTTCCGGTGCCGGTGGCCGGTGGGTGGCGCGAAAGGCTTTGGCGCTCTGGATTCATGATTCACGTTTCGAGTCGATCACAATATCAAAATACAGAGTGGCACGTGTGAGAGCCATCAGTCATGATCAGTCATCAGCTTGCAGTGTCACTTGAAGATCAGACGTATGCATGAGAATTAAAGGGGACCCAGGCATCACACTGGGTCATTGGTGATGCATGGTCGCGAGCAAGCGGGGGGAGGACGATGAAGAACAAAGGCGACCTGTCGGAGAATCACCTGCCCCGCCACCCCGCCACTGACCGTCTTTTGTGCGTTGTTGCATGCGTGGTTAGCGGGCCCATTACAAAAGTCAATATCGTGCTTTAATGCTCATGGACCAGCACAGCAAGTCTCTCATACCTCCCTCGTACGCAAGCTGTCGTGCAGAGCAACAACGCCGGGCCACAATGACGAAACCACCCACCAACCGCCCAAATGTCCACTGTACCAGTCCAAAATATACTTCCGCTCCTCCACCTCTCTCTGACCTCACCAACTGACGACTGAATAACCAGGACGCACGACACCATATCTCCAATCGACCCGCGCCCGCCGTCAACCATCCACGCCTCTCGACCATGGCACCACAGCAGGGCCATGCGCAACCGGCGCAGCAGCAGCAGCAACAGCAGCCGCAACAACAACAGCAGCAGCAGCAGTACCACTCGGACTCGGCGTCGCAGCAGGCCGAGATGAGTGTTGTGCTGTGTACTGCAGGATGTAAGTAGCGCGCAACCTCTGTGCCGCCGGTGCGACTTGTGCTGACGCTCCTTCTTAGACGACCACACGATCCGGTTCTGGGAGGCATGGAGCGGTATCTGCTATCGCCAGATTCCTCTGCAACCGCAATGGGTGGGTTGACGGTCGCAGAAGTTGAGTGCTAACCCGCACAGAAACAGGTGAACCGCCTGTCCATCAGCCCAGATAAACAGTACCTCGCGGCGGCGGGCAACAGTGCGGTCCGGTGAGTCTGGCTGCTGCAGAACGTGTTTACATGCAGCAACGCTGACCACGGGGATGCTGTACAGGATATGGGACATTCCATCATTGTCCAACACGCCGATCATGAGTCTGGACGGACACACGGCCAACGTCACTGCGCTGCAGTATTCGGCGCAGGGCAAGTGGATCGTGACGGGCAGCGAAGACGGGACGGTCAAGGTGTGGGACACGAGGTGAGATTGAGTTGTCTGGAGACCTGCTACCGCTGCTAAACTCGCAGGACGGGCCAGGTGCAGCGCACATACAAGCACGAAGGCACGTCTGTCAACGACGTGGTGATCCACCCGAACCAGGGCGAGCTCATCAGCTGCGACCAGCTGGGCTCGGTCAAGATCTGGGACCTGGGCGAGAACACATGTACGCACGAGCTGGTCCCCGCCGAGGACGTGCCCATCCGCTCCGTCTCCATCGCCAGCGACGGCGGCACGCTCGTGGCCGGCAACAACCTCGGCACGGTGTTTGTGTGGCGTATCCAGTCGGGCAGCGAGACGACGTCGTTGGTCCCCGTGACGTCGTTCCTCGCGCACTCGAAATACATTACGCGCTGCCTCTTGTCGCCCGATACCCGCCACCTGGCGACGTGCTCGGCAGACACGACCGTCAAGCTCTGGTCCACAAAGGACTACGAGTACACGCTCGAACGTACCCTCGAGGGCCACCAGCGCTGGGTGTGGGACGCGGCCTTTTCCGCAGACTCGGCGTACCTCGTCACCGCGAGCAGCGACCACGCAGCAAGGCTCTGGGACCTGGCCACGGGCGAGACGGTCAGGCAGTACGATGGGCACCACAGGGCCGCAGTGTGCTGCGCGTGAGTTGTGCTTCTGGGCACTGGTTTCATGACCGAAAGAAAGCTGACGGGGGGACACAGGCTGAACGATATCAACCTGGCTTAACCCATATCGGGGTATCGCGGTGGGAAGGCAGATAATGTACATGTTGTTCTCGGTTAGATGCAGTAAACTACGCATGGAAGCAAGGAGTGAGTGACTGGGTGGGTGGTCGCCGTGGTTTGTTCGGGCGATTCCCAATTCGGGGTCGCGGGTCATGTTCGGGTGCCATTGTCGTGAGTGCGTGCGTGCGTGCGTGTGTGTCGGTCCCAAGATCCCAAGATCCTTAAAACTGGGACGCTCCCAGCAACCACCGCAACCACCGCAACCAACGCGAAGCGCGTCAAATGAACCTTATTTTATGCTGTTACATTACGCGCCAGACTGTGCAGTGGCGGCGTGCACATTGTACAATCTATCAACTTTGCAGGCGCCGTGTGTTTTCAATTCTCGATTGGGTAGGATGGGTAGGTTTGTTTGTGTTGGGGGGGAGGGAGGTTGCAGAGAACAACAATGGACGTTGGTCTGGTCGATTGGCGCTTGGGATTAGGGTTGGCGCTCGGTGGTGGGGGAGAAAGAGAGGCTAGGCAAGCGGGAGAGACGCCCAAAGTTCGAAAGCCTATGTGTATGCTGGCCTTGTGTCGATGGCTATTTCGCGCTCCTCTAACCGAGGACCTTGCGGAGAGCCTCCTTTTGGGCCGGGGTGATGGAGTTGGGGAAGACGACGTTCCACTTGACGAGCATGTCGCCCTTCTTCTTCACCGAGCCGGCCTTGGACACGGGCATGCCCTCGCCAGTGACGCGGGTCTCGTGGCCGGGCTGGACAATCTGTCCGGGGGGCAGCGTGACGTTTATCCTGCGGCCGTCGAGCTGGTCAATCTCCTTTGTGATGGAGCCGCCGCCGTCGGGGCCCAGCAGGGCCTGCGACAAGGTGATGTTGACCTTGACAATGAGGTCGTCGCCATCGCGCTCAAAGCGGGGGTTGGGCTTCTCCTCGACGACAAACGTCACCGTCTGGGCCTGTCCGTACTCGTCCTCGTTTCCGGCGCCGGCAAACTTGATTTTGGTGCCCTTCTTCCAGCCGGCCTTGTACGCCACCTCGAGGATCTTCTCCTCGGTGCCGCCGGTGCGCAGGTGGCGCGTAATCTTGAGACGCTTCGTGCCGCCCTTGTACAGCTCCTCGAGCGTGAGGGCGAGGGGCTTGACAACCTCTCCGGGGGGAGGAGGAGGCGCTGACGGCTCGCCGCCGAAACCGCCAGGCATGCCACCGCCCATGCCGCCCATGCCACCCATGCCACCCATACCGCCCATGCCACCGCGCGACGAGCGCATGCGGGGACCGCCGCCGCCGCCGCCAAACGACGCGTACGGGTCGTCGTGACCCATGCCGCCGCCGCCGCCGCCCATGGACGAGAAGAAGGCGTTGAAAATGTCGTTGGGGTCGGTCGCGTGGAACGAGTAGCCACCTCCGCCGCCGCCAGCACCGGGGAAGCCGCCAGCGCCAAAGCCGCCGCCGCCGCCGGGAGGGCCGCCGCCCTTGAGGCCGTCCTCGCCAAACTGGTCGTAGACAGCGCGCTTGTCCGGGTCGGAAAGAACCTCGTAGGCTTCAGAGACCTGTGGCCGTTAGTGCTCTGCTGGGACAGTAGGTCCAAAGTGCTCACCTCCTTGAACTTTTCCTCTGATCCACCCTTGTCCGGGTGGTTCTTCAGTGACTGGGTGCGGTACGCCTTTTTAATCTCTGCGGCCGTGGCATCCTTGCCGATACCGAGTGTCTGTAGAAACGAGTTAGCGCTGGGGATCGAGCCACACGAGCGATTGAACAGATTGCGCCGGAAGATGAGCCACGGTGCCAACCCCAAGAAGAGGGGTTGTTGCCGAGGCTGCGCGCGCGCGCTCGCGCGCTATGTGACACTTGCCTTGTAGTACTTGTCGTTTGCAGGCATTGCGTGTGGTGGACTGTGTAGAGAATGATGGGGGGAGGAGGGGGAGATTGGACGGCTGCTTGCCGTGTCCGTTTGATATTGCCTCACGCGGGTGGACTGACGTATTGGCTGGCTGGGCCCGACGCCGCATCCGCCCGCGCAGGGTGGAACGTAATGGATAATGCTAGAGAATGCCAGAACAAATCGGCGCCCTGGGGTGGGTGGGTGGAGGTGGGTATTAGGGATAGTTTGTAATTTGATTGGAAAAATGAGCCCAGGCAGGGCAATGCATTTGCTCCCGCGCCACCAATGTCATTGTACCACTTGGTGCCTTCCTTTCACGCGAGGGCTGATCGATCATGTACGTCACGCGTCGAGTCTTGTGGCACCTCTGGTACTCTGGACGGTAACATGCCGAGAGACTGCATGGACACGGCTCTTCTGGATGTTGCAACAAACATATCTTTCAGCCTGGAAATGAGGGGCAGACACCATGGTCACCGGTCACCGATTTGCGCCGAGATGATCGGCAGGAAACGTCCATGGTGCATTGTGGCGGGGTTATCACAACAAATGTCAAGCGCTTATCCAAGCGAGGCGATCCGTGGTTCTTCCGACGCAGCCGGCTGTGTCGGTCAGTGTCATGTACACCCACCCTCTCACTCGCCTTCCTTATAACAAGGCCAGCTGCATCGTGGAGACACACATCAGTGGCCGTTGACGCTTAGCTCATCACAGTCTCCTAAATATACATTATGGCCAGCACCAACCCCTCCCTTGACAAGCCGACGGCGCAGGCCAAAGCGAAGGCCGGTGAGGTGGTCGCTCCGTTCCACTGCTAACCAACGTCCAGGCCCGCACATGCCCCGCGCGTCCCTCGTCAAGGCCTTGAACCACATGTGGATCGATACCAACTTCCACCACCTCCCGGACAACATCACGTACGAGCTGTATCCACAGCCTTCTCGCGGCTTCGGGGCCCAAGGCTCGTACCTCGTCCGCTTTCCGCCAGGGTACGATGCCGAGACCACCGAGCGATACCCGGTCCTGTACTGGCTCCACGGGGGTATGAGCAACCAGACACAGGCGCTGGGCGCGCTCGAGTTTTACGGTGCCAAGATGGACGACGGCGCGATGCCAAAGACCATCGTCGTCGCGGTGCAGGTGAGAGCGGAACGGAAGTCTCAAAAGCCACGCCACGCCGCTCACAGCCCAGGCGCTCCCTGTTGGATGGTACGCCAACTCGCGCGACGGGTCCCGGCCCATCGCGACCATTTGCGCGTCCGACCTCGTGTCGGCCGTTGACGCGCGGTACCGCACCGTCCGGCACGCGTCTGCGCGCTGGATCGAGGGCTTCTCGATGGGCGGGTACGGCACGCTGCACCTGGGGTTCTCGTACCCACAGGTCTTTGGCGTCCTGTCGTCTATCGCAGGCGCCCTCCTCCCGCGTCTCGACCAGGAACCAGCCGAGCGCGTCGACGACACATTCTTCAAGAGCCAGGAATACTATGACCAGTGCCACCCGTCCAACTTGCTCGTGGCCAACCGGGCCCGGCTGGGCGCGACGGTCGTGCGCCTCCTCAGCGGCGCGGACGACGGGCGACTCACAGAAGCGATTGCACGGATGGCCACCGTCATGGACCAGGTGGGCATGAGACACAGGGCCGTCGAGGTCCAGGATGTAGACCACGACTATGAGGCCATCCTCCTGGGATGTGGCGAGTATGCGACGAGTTTCTGGGCAGAGGCGCGTGGCAGGGTGGTGGTAGAGTAGTAGGGTTGTATAGCAAATAGCAATGCCCATGCATGTTGGCACCTTTTGTTAGCTGGCCCGTTGCGCATCTGCACTTTGGGATTGGAGGTGAGTGGATGAGTGGGTGGGTGGATCGGCAGTGGGGAAGGATCGGCGGTGTGTGGCAGAATCGGCAAAATGTGGCAATTGGAGGAAGCGCCTCGTACGAGCTGGACAGGTGAGTGAGCAAATCTCCGGTTTCTGTCCCGATTTCCGCTCGATTTTCTCTCAGTCTGGTCCCATGCCTCTCCCCAGGTGCTGCAATGTGCGGCAGTTGTTGCATTTTTGTGTTTACGTTCTCAACCGATCAGGTAGATACCATCCAGAAGGCCGGAAGCAAACAGACGCGATGAAGTGGGCGCGTGGTCGACACGGAGCCGAGGGGTCGCTGAGCTTAAGCAAGCGAGGGGAAGGCCTTCTCGTCGTTGATGGCAGCGGGGGCCTGACGGGGAGCGCGGGCGGCGCCGCGGGCGGCACCGCGAGCACCGGCACCGCGCGAGGCGTTGCCGCCACGTCCACGGACGGGTTTCTCACCACGGGGAGCACGGTCGGTGCGCTCGGGACGAGCGCTCTGGAAGTCGACCTCGAGGAAAATCTTCTCCTTCTTGGCCTTGGAGGCCTTCTGCTTCTCCTCGGTCTTCTTGCCCGAGAAGAACGACTCGCCCTCCGAACGAGCGAAAGCGGTACCCTCGACGTCGTCGGCGGTGACGACACGGGCCTCCTTCTTGGCGAGAACACCGCCAAGGGCCTTCTCCGCCTTCTCAGCGAGGTATTGATCGAGAGTCTTGCTGTTGTCCTCCTCAATCTCCTGCTCCTCGGCGTCAACGGCAGGGGTCTCGGGAGCGGCGGCATCCTTCTCGCCGTCGTTCTCAGCTGTTGGAAAGTTAGTGAAATTCCCACTTATTCGCCGATTCGGCCGCCAAAAACAAGTGGCCGAGACGGTGTACTTACCGGTCAGCTCGGCCTTGCCCTCGGCGTTGTCGTAGGTCTCGGCGGCGGGCTTCTTGTCGGCGATGGGGGCAGCACCGCCCTTGGCGCCGCGAGTGCCAGAGATCTTGGGGCCACGGGCAGCGCCGGGGGCACGCGAACGGGGGCCAGTGCCGGCCTTCTCGTCCTTGGGGCCCTTGGTGTGCCTGTCGCGGCCCTCGTGGTGCTTCCTGGGGGGAGCTGGTGGTATGTTAGCGACGTCGGAAGAATTCACCCGGGAAATTGGTGGGTTCGACTTGGGGGGTTCGGAGGTATTTTAAGGAACTAAATCCAAAATACCCGCCAACGGGGCCAACATGCACGCTTCTGGCCATGGCCGCAGTCGTTGGCACGAATGTGTTGTCTGCAACTACAGCGTGCAGTGTGCACACCCGAGACGTTGAGAGCCCGATCTCTTGAACCCCCTAGTCCACCAAACCCGAATCCCTCCTCACTCACCAACACGCTCTCCGTCGAAGCCCTCGGCACCCTCAGTGGCGGGGCGGTCCTCGCGGTAGACGTTGCGGGGGCCACCACGGGCGGGGTAGCGAGCACCACGGCCGCCCTTGGGGGCAGCGCCGGGGACGGCCTTGGGGGCAGCAGCAGCAGCGGCGGGGGCAGCGGCGGCAACGGCCTTGGGGGCGGGCGACGCGGCGCGCTCGCCGTCGTCTGCGAAAGCGTCAGTTTCGAGTTTCTTTTGGCATTCCAGCGGGCGCGCCAGGATACGCAAAATCCCGCAGCGCGCGCTCATCGCAGGTCGCGCAACATGCGTCGTTGACACTCTGCAGAAAAAAAAAGGTCAGCGACGAAATTGCACAGAGGGGTTCCAGGTCTACGCACTACCGAGGAGCTCGAAGGGGTTCTTGGAGACCACGGACATTGTGGTCGACTCCTGAGTCTGGAGCTAGAGGTCGGGAAGGAGAGTGTAAAGAGGTTTGATGAGGGAGAGGACAAAGACAAAAGAGAGAGCGAGAGCAATGTCAGCGTGGTCCAAGAAAAAAAAAAAAAAAAGTAATCGACACCACACAACCACGATGTCCGTTTTTTTCTCCACGGGACGGCAGCGTGTGTGTGTGCCCGTGGAGGGGCGTGGATGCTGTGGTTGCTTGCTGGTGTGCTGACCTTGTTGGATATACGCACTGGGCGTGAAGGGGTGTGTTGGTAGTGGGTCTTTAAGACGGCAAGGGAGGTAAGAAAGGGAGCAAGCGATGAGCGTCGACTAGGCAGGGGGAGTGGTGCGCCGGTGGGTGGGACACACGCCCGGTACAGTGTGGGAGCGTCCGCTGGCTGGCCGTGGGTGCGTCCGCCTGGGTGTGCGTGGGCGCGGTGGTGCTGCCTGTCAGCCTGCATGCGTCCGCCTAGCCAGCCAGGCAGCATATGCACCACCCAGGCGCACCCGCCCAGCCAGCCAGCCGTCTCGCCCACAGCCAGGAGAGCTCCCATGTCCCGCCCAGCCAATTTGGACAACGGCCAGGCGGGACTTTATGTAACACCGGATAACGCCTCGATCGCGCGTCCAAGTGGCACAAGGTCGGGTCCACGCTGCCTCTGTGTGTACGTTTGTGGCGCTCGAGGTCCATGTGTCCGGCCGTCTGGATCTGGCACGATGGTTCACATTCACATGCATGCACGCAGCCTCTCCACGCTCTCCCAGATCCACAGTTCCTTGCCCAGTTCCTGTCCCAGCTCCTATCCCAGCTCCTGCCCAGCTCCCGCCCCCTTTGCCCTGCCAATATATTTCAATTTGAAGTGGTGCTTTGCATAGCAAATAGTGATGTATCTAAGTGGCATGTGCGTGTCCGCTCCTCCCTCTAACACACCCAACGTCATACCGGGTATCCCAAGTGAAATGCTCTGTCTCGGTTCTCCTATGTGTATCGTCTCTCCCTCACTGCCTCCCCTCCCTCACTCCTCCACTCTCTAGTAGTCGGAAGCGGGGCCGACAAAGTCGCGCCACGAGCCGACCTCGGTGGGCTTGAAGCCCTCGACGTAGGGCATGGGGTTGCTCTTGAGGAACTTCTTCTCGAGGGTCTCGGTGAAGAGGACCGCGAGCTTGGGGTTGTTGATGAGGGGGATACCAAAGTCGACGGCGGCACGGCGCGAGGCATAGTCCTCGTCCAGGGTGGTGGCGGCGCGCGAGCGGGCCATGTTGATCACAGTCTGGATCTCGTGCTCCTCGAGGATCTCGCGGAGCTTCTTCTTGTCCTTGACGGGGACGAGAATCTTCTTGATGGCAAGGTAGGGCTCGTCGTTGATGAGCTTCTCGACCTGGGCGTCGTACGTGAACAGCTGGAAGCCGAGGTTGATCAGGTTCTTGGCAACCTCAAGCATCTCGGGGCGCGAGACGTCACCGCCAAGGAGGATACCCGAGTTCTTGGCCGGGAGTTTCATGCCGTTGACCGACAGGAGGGCAGCCCAGTAGGCGTCGTGAATATCCTTGCCAAACGAGGCGACCTCACCAGTCGAGGCCATCTCGACACCGAGGAAAGGGTCGGCACCAGGGAGACGGGTCCACGAGAACTGGGGGACCTTGATGGCCACGTAGTCGCGCTTCTGAGCCATCAGGTCGATGGGCTCGGGGACGTTGGTGTCCATGATGGCAGCCGAGGCAGTGTCGATAAAGTTGTGGCCAAGGACCTTGGACACGAAGGGGAACGAACGCGAGGCACGCAGGTTGCACTCGATAACCTTGAGCTCGGGGAGCTCGTCAGCGGTGGGGGGCTTGCGGATGATCTGCATGTTGAAGGGACCCGAAATCTCCCAGGCCTTGGCAACCTTCTCAGCAATGGTCTTGAGGCGAGCCATGTCCTGCTCGTTGAGCGAGAAGGGGGGCAGGACAAGGGTGGCGTCACCCGAGTGGACACCGGCGTTCTCGACGTGCTCCGAGATGGCGTGGACAATGAGCTTGCCCTTGTGGGCGACGGCGTCGACGTCAATCTCCTGGGCGTTGTCGATGAACTGGGTAATGACGACGGGGTGGTCGGGCGAAACGTCGGTAGCCATGGTGAGGTTGTGCTCGAGGGTCGACTCGTCCCACACAACGTTCATGGCAGCGCCAGAGAGAACGTACGAAGGACGGATGAGGACGGGGTAGCCAACACGGTTGGCAAACTCCTTGGCCTTGTCGAGCGAGTCGGCCTCGACCCAGGCGGGCTGGTCGACACCGATCGAGTCGAGGATCGACGAGAACTTGTGACGGTCCTCGGCGTTGTCAATCTGCTCGGGGTCAGTGCCGAGGACATCGACACCCGACTTCTTGAGGCGGAGGGCAATGTTCTGGGGCAGCTGGCCACCAACGGAAACAACAACACCCTGGGCCTGCTCGAGCTCGTAAATGTCCATGACACGCTCAAAGCCGAGCTCCTCAAAGTAGAGGCGGTCCGCCTCGTCAAAGTCGGTCGACACGGTCTCGGGGTTGTAGTTGATCATGATGGTCTTCTTGCCGAGGTCGCGGATGGCACGCGAGCAGGTAACGGCACACCAGTCAAACTCGACCGACGAACCAATACGGTAGACACCCGAGCCAAGAACCATGGTTCCGTGCTCGTCAAACTCGACGTCGTGGGTCGACGCGTTGTAGGTGGTGTAAAGGTAGTTGGTGTAGGCGGGGAACTCGGCAGCGAGGGTGTCGATACGCTTGACAAAGGGAGTGACACCAAACGCCTTGCGGGCGGCGCGAACCTCGGCCTCAGTCTTGCCGACAAGCTGCGAGATGTGGAGGTCGGAGAAACCAGTCTTCTTGGCGGTGAGGATGAGCTCCTTGTCAATCGACTCGAAGGGGGTGTTCTGGAGCGACTTGTAGACGGCGACAATGTTCTCGAGCTTGTACAGGAACCACTTGTCAATCTTGGTGATGTCGTGGAGGTAGTCGACAGTGTAGTCGAGGTTGAGCATGGCGTGGGCAATGGCAAACAGACGACGGTCGTTGTTGTTGGCGAGGGCAGTGACCATGTCCTCGGGCTTCCAGTAGGCCTCGAAACCGACAAAGTTGGGGTCAACCTGGCGGATAGCCTTCTGGAGCGACTCCTCAAAGGTACGACCAATGGCCATGACTTCACCAACCGACTTCATGGCCGAGCCGACGGTGCGCTCAACGTGCTGGAACTTGGCCAAGTCCCACTTGGGCATCTTGGTGACAATGTAGTCGAGCGAGGGCTCAAAGCACGCGGTGGTCGACTTGGTGACGGCGTTGGGGAGCTCGGGGAGAGTGTGGCCCAGGGCAATCTTGGCAGCAGTGTAAGCCAGGGGGTAACCGGTAGCCTTGGAGGCAAGGGCCGACGAACGCGAGAGACGGGCGTTCATCTCAATGACACGGTAGTCGCGCGAGTTGGGGTCGAGGGCGTACTGGACGTTGCACTCGCCAACAACACCGACGTGGCGGACAATCTTGATGGCGGCGGTACGGAGCATGTGGTACTCGTCGTCGGTAAGAGTCTGCGAGGGGGCAACGACGATCGAGTCACCAGTGTGCGTGCCGAGGGGGTCAAAGTTCTCCATGTTGCAGCAAATGATGGTGTTGTCGGCAGCGTCACGGACAACCTCGTACTCGACCTCCTTCCAGCCCTTGAGCGACTTCTCGATCAGGACCTGGGGGGAGAGCGAGAGCGACTTGGCGGCAAGGTTGCGGAGCTCCTCCTCGTCGTGGGCGAAACCCGAGCCAAGACCACCGAGCGAGAAGGCCGAACGGAGAATGATGGGGTAACCAATCTCGGCGGCAGCGTCAAGGGCGCCCTGGATAGTCGAGACAGCGGTCGACTGGGCGGCAGGAATGTCAATCTCGTTGAGGGCCTGGACGAAGAGGTCACGGTCCTCGGAAACCTCAAGGGTACGGATAGGGGTACCAAGGACCTGGACACCGAGACGCTCAAGGATACCCATCTTGTCGAGCTGGATACCGACGTTGAGGGCAGACTGGCCACCAAAGGTGAGCAGGATACCGTCAGGGCGCTCCTTCTCGAGCACGTAAGCCACATAGTCGGCAGTGACGGGAAGGAAGTAAATCTCAGACGCAAGGTGGTGCGAGGTCTGGATAGTCGCAATGTTGGGGTTGATCAGGACAGTGTCAATGTTGGACTCGCGAAGAGCCTTGATAGCCTGCGAACCTGCACAAATCGTATCAGCAAATGCGCTCACCACCACCGCGGAACAAATTTGCCCCCCTCCATTATCTTTTCCTCGTCGTCGTCCCAAGATAAGAGCAAAAACGCACCAGAGTAGTCAAACTCGCCGGCCTGGCCAATGGAGAGACCACCCGAGCCGACAACAAGGACCTTCTTGACGTCGGGCTTCTCGATCTTGGGGAGAACCTGGGCGGATATCCGGCGAGCAATCTCAGAGGGCGAGTTGAGCGTCGGGCCGTCACCGGGCTGGCTGTAGTTGCCAACGGCGGGCGCAGCGACGGCGTAACCGCGGCGAGCGGCAAGAGCCACCCTGGCGGCGGTAGCGGGGCGCGCGACGGGGCGAGCCACAGCCGCGCGAGATGCAAGCGAGAATGAGCGAAGCATAGCTGGAGAGGTGTGGGGGGGGGATTTGGGTCGAAAGGGGTAGGATTACTCGGTGGTGTTGAGTGAAAAACAGGTTTTTTTTTCGAAGTAACGTAACCGGGTTGGGGAAACGGTTTACTACGAGGAAGAAGATGGGTTGACGATTAAGTCTTTCCCGCTGGCGCTGGTACAGTAAGAGCGCTCGACGAGAACGTGTAGAGGGTGTGGGTGGTTGAACAAGTTGCGCTCGCTTGCAAAAATCACAGTGACTCGGTGTGCTGCCGCCGCCCGCCCCCCCGCGGCGACTCGGCGGCTCGACTGGAGATTCTTTGATAGGGTTCGAGCCAGTCGGTCACGTGACACCACAGTCTCAGTGGCCAGTCAACGGCCCGGGCCATATCCATTGCTTTCTCTCTCTCTCTTGCCTGCGCTCTCCGAGTCGATTCTCGGCCGGACACGGGTGTATGGCGGCGCGTCTGGGCCCTGGCAGCTCCTGGCAGAACACATGCGTGGTGTGGTGTATAGCGTGGTACGATGGATGCCATCGAACATGCCGTCTGCAGTCTGCTGCCACACAGCCTGTGCCCAGATCCACAGATCCACCGATCCAATTCCCGATATAATAAAATCACAACCAAAAACATTAGAGCTGTGGACCCCCCGGTTGCGTTTGCCTTTTGTGCGTTTGTGGCAAAAGTTTCGGTCGCCACACCATGCCAAGCTGCTTCTTTCATCCCAGGGTCCTCTCATCCATCCTGCAGCAACATCCTGGGATGCGGGAGGGTCCTCCTCGGTCTTTGCAGGTTTCCCTTGCACGGTCGCCTGCAGGTTTATCCGTATTTCTCCCCATTTTTTGTGCTTGTCGTCAAAAGTTGGTTGGGTCTGTGGCCCTGTGGATGTAGTTATAGCATGTTGATACAGTAGACTACAATCTATGTGCATGGCATCGGGTGTCCTCCTCTCTCTCTCTCTCTCCTGTGTGTCGTCGCCCCGCGTCTGTCGCCTCCAACCGGTCCGCGTTCATCCCTTGAACTTGAGGGGGTCCACCTTGCGGCCCTTGCCCCTCGAGGCCCCTCCACGGCCGCCGCGGCCACCGCGTCCTCCGCGCCCACCCCCGCGCTTGGCGAAGCCAATGTGTTGGCCATCGGCGACGTCACCCGACGCCGGAATAGCGGCAATGCGGGGCATCAGGTAGCCAGGGACGTGCTTGAGGTGCGAGCTCGAGCGACCGGCGTGCAGCGGCGCGTCGTGGCGGAGGAACGCCAGGTCGAGCGGGTTGGCGGCAAAGTGCTGCTTGAGCTTCTCCGAGTTGAGCAGCTCGCGGCGAACCTCTTCGCGGCGGGCGTCCGACACACGCTTCGCGGTGACCGCACGGAGAGCGTCCTCCATACGGTACCTGAAGCCCTCAATCTCGCCTCGTCGGCCTCCCCAGTCCCACTCCTTGAGCTCGCCGCCGCCCTCCGACTTGACGCGGGCGCGGATGCGGCCAAAGACAAGTTCGTCCCTCTCAGCCGTCTTCAGGCTGACACCCTTCTCCTTGCCCCACTTCTCACGGGGCACAACAAATGACAGGGCGAGACCAGAGTGACCGGCACGGGCAGTGCGGCCAACACGGTGGAGGTAGGCGGTGGCGTTGGTCGGCAGGTCAAAGTTGATGACCGACGAAGCGGCGGTAAAGTCGATTCCACGGGCCATCGAGCCAGCGTTGCCGCGGCGACGCTTGGTGGGGGCACCGGCAGGGGAGCTGGCGCGGCGCTTGGAGGGACCGGCCTCGGCGTTGGTGTCCTCGGGAGACTCGTCCTCTGCCTGCTCGGCCTCCTCCTCAGCCTCCTCCTCCTCCTCGGCCTCGACATCCTCGGCATCGACGTCACCGGGAGCGGCCTCGTCGGTGGCGATGACAACGTCGTAGACACCACGGTTGAACTCTTCGACCACGTGGTACCTGCTCGCAAGGGGAAGCTCCGAGTTGACGACGCAGCACTTGATGCCGAACTGGTCGAGGAAGAGACGCAGGCGGTAGCCACGCTCAATGTCGTTGACAAAGACAATCGACTTGCCCTTGATAAGCTTAAGCTTGAGAAGAACGTAGATGAGGAGGAACTTGTCGCGCTCAGAGGTGTAGGTAAAGTGCTGGGTGAGGAGGGCGGACGAGGTGGCGGGCTCGGACAGAGTCAAAATGGCAGGGTTCCTCAGAACCAGGCCCTTGACACTGTCAATCTCCTCGCTGAGGGTGGCACTCATGAGGCATCCCTGGACACCGAGCTTGGGGACAAAGCCCATGGCCGGGTCCATGATGCGGGTGAGGTCATCCTTGTGGCCGTACGAGAGGAGAAGGTCGGCCTCGTCGATGGCAAGGAAGGCGAGGCGAGTGAGGTCGACGCTCTTGCTCTGCAGCAGAGCAAGGAGCTTGGACGGCGTGGCGACAACGACATCGGGGTTGTCGTTCAGAAGCACACTGTTGTTTTGTCAGCTTTCCAGTTCCACAATAGGCTTTTGAGAAAAGTGGTGGTTGGATAGGTTTGGATCAGAAGGAAGGCAACGGAGGTGTCCACATGGGTTTTGCGCTCTCGGACACGCCCTCGAAAGGGACTTTACATCCGAAAAATGCTTCATCTTGAAAGGTGGGTTTGGGAGGGGGCAAAGATGCCTGCAAGGAAGGAACAAGACTCACCGCTGAACATTGGCGCCGCCGGCAGCGACGTTGACGACAGTCACGAGGCCCTCGCAGTAGGTCGTGATCGACTTGACAAAGTTGGTGACCTGGATCGCGAGCTCGCGGGTGGGGACCAGAACCACTGCGCGAGTGGCCTGGTAGTCTGGGCTGGCAGGGGTGGTAGCCTGTAGGATTTGTTAGAAACTGGCCTCCATCCTCGCACCCAAATTCTTCACGAAAGTACTCACGCCCTTCAGCTCCAGAACGCGCTGCACAGCAGGCACGCAGTAGGCGGCAGTCTTGCCGCTACCAGTACGAGCGCGGGCGAGGACATCCTTGCCCTCGAGGAGAAGGGGGATGGCCTTGGCCTGCACAAGAGTCGGGTGGGCAAACTTCTGGTCGGCGAGTGCACGGAGGACACGCGCGTCCAGAAGAGTGCTGAATGGGGGCGACGCAAAGGTCAGCTCCGAGCTGGAGACGGGTTAGCACATGGTGTGTATAAGAGAGAGAGAGAGATGGAGGGAGAAGAGATGAACGTACTCGAGGAGGGCATCAGAGACGGTGGGTGCCATAGTGGCCCGTCAATGGTGGATAGAGTGCGAGTCCCCCATTTCTGCACCAAACGTCTCGGCTCTTATAAAATTCCAGAGCGTCCACAGCGGCGCGAGCGCGTTATCACGAGGTTTTTAGAAATGACACGTCATGGAGGTGTTCGACCGCGCGTTTTTGCTTTTCTGCTGCTTTCAGAAGGGCCCAGAAGGAGCAGGTGGCAGCAGGTGGCAGCAGGTGGCAGCGCACCCTGCATGCATTCTGCTGCCAGGTAGCAGTCCATGGTCCATGTGCATGGACGCCAGACCGCCAAGGTCTAATTCATCGGCCGTTGGGTAGGAAAAGGTACTTTGATAGCAGGGTCTACATCAGACCCAACTTGCTTCGTCCCCTTATAATCTCCGCACTTTCACCTCGGTGTGCTCTTCTGTCTACTCGACGAGACGCAGCAGGAGCGGCATCTGCAGCCCAGCCTCCTCTTCCCCAACAACACGGGGGCGAATCACAATGTTGGCCTTGTGCTCAATGACAGGCTTGCTAGGCAGCGTTTCGATCTCGAACGAGCGCGCCAGCATCTGGGGATAACGTCAGCAGGGAAGGCACAAAAAACTCTTAATGTCTCACGAAGAGAATGGCCTTGAACTCGGCGAGGGCAAAGCGGTAGCCACTGAAAAGGCGTTAGCAGGTGGAAAAGACAAAGTCCACATACATGCAGTTGCGCGGACCACCGAGAAAGGTCATGAGGCTGCCGTAGACGCCGGGGACGGGCTCCTTGGGGAAGCCACCGACGTCGAAACGGTCCGGGTTGAACTGGTCCGCGTCGGGACCCCAGACGCTCTCGGAGCGGTTCACGGACATGATGGGAATGGCAATGTCGCACCCCTTCTTGGCGTTGATGCTGGTCATGATCGTGCCGTCCCGCCCGATAATGGGGATGGTGAGCGGGATGACCATGTCCCGCGCTGCCATGCGTTCCGTCGACGGGACAGGACCGTCATACCGGAGGACCTCGTGCGTGACCTTGTCGAGATATGGCAGGGCGTTGAGCTCATCGATGCCTGGCTGGTCGCTGTCGACGGCGCTGCATTCTGCACGGAGGCGCTTTTGGATGTCTGGGTGCTGCGATAGGCGATACACGGCCCAAGTGAGTGCCGTCGACGTGGTCTCGTTGCCGGCCAGCATAAACGTGGTGATTTGAGCGAGCACCTCGTCATCGCTCATCTTTTGGTCAGGACGAAGGTCAGGCGCCATGTTGGCCTTCATGAGAATCGACAACAGGTCCTTGCCCATGTCGGTCTTCTTCTCGATATCGCCACTGTACTCGGCCTGGATCTGGCGGCGTTTACGATGTACGATATCGCGGCCAATGCCGCAGCACAGATCGTAACATTCCTTGATGATCCTGGCCGACTCGGTAGGAATGACCTTGAGCACAGGGAACATGATCTGGAGAACGCGTAACGGCTTGATCTGTTGTCCAAGGGAGAACATCCTGCTAAACGCTGTGGCTAGGGGATTGTGGCCCTGGCCGATAGAGTTGAACTCGTAGCCAAAGCCTGCAGAACCGATAATGTCCAGTGCCGTCATGGCAATGTATTTTAGCATGTCCACCTTGCGGGCTCCGGGCACAATGTCCATTGCCACTGGCGGTGTGGGAGACGCTTCCTCGTTGGAAGGGTCTTCTATCAAGCTGAAAAGCTTGGCCTTGAGCTCGTAGGTCTTCTCCCACATGATCGGCAGCATGTCACTATAGCGTTAGAATGGCGCAGGTGCAACCGAACAACGTACCGGAGGGCCGCTGGGCCAAACGCCGGGTTCATGATCTTGCGCTGGCGGCGGTGGTCGGCGCCTTCCGCAGTCAGAATGCCATCGCCAATCATCTCCTTGAGCGTCCTGTTGGAGCGCTCCGGTTTGATAAAGTCATCCGAATGCTGCAGGATAAACGAGAGTCCACCGGGATCGGCAGTGTACAGGCGTATCGTGCCGAAGACGGAGTGGAAACGATGGGTCGGTCCATATTCGGCGGTCCACTGGGTATGGCGTTCACCAGGCTTGGACTGCAGCACGTCCAACAGGCTGCCCCACAAGAAGCTTGACCGAGGTGGCCCAGGGACATTGCGGTAGGAGAGGGTGTACTCTGTGTATGGCCAGTTGTAGACATAGACCCACAGTAAGAAGAGGGCGATGCCGATTAGGATACGGCCGTAGATGGGAACGCTAGCCAGCAAGCCACCGATTACGGTGAACGGCGCAGACAGTGTCGTCATCGTTCTGTGCGGGTTAGACTAGGGGGGAATACAAGCACTTGCAGCGGCGGGTATCACCTTATGTAGTCATAGAGAGGAAGGCAATGAGATGGATGTCTTGCTCCAACGTGGGGTGGTCGTAGCCGTCGGTCGCCGAGACGATGGTGCGATGGCGCGATGACGGCGCGGTCATTCCTATGTGGTTCGATGGCCCGATGTTTCGCGGTCTGGAATTAACGCGCGTTACCCAAGTTGCCGGGGGTACGCGGGTGCCTCGTCGTAGTATGAGCTAATCACGCACACGGGCAACCCAAAATGACCGCCCCGCCGCCATCATCAAGCGTGCCGAGCGGCCGAACAACTCTCACGATGACCATTTACTGGACATGCAAAACTCTTGGTGCATCATTTTGTTGGTTTATCTGCTGTGTGGCGCTGATCTGCCATGTCACTCCACCTCGTGTGTCACCCACAGGTGCGAGGGCTCGACCAGGCCAGGTAGGCACACCAGGAACGCGCAATGATACATGAATGCTGTCTAGATTACAGCAGCGACAAGACAGAACGACGAAGCATAGTCTACCGCGACCGTCCCTAATGGCGTCACTGCCGGTTTATAAAATGTTGGTGCGCGGATCCCCCCACTACTCAAAGGCAAATGAACGGCGTCACTCTACACCGCCTGTGTGCTGTCCGGGCTGACCAAGTCGGCCTTTTTGTTGCGAGACCAGAAACGGCGGCCGGCGGCCTTTGTCTTCTCTTTGCGGGCAGCAGCCCAGAGGATGACCTACCGTAAGCATGTGAACACGGTCGTTGAAACCCCCTAGAACAACTCACAGAGCTTCCAAACGTCACAATAGCGTAAAAGGCAAAGACAGTGGGGATCGCCGCAACGGCGTCGATGGAATTGTACATTGGATTGGTTCCACTGTCTTCGCCAGTTGCGGCGAAGCGGTCAACGTCGACGGCATCCTTTGGGCCAATGTTGAGAAGACCGAGAAGGGCAAGAACAATACCAAAGAGGATTTGCATGCCGTTGACGACGTATTGCGCCAAACCCTCAAAGTGGTAGCGCGTGAGGGAACGGAAAGCGCAAAGGATCAAGACAACGCCCTAGAGTCAGCGACTGCAACGCAAACGTTCCGACTCACAGCCGCTGGGAACAACCATCGGGCTCCACTGTATGCGCCGTTTGCCAACTGGCCCACGTCTGAGAAAACAATGTTTGATAACTCAGGATAAAGAGCGTCGTCCACGGGGTTGGTGGTGTTGCTGCTCAAGAGCACGTAGTAGTCGCCCCATACGTCCTTTGGGATATCCACAGCGGCACTCTGCCCGTCAGCTGGGAAACGCCAGTCGCTGGAGAGATACGTACTTGAGCCGAACTGACGACGATTTGAAGCAAGTATTGGTATTCCAACACTGTGAAGTTGTCCACTCCTGGTTGATCCACAACGGTCATGTTCTTGGTTTGGTCGATCAGATTGACCATGGTTTCGTACTGAGTCTGAAAGTCGGGTACAAGGTCAATCCGAGACAAAAAATTGGAAAGACGGCCCAGCCTGACGCTGTCGAGCCTCTGGCCTGTCGCTGCGTAAGTGTTGATTGCGGTTCCAAACTCATTCACAACATCGAGCAAGGCGTCGCCCCAGGCGGTGATAGTGACAACGTTCTGGAATTTAGTTCTGGAAAAACTCAAAGCAACGAGGGAGCACTCACGACGAGGCTTGCCAACAGAAGCAGCAGGCAGAATAGGAGCGGCAAGTGAAGCAGCTCCCACACCCAAGAGCGACCCGCGTCGACTCCATCGTCCTTGTCAAAATGGGAGAAGAAGAATCCCCAGATGAAGTACAGGATACTGATGACCAGGAAGACGTGGGCATAGAGGGACCCGTCCTTGTAGCCAATACCGGCCAGAGCGTTCTGGAAGGCCTTGGTGACACCCACAAACCCCTCGCCACTGCATGTCAGCTGCTGATATCACACGCATGGCCCTCACAGCATGACTAGGGTCAGGGAGCCAAAACACTCGCTAACATCCGCAGGGCGTGCCGGGATCTGGAACCCAAGGACGACTTGGCCAAAGGACGATACGATTTCCCAAAAGATGCCCAAATAGAGGATGGCGATCTTGACGCGACACCTGACGTCTGTTGTAGCAGGAATAGAAGCCGCAATGATCCAGGCTACAGCACTGATGATGAGGCTGATGATAGGATACAGAATGTGGCGTCTGGGGCGACCGACCTTGTGACCAGCGAACATGACTTTTGGGAGATCAGCATGGCCCCCCACCAACGCTTTCAAGCTCACCAATGGTGTACTGAATGATCAGCATGACACGCAGAGCCAGGCCAGAAAGCACGACGGTCAAGAAACTTGAAGTGGCTTGATCTGAGGTGTCAGTCAACGGACTGTGGAAAAGATGTGCTCACCATGCGTAGAAGCGTCGTCTTCGCTGATTCCAGGGATCGATTCCCACTCGCGGATGTTTGCGAGATCCCAGCCACCGCTGGACGCGCCGACATAGACGAACACGCATATAGTGGCAAGTCGGAAGAGACGGTGGAGCTTGTCGTCGGCCTCGTAACGGATGACGTAGGTGGTGTGGGCATACCACATCGAGAAGATGATAATGTAATATCTGCAGTCTGTGAGCATGGTTCATCTCAACTTCGCATTTGGACTCACGCGAAGAAGTTGGGAATCTTCTCGGGGCTCTTGAGTTCGTGGTCCTTTCCGAACGCGGTGAGGACGGCAACGACCGCAAGATCTACCACCGTCAGCAACCACAAACCTCAAGACAGACTGCGACTTGCCCTGGAAGAGAGGCATCCACTCGTTCATCTTGTGTTCCTCGTGGTGCCATGGTCCCTCTGGATCGCGCTCGGGCTTGTGGAGAAGGGGAAGACTCTGAACTGCCTTGGGGACGCGCTTGCGCATGATACGCTTGTTCCAAGGGAGTGCCGTTGTTGTTGCCGTCACCTGTGCGTCGCTCGAGCTACCGGGGCGTCAGTAACAGTTGTAACGGCCGGGTCTGTGCCACTCACACGTTGCTACCACGGAGGCGGAGGCCCTCTTTGGACGGCGACGACGGCAGAACATCTGTATAGGGCATGCTGCCTGGGCTGCCCTTCTCGGGCGCGGTCGCGGGCAGTTGCTCGCCGGGGGACTCGGCGGAGGTGGCGGGGGCGAGAGCTGACATGGCGTGGTGTTGACCAGAGGTAGCGTCAGTAAGTAGCGGTCTTGGCGCCAGCTGCTGAGGCTGGTGGGGAGACTGGGGGTGTGCTTCCCGGCGGGGGGTTGTGTTTGTTGTGTGCTGGATATTGGGCAAGACGACTTGTAGGCCTTATATGGGATGTCCGCAGACAGCCAGCTGTCAGCAGGGAGGGCGATGGGGCATAGGATGGAGTGGCTGCAAAAGTCTGAGCGACAGGATATGTATGAAAGCACGAAAGATGTATCTCGATGGGGCAAAAGTGGTTGCGGTGCAGCACTGGTGCGCAACGGGAAGAGGGGGATTCTTGGCGCGATCCACCTCCACCATACCCACCTGCCGCTCGCAGGATCGCAGGATCGCAGGATCGCAGGCTCGGCCGTGGCCCTGGACACAACATAGGTACATATGATGATATCCTCGCTTCCGTTTGGCTGGGCGAGAGGGGGCCCGTGGTGACTCTGGTACTCTGGCCTCGGGCCTGCTGCAGATAAGGTGGGGTGGTTGGAATGGCCGGCAAAAGCGGGTGAATTGAATTCATGTGTCACCTCGGGTCTTTGAGTAGTCTTATACACTACGGTAAAAGAGCACACGTAGACCACGGGAGCCACTTCTCGGTACACACTGCGTACACTGCCGTCCGTACCACCCACAACGTACAGAGTACCCAGCCCGGACTTGTGGATTGTCGTCAACCTTTTTTGGATCTAGCGTTTGGCTTGGCAAGAGGTTTCAACAGTGGTGGCGTTGTGACAGTGTGGCATGTGTGGCTTGGAAAGACGAAACGTTCGCCTCGGCACAGGCGAACATCGGCGAGATCGGCGAGCGACAATAATACGGTGATGGCTTGCAAGCTCGCAAGGAGCGTTTGCCACGTCCTGGGCACAATTAGCCATAGGAGCGACAATGTCGTATACACGTGCATGTGGGTTCACGATATATAAGAATGGCGCATTTTCAACTCGCGTTCGTCGATGGCCCCAAGGACCTCCATGACAGTCTTGCTACAACAGGGCAACCTGAGTGCCACCTTACTTGGCGGGCATGTACTTCTGGAGCCAGCCGATGAGCTCCTCGGGCTTGTCCGGGAAGTAGTTGTAACCGTCAAACCTGCGGGTAGTGCCCTCGATCCAGAAGAGCTTCTTCTCTTTGCAACCAATGAGGTCGTAAATCTCCTGGGTGTCGAGCTCGGCGTCGACAAAGACATCCTTCCGAACCTGAGCAATGAGGGTAGGGACGTGAACCGAGGGGCAGGCAAACTGCGGCTCGAGCTGGCTGGCACGGAGGCCGTGCTCCTCATATACACCCTGGTCGAAGAGCTTTGCGGCCTCGACACCGTCCATGCCCTGTGCCTTGGCGCCAGTAATGACAAAGGTCTTGGCCGAGACAGGCTGGAGAGCGACAAGACACTTGATGTCCTTGAAGAACTCGGGGTAGCGGTGGAACGCGACAATGGTCGAGTTGGCAGCCATGCACCGGGCATAGAGGGCAATGTCCATGTTCTTGGTCTCGGGACGAGCCTTGGCGTACTGCAGGGCACCGACCATGTCCTTGCTCTCTTCGTAGCCGGTGGTGAAGACACGGGGACCGCCCCAGTTGTTCTGCGAGCGCCCGTGGTTGCGCATGTCGTACACTAGGACGTTGTAGCCGGCCTTGTTCAGGTGAACATAGTCGGGAATCAAGTTGACTTCGATAGGACCAAACATGTCAAAGCCGGGCTGACTGCCAGGGTAGCCTCCCTTGTTGAAGGTCATGGGGTGGTTGGAGATGACCAGCTTGTTGCTACCCTTGCAGGGAATGTACCAAGCCTCAAGCATAACACCGTCATAGGCAGGAAAGTAGACAGTCTCGTACTCCAGTCCTCCGTCAGATGGGAAGCGCTGAAGCGGAGTGTTACGGGCCCCATAGCAGAAGAACTGGACAGAGTTAGAGAGAACCAGAGATATTTGCCTCACTTTGACTTGGCCGGCAACAAACTCCTTGATTTTCTGGTCGGACGACTGTGACGGTCAGCAGTGTCCGTGTGGAATATAGCTCACCATTGTTGTTCAGTAGTGGGATGTATTGGCTGACTTGGCGAAATGAGAGGTGAGGAATTAGTGATAAAGCGTCCCCATCTGACCACTCTTTATACACCGCTCCCGCTGGGCATGCTGGCATCGTGTCGGCCTTGTCTGGTGGAGGGTGTGGGCTATGATGAACGCGATGTCAGTGCATGGCAATGGTGTGGAGACACGCCGACGGTCCTCCACCCAAAGAGATCGCAGAGAGCACTCTCTGGGCCCGTCGGTCCTCCACATGTAGATCACGTGACGTCGGTCATGTCCGCTGGTCACTGGTACCAATGCCCTCTCCACACCACCACTAGCGACCCCCTTGTGTCTTCACTGCACTGTCACTCGCTACCGCTTGCCATCTCGTCGCTCGCATCGGAACATGCCTGCTCCATTACATGGCTGCCCGTTGGCCCCAGAAAAGAGAAAATATCACCTCCACAATGCGGCCAGCGGCCAGCGGGCTTCTGCCTTACCCAACGTTTCATCGTCGGGGCTGGCGAGTTCCTAATCAGTTCTTGGGCAGTACATTATACCCATCAATGCCTCCACCTACCGCAACATACTCCAAGGTACAGAGGACTCGACCATTCTTCCACTGGCCACTGGACCACACTGTCAGCCCAAACATGGAGCTGACGGGAGGACATAATGTCCAAGGTCCGTCCGGTCCGCGTCATGGACCCAATATTTCATTGCCAACCTTCTTTCGGGTGACATATGTACTCTTGGTCCACACCTTCCAACCCACAGCAGCCAGTTTGGAGAAGGACCGGGTTTTATGAGTAGGGAACCCCAGAAAGCCATTCGGAGAGCGATCGCGATGACGACCCTGGCAGTTTGAGCGGTCTATGGTGTGCCACCTCACGTTTAAAACTTAAACCACAATAATCCTGGAATAATTTTAAAACATTTTGAGACTTTACAGTACTTACGCACTACACTCAAGTTTGTTATTATAGGGCTGCGTTTCGCTGGATGGGCGGGCTTCTGGCCGAATCAGAACACTGAAAATGGGTTTCGGGTACACCCAGGCGCCAGTAAAGTTCTGTTTAAAGTGTGTGGCGAATACGGCCCGCCCTCTGCTCTCCCCCCCCGCGGTCCACTTGAACCACCGACGCATGTCCGGGCAGGAACTATAATGAAACTCAATCATTCTGGGGACATGTTTAGAGGAAATTTGTCACCAACATCCATCGTCTCTCAAGCACATATATAACGGAGCCCTCGGTCGGACGGAATGAAGATCATCAAACACGACTGCCTTCAAGTACTCTACCACTTCTCCTAATCTCGACTTGATCAACGTCACACCGAGCGGCTCCTCGACATGGGTTCCCCTTGTGACGAGGATCGTCCAGTCTCGCACTGGTCGGTGTCTACTCTTTCGTTGCACTCTCAGTCCACTGCCATGCGTAGGACGTCGGTGTGGGGCAGGCTCTCATTTCGCCACTCTGGCCGAGACTCGACAACATCCCCACCGGACAAGTTGATGAGGCATAGCACTCCTTACTACCCCAATTCTTCCAACCGTAGCTCATTATTATCCCTTTCAGGTGCATCGTCCATCTCGAGTAACACTGGTGTAAATGGCCACGACGACGAGGTAGTTCACCTTCGCTGGCCGCGACACGCCACCTTGGCCAAACTATCCGGTCGCTCCTGTTCGGAGTTTGAACCCTTCGTCGAGTCCCAGCACGAGTCGCCGCTGCCCACGTCCTTCCACGGTTACCCCGAGTACTGCATAGGAGCCGTGGGGTCTATTCCTCCTGCCCGTCCCAAGCGCACGGCCGACACATATACCATTCGCAAGCCCACATCGTCCTTGTGAACAAACACTCCACACGTCACATTTCACGACATTATGACCCTCACACGAACCTTTATGACTCCACACTCGTATCCGGTATCCATTTACGCCTTTAACGCAATCCTTAACGCCCCCACCAAACAATTCCTACTCTACACCTTGGCCCCCGACACTCGTTTGCCAATCCACCACGCTTGACGACATTTCATGGCATTTCACGAATTTAACGCCCCCCACGCTCTTTAGTATCCACACGCAACAGCACAACGACCTACTCTTTTACGAACAACCCATGCACTTAACGGCCCAACACGGCACGCTATCTTATGAACAACACTCTGCGGCGGCCTCGCCCCTCGGTGGCTGTAACATACCTTTCAGGATGTTTCTGTCGTTGGATGCACAGGCTGGCTTGACGACCCAGACAGGGGGATATAGCGGATAATCATTCACCCTAATAACCGGTCCATGAAACATAGTGAAACACTAATAGACTCAGTTCTGGCGCTACCTGTATAGTACGGGACCGAACTGGCCTCTCACGAGGCCAGCGGTTCGAACCTCAGTTGCAAGTATTTCTGGGGCGCGTTCAAGTCTCTCTCTCTTCTTATTATTAGGTGCGCAATTTACCACCTCTGGCCTCTGGGATTTGCATCATTTGTCCCCTTCTTAATGGTACATGCTGTCCCCTTCCCCACCCACCAGTTTTGCCAAGCCAGAGCTCCAGAGCCTTTGGCACCGGCTGTGCAGATGCCATCGCACCTCGAGGTGCGAATTGGAACAGGATTATACATTTACGTGCCTGGCCAATTTTATTAGAAGTCCGTTTCAAATCACGGCGGCGGCAATTTCCGTAAAGTTGGGCCCCGCCCGTCAACAGGACAACAGTGATCTCTCGTTCTCTCATACACACATACTCCACCCGACATGACCGACCCACCGGCCTTCCTCTCGTTCCCGGAAATCCTTGGAGGTGGCGGCGGCACCGACGCCGGCTCTTCCAAGGCGGTCCCGTCGTTCTCCTCGTTCCCGGATGTCGACTTGGGCGAGGGGAGCCGGTCCAAGGCGAGCAAGGACAAGGCCCGCTCCAGCGACGACCGTGAGCGCCGAGGTTCGCGAGATGTCGCCGGGAAGAAGTCTCGCGAGAGGTCACCCGAGAGAGCTGGTAACCGCGGTGACCGCGAACGTGACCGTGACCGCGATCGCGATCGCGCAAGAGACAGGGAACGCGACCGTCGCCGGACCGACCGCGAACGTGAAGGCGAACAACGCAGGGGAAGCCATGAGCATGAGCGCGAGAAGGCCCGCGACAAGGACCGCACTCGAGACAGAGATGAACGAGACCGACGCCGGGATCGCGAGCGCAAAGACCGAGACCGATACAGGGAAGACGACCGGGACAGTGATCGGCGGCGACGCGACGACCGGGATCGCGACCGCCGTGACCGCAGCCGAGAGCGCGGCCATGGGTCAAGAAGAGACCGGGACGAGAGGGCCAAGGAAAAGGAGGAGCAGCGTGCTCGCGAGCGCAGGGCTGCTGAGGCGCTCCGGTCCGAACAGCCGGTCAAGAACGACGACGGCGCGGGGTGGTACGAAGACTCGTCCAAGTCACGGGGAGGCTACGAGGAGCCGTTCGATCCAGTAGGTTGTCGAGACGCTGTCGCTGCTAACACTCCAGACATCAGCTAAGGTGTCCTTTGTCGACACCGCGGGAGACCGCGATGTGATCCGATATGGCGCAACGTCTTCATTTGATGCACCACGGTATCGCCGCGATTTCGGTAAGCTGTCGGTCAAATGAGGTAGCTGACGGCAGGTGGACGTGTCCTTGGACTCTCCGAAGGAATGCGCATCGTCTATTCAAAGGACAGAAGTTCAAAGGGTCTTGAGATTGCTCCGTTGGGCAGGATAGCTGTAGGTGCTTTCTCGCCTGATATGCCGCTGACCTGCGAGCTTCCTCGGTACTCTGCCCGCCCTCTTCACGGTTCCTCGCTGTCACGCATCGTGCTCAGGCCCAAGACGGACGGGTCTGACTTGACCGAGTCGTTCACTCCGTTTGACACAGCTCCACGACGGGTCGCAGACGACATGCCGGCCTATCGCGCCATCACAAAGGATGACGACGGCAGCGACGAGGAGATGCTTGCCATCCAGGCTTCACTGGGACAGGTGTCCACTGTCGAGGAAGACATCAAGGCACAGACAGTCGAGAATGAACGCCACCTGAGGGCCAACCTCACCGATATCGAGCGCTGGATCAAGTACTCGACCTTGCACCTGCAGCTGTCGCCCGAAGCTTCACAATCGAGTGCGTTTGTGGACCCGGCCAAGCAGCCGACGACTCGCGCCAACGCCGAGGTCACCCTGTCCATTCTGGCCCGCGCGCTTGAGGCACACCCAGACAACTTTACCTCGCCTGAGCTGCACATTGCCTACTTGCGGGCTGCCGAGGTATTCTGGCCGTCTACCAAGGTAGCAGAGCGGTGGCAGAACGTTCTCCGAGGGCTGGCCTCGAGTCGCGTCCCGGAAGAGAACATGATGCCTCTTTACCTCGCCTATATCGAGTGGCGCGAGGGCCAGGGCTTTGGACAAGCGGACGAAGGTGGCGGTGTGGATGAGGTCGTCGAGGTATACACCGAGTGTCTTGAGAAGCTCAAAAGCGGGGAAGACGGTGAGTTGTGCTTCGCTCCCGCGACCCTAACTCTACAGTTGTCAATCATGAAGCACGGGAGGAGAACCAAGTGTATCTTTTCCTCCGCGCATGTCTGTTCCTAAAGCAGGCTGGCTATTCGGAGCGTGCGCTTGCGGTTTTCCAAGCACTGATGGAAGTGTGAGTTGGCAAACTCTGGGAATTCCTCGCTGACAACAGCACGTTCTTCAAGCCCAACCACCTCCGTCCACCGGCGCCGCCCTTCGATCGAGAACTGTGGTTTACTGGAGTGCTTCAAGAGTTTGAGGACTTTTGGGACTCGGAGGCGCCCCGCATTGGCGAGACTGGAGCCAAGGGATGGAAGGAGACACACGCTTCTACGGAGGATGCTCCGATCCCAACCTCTGAATCTACCGCAGCGACGACCAGTGCCTCGGACTCTTACATCCGTTGGCTTGAAACGGAGCGTCATGCCGAGAAGGCTTATGAGCTCCCTGGCCGCGCTACAGACCTTGACGGGCCTGAGGATGACCCGTTCCACATCATTCTCTTTGGAGATGTGTCTCCGTTCCTCTTCCCTGTGCAAACGCCAAACGCCCGCCTACAACTCATTTACGCCTTTTTCAACTTTTTGGGGCTGCCCTTCACTCCACCCGACGTGCCGACTGCCTCAGCGTCGGCTACCGACCCTCACTTGAGATGGACCATGACCGCCAATGAGTCCTTGCGAGCAGCGTTCTGGCCCCAGCGGCCCTCAAGGAAGCGTATCGCGTGGCAGACTGTCGGAGGCGAGCCCATGGAACCCGAGCAGGCCCGCTCGGCTGCCAACCCTTTCACCTGTCCCGTCAAGTCCTGGATCTCTGACCGTGGCACGCTGTTTGCCCACAACTGGTTCCGTGACCTCGACGCAATGGACCTCACGCACGTTAATGTGGATGTGGCTCGCAACGTCCTCACCATGCTTCGTCCACTTGTGCCTGACCCAACCTTTGTGCTGGCCACATTTGCGTTTGAGGCAGCGCTGTCGTCCAAAGCGTAAGTTGAATCCTTCACTCTTCAGCTGACATTCAGTGCCGTCAAGGTCGCAAAGAATGTACTCTCAGCTGACCGTGACAACCTCGCACTGTGGGACGGTTACGCTCGCCTGGAGCGTCAACGCAGCAAAGTCGGTGCCGCCCGTCAGGTCTATGTGACCGCTATCCAGGCCGCCGAGCAGCACGCTCTTCGGGACGGAGCCCAAGTCGAGGACCTGCGCCTCGACCAGAATGAACTGTGGGCAGCATGGGCCGAGATGGAATGGGAAGAAGGCGACGGGGACCGGTGCTTGGAGGTGCTCGTCATGGCAGCGGGAGCGCAGAGGGGTCGACTTGGTATGTACTCGATGATGGCCTTGCTGATGCCAGACGGATCCGCCGACCCGAACCACCAGGCTTCAACACCGCCACCGGTTGCCATGCTCAAGGCCAAGCAGGTAAGCTCGGCGACGTCGGGACATAAGCTAACACGCAGCATTACGCCGCGGTCATGTCAGACTCGCCCAGTTCCCTCACTCTGGCGACCTTGTTCGTATACCTCACGGATGGTATCGAGGCCGCCCGTGACCGTCTCGAGAACCTGATAGCCTCGCTCCCAGACGGCCACCCGCAAGCGGAGGAGACGTACCAGCTTTTGGTCAAGGTTATCCACATCCATTGCTCACGCAACCCGTCACCTGCGTCCCTGGCCCGTGATGTCTTGGAGCGTGCAATCGCCGCGTTCCCGAACAACACCGAGTTCCTCTCCCTGTATCTCTGGGGTGAGACTGGTGGACGGGTGTATGGGCGTATCCAGCGGTTAGTCACCGACCTCACAAGTGACGGCCACGGCATTGTGGCGCTCCTGTGGTCCGTCTGGGCCGAAGCGACCACCGCCGGCCGATCGTTCTGGGAAGGTGGAGGTGCAGAGCGTGTGCGCCGTGCTCTGGACCGCGGTATCAACACGTCCACCGGCAAGAGCTCGGCTGCGCTGTGGGTGCTGTATATCGAGTTTGAGACGCTCACGGAGAAGCCTGCGTCCGCCAAGGCGCTGTGCTACCGTGCCATTGCGGCCATCGGCGGCTGTAAAGGTAAGCTTCAAACGCCCGGCTGCGGCTGAAGCTGACAAACAGACCTCTACCTGCTCCCATTCTCTCCAACCCTCCGACCTCACTTTACATCGCGCGAGCTACGTGCCATGGCGGAGCTCATGGTCGAGCGGGGTATCCGAACCCGAGTGCCGACGGAGGCGTTTTGGGACGACGGAGACACTGAGGTGGAGGGCGACGAGGACGAGGACGAACATGGCGCTGGTGGTGACTACGAGTACGCGATGCTGCGCGACCGTGAGGAGCTCAAGCCATACTAGAGACCCATCATCTGTCGATGCATATCCCTCGTGAGGCGTTGCTGCCGTGTTGCCATTTTGCCCCGCTGCGGTGGTGCCACCACCCTGGGATGGCCTGGCCACGGTCGATTAGTTCGAATTCGCCACCCTGCCACGCGTCACGACGCGTTGCTTCCGTCTCCATGTCCACACGCCAGAAGCGGGTCATCCACAAGACATCTCATGTCCCATCTCTTTTGATCACTGCGCCATCCGTCTCCAATGACACGCACACAGCACTACTCACACCCCACCACCGCCTTCCCCGTCTACTGCCTCGACTGGACGGCAGACTCCACCGTCCTCCTCGGCGGCGGAGGCGGCGCGAGCCGCAGCGGTATCGCCAACAAGCTGGTATGTTGTCCTTGCCACCGCCCCAACCACCTGTGCGCAGTGCCCATGGGGCGGGATTGTGCCTCGCCCCCGTCTGTCATGTCCATCTTATCCCACACCACCACCACCACCACCATCATCCCTCGTTCCGACTACCTCTCCCATCCTCCTGCCAGTGTCGTTACTGCAGTACTGACCACCCGCCCTCCAGAAACTGTGTTCCGTCTCGGCAGATGGAACCAAGGTCGACGATGTCGCGGAGATTGCGCTGTCGAGCGAGGAGGACGCGCCCATGACGATTGCGTTGGACCGTGCCGTGCGTATCTGTCGCCTCGCTGGCGCCTAGGCGTGGAGCATCGCAACGGCACATAGCAGGAGGGTTTACTGATTGCTTCGTACAGTCTGAGCAGCTCGTGACGGGCATCAACCAGAGCAGCTCGAGCATCCAGGCGGGAACGAATGGGCAGGCCAGGGTGTACTCGTACACTGACAACGAGTGAGTCGGGGTTGGGTTGCCAGCCCTCTGTGTGAGAGGAAGCGTGGATCCACTGGGCTGGGGCTTTGTCGCAGCCGAGTCTCGCTTAGCAGCACGCTAACCACCAGACTGTCCCATGTGCGATCACAACAGACGATCCATGCCGAGTGGTCAGACGACTATCCTTACCAGGTAGGTGCCGTGACCGCCCTTTCACCCACTCGGACCTAGACTAACGTGCAGAAACTCACTGCGCTCTCCCGCGGCAAGAAGACTGCCTTTGTGGCTGTCGGCACGACGGACAACAAGGTCGCCGTCTTGCGTTTCCCTTCGCTCGAGATTGCTCTCGAGCCGTTTGCGGTGGAAGGTGGCGACCTCGTTGACCTTGACTTTGGAGGGCCATATGGTTCATGGGTGAGCTGACAAGCCCCTGAAATTCCCAGCTGACATTAGCTCGCGGTGACGACGGCGTCCAAGGTGGACGTGTACGACCTCGAGGACGGCGAAAAGCCCCACCTCGAGCTGCTGCACAGCATCTCTACCCCTTCCATTGACGGCCTGAGCCTGTCCTTCCGCTCGGCACGGTTCGCGCCCGCCGCCCAGCCCCCAGCGTCCGCCAGCAGCTGCCCGGGCATCTACGCCGTCCTCAACAGCGCGGCCCCTGCCCGCCGTGATCGCGGAAAGGCCCGCAAGGCCTTTGTGGTGCGCTTTGACGCCACGTGCGAGGAGAGCGGACCATCACAGGACAGCGAGGATGAAAAGCCGGCCAAGGTCAAGGGCGTCCAGTGGGCCGTGGGCGCCAAGCGCGAGGTCGCGTCCAAGCCCGTGACCGTGTTTGATATCAGCAGCGACGGCAAGCTCGTCGCGTTTGGATGCTCGGACCTGAGTATTGGAATGCTCGATGCGTCAACCCTTGCTGTAAGCTGACGTCCATCTCGAATGCTGTAGCTAACAGCCCACAGCCTCTCCTCAAGATCCTCCAGGCACACTCGTTCCCGCCTACGGCGCTCAAGTTCAACCCGTCCGCCACGATGCTGGTCAGCGCCAGCGCGGACAACACGATCCGGACGGTGGTCGTTCCGTCAAGCTTTGGTGGCGGTGAGTCAGCTCACTGTTCGATTGTGGCAACCAAGCTGACCCTTGTTTTTCAGCCTCGTCCTCGGCCGTCGCGATCATCCTTGCGATCCTGATCATTATCATTGCCATCCTGCTGAGTAAATAATGATCTATGATGACTATGTTACGCAAGACACTCTATGTACATCCCGGGCGTCCCAACGTATGTTACTTGTCCCTTTTGTTGCTCTGCTCTCTGCTACTGCGCGCCGCACGTCCGTCCAGTACTCTGGCGCGTGCGCGCTTTCGTTTTTTGGTATTTTTTGGATACTGTGTTTTTTACGCCCCTTTAAAAGTTGGAGATGTACTCGGCGAGGGCCTTGACCGACTCGAGGGTGACGGCGTTGTAGAGGGAAGCACGGATGCCGCCGACGGAGCGGTGGCCCTTGAGCTGGCGGAAGCCGAGGGCCTCGGCGCCGTCGAGGAAGGCCTTCTCCTTGCCCTCGCCGACAATCTCGAACGTAATGTTCATCCACGAGCGCGCGAGCTTTTCGCGCACGACGCAGCGGACAGTGCCCTTTGCCTCTGCGGCGTCGAGGGCGGCGTACAGCGTCTCGGCCTTGGCGCGGTTGGTGGCCTCGATGCCCTTCATGCCGTCGCGCTCGGCAACAAGGTACTCGAGGACGAGGGCCGAGACGTAGATGGGGAACGTGGGCGGGGTGTTGTACAGCGAGCCGTTGTCGGCAAGGGTCTTGTACTCGCTCTGGATGGGGACGGCGGGAATGTTGCCGAGCTTCATGGCCTCGGTGGTGTCGACGAGCAGGTCGTTGCGGACAATGACGACGGTGACGCCCGAGGGGCCGAGGTTCTTCTGCGCGCCGGCGACGATTATGGCGTGCTTGTCAAAGTTGGCGATGGGACGCGAGACAAACGACGACGAATAGTCGGCGACAACGGGCACACCGGCGGGCACCTTGTCAAAGGGGAAGGAGAACTCGGACGGCGCGTCGGCGGCAGGGAACTCGGTGCCGTTGATGGTCTCGTTCTCGCAGTAGTAGACGTACGCGGCGTCGGCGGAGAAGTCGTACTCGTCCTGCTTGGGGAGAGTGGTAAACTTGGACGGCTTGGCAGTGGCAGCGATACGGGGAGCGGCAAACGGCTGCGCACCGGGGGCGGGGGGAAGGGCAAGGCGCTGAGCCTCGGCGTAGGCCTTGGACGACCACGAGCCGGTCACGACATAGTCGATGGTGGGGACAGCGTACTCCTTGTCGTCCTTGTGCTGGATACGGCGCGCAGCGAGGATGTTAAGCATGACGCTGGCAAACTGAGTAGTGCCGCCACCCTGCGCGAAGAGGATCGAGTAGTTGTCGGGAACGCCGTAGAGCTTGCGGAGGTTGGCTGTCGGTTGTTAGCGTAGCCCGAGAAGACGAGGAGCTTACCCTCGGCGCCCTCGATGATGCCCTTGAACTCCTTGCTACGGTGCGAAAGCTCGCACACGCCCATGCCGGTGCCGTTGTAGTTGAGGAGGCCGACGGCGGCCTTCTCGAGGACGGGGGTGGGGAGCGGCGACGGGCCAGCCGCAAAGTTGTGAACCTGCTCGCGAGCAAAGGACATTGTGATATGAGTGTGGGTAGGGTGGATGAGGGAGGAGAAGTGTTGTGGGGGTGGTAGCTCGTGTTGTATCGCCCCTTTTAAGGTATACGGCAAGAGAGAATGAATCAACAAAAGACTGTCCGAATGCTGGAGTCAAGAAGTCGGAAGGGGAGTTAAACAACGATGTCGTGCTTCTGCCAATGACTCACAATCGCGCATCGCTGTCGTCGTCGATCGTGGGAGAATTCCGAACAGCGCAGAAAACACGGAGATGGATGTCCGTGGAATCGACCAGCCGAGAGTGGAGGCGACGGGTTTCTTGCACGACCCCAGGTGCGATCCTCCCGACTTTTACCTGTCATCCACAACAACAATGAACTTTGGCGGCCTCAAGGCAGTCGCCGCCTCGCGGCAGCCGGCAGACGACCCGCTCAAGGACAACGAGCCCGCTGCCGCCGCGATGGCAGGACACATTGACGCGGGACCGAGCTCTGCAGCGTCTTCGTCAGCGTCGTCGTCGGCGGCTGGTGCGCTGCCTTCCTCGTCGGCGGCACCTGAGGGCGAGTCTCTCATCGATCAGATCATGAAGTCCAAGTAGGTATCGTGGACAGCTTCCCAAAGTACCTCCTCAATCTGACCATCCCCCTCAGCCCAATCTTTGGCGCCGGTGTCGGCCTTGCGGCGCTCGGCGTGGCAGCCACCACCCTCCGCCGTGGCGTCAAGCAGGCTGCACACCTCGCCCGGCGACGCATGCTCATCTCCCTCGAGATCCCTTGCAAGGACCCTTCGTACCCGTGGTTTCTCGAATGGATGGCCGCGCAGACCGAGGCGGCCAAGAGCGTGCCCCTCGCTGACCGCGGCTTGATGGGTGCGCTGCGCGGCAAGGTGCCCCAGATCCCCAGCCACGAGCTTGCGGTCGAGACGACGGTCAAGAAGCATGAGAACGGCAGTTCCGAGGCGCTGTTTAACCTCATCCCGGGACCTGGTACCCATTTCTTCAACTACAAGGGCCATTGGTTCCAGGTCCGCCGCGACCGCGACGGCAAGCTCATGGACATGGTCTCGGGCACGCCCTGGGAGACGGTCACGATCACTGGTCTGTCGTCGTCGCGTTCCGTCTTCCCCGAACTGCTTGCCGAGGCCCGCGAGCGCGCTGAGGAAGGCACAGAGGGCAAGACCAAAGTGTACATTGCTCGCGGCTTCCAGTGGGAGCAGTTTGGCAAGCCGCGCTCCCGCCGGCCGATGGGTTCCGTGGTCCTCGCCGACGGCGTGACGGAACGCATCGAGGCGGACCTCAAGGGCTTTATTGCGCGTCGCAAGTGGTATGCCGAGCGCGGTATCCCGTACCGTCGCGGCTACATGCTGCACGGCCCGCCCGGATCGGGCAAGACGAGTTTTATCCAGTCCCTTGCCGGATCACTCGGTTACGACATTTGCCTCCTCAACCTTGTCGAACGCGGTCTGTCCGACGACAAGCTGCACCACCTCCTGGGTCTTGTGCCCGAGCGGTGTATTGTGCTGCTCGAGGATGTCGACTCGGCATTCAACAAGCGCGTCAAGACTGAGGCCGACGGGTTCCAGAACGGCGTGACATTCTCGGGTCTCCTCAACGCCCTCGACGGCGTGACCTCGTCTGAAGAACGCATCATCTTCATGACTACAAACCACCTCGAGCGCCTGGACCCGGCCCTCATCCGTCCTGGCCGCGTCGACTTTAACGAGCTGCTGGACGACGCACACGGCGAACAGGCATACCGCCACTTTGTCAAGTTTTACGGCGGCGGCGACAACCTCGACCCTGTCCCTGGTGGTGCGGCCGAGGGCGCGCCTGCCGGTGCGACGGACGAGTCTCTCACTCCCGAGGAGATTGACGTGCTCGCGCACCAGGTGGAAGCGGTCGTGAATGAGGGTCGTAAGGAGGGCAAGTCGGTCTCGATGGCCAGCCTCCAGGGCCACTATATCCGCAATGGACCGCGTGAGAGCGTGGCGGGCGTCAAGGAGCTGTTGAAGCACAGGCCATAGACACACATCATATGCATTGTTGTACACCCCTTTCCTACACGTGTTTTTTCGTTGTTGATGATGTTGTATTCTGCTGCTTGCCCTTTTGGTTGTATCTCTCTCTATCGCTTGAGTGCCCTTTTCGGTCTGCGGAATCCTCCGTTACCGTTCGCAGCTGCATATCCGTTGCGACCGCCGGGAACTGCTGGCGGCGGCGGCCTACTCGCACCAGCACCACCACTTGCGCGCGCCACACCCATCCAGTATCCGGCCCAGTACTGCGCGTGCAGCGCAAAGCCCACAGCCTCGTCGTGGCTCACGCTTCCGGCAGACGGCCACTCGCCCGACGGTGCGGGGAAGACGTAGCCGCCCTCTTGCTCGGCACCACCTTGGTGTCCCCACGATCCCTCGGCCTCGCCCTCGCCGGTGTAGTCGTACAGGTCCCAGTGGGGCTCGGGCGCCTCGAGCCCGCTGTCCTCCTCTGCGTCCTCGTCCTCGACGCCCTGCTCGTGCGCGTACCCGCCCTCATCGACCGCCACGTCGTCGTCGTCGTCGTCTGCGCCACGCTCGCCTGCGGGTCCGTTCGGCGACGGAGGCGAATATGTGGGCGATTCGGCGCGCTTGGTGGTGTATGGCTTGGTGTACGGGTTGACACTCGGCCGGGTGCGTGTCGTGCGCTGACGCTTTGGCTGGCGAGACGAGGACGCCTCGGGCTCGGCTTCGGGTTCTGTCTCTCCTTCACGCTGGGTATCTTCCTTTGGTCGACTGGCAGCGTACCACCTGGGTCATGTCAGCTGATGTGAACAGTGCCGACGTAACAGCAGCTGGCGCGAAGAGACTCACTCTGTGCCAAACGCGTTGGCACCGGGCAGAGGCTGGCCCTTTGCCAGCGCAGCCGTGGCCTTGTCGAGCCAACTTCCAGGTCCGGGGTTATGGATCTAGACAAAGTCAGTCGTGGGATTTTTCATTGCCATGGATATGGTCGTGGAGGACCAGGGATGACCGCTGTAGCCATCCGTCACACCACAAGAACTACTACGTACGTGAAACTCCAGGAGGGCCGCGTCGTAGGCGTTGACAAGCTCGCGGTCGTCCCATGCGCCGCCCGACTTGTTGGAGAAGTCGAGAGTGACTGCCGGGAGCGGCTGTGCTGAGCCTGTTGGCTCTGTGGTGGTCATGGTGGTGGTGTGTGGGTGGCGGGGTGGGTGTGGAGGGGAAGGAATATGGTGGCGAGAAGCAGCGGCGACATTGAGGTGTTGTTGAGTGAGACATTTTAATTACGTGTCATTTGTCTGCACACTGGCGGCGAGCCACCGGAGGTACGGAGCACGAGGACGGAGTGCAACAGGGGCCATTCGAGGCCCCGCAAATGCAGTGCGGCGCGGTATGCACATGTGCAGACGACGACGGCGGAACGGACAGCGAGGACGAAGAGGCAAAGGAGGGGGGAGGGAGAGGGAGGGTAAGGGGGAGGACGGGATGGAAAAGAGGAACAGAATGGGCACAGCAAACGTGCAACACCCACCGCTGGGTCGTCTTTGGGTACGCAGGTCATAACATCGTTGTGTTGTTTGCGATAACCCCGTGTCTGTTCCTTTTCTTCCTTGTCTCGTCCACCTCTCTCGCCAGCATCCATCCCCCACCCATATCCTTCTAGCCCCTCGCTTCTGGGCTGGGCGTCTGTACACCGTGCACCCTCGCTAGTCCCCGACCAGCACGAGCCACGACACGCACCCACCTCACCGTCGTCGTCGTCGTTGCCAGGCGAGACCCGAGTTGACCTCCACCCCCCCGTTCCATCCCTTCCCTGCACGCGTCAAAGGGGCAAAACAGGTCGCACACACCCACCCACCCCCGGCCTCCGTGGGTCGTCATCCATCCTCGTCGTCTCGGCAGCCCCCCTTTTGGCCACCCAACTCTCGTTCCACATCCCTCCCTCCCTCAACCTCCTTCCCATTATCCCCTTCCCAGCACACTCCCCACCCGCGCCCCACACCCAGCAGAGCATGGACCGCTCGCCACCTTCACCGACGTCCGAGCTGCGGGCCATTGAGTTTGGGTCGTCCTTGCCAGCCGGCGCGTTTCAACAGCGCACACCACGTTATGGCGGTGCAACCTCTTCGCAGCCAGCCCCGCCGCCGCATCCTCACCCCGCCGACACCGCCTACATGGCCGCATCGTCCCACACGCCTCCACAGTACTTGGCAGCACAGTATGCAGCACCGTCCGGCGGACACATGCCCGACCAGACGGGCGGCACTGTGCACCAGGAGTCTGTGCGCCGACGGGCCTTGCCCCAACTTCCTGGACAAGGAGGTGGGCCTCCTGTTGCGGCACAGCAGACTACGCCGGCGCCTCGTCCTCAAGGCCGTAGGGCACTCCCTACCCCTCCAACAGTCCCGACTCGTCCACCGGCTGGCTATAACACCATGTCATATGCAGACATGCCTCCAGCACAAGCTCCACCAGCAACGGCACCAGCACCAGCACCACCAGCACCAGCCTACGCCACTGCACCGCCGCCACTTCCGAAGCACGCGTCCACTTCCCCTCCTGCGGCAACCAGCAACAGCATGTATCAGCAGCAGCAACAGCACCAGCAGCAAGCTGGCGTGCAGCGGAGCACCACCTCGTCGACGTATCCCACCACAAACTCGCACGACTCGTTCTTCCCCGGCAGCTCGCCGAGTCTGACACCAAACACATCTGTGTCCAGTCGATTCAGCGGCCACCAGTCTGGGCTGTCTCACGAGCAGCAGCAGCCCAAGCTCAACAACCGCCCGTCGCCCGTGCAAGAGTCGGCGTACCCAGTGTCCGATAACGATTCCCTGTTCACTACCCACAGCGACAGCCCGGTAGCTTACAGCATCAACGGAGACAACTACAGCCACGCTACACCTCAGCAGTACGATATGGTAGACATCCCCAGCCGTATCGCCAGCCTGGCTATGACGCACGGAGACCTGCCCGCGCCGCCGCCAAGGGAGCATACACTCCAGCACCAGCGCAGCTTCCACTCGGAAGCCACCAGCGGCCCATCCACGGTGCGCAGGTCGCCTTCCCCGCTCAACTTTCCTGCCCCGCATCCAGCACACCAATCTGCTGCTGCTGCTTCGTCATCACGGCCTGAAGAGTCGCCCACGTGGGCCGAACAGTCTCAGTCCCGTTGGGTGCAGACCAAGCTGCTCCTGCATCAGCAGGGCGGTGGTTACTATGACGCCGAGGACGTGTACGACGAGTACGAGGACTCGGGAAGCGGACACGAGCTCGAGGAGGAGGTCAACGAGATCCGGTTCTTCAACCCGGCCTTCCTGAGTGAGACTGCAGTCCAGCTTCGAGACAGGGTGATCCGTGGACACCACGTCAAGGGCGGTATCACCTGGGTTGGAACGTTTACAGGCAAGGACCTCGTGGTGAGTGTTGTCACTGTTGTTTTCAACGTTACGCTAACACAAGCCAACAGACCACAATCCACTCTTTCCTCCCTGCCTTTACGCGCGATGGGCCACTGGACCGCCGCATCGCTCTCACCACGGCTCTGTCACTGCAAAAGCAGCTCTGGGTGATGGAGGTGGATTGGGTAGACACGCCAATCCGCGACTCGAGCGACTCGGTGTTCAAGTTTATGAGCGAGATGGAGGGCATGGACGGCCAGATCTCCTTGCCCACCGGTGTCTTGACAATGGCGACCAAGTGCTACTCGCCAAGCTGTACGGGCGATTCTGGGTGCTACTCGCCCCGCTGTCCTTGGAAGACGCCTCCCAACTCGTTCATCGTCGCCAATGCCGAGGAGGAGAGTGGGCCGGCCCGCTCACAAACTATAATGGTCAAGACGGACTCGGACTGGACCAAAGAGGTCGACCCTATTATCCTTGCCGAGCTCTCAGACCAGCAAAAGCACAGGCAGACCCTCATCCGCCAGGCTATCCTCACCGAGGAAAAGTACGAGGCTGACCTCGCGGCACTGGAGAACATCTTCATTACCCCATTGTTAATGTCCAACCCTCCCGTCATCGAGCCGTACAAGCTCGAGAAGTTTGTGGCGACGGTGTTTGGCAATGTGGTGGCCATTCGCCGCGCATCCCGCCGGCTCATTGACAACTATGCCATTCGCCTTCGTGAGCAGGCACCGCTCATCCGGACCGTCGGAGACATTGTGCTAGAGTCTGCCGCCGACGACCGCGGCTTGTACCCCGAGTACACCGATAACCTTCCGCGCGCCGAAGAGATGCTGCAGGAGACGCTCAGTGAGAACAAGGGGTTCCAGGCGTGGGTCGACACTGCCTCGTGCAGCGAAGATCACCGCTGGGACCTGCGCTACCTTCTCAAACGCCCCGCAACCTACTTGCAGCAGTACCCTGCGACACTGGAGGAGATTCTCAAGGTGACACCAGGAAACGACCCAGACTATGACTTTTTGCACGAGTCGCTCAACTCGATCCGACACATCTCGTACCTCTCGCAGCTCAAGATGTGGCACGCGTTCCGCGGACGTGGACCGATGGCGAGCCTCGAGTGGCACCAGATCGTACCGCCCGAGCTCCTCCAGTCGATGGAGAAGAAGGAGCAGACCAGGCAAATGTGGGTACAACGGAGCTGTATTATGCTGACCCCGCAGGCTCATCTTTGAGGTGATCAAGGGCGAGTTGGAGTATGTGGCCGACTTGGAGGCCATTGAAAAGGTCTATGTCAACCCTCTACGCGAGGCCGACACGCCTATCATTGACCGCTCGCGCGTAGAAAACTTTATCGACGAAGCGTTCCACAACTACCGCTCGCTCCTCGAAGTGCATACCCGCCTGCTAGAGGACTTTGAGGAGCGCCAGCTTGAACAGCACCCCAACATTGGCAGCATTTCGGATATCATCCTCAACGCCGCGCTCAACTGGCACGAGGCGTACATAGAGTACATGCCCCACTACCCGCTCGCCAAGGCCAAGATCCAGGAGGAGCGGGATCGGAACCCCCTGTTTGCAAGGTTCCTCGACGACGCGCAGAGGAACCCCCTCACCAACCGTAACGGCTTTGACCACTTCATCTACCGTCCCATTCCACGTCTTCTCCGTTATCCCTTGCTACTAAAGGAGGTTCTCGGCACGCTCAAGGCACTTGGACAGCAGGATAACCCAGACTATGAGGCGATTCCACAGATTGTCGAGTTGATCGACAACCTCGCCAAGGCCGGCCAGAAGGGCGTGGCGGTCAACACTGCCAAGGTGGAACTGTGGGCGATGAAGTCGACTCTGGACGGCGGCAAGTTTGGCGCGCGGGCGACCAAGGACCTCGACCTCATGAACCCCATGCGCGAGCTCATCCACAAGGGCAAGGTGTACCGCCAGCCTGAGAACAGTATTGGTGGCCAGGCATGGTCCGAGCTGCAGCTCCTGCTGTTCGACAACTACTTTGTGCTCGTCAAGCAGTCCAAGGCCACCAAGAACAAGGATGCCTCGCCGCGGTACACCATCAACCGTCGACCGACGCCACTCGAGCTCTTGTCTCTGGGCAAGTTTAACGAGCCGCCCCAGAACCGTTCGCTCGGTCTCCTCAAGGGTCTCCGTGGCGGCGGTGGCAACCACGACGAAACGGCCCCGACTCAGGCCCAGGTCCAGTCCGACTCGCGCATGGTCTACCCCTTCACCTACAGCTTTATGGGCCAAGGTGCCGCCAGTGGCGAATACACCCTGTGGACCGACTCGGAGACGGCGCGCAAGGAGTGGCACGAAAAGCTCAACCACGCGTTGGTGCTTCGCCAGGCCGTCAACGACTCCGGCAAGGTGTTTGAGATGACGCCGCTGAGCACGGATACATTCTACATGGCTCCCGGTTACGGCGTCACGCCCGACAATGACGACTACACGGGCCGCGTTACCTGCTCGGTACCATTTGGTAAGTTGCCAAGACGTAGTGGAACCGGAACTGACAATTTCCAGTCACAGTCGACCGCCGAAACCTCGTTGCCGTCGGCTGCGAGCAAGGAGTCTGGATCGGTGTCCGTCACGACTCGGCCTCGCTGCGCAAGGTCCTCCACGTTCGTGGTGTTACCAACATTGCCGTGCTGGAGGAGTTTGGCATCTTCCTCGTGCTTGCCGACAAGGTCAGTTTTCTGGCATCACTCGCGTAACTGACATTTGCAGAGTTTGCTCGCGTACCATCTCGAGGCTCTTGTGCCGACCTCGCAGTCGGGCCCGCCTGTCCGATCGGCGCCTCAGCGACTCAGCGGTGTCCGTGACATTGTCTTCTTCTGCGTTGGCCAGATCTCGGGCCGTACTTTGGTCTGCTACATGAAGCGCAAGGGTGTAAGTAGCTGGAAACCCTACGAGACTTAGTATCTAACCACTTCAGATGGACTCGGTGTTCCGCGTTCTCGAGCCGATTCTCAACCGCCAGACCGAGGACACGAGCCGCCAGCGTCGTCCCTTCGGTGCTCTTCTGGGCCAGAGGACAGAGTGGTTCCGCGTGTACAAGGACTTCTTCATCCCGACCGAAGCCCTGCACCTGCATTTCCTCAAGGCCAAGGTTGCCATTGTCTGCGCCAAGGGCTTTGAGATTATGGACCTTACCGACCTCAAGGGTGGTTCAATCCCCATCTTTGACGCGGCCAAGGCACGCGAGCGCCCGGCGCTGCAGGAACTGGCGCGCCGGTGCGAAAACGCCAGGCCAGTGGCCATGTTCCGCTCCACCGACAGCGAGTTCCTGCTCTGTTACGACGCGTTTGGTATCTACGTCGACCGCCACGGCGAGCCCAACCGCGACCACCAGGCCATCGAGTGGGAAGGCCGTCCAGACAGCATCGTCTTCCACCCGCCGTACCTCCTCCTCATCTCGCCGTCGTTTGTCGAGGTGCGCCACATCGACTCTGCCAAGCTCCTGCAGATCTACACTGGCCGCGAGATCCGATGCACGTGGGATGGCACGGGCGGCATGTCCCGCCCACCGCAGGACGCGCCCGGTCCCAAGGGCTGGGGTTCCGAGGTCACCTCACAAGAGCCACGGATCCACATTTGCAAGCGTACAGAGGACTCGCGCCGTACAAAGGGCATTGAGCAGCAGATCTTTGAGCTCACGCCGACATTGCTACTCAACAACCCGCTGCTCAACCCCATGAACACAAACGATCCAAACTACTTCCCTCCCGCCCCGTTGAACCACGTAAGTGCAGTTGGAGAAGGCATCGCGGTCCACACAACTGACATGCGCTCCAGCGAACGAGCATGAGCACCACTCACTCGAACAACGGGTACGGCTATCTCAACCCGAGCGCATACAACCCCTCGGACGTCCGTTCAGTCAGCTCGGCCAGCACGAACAACTATGCCAATTCGCAAAACTACCACGGCAACGCGGCGGCGCCTCCGCGCACCTCGAGCGCGTTCCCTGCCGGCAACGGATTCACGTCTGCGCAGGACAACGGATACTACGGCGCCGACTTTGGCGCCGGCGCCGCTCCCGCTGCGGTCGCGGGCAACCAGAACCAGAACCCCTCGGGAGCACATGTGTACCGCCACGAATCGGGCGGATATCAGTCGCTCACTAGTGGGTGGGAGTCGGCGGGCGGATACCAGTCATCGCCGTCGCAGCGCCAGCCATCCCAGCGTCAGCAGCCGCAGCAACAGCAGCAACAGCAGCGTCAGCAGCCACAGCAGCAGCAAGCGCAGGCGCCAGGATATTCCCAGCAGGACTACCGCTCGGTGCCGAGCTACCCCAACGTGCGCCCAGGTTACCTCTAAGGTGGACGCGAAAAGCGGGGAGCGGCACGGCGCGGAGGGACATTTCGCTATTCTTTCTTCTTGTTTTTTCTTCTTCGTTGTTTGTGAATCGGGGTATAAGGGGTTCGTTCCTTTGACGATATCTGGGGGAAAATGCGGTGATGACCGGATCTATATGTACTGTAACAGTTACAGTGTACAAGTGGCGACAGTGCAGGGGCTGTGCGACATGCATCGCTACTTTAATGACTACAAACGGTTGCAGGGAGGGGCGCGAAGTGAGAGGGAAGAGGCCAGGCGGCATGAACGTTCTTGCGGGAAACGCTCAAAACACACATATGAGATCGCGTACGGTCTGTTTTCGCGAGGCCGTTGGCAGCACCGCCTCAGTCCGCATCATGTTCATCGCGCGACGAGCTGCACACGACCCCGATGCCACTGGACACTGTGTTGATTCTTAAAAATGCATCTACCATGTCTACCGAGCGCCCGCCCAGCGCAAGCGCACTGCAAGACACTACCCCCCTCGTCCTCTCTCCTTCTCTCTCCCGCTCTCTCGTTCTGCATCCCCCCCAATCGCACCACGCTACACGATCACCACACCACCACACCACCTCACCACCGCACCACCTCACACCTCACCACCGCTTCTGCCCGGGCACGAACGCGGGCGGAAGCCCCCACTGCGATCGCGCCGCGGGGCTGGGGCTCGGCGGGCCCTGCTGCGGTTTCCGCCGCGCAAAGTGCATGTTCTGCTGCTGCTGCTGGGCGGCGTGCTGCGCGTGCTGGGCCGCGCCGTGCGTGTGCGCCGCGAGCGAATACGTCTGCGGGGGCGGCGACATGGTCATGCTGCTCCCGCCGTCGACGCTGGCCGTGGACGTGATGCTCGCCGGCGCGGCTGGGTGGGCGTGCCCCTGCCCCTGCCCTTGCGCCTGCCCCTGGCCGAGGCCGAGGGTGCTGAGGCTGTGGCTCTGCGGGGGGGACTGCAGTGGCGGAAAGGCCGACGGCGTCATGGGCCGCGACTGCGACGACGTGTCGATGATGGCGCCGGCCTCGTTCTTGGGCTTGAAGCCCGTCTTGTGGCCCTCGGCGAAAATGTCCTCCATGACATCGTCAAAGCAGCCCTCGGCGTCAAACGCCTTGTACTCTTTATAGAGCAAGTAGGCGTGTCGCGCGTCCTCGATCGAGTCGTGCTCTTTGGTCTGAATGTCCCTCTTCAAGACAAACCACGTCAAGAAACGGAGCGACAGCTTGCGACTACGGCCCGGGATGGTGTAAATGTTGACCGTGTCGAGGACCTGCTCGGGCGGCACGAAAATGTTGATGGTGCGGAAATCTTTACTGAGCCCATGGCCGATAAAGATACACCCGAGATCAACGAGCAGACGCAGTTTCTTGTACGCCACCTTCAACGGCACGAGCGTGTGGATGGAATTGTTGGGATCCAAGTCGCCTGCCTTGATGCCCGAGAATTCTGTCAGATAGTCGGACACATTCTCGGTGGTGCGGATATAGTCGTCGATGAAAGGTACGGCCTCGAGCTGTCCTGGACCGCGGAGGACGGACACGCGTGCGAGGGACATGAGCGTCGGGCGAAGAATCTTCTTTGTGCCGTCGGACCGGAACTCGAGTTCCTCGTTTTGCAGTGCGACAAACTCGGCATCGATACTGATCAATGTGCCTGGTTTGGGAAGCTCGTCGGGGCTCAGGACCTGGTGGTGGATCTCCGACGCCCGGCGGTGCCATGCCATCGAGTGGTCCTTGAACAGCACGTTGTGGTCGAGCTCCTGGGGCAGCCTGGTGTAGTCGACCACGAGGGGACAGTCTGCACGCTCGAGGACAATCACAGCCGGCACCTTCCAAGTGTCTGGGAACGAAAACACCTCCTCCTCCTTGACGGGCCGCACAAGGAAATCGTTGAACATGATCCACTTGGGCTCGTCCTCGTCCTCGAGTTGGGGCACTGAGGATGTCAGTTGAACGCTTGACGTGTCACTGGCGCAACTTACTCCTGGAAAACGTCACCAAGTGAGCCGGGTTCTCTGGTGACGTCTGGACCTGCACCACCACACTCCTGACCTCGTACACAATCCCTTCATTGCTGTCATCGGCAACAATCTCGCCCTGCGGGCCTTGACGGAACGCGACGCGGCGCGAGAGGTAGTGCTTGGTCTTACCTCCGGCCTCGGGGCGGTCCTTCCAGATCTCGAGGTGTTCGGGCGACGACACGGACGCGTTGATGGACAAGACGGGCGGGAGGCTGTACATGGGGTTGGAAGCGAGGTCGCGGCGCGAGTCGAGGGGCGCAAACGACTTGCAGTTGCTGCAAGTGGCCTTTGTGGTGCTGTTGCGGATAATGGCCGAGCGCAGAGTCTCGGGGAACGAGGTCGCGTCCGAGGGTTTGCGCGGCCACAAGAGGTCGATGGCCTGCAACGTCGATTCGCGGCCTGAGACATACTTGCAGCTCAGACATGTGTTTGTCGTCTTGACGCTGACGCCGAGAACCTGGTTGATGGCGCTGACGGGCGAAGAAAGGGACATGGCCTCCATCGAGGGCGGGCGCATCGAAAAGTTCTGGCCCTCGACGACGGCCTCAGTCGTAAACGTCGACAAGACCCAGCGGTTAAAGTTCTGGATGAGCGTGCTGGGCGCGACCATGGCCTTGTCGTTGCTGCCGTCCATGAGCCCCAGTGCGGATGCCTGCGGGGTGGCGCTGAACGCGCGTGAAAAGTTGGATGCCTGGCAGTTTGTGCCCTTTGCGTCCTCTAGCATGCGGAACAGGAATCCAGCCTCACACAGGAGACAGTTTTCCTTTTGGCAGTCGACACAGATGTGTGCCTTTGCCACGGCGCGAACGGGCGCCGCATAGTGGAGGGCCTGCAAGAGTGCGTTGGTGTACGAGTTGAGGATATCCGTCTCGAGACCACTGTACTGCGTGCGGTTGTAGTAGCCAAAGTCAAAGTCCTCGACACCGAACCGCGAGTATTTGATCTCGACCTTGCGGTAGTACTTTGGCACCTCGCCTGCTGGTGTCTCCTCGTCAATCTCTGGCGGGGGGTTGTGGCGGCCCTTATGGCGGTCCTTTTCACTACGGAAGCGCGGCTCGCTCTCGCGGCGCGAGCCAATCGCGCCGTGTCGCAGGGCATGCTTCCCCGCTCCGGGACGGGCAGTCACGAGGTTACGCTTGCCCTTGAGTTCCTTGGGCAGCTGGCCGTAGCCCACAAAGTCTTGGTAGTTGAGACTGGAGAGGACCGAGGTAGGGATAGGTTCGGGTGGGTTGAAAAAGGGAGAGTAGATGGTCGCATAGTCTGCGGGGGAGAAGTTGGAGAGAAGTGGGTCCTCGTAGTGTGGCATTCCGATTATGTTGAGTGGCGTCGAGTCGTCCCATACGATTGGGGGAGGCGGGTCGACCGGGTCAGGCCACTCGGGCTTGATGCCCTCGAACCCGTTGAACGGTGGCAACGCGAGGTTGCCATGGTCGTCGAGCTGGGCACCCTCGCCCGTCGGGTGCTGGGTCCAGAGATGCAGCTGGCCGTCACCGTCGCCAAAGGCCAGGTAGTCGCCGCGCGGGGACAGGGCCATGGACGTGATAAAGCTCGACACGTCGAGCTGCTGAAACTCGTTGGTGCCGGTGCTGATGTCTGCGACCTGGACCATGCCCTGCTGGCCGGCAATGACGAGCTTTGAAGGTTCCAAGGGGTTCAACATGACAAACGCCGGTCCGCTCGAGAACGAGATGGGCGGCAAGGGGCGGAGAGTGCGCGTGTCGTACAGCTTGACGAGGGGGTCGGGAATCGGATGGCCTTGCATGTGTGTCCATCCCCACGTGGCGATAATGTTGTTCTGCGAGTCGGCGCCAGACATACCGCCCGTGTGGGCCTGGACGGGTGTGATGTTGGCAGCTGGGCGAAAGCCAGTTCGCGGGTCGAGGAGCGAGACCTGGCCCGAGCCAGAACCACACACAACAGTACGTTGCATCGTGCCCAGGTGGACGACCGTGGAGGGGGACTCAAACTGGAGATTAGCGTTAGCAACAGGCGAAACACAAGCATCCTTGCCAACGCACCCTTCGCACGACCTCGCCGCGCGAGTTGTTGACCAGCATCATCTGGCCCGTGCCGCCTGCGAGCACCTCGTGCGAGTTTGTCGGGCTTGGCGTCATGGCGCGGAGCGAGCGCGTCGGGTCGCTATAGGAGAGCACGTCAGCACACGCCCAACCACCACATGTGCTGCTGCTGCTGCTGCTGCTGCTGTCCTACTACTCACGAGACAAACCAACGCGGCGCACCTCCACGGCGCCGGCCGCCCATGCCGCCATCTGTCAGCGTCCAGACCTCGCGGTCGTTGACCCGCAGCTGGCGCACGCCGCCATGCAAGCCCGGCAGCGCCTGGAACTCTCGCTGCTGGGACAGGTGCGGTGCGGCTCCGTGTGCTGGGAACTGGACGTTGCGCGTCAAGGTTAATGGGGAGGCAAAGGCTGATACGAGTCCCGCGGCCGAGCCGACCCAGAGCATGTCGGCGAACCCATCGACGGCGAGGACGGAGGGGACGGGTTTGGGGTCGGATACCTGGGGCGGGAGGGGGAAGAGGGAGAGTGGGTTGTAGGAGCCCATCGTCAGCTCATGGCGTGCGCCGCGATGGGCGATGGAGGCGGGAAGAGAGGAAGAGGAGGGGGGAGGGGGGATGGAGATGGCGATGGCGATGGCGATGATGGAGATGAGCGCAGAGGGGATGATTCGGGAGAGACGCGCGGGCGCGTGTGTGGGGGTGCATGACGGGGGGCCATTAGAAGCGGGATTTAATCGGGCTAATAGACCCTTTGTAATGCTTATTACAAAGCTGCGCGTCTGTTTTGCCACGTCTCTCGAGGTCCATTACGTGGTGATTGTATGACCGCGACCACCATCTCTCCGTCTCCTCATCATCGACAAACATCGACGACGACAGCATGGAGGGATACACTCAAGTCAAGGTACTTGCTGCTCTACCAACCTTGCATACACAGGCTGACCCCGCAGGTGCTCCACTCTGGCCTCCCAGCCTACGCGCCCCTCGTCCCCACCTCGGCCCTCCCCACCATCGCCTTTGTGAGCCTGTGTGCCGCCTTTGCCCTCACATTCACCCTCACAACGTGCGTTTGTCCCCAGCTATAAAGCCTCTTCGTAGCCGTTTAGCTGACACTCCCGCCCCGCCTCTCAGCCTGCACAAGTCGTCCATCCCCGTCGTCGAGCTCGTCACCGCCCTCGTCGCTGCGGCGCTGGCGGGCGGTGGCGTCGTGGCCCTCTTCTGCACCGTTGGCGTGTATGTCTAGGCGCAGTACTGCGGCGCAGCCCGGGTTTCGTCCAGCGTGCGTGCGTGCGCGCAGCAAGACATGACAGCGGTAACGACAACAGCAACGGCAACAGCGGCAGCACACCGACGAACCCCCGCCCGGTTGCAGCACGAACGTAGAGCGAACGGAGACGGCAGTGTAAATAACCAAAACAGCGGTGGACTATACCCCGCAGATTAACACACCATCCATGCGGTCTGTAAGCACGACACATGCATGCGTATAGAAGCCAGCCCAGTGTCTACTCGAGTGTAAGAACGTTTACTACAGGTGCTTCTACTATGTGTGTTGTGAGCGGCCATGTCCCAAGGGCATAGGACAGGACAAGACGGGGCAAAGCGAGCGTAGCGTGCGCTGGCTGCGTGCTGCGGGCTGCACGCTGTCTACTCCTTCTTGAGCTCCTTGTTCTCGACCTTGGGAGACAGCCACTTGCTGCCCTTGTACTCGTCCATGGCACGCAGGCGCTCGGGCAGCGTGGGGTGCGAGTGGTGGTACATCGAGTACAGCGAGTCGTTGTGCGGCGACGACAGGTTGTCCACGTGGAGCTTGATGAGCGCGCTCGAGAGGTCCTTTTGCAGGCCCAGGCGCGCGGCAAACTCGTCGGCCTGGTACTCGTACTTGCGCGTGGTCGAGTTCATGTAAAACTTGACAAAGGTGTCGAGGGGCTCAAAGAGGAGCTGGTACAGGATGAACCCAATGACGATGGGCTGGGGCCCGCCCTGTGGGGACGAGACGGCGAGGAGCGGGTCAAAGCCAAAGGCCTTGAAGAGCGTCTGGTTGTGGATGAAGATGGAGAAGACGACAAGGGTGAAGAACAGGTGGCTCTGGGCGATGAGCATGAGCCACGTCGGGTGGGAAAAGTGCCAGTGGCCCAGCTCGTGCGCGAGCACAGCCTCGACCTCGGCAGGCGAGCTCTTGTCGAGCAGAGTGTCGTACAGCACAATCTGCTTGGACCAGGGCAGACCGTAAAAGTAGGCGTTGGAGTGGGACGAGCGCTTGCTGCCGTCAATGACGTAGAGGTGCTTGAGCGGGAAGCCGAGCTTGGTGGCGAGCTTCTCGACGCGGTCGCGCACCTCGCCGGGCGCGACGGGGGTGAACTTGTTGAACAGGGGCTGGACTGGAAAGTCGTTGTCAGCCGCGTCCGACATAGCTTCTCTCCAGTTGACTCACTGAAGATGGGGAAGACGAGCTGCAGGGTGAGCTGGAACACGATCATGAACAGCATGAGCCAGGGCACAAAGTTCTTGCCGGCCAGCTCGATGATCTTGAGGAACGCAGCGAGGAACGGCAGGCCAATGGCGGCCATGAGGACCGTCGACTTGATCGTGTCCATGACCCAGAGCTTGACAGTCGACTTGTTGAAACCGTGCTTCTCCTCGAGGACAAAGTTGGAGTAGTAGCTCCAGCCGAAACCGGGAATCGCCGAGATGAGCGTCAACGTCGTGATCCACATGAGCGAGTGGGTGATCTGGGACGCGGGGTCAGTGATCACAGCTCTTGTCCCAGATGCGGCGAGCTGCTTGCCTGCTGTCAAACACGAAGCCCACAGCAGGACATCGCGCTCGCAGCTACACTACTCACCACGCGGCTCTGCTCCAGGCCAAGCGCATCCATCCAGCGGGCGGTCGCGTCCCACGCCCACGCGTACGTGCCCGACTTGATGAGGCCAAACGACAGGCCCCAGTCGAACAAGGTGCGCGCAAAGGCAAAGTACAGCTTGTCGCGGCCGTACGCCTGGGCCTTGTCAAACGTCTCCTTGGGGAGGTGGTCCTTGAGCTCGGGTGGCGGGAAGCTGATCGAGTACATGGGGATCTGGCGGCGCCTGCGGGGTGTGAGTCAGTCGGGGTGAGAGGTGTGGTGATGGCGGCGAGCAAGGCCAGCTGCGGTTGACAAGATCGAAGCTGGCCGACATGGACGACAGTGGATGCAGCCGGATGGCATGCATCCCCATCACTCGCGCGGCCACGGCCCCCATCGCTACTACTCACATGAGGTAGAGCTCAAACCATGTCTGGATGGCGGTCAAGTACACGACGGCGTCCTTGTAAGGGATGACGGGGTTGTCTGCCAGAGCTGCCAGCTTGGCGATTTGCCCGTCGAGGGCGGCGGCGATGAAGGACATGTATGGATGTGTAAACGAGAGTGAAACGAAAGAGGGAAAAGAGGTCAAGAGAATGAGCGATGGAATGCCATCAACAGAGAGATCTCGGTCGTCGTCGCGCGACAAATAAACCGGGTCGGCGCACGCGACGCGGCTGCGGCTGCCAAGGACACCAACGTGGCACTTTTGGGTCACTACGAGGATCGCAACCCGTCCAGGCCCGTTTTGGCACACGCTGGACACACTGCCAACATGATCCATATGCATCTACCACACACCAGTCACTGCTGCTGCTTCTGCTACTGTTGCTACTGTTGCTACTGTTGCTACTGTTGCTACTGTTGCTACTGTTGCTACTACTGCTTTATGCTCAACACCTCCCTCCCTTACTCCAGCTTGTAGTACTCGGTGGCGTTGCGGCCCATAATGTCAGTCATGGCCGCCGCGTCCTGGCCCATCTCGGCAATACACTTGCGCAGGAGCGCATACCACTCGGCACCTTGCACGGGCACGACGAGGTGCGACTCGGTGTCCTTGGTGACCGTCACCGCCGGGGTGGATCCAAACACGATGCGCGACGTGCCAAACGACTCGATAGCAGGTGCGACTGGGAGCAGATTAAAAAAAAATCACAATGTCAGCTGGCCGCCGCAAGTTGGAGTCCTTTTAGCAGAACGAGGATGCTCACTGTACAGCTTGACTGCGCGCTCGACGCTCTTGGCGTCCTCCCACCACCTGTTGTCGCCCGCGGACCGCGTGTCCACCACGGGCGGGAGGGCCTTGAGGACCACATCGGCATGCAGCGACAGCTGCGACGAGCGCGCCTGGAACAAGACGTATTCGTCCGCGTTGAGCAGCGCCGACGACGGCTTGCTCAGGGGAGGCGGCAGGATACCAGCTGGGCGGAAACGTCAGCGCGTCGAAGACCGAGGGAGAGACAGCCCGGCGCCTCGCCTCTCAGCACCTCCACTCCACTGCACTCCACTCCACTCCACTCCACTCCACTCCACTCACCGACCATGATCTTGCGCGGCGCATCGCCCAGCGCCGCCACCTCGCTCTCGACCTTTTCCCTCCCGCCGTCAATCTCGTCGACGGCCTCGTCGAGGCGGTCCCACTGCTCGCCCGTGAGCGGCGTCGTGGCGGGGACGACGAGGTCAAGCGCGGCCGCAGCGTCGGCAGGCGCGAGGTTGAGGGGCGCCGCCTGGTCCTGCGCGATGACGGTCGCAAGCGACGCCTTGTGCTTGCCCTGCACTGGGGTGCTGTATGTAGCAAGCGCGGGCAGTGGGTGGCGGCAGCGGTATGCAGAGGCCCGGGGTTGACGGCCAGTGCGGAGAATAACAAATCGTTTCGAGGGGCCGAGTGGTGGGGGGCACGAGCGCGTCGCGCCATGACGTCGAAAACGCAACGGTCGGGGGGTGAAACGGAAAATCAACGGCAGCGCGGTTGGGGGACAATGGCGGGGTGGGAGGAAGCAGGGGAGAAAAGCACACAGCGTCAGCGACGACCTCGACCAGCTGGTGGGTGGGAGGGTGCGCTCACGTATCGGGTTCAGCGGCGGCCTCGCCATCAGTCGTGACGGTGACGCTGCCAGTGAGCTGCGGGCCGGTAGGTGGAACGGCGAGGACGGCGCCGCGGGTGTGCGCGTCGGTGATGAAGTCTGGGTGGATGGTCGACGGCGACGGGGCGGGTGCGAAGCCTGAAGTAGAGAAGGTAAGAGAAGAGCGTCAGCGATCAGCTGCGGGGAGGAGGGGGATGAACATGAGGAGGTGGGTGGAGGTGATGATGCCGCTGTGCACGGGGGTGGTGGTGTGCATACCTGGTGAGAGGGGTCCGTTGTCGACGAAGAGGGACCTTGGGAGAGGAGGAGGACGCTTGGGCGGCATGGTGTGGACGGTGTGAGTGAGAGAGGGAATGGCAAGAAGGAAAAGAGGTAAAAGGAAACAGACGACCACGACCAAAGGGACGGCGGCGAGCAACGTCCCGGCAGTGACGATGGTGGTGTGTCACCATGAAACACCAGTGCCCAGACGCGCAGTTCCCGTCGTCGTTCCGTCCCGTCCCGTTCCCATCATCAACAGCACACACTCCATACATCTACATCTGCTTTTGATTTTGCTTGCTTGCATGCCCAAAGCACCATCCACGCGCTCGCGGTCGGGGCCTGTCGCGGCCTCGACACCTTCCCTACCTCCAAATCCACCACCCTCACGCAGCCGGCCACACGCCGCCGCGCCGTCGTGGCTACGCACCGACTGGTCCAACACTGCATTCGCAATCCCCGTGTTCTCTGGATCGTTTAACTCTGGTGCTCAGATCAAGTGGGCGGCCAAGAACGCCACTGTCGTTCTCCACGACGCGTTCGGTGCCGGCCACTGGGACGACATTATCGACAAGCCATATGCCGTCTACCTGGCCGTGTGCGACCTTGTTCTCCAGCTGTATGTATGTGTGCACTCTGTGCACTTTGTGTACCATTTTTGGCACCCACACTCACTCGCATCGCAGCAAAGACGATGCCGTGTTGAAGGATAACGGCGAGAACAAGCTCCCAGACTATCAGCAGTGGAACGCCGACCGCGAGCGCGATATCGAGATGGTATTCGGCTGGGTGAGTGAGTGGCTGGCTGCTGCCCAAACGTTGTCTGCATACATGCCTCCTCCCCTTTGTCTGACGGTGTCTCTCTCTCTCTCTCTCTCTGCAGGCCCGCCGCGATCTGACTCGCTATGCCGGCCCTCTGCATCTTCACGCTGCTCAACAGGTATGCCGAAGCGCTCTACAAGCCCTGTTCTGCGAGGGCGACGACGCCGAGACGGGCCCTGTGGACGGCGAACACGAGCGCGTGCCTGTCGACCTGGACGCCATGCGCGAGTTTGAACCCCGGCCAGCCGACCTCGACCGCTACAACCTCGTCGTACACCACATGAGCGTCGGCGACGAGCACGACGAGGGCGCTATCAACGACGAGATTACCGCGTGGCAGGCAAAGCATGGCTCGTTTGTCGAGGTCCTGGGCGCCGACAAGGGCCTGAGCGGTTTGCCCACGTTTCCCAAGAACCATCGGCCCAACATACAGGCGTCGTCGTCGTCATCGTCGTCGTACAAGGTGTGGACCAGTGCCGACTTTCCCGAGCGTCCACAGGACTTGCGTGACATTCCAACACTCGAGTCTCTTCTCTAGCCGCCGTCTGTCGATGCGGCCGCCGTCCACCTGCAACCACTCTGTAACCTATGTGCCGCCGGTATTGTATATCGTCGAATGTATTCATGTGCTTGTTGTGTGCCAATCTCAGCAATGCGTGTACACTCGGTGGCCGCTCCCGACCATGCCACGTTCCAGTCCATTATTCGTGCATATGCTTTCTGTCATGCTGTATTAAAAAAGTATGGTGGTGGTCGTGGTGGTGGGTGTTGGTGTGGGCATACAAACCCCCAGTGATCAGTGAGATGATATACAAAAGAACGGCTGCACGGCTCCCTCCCCCCTTCCTTCCTCTCTTGTCAAGACTCGGCCCTCTGCCCCCTCCTGCTCGCCTTTCTAACGCAAGCGGACACAACGCGCGCGTCCACAGAACCACAGTGTTGCCTAGGCCGTAAACGTGACCCAGGACGCGGACGCCTCAATGACCGTGGGCGGCACGCCCGCCGCGCCGAGCTTGACGAGCTCGTCGGGCGGCACCCCGCCGCCCTCGTCGTCGTCTGTGCTGCTCCCGACGCTCAGCTGGCTCGTGCTCGAGTTCTTCCGCTTGGGCGGGGGCAGCGGCGCGCGCCGGCGCTGGGCGCGCGGCTGCGGTGTGCCCGCGGCACTCCGGTCGACGGGCGAGTTGATCGACGCCGCCGACCCGGGCCGTTCCAGCGCGCCCGACACGTCAATGAGCGAGGTGACGCGCACAGGGTCGTTGGACGTGTACACCGACGTGCTACTGCTGCCGCCGTCGGGGCCACAGGGCAGGGCGGCAGCGACGGAGCCGAGCGACATGGCCGAGTCGGGCGACAGGCGGTCGCGGTTCCTGGTCGTGGTCGCGATAACATCGTGGCTGATCTGGCGCGGGGCCGACGGCATGCTGCTGAGGTTGCGGATGGGGTCGGACGCCGAGCGGTGTGCTGGGTGGTGGCCGTGGTGGGGTGGACGGGCTGCTGCGGCCTTTGCCTTTTCCGGGTCGGCCTCTGCGAGACACCGCTCGACAAGACGCTGCGTCGTGGTGCCAATGTCCCGAAAGTGGCCGTTGGAGATGAGCGATTGGAGAATGAGCCGGATCTGGGGCCGCTTGTACGGGTCGTCCCGCAGCTGCGTGTGGCAGAGGAGCGGGTACAGGACACGCAGGTACGTGTGTCGCAGCGCCTCGTGCTCCTCGCCCAAGTCGACGAGCGCGCGGATGAACACGTCGAGCAGGACGCGCAGGTCGTTTGTGAAAAAGTACTCTTGTGTGCCCGGGGTCGTGAACAGGAGGTAGAGAATCTTGAGGATGAGCAGCTGCATGCACAGGCCCTCGGACGTGTTCTCGGCTCGGTTCAGCATGAAGATGACGTTTTCGCCAAACGTCTTGCTCGACCCCAGCCGGCGCATGAGGACAACCAGCACGCGGTTGTACTTTTTGGCGTCCTCGGCGTTGTCCTCGCGCGGGGTGGCGGGCGCGACGCTGTGTGCGCGCGGCCGCTTCTCGGTAACCTGCAGGCCGCCCTCGCCGGCAGTGGACGGCAACGGCAGAGTGACTGTCGACGCAGACGCCGATGCCGACCCTTGGATGTGGTGGTGTGCGGGATTCTTGCTGTGCCGTTTCGGCAGCGTGGCGACCATGAACTGCTCGTTGAGGGCGACAATCAGCTTGATCACCGCATAGTTCAGTCGCTCGTCTTGCTGGTCGCGCGTCGTCTCGACCATTTCAAACATGTGGTCAATGAACCGGTCGTCAAACTGCGACAGCTCGTGGTGGTCGAGCTTTTGCACGCGGCACACCTCGTACATGAGGTACGTTGCCGGCAGTCGCAGGCGGCTCTCGATGGGCGGTAGGCCAAACACAAAGGCGTCCTCATAGTCGAGGCCCACCACCTCGCCGAGCGTTGGTAGCAACTTTTGCCATTTACGGTGCGAGCGGAACAGGCTCGGGTGTCGCTGGCCATAAAAGAGGATCATGTGGTACCAGATGTACAGCTCGTGCGGGTTGGTGTTCTGCAAATGGCGTCAGCACGAGTGGCAACTTGGAGAGCCCGCGCCACCGCCGCCGCCGGCGGTGCGACCAGTTCCAAAGCAACAAACACACCTCTTGAGCATCGGCCATCATGATGCTGACCATGCGTTCGTAGTGGAACTCGAACAGCTCGCTGTCGAGGAGCATGTCCATGATGGCGTTCATGTCTGCGCCATCGCGGAGGTACTGGTCTGAACGTTTTGTCAGCGGGCAGCACGAAGGTGGGGGGTGGGGGGGTGGAATGCGGAGGCGGAGTGGCCCCGATGACGCCAAGAGTCGACCACTGCGTTACACTGCCTCTTCCTGTCGCCATCGCGTCGGGGCTCAGACTCACCATGGAAGGCGCCGCACACGCTCACAAACAGCCGGAAGGTGCTGTCGAGCTGCTCGAGCCCACACGCCTCGGGGAGCGTGAGGAGGTGGTCCAGCTCGTTCCAGAACGTGTCGCGCGACGTCACACGGTCGTACACGCCGACGGGGTCGTAGTCGGCACCGACAACGACCACATCGGCGTCGTCGGCATCGTGGCTGCTGCCGTTGGCGCCAGCGGTCCCGTCGAGGTCTAGGTCTGCTCCTTCATGACCCCCGTGCCCGTTTCCATCGGGGTAGCCCATGACGCCCGGGGCGCCATTCCCCGCGGCGCGGCCGTTCCCTTCGCCGCTGAGCAACAATGCCGACCCGGACCCGACGCTGCTTGTCCCCGACACCGAGCCCGAGCCCGACGCTGTGGGCGCTGCGAGGGAGAGCGAGGCGACAGCGGCGGGGACGGGCGGCGGTGCGCGGTGGTCGCGCGAGCGGCGGCGGGTGTGGGTGGACGAGTGGGATGTGGAGAGCGAATGGCCGTTGGAGCGGGCGTGCGGGGCATACCCGTGAGGGTTGTGCTGATGTGCGAGCGTCGATGGGTCGCGGGGCATCGTCGCTGTGTTGGAGAGAGAGGTGGTGAGCGAGCGATGTGGAGAGAGATGGAGATGGAGAGACAATTGTAGGCGGGCCGGTGCGGAGCGGTGTCTGTGGGGTGAGACAGTCCGAGGGCGCGGGCGAGCGAGCGGGGGTGGAGGCGACGGACACGGCGAGGAGAGGAGATGCGATGCGGGGATGAATATGAGAGATGGATGTAGTAGTGTGTGTAGTGTGTGTGTATGAAGATGCGACTGGTGGTGGTGGTGGACGGGACGAGAGAGACGGAGAGGACGACGGCCAAAGGTGGTTGCTCGCCATCGCTCCGTCATGTTCTCTCTCTCTCCGGCCCGGCTGTTTGCCCGGAGCGACAGCCAAAAGGGCCGTTCCACCGAGGAGGCAGAGTCCATGATATGCATCCCCCAGGATGTACCCAGGGATATATCCAGGAAGGCAACTCTTTATCCACATTGCTTCCATCATTGTAAACTCTTCTCTTCACGGTCACCATGGCCGCTCTCTGGCACGCTTTTATCCGGCGCTGTTGGTTGTGTCGGCATCTCGTTGCCACCACCAGCCGTCTCTTTGGTACTACACACCCCCATACGGTCACGCTCGTCGCCGTAATGGCCAGCTGTAGCCGGCCGCTACCACCACATTCATCCTGTACCAGTGTGTGTCCACCCGTCTCCCGTCTCCTCACCGGCATGCACAACTCTCCCTTGGGCTGTTCCTCAGCGCTTGAGTTGGTCCAATACAGGCGAGTAAAGGTGGGGCGCGATGGTGTCGGATGCTGCGGAGGTGGATATGGTGTCGAGCAGTTTGGGCCATTGGAGCGGGTTATGACGGGGCCGACAATGTCCCTCCAGCCCCAGGCTGAACCATCGCTGCGGGAATGGCGTTAAGACGGCCACACGACCACCATGTCCACTGTGCATTGACAGCAACGTCGCGTCGGTCGTGCGGCGGAGCATACCCACTCCGTTCATGATCGCTGATCCGATGAACTCTATCCACCAACTCACCCTCCCCACCCTCCTCGCGCCCACTCTCTCTCTCTCTTCCGCCACACCTCGTTTGTCGGCTGCGCTCACCTCGATTTAGGCATAGTTACCCGCTGCCGAGGCCGTTACTAACCCGCTCCCCTTTTACTCTCGTCCCCCCACCCGGGTCCTGGTCCTGGTCCTGGCCCGGTCGTCTTGCTCCGCGTGCTTTTTCTTCCAGCATCATTGAACTGTATCTTCATTCGGACCATCGGCCGTCGATGGTCTCCTGAAACGGTCGAGAGACGGGTGGTGGTGGTGGTGGTGGTGGTGGTGGTGGTGGTTGCAGCACCACCCCGTGCCTCTCTTTGTCAAGGCCAAACGGCAACACCGTTCACGTGTGCCGGCAGCATGAGGTGAGGTGTTCAAAGGGAAACGCGGGTGCGAGCGATCGTTCATTATGGGATGGATGGGTCGACCCACCTCTCTAGCGCGGTCGCCACGGATCGCCAAATTGCACAGCACAAGCACACCATGTACCAGTGGCCACCGTGGCCACCGTGGCGAGCAGAGCAGAGCAGGACGCTCTCAAAGGGAACAAAACTGCGTCCTTAGTACGGTTATGTCGGACAGAGCACGCCGCGGCACGGTCACTGCAACCGCGCTCCGTGCTCGGCGCCGTGCGGGGGTGAGGGCGAGGGCGAGAGATCACGCGAGGCAGCAGGCACCGCCGAGAACAGCACCGCTCCTTGTTCTCCTGTTCTCGGTGGTCACTCTCGTCGCTGATGGGTCAGTGCATGCCGGTGCCGTAGTGTGGTGCTAGCACCTAGACTGTGAGATCCCGAGAAAACGGTGTGACCAGGGGGGAGCGAGAGCGGGGCAGGGAGCAGGGAGCAGGCATCAAAGGGTGGCCTAAGGGAGTGGAAGGGGGAACGGGCGGCCTGGCGGTACAGTTGGTAGCCGGCTGACATCATCGCCAACAACGACAGCAGAACAAAAAAATAGTCTGAGAGAGAGAGAGAGAGGTCTCAGGTTGGACAAGGTGGCAGGAAATAGTGAGAGTACCAGTGCGAGGAAAGGTGTCGTCCCTACACTTGTTTGCTGGTGACCTGTTGCTGGTGAGTGTGAGACGAACGACAGAGTTGCGACAGAGTTCGCGACCCAGCCACAGCCATTCTACAGTACTAGTCTCCGCCCGTGTGTCATTGTGCTCTGTTCTGTTTAAGCACGGCTCTGTGATTGTCCGCAGCGTCCCGGAGCGTCCGACGCATCGCAGCAAGAGCTCACGGACTGCCGTAGTGGTCTTTTTGCATTGTTGTTTGCTGATCTGCCGCAACCCTTTTTTCCCATTGACACCTCGTGGACGTCTTGGCAGCGCAGTCCCACAGTCCCGCAGCCCCGCTTGTTACAGAGCTTGTCGCCAAGGTCGGCCCGCTCACCGTGTGCTGCCCGTCCACGTCCGTCCACGCTCTGTCAACGCACGCACCCGGCGTCCCGGCGACTAGTCTCGGACCGACATCTGCAAGATGTGCAAGATGTGCGAGATGTGCAAGATGTGCAAGGCGAGGACGCCACCCGCACATTGCCATGCCCGCTGCATGGTTACATTTCAGGCCGCCGTGTGATGGTTTCCAGGTGTGGGATGACGCTAGCGTCCGCCTGTACGCCAGCTCGCCAGCGCACCAGCGCGCCAGGAAACATGGGTCAGTGCGATCGGTGCTCTCTGCTGCACGACGCACGAGACACCGCAACACCCGCCGCCACCGTTCGTGACCCCTTCTCTGCCACCGCCACCGTCCGCCACCACCGCTATTCCGAGGACGCAAAAACTAGGGACACACACCTGTTTTCCCCCCCAAACCCACCAAGAGCCCTTTGCGCTCCGCGGCCCGGCATTCACAGAGCTCAGGCCATATCCCCGACGAGAACGGGCTACTGAATGAGATCGGATCTCGGACATCAGAGCACTGGGCTTGGACTGTGGTCCCAAAAAGCCGCAGCGCTCTGGACACTGCTAGTGGTGCAACAGGCCCAGCCCTGATGGACCCTCTTCCTCTCTGGATCTCTGTCGCTCGACCCGTAGATGCTAAGACATGCTAGACACCGATGCATTCCGCAAAAGTTGCCAAAGTGCTTTTCTGTTCCCTGTGTGCTGCAAAAGTACGTTTTAGATTCCACCCCCACACAATCCACCGTCGGGAAGTGTGTGGCCAAGAACTCAAACCATGACCACGACCCGGCTGGCCTCGTCGCACGTCGTTTCAGAGCGTGCCAGAGACGCAACGGGTGGCAGCGGGTGCACTCACTTCATATGTTCTTATTTTCTGGGGACTGCTCGTCCGACTTGTTCTAGAGCGCGTTACGCATGACACTACTGTGTGTTAATAACCTGTACCTGCTGCTATTGCTACTGCCGCTGCCGTTGCTGTTACCGTGTCCATTGCCGTCCACTTCATTCACCGACGGTTCGTGGAACGTATGTACGTACTGGTGGTTACCGCCTTGCTGGTCGCGCTGCTCGCCTCAGCCGGCAGCCGCTGATGAGAGCCTCGGAGATCCACTACGGCCGCCGTACCCATAAGCCCATGGCCATGGTTGTCTCAATTGTCTCACCTCTCAGGCCACTGATCGCGACTGACTGACCGAGCGACCTCACCAACAACACCGACCACACTAGTCACTACACCGGTCCACACCCACCGGTTCGCCGGAACGCTGCGACATGGTGTGTGGGGGGTTTGTCGTTGGCCCGTTTTTCCGAAGTAAAAGAGTTAAGCGTTCGGGAAACGCCATGCTGCATACCCAGGCACCCGCGCGCGCGCAGGCGTTGTGTCACCCACCCGTGTCTGTCCAGGTCCGTAGTTTGGCCATGTCATATCGAGGATATCGAGCACGCAAAACATAAACGACGCATATGGGCTGCACGCAGGAGCGGCACGAGCTGCACGAGCTGCACCGGCCAACCGCCCGCCCACATCCTCTCTTCACCCGAAACCTGTAAAGGTTTAGGCGCTACACGCGCCGCCATCTCAGGGAGACGCGCTACAAAAAAGTCCCACCAAAAACCCACCATGTCACGAAAAATGCCGAGAATGAAATCCTTCGTCGTGACAACTGTCGCACACGGCTGTTCACGTACGACGCGCCACAACGTCGCGACGCGGCGACTGTTACGGTGCAGCAAAGAGTAGTGCCAAAAAAAAAGACAAAAAAAAAAGAAGTTGGCCCGCACCCACACCCACCACACGTAAACGGCTCGCGGCTAACGCGCTCTAGCTCTGTCCGTTCCGAGACTGTGACTGCGGCATGCTGGGCGTGGGGCTAAAAGGGTCTCTCTGCCCAGCCCAAAAGGGTCCCTCTGCCACCCCCCCAGGAGAGCACAGGTGGTGGCCGGTCGGGTTTTCCCTTACGCAAATATAGGTCGGCCGCAGCTCTGCCCACCAGGGGTCAAAGCTTTTCTGCTCTCTCTGGCGGCGGCACTCACGACACGACACGCGAGCAGCGAGAGAGACAGCTCGCGACAGAGATAACCTAACGCAACCCCCCACCCCACCACCACCCCCTCGTTGCACAGGCGAAGTGTACGCCACATCCGCAAGGCATTCCGGGCCAACATCGTGTCCTGGACGTCTCGTCCTCTCCCTGCCGTCATGCACCCCCCACTGTCCCTCTCCTCTGGCCCCCACCCCCCAACGGACCCCGTCCGTAGCCGCATGGAAAACGGGTCTCGGTGTGCTGAGATCTGGAACAGTACATATGGTTTTCTTGCCGCCCGTCGACGCCAGCCGGACTCGTTCAACCCCCCCTCCCCCCTACCCTCCTCCCCTCCATCCTCCTCCTCCTCCAACTCATCGTCCTCCATCCTCCCATCCTCCCACCCACCCACGCTCATTCACCATGACGGCCTCCTACATTGGCCACCCAAGTGATGGGTCGCACACGTACCAGGACGCCGAGCACCAGTCCTACGACATGGACAACAAGAACACTGTTCCTGACGATGGCATGGAGGCTGAGGCCCTCGCTGCCCACGAGCGCAACCTCCGTCGCGGCCTCACCCAGCGTCACGTCTCCATGATTGCCCTTGCCGGTGAGCAGCAGCAGCATGCAGCATGACACACAGAGCACTGACAGACCTCTCCAGGTGCTATCGGTACTGGTCTCTTCCTCTCGCTTGGCGGTTCCATCGCGACTGGTGGCCCCCTCGGCACGCTCCTTGGTTACTTCTTCATTGGTCTCATTGTCTGCTGCGTCCAGTACGCTCTTGGTGAGGTGACCGCCTTTGTCCCCGTCACCGGTTCGTTTGTGCGCCACGCCGAGCTCTTCTGCGACCCCGCCCTTGGCTTTGCTCTCGGCTGGAACATTGTGTACGGCAACTTCCTCTCGGTATGTGTCGAAAAGGCAACACCAAAACCACACCGACATACCAGTGCTGACTTGTCTTCTCCCTCCCAGGTCCCCTCCGAGATCACTGCCATCTGTGTCCTGTTCGGCTTCTGGACCGACGTCACCGACGTTGCGTGGATCCTCGTCTTCATCTTCCTCACTGCCGTCGTCGGCTGCCTCCCTATCAGGTACTTTGGTGAGGTAAGTACTACAACACCCCCGTTTCCATCTCGCTTGTTGTGGGCGCCCCGTTTCTAGACGTTGCCACACCCGGCGCCAAAGGCCCATGGCATGCTTCCATCCGAGGCACCGCGGCTTCCACTTACAGTTGTGGCACACCCGCACAACCCAGTGGCGCACCGCACGCACGCGGTGTGTGCTCAACAAACGGGGGGGCCTTGACGCATGGACCCGTCCGCCCAATGCTTGGCACTGTGTGATGGCAATGTGATGGCAGGAGCTGACCCCCCTCTCCCAGATGGAATTTGTCTTCGCCGCGCTCAAGATCATGCTCGTCCTCGGTGTCATCCTCATGGGTCTCATCATCGACCTTGGAGGTGTCAAGGGTGTCGACCGTATCGGCTTCCGCTACTGGAAGAACCCGGGACCCTTTGTGGAGCAGTATGCTACGGGCTCGCTGGGCAACTTCCTCGGCTTCTGGTCGGTGCTCATCAACGCCGTCTTCTCGTTTGCCGGTGTCGAGTCCATCGCCATGGCTGCTGCCGAGACGCGCAACCCCCGTGTCGCCATCCCCAAGGCCTGTAAGCGTGTGTTTGCCCGTGTGACCATGTTCTACATCCTCGGCGTGCTCGTTGTCGGCATGCTCGTCCCCTCCAACGACCCCAACCTCGGTGACGACTCGGGAACCGCCGCCACCTCGCCCTTTGTCCTCGCCGCCCAGAACGCCGGTATCAAGGCTGTCCCCTCGATCGTCAACGCCGTCGTCATCACCTCGGCCTTCTCGTCGTCCAACCAGGCCCTCCTCGCCGGTACCCGTGTCCTCTACGGTCTCGCCCTCAAGGGCCACGCCCCGCGTCTCTTCACCAAGACCACCAGCTGGGGTACTCCCATCTGCTGTGTCGCCATCTACGTCTGCATGTCGTTCCTCTCGTTCATGGCCCTGTCCGACGGCGCCATGACCGTCTTCTGGTGGATGGTCGACCTTGTCGGCTGTGGTGTCCTCATCTCGTGGTCGGCGGTCCTCCTCAACCACGTCCGTCTCCGCTACGCGCTCCACATCCAGGGCATTGACGCTCGCCGTCTCCCGTGGCACAACTCGTGGACCCCTTACACCTCGGCCATTGGTCTCTTCTTCTGCCAGCTCCTCCTCCTCACCAACGGCTACTCGGTCTTCATCAAGGGCAACTGGTCCGCCGCCGGCTTTGTCACTGGCTACCTTGACATTGCCCTCATCTTCGTCGGCTTCTTCGGCTGGAAGTTTATCAAGAAGACCAAGTGGGTCACCCTCGCCGACCTGCCCCTCGACGACATCCTCGTCGCCATCGAGCTCAACCCGGACGAGGCCGAGCTCCCCTCCACCGGTTACATCCGCTACATCTCGTGGCTCTGGGACTAGTTGGTTCGCAACGATCGAGAGAGAGAGAGAGTGGGAGAGAGAGAGAGAGAGCGAGAGACAGACAGACAGACAGCGCGAGGAGAGCAGAGAGTGCAGAGAGAATGTACAACGCAGCGCGCCGAGTACACATCGACGCCGGCCGTCCACCGCCCTTCACACCGAGGTGCTTGCGCGCACCCCACCCGGCGCGCCAACCCACCCGCAACACCCAACATTTTTTCTACCCTCACAACACCACCCTCTACCCTCCCCTGCTCGCCTGCCTGCTGCTGTGTGCGCTGTGCTGTGTGTGATATTTGCCCCTCCCCTTTTTTTTAATATAAATATACTATCTACATAGCAACGCGTTTTTTTTGTTTTGCTGTGTTTTTTTTCTTTCTTTCTTTCTTTTACATACATGTCATGTCATCAAGGGTCTATAGAGGTTTTCTACTATCTTTGAACCCACAGGGACGCCCCCATGGACCGTGTGTACCAAGGACGTATGTACGAGCAGGACAGGAATAGCGAGTGACTACTCGTCGGAGCGTACTGAACGCCTGCCTGTGCTGCTGCCTGCGACAGTGTGGGATTCCAGCATCGCAGCATGACACAAGCCAGCAGCAGTCAGCCGCCACCACGCCGCCCGCAGCCGGGCGTGATGGAGACGACAGATGACACGAAAAACATCTGGGGAATCTGGCGGTGGTGCGCCACATCATAGAAAAACAGAGGCACGCAAACAGAAGACAGATACCAAACACGGCGGACGTTTTTTTCTTTCTTTCCTTTCCTTTCCTTTCCTGTTTCTGGTTTTTTTTTTTTTCTCTCCTTTTTGCGCGCTTTTTTGGCCGCCGTGGACGTGACGGTTGGGGCTTGGGCCGCGTCCCGGGCCGTCCGCTCGCTCGCTCGCTCGCTCTCGCTCTCGCATTCCCACATGCTGTACCGCCGTGCAGGAGCGCAGGAGCGCAGGACGGTGGTGTGCCGTGGCGCGCAGTGTGCAGCATGGGCAGTCGTCGTCGCGTCGTTAGCGCCTCGGTCACCCACTTGTGCGCTGGGCCCGGACGCAGCAGCGGGCGGGCGGCGGCGTCGGCGTGCCTGCTGTTGGGGGTGTGGCGTGTGCTGCTGGGTATAGCACGACCAGCGCCGTCTCGGAATAGACACGTGCAGGAGCAGGACGAGCGGACGAGCGGATGAGCCTATGTACAGCGAAATGCTCCTCCAGGAAAGCACAAGGGTGTGGGCAAAGGGCCCCTACGCGGCCGGCCAGCAGCCAAACGCAAGCAGCCAGCGAAGACACAGGGATGCTAAGGGTGAGTGCTGACGTGCTTGAAGACCGGTGCCCACGGAATGGTGGCGGCAGCAGCCAGGCGCCGCCGGCGGGTCGACATGAGATCCGTTCTCGCTCGTCGTGTTTCACAAGCGAGACGAGACCCGCAACGATCGTATCTGCGCGCTCTAGTGTTGTAGGTCTTGGCAGCGACGGTCGCGCAGTCCAGGGAGGCGACGGTATGGGGCATGGCCTTGAATCGGTGCCCACAGTGGGAACGACTGCGGGCACTCGTCGGATGCAACAGGCTCTGCTGTAGAGGTCGGGGTCGAGTTTTGAGGATCGTGGAACATGCATCGTCTCGGCAGGCACGTACAATGGCACCACCGGGACAATGCCTTTTGCACGCCAGCACCCTTTGCTGCAAACTGTGTTCATGCCGGTGCGGGTCATGAAACGGGTCGGCGTACCGGCTTGTGGGCTCGGCGTCGGCGCACACCCCGGCCGTACCTTTGCCATCAATGTCCACGAGAACCCTCGGCGGTAACCATGGCGGCCGCCGAATGAACCGACCTCCTGGTCTCACCGTCGTGTGGCGAGCGGGCCTCTTGTGGCCCTCATATGGCCCCACAGCGCCGCCGCCGCCGCCGCTCGCACGTCCTCGCTGCGTACGGGAGAGCACGCACGCATGCTCACTGATGGAGGCTCGGTACCCGTGCCTGCGTGCACGCCACTCGCACAGTCAAAAGCAGAAGGGATGTTGGCAGACCTGTACAATCTGCCCGCGCCTGCACGCGCCACATGCCGCACTCGCATGCAATCGCAAACAACACCATCCTCAACGACCCCTGCTGGCGATAGCGATAATGAACGCCGCAGGTGCCACTCTGTCACTCTGTCATTGCTGTCACCTAGCAACGCCGTGTACAGACGCTGCGGCAAAGCGAGCCATGGTCAGACAGGACCCGAGAAACTGGACCCGCCCCGACGCCGGCGCTAGCATGCGGCAATGGCACATCTCTCTCGCTGTTGTCCGCCTGCCTGGCCTGGAGGCTTGTCACTGACAGACGTTAATTAAAAGCCCTCCAGCCCCAAGTTCTGGCTCATATACATTAGGGTGCTCCATCCCGCCACATCTAGATTTACCTGTGCTTCTCGTCGTCGTCGTCGTCGTCGCTACGGTTTCAATTTCCTCCCCGCTACCTCCTGCTGAGGATAAACGTTCCCTCGTACCCAACATAGTCGTCGTGGGTGAACGTGTCCCGCCACCGGCCGACCATGATGTCGTCGTTGGTCACGTACCCGCGGTAGATCCATTTGCCCCGCTGGTCGGGCGCATACTCCTTGACGAGGTAACACAGGCCGTCCCACACGCGCACATGGCCCGAAATAATGAACCGGCCCCACGCAGAGTGGCCCACGCCCGTCACCAGCAGCGCGAGGTCGGGCGTGTCGGCGGCGAGTGCAGCATCCACCTCGTCCTCGGGGACGGGCTCGTAGTCGTCCAGCGCTTCCAGCTGGCGCCCAACGGCGTCGTTGATCGTCGCGTCTTCGGGCGAGACGCCCGGCGGCCGCGACGCGATAGAGGCCAGGTTGAAGTCGCGGAGCGTGGTGGGGAAGCCCGCGTTGGTCATGGGTCCGCGCAGGGGGAGCGCGTTGCGCGGGCCAGATGATGACGACGACGACGACGATCCACCTGCCGTCGCCGCCGCCGCCGATCCAGACCCGCCCGCCGCGCCCGTCTTGAGACGCACAAACGTCTCACGCAGCTTCCACACCTGCGCCTGCTCGCCATATGCGCCCGAGTAGACGGGCTGCGTCCCTCCCTCTCCGCGCAGCATGTCGCGGAACGCATCAAAGTCGAGAAACGTAAACGTGCCCTCCCAGCACCCGGCGAACACACCGCGCCACGCCAAGATGGGCCGGCCGGCGCTCTTGCGTCCATCCGGACACGCCTGGAGACGCGCAAAGTCGGCGTCGTGTGCCGGCGAGAGGTTGACGGGACGCGGGAACGCGCGCAGGTCCGACGTCGCGCCCGTGTCAAACGCCGTGTCGGTGGGTGTACTGTTGGATGTTGCAGAGCTCGGCACGTCGCCGTCCTGTGGCCCAGCAAAGAACCGCAGCATCGCCGCATGCGTGAGCGGGGGGTGGGCCAGGGTCACTTGCCGGCCGTACAGCGACACGACGTTTGCTCGTGGCTGCGGATTTGTGTCCACAACAAACGGGCCGGGCGCGTATGGCCGCCGGAGCGGGGTGGGGACGTTGAGCAGCGTCCATGGCGCAAAGAACAGTTCGTAGTTGTGTGCCGCAAACACATATGGCCGCAGAGCGCGCAATGACGCTTGAGTTCGCGTAGCTGGAGATGATGTCAGTTGCAGTCGCACGTATGGGGCAACTCACAGTGGTCGTCTAGCAGCCATGCAATCCACATGGCCAGCGCGTCCTCGACACGTTCTGGCGGGTATGTGCCCCTGCTTGCGAGTGTGCGCGCGTGGAACGAGTTGATCAGCGCGACCATGTCCGTGCCAGGACCTGGCGCGAGCGGTCTTGTCAAGTGTCGTATGTTCTTTCCATCTGCATGTAACGTGTAAGCGACAACTGTACTGTGCAGTGAGGTCGTTTGGGATCGTGCGACATAGACGAGCCCAGAACTCACCATTCTCCAGGAGCATGACGTAGACGACCCACAGGTCACGCGCCTGCACCTCACCAGCATTGAGGCGTGCAAACGCTGCTGTGCGTGTACGCAGCTCTGCGCCGAAATCGCGACTCTTCAATGGACCCAGTCTGCGCACGGCTGCAGACGAGTCGTAGTGGTCTCGGAAGACGCGGGCGTACAGTTCTGGAGTCGGGGACGCGGCGGCATGGATGTGGTGGCTTGTCGCGAGCAGTGCCGCGGGGGGAGCGCCTGTGTCTAGAACGATGTGGTAGGATATGAGGCCTATGATTTCTGGCGGGAGGTCTGTGAGCATTGTTGGTGGCAGTGACCGGTGAGGACGATTGGGAGATGAGAGAGATGAAAGAGACGACGATGACTGGAGATATCCGATGGGGGCGGACGAGGCGGATGGTGGCAACAAATGACGGCACAGGAACGTCTGAAAGAGCCCCCCAGGTGCCATCAAGTCAGCCCGGATGTGCTTTGTTGTCCCAGAACGATGCCTGCTGTACCCAGCGATGTGCTCGTTCTCTATGCACCCCACATGCATATGCCATGCCCCATCTCACGCGATCTTATCGATAACAGGAGCCTCTAGACGGAAGCAAAATGTTGACGGCGGTGCGGTCATGGCCGTTCTGTCATAACTCGCCGTCGTCGTCGTTTCGGCTCCGGTGGGTGTCATTTGGATTCATCCCTCTCGCTCTCTCTCTCGCAACTACACTTTCCATCTCTCTCTCTCTCTCCATCTCACACGCAAAGATGACTGCAGGCCTGCCATCAGGGCCTCCCCCGCCAGAGCTCGCAGCAAAGGCCATCCCATACCTTGCAGCCCGCGTCGCAGCAGCCTCCGTCGACGGACCCAACGCCCTCATCCCCGTCCTCAAGCTCACCATGGCCACGCTGGCAACTGCTCGCCTCGCCGGCACACCCGTCGCTCCTCCACTGTCCCCGCTGCACGCCTTTGCCTCGCTCGCTGCCGAAGACCCCGAAGCCATCTCCCTCCCGCTCCTGTGCGACGCCCTGCTCGCCTACCCCGCCGAGACAGCGCTGCTGTCGGTGCCCGTCGCGAGGACCGTCGACATGCTCCCAGAGCTCATCGGCGCCCTGGTGGATCGTCTGGGCAAGGATGCTACACCACGCACCCTCCTGTCCACTTCTCGTCTGCTGCACGCCCTCATGCGTGCTCACGATGAGGCCGCGGCGCTCCTCCTCACCAGCGCCGAGACCCTCGTTCCGGCCCTCTCGGCGTGTTACGCTGCAGTCGGCAAGGGCAAGGACGCGACGCGCGCAAAGGCAGAGGCACTCACGTTTGTCCGCGCACTTGCTCACCTCGCTGGTCCCGGATCCGCCGCCCTCCGCCGCCTTTTTGGTCCACCTACGGGCGGCACCCCGCTCGTGGACGGCGGCCTGGCCGACGACTACGAACTGTTCCACCAGGCGCGTCCCAACGAGAACGCTGCCGCGGCGCTGCGTGACCTGCACGACGACGAGCGTGGTGATGACCCTGTAAGTTGGCATGACATTGAGATATGCCATGACGCTCTCGCTGACGGGTACACTTTAGCGTCTCGCACCTCTCCTCCATCTGTTCCCCAACCTCCCCACTCACCTCCTCATCGAGGCGCTCAGCCACCCGCGATTCGCGGCTGCGAGCTCGCGGGCCAGTGTCGAGGAGCAGGCGTCGCCCCTCATAGACGCCATCCTGGCAGGTACCCTCCCCCCCGAGCTGTCCGAGCTGCGTGCTGCAGCTGCCGCCATCTCGGCAAGCGGTGCGCCCGACCACGTCGAAGACGACGTCCAGCCCAGCCCTGCCGCTGCCCCCGCAAAGATTGAGCGCCGGAACGTCTTCAACGACCAGCCTCTCGATCTCTCGCGTATCCGTGTCAAGGGCCACAAGTGTGTACCACAGCTTACGTGCCCTCGAACATTTCAGCTGACGCTCACACAGCGACCCCGTGGTCGGTACCGAGATCCCAGAGCACCTGCGCGAGTCGATCAAGCGTCTCGTCGTGGCACAGGAGGAAGAGGCCGAAGCGGCCGCGCGCGCCGTTGCCGAAGCCCACGGCACGACGTACCGCCCCGGCCGGACGTTCATGGCCGCCGAGGACGAGGACGACATGGACGACGACTTGCCCGCCGCGCGCGTCAAGCTCGCGGACGGCGAGGAGAGCGGCGCCAGCGACGACGACGACGACGACGACATTGACAGCGACAGCGACGCGTCGGCTTCCGGCGGTCCCTCGCAGGCGCGCACGCCGCGCAACAATGAGTCCAACCAGGCCCAGGCCCTGCTCGAGATCGCCTACCTCCGCAACCCGGGCGTGTTCGCGCGCGACGCCACGACCCGCCGCTCGGCGGCGCGCAAGGACCTGCGCGCGGCGACGGGGTGGGACGACGGCCAGCTCGAAGGCTGGAAAATCATGCTCGAGCGCAACCCGCACAAGGAGGCCATCCTGGAACGTCACCAGTGGGCCGCTGCGCCGCCGGCGGCGTCTGGCGGCGGCGGCGGTGCCGGTGGAAAGAAGAAGGAAGGAGGCGGCGGCGGCGGTGGTAGTGGTGGTAAAGGTGGGAACAATGGTGGTGGAGGAGGCTCGGGCTCGGGCTCGGGAGGCGGCCGCGGTGGAAACAACAACAGCGGCGGGGGACGCGGACGCGGCGGAGCGAGCAAGGGCTCCCGCGGCCACTCGAACGCAGCGAGGACGCGTGGCAATGACCGCAAGATGGCGCGCATGGGCGCGGGGCTGTAGAATGTAGATATTGCATTCAGCGACATGTATATGCCGGCGTCATTCGCCATGTCAAGAGCACCGTTAGTAGAGCGCGCAAGATCCACTCCAGTCCGGCGCTTGTCCCATCGCCTGTGCTCGTGGTCGTGCATGCGTGCATGTCGTAGCTACATCTCGCGGCTGTGCCGCTAACAGCCCCATCCGCTACGCGGCGGCCGTCCTCGTCTTGCACCTCTCTCCTCGTCACTCCGCGCCCTACACACCGCAGTGTTCCGGGAATTCACAGAGGCAACCTCGTACCGTTGATTCTCTCTCGTTCTTTTTTTAGCGGAGCTTCTTGTCCTCAAAGAAGACCTTCAAGTGACGCATCTGCCACACACCCATGCCGATGAGCACGGCGAGCTGGCCGAGCGACCACCAGACCGTGCGCGAGTTTGTGGCCTCGGAAGCGTTACGGAACTCGGCCTCGACTTCACGCAGGTACCGCTGCTCGCGCTGGATGTCTGCGACCTTCTTGTTCAGGTCGCGCAACTTGGAGGCGAGGGTGTTGACGTGCTCGGTGTCGGCCCTGCGGACCGGTTAGATTGGGTTGTCTTTACTGGTGGGTGGGAGAGAGTGCCAGTGCGACGAGGACAACACAGTGTACCCGTTCCTCCCTGCGCGTCTCACACTCACTCAAAGTCCTTCTTGGACGACCCGACGTTGATGTCGAGGTACATCTTGATGTGCTCGGTACCCATCCATCCGCCCGTGACGTTGGAGTTGAGGCAGATGTTGTGGTCTCCCGGCTCGTGCGACGAGAATGTAAACCGGCCCTCGGAGGGACCACGCGTGTTCACCACCATGTGGCCAGAGTTGAGGTCCTGGGAGCGTCAGCGCAGGTGCACGGGGAGGGGGTGCACGCTGGGATGCTGGCGTACAGGAGAGCTGGAAGGTCTAACGGGGCGCTCCCCAGCTCGACTTGCACACATCCCGCATCGCCAACAGCAGTGGTCAACCCACCTCGACGTTGACCTGGATGCCAAGGTCCGGCTTGGTCTTCCACGCGTTTGCGGGCTCATCCCACACCAGCGCCTTGTAGTGGCCTGCGTCGCGTCAGCACGTTGATCGTCTGGGCCAGCTGGGCCGTGGAAAGGTTAGGCGATGGCGGCTGGGGCGTGTGAGGCCGCAGCCGCGCGCTGAATGGCTTGGGCTCCAGCAGCGCAGGTGGACCGCAACCCCAGACAGAAGCCGTACAGAAGCCGTACAGGAGCCATACAGAAGCCAGTGCACGACGTGCATGGCTGCATGGCTTCCATCTCGCGCCGCCCAGTTGCGCCGACCGCCGCCTCCGCATTCTCTCCACCCTTCTCCACGCCAGTGAGCCATAAACGCACCCTCCACGATCGTCTCGGACGGCAGCTCCTCGAGGAAACAGCGCTTCTCATCGGACTGGAAGTAGAAGTGCAGCGCCTGGAGGAAAGAGAAAGAGTGTCAGCGACCATGAGCACATAGGTAGGTGTGTTTTTCCTTTGCCACGGGCGCAGTCGCGTGGAAAGTGACGATCTTTGGGACGAGCTTGTGTCCGGGAAACCACCGCGGGGTTACGGGGCATTGTCGCTTCGTCGCGTCCCAAGACGGACCAGGGTGCACTCACCTGGACGGCGCTGAGGAGGTGGGCTGCGAGGAGGAGCGACGCGAGCCTCATTGTCGTTGCAAACGGTGAATGGTGTGGAGGAAATGGATGAATGAGTTCCGTGGGCACAGCAAGACGTCCACTTGGCGCGCAACATGAGACGTGTCACAGGTCACGTGACTTTGCAAACAACATTACTACCCGCCCCCACGGCGTACCCAGCGAAGGCAACCAGCAACCGAGCTCTCTCTCTCTCTCTGCAAGCACAGCGATCCAGCGACCGCACTTTTTCCAAAATATGCTGTGATGCCTATCTGTACCGCATTTCTCTACAAGAACCGCACCTCCCTTTTTTTCCCTTCCTCCACCATTACAAACCCACGCGCATCTCACCAGAGTCTCTGTCTTAAGCCGAGGCGACAGGAGGCACGTCCGGGACGCTGGCAATCTGCTCGACCTTGCCGCCCACCGCGCGGCAGGTGACCGAGGCGTCCTCGTTGCCAAAGTACGCGGCCTTGGCCATGCCGCAGAAGAGACCGACCTCGACGACACCGGTGATGAGCTTGATCTCAGTGTTGAGCTTGGCGGGGGCCTTCATCTGGGCCTCGGGGAAGGTGGCGTCAATGATGAACATGCCATTGTCCGAGACGACAGGGCCGGCCTTGGCCTTGCCCATGCGGAGGGTCGGGGTGCCGCCCATCTTGACGAGGGTGGCAAGGACCTGGGCGTACGCGAAGGGAGCGACCTCGATGGGGATGCCCTGCTTCCACTGGAGAGAGTCAGTGTGGAGTCTGGCAAGTGCGGGAATGCATGGCAGAGTCATGCTGGTCGAGAATACGGCAGCTGGTGTCCGGAATCGCCAGCTACCGTAGTTGCGACCAGTTATCCAGCAGGATAACACTCCCTCTGCCGACCGTACTCACGTTGGTGCCAAGAACAGTCGAGTTCTTACGGTAGTCGGCAACCATGACCCAGGTGTCCGCCATGTCAGCGAGGACCTTCTCGCGGAGCTGGCAAGCACCACCACCCTTGATGGCGTTCAAGTCAGAGTCGACCCTGCAACAGTCAGTACATGGACCCGAGAAGAGGGGAATGAGCTGTGAACAGGCAGGTCCGGGTAGGTCATGTCGAGGGTGAACAGGCCTGAGGCCATGTTCTGTCCACGAAGCTGTACACCTGACGCCCAGCTCATTGCCCAACCCGCCTGCCCAATCCCACATGACACCTACTCGTCGGCGCCGTCAATGCAAACGTCGAGACGGGTGTACTGGTCAACATCGCCGAGGTTGAGGCCGGCATCGATGATGAGCTGCTTGGACTGGAAACCTGGACAGAGTGTTAGCTCTGCTTCAACTGTGGCTTGCATTCTGGGTGGCAGCGACTTACCAGTGGGGAGGAAGGTGCGGCCAGCGTTGGCGGCGGCGCCCTGCTGGACAATACGGTCGACGACGTAGGGGACAGTCGAGCCGGAGCCGATACCGATGAGCTGGGCGAGTTAGCGGCTGTACTGCACAGACGACTCCAGCCTGTAACACTAGAGGGAGTGCAAAGGACATCAAAACACGGCACTCCCCACCACCGGTCCGACTTCCGGACGCGGAGGAAAGGAACGTGCCAGACAACGGTACTCACCTTGTGCTCGAGGGCGATGTGGCGGTCCACGGCGGCGTAGGCGGAGAGACGCTTAGCGGCCTCGACTGGGGGAAGAGGGGAGAGAGGCATTGCTGCGCGGAGGAGACGGAGGGAGGGGAGAATGGTGGAGAATGAGGGAGAGATGGGAGATGAAAGATGGGATTCTTGGGAGAGTTAACTCGGCGGATCGGCGGGGGGTTGTCGTCATGGTGCGTGGGGAATTGGTTACGTAATACATTTGGCGCTGTCGTTTGTGGCGCGTACATTGTCACCACAACCTCTGACATTCATCGCTGCAGCAACAATACATGTGCATGATAATGAAGAGCACGTTGTCCCCGTACTCCATAGCTACACTACAGCTTGCCGGGTTAGTAGTGGTCAGAGAGACCCGGAGGTATCAAGGCCACAATTTCCTCCGACAAACAGTTCACAGGTGCCGCCAAGTTGACGTGTCCGATAACACCGTCTCTCTGGCGATCCCGGCTACCATATTGCCTACAGTATTTTCTTGAACTAATACATACGCTGCCAAGTTATACGCTCGACTATCTCATCCATGCATGGGAGACCTGTACGGACGCTGGAGTCTGTGAAAATATCTTTACGTAATCGGGCGTGTAGCTCAGTTGGTAGAGCGTGTCATTAGCATCTTCTACCTATCTTGACAAGGTCTTTGGTTCGATTCCTAACTCGTCCACTACGATTCCTTTTTGGGGTCCAGCGGCTCTACATCTACCACGAGAATGTCTGCACATACAATGTTCAAATACCACTTCGAAATGTCAACGGTACATGGTGGTCTATGTGTCAATGTATGCGAGAACCTGCCCTCCGCGCAACGTTCTGGGCACACGGCCCAACCACTGTCGTAACTCTGCAGCAGTCTTCTCTTGCCACCGACGCACGAATGGCTCCAGTTCATCCGCCAACGCCTGGCCCCTCGCGTCGAGCAGCAGCACAAGCTCCACGCTCGCCATGCTCGCTGCCAGCCACAGCAGGCACATCTTGACTGCCGGGTCCCCGCAGAATGCACCACACCCCCATAGAGGAGTATACACCGTGGTCGCAGCTGTTGCCATAAACGATGTCGTGGCCTTGTGCACCTCGCGCTCAATGTTCTCCGGCACAAGGTCGGGGACCTGGCCAAGCTCCGAGACGTGTTCGTCGAGCTCGAGAGCGTCCATGAGGAGCAGTGGCCCTCCTGCCCGGTGCATCCGCCACGCGTCAAAGTCGGCGGAGGCAGTACGGGTGTCTGGGATCTCCCACGCCACGTTCCGCCGTTCACCGGTGACGCGAAGCACGGGGGACGCGCCAGTAATGACGACCACTTGGTCACCGGTCAGGACAGGCGTGACCAGGACGGCGGGGCAGGCCTCGGGCGTGGTGCCCAGCGTGACTTCTTCGCCGGTCGCAGACTTGCCAAAGCCAATGACCTTGTTGGCGGCCACGACGAGGGCGCCATTTGGGTCCATGGAAGACGGGGAATGCGGGCCAGTGACGTGCACGTCGTTGTGCAGGACGCGGAAGGGAGACATTGGCGTGTTCCCGACGCTCCGTGCTGGTGCCGACGCTAGGACATAGCTCACACCACCGCCCATCTCGAGGTCTCGTGTGGCGTACTCTTCAAGAATGTTGATGTCCGGCAGGTCTGCAAAGAAGACGCACATGGCCGTGATGTACATTTCCGCTGCACGAGGGTGGGGCTGTTCAGAGTCGTACCAGATCCCAAAGTCATAGTACTCGCTGCGATCCCGTGGCGAGGCGAGGGAGGTGAGAAACTGGTGGGCGACGAGGCATGCCGCTTGGGAGCGGGACAGGCGGAGCGTCATCCCTGGGTGAGGACCGGGAGGGAACTTGTGGGGAAGAGGTCAGGCATGCGGAGAGCAATGCCGATTATTCGTGTCCACAGCGACCTCACGTCAATGAATGTGAGCGCGTTGAGGACCTTAGAAAGCGTGCCATAGTCTCCCGCAGGACCTGTGGATTGGCGCAGCACATGGGCAATCTCTTCCAGTGCGTCGACAACGTCCTTGGTTGTCGATACGGGGCGGAGGAGGATGGCGCTGAGGAGAGGCCAGAAGGACACCAGCTGGTCGTCGTCTGCGTATTCATCGGGCAGCGTGCTGAAGCGGTCCAGCACACGGATGGTCGGTGACGACGGGAGGTGGTACATCGCGGCCATCTGGCGTTTGTTAGATGAGGTTAGAAGTGGTTAGAAGTTGAGTAACGCGCCTCAGAAAGCCGGGCGATGGCACATTATGTATTCCGGGTCCGAGCTGAGTCGGAGGCTTGGCGAAAACAACCCAGGTGGCGGAGTCTCGTCAGCCCTTGATTGTCACCACGAAACGTACCGTCCAGTCTGTGAAGCTGTCATTTCGAGCCATGCCTTTCCTGCAGATGATGCAGAGGGCCTAATATCTGCCTACAAACATGCAAACAACATGCTGTGCGCTGGTAGCACTGACAGACATGTTGTTTACGTAATCGGGCGTGTAGCTCAGTTGGTAGAGCGTGTCATTAGCATCTTCTACCCTACTTGACAAGGTCTTTGGTTCGATTCCTAACTCGTCCATACTACTCTTTTTGGGGCTGACAGCATGCATGGATGATGGGCCAGGTGTTGCCAAAGTCGTCGGGCTTGTGTGGAGTGCCAAGCTCGTGCCGTTCATCTTCTTGGAGCGTGGACTGATTACTACTGCGCACCGCCAGTGTCGTGGTTCTCATGCCTGATGACTTGACTGGCGCTCCGGAACGGTGTTGAAGACTGGCCACATGGCTCACCTCGCCAGTTAAGCCTGTCACATGTGGCCTGTGGCCTGTGGCCTGTGGGTTGCACCCCTACGTGCAGTCCCAGTGTGCCTCTACCAGAATGCAGAAGCCGAGACAATAGTGCTTTTGTCCGGATCGGCCAGAGTTAAACATTGTTGTGTTCACGTGCCACTCACTTCGGCTCGTCACCGTCACCGGTTTGCCTCGGCCTCGGGCCCCGCCAGGAGCTTTCGACATGCCACGGCTGCGGATGAAGAGGTGATGAGATAAGTTGCAGGCACACGCGAGCAGCATGTGAACGCTAGATCTCTATTGTTCTGGAGGCTAGTTGTTACGCACCGTGGCGATGTCATATGGCTCCATGTCTTACCGAGGTTGGTACGGACCATTGACGTATATATAGATCCATATTGAATGAACTGACTTCTCCCACTCCCTTCCACGACTCCCACTCCCACCACCACTGCACACAAGACACTACCATGCAGCAGAAGTACGTCCCCTCAACAACTCAAAAATGTCGGCACTGACACTGCCCACAGCACCCGCGCCACCCAGGAATGCAACGTACGTTGGCCAACCCCCAGCCATAGTCTTTTGCCACTGACCTGCCCTTCAGCCCGGCATCTGGTCGCCCACCTTTGACTGGAACACGACTCGCACCCCCAAGGTCGAGGGCCACGTGTGTGACCAGTGCCACCGCAGCATGTCCAACTCGGGCGAGACCTCGGCGAGCGGCGCCGGAAACTCGCCCATGCTCGACACGAGCAAGCTCCGTGAGTGCCTGTTTATTCCGTAGTGGCTGAGGAGGGTGAGGAGCTGCAGTTGACAAAGTCCAGCGGGCGACGTCATGAGGGACAACGTCATGATGGTTGTTGACGACAAGCCTGGCAGGGGCTTCTAGGGAATGAAGGGGCCGAACGTGGCGAGTGTAGCCCGGACAACATTGTCGAACAAGGCAGATCCAGTGGAATGGAACGAATATGTACTGTACTGGCAGAAAAGAGAAAATGAGATGTATGTTTGTGGACAATAGAGGTTGATCCGGCCGTAGCGACGGCTGGTGCGATGGAGACCGGGGTGTGTATTTGGTTGTCCTTTCTTTCTCTCAGTTATGACCCACTGCACGCTGTATCCCCAAAGTACATGAGAGGAGACTCGTCTTTGCTGTCAACTGACACTCCCATGGCTGTGTATTGACATCAAGTAGGAAACACAGACACGGCCGAGAAAGAGACGGGGATTTTGAATCGTCATTGTGGCGGGCGCAGAACATCATCAATCCTCGCTCACCACACACCTTCTCGACATCTTCCACGATTCTCTTTCGTCACAACATGCAAAAGCAAAAGCTTCAACGTGCTAGCACACGTTATATACGACGTTGGAGAGATTCGAACTCTCGAGTGCAAAGCACATTACCTGATTGTGATTCAACAATAGCAAGGTAACCCGATAACCACTACGGGACAACGCCATCCACGAATGTGTCTGTGGGAATGGAGTTATATATTGGGGCATATACTGGGCACCATCTGCCGATGCGCTGAGATTGAGACTGTGTTGCCGTCCGAGTGCTCCATTTGCGGTTTCGCCTCGGCGAAGGGGAGAGGAAGACCAAGGGGTCCTGGCCCGCTCAGGCGAGTGTGGCGGTCGTCGACCAATCACAGTTGTGCCCTGGCCACCTTGGCAACACGCACACTTGCTGTCGGGATGCCCACTGTAGCGCGCCACTGGGTGAGGAAGGCTGTGAACGTCATACTACAATGGAATGAGCCAACAAAGAAGTTTGGGTTGGGGTCAGTGCGACAACGAGCACGGATGTAGAGTTGTTCTCCTGGTGGGCGCTGGGAAGTCTGACGACCACGTATTCCGCCCATGCAGATCGTATGTACGTCTCCCCGAGCCATGCTGGCACCTCGGTGCTTAATTGAGTGGTACAGCCTCTCGCTCTGTGCACATCCCGTCACATTCGCGCACCACATTGATTAGCCGGGACCGCGGTACCTCTGCTCGCCAAAGCAAAAATGCCCGCAAAACGACCACCATTGTTTAACATGGCGGAGCGCCATCGGTCCGGCGGCATGTCGCCGACGATCCGTACACCAAAAAGATGGAGAGAACAAGACGATTGGGCATGCCATACTTACTGCACCTGCCACTCCTTTTCATGTGGGAGGCCGGGGAGGCGAGACGAATTTCTCAACAGCGCTGCGCAGACGGTCGGACACGGCCGACGTCCGTCTCGCTTGACCGAGCATTGTCACTCTCGCCGCCACCGCCACGCCGCCGCCACTCGTCTCCAACCGATCCCTGCTGTTGCCGGGCCAACCCCGCGCCGGTGTGCATCTATTCCTGTATTGTGTCTCCGATAGCGTTCGTATCGGCATATTCACGGCCGTTAGCTGCCGGAGTTGCGCGACGCGGGCAGTTACTGCCCGGTGTAATGTACAGGGACCGGCGATGGGCAGAAAACAGAAAATTTTGGACAATGCTCACAGAGTGAGAGAGGTGAGAGAGGCGCTGTTGGGTCTGGAGTGTGGAGGGCATCGGCGATCAATGAGGGCTGACATTTTAATGGCCCAATATTGGCCCAAAAATGAGTGCGTGGCGGATTCCACTTCCACAAGGCTTCATTGTGCAGTGTGCTGCAGCGAAACAGAAAGTGTGACTGCAACGGACACTGGCATACCGACTACTAATGCCCATCGTACAAGGACCTAAAATGACTGATAACTACTTCTCACATTCTTCCCAAACGTCCACCGCACGCCTCCCCTCTTAGAGAATAAAGCGGAATGCAGGGTGGTCGTCGCCCAGGTTGAGGATGTCGTTGCGCGACATGCCCTCGAGACCCCACTTGCGGAGGTACTCGGGGTCATCAATGTCGTGGAGCTCCTCGGGGCCGGGGGCTGGGCCGTAGGTGTCCTCGCGACGCTTGTTCTCGCGCTTCATGCCAAAGTAGAGGATGACGGACATGATGCCGTTGAGGGCGGCGAAGGCGAGGGCGGCACCGTGGCCGGGCTTGTAGCGGGGCTTGTCCGAAGTGCGGTAGCAGAGCGAGGCCCAGATACCACCCGAGTTACCGGCCGAGAAGACCATGCCCATGGCGACGGCCTTCTTGTAGTGCGAGCCAAAGTTGTTACCGCACCATGTGATGGTGTTGGCGATCATGGGGGCAATGGCCATGGTGGTGAGGAAGACGGCAAAGTAGGCGGCACCGACGTGGGTGGTGGGGTTGACGCAGAGCAGGATGACGTAGCCGACGACAGCCAGCACCGACCAGAACATGTTGAAGATACCGCGCTTGAGCAGCTTGTCCGAAAGGAAGGCAGTGGCCATGGTGGTGATGAAGGCGAGGGCGTAAGGGGGCACCGAGAGCAGCAGCGACTGGGCGCTCGTCCACTTGCCGAGGGAAGCAATGATGGTGGGCGAGAAGAGCGACTGCGAGTAGATGCAGTGGGCACAGCCAATGTAGCAGAGCATGTAGGCGTAGGTCTTCCAGTCGGTGAAACCGCGAATGACAGACTTCTTGGAGTACTCGCCGTTCTGGGCAAGACCAGTGTCGGTGCGGAGGCGGAGGAGCACAAGCTCGCGCTCAAAGTCGGTAAGGAAGCGCGCGCGGTCGGGCCAGTCGTGGATCATACGGAACGAAAGGCAGGCAATGATGAAGGTAAGAAGGCCCTCCATGATGAAGATCCATGACCTGAGAGAGTCGTCAGCTGAGGAGCACATGTTTGCACAAGCTGTCGCAACTCACCAGCCAGCCTTGCCACCAATACCGTCCATCTGTCCCAGACTGAGAGAAGACGTCAGTAGTGCTCTTTGTGTCCTCCATCTTCCAGGTACTCACGCGTAGCCAAAGATACCACCAAAGGCGCCGGCAAGGACGGCACCGCCGAAGAAGAACGAAGTGCGCTTCGACAGCTCGTCACGCTTGTACCAGCCGTTGAGGTAGAAGTTGAGACCGGGGAAAAGACCAGCCTCGAAGAGACCCAGGCAGAAACGAAGGGCGACTGGTACGGTCAGCTTTGTTGCATGCAACGCGAAGCTGTCGCAGAGCCAGCACTTGGGAACACGGTCGGCGGACCAATCGCCACGGAGGCGATTTCACCGTGCCACAAGTGACTGTCTCGGTGGTTGCAGAAAAAAACACTCACGAAGCTCCTCGTAGTTCCTGACGAGACCCATGAAGATCTGGAAGAGCGACCAGCAGACCATGGTAGCCTGGCAGAGGTGTCAGCTGGTAGGCCTGGAGGGTGCCGAGACACGGCCCGACAATTGGTCCGAGATGTTGTGCTCTGCCACACTCACGGGAATGTAAATTGATGGCCTAAGCTTCTTAAGCACCATGTTCGAGGGCACCTCAAACGCGACGTAGGAGACGAAGAAGATGAGCGACGCGATCGAGTACTGGTGTGCGCTGAGGCCGAGGTCCGTGGAGAGACCCATGAGGTTGGCAGTACCGACGTTGACACCTGCGGGAGATACGTTAGCTACTTTTTTTTTTGCGCCCATCATCGCGTGACAAAACTTACGGTCAAGGAAGGACATGAGGTAGAGGAGGGTCATCCAGGGGACGAGACGCATGTCGATCTTGCGGAGGAGCTTCTTCTCAGCGAGAGCGCGCTCCTCGGGGCTCATGGCCATGATGGCGGCGAGGTGCTCATTGTGGAGAACGCCATCCTCCTTGCCGGTGACGGTGATCTGGTGCTGGTGGTGGTCGTGGTGGGCGTCCTTCTCTGGGTCCATGGCGTGGTGGGAATCCTTGTGGTCGGACATGGTTGGTGGTGGTGTCGAGAGGCGACTGGGGATGGAGAGGGGGAGAGTGTAGTGAAGTCTAGTGGCGGGCTCTGTATTAAATGTTGTTTTTGGATGATCAATCCCGCGCTGTGGTGAGATGAAGGGAGGCCCCTGGGGATGTACGTTGGGGACCCACCTCGAGACCACGTCGCCGACTTTTGTACTGATCGGCCTCGTACCGGTGTCTGGCCTTGTGCGATGGCGTCTGGGCAGCAGCGGGACCTCGACGGGACCTCGACTCACACCAAACCCGGAGTCATTGGCGCGTACTGGCGGTGCCGCACACGACCGGGATACCGGGGTTCTTGCCGGTGATGCGCCAGACTCTTGGGTTTTGCGGGTGGGAGTCGGCTAGGTGGGGCGGGGGAGCCCGTCTGGACGTCTGCATAAGGCTTCAGCGCAGAGGGCCCGGGAGAACACCTAGCGTAGCTCGTCCGTCCGTCCGCGACGGGCAAGTGGCGCGCCTCGAAGCAACTGACGCGGCCAACAGAGCCGCCGACAGCGGCGTTGCTCGCTGTGCCTCTTCCAGGACACGTTGGAGTGGGCGATTCTCTGGACCTGAGCATTAACAGGCATCACAACCGCAGTCTGAGCGAATGCGTAAGAGCAGAGGTGGACGTTGCCGAGCAGAGCCGTCCCTGCCGCGTTCTGCCGGGTCTGGCGCCACGGGTGTGTTGCGCGTGGGCCCATGTGCCGTCTGCCGGTGAGGCCGGATGCATCACGCAAAGGGAGGATGCCTGATATCCTAGCTCGCAGCGCACCTGACCGGACTCGATAGTTCGGCATTCCACAGAGAAACCCGCAGCAGGACAAGCATGGCCACCGAGTCGATGAAAATGTGCATACTTGGTGTACCAGGCCAGATGCGATTGCTATGGCGCAGCAAGTGCGCCAGAAGAACTGTTGCTTGATAAACGCGTACACCCACCCCAACGACAAACGGCATCCGGGAGTTCCGTGATGATTAATGTGCCGATTATGGTGCGCGATCCGTCTGTGTTTTACTTTTTTTTCCGCGGTTTGCCGTCTTGTCACAACGCCATGGATCCATCGACGGCCAGGACGGACGGAAGACACGCGGGGCCGTTGCTCTCCACGGGGTACGTCGGCCGAAACGAGTGCGAGCCCATCAGCTGACGTCGATTGCAACGCATAAGATGGTGTCCTGAACATGTCGAGTGGGGGTCCAGGGTGGGCGGCGGGGGCGGCAAACAGGAGCGAGTCCCATAGGTGGACAATAGTTGCCGCATTCCTCTTGCCACAACTCCGGATTGCTGGCCATACGATGACTGGTTGAACGACAAGGGACACGAGGTCACGGCGGCTTGGCGTTGGCCTATTTTTGCGGTAAGCGACCAGGGGTTTTGACGAGAAAAGAGACGAGACCACAGAGAGCCCGGGAACGACAGCCCAGACCAAAAAGGGCGGATGTACCAGGATCCCCCCAAACCGGTCTGAAAGGTTTGGTCTGGCTTGACGGCCCATCACCGATCTCATGGCAGTGGAACTCGCCAGGTCGTAGGCATCAGACCACAACGGGCAGGGTGCTGGTGCTGTTTAACCATTGTCCTGCAGCTGTCTGGGCTAGCCCTGTAGAACGCAGGGCCCGCGAAAACACCGTCGTGTTCGGTAGAAAAGGTCAGACACACCCCGGGGCGACTTTGATCCCCGTCCTGGACTGCGGCTTTCGGTCTGGTCGAGTCGACCGGAGACGCCGAGTCGTTCTACAGCAGCTGTAGTCACAATGTACAATTTTCTCCTTCGCCAAGCTCGCCCGTGGGCACACGTAGCTTCTGGCGGGCATGGCCGCATGCCGCCTGGTCGAGCGACAACAGGATGATGACCGGTTGTCCCGCGGTTGAAGCTGCAACGAGTGCGGACAAAGCAAAAAAAAACAAGCCCCGTCGAACGCCTCTCTCTCCAAAGAGTGAATGTCGTACCGTAGTACTGTAGCTGCCTATCTCTACCAAAGTGCTGGCGCAATCCTCGAAACGTCATGCGACACAATAGTGTGGCTCTGTTCCTCAGTGACATGCCCTCCATGCCGCCCATAACCGCCACAACCGAGCGACGCCCAAGTGGCCCGAAGCACGCATGCTCCCACGGCGCCGCCACCTCCGTCCTCGTGACCATTGCGCGACCGGGGACCGAGTAATGTCTCCTCTCCCCAGATCCTCCAGACGATGGCAGCCCTTTTGTCCGCGCGGTATCCGCACCACAGCATCAACGCTTGTGACTGATTACTAACGCTAGCCCACCCCCACACACCTAATCAGCGCACATTCCGCGGGGTTGGCCTATCTCTCCCCAACCAGAGCACGGGCTGCTGTGATGCAGATCGATGGCTGCGACATGGCGCAGGACTTTAGAACGGCAAGGGAGCCTGAAAGAAGGCGGGGGGAGAGCATGGGGGAAGCAGGCAGGCAAAGTGAATTGAAACGTCGGCGACGGTGGACATGTTCCGAAGCGGTCCCTGTTGGATACGCGTCTCATGATTTCATGTTCCGAGCGCGTCTCGCGTTTTTGTGGGGTCGGTGAACCCTCCCCGCACTGCCAAGCCCGAGATAAGACCCACATTGGGCCCCCGTGGTCTGCGTGGAGCATGCGTGAGCACATCAGGAGCGACCTGCGCGGCCAAGGATGAGGTGGGCTGTCGAGGATGAATGGGGTTGTGGGGGTTGTGAGGAGACCCGAGTGGTGTATTGTGTTTTCCCCGCATTTCTCTAAAGATTCGTCTCCCTCCCTGGCTAAGAGTGCTTAGATTGTGGGTAAGCCTTCGTCTGCGAACGATGGTCTGCGAGGAATTGCCTCCACGCGCTTCAAGTAGACACAGGAGAATGTAAATACGCAGCAGCCGGGCATGACTGCGACATGGTGTTTTGGTCCATACGTGCGAGTGAGATGACGTCGACGTATCCCATCGCTCCCTCACCAAGCTCACTCTACTTCTCCAAGGAGCGCAACGAGGACCCCGTTTCTACAGTCTCCAAGCCATCTCGCATAAGAAATGCACAGCTAAACCATAGGCAGACAGTTCCAGAAACCCAGAACACGCCTAGACATGGCCAGACAACATCCTCGTCGCACGCCACAATGTGCACGCGGTACCTCGCCCTGTTGGTTCCTAAGCACTTCACGTGCCCCTTGCTAGCAACATTTGGCCCACTTCGCAACATGATATTCCGCTCCTTGAACCCCAACCCCATGCATACCTGTACGTTAGGAGTATAGGAGTGCGCGTGTGATGGGTTGTGAGCGTGCGTTGTGTTGTTGTCTTGGCATGTGGCAGTGAGGCCAGTGTCCATGCGCGAGTCGCTTGGCAAGTCGGAGCTGGAGGAACAAACTTCCCGTGTGCTTTCCTGGATTTCCTGGCTGTGGGCCATATTACAGCACCTGCTCCTGGCTTGCTATCATCCACAGGCAGGAGGGAATACAGGAGGTGACTCTGGGCGATGAATACGTGGTAGAGGTGGGCTCAAGACGAAGACTGGTACCTGGCAGCCACGAGCTCAAATGGTGTATGGCGCGTGCAACTCCCAGACACCACGGCCATGTTCGCATCTCCTCTGTACCCACATGACCGACCGACTAGTGTTCACGTTCACGTACAGTACAGTACGTGTCAATTTCACCCTCAGACAATGGGTTGTTGGAAGTGAAATGGATGTGCAAGGCGTCAGCCAGAGTGGCATGAGGCTGACCTCGTTCAACTCCCTGACAACCTGACCAATCGAGACGCCGAGAACGCCAACACGTCCAAATGACAGACACCATGACCTCTTTCTTCGCGCGTCAAGTACACCCACCACCTGCTGCGATCCCGTTTGGCCGCCATTCTGCGTCCACACGCAACCCGACACTGCCCCAACCCCTCGCCAACCTTCCCAACCACCACCTGGCCCGCCCCTCGAGTCCAAAAGAGAACACCTCTCGAACCAGATGGTTCTTGTGCTGCTGCTGTACACCGTAAGGGAGTCGAACCCCTGCCGCGTCGATGGCAACGACGCATGATACCGTTTCACCAACGGTGTTGAGATGTTACAGATTCAGTACGTGTCGACAAGAGAGGTGGAGCAGAATAAGGGAAGGTCACATTTTGGGTTACTGCCAGTTCAAATCGGACAGGCGTTGGGATGCAGTCGTTAATAACAGCACTGGGTGTATACAAGCATATAGTGTGTTGGGGTACGGCCAGTGGCCTGTGGCTGCGGTGCTCAGACGATGGGGTTGGTTGCATTGATCTGCACGGGTGGAACGTCGTTGTCAAAATGACGCTAACAAAAAAATAAATAAAAAAGATAAACAGCCGCGTCCTTTACGCGTCCTTCACTAGCGCAGACAAATGGCCGCATCAGGTAGAGCCAACAGGACCCCTTTGACCTGTACATACATGGCAGTTCGCAGGCCACAGGGGCCACGGGGGGCGGAAGAGCCGGTTTCAAGCGGATACTGCTAGCACACGGACTGGCACTCGCGTTGCGTGTCTATACGGCTCTTGTGCCGACTGTAACCGCTCTACCTGATGCTACCCAAAACACGAACACCACGCTGTACGAATCATTATACCATGGCATCTCTTTTCGGGTATACAAGATGCGGCAAAGACATGTACTGTACCCCGTTCTTACTCTTACTCTTACTAACTACGTATGCGCCAAAAAACACGATGGCCCTCTGAGCAAATAAAATAAATAAATAAAATCAAAAACGGAGACACTCTCGGTCTACTGTCGTAAAAAAAAAACGCTTCTTCCGCTCTATCGCGCCGGGGTCGCGCGCCCATCCTCGCCGGTGACGTACCCGTTCCCATCGCTATCGCTCACGCCATCGGGTGTTGTGCCCGCTGCGCCGCCCTGGCGCTTGTGCTCGTGGTGGAGGGACACGTTGGAGCGCGCGAGCGAGCGCTCGAGCTTCTTCTCCCCCTGGCGCTGGACGCGGAGCTGGATGGCGTTGCGCAGCGCCTCGACAAACGTCTCGTACTTGAAGATCTCCGAGTGGATGTAGCGCGACTTGGCGGTCCAGTTGTCGCGTGCGCGCACGGCGTTCTTGGATCCGGGCGAGTACAGGCGTGTCATGGGTTCCTCGACCGACTTGTGCTGGTTGAGCTCCTCCTTGAGGCTCTGGACGTACGTCGCGAGGCTCTCGAGCTGGGCCTCCTCGTCGAGCGTCGAGGGCATGGTCGCGTGGGGTGGGGGCTTCCACTCGTTGACCTGCAGCTTGTCGAGGTTGGACGCGGCGTTGCGCACGCGGTTGATGGCGCCGAGCCGCGTACGTGCTGACCGCACACTGGCGCGGTCGTGGTGGTCGTCGTGCTGCTCGTCGTCAATGTGGGCGGCGCGGTTCCACCCGTATTCCATGTTGGACACGCCGCCGACCAGGGGCTGGCGACTCTTCCGGGCCGCCCAGTAGTTGCACGTCGCCACCCATTCGGCGACGAGCTCTTCTGTCCCTGCTTGGAAGACGCTGATCTCGCCCGACGGGAAAGTGACCGTGAAACAGTATGGCCTGGATGCCGAGTACCCGGGCTTGGGGAGGGCCATGGCCATGGCGTGCATGAGGCTGTACTCGCCCGACGTCTTTGCGTTGGACATCCAGTTTCCGCCGCCGACAGCGCCGCCACCGCCCATGCTCGAGCTGCCACCCTGGCCAAACACAAACATGTGCAGGTCGCCCTTTTGGATGACGACAAAGAACTGCTTCCAGTCCTTTTTCTGGGGCTTTTTGCCAGCAGCCTCGACCTGGATCTTGCGTGACAGGAGACCCTCTTTGGCCCATGGCGCACCGAGGAGCGCGAGCTCGTCGTCTGTCAGCTCCTCGAGCGACACGGTCGTGGGGTTGGAGCGCATGCTGTGCGTCTCGTCCTCTTGCTCCTTGATAACCGTGTGCGACAGGTTGCCAGCAAACCCGAGCGCCGGGGTAAAGGCCTGGTACTGGTCTCCGATCGAGTTTGAGTACGAGGGTGGGGTGGGACTCAGCCTGCCGTCCGAGTGGCTGAACATGGCGTTGCCGTTGTATGGGTTGTTATTGCTCTGGGGACGGCTGGTACGCTTCATGCCGGTAATGGCACCTGCGACGGCACCTTGCATGACGCCCACGGCGCCGGCACCGCGCTGGTTGCGGTTGATGGAGAAGCCGCCGAGCGAGACGGTCGACTGGCGGTCGGTGTCTGGGTGGTGCGACGCCATGGGCAGCAAGATGCGCTCGTTGCGGACATTGGTGTAAATCTCCTTGAGGAGGGTTTCGGCCTCGGCCTCCCATGCCTTGGTGTAGGTGAACGAGTTGACGGTGGTGGAGCTGGTTGCGCGCGAGCGAAGGTCCTGAGTCGAGATGGAGGTGAGGTCCGACACGGGCGATGCGAGGCTGCCAGACGCGTTGCGCGGAGTGGTAGCGGCACTGGGTGTGCGCATCCGGATGCTGGTGGTAGACTGGTTGGCCGACGACGGGTCGAGGTTGCGCAGGCTGCCGCTGTCGTTGGGGTTTTTAGTGAAATCAGGAGTCAGCTCGCGCTCGGCGGGCATGCTCTCCTGGATGGCGCGCATCGAGTTTCGCACAAAGTCATGGCGCGACATGTGCTTTTGCAGGTCGGCAATGTGCAAGTCGGTGTTGAGCATGAGCATGGCACCTGTGACAGTGTGGACGACACCAGGTGTGCCCAAGACGGTGCTCGGGTTGCAGTCATAGTAGCGGGCCGAGAAACCCTCAATGATACGGTCAATCTCCTGCGACTCGGCCTTGAGGTGGAGCTTGGCGCAGAGATCGCGGAATGCCTGGTCGAGCTTGACGGCGCGCATGTCAAAGTACTGCATGTAGTACCTCAGGGCGGCGCTGTTAACCTGGCGGGGCCCTCCGAGGAACATGGCGACCTTGTCGGTCGGGATGTGGGTGATGTCGCCGTCGATAAACTCGGACGCCAGCTGGCGTCCGCGCTCCTCGTCAATCTCGGACATGTCGTTGAGGTTTGTGGTAGACAGGTCCGGGGAAGATGTGACCTCGATGGCAATCTGGGATGTGCTTGCTGTGAGTTCGGAAACGGTAACGGGTGTCACTGTCGATCCGTTACGAGCTGCTGCAGTTGACCACTCGCCTTGCTGCGACTTGGGACTCGCAACAACAATGGAAGGTTCCCTCACAGGCGTCTGAGCGTTGTCGACGTCGGAGAGATCGTCCGTTGGGACCGCGGGGAGCTTGGACTCGGGGGCCGCTTGCTCAACTGGCAGCTCGGGCAGAGGCTGCTCTGTAGTGTCCGTAGGCGAGCGGGCGATATCAGCAGCAGACGAGTACGGTTCGCTTGCCGGGGGGAGGGGGAGGGGGAGGGGCTCGGGGCCAAGACTTTCAGGACTGCGTGCAGGAAGAGTCGGCGAGTGGTCCGGGTACGGTGAGGGACGGGATGTGACCGGGTAAATAGCAGCGTCGGCAAGGTGTTCTGTCGACTCGGGTTCAGCTACGTGATGCGTTGCTACAGCAACTCCACCAGCGGCGGCGGCGGCAGCAGCAGCAGCAGCGGCAGCTCCACGCCCACCAAGGGCGCCGTGTTCTCCGTGCCCGATGCGTTCGAGAAGGCCAGTGACGTCGTCGGTAAACGACGAACCCGCGTGGCGAGCAGCGCCTGGGGCTGGTGCAGGTTGGCCTTGGCCTTGGGCGGCAGAAGCCGCGCCCTCGGCCGTGGGCTTGCGCGACGCGGACCGGCTTGGCACCGACTCGTAGGTATCGGTACGCGAGGCCGTGACGTGGACGATTGTTGACGGTCCAGCGGCCACAGACGACGCGACAGACGCGATCGATGCGTTGCGCGTGTGAGTCTTTGAAGTCTTTGGCGACGACTCGAGAATGACCTCGGCGCTGTCGTCGTTGGTGTGTACAGAAGCAATGGACGACCGGCCCTCCCTGGGGACAATGGGAACCGACGGGCGCTGGGGGATTGGTGGCCGCACGCTGTTGCCGTTGGTCGGTTGTTGCGCTGATGCGTCAAACGTAAAAGCCGGGTTTCCTGGGAACTGCGGGGAGGAGGGGAAGTGGGAGTTGGACTGGAGGTGTGGGGATGTCTGGGATGCTGGACTCAAGTCGACTTGAGAGCGTGCTGCAAGACTGATCTGAGAAGAGGAAGTGAGGGGCTGTTTAAAAGTTAGCGCGCGCACTCTTGGTATCTATCATATACGGGAGGGGGAGTGGGCAATGGGGTGGGAGGGGGAGGGGGTGGGAGGGGGACACGCGCAACGTAGCGGATGGGCAGGTTACCCGCAAAAGATGGGGCCATTGGCTGGGCAGGACCCCGTCTTGCGGGCCCGTTCAAGCGCAGACTGGTGCCTGCACCGAGGGGCAAAGCGCGGAGACATGTGCATGCACCTGCATTGCTTGGGCGTCGCACGCATCGATCGGGACGCCGTTGCCCTGCATGCGACTCACTCCGTGAAGCTGCTTATCCGAAGACGTCGAGCCGAACATGCGTCCAAACATGCCCTTTGGCTTTGAGCGCTTGATCTTGGTCGTGTCAGTTGGCGCGTTGTTACTTTTGCTTTTGGACTCGTGGTGCAAAACCACATCAGCCGCCGACGCGCCGCCGCCACCACCGCCGGTCCCCTAGATGCCCCGCAAAAACGAAAACAGACAAAGAGGAGGAGAGGAGGATGAGGAGGGGGAGAGGGAGGAGAGAGGGGTAACTCACTTTGTCGTCCATGGATGCTGTCCGCTGCGGCCCATAGTCCTGAGGGCCCTCGACGATGGTGGCCATCCCGCGCTGGTCGGGCACCTGCTCCCAGTCCCCTGGACGCGGGGAGGGATGGCTCCTTGACGAATTCCGCGTAGGCGTTAGTGAAGACGTGGAGGTTGAGAGGTGCGACGACAGCGAGCCCGAGGTGGGCTGGTGTGAGGACGAGGTCGGCATGGGGTGCTTGGCTGCCTCCTTGGCTGTCTGCTGCTTTCCGGACTGCTTGCGGCCGCCACGGATCAGTGTGGAGAGGTCGGGTGTCGAGGCAGTGCCAGAGGAGCGGAAGATGGAGCGGCGCTTGGGGGTGGTGGCCTGGTCCTCTGCCTTGATCTCGGCTGTACGATGGCGTCAGTGGGGGTGTGCTGCATGCAATAAGAGACACAGAGACAGAGAGACAGAGAGGAGCAAAAGGTACAGCGGCGCACAGAGGACGGGTATGCACGCCCGCGGGTGGATGGTACAGCGCATGGGCCGCGAGAGCCCAGTCCACAGGAGCGCAGGAGAGCGGAGGTGGGGGGAGGGGGGAGGAGTACGCACCATCGAGACCGAGGCTCATTTGCTGCTGCATCATCATCTTGCGCTGGTGGATCCTTGCCGCGCTGTTGGATCCTTGGTTGGAGGAAGAACGTCCAGCCGAGTCGTTGGACGCGACCGACTCGCGGCGGTGGGGGCCTGCCGACGATGGAGAAGGAGGGTGCATGGCTGCTGCAGCGGCGGCGGCGGCGGCCTCACGGGCGGCGCGGTCGCGCTCGCGCTTTGCGCGTAGCTTTGCAGCAGCACCTCCGCCCGTGGCGACGTCCTCGCCCATGAGGGACTCGGTGGCATGTGATTGCTTGGCCGCGGAGCGCGACGACAGCATGGCGGGGGGAGGAGTTGTGGGAGGGGACGAGTACGAGTCTGTAGTGGACTGGGAACGGCGGTGGTATGACGCGTGGTCTGCAGGCTGTTGAAAATAGTCGTCCTCTGCTTGACCTAGTTCTTGTTCGTCGTCGTCGTCGTCGTCGTTATCGGCGGCGAGATGGTGGGAAGGAGACGTGGACAAGTAGATGACGTCGTGTGGGCGACGGAGCGCGTCTTCAAAGTCGTGATGAGTTCTCCTCTTTGTCGGGGTGGTGGAAGGGGAGGAGGAGGAGGAAGAAGAAGGGCGAGGAAGTGTTGTTGTTGTGCTGCGGGTCGTGATTGGCGGCGACGACGAGGGGGATGAGGATGCAGGGGGTTGGGGTGGATTTGATGGACGTGCGGGGACAGAAGGATGCGATGGTGGGGGTGCTGTGCGAGACGACTGTTGTTGCATGTGCGGGGTGGAGTGGGGCGAGAGGGGCGCGAGGGGGGGTGCAAAGTGTGGGCCAGCCAGCAGCGAAATGCTGGGTGGTGCGAAGGAATGCGACCCGGGGCCGTTGGGTGGGGGGGGGTAGGGGGTGGTTTGGATGGGAGAATGAGCGATGCAACGATGAGAGGGAGCGAAAAGAGTTGCAGCGCGCGTGGATGGGCGAGAGAGAGACAGAGAGCGAGAGAGAGGCGTTGGGCAGCGCGGTATGTGGCTTGCCGGGTGGATTTTGGATCGATTTGGATGCGTGTGGCTGTTCTCGCTAGTGTGTGGTGTGTCTCTCGTGCGTTGGTGGGTGGGTGGACAGCGATGGTGACGGCTGCGGCTGCGGCGACGGTGGGTGGTGTTAGAGTTGAGACACGGGGGCCCGTCTCGCTCTCTCTCTCCTCGATCCTCTCGATTGAATAGAACATTACAGCCCTTTGCCCATACCGTGCACTCTGCCATGACACGCACGCCCACATGATTACTCCGGCGCAGGCAGCTTGTTCTCGCTTCCCGCAACACGCCCACACTGCTGCTGCTGCTCTTCCTCCTCTCCTCTCTCTTTCCCTCTCTCGCTGCAATCGACGCAACGGCAGCGGCAGTCACCTCGAGCGAGCGGTCTGGCCCAGATGGCCAGATTCCTTTTTGTGTCTCCCAATCCTTCATTCCCCCCCTCTCACCAAGGCACCCGCGCGACTCTCTTCCCCCTTTTCATGTGGGCGGCTCTTGTGGCTCTGCAACAACGACACGAAATGGTCGCTGCGTCACACACGTTATGCTTTTTGCCATATGGTTGTTTTGATACCCTGGGACAGAGAGAGAGAGAGAGAGCCTGGCACCAGGCATGCAACCCCCCTCGCCCTGGCTAACCACCAGTCGTGTCGAGGGCATGGAAAGCGTAGAAAAAAGGAGACACAGCAGTCAGCGTCTCCCATATCCCCCCCCCCCCCCCCCCCCCCTTGCCCCGCTCTGCCTCTTACGTTTTGTTCTTCTCTCTCGATACAGCTAGAACAGGATAGTTGCAGGACGCGGGTCCACCCGTGCGCTCTGCACGGTTCTCCGTGCCGTTCACGCGTCGCCAGCACCACACGGCCACACGGCCACACGGGCCGCCCCGTCCTGTTCTTCTTCTGTGCGACCTGTGCCACAATCCCGTGGGCCCGTGTCTCGTTTTCATGCCTTCTGCATGCCTTCTGGCTCGGTGCAGAGGGCCGTGAAAAAGGGTACGTATCTATCGTGTCCTGTGGATAAACGCCTCATTGTCGCGCGTGCGCTGCTGCTGCCTTTTGAACCGTGCTCTCCTGATCTTCCTGCTGCCCGCGGGATATCCCTGTGTTCAGTACATGAACCTCGCGCCTTCCTCTCGTCTCGTCTCGCCTCGTCTCGCTCCTCTCTCCTCATCCCGGCCCCGCCGGCTGGTACTGCATCTCTCGGGGACGTCGGGACAGCGCGCGCGCGCGCGTGTCTGCCAGCCAAAGAGATCAAAAGAGAACGGACAGGCGCGTAAAAGGTGTGTGCCCATGTTGCCCAAAAGGCTTCCCGCGTGGCGCACTTGCGTCCCGCGGGGGCTTGGGAAGCAAAAAACGACCCTCAATCCGTGCTCTCGCTCTGGGATCTCCGACCCTCTCGTCTGTCCCGCGTCGCGCTCCCGTCCATATTCCATATGCACCCACCCCGTCTCCACTGCCGTCACAGCGTCATTCAACCTCAAACCTCGAACCTCGAACCTCACTCATGCCGTCATCGCGCTCCAAGCGCGCCGTATAGTGTAGTTTGTTTTCTGCTCGTTTCTTTAAAAAAAAGTCACATACACACGAAACAGAGGCGTCCCCAGCTACGCGGGGGCTCACCCGTCTCTCCATCTCTCAAACTCTCATTCTCTCTGGCACCCATCTCGACCATAGCGACACGACACAACTACCGGCTGGGGGGGGGTCGTCCCCCTCTCTCGCACAATACAAATCTCCTTCTCCGTCTCCGTCTGGGTCTCCGTCTCCGTCTCCGTCTGGGTCTCCGTCTCTGTCTCTCCGTCTCTCACGCTTTTGACCTCCTTTCCACATGTACGCACTCTTGAAGGAGACACGTTGTACTCGTGTACATACGCGTCTGCTCGCTCGCTTACACACTCGCTCACTCCACGCCTACTCCTCGTACTCGATGCGACGCGACGTACGGCGCGAGCGACGCCCCGAGCCGCCCGAACCCTCGCCGCCGCCGTCGTCGTCGCCGGCCGACGAGCCCGGTCCCCCAGACGCAGCGGCGATGGGAGCCACGGCGGCAGGAGCCTGGGCGGTAGCTGGCGCGTCGGCGTCGCCACTCGGGCCGGCAGCGGGCACGGCACCAGCGGGGATGGCGACGGGGACGTACGCCCACCCGCAAGGAGCGCCGTTACGCTTGGCCTTCTGGAGCTGCTTGGGCGTCGCGCGTGGCAAGGGCGGTCCGTTGGCTTCCTCGGGTGGAACCTCCTTCCTGGGGCGGCCGGGCTTGCGCTTGACAAGGCCAGTGACAGACGACACGGCGCTGCCGACCGCGGCGCCGATCGTGTCCATCTTGCGAGGACGACCGGGACCGCGCTTGATGGGGTAGGGCACCGGGCGGTTGAACAGGTTCGTCAGGCGGATACGGCTGGGACCAGGGGCGTCGCCGTTCTCGGTGGGCTCGGCCTTGGCGGCGACCCAGTGGTTGCCGGTAGGCTGGGCAGTGGTCGGAGCAGCGTCTGCGGCTGGAGCGGGGGCTGGGGCTGGGGCCGGCTCGGCCGCGGCAGTGCGGGGGACTGAAGACTTCCAAAAGTTGTTCACCATGGCTGGGTTAGGGCCCGCGGCGGGGACCGCGGTCGAGGGGCCGGCAGCGGCGTTCGAGGGCCCAGCAACGGCGTTGGCGTTGGACGCGCTCGAAGGAGCGGCCCTCGAAAGACCAGCCACCCTGGACAGACGAGCGACAGTCGCAGCGCCGACCGACATGGTAGTGGTCTGGCCGGCGAGAGCGTTCTTGCGAGGACGGCCACGGGGACGCTTAACAAGGGGCGCGTCGGGGTCGGGCAGGGGGTGGATGCGAGGACGGCCACGCGGACGCTTGATGAGCTGGAAGCCTTCGGGACGAGGCTTGGGAGGACGGCCACGCTTGCGCTTGATGGGTGTCTCGCCAGCAGGTGTTCCGTCGGCAGACTCGGGCACAGTCGAGGTGGACAGAGGGTGCTTGCGAGGGCGACCGGGGCCACGCTTGACTGGGGTGACCGGCACAGCACCGACCGACGGAGCGGCGGCAACAACAGGGGCAGGGGCGGGGGGCGCGGGGGCTGGAGCCGGAGCGGGGGTGGGGACAACATCAGCAGCAGCAGCAGCCTTCTCTGCGCGTTTGGTCTTGGTGTCCTCCTTGGCCGCGGCCTTGCGTTCCTCCTCCTGCCTGTCCGACTCGAGCTGAGCAGCGCGGACCTTGGCCGACTTTTCGCCTTGCTTGCGACCAAGGAAACCAATGCAGTTGGGGGCACCGCAGAGGCAGCGTTGGCGCATGTCGTCCTTTTTGAGCTCGATGGAGAACGAGTCAAAGTTGTAGTCGTAGAAGAGCTGGGCGATTTGTTAGCTATTATTCCGTGATTTTTAAATTCCCCGGTTGTTTTTTTGTTTATTTTTATTTTTATTTTGGGAAAAACAGCACTAATAAAGAAACACATACCTCTTCGCCAGACTTGATGTCGCGCAGGGCCCACATGCCGACTTCAAACTCTTCAAAGCCGTCGCCCATGGTCTGCAGCTTGCGCACCTCGAGGTTGGGTTGACAGCCGTGGTTGATGAAGCGGGCATCGTTGCCACGGAGACCCTGGATAAATTGCGTCAGCTATTGTCGGCTCCCACCATCCGGGGTGGCGGTGTGAAAAGGGGAGGGGGCTGCGCATGTGTCGCAGATTCGTCCACCCCGGATGCATCCACACTCACAGCATCAATGACCTCGTTGCCGTCGTACGCAAGAGCGTAGTAGTTGCGCTGAGACTTGTATTCTGATTCAATGCGTTCGATAAAAGTGCTGTATGAGGTTAGCATGTTTTTTTTACATATATATCCGAAAAATGCTCGGAAATTTGATCCCACTTGATATGAATCACCTGCGCGCCAGCGTCAGCTCTCCAGCACGATCTGCAAACCGCGGTTAAAAAAACGGTGCACTCACGTCGCCACGGTAGTCTGTCACAAAGTCGCCTTCGGAAATATCCTCAGCGGCAAACAGGCCAAAGCCACGCGCCCCGGTCTGATCCGTCAGTTTGACCGCCTCTCTCCCTCTCCCAGGCACCACCAAAACACCCATCAACATGACTCACCCACACCACCTTGGTCGCCTTGCCCTTGCGACGCGCGAGGCTCTTGTTGCCGCACAGCTCGCCACAGGGGCAGTCCTTGCCGCACAGGTAGCTCATGATGCGGTTGATGCAGTTGTCGCTGCACCCCTCCGTCGGCTCGCAGTTGCAAGTGGCGGGGTCTTCGGCGGGGCATTTAGGCCGCTCGATAAACTGATCTGCGCCGAGGGTCAGAAATTCGCCACCGCCTCTCGGAACCACGATACTCACTCGAACGCAGCTTGGTGTAAAAGGGTGGACGCTTCTTGCCGTCCAGGGCGCCCGTTTCGCTCTCCCACATGATGTTGTACGGGAGCACAAACTCGCGCTCGGTGCCGAAAAAGTGCACATGTCCGTGGTCGAGGGGAAGAGGAGGGAACGAAACGCCCTCCCCCTCCGCAGTGGGGATCGGCGGCATCGGGGGCAGACTTGCGAGGGCGTCCAGGGCCACGCTTGACGGGCTCGCCGCGCTGTGCGAGAACACGGTTGACAAGCACACGGTCAGACGACGGCTGCTCGTCTTGGCAGTAAAACCCGGCGGTCATGTAATCCTTCATCTTTGATGGGTTGGGCTCCGGGGCTTCCTTGGGTGCCGCGTTGGCAACAGGGGCGGCGGACGAGGACGTGTTGGAAGGACCCGCAACGGGTGGCTCGAGTGTGTGTTCCTCATCCTCCTCGTCCACCTCGTCCTCCTCCTCCGCATCAGAGGTAGTGGTGCTGGTGGCTGGGGTCGTGGGAGCACGCGTGCGAAGGGTAATTTTACGGGCGACCGTGGCAGTCTGGATAGCTGTGGCCTTGATGCGCTGTCCGATGGTACCAGTCACACCGCCGACGGCGACAACCTTGGGTTGAACCTTTGCAATGGGAGCCTTGCGGGCCGGGCGGCCACGGCGCTTGAGCGGAAGCGTTGTGGAGGCGGCGGCGGCGGCACCACGGGTGACGCGGGTCTTGTCTGCGATTTCCCACTTGTCGTCCCCCATCTTGTCCTTGACAAAGTTCTTGGCCGCAACAACCACATGGGCATCGGGCTGGAGTGCGGCGAGAACGCGGTCGCTGCTCACAGCGCGAGGGGGGCTAGGGGCGCGTGCGAGGGGGAGAGCGGGGAGCTTGTTTGCCGAAAAGAATGTGCGCTTCTTGCGCGGTGGCACCTGTTGGGACGACGCCTTGAGCCTAGGCATGGTGGGCGGTGCTCAAAATTTAACCAGTAATTTTAGCGGCGCGTGGAGATGTGCTAGTGGGATGCCAGCTGATGCATGTTGTCAGCTGGGTGCAGAATGATTTAATGGGGGCAAGACGAGATAATCATACCGATTTTCAACGAGGCACCTTGATGGAACGCGTATGCCCGGGCGGGGGCGAGCGGTGGGTCGCGTATGAGTGGTGCTGTGGGTGGTGGTGGTGGATGGGGATGGGTGGATTAGGTGGGGATGGATGATGGGTGTTGTTGGGGTGCTGGACGATGATGGATAATATAAAGACAAGGGAGGATTGAAAGGAAGGAAGAGAGGAATGGGAGAGACACCACGCGCCGCTGGGGGTGTGGGTCAACAACGGAGGCTATTTATTTGGCCACCAAAAGGCCTGGTTATTCTTTGTCGCCATTTCATTGCATCACCCTCGATCCCCTCTCTCGACCCAAACCTCGACGCGCGATGCGCATAAAACTGCACACCCTCGCTCCGTTGCCAGAGCGCAAGGTTCTCTTCCCAGTGAACAGTGCACACACCGTCGCCGCCCTCGCAGAGCAAGTGTGCGCTTCTGTTATCACACCAGCAATCTCACGAGGACGTCCTCCACGAGCTCACGAGCTGGTCCTCGAGGTCGACGGCTTTGAGCTCCTCCCAAACAGCTCTGCAAATGTGCTGGAACAAAACGACGTTGTAACGTGGGTTGCTCGTTCTTGTGTGCGATGTCTAACCCCGGCGCAGTGTCCGTCTCAAGCCCGGCTCCAGCAAGAGACAGGCAATCTCCCCAACTCGTGAGGGCTCCGCCGCCAAGCGACTCAGGCATACGCGCCCCGAGTCTGTTCCCCTCCCCGAGTCATCCGAAGACGGCGATAAGGATGTAGACATGCCCTCGGCTTCGTCAGACTCGAGCGCATCTGCATCATCGTCGTCCTCAGAGTCATCCTCTGAGGAAGAGTCGTCATCTGAGAGCGAGAGCGAGAGCGAGTCCTCGTCGTCGTCGGATTCCGAGTCGGACGCACCCCGTCCAGCGCCTACTCGTCCTCCTACCCACCTCACCCCTCTCGAGACCCATATTCCTCCATTCCAAGGCACGACCGCAACGCACGAGCGCAACCTCCGCCGTCGCCGGGCGAGGCAGATGAAGAAGCTCGCCGCCGCCGCCGAAGCCACCGGAGAGCCGCTGGACGCTGCGATCGCTTCTGGGTCTGCTCTCCTGCCCTTGCCATTCACGTTACCGCCCCTCCCATCCCTTCAAACCACCACCGTTCCGACTACCCAGCAACTTCCTGTCCCGCGCCAGATGGAAAACAGGAATAAGAAGCGCGGCTTCCTCCGTGACAAGGGTTTCCAGGCGAACGGCACCAAGACTGTGTTCGCAGAGGGCGAAGGTGGAGGCGAGAGCGACGAGGTGGTCTCAAGTGGTGTCCACGGGGCGTCGGCGTCGCCTGTCCCCGCTCCCAAGGAGCCCACTCCGGAACCTCAGCCTCAGCCTCAGGAGGACACCTCCCGCTCTGCCCCGCCGACCCCCATCCGCGTCCCGGAACCTACCCCGCACGCGCGTCTTGTTCCTCCCAGTGAAAAGACAAACCTTCCCAACAACGTCTTTGTCACGTCGCGCGTGTTCCCGTTCATGACGGACAATGCGAGGCGGAAAAAAGAGAGGCAGCGTGCGGAGCGTAAGGAGGAGCGTAGGGAAGAGCGACAGCAGCAGCAGCAGCAACAGCAGCAGGAAGAGGAGGTCGACTACTCGCAAGGTCTGCCCTATGGCGATGCCGACGAGGACGAAAGGCGCGTCCCAGCTCCACGCGAGTCGCGAGCGAACGGCCATGCCAACGGAAACGCCAGCGAGGAGGCCAGTGGGTCAATGTGGACCGACGTCGACGCCGCTTTCGACAGCTTGCCCAAGGTGTCTGACACCCTCGCGGTCGGCGCTCTTGTGGCGTGGAAGGTGAGCTGAACTACCTGAGAACCGCATAGCTGACAATCTCAGGAAGTCGTGCTCGACTTGACCACGTTTTCGCCCGAGCTCCAGCTCATCATCGCCAAGGTCGAGTCCGTGGCTGATGGCAACGTCACTCTGCAACGCGTCGCGCGGCCCAAGCAGCAGTGGGACGAGGAAGAGTGGGCCGAGGACGGAATGGAGCTGGAGGAAGACGAGCCCGACGTGTCCACTACCACCGTCACCCTGCTGGCCGAGGGCGACAGGCGTGTCGTCCCCAGCTCGTACATGTAGCATAGCGTCAGGAACACCATCACATACTGCATATAGGCCTAGGCATGGGTTTCTCTATCCACAAGTACAGTCTCTCTATCGACGTTTGAAGCGCGAGAAGGCGCGCTGGATGGGGTTGAGCGCAAACCGCGCAAAGGCCGGGGCAGCAGCGACGCTGATGCCGATGCGCGCGGGCAGGAGCGCCTGGGTCGTCAGCTTGCGTTCCACAGAGGTGAAGTTGACTCGGATGGCCCATGGAGTTGATCACCGATAAAGCAGCAGAACAGCTCCCGCTCCACCACTCACCTTGACAAGGACGTATGCCCCCACAGCATCGGCCACTGCACCGGCCGCACCACCGCCCGCCGCCGGGTCGCCGACCTTACTCCCCTTCTCGAACCCGAGGATACCATAGCGCCTGCCGACCTTCTCCACGCGCGCGGCACCCTCGTCATACCACTCATGCACGGTGTGCGCCCACCCGTCGCCTGCGCTGTCTGCGCGCGTCACCGCGCGTTCCATCGCGGCCATGTCGTCGGCCGTCACGGCTGCGTCGGAACCAGACTCTGAGGAGGACGAGCCGATGCCCGCCAGCCACGCGACGACACCCGCACCCGCGCCGAGCCAGTGTAGGAGGTAGTAGAAGCCCACGACGGGGAGGACGGCGGTGAGCTCGTGCAGGACCAAGAAGGAGAGGACGAGGGACGGGAGCGGCACGCCGGTGCGTGTTGACAGCGCTGCGAGGGAGGGCGCGTAGCGTTCTAGCCTGCCAAGGCGGGGAGTGGGAGGTAAAGGTGCTGTTGCTGGGGCAGCTGGATTTGTCGCATTTCCCGCTGGTACTGATGGGGTGGACGAGGACGATGTAGACGACGATGACGAAGCTAATGTCGACCCGGTGCTGGACTCTCGCGAGCCCGTCGCGTATCGCGCAACCAAGCTCGGGGCGAGGCCGGTTCGCTGCACGTGAAGGCGTATAGCGCTTCCTGGCGCGACGACAGCGCGAAAGAGGGGCATTGCTGGAGGGATGGTGCAATGGACGATGGACAAGTCCCGGTAGGCGTCGGTTCGACAGACGAGTGGACCAACGCGGTGGAGGCAATTTCAGTGTTGTGGCACTTTTTCCATCCTCGGTGTGTTTTTGCGACGACATCGTGTCCACCTCGTCTGCACTCATTTCTGCTCAGCTTCATGCACAGGATGGCCCAAATCATACACCTGCATCTTTATCTGCTGACAAACTACTGAAATATTACAAACACCCCCAAATTTCGCCCCTTCCTCCTCTTTTAAAAATCGACCGCCGGGGAAAATCCTCCACATCACCTTTCCAACAGATACATGTCCGTGGGGATCATCTTGCCAACTGTCGGCCTGCGACGCTTCGTCTGCTGCTCGACAGCGGGCAAAACGTCAAAGTAGCCGAAACCAGTGAAGAGGGCCTCGTCTTCGCCGTCGGCACCGTCGTCAACGCCGTCGACCTCGTTGTCGGACAGACGGCGGCCGGTGCGCGCGTCGCGCATGACGCCCGAATGGTCCATGAACGCCTCCGGGCGGGTGTTGGCCTCGCGCCAGAGCTGGATAAGGAGCACGCGCACTTCACGCAGGTACGCCTCGAGGGTCTTGAGCAGGCGGCGGGTCTGGAGGTGCTTGGACGACATGCACACTGAGATGCCTTCGTCCTTGATAATGTAGCCGATACCGTAGCCCTCTGGGTGGGTGGGGCCGAAACCGAACAGGCGGAGAGCGGGGTTACCGCAGTTGGAGGTCGAGAGGACGCTCGAGCCCAGCGTGCTGTACGCCGAGTCGGTGAAGATGGCGGGAACCTTGGGGGCGGGGGTGCCGGCCTCCTCGGCGCGGGCGACCTCGCGCTGGACGAGCGAGTTGAGGGCGTAAAAGTGACGGTCCTGGCCTTGTCCCGCGCCACACTCGCGCGACAGTTCCGAGTGACGCTTGCACGCGGCACGGAGGGCGGCAACCTTTTGCTCGGCTGTGGCGCTCTCGTCACAGAAGGTCTTGACAAACTTGACCGAGGCGGTCGAGACGGTACGGATGGCCTCGGTACGGCCGTGGAGGAACTGCTTGGTCATGGCGGGTTCGTATGTGCTCTCGACGCGGCCGTAGAGCGAATAGTAGGCCGCCTGGAAGGCCATCTGGACGAACGCATCGGGCGAGAAGCCGTGGCGCTTGATAAAGTTGCCGCCGTAGCCGCGGAACTCGAGGGCCTTGGAGTCGTTTTGGCAGATCAAGTCCGAGATACGCGTCTCGGCGAAACGGACACCGGCCTTGAGGTCCGGAGTCAAGCGCCAGATGAGCTTCTTGGGGCTGGTGTCGGCCTCGCACTCGACGTCGTCCGACTCGCGAGGCGTCTTGGAGCCCTTGGCGAAGGGCGACAGTTTGGCCTTGAAGAGCGACGGGGTGGAAGGGTTGATCGACTTTGCAAACAGTAGAACCAGCTCGGTGTAAATGTCCGCAGCGTAGCGCAGGACAGTGTGGCCGTCCACACCAGTGTGCTCAAAGTTGACACCGGCTTCGCCGTTCGAGCACACGATAATCTGGAGCTTGTCGTACCAGCGGTTGGTGCAGGTACCGACCTGGATACCGTGCTCGAGGCGGTAACCACCACAGAGGAAGTTGGCACAGAGCTCTCCGACGTCGGCAGGCTCGGCATCGTCGAGGCAGACGACAAACAGGGCCGACTCGACGATGGCCAGCGACTTTGCGTTGCTCCTGTTCGATTCCTTGAGCTCCTGGCGGAACGACGACCAGATCTTGCGGTTCTCGGTGGTCAGGATACCGACTGCGTTGGCGCCAGTCTCGTTGATGGGAGTCTTGTCGGCGTCGGCCACAATGCCCTGCAGGTTGGACAGGATCTCGCGGTCCGTGAGCATCGGCCTGTTCTTGGCGTCGACGACATCGAACCAGTCTGGAGAACAAGGGTCAGCGCGTGTGGAGAAGTTGAGAGCGGGAGCTGTGGGTGGGTGACAAAGTAGGGACCGAAAGCGGGGCAGGTCGGTAACAATGCCAGGACACGACGAGGCGGTGGCGCAGCTGGACGATGCGGGGAATACGCTGCGGCCAGTTCCACCAGCCCACTGCCTGTCACCAGGCGGCGAACAGACCGCTCGCCAAGTCGGTCTCCATCGGCCATACGGCTCTATACCCTGCAGAACCACCACCCTGCTATTGTCATGGACCACAGCACACTACTCACAGAACTGGCCGCGGCGGATGACCACAATGTGCCTCGAGTCCTCGTAAGATTCCATGCGGCATCCGAGCTCGGTGGGGACACGAGAGGTGGCGAACAGGCGCTCGTACTGGCTCATGTCGAGAGGGGTGGTGCGCACCATGTCGGGCTTGAGCATGCCGTTACGCAGGTCGTGGATGAAGAGGAGGGACGAGAGGATGAGCGACGACGCGCGGGACAGCTGGGGGTCGTTGCGAGGGGTCACGTCCGACGACAGCACGAAGAAAGGGTTGAGCGAGAGCACCACAGAGTCCGAGTGCGAGAGGTACGACTCGTCTGAAAAGAAACACGGGTCAGCATTCGCATCGCATACCAACTTTTGCCTCTTGAGCTCCACTTACACCAAAACTCCTCAATGTAGCTGTCGACATTCTGGTTGTAACTCTGCAACTTTGCTTGCCATTCGGCACCCTCGCCCGAATTGAGGAAATCGTTGACGATGGCCTTTGTCTTTGCGTGCTCGTCGTCGTCCTGGAGACCCGCAAGAGCATCAATGTAGCGGCGACACGAGTCGGCAAGGGATGGGATGGGGAGCTTGGGGAGGAGGCTGAGGTACTTTTTGGAGAGGCCAGGGGTGGTTGTTGGTGTGAGTGCACCCTTTGGGATGGGTGGCGAGCCTGGGGTCGTCATGGCGGCGAGATGTGGAGTGGGTAGGTGGGTGGTGGTGGTGGTGGTGGTGGGGCTTACTTCTCGCAAAGAAGTGGCCGAGTGCGGGGTGGGGTTGGCCTTTAAGGCTCTTGTTGTGGTCGCTGCCTGTGGCCTGTGGCCTGTGTGGCTTGGGAATGCAGGCGATGACTCTGGAATTGGTTGGCGGAGGAGCGACAAGAGAGAGTGAGGACCCGATGGAAGCAACGACGCCAGCCTGCTGTGTGGGATGTTAATTGTCCGCCGGACCAACTAGGTCGCTGTCAAATCGATGGCCCTCGGCGGCTCTCTGTTGGGTGGTGTGACCACCCCATACCCTGCTTCTCCACCGCACGGCAACGTCATTTACCGGGGGCCCAGAGGGGAATGCCAAGCCGATGCAGCGGGTGCTTGCGGGGCTCTCGTCCAACAAAACGCGGGGGGGGCAGCGAGGTCAGCAGCAGTGGCCCTTGTCGTCAGCGGCGGCAGTGCGGAGCGACGCAGCTCCGGCAGAATCGAAAATAAAAAGCGCAAAATGACACACAACGTTACCAATCGTTCTCCATTGCGCGTGGGGGCGGGGGGTTTACCGCGGAGTTTGGCCGTGCACCAAGCATAGCAGGACAATGGGAGGTTGAGCTCGAGTGATTCCAGACACAGGAAAAAAGGCAATCTGGGCGTGGGGGGGGGGGGGGGGGGGGAGGGGACGACGGGTGACACGCACCGCTGTTCTGTGCCCAATCACATCTGCAAAAGAAAAAACAAAACTCTATGTATCGAAGAGATCCCCGCTCGCCGCACCGGTTGCATCATTGCGGGGCAGGGACGATCCGAATGGGTGAGGCATGCTGCTGTTTTTGGTCGCCGGGGGCTGTGATTGTCCAAAGAGATGGCGAAGCCGACTCGGATGAAAGATTATCAGATTAGCAGATGCGCAAGGCGTCGACAAAATAACACAACATTCTCTTCCCCTATCTAATTCCAAAACTGTTCACGTAATAATTGAGGAATAGATTGTTACATAATAAATGATTATTATGTAATCTTTGTCTATTACATAACATTGGATTCCTTTTACTTTTACGTAATACGTTTTTCGATTGCGGAACTATTTACAACGCTTGTGTTGACGGACACCGTCTCCAGGGTCACCACCAAACGTCACATCCAAGCCACGACACGCGTGAGGATCTCTTGCTTTAATTGCTTTCGACCGTCACCCCACACCGCCACTCCGGCCACTCCATGTCCCATGCCTCGGTCATTTGCTGTTGCTCTCTCCCCCACTCTTGTCCTCCCTGTGGCACCTGCGTCCACGGGAAATACGTCCCTACAAACATCCCAGAGAAACTCGGTCACACGAGCAACCCCTGGATCTCCCCATATACCCCTCCACACAGAGGTCACACTCTTGGCAGGTGCAGAAGCTGCTCTGTTTTTCAATGTGGAGACGCCCGAGGCGCCGCAGTGATCCAGTGAATGACGCGCGACCCTTGCCACCCTTTGGAGTGTTATGGAGCCCAAGGTGGGGCCGTTGGAACTCCAGAGAGGAGGGACTGACTTCTGGGGGTGTGAGACGTCGGCTGGAGAGGGAGGTATATCCAGTAAGCGACAAGCGAGGCGCTACCGCGCCGATGGGCAAACGCACCTTTGTCTAAAAGCAAGTGTGTGTGCATACTTTGATCAAAACTTGGCCTGGGATGCGCCGCCGCCTGGACCTTGCGCACTTGGCTTCCGCTTGGCAAAAAAAAAAAAAAAAACGAGTGGATAGTCGGACGCACGAGGTGCATGGTGTGCAGTGTCGGCATGGTCGGCGTGGTCGGCGTGGTCGGCCCGCTGCCTAAAGAGGTGGCAGATGGCAGCGTTGCAGCATCGTGTGACTGCTCTTGCCGTCCCTTTCCCGCCAAACCGCTGTCAGAGCCGACAGACGATGGGTTTCCGGGCCGCATGGGGCTATTAATATTCCCCCTCGGTAACCTGAAGCGGCCTTGGCGCTATTATCGCAGCACATCAGGTCTTTAAGGTCCACAACATCCCTGTGCTGTAGCAAACGTTTCTAGACCAGGTGGTTGTCATTCGACGTGCATGCAGAACGTTCGAAAACACAAAAGATAGCCAGCTGCTCGTGCGACTTTATATACACTGCACGTGGGACCATGTGGAGCCGCCGCCGCCGCTCCGCAGACGAAACACAAGGATAGAACTCACTACTAACTCGCTAGCTGGCCGAGGTACCGCCAACGTGCCTCCTCTGGCGGCCACTTGTCCGCGGGGGGCGTGAGGAATGCGTTTGGTTCTGAAGGACATGAACTTTGCTCCAGTTCACTCTGGGTGGCACCACGCGTCCCCACGCACGCACGGCGAAGCCACCACTAAGCTGCGCCAGCTCCTCCGCACCGGCGCTGCCTCGGACATGACCCATCCCCCACCCGCCCTCCTTCGGATCTTCGACTGTGCACAGGTATTTATCCCGGCTAAGGATAGCGCCCGGTAACCTAGCCTTTGTGGACGGAATTACGCCTCCTGGGCCTTGATGTATGTAACCTTACAGCGGGGAGCTTGCCGACAACGCTCGGTGTTGGTGTATATAAAGTCGGGGAGGTGTGACAGGTCCCTACACCCCACACCCCCCCTCTCCTCGACTTGTACAGAACTTGCTCACCATGAGCACCACCAAGGATGGCGTTGACTACGACGGCAGCGATGTCGAGAAGAACATCTCCAACAACGGCCAGGAGGACACTCAGGTCCACGAGATCGATGTAGACGAGCAGGCCATGACCAAGGGTGAGCCCTTTGATGCGCCGATCACGGTTCTAACAGTGCAGCATCCATCTCGGACTACTTCACCATCATGGCCACTGGTTTTGCGCTCATCTCGGATGGCTACCAGAACAACCTGTCCACGGTGTTCAACCCCATCTTCGTGGGTGTCTCACAATTCCAACGCATTTCGCAAGCTGACCCATCCAGTCCGCCCTGTACCCCACTGCCTACACCTCGGCCATCAAGACTCAGGTCTCCAACTCGCTCCTCGTTGGTGAAGTGCTCGGCCAGGTCGGTGTCGGTCTTATCTGTGACCTCGTCGGCCGTAAGACCGCCATGGTCGGCACCACCCTCCTCATCGTCATCGGCGGCATCCTCTGCACGGCTGCCCACGCTCCCACTCCTAATGGTCTTTTCTGGTTCCTCACTGTCGCTCGTGGTATCATCGGCGTTGGCGTAAGTACATGGCGTCGGGGAGTGATGCGCGGGTGTGGCACGGAAAATATCTGCCACATTCCCCAGATACCATACCTCCACAACAGTCCCAGCTGACATTACCTTTTCTAGGTCGGTGGCGAGTACCCTGCATGCTCTACTTCGGCGTCTGAGGCTGCCAACGAGAAGTTTGGCCGTAACCGTGGCAAGATCTTCATCCTCGTTACCAACCTCATGCTGTCGATCGGTGGCCCCATTGTCATCTCGCTCTTCCTCCTCATCATCAACGCTTCCCACTTTGGTGGCACTACCGTGGGCTCGGACAGGTACAAGCTCCAGTACACCTGGCGCGTTCTGTTCGGCATTGGTATTGTGATCCCCCTGTCGGTCTTCTACTTCCGTCTCAAGATGCAGAACCCCAAGCTCTACCGTCGCAACGCCATCCGCAGGCGCCCTCCTTACCTCCTCATCTTCAAGCGCTACTGGAAGACTCTCCTCGGCACTGCTGGTACCTGGTTCCTGTACGACTTTGTCACCTTCGTGCGTATTGAAAGAGGTTTTTAAACCCCAGCGCCTGGTTACTCACACCTTCCCAGCCCAACGGTGTGTTCTCGTCGACCATTATCGCGTCGGTCATCCCCGGTGCTGGTCTGGTGAAGACTCTCGAGTGGACCCTCCTCCTTTCGATCCTCTCTCTCCCCGGTGTCTTCCTCGGCGCCTTTGTCGTCAAGTAGTAAGTTGCAGATCCCCACCTCGTAGCCACCATCCTGACAAACACAGCACCGGTCGTCGCAACCTCCTCATGATGGGTTTCACCGGTTACATCCTGTTTGGCCTCATCGTCGGTCTCGCCTATGACAAGCTCACTCCGATCCCCGCCGCCTTCATCGTCATGTACGCGCTCATGCAGTCCTCGGGTAACTTTGGTCCTGGCAACATGGAGGGCACCATCTCCGCCGAGTCGTACCCCACCTCCATCCGCGGTACTTGCTACGGCTTCTCGGCTGCCATCGGCAAGGTTGGCGCCGCCGTCGGCACCCAGGCGTTCACCCCCATTCAGAGTGAGTGCAGGCTGCCTCTGGGCGATTTGTCTTCCCTCTATCCCTGTGCTGACATGGTCTCCTTAGACAACCTCGGCAAGCGCTACACCTTTATCATCGCTGCGTGCTGCGGTTTCCTCGGTGTCCTCCTCGCCTTCTTCTTCGTCGAGGACAAGGGCATGGACCGTCTCGAGAAGGAGGACGAGAACTGGCGCCAGTACCTCGTCGCCCACGGCTACGCCGACATCCAGATGGGTGACGGCAGCGAGGGTGTCATTACCGCGTCGGGTAACAAGGACAACGGCACTCTCGAGTTTGAGAAGTAGGTGACGAGGTCTGATGAGGGTTAGTAGTGCTGGTACTACAGGCAGTACGGCATGGTCACGAACGGTTACGAACTGTGACGGGCGGAGGTAGGATAGCGGCGGGAGTCTTGAGTCCGATGAGGGGCTATTAGCTATAGGACCTCTAGCGGACGATATGGGCGTTGAGCGTATAATTACACACGGTTAATGCAAGTTCATGTGACGTGAAGGATACGAGAGGCGGAAATGGATTTTGCTACAATCTGGGAAGGGACAGGCGCTGCTACGGCAAACTTCCTAATACCGCCAGCTCAATTTCCTTATGGGGTAATTCAAATGGTATTCAAATCTCCCCACTGACATCATCCCTCCACATCCGCGGTCCACTCGCATTCCACCGCCGCCCACTCTCGCAACTCTGCCCACTCCACCACTTGCTACACCTTAACACCTTGCTAATCTATCACCAACAATGCCCGACGAAGACGACATTTTTGCACGGTTCGCAGCTCTCCGCTCACCGCCTTCGCACGCACCCGAGTCGCCCACAGCGGCCGCGGCAGCCGCCGCGAAGAATGCCGACGTCGACGATGAGCGGCTGGCGCGCATCGCTGGCGGGGACCTGGGCGGAGAGGATGTGGGGGATGATGAGGTTGAGAAGCTCATGGCTCAGCTGAGGGACTCAAGAGCGCCTGATGAGGGTTATGGGGCGGGAGGAGGGACGCGAGGAACCGCAACCGGTACCGGGATCAACGACGACCCCAACGTCCGTGACCTCCAGACGTACGCTCGCGCCAATGCGTCCGGTGAAGGTGCCCTCCACGACGAGGCAGCTGCGGCACTCGCTGCGGCGATGGGTACAGATATGGACCGTGATCGTGCAGGTGCGGCAGGCCGAGGCCAGGCTGGTTCGACCGAGCACTACGACGTCTCCGGATTCTCGAGCAACCTCCCGGAGCCCGAAGAGAGCGAAGAGGATATCATCTCGCGTGCGCTGGCCGAGGCGTCGCTGGAGCGACACAATTATGAAAGCTTCACTCCGCCAGAGGGCACAAGTTGGCCTCCAAAGGGCAACATGCGGCTTCCACCACCACCCACCGTCCCCGTTATCAACGCCGCTGTTGCACCCACAACCTCAACTGCACCCGGCACCGGTGCTGATCCGTTCTCCGACCTGCCCGGACTCCCATCGCTCCCAGCCTTGCCTGCACTCCCCTCCCTCCCATCACTCCCCACCTTTGAGTCCGACGACGCCGATGTCGACCCCGACTCGAAAGCGCGCATGGACGCACTCATGGGTCTCAAGGGCCCAAGCATCTTCCCAAACACGCCCAGCAAGGCACCGACGAAGAAGGACGATGCGCTCGGGCCACCACCACGGGCTCCGGGCCAAGGCTGGAACATCCCCGGTTATGTCGATGCCAGGGACGATGACCTGGATAGCTGGTGTTGTGAGTAGAAGCTGGCCAGTCTGGCTGCGCGTGGCTGGAGTGCGACTAGATTTCCAGCCGCTGGAGCATAGACTGGCCGTGGTGAATGAAAGACAGCAGTGCTTACGCGCAGGTATCTGTAACAAGGACGCCGCTGTCCGGTGTAAAGGCTGTGATGGGGACCTGTACTGCCGCCAGTGCTGGGCTGAGGGACATATGGACGAGCGACACCCAGTCGAGCCCTTCGTGTGGAAGCGGAGCTGAAGAAGATGCCGCCGCTTGTAGGGGTTGTGGGTTGTGATCATAGATGGATGTGGTCTATGGAAATGGCAGACTCGTTGGCCGCGTCTTCCATCGTACTTGCCTTCCAGTCACCTGCTCACTCCACTTGCATTCTCTGATCTCTGAAGGCCCTGGCTGTAAAGCCCCAGCAACACTTCCGCCCTGCGGTGAAGGGCTGTACTCCAGCTGGACCCTTGCCCCCACCAAACCGCCACCTCCAACTCAACCCCACTTCCTCAACCCCGCCTCCACACACCCCACACAACCCCTCTGCCCCTCGTACGCGTATCCGCTGGTACAAGACAAAAGCATTGTGCCGCCGGAGAAGGACACTGCTTGGCCGGCGGCCTAACTCTAGTGGAGGTACAGCAAGGTGGAGGGAAGCTGATGGCAAAGGACGCCGCGGGGAAATTTGCCACACCTATCTATCCGGCCGACCGTTGATTTCGAACGGCTTGAACGCCTAAAACATCTTATCTCGGCTGTGTACGAAGACCAGTTATTTTCGAACAAGCCTTGCGGTGTGGTTTTCTTTTTCGAATGTCTGTGGTGAGGTGGAGAGGGCCAGCTGGCTGGAGACGGGGGAGTTGAGACGGGCAATTTTGAAACAACAATTTTGAAGAAATGTGCGTTGCCATTGCGACCACGATGAGGAGCTGCACGGAAACTCGGTATTCGGTGGTATTCGGTAACCGTATGTTCACTCTCTGGCCCTCTGGCCTCTGGATCTCTGGGGGACTTCTGCAGCAAAAATGACATTGGGTTTGTTGGCGGCAACGAAATGGTCATCTGCTTCTTGGACAACAATAAAATCGCCGCTGACTACCCACTCATTCGCAATATGGATCGTCAACTTCTCTGGTACGAAAATGAACAGAACAACTTCTTAGAAATAAGTAGCCCCTCTGTGAATTCATGGGCTGCTCCTCATGACTTGGAACACAACGTGTGGCGCGACTGAAGGTACATAAAATTCACTTGACACGAGACGCGCGGCCGGCGTGGCAGACTGACACACGGTGCTGAGGTAAGCCGCCGCTGCCTCACCCCGTCGGCCAATCGTCTCACATACATCACCCCAAGCTTTCTCCATGCACACCCCGTCTCCCAGCCTGAACCTCATCAGTACAAACCCCCCTCCACAACAACCCCCTCTCCAAGCGCTCGGCCAACTGCTTCTCGGCGCAGGGTCTCTCCGTGCGGTTGAACGGAACCGGGATCAAATCGAAAGGAGGGAACCGGAATCAAATCTCTCGCGGTCGAAGAAACACACTACGCCTCTCGCTCATGCGCTCACCGGACCAAAATCGAAATGGAGACGGCGCGGTGTTTTCGAGACACAGGTGTGGTGCATGTGGTGTGGTTCTTGAATTCTTGAGCTACGGTGGTACGGTGGCCGCTGTGTCCTCAACTCCTGTGCTTGTTGGATCCCGCAAGTGTGGAAACATTTGCCCGCAGCCAAACGACCGATTCATTCTCTACGAATACAGGCAAACCAGTGGCCACCACCACCCCGGTGTACCAGGATGTATAACCCCTTGCATATCAAGTGTGTTTCCAGTTCAGACCTATGTGAAGCTGTGTCCATGTCCTCAATGAAATCAATCTCATAACGTCGCGGCTGAGCCGTGGGTGCAGCCGTGGGTTGAAAGTGGCGGCGCCAAGCCGGCGGCGATCGCCGACCCCGGATCACGCTGTGCTGCCGGGTCTCTGTGGGACACCACATGGGTAGTCGCGTCCAACAACACCAGCCAACATGTTGCTTCGTTCATTCCACCTTCCTCACCCATCCTGACATTTGCATCTACCTCACTGTCTCAGAATGAACTCGACAGGGCCAACAATCACTGCCGTCGGGCTGGCGGCCACCTTGCTCTCCGAGGCTCTGAAGCAGCCGATTGGCGTGTGGATCTTCAAGCCTCTGGCATCCCTCGGTTTCCTGTACACCGGCTACCACTCGCCCGCATACACGTCCGGATCCCAGTTTGGCAAGACCATGTTCGCATCCCTTGCCTTGGGCTTCCTCGGCGACGTGTGCCTTATCCACAAGTCGCCCGCCGCGTTCCAGGCAGGCCTGTTCAGCTTCCTTCTCGGCCACCTCGGATTCGCCTATGCCTTTGCTGAGCGCGGGATGGAACTCAAGCCAGCCCTCACAGCCGCCGCGGCCGTGGGTCTCGTCGGCAGCGTCGTGTGGAAGTGGTTGAGCCCCAACTTGCCCAAGGCGGACCGCATCCCCGTCGCGCTCTACACGACCGTCATCAGCGCAATGGTCGTTGCTGCCTCGGGAAGCGCGTGGAACACACCCACTCCATACCTCCAGATTGCGGGGGCTATCATCTTCCAGCTCTCAGACCTGTGTGTTGCCCGCCAGCAGTTTGTGCACAAGACGTTCCTCAACCCCCTCGTCGGTCTCCCGCTCTACTACCTCTCTCAACAGATGATCGCCAGCTTGATGTACTACTAGACAGGGTACGCTGTCACCCGCCGTCGGACCACAGCTGACACTCCAGGCTGGTAACGCAGACTCGTGGTATGCAGGCTAGGGCGTAACGTGATCTCAGAAGTGTTTCGGGTCGCACGGGTAGTTATAATGCAATGACGAATGGAGATTATGGTTGTCGCTGGTCAAGTAGTTGGGATCATGTTCAAAGCCTCAGTTGTCGACACACACATTGAACGAGCAGCATGCCTTGCACCTCTACTGGCGTCTCAACCAGCACTTCAAAGCGGAGCTTGCTTGCCTTGCACGCTGCTGGTGTCTCAAGCAGCACGCAGATGGGCTGGGTGCGTTCAGAGACGCGGCGGACGTGGCAGTGCGCCGTAAACCGTCTGCCGTGGCCACACGCCGGCCCCACGCTCACCAGAGACTACACTCCCCACATTGTTCCCTCCAGAGAAACAGGTAACTGTAACTCCAAAGGTCGCCTCCGGTGCGTCCTCGCACGGCCCGAGTCCAGTCTAGAGCAATGCATATAAGATGAGTAGATCAAGCCTTCTTGGGCTTCTTAACTGGAAAAAAAGTCAGTGGTCGTATCCTTTAAGTGGCAACACAGCATCCTGTACTCACCACCGTACTTGGAGCGCGAGCGGGTACGACCAGCGACACCGTTGAAGTCGAGAGCACCGCGAACGGCCTTGTAACGGACACCGGGAAGGTCCTTGGTACGGCCACCACGGATGAGGACGACACCGTGCTCCTGGAGGTTGTGGCGCTCTCCGGGAATGTAGGCAATGGTCGACTTGCCCGTGCTGAGCTTGACACGGATGACCTTGCGGACAGCCGAGTTGGGCTTACGGGGCTTGGTGGTGTAGACCTTTGAGATGACACCCTTCTTCTGGTAGCAGCCCTCGAGGAGGGGCGACTTGGTCTTGCGCTTGGTGGTCTTGCGGCATCCGCGGGCAACTGTTAAAACGGAATGTCAGCAAGACGTGCAGAGGGCCAAGAGCCAGAGGGAACGGCAGTGGACAAGGAGAGCTCACCCTGGTTGATGGTCGCGGAAGCAGGAGACGAGGCCGAGAAGGAGCGGATGGGAGCGGCGCGGGGGAGGAGCTGGACACGCGACGACGACGCAATGGGCTGGACGCGGGCGGCGCGCAGCGAGAGCTGGCCGAACGATGCGGAGAGTGCCGAGAGGGCGCCGCGGACGAGCATGGTGTGGTGGTCTGCAAGAGGTGTGTTTTAAGCAGCAGCGTCCAAGAACACACAAAGTCGCAGGAAGAACACGAAACCGAGCTCGTCCGCGGCATAAAATGACGTGTGACAGGCGGTTCTTCCAGCCAGCCCACGTGGCCTTATCACTCTCATCCCACCTCCACCCGCGAGGAATTCTGCAACGGGCCGTCCTCTCAAAAGTTCACAGCTGGAGCCGGTATTCTCAACAACATCTACACATCTAGCCGGCATGGACGCCGACTTTATTCCTCTCCAGTCCCCCGGACCCTCCAAGGGCGGTGACAAGCGCACCAAGCCTGCGGCCGACCCCTCGACCCTCTTCGTCTCGTCCCTCCCCTTCAATGCCACCAGCACCGACCTCATTACCCACTTCTCGTTCGTGGGCCCTATCCGTCATGGCTTCGTCGCAACCGACCGCGAGTCGGGCAAGAGCAAGGGTGTCGGTTATGTGACGTACTCGACGAAGGAGGACGCCGAGCGTGCTCTCACCGAGCTCGACGGCTCGTCGTTTGGCGACAAGGGTCGCAAGATCCGTGTCACGTGGGCCGACAAGAAGGTGAGCTGTACCTTGACGGAGCGAAGCTAACAGTATAGCCCGACATGAAGACAAGGAACACTGCTCGCCAGGAGGAGCAGGACCGACCAGTGAAGAAGCCGCGTGTATCTGCGGCCGCTGCCGACGATGCTGAGACTGGCTCGACCGACCCCAACGCCATCCGTACTCTCATCCTCTCTGGTCTGCCTGCCGACATCACCAAGCCTGTTCTGTGGAAGAAGGTCCGCAAGGTCAACGACAAGGCCGAGATTCAGTTCCCTGTTGAGGGCGAGGAGCACACCGCCTACCTCGTCTTCCCCACACACGGCGACGCCATCAAGGGTGTCCCCAAGCTCCACGGCCACACCTACAAGGGCTCGCTCCTCTCGTGTGTGCTCAAGAAGCGTCTCGACAAGCTCTCCGCCAAGGGTGAGGGCCGCGCTCCCAGCCACGCTGGTCGTCTTATTGTCCGTAACCTCGCCTGGGAGACCACCGAGGCCGACCTGCGTGCCACCTTCCTCCGCTATGGCCCCATCCAGGCGATCGACCTCCCCACCCTCCCCTCCAAGCTCCCTACCGAGCCCGGAAAGCCCGCCCCTCCCCCTCGTGCCCGTGGTTTCGCATTCATCTGGTTCCTCGTCAAGCGCGATGCCGAGGCCGCCATGGCCGCCATCAACGGCAAGCCCATCATGCGCGCTCCCGACGCCGCTGTTGCCAAGGGCAAGGCTGGCCGCCTGGCGAAGAAGGACAACAAGGAGGTCGGTGACGGCCGTCCTGTCGCCGTCGACTGGGCTCTGAGCAAGGACAAGTGGACCGAGAACAAGCCCAAGGAGGCTGAGAACGATGACGAGAGCGGATCCGACAGCGACAGCGGCAGCGGCAGCTCGAGCAGCGGAAGCGATGACGAGAGCGGAAGTGACGACGAGAGCGGCGACGAGAGCGGAAGCGACGAGGAGGATGAGGATGTCGAGATGGAGGACGGCGAGGAGGAGGAGGAGGAGGAGATCGAGGAGCCCATCAAGCCCAAGCTGCCGGACACCGACGTTGGCTCGACTCTGTTCATCCGCAACCTTCCCTTTGAGGCGACCGAGCAGGAGCTCGGCACTCTGTTCCGCTCCTTCGGCCCCATCCGTTACGCCCGTATCACCATGGACAAGGCCACCGGAAGGTCACGCGGTACCGGATTTGTGTGCTACTGGAACGTTGAGCACGCCGACGCCGCCATCGCGGAGTCGGAGCGTGTTGCGCAGGAGACTGGCGCCAATGCCATGCCTGTAGGTGTTCTCGCTGAAGCTCAACCTATGCTAACATCGTACAGCTTGGTGACAAGAAGAACCCCTTCGCCCTCCCTTCGGTCCTCACTGCCGACCCTTCGGCTAACCTCGCCTCGCGCGTTGTCATCCACGGCCGCACTCTCTCGGTCACTCGTGCCGTTACGCGCGAGACGGCCAACCACCTCAAGGAGGACTCCGAGACCGCCCGCCAGAAGGGTGACAAGCGCAACACCTACCTCATGCGTGAGGGTGTTGTGTTCCCCAACTCGCCGGCCGCTGCTGCCCTGCCCGCTGCCGAGGTCGAGAAGCGCAACCAGGCCTTCACCGCGCGCAAGACCCTGCTCCGTTCCAACCCTTCGCTGTACATTTCCAAGACCCGTCTTTCGATCCGCCAGCTGCCCCTGTTTGTCAGCGACCGCGGCATGAAGCGTCTCGCCATCCACGCCATCCGCGAGTTTGACAACGAGGTCACTGCCGGCACCCGTGAGGCGCTTACCCGCGTCGAGGAGCAGGACGACACCCTCTCGCCCGCCCTCGAGGGCCGCAAGGTCAAGCGCGGCGAGCGCCAGACCGCCGTTGTCCAGTCCAAGGTCGTGCGCGCCAGCGACAAGATCGATCCGCTCACCAATGCCGGTCGTTCGAAGGGTTACGGTTTCCTCGAGCTGCGTTCGCACAAGGAGGCACTCAAGGTCCTGCGATGGGCCAACAACAACGCCGCCGTCGGCCCCCTCGTTTGGGAGTGGTGGACTGCCGAGCTCGCCGAGATCCGTGACCGTACCAAGGCCGCTTTGGCCAAGGCCCGCGAGAACCCCGGAGAGATCAAGGAGGGCAAGGAGACCGTCGAGGACCTCGAGGCGCGCCTCAAGAAGCTCGAGGACCGCGTGGCCGAGGGTGACGAGCGCAGCGGCGGCGGCATGCGTGGCGGCAAGACGCTCATGATCGAGTTTTCCGTCGAAAACGTCCAGGTCGTCAAGCGCCGTGTCGACAAGATCTCGGCGACGCGCTCGGATGGTCCTGGCGGCTTCCAGAAGCGCAAGGCCGGCACCATTGCCGCCGAGGACACGGACGACGAGGACAGCGGCAAGGCCGGCAACAGCAGCGGCGGCAACAAGCGCCAACGTACCGGCGGCGACCGTGGTGACCGTGGTGACCGCGAGCGCAAGGGTGGCCGTACCGACCGCAAGGACCGCAAGGACCGCGAGCGCAAGGAGAAGAGCGAGCGTGAGGCTGCCAAGGCCGCACCAAAGCCCGAGGAGAAGAAGGGTCTCGAGAAGATGGGTGCTCAGCTCGGCTCGCTCATCGGCCGCAAGCGCAAGGCCCGCAGGGGTAACTAGGACTACGGAGTATCTAGCACATGGGTATAGAGGATGCATATACAGTTTTAGTCATGGAACGAGTAGGTACAGAAGGGGCTGCTGCGAGGAGACGGAGCGTAGTCGGTGAGCCGCTCGGTTTTAGGCATGAAACAATGGGTCGGAGAAGGAGCAGCAAGGAGGCGTCTACCTGGTGCGCGAGCCGCCGTACCCGGTCGCACGGCGGGATGGGCCCGGCTCATCGTCCCAGCGGGGCGTGTTGTTCCTCGCCTGCTGGACGGGGGCCGTCGGGGTGCGGACATAGACCACCTCGGGTTCACGGCGCGGGCTGTTGAACAGCGCCGAGCCGAGCGCGCCGGTAGCCACGCCGGTCCAGAACCCGGGAGTCGATGCGTCGGTCGTCTTGGTGTATGGTGGGGGAGGGCCGCCCCATCCACTCGAGTATGGCCCACCGCCGCCTCCAGGACCCCATCCTCCAGGCCACCACCCTCCGCCGCCGCCTCCAGGCCACCACCCGCCGCCGTTGCCGCGCCCGGACGACCACGGGCGCGGGGCGGCGCGGAACGCCGCGTACGCGGCCTTGAGGATCTTGTACAGCATGAACGCAAAGACACCGTAAAAGAGGAGATTGAAGAGAAAGTCGGTCGCCGACGGCTTGTTGTTGCCCGAGGTCGAGGACTTGAACCAGTTGTTGTTGTCGCTACGCCCGGGCCACGCGCGGTTGTCGGCCGGGACGAGCTCGTAGTCGAGAGCGCAGGAGCCTGGCCGAGTCAGCCTTCAGCTATATGTACCGAGTGTGTATGTTGTATGTGCAGCAGCTGATACTTGCCTGCAAGAACGTTGGTGTCGCCCGCACGCGCCCAGCCCTCACACACGACCTCGAGATTGCCAAACTTGATGCCCGAGGGAAGGTCGGCGTCGCACTTCCACTGCGAGCCGGTGCCGTCGTCGCCGACGTTCGTGCACTGCACTACGTCGGGCGCGTACCCGCACAGCTTGCCGGTACACGAGAGCTGGGCTGTAGGAGGGTGTAAGCTGCGAACAGAAGGGAACGGGGTGGGGGTGAACTTGTTCCCAGACACTCACGGACAGCCTTGCCGCGGCGGTGCGTCGTGAGCCTCCCGTCATGGAGGGTAAGCGCCTTGATGGAGCTGAGGGGCACTTTGGTGTGTTTGGCGCCCATGGTGGGAATCCGGTAGGTGTGTGAGTGACAGTCAGTCGGCTGGTAAGTCTTGTGTCACTTGAGATGGACAAGGTGTTGACGTGTCACACGAGTTGACAGCATGACAGAGATGGTCTGGGCCGCGTCATTGCCACCCGGACAAACGCGCGCATTCTAGAAAACAAGCAAAAACAACCCGTCCGGGGTCTCCACACCATTCTTTTCAGTGGCGATTTTGGTCTTCCTGCTACGTTTGCTCGACAGTAGCGACAGTCCTCCTTCGCAAATACGCAGGAGATGCGGCCAGGTACTCGCGAGCCACTCGCTGGTCGGTGCTGGGACTGGCCAAAGCTTGTAAAATATTATATGGCTACCGACAACAGGTACTCCATGTTCTTTCCCTCTGTGAAATGATTTCCTGTTTACTAGGCACTGTTGTCTGCATCATCAACAACAGGAAGTGTACATTGGTCCTCTCGACAATCTTTGTTTATCCAGGATGCACACACCAGTACCGACATTGCAGCTACTTGGCAACACTGCTGAATGGACGTGTATAATATTATATTCAGTTAGCGAGATACCGGGTAATATTTATTCTCTCGTTCTCGCCTCTGAAAGGCATAGACAATCTCACTGCTTGGTGATAGCGGTCTAACACCCATTCACAGAGTCAGGATAACTCGGGAAGGCCCCGCCGCCTTGCTTCTTGCCACAGATCCACAGATCCTCAACAATCCCAACCCGGTTCCGCCAAAAGGGGACCTCAAAGAATAATAAAAGCGACAGAGTTGACATCCCCTTCTAGACATCAACACCCGCCAGCTCAAATGTATCAATGTATACTGCATCACACCCATTTCTCTATACAGTCGGAACGGTAGGCAAGGGGGCGGCATTGCCCACGACAGGCGACGAGGGCCCGACGCGGCCAATCTCCATGCCGACGCGGACGAGTGTCTCCATCTGCTGCTCCGAGGTGGCGAGGAGGGTCGCTGTCAAACTGGAGTCCGGCGCTGCGGGGGAAGACGGCAATGGTGGTGGAGCCGCCGTACTGGAACCAGCCGAGCTCCTCGCCCTTTGCGATGGTGTCTCCGGGTTTCTTGGACCAGCCAATCGAGCCGACGAGCATGGCGCCCACGGCCACAAAGGCCACAGGGATGGACTCTTTGCCGGGACCAAAGTTGGCGTTGACGACGGCGACCGAGCGTTTGTTGAGAGTGAAGACGTTCAGGTCTGATGGTCAGCTGTCTCCCACAATGCATACAGCTTACCCTCGTTGACGGCCTGGGGGTTGACGGTGTAGAGCTGTCCGGGAATATCGGTAATGTCCACAACGGTGCCGGAGACGGGCGAGTGGAAGCGGTGGTAGTCCTGGGGCGCAAGACGGCACACGGCGATGCTCGCCTCACCCTCGTTGAGGATGGCGTCGTACTTGGGGTTGCCCTCCACGGCGTTGTCGCCCAGCAGAAGGCGGGGGAGGGTGAACTCCTTGCCCTTGATCCTGTGCGCGGTCAGCCGGGTTGCCGGGCCACATTCGTAACCCATGTCGTGCCACCTACCAGAGGGTCTTGGCCGCATCAACCGAGGGGAAGACGCTCAGACGGCAGTCAGCGGGGCTGGTGACGACCGCAACCTCCCGGGAGAGGTGATGGGGCGTGCAGTGGCGACGAGTTTGCGGGCGAAGAACGAGTTGAAGGTCTGGCGGGTCAGAAGAGAACGCCATGAAGCAGATGGTACCCACGGGGTATTGGGTAAGGTCCTGGACGAGCAGTTCCTCGAGGGGAAGGTCGTAAGTCTTGATAAACGACTGAATGTGGGCAAGGACACCGGGACCTGTCTGGTCGTACACGGCACCCTCTACACATGTTAGCGGGCAAATGAAGAGTCGTCAGGACGTACGCTTGATAGACTGCTCCTCGAGGAGGCGTTCAACCTTCTTGTAACCCATAAAGTCGTTCTGGTTGGGTCAGTCTTGCGGACGCAATCGCCGTACCCACGCCCGATACGAAGAGAAGGTGCATGCCAACGCGCACGTCTGCTCGTTAGCTCATGCAACCAGCGCGTCACGCACAGATGGGCATGGTCTCAAAGATCTTGGCACCGCTGGTCCTGTCAATGACGTAGTTGCCTAATGAAGGTTAGGTTGGGACGATCACCCTATAGCCAGCATGCCACTAGATTGTGCCTACCCATGTGCTCGTATGCGAAGAGCTGCAAGATGCGTCAGTGGATCAGTGATAACCTCCCCCCCTCCCCCCCGCCCCCAAGAAACTCACGCGGTCAAGAGTGGCCGAGCTGGGGAAGAAGTGCCTGACCCACGTCTTGGCCTCGGCGCTACCGTGCGAGTGGACGGCGTCGGCACGAACCTCGGACGCTGCATGTCAGCTTCAAACGACCGGCGATATCCAAGCTCACGCGCAAGCTGGTCCTTTGCGTCGCTGGCGTGGGGTGTCGAGTTCTCGACAATGTACTTGAGCGACTCGTGGAGGCCCGGAATGTCCTCGTCGGCAATGTTGACGCGGGTGGTCGCTGGGACTGTGGGGGTAGCCATGGTTGCTGCAGTGGAGGAAGGGGGTGGGTGTAAGAGGCTAAAGAGGCCGTGGTATGCGAGATGCGATGCTGGCTGATTTATATGGTGTGGCCCAAACACGCTCTCGCCTGGGCGTGACAGTCTAGGCTGCTCGCTGCTGCTGCGGGAGTCACCCGTCCTCCCATAATATGACGTTGATGGCCCATTTTATATTATTTTGACCCCGCGCCAAGACATAAATAGAATTCAAACACGGCCTCCACCCCAGCTATCCGGGGATATGGGATTCTATCTTTTCGCGTGACACCACACGGGTACCCGGTACAACAGATGTTGCATGTTGGACGCGCGTGAGGGGCAAGACGATGCAAACCTTGCCTAACCCAACGTCGTCACAAAGTTCGGTTAACCTGGATGCACACCCACCCTCCGCATACAGTGGACGCGCACTTTAAATGGCATTCTCTCTAACGGAAATACTGCTGTATGCGAAACCAAACTAAGGAGTGAGACGCTTGGGGTCGCGGGGGAAGAGCGACGCCCTGCGAATGTTGCCGAGAGCGAGGTAGAGGAAGACGACACGCTCAAGACCGATACCGCCACCACCGTGGGGAGGGCAGCCGAGACGGAAGGCGTCAATGTAGCTCTTAAACTCGGCGGGGTTCATGCCGAGGGCGACGAGGCGCTCGGTGAGGAACTCGGGGTCGTGGATACGCTGGGCACCCGAGAGGATCTCCTCTCCCCTCAAGTAGAAGTCGTACGAGTTGACAACGTTGGGGTTGGTGGGGTCGGGCATCGAGTAGAAGGGACGGAAGCCGGCCGGGAACTTGTCCATGATAAAGTAGTCGGTCTTGTACTTGTCCTTGACAAGGCGGCCGAGGAACTTTTCGTTCTCAGTGCTCAGGTCGGCGTCCTCGGGGAGGGGCGAGCCGTCAAAGTCGGTGGCGCCGGCCTCACGGAGCATGGCGATACCCTCAGCAAAGGTGATGACGGGGGTCTTGTCAATGAAGACGAAGGGCTCGCCGCCAAACTGGGCACGGACAGCAGCGACCTCCTTGGCGTACTTGGTCTCGATGCCGTTGAAGAGGGCCTTGAAGATCGAGTCGAGGGTCTCGAGAACCTCGTGGTAGTGCTCAGAGATGGCCATCTCAATGTCAAGACCCATAAACTCGGTCATGTGGCGGTAGGTGTTCGAGTCCTCGGCACGGAAGACGGGGGCAATCTCGTACACGCGGTCCATGTCGGCAGCAATGCACATCTGCTTGGCAAGCTGGGGCGACTGGGCAAGGAAGGCAGTAGCTGTTTATCCGGTTAGTCTCAAAAAACCCCTCCATCAAGGAATTGCCACTCCACTTACAGTTGAAGTACTGGACCTTGAAGACACTGGCACCCGACTCGGTGGCAGCGCCCTGGAGCTTGGGGGTGTGGATCTCAGTGAAGCCGAGACCGTTGAGGTGCTCGCGGAAGATGTTGCAGATACCAGACTGGATGCGGAAGATGGCCTGGTTGGTGGGGGTACGGAGGTCCATGACACGGTTGTCAAGACGGGTGGGGAGCGAGACACGCGAGTACTGCTTGCCCTCGGCCTCACCACGCTCAATCTCGGCCTCGGAACGCGAAGCGTCCTCGATGGAGAAGGGAAGGGCCTCCGACTCGACAGCGGTGAAGAGCTTGAAATTCGAGTTAGCCAAAACCCACACGACTTCCAGAACATATGCCTACTCACCTTGTGGATGGAGATCTCGTACTGCTGGATGGTGCACGACTTGACGTCGGCCTTCTTGATCTCGCCCTCAACAACGACAATGGACTCGGCAGGGATACCCTGCGAGTACTTGACCATCTGCTTGGAGACCTGGTGGACGTCGGCCTCCTTCGAGACGGCAATGACACCCTGGAGAGTCTCGGTCTGCTGGCGGAACTGGAGGAAGGCCATCTTGGCAGCTGGGGATTCCGTCAGTCCTTGTACTTTCCCAGTTCACACAAGGGCATGTTCCTGTTCACTCACCCTGGGGACGCATGTTGTGGAGACGGGCGCGGAAGAGAACCTCCTTGCCAACGTCGGCGTCGGTAATGTTCTCAAACTTGAGCCACTGGCGGCCTGAAATGTGTGTTAGCTACTTGCCACGTATCTTATTCCTCGCAGCTACGCACCGAGACGCTCCTGGGACTGGTGGCGAGGAAGCTTGCCGTAGTTCTGGGTAGCGTTGTCGATGGCGTCGGCGGCCTCGCGCTGCTTGCGCTCCTCCTCCTCACGGGCGAGGCGCTCAGCGGCCTTCTTGGCCTTTTCGGCCTCCTTGGCACGCTTCTTGAGCTCGGACTTGGAGGGGCCGGCGGGAGCAGCGCCCTCAGCGGCGGCCACGGGAGCGGCGGCGGCCGCGGGAGCCTCGACGGGGGCTGGGGGGTTGGTGGGCTCGGACATGGTTTTAGTGTGTGATGGGATGACTCGAGAGAGAAAGTCAATGGACGCCAATGTTCTCGCGCCCAAAGTGTCATTGTGCTCTGCGGTTCCAGCGCCCCCGGAGGGGGCCGAGAAAGATCGAGCGGAGGTATTGCCACGTCATTTGGTATTTTCTAATTGTGTTTTGTTTCCCCCCCCTTTTTCACGGTTATCAAAAATGTATCGGGTATCTCCTGTGCCAGCGGCCAGCAATCGAGTCATACACGGCGGCGGGGCTGGTCGGTCCAACGCGCACCACGGACACTCCGCAGCCGTTTAAAATACCACCACCACACACACTGCAAAGCATTATCTTTGCAACTTTCTCTTTCACCCCCCCGCACCACCAAAAAAAACAACAAACAACAACCATGAGCGCCCAGACCAAGCCCTCCCTCTGGCTCCGTTGCGAGAAGAAGCCCTTCGAGCACCGCTCCGCCCTCACCCCCACCACCGCCAAGACCCTCCTTGACGCCGGCTTTGACATTTACGTCGAGAAGGACCCCCAGCGTATCTTTGACGACGAGGAGTTTGCCGCGTAAGTTGCTCCCCCCCCCCCCCCCCCCCCCCCCATCATCCGCGCGCGCGTTGCTTTGATTTACTTGCTAACACCCATGTTCAGTGTCGGCTGCAAGGTTGTCGAGCACAACACCTGGCCCCAGGCCCCCACTGACATCCCCATCATCGGCCTCAAGGAGCTCCCCGAGTCGACGTGAGTGTGAAATGGTTGATTGGCGACGACCACCTCGCGCTGCTGCCCCCAAGGTTATCGGTCCCTGACTCACAACCCGCAGCGACCCCCTCCCCCACACCCACATCCAGTTTGCCCACTGCTACAAGGAGCAGGGCGGCTGGAACGACGTTCTCCGTCGCTTCGCCCGCGGCAACGGCAAGCTCTACGACCTCGAGTTCCTCGAGGACCCCGAGACCCGCCGCCGTGTTGCCGCTTTCGGCTTCCACGCCGGTTTCGCTGGTGCCGCCGCCGGTGCTCTTGCCTACGCCAAGCAGCAGGAGGACGGCGGCAACGGTGTCCTCAAGGACCTCAAGCCCTACCCCAACGAGGACGCCATGATCTCGCACGTTCGTGGTGCCCTTGAGACTGTCAAGGGCGGTGTCGAGAACGTCAAGGTTCTTGTCATTGGTGCCCTCGGCCGCTGCGGTTCGGGTGCCGTCGACCTCTTCCGCAAGGTCGGCATCAAGGAGTGAGTACACGCAAGATATGGACCGTGACCTGGGTGTAGACTGACATCTCGTGCAGGGACAACATTAACAAGTGGGACATGGCCGAGACCGCCAAGGGCGGCCCCTTCCAGGAGATCCTCGAGGCCGACATCTTTGTCAACTGCATCTACCTCTCCAAGCCCATCCCCAAGTTTGTGACCTCGGAGAGCATTGCCGCTGCCGGTGACGCCCGCCGCCTCTCGGTTGTCGTCGACGTCTCGTGCGACACCACCAACCCCCACAACCCCATCCCCATCTACTCGATCAACACCACCTTCCCCGAGCCCACCGTTGAGGTCGACACCAAGGGTGTTGGCCACCGCTGCACCGTCATCTCGATCGACCACCTCCCCACCCTTCTGCCCCGCGAGTCGTCGGAGCAGTTCTCCAAGGACCTCCTTCCCTCGCTCCTCCAGTTCCCCCAGCGCGACTCGGCCCTCGTCTGGGTCAACGCCGAGAAGCTCTTCCGCGAGAAGCTCGAGGAGGCCCGCGTCGAGGACGAGCGCCTCGGCGTCAAGGCTTAAGTGGAAGGAAGAAGACAACAAGCAAAAGAAAACCCCCCCCGCTCTGGAACCACACATCTTCGCGTGCCGTGTTCCGTACACCACCCCAACATTTTCTAGTCCATCATCCTTTCGTCAAGAACAAATACTTTTGTAGAGCTTGCATATGCAATGGCCACGAGACACACATTTGAAAAACACATATAAACAACATGGGAAGCACTGTTCTTCTACTCTTACTCTAGGCGTGCGGGAGGTAGGCAGCGCGGCGCGCCTCTTCCTGGTCGGTCAGCTTCCACCCGGTCCACTCGGTGCCCTGGCCCGGGGGCAGGTCATGCACGGGGTCCGGGGGCGAGGCGAGTTCGTGCGCGCGGAGTCTGTGCGCGTGCAAAGCGTGCAACGAGGGGTGCAGGTGTGGTCGGTCTGGCGTCGTCAGCTGGACTGTGCTGGCGGGGGCAGCTGGACGACACTTGCCATCTAGGAGGCAGATGAAGATGCCCATTCTGAACGTCAGCTACCGCTGCATGGGTCCTGATACTGCGCCAGCTAACCGGGTTGGATCCGAGTCCTTGCCGAGCGTATCGGCTGCAGCCCCGGGTGCGGTGTATACTGTGTGCGCGCGTCAGTGGGTGTGTGCGCGGTCGAGGGAGACACCCAGCAGCCTCACAGTCCGGGAGCACGAGTCGGCCTTGCAGTTCAGTGGGAGGCGTCCACAACGATGCGGGCACAGGGATACCCGCGGTCTGGGGTGCAGCAGTGGCGGCCTGCGCGTCAGTGTCGCCCTCTGTCGTGGCCATGGGGAGTGACGGCGGCGCGTGGATGATAAGAAGAGTGGTTGTGGGATGAAAGACGCGCGCGCATACACGAACACGAACAGGGCGGACGACATGACACAATGAGGCGTGTGTGCGGGCGGCGACTGCCCGTCCGTCGGAGGCAACCTGAACTTTGTGCACCTGTGCTCTCTCACTGATCACTGACTGTACGACCCACAAACACGCTCTGGTCTGTCCTGACTTGTACATCCAACACAACGCCCGTGGCAGCGTACTCTAGGATTCTGCAGCACAACAGGATATGCTAAAGCCGAAATCACATCCACCTCCATAGAGGTAAAAGAGACTACCACGCCAGTGTACACTGCTCTACGTCGCCCACCACATAGGGAGGTGTTTAACGGAGGCGGCTGAGAAACAAACGTCAGCTGAATTCATTGCCCCGAACAGCCCAACTAGACTTACCGGGCCTCACGCTCCGACTCGAGGAGAGCGAGGATGTCGTTGACGCGGACGGGGCCCTTGACGTTACGGATGATGGAGCGCGAGGTGTCGTCCATGAACTCAACGCGGACCTGGGTAACACCACCACGCGAGCCGGTGCGGCCAAGAACCTGTGAGGAGAATACGTTTGCGCAGAGGGAATGGGCGACAGTCGTGGGGAGGAGGGGAGACGAGTAGGGCGGGTTGTTTGAAGGAAGATTGAGAAAGCACAGCGTCAGCTAATGTTCACCAGAACTTTTGTGTGTGGGTATGTGATCTTTGGTTCGCCACCTGCCAGACCAGGAAGCACACGAATCGCGTCCTCCTGCCCTTCACAGTCCCCGGGAGTCTGGCGGGAATGCAGTTGGGACGAGCAATTCCAGTGGCCGTTGGAACGTAGAAGTGTGGTGAAGTTCTTCTGCCGATCCGCGGTCCACCAAAGTCTCCGCCCGTCTCCAATTTCGACATTCCCAGAACGCGCCTTGTTCACTCCTCTGCGCTCTCCACAGCTTTTGCGCGCGTTCCGTGGGACGCCAGCACCATCTCTCTGGCACTGGCTCCCCACTCCATTCTCCCATCCTCCATCCTCCATCTCGGGGTTCTCTCTCTCTCTCTCGCGCGAGTTGGAAACGGTAACGCACCTTGAGGACGCGGGCGAGCTTAACGGGGGTCTTCGACGCAGCGGCGGACTCCTGTAACGGGCATCAGCATTCCGGTCTCCGTCGTCGTGGGCGCTGTCGTCGTCGTCGTACGCACCATTTTGATGTGTTGAGGGTTGGGAAGGAAGGGTGCTGCAGGTGTCAAGGACGAGTCGAGACGAGGGAGCCCGCTGCCCGGCCGGCAGCCAGCAGGTCGGCGAGTGGGCCAGGCGAGTTTGGACAAAATTGATCCCGTCAGAACAGAAATTTCCGCTAATGCCGACACTGAGGCGTTGGCCGTGTAAATGACATTATTGACACGTAATAAACATGGCATGACGGTTATTTGGTTATTGATAAGGCTTTCCCTCCTGTCTCCCAGGCACCAACCCGGCAGGGAAGGCGCGTCCACAAGCCCAGTCGCGTAACCTACATTAAACAACTGCACAGACACCCTCTCTCGCATACAACAACAACACCACCCACAATCAACAACACCCATCCCTGCCCTCCTCCACCATGGCGGGCAGAACATCAAAACGCAAGGCCGTCGTCGTCTCCTCCTCCGACGAGGACGGCCCCTCGCAGCAGCAGTCGCCACCGACCCAGAAACGCCGTACCACCAGGCGTCGCGGCAACAGCAGCTCCCGTGAGCCGTCCGAGTCTGACGACGAAGCGCCCCGCCGCCCCACCACAAACGGAAACCGCAAGGGCAAGCAACGTGCGGTGCAGCCAGAAAGCGAAGACGAGGAAGACGAGGACAGCGAGCGTGAGAGCAGGAGCGAGAGCGACAGCGAGGACGAGGCTGCCGAGCCCGCGGAGCGTTACCGCCCCGACTTGGAGCGTGGTGACGACGGGTGAGCTACCATACGTCAACGCAAGCTGACCCCGTAGTTACGTTGCCGGCTCGATTACACGCATCAAGCTCGTCAACTTTATGACCTACGACCATGTCGAGTTCTGCCCCGGTCCGCACCTGAACATGATCCTTGGCCCCAACGGTACCGGCAAGAGCAGTATCGCCGCTGCCATTGCCATTGGTCTGGGATTTCCGCCCAAGGTCATGGGACGCGCCCACGATCTCAAGTCATACGTCAAACAGGGCGCCATGAAGACTGTGACAGAGGTCGAGCTCAAGGCCAAGCGCGGCAAGGCCAACCCCGTCATCAGGCGCGAGTTTGGTCGCGATGACGACAAGTCAAAGTGGTTCCTCAACGGCAAGGAGTCTACCAAGAAGGCCGTCGACAATGCCGTCGCTCGCTTTGGCGTGCAGGCAAACAACCTTTGGTGAGTGAAATTGCATCGGCGGTTTGGGGCGGAGAAAGCTGACAGCCCTCAGCTCCTTCCTTCCCCAGGACAAGGTCGCCGACTTTGCAAAGATGAACCCTGTCGACGTCCTGCGCGAGACCATGCGCGCCGCTGGCGACAGCCGCCTGAGTGCTTGGCATTCCAGTCTTGTGGAGCTGGGCAAGGAGACCAAGACGGTCGACGCTTCTCTTGCCGCCGAGCTTGGCCGTGAAACGCACATGCAGCAACAGGTCGACGAACTCGAGCCCGATGTCCGCAACTATCACGCTCGTCAGGACCTTGAGCAGCAGAGGACCATTCTCCAGTGTCTTCTCATTGGTACCAAGGTCGCGGCTTCCAAGAAGAAGCGTTCGGCGGCGACAAAGGATCGAAAGCAACTCGCAAAGCAGTACAGGCGTCTCATGGCAAAGCGCCAGCCGCTCGAGGAGCTGCGCGAGTGAGTTGCCCCGGTTGTGAATATCGCTGACCAGCCAAGTTACCAAAAAGAGAAGCGGATGCAGGCCGACAGCAAGTTGGTAGGCCGTGAAGACATTCTCCGAGACGCCACAAAAGAGTTGAATCAGGCTGTCAAGGCGATCAACAACGCCGTAAGTCGGCAAACTAGAGACATTACTCTGACGGTGATAGGACAATGATGGGCGTAGTCTTCAGGAGAAGCTTCGCTCAATCTCCAAAAAGGTCAAGGACTGGCAGCGAAAGATGAAGGAGCAAGACGACATCATCGCAACACAAACCATCATTCTCGACGGGCCCCAGGCCAATGTGCAGCCACTCATTGAGGCCAAGGCTCAGGAGAAGAAGGAGGCCACTGTGCAAGTGCGCAAGCTTCAGGCCGACCATGAGAAGCTCAGGTCGGAGCTGGAGACCTTGCAGCGTGAACGCACGACCATCCACAACGAGATCGAGAGGCGTACGCGCAGGTTGAATGAGCTGTCCAATGTCGACACCCAGAAGAAGCAGGCCGCGGCCAGGTGGGAAGCGACTATTGGCTGGGTCGTCGACTGGATCGAGAAAGCCCCCCCAGGGACATTCGACGCCCAAGTCTGTTATCCACCCATCATCTCCGTCAACGTCCCCGACAAGCAGTATGCGTGGATGGTTGAAATGTGCACCAATGTCGCACAGCGCAAGGCAAGTTGCGATATAAAAGTACACATTTACTGACCAGCGGCAGACATTCATTTGCCAGAATGAAAGGGACTACCTGACCCTCACGGGTCTGAACGGCACCACGTTCAAAGATGCGAATGGCAGGGAACACATGGTCAGGATGCACGTTGCCCAAGTCAACGTCACAGACGAGACCTGTAACCCCGAGCGCCCATGCAGCCCTGAGACTGTAAGTTTACTCGGTGGGACCGTCTAACGTTCATCAGCTTGGCCAACTGGGCTTTGACGGCTTCGCTATTGACTATGTCGAGGCAGACCCACCTGTGATTGCGTACCTGTGCGAATATGCCAGGCTGCACCAAGCCGTAAGTTTGTCGTCCCTCGACGTACTGACTCTTGTCAGGCTGTGACCCAGCAGCCCGGTAACGTTATCAGCACCGACGACGTTCTTCGCTCCAACATCAGTTCATGGATCACCAAGACCGACTCGAACCGCGCGTCTCGTTCGCAATATGGTCGCCGTGACTGGACGACCACGTCGAGCGCTCCTGTCGCAGCGAGGGCGTTTAATCTTTCGGGTAAGCAATGCCATTTTTCATCGTCTGCGTTCAATGCTGACAAACGTTCCCAGTGGACAGGGCCGCTGTCAATCAGATTGCCGAAGAATCGGCCGACCTCAAGCGCAGGCTCAACAACATGGAGCAGCCAATGAGCAAGGCCAAGAGCGATCTTGAGCAAGTTGGCCCCAAGGTGGCCGAGGCGCAGCACGAGCTCGTGAGCATGGAACGCACTGAATTCCTCTGAAACTCTTCCCAGAAACGCATCGACTCCGACCTCCAGGACCTCCGGAAGGAGGCGCAAAAGTGCGACACTGCTCATTTGAAGATCGGTATGTGTATTGACAATGCAACGAAACAACGGCTGCTGACGGTGTTAGAATCTGCCAAGAAGCGCCTGGAAGAGCTTCGCAACAAGGGCTCGCCCGAGGCGGAGCGGCCTCGTCTTCAGCAGCAGCTGATCAAGCATGTCAAGGCTCGTGTCGAGGGACTGAACCGCTACACTGTATGTTCACTTTTCGTGCAATTGCTGCTCGCTGACGCATGCAGGAATCAGCTACCGAGTCCGTCCAGGAGGTTGGCAATGTGGCCAGGGCCAAGTTGGCTTCGGCTCAATATCGCCTGAACCTGCATACGATCAAGGAAGTGGTCGAACTGGGTCACGACAAGATTGAGCAGCTAGAGAAAGAGATCCAAGAGCGTGCGTATAATACCCCTCCCTGCTTCGCAGCTGTTGCTAACGTACCCCCAGTTTCCACCATCATCACGGCTGCCAGTGAGAAAGCCAAGAAACAGGAGGTAGAGCTGCACGAGCTGCTGGGTGAAAACTTCGAGTTTGATGTACTCGAAGACCTGCCTCGGCCACTCTATAACCGACTCCAAAACATTGACGTACGTGACACGGTGTCTGGTAAACCTAGAGCCCGCTGCTGACAACGCCAAGAAAGAATCCATGGACGAAATCATGGGCGAGTTGGCCGACAACGAGGCCCAGCTCGACCTCTCAGTTGGTGTCAGTGCCAACACCATCGACAGGTTCCAGCGTCTCAGCAAAGAGGTGAGCTTTGAATATAGTTCACTTTAGCTGACAATCCCCAGCTTGCAGAGAAGAAGCAGCAGGTCGAGAAGCTGCGTAAAGACTATGAGACAATGTCCCGCGGCATCGCCGACATCCGCAAGACGTTTGACCCGGCTCTCGACTCGCTTGTGGACGAGACCAGCACCAAGTTTTCGAATGCGTTCACCAAGATTGGCTGCACGGGCGAGGTACGCGTCAAGCGCGTCGAGGGCGACTATGAGGCGTGGGGCATCCAGATCCTCGTCAGCTACCGCGACAATGTGGCACCCGAGGTCCTCACCGTGTCTCGCCAGTCTGGTGGCGAACGCTCCCTCGCGACTGTCACCTACCTCATGAGTCTGTCCGAGATGGCCCGCACCCCATTCTCACTCGTCGACGAGATCAACCAGGGCATGGACGCGCGCGCCGAGCGCAACGTGCACAACCAAATGGTCGAGGTCACGTGTAACGATACCGTGGGCCAATACTTCCTCATCACGCCCAAGCTCCTCACGGGTCTCAAGTACCACCCCAAGATGAAGGTCCTCATCGTCAACAACGGTACATGGATCCCAGAGGCCGAGGACAAGACCAAGCGTTTCGGCTCGCTGAGGGCGTGCTTGAACAAGTACCGCGACAACCACCCCGAAATCGCCGCCTAACCTCTCGCCTCTCTTCCTTTTTCATGGTCCTCTGTGCAGTCTCTCTCGTCCCCCCGTGCCCCCTAGTCGTTGTATCTGTAGTTGAGTCGCATGTAGCGGGGCCTATGCAGGTTAAAAAATGGACAAGCTAAAGTATATATCTACGCCACGTCAACCGACACGGAATGCGAAAAGCGCACCGTGGGCGGGAGCGCGGCAAAGGCGGCAAAGGAAGCCGAGGCAGGTTCCACGGACGTGACCTCCTCGGCGGCGGCGCGGAACGTGTACATGCCCGACGCGAGGAGCGCGGCGCCGACAGTGTGGCTCGCGGTGTCTCCTGGCGCGAGCATCGGCAGCGTGGCGGCCAGCACGCCGTCGAATGCCACCGTCTTGGGCACGCGGACAGGCGCGGCGGGCAGCGAGCTCACGCGGCGCGGCGCCGTGGCGGCCGGCGACGACCAGGACCCGTCAGACGCGTTTGTGGGCAGTGCCTCGAGCCGGACGTAGGGGCGGATCTCACGTTCTGGCACATGTGTTAGCTTGCGGTGCGAATACCAATTCAATCCAGCTTAGCTTACCGAGATTGTTGGCGACGGTGATGCGCAGGTCGACAAAGTCCATGGCGGACAGGGCTGTCTGGCCATCGCGCGGCTCGACGGCGAGAGTGATGGCCAGCTCGTCGAGGCGGAACGACTCGAGCTGCGTCGGCGTGAGCTGCTGGTCGCGCAGCGAGAGGTGGCCGGACCGGAGCGAGCCCGGCTCGCGCCATGACACCTCGACCATGCTGTGGAGACGTTCCCTGAACCAGAACAGTTCCCGCAGACGCTGTTGCTCGTCTGCGGTCTTCTTCTCCTTTTGCACGACGTATTGACGGCCAGACAGGGCCGGGATGGGGCGCGCCCTCTCTTCCTGGGTGAGCGACTGGCGCTGGATGGGCAGGACCAGTCTGTGTAGGTTAGCAGGAGCACCGACAGCTTGTGACACCTACCTCTCAGTGGCACCTGGCGGAACCAAGCGTGTGACAACCAGCGAATTGCCGCTGGCACCCAGCTCGCCCTCCTGCTTGGTAGCCAAGGCGACCTCGAACGGCACGCTGTACTGGTTGCGCACGTTCATGCAGAACAGGACGTTGCGTTCATCGCTCTGTGCAAGGGCCGAACGCAGCTCGTCGTCGGCCGAGGCGGCAAAGGTGCCCGAGCGCGAACGCGGGATGCCGTCCTTTGCAATCTTCTCGGTCGCCTTCTTGTGCGACTCGGACGGGCGAATAGAGGCCAGGTCGACCGAGTAGCATTCGAGGGTGTGGTAGACAGTGAACAGGACGGGGAATGCCAGTTGGCGGGTGTGGAACGTCTTGGCCACTCCAGACGCGTCGCGCTTGACGTAACCATAGTCGATGCGGATCAGCGCGTCGGTGCTGTTTGTCAGCTCGTACTAGGCATAGCAAAAGGCCAAAGCTCACCATCCAACCTTGCCCAGACACTGGACGGAGATGGTCGTGCGACCACCAGCAGGAATGGACAGCTCGGCGCTGTTGTCCCAAGTAAACACTGGACGGTTGAGCGAGTCAAAGTCGAGCTCATACGCTTGCTCTGGTGACACCTCGCCCTCGGCAAGAATGGCCTGCGCCTCGCGAGTGACCGAGTCCTCAAACGAGAGCTTGACAAAGTCGACAGGCACCTGCGATGTGTTCTCGAGGGTGATGCGGATCGTGGAGCTGCGGTCGTCAACAAACAACCGCTGAATAACGACTCACGTTTCACCATTGTACAGCATGACTGTACCGTGGGTGAGGGATGTCCTCTTGATCCACAACAGAGGCTGCTCCTCGACAACCTGGCACTGGAGCCAGCGGTGGCTGGGAGCGTTGGACGACTTGGGCGCCTCGCCGGTGGGGTACTGCACCGACTTGCGCGCCTGGAGACCCTGGCGCTTCGTCTTGGCGGTCTCTGCAAGTAACCTGCTACGGCGCTTGCTGTCACGCTTCTGCTCGGCACTGTCGACAACGGGCAGCAGGAACTCGGCAGTCGAGCCGTCCACAAGCCGGACGTTGACGCCGCGGATCTCGAGCGAACCGGCGTTGGGGGCGATACCAGTGACCCTCACGGTCTGGACCGACGATGCGGGCAAGATGAGAGGCAGGGGAGTCGTGATGAAGGGAGCGCCAGAGGTCAGAAGGGACAGGTCCTGAATGTCGAGGTCAAAGGCGAACACGTTCTGGAGTGTAACAAACACGTCGACCTGTTCGTTCGCGACCAGAACAGTCTTGCCTGCCTCGGGCGACTTGACGCGAGGGTTGTAAAGGAATGGGTCTTTACGTCCCTGTGCCGGCGAGCTGATCTCATCCTGCGCATGCTCAAAAGGCACCCTGTTAACAGGAAGGCTTGAGACCTCGACGCTGAGCACCAGGCGTCCCGGGAGCCACCATGGGATACCGTTAAACTCGATGGCACGGCGGCGAATGGTGGACAACGCCTGGGGATAGAGCTTTGCCAGGTAGCTCTGGTTGGCGGGGCTAAGGTAGGTGTACAGCGAGTGAAGCGCAGAGAGGCAGAGTCTGACAACACTTGGGTGGTCTGGGTCGTGTCAGCTGAAGCAAACAAACGCAATAGCTCACCTGGGAGATTCTCGGCCACAGCAATGGCTTCCTTCAAAGTCTCAACCTGCAAGTCGGCCCATCCGAAGCGCGGCTCGTTGAGCTCGTTTGAGCCCTGGATGCCGGGTACGGTGACGGCGTCGACACCTAGGGGAAGAATCTCCACGCCGAGGGCAGCGCACACGCGCTGGATAAGGTCCATGACGCCGGCGTTGCCTTCTGTAACTTCCTTGCGGCGGAATGCCACCGAGTGGGACATTACCTGGGGATCAGACCGCCCAATGGGGACACCCAACCCAAGGCCACTGTTGACACGAGACATCCACCTGGTGTGCTCTTCCCTTCCTTCAACGACAACGCTCGAAACGAGCTTGATAATCTCGCGAGTGACGCGGGCCTCCTTGCGCTCCATCTCCAGCCATCGTGCCAGCCAGACGACCTCGACGTGAACCGCAAGCTGCTCTGCCTTGGTCATTGCGAGGCGGAACGGGGCCAGGGCAGCCTCGGCGTGACCCAGAATTGTGCTCCGGCTCAGCTGCGACGATAAGGCGAGCTGGCCGAGGACGATCCTGCGTCTCCTCGCTGCCGCAACGTCGTCCTTGTTTTCCACGGGGGCAGGGAACGAGCGAGGCAGCGAGTAGGAGATCAACGACGACACGGCGATGGAACCCCAGCCGCCAGCGGCGAACATGAAGAGGGCAAAGTGGCTGATGCGAAGACACAGTGTGGCGTAGAGGTAGGCCAGCAGACCCTCACCCGAGCCAATGTTGGTTGGATGAGCAGCGGATACTCCAGGGATCGAGATTGAGACGTCGCCGCTTTGAGGGGTGGGAGATAAGATGGTGGGAGGGAAGGGAAGTGGGGCGCGGGTCAAGCACGCCAGTGCCGAGAGGTAGTGGGACATGATCTCGACAGGAATGGGCGACAATGGGAATGGTGTGGTAATGGTCTGCAAGAGTCAGCACAAGCAGTGATATCGACACTCATCGACACTCATCGACACTCTTCGACACTCACTGATCCATCACGGCCTTCCCATGCCTCGCCGATACCGGCGACAGCACGGCCCTCGCGAGCCAGAGCTTCCCACAACACATCGCCGACCGCACGACACCGTTCAGCACCCTCGTCGTAGCACCTGATGGCGTCGGCATACACGCCAGTGAGGAGGTACATGTCGCCCAGAAGCTTGAGCAAGCGACCGCCCGCAATGCCGGTGAGCATTGCCGTGGTGTACTTGCCAAGACCTGTGGGGTCCTTGGCGAGGGACGAAGACAGCGACCCCGACGCGCTCGAGGCAGACGACGAACGGCTGATGAGCGCAGCTGAACGCCTGAACGGGTTGGAGGACGCCGGGGACGCAGGCTGGGCGGCGGTGATTGCTGCAGACTGGATTGGCGGTGCAGATGGGGCCTGGATGGCAGTTGGCCGACCACCCGGTGTGAGGGAGCGGACAGAGCCTTGACTTCTGCTTGCCAATGGGACCACAGGAAGCGACTGTGAGTGCACCATGCTAGGTGGCCGAGGGGTGGAATGACCAGACCCCGACCCGGCGGCAGGGCTCCTCAGCCGTTCCTCGGCCTCCATGGGGCCTGGTGAAGCAGAGTACTCGTCCGACTGGGGCATGGTGGCCGACAGAGACGGCAGGAGGGTGCCGGAAAGAGTGTGCAGTCCAGCAGGAGACTCGAGTGACGCAGCCTGAAAGATGTCAGCGACCGTTGAGATCAGCATATCTTACCAGCTCTCCAAGCTCTCCAAAGACCTGGCCGATCACCTCGCCCATGAGCTTGGTGACCCAGCCCTCGGCACCGTCATGCGGGGCTCGGCAGGTGAAAGGCGATGGGATCCAGGCCGACCTGCTGTTGAAGGTGGCACTGCCAGGTGTCCTGGATCCAGACGTCGGTGTGGTTGAGGGCACGAGGACAAGACGCTTGACAAGAGGGAAGGCGGCGGTTGGAGGAAGAAAGTCGGCCAGAGTGCGCTCAAACGTCTGTGTCCAGTTGTTATTGATGCGCAGGCTGGGACTGGCCTTGGGCTTTACTCCTGTGCCAGGAATCTCGTAGCCCTCAGCCTCGTACTCGCCGTCGTCTGCCGCAACACCAATGACGACCAGTGGGAAGGCGCTCATGCGGAGGAGACTGAGGGGGTAGAGGTGCTTGGCCGGTGGCTGGGCAGGGTAGGAGAGGTGGACATAGTTGGCACTGGCTGTACGCGAGAGCGACGTGGAGGAGGTGGTGGGGAGGAAACGGCTTCGAGGGGTTTCGGCGGCGCTGCCTCGACGGTGCGTTGGGACACTTGGGCCGTGGACGTCGTTGGGCCGGGAGCGGTCGTGCACAATCTCGTCACCGCGGAGTGTCTGGACCTTGTGGAACATTTTGGACCAGTAGTCGTAGACCTCGTCTGTGAGAGCTGGGAACGCTATGCCATCGGCATCCGTGTGGGCGCCAACGCCTGCTCCTCCATGGTGAACGGGGATGAGGAGCACCTGGAGGCGCGCGAGCGACAGCGGGTCCGCGATGGGCGAGAGCGGTCCTTGGAAGCTCATGGTGGTAGCAAAGACCTGTCTGGACGAGGAGGCGGGGGGGTAATGCTACCACGCGTCCAGAGAGATGGTGGTGCTGGGAGGGGTGTTTGTTGACGAGAGGGTGAGAGACGGAGAGAGACGGAGGATGGTGGACATGACATGGTCGTTGTCCGTTGACGTCGTGGCAATGGACGCGACGCACGGCACGGCACCCACGCGATGCCTCGCCCCTGAACAGGCGCAAGGGGGGGTTCATTCCTGGGTATCTCTCTCCACCAAACGGCAGCGTCCACATCGACGGCGTATGCATATGCACATGGTGACAGTGGGACATGCATGCAACAGTCAGTCTGGCAGCAACGATCTGGACGCACGGCCCCAGCTACACACACAAGCGACGGTGCATGTACTACTGCTGCAAATCTCAACGCTACATCGGTGGGTCCAGCAGCCATCAAACTCTCGGCGACTATAGCACACACGGCTGCCTCCACCTCTCTCCCTCGAAAAACGGATAAAGGCCTTTGATAAACGGTGCGTCGACTCCACTTAGGCAGTGGCCTGGTCCTCCGTCTTCTTGACCTCGAACATGCGGGGGTTGCCCTCGACGGGGACGTGGGGGCAGTCGCAGCGGTCGGCGGTGGCAACGCCGGCAAGGGCCTGTGAAGAGAGAGAGGGTCAGCAGCTGGTTCAAAGGCCGGCCCAGGAAGATATTGTCGTCGGGAATCGCTCAGCAACAACGGGTGGGTGTGAGGGGCCTCTCCAGCGAAACAAGGACTCACGGTCTCGATGTGGGCGCCTGGCTCTGTCAGTCTTCCATGCATTGTACGAGGGGATGTTTCGCTCCACCACCACTCACCGCAGCCCCACCAGGTGGGCTTGCCGTCGTTGGGGCAGGTAACACGCTTGCACATGGTTGGGTTGGGAGGTAGGTGTGGGTTGGTGAAGGGTGCAAAGGCAAAAGAAGGTGTCAAGAGACGATGTGAGTGAGGGGGAATGAGCAACGGTGAGAGAGAGAGCTCGTTCTATAAATGTGGTCTGTCCACCCCCGGTGTCTGTACGTCACAGTGATCCCACCTGGCCATCCGTGTCATCCGGCGACTGCAGGTTAAACGGGAAAACCCAAATCCGGAATACAAACCTGTTGCGTATGGACAACAAAGGGAGAGACATGCTGTGGACGGATTTCGGGTGGACGCTGTCATTTGATCATTTGCGGTGTGGGATCGTGTCGAGATCGACGGGGCAGTCGCAGGCCATGGAACCGGTAGAGCCTCGGCAGACACACCGCGCTGCTGTCCTGCTGCGCTGATGGACCATGTGCTCCCAGCCACATGCATAACAGCCGGCTGTGTCTTGGCAACATGTCTATTATGAGCACTGAAGAAGCCTGTCTCTCCGCCGATCTTCATTCCTCGTGATATCGTGTGGGACAGCGCTTCTGGGATGATGACCTGGGCCATGTTCCACTGGTAGCATGGTAATGGTCTGGGCCTGGTTCCTCGTGGGCACACCACTTTCCACAGCGCTGTGGTGCCGAGAGAGCGTGCCGGGAAACACAGGTCTGAGATCTGCGAGATTCTGGTGCACGCGGTGTGGGATGCAGTGTGGGTGAGGAGGGAGTGGCGATGCCATGCGGTGGAGAATGGATAAGAGATTCTGTTCAGGCTCACAAAGCAACAGACAAACATGGCCCCAGAAGCTACAGGAGAGATCAGAGCGCAGATGGCCAAACCGTGGCGCGCCGTCGGTGACAAGTAGCCGGCGACAACTGTGGGGGCAGCGTCTACGCCACCTGTGAGTCATCATGATTCACCTCTTCCATGTCCCTCTATCTACATGGTCTGTTCCGCGTCCGTGGTCAGCATACCATGCATTCGTGCAGCTTGGACATGCAGGTCAGTCACGCAGATCGCAGAACATGACAACACGGATATCACCGCGGAATTTCCGCTCGGACAAGCCCGATGACACCGGCCACGCTGGTTAACCGATGGGCAAAGAGGTTGTGCCCGCCCACATGAATCAAGTACGAGCACTCCATCGGTCCATTGTCGCATCTCCATTCTCAGCCTTCAGCATCGACAGCCATGGATATCGAGTCTCTCTTCAGCGTCAAGGGCAAGGTCGTGCTCGTCACCGGCGGCGGCCGTGGCGTGGGCGAGATGGTGAGTTTTTGTAGGTCCGCGCCCAAAGCTGACCCAGCAGATCGCGACCGGCTTCGTGACCAACGGCGCCAAGGTGAGTTATCGTGGCCATGGTCTCAGCTGTTGTGGCGGTGCTAACCAGAAACCCAGGTGTACATCTCGTCCCGCGATGTCAAGGCGTGCGAGGAGACCGCCAAGGCGCTCACTGCCCGCGGTCCCGGCCAGTGCATTGCCATCCCCGGCGACCTGTCAAAGTACGACGAGTGTATCCGTCTCGCCAAGGAGATTGAGAAGCGCGAGCCAGGTGAGTAGAGAGTATAGAGAGTACACCCTGCGTACCAGTCAGCGCGATGCCCTCCAGCCGCCACGCATAGATGGCTGACCCAACTACGCCTCAGTCCTCAACGTCCTGGTGAACAACTCTGGCGCGACGTGGGGCGCCTCGCTGGCCGAGTACCCCGACTCGGCATTCACAAAGCTGCTCACGCTCAACGTGCAGCGCGTGTTCACGCTCACGCAGGCGCTCATGCCCCTCATCGAGAAGGGCGGCAAGCGCGACGGCTGCGGCCGCGTCATCAACATTGGCTCCATCAACGGCGTCAGCGTTCCCGCCATGGAGACGTTTGCCTACTCGGCCTCAAAGGCCGCGCTGCACCAGCTCACGCGCCACCTGGCGGCGTTTGTCGACGGGTCCGTGACCGTCAACGCGCTCGCGCTCGGCCCCTTCCGCTCCAAGATGATGAAGTCGACGCTCGAGGCCGGCGAAGAGGTCATTGCGGGCGGCCTCCCCTCGAAGCGAATCGGTAACCCCTCAGACGTCGCGGCTGCCACCCTCTGGCTCTCGGGCAAGGGCGGCGAGTGGATCACCGGTACAGTGATTCCCATCGACGGTGGTAGCCTTCTCACTGGCTCCAAGCTGTAAATGCACGTCTCATGTCATGTATGCCGTAGAGAAAAAAGAGGACTGTAACAACCCCCCCCCCCCCCGTATGAAACCCATAAACCGGATGCAGATAGTGCTACACAATAGAAAATAAAGAAAAGTTGTATATAGCAGAAAAGAGGACAGGGGCCAAACGACGGCGGTGACCGCGGTGGCCTCAGCGACCGCGGTCAGGCGTGACCTGCCTGGAAATGTCGTTGGACGACGAGCCCGAGTGTGTCGAGTTTCCCCTGGACGACGAGTGCGCGCTGCTCAGGAGCGACGGCTCGAGCGAAACGGTGCGCTCGGGCGGCGAGATGATGTATGGGTTCTGCGACAAGTCATCCAGGACTTCCATATCGTCCTGCTTACTGCTCTTGCGCAGCCTGCCCATCAGTCCCCGCCGCGGCCTGTCGTAGTGCGATGATCCGGGGCTCTCATTGTCGGCGTCGTCGCCGAGCGTGTCGATGCTGCTGCCGATCGACGGCCGGCTGCCGTGGCCGCTGCCGCCGTCCGACCTGCGCGAGATGGAGCGGAACATGGTGTTGGGATGCGGGCCAGTCACGGCGCTAGCGTGGCCGTTGGTGGTGTTGCCAAACTCGTCAATCTCAAGCGGTGTACCGGGCTGGACAGTGAACCGCAGCGGCGACTTTGGCGACGCGCGCTTGGAAAACGTCGGCATCTCGGTGTTGATACCTGCGATCTGGCGCAAGCTCTTCTTGGACCGGAACACGGACGTCTTCTTGAACACCTGGCCGAGAAGGTTTCCGGTCTGCGACAGGGCGTAGGAACGAATGTCGACCTTGACCTTGTCAAAGAGCTCCTTAAACGTGAGGATCTCGTCGTGGTACTCGAGCTGCGGCGCCTGCAGACGAAAGTCGACACATTCAGGCCATGTGAGACCCGTGTGCTTTCTGTTGTCGTCACGCTGCAAAGGTTAGCGACCTTCGATTACCCATTACCTTACCTTGTAGTCCAATACCAGAATCGTGGAGCCAACAAGCACCGAGATGAACGTCCGGTTCATGTTGGCACGGCGCCGCATCTCAGCGGCATCCATGTCGGGAACGTTATCGAGCGGTGTGCTCCGCGCGCTGTCGTTTGTGGCTGCCGAAACAACTGTTGCGGAGCGGTTGCGTCCGTTCGCCGGAGCCGCCACCGCCAGCGTGTTCGGCGAGACCGTACGGCTGAGCGCGGACGCATCGTCTCCTGCGGGAGCCAACAAGTCCTTGTCCTTGTCCTTGTCCTCTTTGTGCGCCGCCTTGGTGTCCTTCTTGTTGAGCTTGGGGCGGCGACCCGTCTTGTCGTTGAAGACATAGTCGACAAGGGACGAGCCGACTTCCTGCTCGAGGCGGAACCGCGTGGGGTGAACGTAAAACGCAAACTGGCGAATGATACCAATACCACCCACTTGCGGGAAGAGGCAGAGGATGGTCGAGATGTAGCTGTTGGACTTGTAGCGCTTGCTGCTCTTTGGCCAATCCTTGTCGTATCGCGAGATGACTTCGGGGAAGACGGCGTCGGCGTTGCTGTTGAGCGCTTGCAGGTCACCCATCACCAATGCGTTGTCCGACGAGCCATCCTGGTTGTGCTCCATAAGACCGATCGTGTGCTTGATGTTGAGCTTGACAAGAGGGTCGCCGTTTTCACGCAGCATGTGCCACGCAATGTTACCGGCACGGACGTCCACGCGAGACAACGTACGGGCATTGGCCTGCGCATCGTCGCGGGCGCGGTTGGCATTGATGACTTCAAAGACCGTGAACAGCGATTCAGACTCGTGCAAGAGGTCGGTACGGATCTTGAAAAGCTCGGCCTTGCCCTGATCGGTAAGACGGTAGAGGTTGGCCTCGTAACCGCGCTGGAGCTCTGTGAGATTGCGGATATGCTGCTGCATGATGAACAGGGTCAAGAGCAGTTGTTGAGGGTCACGATCGCGCTGGTCAAACCTGTACATGAAGTTGTTGATCTTCTCGGACAAGGCGGCGGTCTGCGGGTCCTTGTACATGAGGAGGTCGGTGATGATGTAGTAGAGCGCAGAGTAGTGTGTCGGGGTGGCAGAGACGGTGACCATGGGGACGCTGACAGCAACGCAGTTTTGGTGCCGGCGGAGATGGTTGATCGGCTCGCCGTGCTCGTTGACAGCCTTTGGCCATTCCAGACCACGGGGAACACGCAGGTCGTTGAACTGGTCCATGGACATGCCCATGTCCGTCTTGAGAACGATACGTTCATACTCGGTCGTCTCGCTGCGAACGTCCAGGAAGACCTCGAGAGGAACAAAGTCGAGCTGTCGGTTGCTACCGGATCCCGCCGATGTCTGGGGGTTGCGCTGGAGCACCTCCTTTGTCGGGTAGAAGGCTTGGAGACCACGAAGAGCAATATAGTTGCGCGACAGGATCTTCATGGACACATGGTCGAGAGCGATCGGGTCCCTGATAGCAAAGCCCTGGAACGACACCTCCTCCACAGCGACGAGGACAACTGCGTCCGGTTCGGCATTGCTTCGGAACGACATCTGGGGCTTGAGGACAATCGCACGCCAGTGTGGGTGAATATGGCATTCTTCGGGGATTCCAAGTGCGGTGCGGCGAAGGTCGACCTTGTCGCCGACAAAGTCTTGCCCGAGCTTGAAACGGCTCGCAGCGTTATCTGAGATCAGGGCCTCTAGCTGCTCTAAGAGCGCATTGCCTGACTCGACACCTTGCAGGTCCTCTGGGAGGTCATCCTTGTTGAGACCGTTTTGCTTACGGACAAGGCGGCGGTTGATACCGTCACGGATACCGCGCAGCGACGCATGGGACGTCGTGTAATCTTCCTTGCGACGGTTCTTGTGCGAGTAGTTGTACTTGTAGAGTAGGTTGCGCGACTTGTTGTTGATGAACAGTCGTGGGCAGTGGACGTGCACCGTGTTCTCAAAGGACGGGTCGCCGTCGGCGTCGCGAGTATACTCGTCGTCCCCATTCTGCTCGAGGGTGTTGTCGTCTATGTGCCGCCTCTCGCGGTGGTCGAGGTCATCAATATGATGGTTGAGCGTAGCAATGCGGTGGTTGATGGTCTGGCGAATGTCCCGAGGGTTGCGCTCCTCGGCCACAGTCGCAGGTGGCAAGTGGTCGAGCATGTTCTGGAGCTCGTCGACGCGCTCCTGGGCAATCTGCTGCTGCATAGGCCCAATGCCAAGGGCAGCACCCAGGTAGCAGACGTGCGTCTTTTCGTGGCCAAACTTGCTGGCCTCCATGTCGTTGGTGAACGTGTCGTCGTCGTGGTCTGGCATCGTGCGGCGGCACCGGACACGGCGGGACAAGGAGACATGCGGGCAGTCGCCGAGGTCGACAATTTCCATGCGTGGGTCACGGTCAAACGGTTTGCGGTCGGCATCGATAAAGTCAAACGAGTTGAACCATTCACGCTGATCAGGCGGCAGCTCAGACGCCTTGGGGTGCTGTTCGGTAGGAGGGGGACGCGGCTCGTCCTCTGGCACCAACGGGGTCGTCTCCTCAAAGTCGGCGACGACCCCCACAATCTGGATCTGGTCTAACAGGACGTCGACAGCGTAGAAGGGCTTGTGCGTAATGACCTTGACGTTACCAAGCTCCTTGTTCCACTGGCGTGTCTCCTGCATGCGCTGGTGACCATCGCAACGGAGACGACGGATACGGAGCTTGCAGCCGAGACTTTGTGCTCGGCCCTGTGCCCACAGGTCCTCCGCCACCTGGTTGTACATGTGCGACAGGTAGACAGGCGCGAGGTCCATGCGGTACTTGATCGTGCCCATGCTCCTGCCAAACTTCTTGGACGGCGGAGGCGTGTCCGCAAACAGCGGGCCTTGACGAATTGGGGCAGGAATCTTGGACGAGAACAGTCCCCACCACGCAAAGAAGTGCGCAAACGCCTTGGGACTGAGATGTAGACTGTTGTGAGTCTCGGCCGTCGTTCCTCGCGGTGCGACTCCCTCGTTCTCTCTCGGCGCCACAAGGGACACTGAAAAGTGGATGTAGTCGGAGCGGAATGCCTCGTACGAGTCGATAGCGTGACCGGCCTGTGCCTCCATGCGCTCAATCGCCTGTGGCGAGCGAAGAACAACACTGTTGTGGGGGCGGAACTGAAAGAGGCGACACTGGCGATGGAGGAGGTTGTCCGTCTCACCACAACCGTGGCACGTCCATGGTCGACAAGTGCGCTCAAACCCAAAGCCCAGTCCGAAGCGAACGCCGTTCATGAATCGAGCACATGGTTTGACACTGCGGCGCTCGATCATGAGACGATCCACCTCGTTGATGTCTTCAGGCCCAGTGTCCGTGCCGACGGCAGCCGCGTCGTGGAGGTACGCGAGATCTGGAATGCTGACAAGCAGCTCGTCGGCCATGAACTGCACAGTCTCGTGCTCCCTGTTTGGCTGACACACTTCGATGGCGACGTTGCGACGCAAGACAAGGGCAAAGCCAGATCCGTATCCCGTAACCAAGTACGGATCCGCCGAGCCTGAACGAGTTAGCGTGGCGTCCATGGAAGCGGAGTATATAACTCACCCTTGAGATAGAACCGCACAGAGCTGGCAAACTCCATTCGGACGCGCCAATGCAGGACGAGACGCATCTTGTCCCAGAAACCAAGCTTGGGTGAAGGGTCACGAGGCGGGCTAGACAGCTTGTCAAACATACGCGACAGCTCCGAGTATCCCGCAGAATACGAATTGCACCAAGTGATCTTGGTGGCCTCGGGTGCGTAGATCTTGACCTTGGGACGGGCGTACGTCTTGACGGGGTTGATCGTCTTAGCAATCTGGACCCAGAGTGGCTTGGCCTTGGAGTCGCCCGCCTGCTCGGGGAGGACCTCGCAGGGAATGAAGAGACACGAGTCCTCGCCGGCGAGCTCCTCGGCAATGACAAAGAGCGTCGTGACGCGCCAACTGGGGCCCTTGGCGGCCGGTTCAATACGCAGGACAGGCAGCGGGTAGTCGCGCAGCGAGACCTTGGTCTCACCCATGGACCAGTCAAACTCGAAGGGCACCATGAGCGTGAAGCCGACGTCGTCTGAGAATGGAGCCGACACCCTGCCCATGTAGTCGATGATTTCGGAGCGACTGAGGGCCGGAGGAGCGAGCTTGATGCTCACAGTGCTAAAGGCGGCACGGAAGAGTGGTGTGGTCTGCTCCAATGGCAGAATGCGGATCGGGAGCCTGTCTCGTTTGATAGCCATCTTGCTGTGGAAGGACTCCTCGCGCCGTCGCTCGTACTCTTTGGCACGCTTCATACGTTTGATCCAGTTGCGCGAAATGTGCCAGTCAAGACGGTACCGTGCCTCACTTGCTGAGACAGTAGAGTTGGTCGTGAGATGGTTGATGGGGCGCGTCTCAGGGTCGCTGAGGAGGCTGAGCTTGTGTTCGAACATGTCTTCCAGCTGGAGGCGCGAGCGCTGCTCCATGAGACCAACACGGTTGGCGAGGTTGATCTTGTTCTCGACCGGGTTGTCACGTGCCTCGAGATGCAAGAGAGCCACCTCAATGGTGAGGTTGGGCACCATCTTTGGTGCTTCGCTGACTGGCAGCCTGACGGTGTGGAACTCGTTGCTCTTGAGGTTGCCGGCAAGGAGCTTGACCGCCTTGAAACAGACGTTGATGTTCAAGATGAGTTGACTGAGCATGAACGCGTGCGGGATACGGATACGCATGCCAACAGCCTGGACCTTGATCGCCTTGGAAGGGTCGATAGCTACGCTCAGCCTCTTGATGAGTCCCAACTCGTCCCACATGCCAGGGTTGGTTGCACTCTGGACGTGGACGAGAACATGACTGGCCGCAACGGCCATGACCTTGTCCAGCGGCTTGTCGACATTGACTTGAGCCATCGACACAAACAGCTCATCCTTCAGCGGAAACGTAAAGTGGACCCAGACGGTCGGGACGAGGAGGCTGAATGACAAGGGGCTTGCGGTCCTGACTGGCTGTGCGGGTACTGGTGGCCTCTTGAAGGCTTCTGCCACTTTAGTGATCGTCTTGGCAGCAAGCAGCGAGCAGTAAATGTCTGAAATGTAGCCAACGACCTGGACACGCTCGATGCGACATGTGACTGATGTTTCGGCGCGGCCGTCTGGACGAGTGCGGCGGATGGAGATTGTGAAAAAGTTGATCGGCAGGCGGAGGAAGGACCGGGAATCAAAGTCGCCCTTGTTCGCCACATGGTTGTGTTTGAATGCAGGATTGGACTGGGCGCCTCGGCGTCCCCACCAGACGTACTCCTCCCCAACGTGCGGCGGCGGGTAAACCACCGTGGTATCGTCCTTAGGCATGATACGGTCCGCACCGCCCTTGGCGACGAAGACAGCACCGTTGTAGACGGATCGCACATGAACGTGGTGTACCAACACGGTGAACAAGGCTGCGTCGCCGCCCTGTGCCTCGAGGTGCTCGGTCATCTGGTACGCCTGGGCGGTAATGTCGTCGTACATGGAAAACTGGTCTCGTATGCTCTGGTCGCTCAGGTGGCGACAGCGGGCTTTGGCACCGGTAGGCTTGTAGTGAGCATAGTTGACGACCAGCATGGTCTGCAGCCAGATGCCGTGGACGTTGCGGAGGTCGCAGTTGGGATTGGGATCCTCGTGTCCTACAAAGACGCTGACATTTTCCAGCGCCACGCGCAAGGTCACACCAGACGGCAACTTGTCGAGTAGGTTGGACGGCGGTTTTGGTGGGCTCGGTTCTTTCATGTTGGCAAGCTGCACGAGGGCGTCGATGACCCCCTTGTGCCAAAGCTCGACACGCAAGCCATCCTCACACAACACCTCGACGTAGGACGTGAGCGTCTCAGGCAAGAGGGTGTAAAGCTCGACGCCGTCCGCGCCGACCTGCTCCGAAGCTGAGACGTCTCCGCAAACAGTGGTAACGACCCTGCCGAGTGTGGCGACGCGGTACGTCTTCTCGTTACGCGATCCCAGAGACATACGCAATGAAATGGGGTCCACAGCCACATTGGCGTCCATCCGGAGTGACATCATCAGCGGGGGTGGCGACGCGGCAGCGGCGTCATCACCAGCCTGCGAACCTGCGGCAGACTGGAGTACCTCGGTATGTGTTCCCGCGTCGCTGTAGCCGTCATCAGTGTTGATGGTTGCCTGGGCAGAGGAGCTGATGCTGGGAGCGACACTCGGTGCGCTAAAGGTGCTCCCCGCAGGTGACTCTGTGAACATGAGGTTCTCGGTGTCGTCGACCTTGGACTGAGCTGAAGGTCTTGGCGGCGGCAGGTCGGCGTAAGTCGAGTGGCAGCCCATGGATATGCCATCGGTGGCCAGAGTCACCGTCGCCTCGTCTTTCGACGCGCGGTTGGCGAGCACAATCGAGATGGGTCCAGTGTCAAGAAGAAGACGAAGCCTGGGGAGCAGACCACGGCGCGCCTTTGGCTCACGAGGAGTCTTTTGCTTTGGCGGTGGCTTTTGCTGACTCCACGCTTGTTCCAGTTCGCTCACGAGCTGGAGGTCACTGGCAATGTCGATGGAGGAGATGTGGCCTCGGGAGCTGACGACACTGAGGTTGGGGTCGTCTCCAAAGACCAAGTCATGCCACTGCCAACCAGCAGGACGCCAGGTGGAAAGTAGGTCAAATTTGCCTTGGCGGATGGCGACGAGCTGCGTCTTGTCGTTGCTGGTCTCGCCAGGGGCGATACATTGCAGCTCAATGGCCGTCCAGCGGAGTTCGGCCTTGACACCTCGAACCAGGGACTGGGGGCTCGTGTTTGTTCCAAAGAGCTTTACGAGCTGCGAGTGCACGCGATTGCTCGTACCCTCCGCGCTCAAATACACGTTGGTAAAGTCGAGCGACAAGGTGTGGAACGGCCGTTCCGGTGCAGGGACATTGTCCGCAGACAACTCCGTGGCGGATGACGCCGTCGACAAGGGAAGAGCCACTGGCAGCAGGTGTGACACATACACCTTGGCGAGCGAGATGGACGCCTTCTCCAACGAGTGCAGCACAATCTGATACAGTCAGCGGGTTCACGTCAGCGAGGTGACGTACTCTCGGCAAGCCACTGGGCTCCCATATTGATGGCTTTGATGTGAACTCTGGAGGCGGGGCCCGTCGAGGGGCCCGTGGCCTGAGCTCTGCCAGTGCCTGCAGCTTCTCGACACCATCAAGGCTCAGGTGGAGAGGGCCGACATTGACGTCGGCACGCACGTTGTTCTCGGTGAGAATGGGCCGGTTGGGTCCAAAGCCAATACACGTTGTGAGTGTCGATTCATTCTCAATGGCAAGGAGTTTCTCGTAGCCCTCATCGATCCCAAGAGGTGAATATTGGCGAAGCTTGAGCAGCGACGAGATGGGGTCAAAGCCACGAGGAGCCGAGGCGTTCAGCGACCCGTTAGACGACTTTTGAGAAAGGTGCGGCAAGGAATTTGACGCCGCCACCGGTGATGCTGACCGGGGGAGAAGGACAGCGACATCGGAAACGCTGAGCGAAAACGTCACCCTGTCGACAGCGCTGCCGATGGCGTGCGACCAAATGTGGGAGGCGGTCTTGGAAACGGTAGTGTGGATGGAGGAAGCCCGACGATGGAAACTCTCCATGCGGCGGGCGGTGGGTGACCGAAGGGGAACCACCGATGGCCACTGGCCGCCGACGCCTTCGCTGCAGACCGAGGGCGACATGGGCGGAGAAGCAAAAAGCTGAGGTGAAACGTCCTCGTCGGGGTTGAAAGAAGTGGAAGGTGGTGGGGCCTGGGGCTCCCGAGTGATGGCCAGCTTGACATTGCTGACCGTGATCTCTACGTCCTGGAGGTCTTCAACGATGACCTTGATGTCCACGACGCGAATGGCGAAGAAGGCCGCGACGTTTGCCCAGTTGAGAACGAGAAAGTGAAAGAAGTAGTTGAGAAGGCGTTGCACCTGCGGTGGAATCTTCTTCTTCTGATTTCCCTTGTCAGCAACTCGTGACTCGTGTGACTGAAGACTTCAGTGCTGATGGCTCACCTTTTTGGGTAATTTGGGCTTCTTGACCGAAGTCTTCTTGCGTATACGAACAGTGACACCCTCGATGTTGAGGGTGATTCTGCTCGACAAAGTGCCTCCCCATGTCCAGTGCATCCTCTCAATGCGGAGGCTGGGTAGTGACGAGTTGTTGTGCTTTTGGTACCACTCGAGACCTCGCGCCGAAAGAGGAGACAGCTTGGTTGCGCGCACGCGGAACCCGCTCACCCAGTTTGCTACCAAGGGGATAACAATGTAGGTGAGCAGGAGGGAGAAGACGACCAGCAACAGAAACCACTTTAGCCAGTGCATTGTGGCTGGTTGGCTTCTTGGCCGATGGTCGGGAACAACGAGTGGAGGGTAGTGGGTGGAAGGGTTATTGGGTGGATGAAAGGTAGCAAACGAACGTAAACAGAAACCCCCTGTGAAACAACTGTGTGAGCCGACCGTCGCGTGTACAGTACGTGTGTTGAATGAGAGGAGCTGTTTGGACCACGCCGGCGGAAGCCGCCGCCTGTGACGGACAAGGCGCGGTGCAGCGCGTGTGACTCACACTTGTGTTGGGACTAAATAGACGACCTTGCGGCGACCATGGCAAGACGTGGTGCGTTCGAGTGCCAGTGCAAGGTGTCGTTTGTGGAAGGGTGATGAAATATAACGAGTGAGAATGGGGGGAGTGATCGCGAGCTCGTTCGGTGCCGTCACACCACCGCACGAGAGCGACGACGTCAGACACACTCACCCTGCGCCGCGACTTATTCAGGTCACGTGATCGCAACCCCCCCTGCGCCATGGGCCAGCCGGGCCGCTGGGGCCGCTGATAATGAATTTGGTTCCGCCGTCCACCCAAAGGCTCACGGTGGAGGTGCAACACACGACACACCGTCTGGAAGAATCCTTGGGTGACGATGACCAAGCGCGTCGATATACCCTCCGTTTCCACAACATCTCTCTCTCTCTCAACAACATGCCCGTCGGGCACAGGTTGTAGTGTTCAGTCATCACATCTGAACCTGTTTCCTCATCCCGCTCATTCCCCTCATTCTTCATACCCCCCGCACACATTAAAACAAACTGTCCACGTCATGTCGCTGCTCATCGGCCGCTTTGAGCATCTCCCCAACAGGCCACGCTCAGATGAGGCGAGGTGAGTAACGTTACAAGACAGACGCATGTCTGACCATCCAAAGGCCTCTCTTGGAGAAGATTGCAAGCCAGGTCAAGCCCATCATGGTGAAGCGCGGATGGAAGGTTGGAACTCTTGCAGAGGTGAGTCAGCTAGGTAACCCCCACTCTTATAGCTGACCATCTAGTTTCTGCCCGCCAACCCGGCACTGCTCGGCAACAACATGAACCACGGCCAGCAGATCAACCTGCGCCTACGACCTCCCGGGAACACCTCGACGTTTTATGAATACGACCAGCTCGTCCTTGTCATGCTACACGAAGTGAGTCGCCACCCAAGGGCAGGGAAGGCACAAGGAAGCGGCTGACGTCACCAGCTCACCCATATTGTACACGGCCCACACGACGCCAGCTTTTACAAGCTGCTGAGCGAGCTCGAGGAAGAGTTCTACTCACTCAAGCACAAGGGCTACGAAGGCGAAGGATTCCACTCGGCCGGAAACCGCCTCAACGGCGTGCGCGTCAACGAGTACGACGGCCGTCGCAGGGGTCTCGCAGCCGCCGAAAAGCGCCTCAACCAGGCCAAGGCTCTCGGACGCGGAGGCGTGCTTGGAGGAACGTCTCGGAATGCTGGCAAGACGATGCGTGAGATTGTGGCAGAGGTGAGTGAACCGATATGTGTTGTCCCTGCTGACCCTCCTCGCAGGCTGCAGAGAGGCGCATGCAAGACGACAAGGCATGCGACACGACACACACCGCCGAGGTAGAGGAGGAGATCCGCAAGGCTCAGGCCGAGAGCGTTGGTATCGACGCCAAAGACATTATCGACTTGACGGGTTCTTCGGACGATGACGACGAGTCTATCGAGGACACAACCCCAACGCCCGTGGACGAGAAGGATACCAAGAAACGTCCTCTGCCCGCTGCTGCGCCTGCCGCCCCGCCCGCCCGCCGCCCTCCACCAGTGTCCAAGCCAACGTCCTCTGCTGCACACAGCCGTCCGGCCAAGTTGCCTGCCTCGTCGTCCAGTGCTACCCCCACTCCCCCCATTCCCGTAAAGGAGGACTGGGCATGCTCGACGTGCACGCTCATCAACCCCATTTCGGAGAAGGCGTGCCAAGCGTGCACGGCGCCTCGCCCGCCACAGAGTGTCTCTGCTACAGGCTGGTTCTGTGACTTCTGTGGTGCTGGACCGCGTGACATGGGCATGTGGAGCTGTGGAGAGTGCAGCTGGGTTCGCAAGTGGGGATAAGCAATGTAGACAGACCCTGTAGAAAGTAGTCCCTTGTCCGTACTGTGTACTACGCTGCTGTATCATTTCGTTGTGCTTAAGTGAGAGTCTTGCGTGTCACATCGGGTCTGGGGAACCTGTATGCCCAGTGCCAAGCAAGACTATCTGTGAACCTTGGTAGATGCACAGACGGTCGAGCGTCACAGATCACATAATTTGTAACATGGCTGATTACAAAAGGATAAACTAAACGACGGACGTGCATTATAACACCATTCATAATAACACTGGAAAACAGATGTGATTTATAACGGCCAGAATTGTACACTGGTACAACCCTTTGAATAGCTTAGCGTGCCGCGGATGTGAGTTCCCGACATTTGAACACTTTCCTGCCGTCGCAAGTCAGGGTTGGGGGTTGCCGTCAATCGACCCTCAGAACGGTTAATCCTTTTGTTTTGTTTTTTGCGCCAGTGGCCAGTGGCCATCCTCCGGTGTCCGCTTTTGCCTGGCGCCGTGTGTGTGCTTCTTAATTGGAGACATCTACCTTGCAGTGGGCTGGTACATGCTTGGAGTGGGAGTGGCCTGAGTAGAGCCACGGGCCCAATCGCCCAGCCAATTCGCACACACCCGCGGCCAACTGATAAGTAAATACCACGTCATATTATGCACAAGTCACTTCCGTGCGCGCGTCGGCCGGTGAGACTTTCCAGCTTGCAGCAGGCCGACAGACACATCCACTCTGGACCTAACACACCTTTAACGACCTTCAAAAGCGCGCATGCCGTTCCGCGCACGCCTCCACCCGCTCAGCCTGGTGCGGCGACAAGCAGCCGCCCAGCGGTTTGTGCTGCACACGGCTCGCGCGTCCGCCCCACCCTTGGCGACCCCTCAGGCTTCCTCATTTGCTGGACCGGGACCGAACACCCTCCAGTGCCGCGCGTACAACACGACCGCAGCGGCCCAGCTGTCATTTGCCGACTTCTTCTCTGGGCGGAAATCACAAAAGGCGGCACAGGAAGGGGACGCTGCCGTCGACAAGTTTATGGCGTTGGTCGGCCGTCGGTCCTCGCAGGACTTGACCCGGTCGTACACGGCACTCGTGGCCCAGATCAACAGCGGTGGCTGCCGTCGTCTCACTGCCGACGAGCTGGACCGGGTGCTGCGGTTTCTCTCTGATGGGCATCCTTCTTCGTTTACAGTGACCTTTCTGCAAGCACTGTTTGACGACATGGAGCGCCTCCACCACGTCGAGGCCGAACCTCGGCACTACCGCAGCCTAATCTCGGGCTTGGCGCGCAACGACAATGGACCCCGCGCCCTCGAGATTGCACGGTCACTTCACGACAGCGTGGGAGTTGTCACGGAACAGGAGTGGAGCGACATCCTTCGCGCGACGTTGAGGCGGCCCAACAGTGCCAAAGACTCCAAAGCCATCGACGAGGTCCTCACAGCGGCCAAGCTGGCTGGCGCCAACTCTGAGCGACTCTACTCGACCGTTTTGACCATGCCCACCGCCCGGGAATTGAGCAGTAAGGCAGCGGCAAAAGAAGCAGCCAAGCTGTACGCACGCATGGACAAGGACGGCGTCGCCCCCGGTCCGTGGTGCGAGGCACGGCTTGTGGATGCCCAACTGGGTGCCAGCGTCGCCTCCTCGGTCAAGGCGACCGTCGACAGCTGGCGTGCTGCCGACAATGTGGACGACGCCGAGCTGCAGCAGTTCCGTGAGGAGGTGACCCTGCGGCTCGAAATGGCTCGCAAGGACCGTGCGGCCATGGAAGCGCTTCTCCACGAGGGAGTCCCACACGCTCGCCCATCAGAAGTGTCGAAAGCCTTTACCTTTGCCGTCCAAGACCGGTTAAATGGCGTGTACACCACCGAGACCGTTGTGGATGCCATCGAGGAGGTGGCGACTGCGACCGGCAAGCAGTTTTCCACAGAGGCATGGACCCTCTTGATCTCGACTGTCGACGAGCTTGGTCATTACGATGTGGCGTACGATCTGTACGAGCTGGCGCGTGCGCGCATGTCCACGCTGGACGACCGCCTTGCCAAGCAGATCATTCGCTCCCTGTGCAACAAGTATGACGAGCCGCGCTTGGACGAGGCAATGTCCATGTATCACCACCTGGTCGACTCCAACCCAAACATCAACATTGCGATCTTGCGCAAGATCTACGAAATGTTGTTCAGCAGCTGCGCCAAACATGCCTCGGCAGATTACAGCGACCGTAACACCGCAGGCTATGTCGCAAGTTTGGCCACAAAATCTGCTATTTTGATAGCCGACGATGCCTTGCGTCGCGGTATCCAAATTAGCAAGACGAGCGCCGGCCGCCTCATTGACATTATGACCGGTGCCAAAGACCACCCGGAAGCGTTCGACGTGTACCGTCGAATCTCATATGTGCTCGATCCCCCTCTCGATGGAAACCAAATCGACCAGGTTGCGGCGGCCTTTATCAAGTTGAGGTGGGCTGGGTCGGTTGTCCCGAATCCCGAGTATGTCAAGGCTTTTATCGACGACATGTCGTGGACGGGCGTGGCTGGAGCCCGTTCCCTCCTCATGGCGCTTCTGAACACGTACGCGTACCTGGCCAAAGAGTGGTGGCCCTCAATGGACGAGAACGCCGACAGGCGGTTTGCGATCGATGCCTTGCTACACGCAACACGAGACGTGCACCACTTGATCATGCTCGACTCGGCCGTCCCCATGGAGATTCCCCTCCTGACAGCATTGATGGACGCCCTCTCCAGCTGTGGCGCCTTTGGCGAAGCCTTTGAGGTCTGGCGCGAGATTGTCATCCAGTGCAACAAGCGGCTTCGAGACGGCCCGAAAATCAGCGAGCAGTTGATGGCACCTGCCATCAGCGTTGCGCTCGATAGCGCTGGGTGGGGCCACGACCCAGCGGCCGCCCACAAAATCTGGTCGTGGGCGTCGCGGCACAACCTCCTGTCACACAAGAACTGGGAGACTTGGACAGAATGCCTGTGCCGATTGGGCCTGTTCGAGGAGGCGCTCAACGTCGTCACAAACCAGATGGGCCACAACGGCAACCCTCCAGCAACGGCGGGCTCCGTGATGGTGATCATGAAGTTTGTCACTCGTGACCGCCACCGTCACCTCATGCCCCATGTCGGCCGGCAGCTGCGCGAAAAGTGTCCGCAGCTTTACGATCAGGTCAAGTCTAGCATCATCATCGACGAGTTTTGATTAATCACTTGGTATAGAAGATAGAGCCAAGGAGAAGCATCGTCGAGGTAGTTTGTAGAAGCAAGTGGCCTTTGGATGTACTTTTGTTGGGCCATTTTTGCCTCCGTCGCCACCTCCACCGGCCATGTCTCCGTGCTGGCACAACCTGTTTGTGACCTCATGGTCCACCGACCTGTCTAGCTGTCTACCCGTCTCCACAATCCACACAACAATGACCTCTGCACCACCCCTCGACGTGCCCCTGCACGTCAAGTATATCCAGCAGCTCGATGAGGTGCGTGTTCTCGTCAGCTCGTTCCACTTCTCCCAAACCCAAGCTGACTGGCGGTTTGCAGAAGAAAGACCTCGCGTACCACCTCACAGAGCACCTCCGCCTGAACGGCGTGTACTGGGGCCTGACGGCGCTGAGTATCATGGGCCACAAGGACGCTCTGCCGCGCGACGCCATGGTGGACTATGTCATGAGCTGCTGGGACGACGAGGCCGGTGAGTGCAGTCTAGGAAGCGGCTGGGCTGTGTCAAGTACCAACAGCTGACACTTTACCCCCCCCCCCTTCTTCAGGTGCATTTGGCGCTCATCCAGGCCACGATGCGCATATCCACGGGACATGTTCTGGTATCCAGATCCTGATCATGCAAGATGCGTTGGATCGCGTGGACGTTGACCGCGTCGTCAAATGTAAGCCACGAGTACTCTCAGCTTTTGTCTTGTCCGATGCAGCTGTACAATACCGTTCGTCGCGCGAACGCTGACACATGTCCCAGTCCTGCTCACGCTTGTGGGCCCCGACGGCCGTGTCGAGGGCGACCAGTTTGGCGAGTTTGACGTCCGCTTCTCGTACATCTTCGTCATGGTCCTGTCGCTCCTGGGCCGGCTGGACGCCATGGACACCATCTACGACGGCAAGGGACGGCAGCTCGTGGTGGACAATATCGTCAACAGCATGAACTTTGACGGCGCGTTCGGGAGCGAGCCCGGTGCCGAGAGCCATGGCGCAATGGGTGAGTTCGAGTCTTGAGTCCGAGTCCGAGTCCGGGCCCGAGAGTCACGGACCAGGCGCACCAGATCGGAGAATGCTGCATCTGCTAACCCGCCCCTCCAGTGTGGGTGTGCGTCGCTTCCCTGGCGATCCTGGGCGAACTGGACCGCATCGACCGCGACCTGCTCGGCTGGTGGCTGTCGGAGCGCCAGCTGCCCAACGGCGGCCTGAACGGCCGCCCCGAAAAGCTCGAGGACGTGTGCTACTCGTGGTGGAACTTGGCGGCACTGAGCATCATCGGCAAGCTGCACTGGATCAACCGGGACAAGCTCATGGCTTTTATTCTCGGCGCACAGGATCTCGAGGGCGGCGGGATCGCCGACCGGCCGGGAGACTGGGTGGACGTCTTCCACACCGTGTTCGGGCTCGCGGGGCTCAGCCTCGTCGGGTATCCGGGCCTGAGGGATATCGACCCGCTGTACTGCATGCCGGCGGAGGTTACCGACAAGATGGGCCTCAGGAGGGATTACAGGACGTTGCCACGGCTCGAGCAGTGGCCTCAGGCATAGGGAGAGGCGTGTGGCATAGCATTGTGATGGTATAGATTGGCAGCAACGTGGGGTACAACACAAGCGACTAGCTGCAGTGGACTTGGCATGTGTGCTGACAGCTGGCAAGGGTCGGCAACACCAAGTCAGGCGCAGCATCAACCCCGCGGCCAGACCCCACACGCGCAGTCGCCTGTGACGCCATACATGGATCTGTGATCGCTGGTAGATTTCATCGAAGAGATTAAGAACGAATATTATAACGGCCGGCATGGGTAGCTAGCCTGCATCTACGGGCCGGGGTTTGGGTTTGGGTTTGGGTTTGGGGTAGAAGAATTCGTGAATGCGAAGAGATGTGGGGCGAGTGCTTGGAACAAAGGGGTGGGCAACGCTCGCTAGCAGCTAGAAGAAGAAGCAGAAGCAGAAGCATGGCGCCTTGGCGCGGATCGTGTCGGCCACAACGAGGTGGCACGAGTGCACGATACGAGTGTGCTCGGCGCCCCGGTCATGCGGCCACTGGGGTCGCTACGATCGCTACGCCACCAGACCGTCAGACAGGCGCTGGCCGCCGCGCAGGGCCACGCCGCCCAGCAGAAGGATGAAGACGAGCATGACAGTGACGACGATGAAGCTCATCCACCCAAACGCCTCGGCGGCCGACAGCTGGGAGCAGTAGACGAGCGCATGCTGAGCGCCACAGTGCAGCGTGCCGCCAATGGCCGAGGTGAACGATGCGATACCGGCAAGCCAGAAGATCCAACTGAGGAAAGGAGAAAATGTCAGCGGCGCTCGTGTTGTTTTTGGATCGTATCATCGACGCGCGCAGCCAGGTCCCCTCCCCCGCCCCCGGTGACATGTGAGATCTAGATCTGGGAGCCCAAGCAAAGCCATCAGACCACCACACCTCTTGTCCTCTTGTCCTGGGCCACCGTCTCCAGTCACAGTCTCACAGTCACACAGACGGTTCGGGCTGGTCCCCACTGTTCCCCCCTCGTGCTCCCACTCCCATTGTTTGGATCCACCGCTCCACATACGCCACAACACTCACGTCAAGATGAGGAACACGGCATGGCTCGCCGTGCTGGCAATGACGCTCATGGCCGCCATGAAGAAGCTGGCAATGTAGACGGCGCTGAAGAAGACGGTCCACCATGAGACAAAGCTGTGGCAGAAGCGTCAGTCCAACGTTGATGGATGGATGGGGGGACGCGGGGGGGAGGAACGCACACTAGGAACTTGAGACGATCGCGGATCGAGGGTGACGGGTACGAGTCGTTGCTGTTTAGGATGTCAGTAAGTGTCGCGCGCTGGGTCGTGATGAAGACAGCGTACTTGTTGTAGCTTGCGACTGTGGACCGGGTCAGCACTTTGACGATCTACCCGTAGCCACGACGCGAGAAACTCACCGAGCCAGGCAGTGATGCAGCCCTCGATGAGGGCAAAGAAGAGCAGGAGGCCGAAGAGGATTGGGTGGCCCCGCTGAATGTGCTGGTCCTGGAGCGTTGTGTCAGTATAGGGAGACGGTGGTGGTTGTAGTGTGTGGCTCTCTCTTTTTTTTGTCTTCGGGCGGGTACGCACATAGTTGCCCATCGTGGATTGCTGCTGTGGTGGATGGGTGGAGGGATAGAGTGGATGCGATACACAGGGATCCAGTGGCGACGGAGTGGATGGAGTGGGTGGTGATGGATCGAAGAATGGTGTGGCTCCTCTCCCAATGTCAACGTCGCCGCCGTCGCATCATTGTATGGTGGTCATTTTTATTTGAGCGGCTGACGTCATCGGAATAACACCACCACAGGAGCGCCGACACACCCCTCCTCGGTTGGTGTCGGCGCCGCTCTGGCTACCACGCTCCGCCCCCTTGCCGCCGGCGGCCGGCGGCCGTGTATTATACTAGCCATGATGCAGCAATGATGAAGCGTATAATCCATATATGACATAACTGTGGCACGTCACAATCGGTGTTGCAGCAACCGTTGTGCCCTATAGCTTCCACTTGTAGCTGCTGTCTGTCTGCGTCCTCACCGTCTACTGCACATCGCTCCCCTCGCCAGTAGCCCCGCTGGCGTCGGCCTGAGACGGGGTGGCCGCGCCGGTACCAGCCGCCGACAGGGCGCTGGCAAACATGGACGCCTGGCCGGCCTGGGTGGCTGCCAGACGCGCGCGTTTACGCTCCGCCTCGGCCTCCTTCTCCGACTCGATCTGCGAGACGATCGCCTCAATCTCCGTCTGCTCAAGGCTCTGGGAAACGTGTTAGCACTGGTGTGTACATACTACTCCCCAGCCACGCCTCTGTGCTACTCACCCTCACGACGCCGTAGCTCTCCATGACCGAAATCTCAATGTTCTTCGCGCCGGTCTGGACGACCTCGAGCAGCGACTTGACGGCGAGCTTGATGGTGAGCTCGCGGTCGAGGTTCTCGGTGTAGTTCTTCTCCAGGAACTCGCGGACGGTCTTGGACGCACGGCCAATGGCGCACGCCTTCCAGGCCGAGTAGATTCCCGAGGGCTCGGTCATGAACAGGTGCGGCACAGTGTCGTTGGGGTCAAAGCCGACGATGAGGGTCGAGATACCGAACGGGCGCACACCACCAGACTGGGTGTACTTTTGCTGGATGCCCGCAACGTGCTTGGTAATGTACTCGACGGTGACGGGGTCCTCGACAGTGAGGCGGTGGGACTGGCACTCGACGCGCGCCTTGTCGATCAGGATACGGCCGTCGGCGGTGAGACCTGGACGGGGTGTCAGTGGAGAACTCTGTGTGCAAGAGGTAGGTAGAGCAAAAGAGCATACGCACCGGCAAAGGCGACGCAGATGTGGTCATCGAGCATGGCGACCTTGCGCACAGTACGAGGGTCCTGGAGCTGGAGGGCCGACTTCTTCTCGACACCGAGGACGACACACGACTTGCCGCGAACGCCGACCTGTGGAGAATGTCAGCTTGGCGAGAGGGGCGTAGCTGGCCAAAACGTACAGCAGCAGTGCCTCGCCTCACGGCCTCGAGGGCATACTCGACCTGGAAGAGCTGGAGAGGCAATGTCAGTTACGTGTGCGGGGTGTTTGCAGGGCGGTGATGGCTCACATGTCCATCAGGCGAGAAGACGGTGAGCGCTGCAATGTGTCAGCTGGAGTTCGGGTAATGTGCTGCCAGCTGTGGTGGCCTCTACTATCGCCCCAGCTTGGCATTCCATTGAGTATAGGCTAGCTGGACTGAGGAAGACGAGACTCCCACCAAGCAATGGCTCGAGACACCTCCACTTACCGCGATCGTAGGACCTGGACATGGTGACGGCGCGAGCAGGGTTCTAGATGGAGGGGGGGTTGGGGTTGGACGCGGGGATGCGCCTTGTGTCGCTCGAGAGGGTGCAGGGAGGGTGACGAGTGAGCTGAGTGTGGGTGTGGGTGCGGTGGTCGATGTCGTTGTTATGCAAGGTGCGTTGATGCTGCAGCAGGCTGCTCTCGACGCGGTCGTCGTTCGTGCATGACGCTGCACACGCTTAGACAGCCGCGACGCCTAAGCGTCCACACCACCCACGCTGGGCGGCGGCGTTATACCGAGTGTGGCACAACGCGGAGATGACGAGGCCCATCTCCGGGTGGCGACTGTCGAGACCGTCCCTGGCTGGCCCATGTGGTGACAGCACCGGGCCAAGCCGGCCAAGCAAGCCGGCCAAAGATATCAGCAGCATTGGGCTCATTGCACTCTCCCACTCTCCCCGTCAAACACCAAATGGCCCAGCCTAGAAAACGTACAGACCAACAGCGCAAGCTGTCTCCAGAGGACAAGGAGGACGTCGGCGGTGAGCTAGGCAAATCTCAACAAAGCTGACACCTCCCCAGCTCGTCCCATCTCCGAGGAAGGTGTGTCCCGACGGCTTCGTTACAGCCACCACAGCAGCGCGACCGCGAGGTGGAACTGACACGCAACGCGTACAGAGCAGGACGATGTCATCCGCAAGCTGCGCACAAAGGCCGCGGGGGACAAGGCGTTTGCCCGTAAGGGCCTGGACATGGTCGTCCTCGTCGCCACGTTCATGTGCGTTACATCGCTCCCCCCCCCCCCCAACAGCTCTACTGCCGCTAACGCTTCGCGTCCAGGACCGCGACCAAGGCCATCCAAATGTCCGAACTCGGCGCGCCGGGCTTGCTCGTGCTCGTGCTCGCTGTCCAGGCGCTCCTGCTTCCCTTGTCGCTCTCGCCCGACTGGATCAAGTATGCGTCCGCAAGGGAGTTTATGGAGGCCAACCACCTGGCCGTGACGGTCGTGCAGCTGACGCTGTTCATGGTCGCGTATCTCGGCGTGGGGCAGGACCACGGCGCCGGGCTGACGGACATGGTGCGCTGGGCGATCCCCGAGCTCGTGGCTGGCGCTGTCGAGTGGCAGCGCCGCAGCGAGCGCGACAGCGAGGCCAGTCTGCAACGCCTCGAAGGGTTGCGGTATGACCTCAAGGGTGCTTAGATGCGGTCGGTCACTTGGTTGCGTGGTGCGCAAGAACCCATGATATATGCATTTTGGAATCCTCCAACACTACCCCCCGACTGTCTGCGTGCCCGTCGTCTTCAGTCTACTTCAGCGACGACCGCGTGCCCGTCGCACGCCCCCCATCGCCATTCTGCATGTTGCCATCGCGGTCCGTGACGAACGCCGAGTAGCTAAAAGGCAACGCGTCAGCACGTTTGTTTCGCCAGCAACCCATCTCTCCGCAACTCACATCCTTGCAAACCGGGCCTTCTCGGATGCGGCCACGGACGGCCTGGTGGCCTTCATCGACTCGCGCAGGTGGCGTTCCTCAATGACGGGCGTGGCGAGCTTTTCCTTTTCGACTTCCTCCGTCTCGGCCGTCTGCGGGGTGGTGGAGGCGACGATCGTCTCGATGCGCTCGGCAAAGGCCGTGCGCGCCGCAGAGGTGATGGTCGTCTCCTCAGGCTGGAGCTGGCGGTATGCCGGCTTGTGCGCGGCAGCAGCCGGGGGAGCCGCCGAGCCGTTGGACGCGCTGTGCTCGTGCTCGTAGTCGTCGCCGTTGGACGCGTCGTCGCCATTGTCGACGGCCTTGCCCTTGCCCTTTCCTTTACCCTTGCCCTTGCCGTTGTCCACCGCCTTGCCCTTGCCCTTTCCTTTGCCCTTGCTGACGACGGGCTCCTCGGCCTCGTCGGCAGGCTTGTTGAGCACAGAGTGCACCACGTCCAGGTGGGCATTGTACACGAGGGCCTGGAGGTCTGCGCCGGAAAAGCCCTCGGTGTCGAACGCGAGCTGCTCAAAGTCGATGCCGGGCGCGACGTGCAGCTTGTTTGTAAACGACTGGATAATCTCCAGACGGTCCTGGACAGAGGGCATGTCGCACAGGATCGACTTGTCGAGACGGCCCGGACGCAGCAGCGCCGGGTCGATGAGGTCGGGGCGCGACGTGGCGGCGAGGACGTACACGCCGTCCAGGCCTTGGGCGCCGTCCATCTCCGTGAGCATCTGGTTGACGACGCGGTCCGTGACGCCGGTACTGTCGTGGCCACTGTGGTTGTCAGCTAAACATGCCCGATATCAGAGCGCTTAACTAACCGCTTGGGCGCAATGGAGTCAAACTCGTCAAAGAAAAGCACACACGGCTTGGCCGCCGATGCGCGCTCAAACAGGTCGCGAACCGACTGCTCGCTCTGGCCGATATACTTGTTGAGGATCTCGGGACCCTTGACGCTGATAAAGTTGAGGCCCGTCTCGCGCGCGACAGCCGAGGCCAGCAGCGTCTTGCCGCAACCGGGGTATCCGTACAGCAAGAGACCGGACCGGAGACGCAGGGGAGAGTGCGCGAAAATACGCGCATACTTGGTAGGCCACTCGAGCGTCTCGCGGAGCACCTGGCGCGCCTCGTGCAGGCCGCCAATGTCGGCCCAGCGCACATCCGACTTTTGCAGCGACACGCCGCGCAGGCTAAAGGGCGTAAACGCCTCTTGGGCAGCGACAAAGTCGTCCATCGTCAGCCGGGGGTCCTCGGTCGCGGGGTCGCCGCGCGTACAGCGGATCATGGCCTGCTGGTTTGCGCCCGTCACAAAGTCGCTCAAGTCGCACGCCGAGTATCCCTCCGTCAGCGTCGCGAGGGTGACGTAGTCGAGCTCGGTCGCTTCCGAGACGACCACGACGCTGCGCGCCGCCTCGCCGGGCGACTGCTCCTGCGCCTTGACGAGCACCTCGAGAATCTCGCGACGTGTGTCGCTCTTGGGAGGCTGGACCTTCATGCTCTCGCCGAAAATGTGCTTGGACGTCAGGAGACCGTGCAACGACGCAGAACCCGTGGCCGTCGCCAGGACCATGACGCCATGGGGCAACGTCTCGGAGCTGAAGAGACGGGAAAAGTGCTCGGCAAGGATGGCCGGGTTGGACGACGCCGTGTTTTCGTTTTCGGGTGACAGTAACAGGTCGAGGTTGTCGAGAATGATGATGCACGGGCGGCGGCGCTCGGCGTCCTCGATCCACTTGGACATTTCCTCCTTGGTCTGCTTGACGCGCGAGTCGGGGTCCATGCGGCCGACATCCTGGTAGATGACCTCTGTGCGTGGGTTAGCATATCACGGCGACGACTTAACCCACCGGCAAGGATGCTGCGGTCCGCCTCGAGGGACGCGCCAATGGCCTTTGCAATGGCCGTCTTGCCTGAGCCCTTGGCGCCTGTGATGAGCAGCGGCTTGGCAGATCCCGAAATGGCAGCACGGGTAAAGTAGCTGATTGCGCTGTCGAGCACCTTGGCTACACCAGCGAGTGGCGGGTCCGGGGATTGGGGACTGCCTGTCAGCTTGGATCTCCGGGTGCCCTCTAGCTCACAGGTTGAGAATGTGGGTCGGGGAAGTGCCGTTGGCCTTGGCCTTGTTGGTCTTGGGCGTCGCCGCGGTGATTCTGGTCGAGGGTTAGCACGATATCGACCATTGGTACAAGCGACAACCCACCTGGCAGTAACCCATGGTGACCACTCGGCGTCCAGCTCGCCAGAGAGCACGACGCAGCCAGCAGGCATCTCGTCCCACCCCACGAGCCAGGCCTGGAGGGGCGGCTCCTCCTCCTCTGCAGTCTCCTGTCCCTGCTCGCCCTCCTTGGGAGACGCGGGGGCAGGCTCGTCCTCGGGCGTGGGCTCCTTCTCGCGACGGAAGCTTGCAAACACGGGCGTGTCCTTTGCCTGCTGCTCCACGCCGAGACGCCGGCGGATCTTGGCCAGCGTAGAGGGCGCACACCACGCCACCTTGTCGTTGCCGGCAATCTGGCTGTCGTCGTGGGACAGCGTCGGGAAGCCCCACTTGGCGGCAACCCGTGGGGGGACCACACGGACGGTCGCCTCCTTGACGGTGGGGGTCTTGCCCTTGCTCGACGACGACGACACGGGCAGCTGGGCCGGTGTGACCACCTTGGCGGGCTCGGGCGCGCTGCTGGTCGCATTACGCGGCCGCGGCGCGACGTAGATTTCAGTATCGGCGTTCACGAGCACGACAGAGGACGACGTTGTGGGCGGGTTGGTAGCATCTGTTGCACGGTCGGTCAGGCGCTTTGTTCTTGTCGCAACCTCTCTCATGTGACTTTTGACTCACCAACACGTATACGGATCTTGGTGCGACCCATGACCCAGACATCGATTTCCTGGCCCTTTTGGGCAGCACGGAGCTGGCCCAGGAGGTTGTTCTCGAGGTAGTTTGCATTTTGCTCCTGTGAAGAGTCAGTTTGAGTGCAACAACAAGGGACATTTAAACTGACCAGAATCTCCCAGTCATCAGTCGACAGCGGTGTCACAGACACGGAACGAGCCTTGGTCGGGTTGTGGATGATACTGATCTCAAGCTGCGGTCCGGGTCAGTCACAGTCACAACCTTGTAGTAGAGTGACCCACGATTGTGCCCTCGGCCCAGCCATAGTTGAGAGCCACCTCCGGGTCGACTTCGAGCGTCTCGAGCTGGCTGCCGCCAATACCCGAGAGGGAGCTGGCGGCGGCCAAGCCCGACCATCCGAGGTATGCGCTCTGCGGAGCACGCCTTGAGCTGGACGCTGGGACGAGCGGGGCGAGGTGGAGGATGAGGCCTTGAGGACGCTGCACAAGGGGGGAATGTGGTTAGCACCTATGCTTCGGTATTGGGAGCCCCCGCGGCTGCGTCGGGTACTGGTCGCTGCTGCTCACTGTCTGTGACTGCGCGAGAGACGCGTAGAGGGAGAGGGGGAGGTGGACGAGGTTTGAGCGCAGGGAGCGGTACTTGACCGCCGCCTTTCTGGGCATGGCTGTGAGTGTGAATGTGGGTGGGAGGGGGAGACGGGTGTGGAAAGTGGGGACGATGTTCAAAGGTAGGTAGAGATGGTTGTGGGCGGCTTTGATCGCGGCGTCGACCTGGTCGACCTGGATCTCTTTCTCTTGTCGTCGGCGCAGAGCGACACAGCCGGTTACCGGCCCCGGACAGGACGGGTCCCACCCTGGCAGAGCGGGGCCAGCCAAGTTGCGCAACGGCCGGCAACCGGCTCGACGACTGTTAGCATTTCGTTATCTGGTCCTTACACTTAGACAGCTCGCGGGTGACCCTTGTGAAGCATGCAAGTGGCTCCGTAATGTGTCTGCACGACCACGGAATCAACAATGGCTCGGTTGCATCAGAATCTCCTCAGATCTCGTCGGCAAGAAGGTTGAGGGACCTCTTTTAAGGCCAGCCAGGCAGACGGTGTGGCCCCCGTTTTGTCACATTATTTCCCTCCGAGATAATCCCCCCCCCCCCCCCCCCCGCGTGCTCGTACCATGCTGCGGGCCATGTTGGACACAAGGACGTCTTTGTTTTGTTTGCCATGCACTGACTCTTATTGGCATATGCATCGCACGGGGAGAGCCGGAGGAAGGCAGCAGCAGCAGCCAAATGTATATAACGACGGGAGTAAAAAGTGGGCCCACCCCTGTCCACGCCGCCGCCGCCGCCGCCTTGCCTGCCAGGCACCAAAAGGAGTGGATCGGAAAGAGATTCCAGGTGGGACGATAGCACGATGGAGACAAAGAGGACGTCGACAACAAATCCAACCGTCGACCACTCATAAATATCCCAATAGACCGTGTCCCTCACACCTCACGCTCACCCCCTATCACCCACACCATGGCCGCCATCTCAGACACAAACGCGGCAGCAGGCCCCTCAACCTCGCCCTCACCAGCACCCTCAGTGAGCTCCGCACCGCACAGCACAGCGCCTCTGCGCGCGCGCGCGTCTCGGATGATATATCCTGACGCGTCGCTGTTCGCGATGCCAGCTGCCATGGCCATGCAATGCTGACCACACCCGCCCACACCCAGATCCATGAGCTCCAGCCCGAGATCATCATCATCGGAGGCGGCATCGCCGGCTGTGCGCTCGCATACTCGCTGTCCCATGCAGGACGCAAGTGCCTCATGGTCGAGCGCGACCTGTCCGAGCCCGACCGTATTGTCGGCGAGCTCCTCCAGCCCGGCGGCGTCGCGGCGCTCGAGCAGCTGGGTATGGCCTCGTGCCTCGAGGGCATCGACGCTACCCCCGTAGAGGGATACTGTGTCCTCTCGGGCGACCGTGAGGTCGGCATCCCATACCCCGACCTGGCGTCGTTTGTTGGCGACAAGCCAGAATCGAATGGCGCTGCCAACGGAAAGGCCAACGGAGCTGCCAACGGCCACACCAATGGCCACGCCAACGGCCACGTCAACGGCACCAACGGTACCAACGGCGCTGCCGAGCCTGAAAAGTGGATCATCCCTTCCGGCAGCGGTCGCAAGGAAGGCCGCTCGTTCCACCACGGCCGGTTCATCCAGAAGCTGCGCGCAAAGTGTCTCGACGAGGCGCCCGACCTCGACGTGCTCGAGGCGACGGCGCGCGACCTGGTCTTTTGCCCACACACCAACCAGGTGATCGGTGTCTCTGTCGCCATCAAGAGCGGCGGCGACGAAAAGCCCACCGTCAAGAACATTTACGCGCCGCTCACCATCGTCGCCGACGGCTGCTTTTCGAAGTTCCGCTCCGTGCCCGGCACGCGCACGCCGGCGCCTGTGCTGCGCTCGCATTTCGTCGGCGTCGTGCTCAAGGGCGCCGACCTGCCGCTCAAGTACTGCGGTACCGTGTGCCTCACGCCCATGGGCCCCGTGCTGCTGTACCAGATCGGCGACAAGGCGCGCGAGATCCGCATGCTCATGGACGTAAAGGGCAAGCTGCCGTCCGTGGCCGACGGAAGCCTCAAGGTGAGTTTGTGATACTGTCTGCACTCTGTCGCGCCGTACGCATGTTACTGACACGCTTGTTCCAGCGCTTCCTCATTGAAAACTACGTGCCGCACCTCCCCTCGGCGCTGCACCCTGCCATCCTCAAGGCGCTGGACGAGACGCGTATCCGCTCGATGCCCAACTCGTTCCTCCCGGCGTCGATGCAGGGTGTGTCCAACTCGCTGGCCGGGTGCATCCTCGTCGGCGACGCGTGGAACATGCGCCACCCACTCACGGGCGGCGGCATGACGGTGGCCTTCCACGACGCCGTGCTGCTCACCAAGATCCTGTCGCCCGACGACGACCTGCCCGCGGGCCGCGAGGGCCTGGAGAGGTGGGACGTTGTCGCCGACCGGCTCAAGGACTGGTTCTGGGACCGCAAGAACCTCGCTGGCACAGTCAACGTCCTCTCCATCGCGCTGTACGACCTGTTCGGCGGGTCCAACGACGACCTCGCCGTCCTCCGCGAGGGCTGCTTCAAGTACTTTGAGCTCGGGGGCGAGTGCGTGTCGGGCCCCGTGGGCCTGCTGTCGGCGCTCGCGCCCCGCCCCTTTGTGCTCTTTTACCACTTCTTCTCGGTCGCGTTTTACAGCATCTACATCATGCTCACGCTCGGCGTGCCCGGCAAGGACGGCAAGCTCGTCGCGCCCACGTGGCTCCAGACACCGGGACTCTTCCTCTACGGCTTCAAGGTCATTTACACCGCCGCCGTCGTCTTCCTCCCTGTCATGTACAGCGAGATCAAGATCTAGCCGGGGGCAAGAGCTTTTAGCTTTTTAGAATTAGAAATTATAAACGAGCTGTCTTGCTAGGGAATACAGATGGAGTTTTCATCCATCCCCGACAGGACACAGGACACAGCGTATACCCACCCACACCCTTATAGATCTACCTTCATGTACATGTGCACTCCTCGCCCTGCTGCTTGCCCTGCTGCTTGCCCTGCTGCTTGCCCTGCTGCTGCCGCTGCTGCTGCTGCTTTTGGCACCGAGCACATGGTTTATGGTTCATTATTCTATCTCTCTGATGATGACAAAAACCCAAGGGGAGGGGGACGGCCCAGCTCGTAACAGATCCTGCGTGGTACAAAAAAGAAGACGGCGAGAGAGAATATCAATGAAAAAAAAAAATGCTAGGAAAGAGGGAAATGGAAGGAGAACAAGTAGAAAAAAGAAAAAGACGGGGGAACACTAGGGGGAGGCCCAAACACCTGCCTGCGGCGTGTGCTACACGCCGTCGCCGTGGAACTTGCGCACGACGTCCGCGACGGCAATCTTGGCCGTCTGCGTCGCGCTCCGCCCGCGACCGTGCACCGCCTGGGGCTGGCCCGACGCACTGCCGTGCTCAAAGTAATCGTTTCCGCTGCCGGCGGCGGCCAATGGCGACGTGGGCGTGGCGCCGGGACTGCTCCCCTTGGAAGGGAGGACGGCGGGCGTGGGCGGTTGCTGCGTCAGAGTCGGGACTGGAGGCATGGGCGACTTGGACTCGGCGCGCGGCGACAGGGGCGGCGCGCCGACACCGGAACCGCCGCCAGCGCCGCCCATCTGGGCGAGCCGCTCGCGCTCGCGGTTGATGAGTGCGCGAATGGCCGCGATCCACTTGATCTCCTCTTCCTCGCTGGGCGCGCACAGGTCGTACCGCCGCTTGTTGGTCACGATGCGCACGACGTGGTTGTCGTTGGCGCCGTGCGGGTGCGAGCGGTGCATCTGCATCGACGACGAGGCGCCGTCGAGCTTGCTGCGCAGCGACGTGTGGCGGGCGGGTGGGGCGTGATACTTGTTGTCGTCGCCCGACGAGGCGTCCTCGTCATCGTCGTCTTCGGGGTCCACGGAAAAGACGTCCAGAATAGACGACATGGGGATAAACGTCAAAGGGCGAGAGTCCTGCGGGCGCTGGTTAGGTCAAGTGCGATATTTTGTTTTTATGCTCACCATGTGGCTCTTGGTGTATGTGACACCTCCGGACGTGAGGAAGAACCAGCGTTTCCGCCACACCTCCCTTGCCGTTTTCCTGCTCTTCTTCATGAGGTACATGGCCAGGATAATCTTGTTGGGATCAGATACGGCAGGGGTGGCCTGGCACTGACGGTGTTCCTGCATCTGCTCGGCGGTGGGCCATGCCTGGTGCGGGTCCGAAAAGTAGGGTTCGTCCTCGTCGGAACTGACAAACTGGGGCGGCTGACCCAAGCCGCCCTTTGGTGGGCTGAGCGAGGCACCGCCCGTGCGCTGGTCCATCGACCCAGTGGACGGGTCTCGGCGTTGTTGCGACGAACCTCGTGCAAGAGCTGCTTGCAGACCAGGGACCGGGATGGGGTTGGACAGGCGGCGGTTCACTTGCGCGGCACTGGGCGGTGCTGCGCCGCCGCCCCCGCCCCCGCCGCCGGTGGTGCTAGGCGAGGTGGCCGACGATGGACTGCGACCGAGATTCACATTGGCCATCTGGGATGAAACGGCTGCGGACGGGCTTTGCGGAGGCCCTTGCTGGCCCCCAACCGGTGGTGGTGGCTGGAGCGGTTGGAACGAGGACGGGGGCGCCTGGTACGAGCCTGGTGCTTGAGCACCGCCGACGCTGCCGCTGGAGCCAACGCCGCCGACACCGCCGGCACGGTGGAAGAAACTACCCGAAGCCGACGCCGCAGGCGACACGGACATGCCAGTGGTGGTCGAAAAGGTGCTCGTCCACGTGCTCGCCAGGTTGTAGCTCTCGGCGTCGTTGTGGTGGTGGTGGTGCTGGTCACCTCCAGACGGTGATGGGACTGCAATGGCGCGTGATTGCGGTGGCTGCTGGTGCGGCTGGTGTGGCTGCTGCGGCTGCGGCTGGTGCGATTGATGCTGTTGGTGTGTCTCGCCCCCCTTGTCTCGTCGACGAGTTTCGTCTTCTTGACGCTCAGACATGCGCTTGTTAATGGCGCGCACCCACTCCTCCCTCTCCTCAGCGGAGAGCGCCTCGGCGAAAAAGGTCCTGTCCGACGTGACAATCGCAAAGGCGAAAGGGTGCTTTTGCTTCTCGGACGTCACGGGCACGACTGAGTGGATCTGGCGGAGATCGATGGCGCGAGAGAGAGAGTATTCCTGCGAAACAGGTCAGTGTGGGCGGGCGCGTCGTCTTGGACCGCTACTCGGACATACCCTGTTATCCTTGTAGTATGCCAGCTTGGTGGACCGCAGGACAAACCACTTCTTCTTCCATTGCTAAAGAGAGAGATGTGTCAGCGCCGCCTGCAGACCTAGACGGAGGGGAGGGTAACCAACACTTGAGCCCACCTTTCTCCTCTCCTGCTTCTTAAAGAGGAATCCACTCCTGAACACGCGCTCGCCGTCCACGCCCCTCTCGAGCTGCGCGTTGCCAGCGCCGTCCTCTTCTGACGCCTCTCCGTCGTCTCCTTCCACTCCCTCGGGCTCCAGTGGGGGCGGGGGCAGTCTGTCGTTCATGTCGAGGCTCGAGCCCTGGCGTTCTGCAATAGCACTCAGCGGGCCGTGTGATGGCGCATGCGGAGTGGCCGGCGACGCAGCGGGCGACGTGGCCAAGTGGGTGGCAAAGGTGGGGAGAGACGTGTTGAGCGGGGGCAGCGACGATGACGCGATGGACGAGTCCGACTCGTTGCCCGAATGTTGAGACTTTGTGTGATGTCAGTCATTTGCGCGGCGCGCGCGGCAAGAACGCCGGGCGTGCGAGTGACCAGACAGGCCCCCCGCCGCCGCCGCCGCCCGCCCGCCTGTCGACGGACAGACGGTGTATAAGAACGCACCTTTGTTGGCCGGCGTACTGGAACCGGTCGTGGTCCAGGTGGTAACTTGAAGGACAGTTTGCGTTCTACTTCAGCCTTTGTGGGTGGAAGAGCTGGAGTTGTTGCTGGCTGCGCTGCGAGTGTAATGGGTTGAGACACCGAGGCCCCTGCTTCAAACCGCTGTTTAGCATCGGACGAGGGGGAGCGGGGGGGGAGGAATTCAAGCCTCCTCTGAGGGTGTGGGGGGAGAAGGGGGGGGGGATTGGGTTTCAACTTACGCTGCAACATGGCGGGCGGCCCGATCCCCACAACGCCAATGCTTGACAGAGCGGCGGTCACGGTGGAAAGATGGGGTGGGGGGAGAGGGGGGGTCTGTGTTGAGGGCGATGAGGGATGTGGATGTTGGAGAGGTGTGGTGTTGTGGATGTTGGGAGCAGACGGATATGGGGGGTTGGGGTTGTGCTTGGCTGGGGGCACTGGAATAGAAGCAGGGCGGGTCCAATGTCACGGATCCCACACCAGGGCACAGGCGCGGGGCTTGACAGCGGCGGGCAAAGAGGTGGAGGCAGGTGCGTGTGTGCGTGTGTGTTGTATATATATGCTGGATAGTATATGAATGTTGCGCTCGACGGGTGAGGCGACGAGGAGCGCGTGCGTGTGTTGCTATGCTTGCAAATTGGGCAGCATGCAGCGGCAGCAGCGACGACGACGACGACGACGACCATATGCACCCCACAAACACACCACCACCACACCACACAGGGCCCACACGCCGTCATAGAAAACAACGGACATGCACCCAGGCACCCGCGTAAGCTTTTCCCACGTGGATATGTTTATATGGACCCCCCGTTTAACGCCCAAAAGTCAATCCTCCTCTCCGTCGCCACCCCTTCTCATCTCTGCAGTGTGGGTTTCAACGTTTGGATTCGGCCTTCACCCACAACACACGTACACCCACACCACACATGTCCATCTACCGCCAGCTGGCCACCAGGTCGCTGCGCTGTGTCGCCGCAAGGACAGCTCCGGCCACCGTCGGCTCCGTCTCGGCCCTCCGTTTGGCCAGCGGCTATGCCCTCAACCGCGACCGCGACAGCAGCCGCAGCAACGCCAGGTCGACTGGCCGTAGATCCAGGGCGCCGCAACAGGCCTTTGACAAGCCCAACAACGACGCCATTGAAGAGCTCACCCGCTCCCGCGAGCCCATCAGGCTCGAGGTCGAGAGCTTGCCAAGGCTCATCCTCAACCGCGTTGACGAATGGGCAGCCTCGGAGCGTGTCAAGGCCCGCTGCGTTGCGTTCGGCTTTGACAGCCAAGCCGCCACGGAATGCCTGGACGCCTGGACGTTCAAGATCAAAGAGGACCTTTTGATGTGGGACGACAATGGCGAGTCGTTGATTACCCAGATGGCCGCCCGTGGTTGGGACGCCAACGCGCTCATCCTCGCGTACGAGTCGGGCAACTTTGCTCGCGAGTTTGAGAATGCCTTCCTTCGCAACTTTATCGAGTACGCCGCTGAGAGCGGGCCCCTGTTTATCCAGAGCCACCTCAAGGCGCTCCTCGAGGCCACCGACGTCTCCCGCCACGCGCAGACCTATCTCCAGGCCCGCAGCATCAACCGCCACTTCCACTTGCACATGGGTCCCACCAACTCGGGCAAGACTTACCAGGCACTCAAGGCCCTGTCGCGCGCCAAGACGGGTGTCTATGCTGGACCCCTTCGTCTTCTCGCCCACGAGGTTTGGGAGCGTCTCAACATGGGCAGCGTTGGCGACCTCAACGGTGAGGGTCGCGCCACCAACCTCCTCACCGGTGAGGAGCGCCGCAACGTCCACAACGCCGGCCTCGTCTCATGTACCATCGAGATGCTGCCATTCTACGGAAACGCTGCGGCCGAGCCTTGGGACGTTGTCGTCATTGACGAGATCCAAATGATGGCAGACGACCACCGTGGTGGTGCTTGGACCAACGCGGTCCTTGGTGTCAACGCCAAGGAGGTTCACCTGTGTGGTGACGAGACAACCGCCCACCTCCTCCAGTCCATGGTCGACTCGTTCAAGGGCGACACCCTGACCATTCACCGTTACAACCGCCTGACGCCTCTTGTCGTCGCCCCGGAGAGTCTGAATGGCAAGTACGAAAACGTCCAGCCCGGTGACTGCGTCGTCACCTTTTCGCGCAACAACGTCTACTCGGTCAAGAAGAACATTGAGGGAACCCTCGGCAAAAAGTGCGCCGTCGTCTACGGTGCCCTTCCACCAGAGACCCGTGCCGAGCAGGCTCGCGACTTTAACGAAGACGAGGGACGCTCGCAGGTCCTGGTCGCCTCGGACGCTGTCGGTATGGGCCTCAACCTGAAGATTGGCCGTGTCGTCTTTGCCAGCATGACCAAGTTTGACGGTCAGCGCGACGTCCCCCTCTCCCTCACCCAGGTCAAGCAGATTGCTGGTCGTGCAGGCCGTTTCGGCCAGGGGCGCACCACCGTGGACAACGAGGACGATAATGCTGCCACCACCGACGAGGTGGCCGCCCCCGGTGGCGTTGTCACTACCTTGCACGCTGCCGACCTCCCGCTTCTCCGTGCCATGCTCCCTCTCACCCTTCCTGCCGTCACCCGCGCCGTCTTTGAGCTTCCCAACGAGGCTCTGACGTCCATGCTGCCGCTTGTGCACCCCACCACCACCTATGCCGACTTGCTCGACCACACTGCCGCTCTGGCAAAGCTCCCCCCCAACATGGTCCTCTCCGAGACACGTAACAGGCTCGCGCTTGCAGAGGTGCTCGAGGAACAGCGCGACGTTCTCACCGCCACCGACATTGCGGTCTTTAGCAATGCCCCTGTCAACACGCGCGACCCCAAGGTGGCCGGCATCTTCCAAAACATTGTCCAGGCCTACGCCACGGATTACCACGTCGACGTTGAAGAGGTCTTGAAAAAGTCAACCCTGCTCCACACTCTCAAGACGGTCGAGGAGACTCTGGCCGCCCTCCCTCCTCTGCCCCCTCATCTCGGCATTTTCCGTCAGTACCTTGTGCCCCCCATCACCGTGGGCGGTATCCCGCTCCTCGAGTCGCTGCACAAGGCCTTGGTCCTGTACATCTGGCTGTCGTTCCGCTACAGCCTCGCGTTCCCAGACCGTGAACTCGCCACTGCGTACAAGCTCCGCACGGAGAAGGTTCTTGAAATCTGTCTCGAGCGCCTCCCCGGTGTCCGCCAGCTGAAGAGCGCCGAGCGCACAAAGGAGATGGACAAGGAGCTTGCCCTCTTCCGTCGCAAGTATGTCGACAAGCACGGCCTCGTCAAGCCCAGCATCAAGTGGGTCAACCAGGAGCAGGAGGAGCGCATGAGGAAGATGAAGAGGTGGAGGTCGGCCGCCACCGAGGCCGACGAGGTCACCGAGATCCACGACAGGACCCACAAAACCGAGGGCTCGATCCAGCAACATCACCCCAAGCAGTTCAACTACAGGCAAATCAGCGATCGCGGCTCGTCTTGGTAGAAGCCGCCGATCTCTCCATCACCACCGCTCGGCATTCTGTATATTACTGTACTCTTGCACACACACCACATGCATACAACTTCTCATTAGCGATCGTGCACCGTGGACCGTGGCCGGTGCTTCTTACTGAACCGTGACTTGTTCGTTTACATGATACAACAGCCGCAAGACGTCTTCTTGGCCTTGGGCTTGGGCTTGGGCTTGGGCTTCTGTCTGTTCCGGCGCGAGACGTGCTCGACGGGAGCCTGCTGGATCGCGCGATACCAGTCCCGCACTTTTTCGCTCACCACCACCCTGTTGCGGTTTAGCCACAAACCAGAGCACAAAGCACGCGACTCGACCCCACACTTACGTGTCGGCAGGCAGCCCCCCGCGTAACCACAGCGCGTCGGCATCCGTCGCCCGCGCAAGTGCCGTATACGCCAGCCCGGCCGTTTCGTACGCCAGCCCGTCGACATGGCGCACGTCGCTCAGGTCGACCATGACCGACGCTGGGGTGAGGCCCTGCGCACGCGGAATGGTCGTTGTGCTGTGGTTAATCGTCAGCTGATGCAGCCCATACCTATCGGGGGCCGGCAATGTTCGTGCCGCACTCACACATCCACCACGAGCGGGACCTGCATGCGAACCATGGTCGCCGACGCTGCCTGGTACGACATGACGGGCACGACGTAGCGGACCGACTTTTCCGCCAAGGCCGGGTCCACCGCTGTCGCGGCCGCTGCCGCGGCGGTGTCGGCGTCAGTGTCAGTGTCGGTGTCGGTGGTCGACCCCGCTCCCTCCTCGTGGGCCGCTTGGGCGGCAGCCTCGGCGAGAGCGCGTTCGCGCTTCCGCTTGCGCTCGCGCGCATACTCTGCCGCGAGCCCGCGTTCCAGCGCCATACCCCTGTCCAGCTGTAAGTTGTTCAGGCCAAACTCCACGACGGGCCACGGCGTGTCCTTGACCGTCTCGGGGCGCGAGTCGGTGCACGGAAGGACGGGGATGCCGAGGGCGAGTGCGTCTGGGACGCTTTTGAAGTCGACGATTTTGCCTAAAGACGGAAAGGAATGATAGAAAAAAGGAGAAACGAAGGGTGTTTATTTTTTAAAAAATAAACCGTCAGTAAAAATACACAGACTGCCACATTTTTATGCAACTCACCTCGGGCGCCAGTCTTGAGCTGCTCGTCCTCCTGTTCCGTCAGCTATGTCTACTACCTACGCGTGGAAAAACTCACAGGCAGATCCTGCCTTCGTCAGCCATGCATGTACAAGCACACCATCACCACACCTATGCCAAAACTCACAACAAGCAGCACAACGCCCGTGCCGACCTTGACGCTGAGGAACCACGGCTGGGGCATGCGCGCGTCGAAGAATTCCGGCAGGGGGTCGGGCAGGTGCACGTTCTGCCGGGGGAAATGGGCGTCGGCGGCCTCGTACTGGTGCACGTGGCCCGGCTGAAACCCGCGCACATATTGGTGGTTCTCGAGGTTGGCGGCGTAGCGCGTCGCGCAGCTGAAAAAAAAAGAGAAAAAGAAAAGAAAGAAGTCAGCAAGGGGGCGGATATGGGTATGTGCGAACGGCTGCTACGGGCACTCACATACGCATCTCGGGGTCGGTGATCCGCCGGTCGAGCGCGTTCAGCGCCGCGAGGACGTGCTCGTCCATGTGGCCCATGCGCACGGCGCGCAGCACGCTCAACCATTCTGGCGTGTGCCGGAAACTGTGCAGGAGCTCGATGCACCGCGTGGGCGGGAAACACTCGGCCCAGAACGCGCTCTCAAAGGCGTATTGCTTGTCCGTGGCCGTGTCGGGCTTGTCAGTGTCCTTGGCAAAGGGGTCCATGGGACGCACACCCTCCTTTTTGCTGTCCCAGTCACAGTCGTCGCCGGCGCCCACGGGCGGGCATGGGCTGCATTGGAAAAAGTCGCCGGCGAAGATGACCTGTATGTCGGGAGTGGTTTCAGCTTTGTTTTAACGACACGGCAAGAGCTTACCTGGACGCCGCCAAATGGACGGTTGTCGCCCCGCAGCTGGCGAGCCATGTAATCCATGTCTTCGAGGGACGTGGCGCCATACTGGTTCACTGGTTGTCAGTCATTTCCCGCGAGTGGCACCTTCGGAGCTCACCGTTGTCGAGGACAAACACGTCCCTCGACTGCCACATTTTCCGATAGGCCGGAGAGCTCAGTGCGTTCTCTACGAAGCGCTTCCGGGCCTTGTCCGGTTTGCGTGGGCACTCGCGGGTGGCGCTGCAGAGCCACCTGGAGGGGGAACATGTTCAGCGAAATGCAAAATCAACCGCGGCGACAACGCGTAAAACTCAAGAGGTTCGACTCACCCCTCGCATTCACACGTATCGACCGTCCGCGCCCCGACGACCTTGCCCTTTTGTCGCAGGATCTGGACGATGGCGAGCAGCGTCTCGGTCTTTCCCACGCCGGCCTCGCCGTGGATGAACACGTTCTCGCCGCGCATGGCGAGCCGGACGATCCACTCTTGGGCCGGCGTATACGGCACGACCCATCCGGCACGACGAGGCGGGATGGCAGGCGCTGCGGGTACGGGCTTGTCGTCCTCTTTGTTGGCAACCGTGCTCGACCCGTCGCTGTTAACCACAGTAAAGCTGGCGGACGTCTTGCTCCATACAATAGTACTGCGATTGGGGTTTTTGCGGAGGCTGAGGTCCGGGGGCACAGTCCTTGAGATGATGTCTGCGACGATTGAAGAGTAGTCCTTCTCGGCTTCCTGGATGGAATCAAGCGCCGTGGTGGAGGACGGTGTCGGTGACAGGCGCTCATCCTCTGACGGAGGGGTGGGCGTCTGTTCGGGTGTATACTCCATGTTGACTGGAGTGGGAGTAGGACTGGGGTGAGCAGCATCGTCGATCAACTCGGCGTTGCCCATTGTTGCAGAATGAATGTGGCGATGAGATGCGGCGATGAACTGGATCCGAGCAAAAGTATACACTGGTGCCACCAACCTGCTGATGGGACCACAATGGCTAACGCTGTGCACCCATATGCATGACACTGATGCGCTTTGGGTATCTGACGCGTTTCCATATGTCGTGTTCCATTGTCTTGGTGATCAACACTGTTCTGCATGCGACGCTTGACACTGTGATGCCCGTTGGATGCGGCGCACGGGGCTTTGACTTCAAACCCCAAACGTCCCCAAGCGTCCCATCAAGCCATCAATGTCAAGGACATGCTGTGCGGTGCACGCCACGATCATCATTATTATATATTACATATGAAACGCACCCCATCTATGCGGTAATGTCGGGCGTGGTGGTGGGCTCGGTGATGGCCACCATCCCATCAACGACGGCCTCCTTCCCCGGCGGAAGCTTCCACAGCCGCTCCTCGCGCCCGACCTGGGGTTCGCCTAAGGCCCGCCACCGTCGTTCGTGCTCGGCACGACACGCACGGCATCGCTCCATGAATGCGGGCCAGAACGTGTCAAAGTCGTATGGCAGCTGTGTACATCAGCGCGCGCAACCCATCCCCGCAAACTCACGTCCAGCTCGCCGCCCGTCTCGCGGAGTAGCACGTCGCCCGCAATCTCGCCCGCAGCCACGGCCTGCGCGCCCGTGTGGAACTTGACTTTGGACTTTGTGTGCGGGTCCACAAACGGCCAAAAGACAGCCACGAACGCGCGGATGTACCACGGCATGTCCTGCATGATGGCGCAGCCCAGCAGCTCGGGGTAGTATTCGCCCAAAATGTGGATCGTGTCGCGCGCCGCAGACGGCGACGTCGGCGGTCCTTTACGCTTGCCCTGGAAGTTGAATATGAGCAGGACGTTGCTGGAGAGACGAGTCGCGTCAGCCAGATACTCAGGTGCCATTGACTGTGCAGCTCACGTCACACCGTTGGTCATAAGGTCGATGGCGCGTTCTAGGATGAACATCTGTGAAGTGTCAGCTATGGCTATCCTTTGTGAAGCTCACTGTGTGGAAGATGCTGCGGTCCTCGAGAGCCAAGGTATTGCGGTTGGGGAAGAAGTATATCACGGGCAGGCCTGTGGGGGAGAAGCCGAGCACAAAGTTCTTACCCATTTTGGACTGCTGTTAGCTGGCGGCGACATCGATGTGTCAGCTCACCTCAGCGATGTTCTCCTTGTCGAGCGCATCAACCTCCTCCATGCGCGAGGTACGCCGCCAGATAATAGCCTTTTCGAGACGTTGGGTCGCTGCTTCGAGATTGCCCTTGGTTGCTGGTCGTCAGTTGAAAGAGAAATGTCACGGACACGGTCCCGACTGTGGCAAGAGAGTAGATCAACTCACCAGAAAGAAAGCTGTGGACGCGGCTCATCAGCAAGGGTTGGGTAGCCTGATACGCACCGAAGGAAACATTCCTGGGACTGTCCGTTAGCTGGTGTACGATACTGTCAGCTCACAAGGAACATCATCTCGCGTTCAGACAGCCGTGCGCGCTTCGTCTCGTCAATGTCCTCGGAGATGGCAAGGTCGAACCCATCCTTGCCAAAGTGCGCCTGGAGCGCGGCCAGATGCTCTGTTTGCGTGGCCGTGAGGGTTGGAGCACCGACCGCGGTCCGCTCAGGAGCCACAAAGAGGCTCTCAAGGGCGACGGCCATGTTTAGTTGCTGTGATCGTTGGGGCTAGAGTTGTGACCGTCTCAGCAACTCGTTCGTCTTGGCAACTGTCACGATTGACGCCCAATGCGAAAGTGGAGGTCGCGGCGCGTCGCGTCCATTGTGCTTCCCGGTATATCCGCAATAAACCATTTTGTTAAAAATCATATACAGGAGTAGATGCAGTCGCTATGGACGTCCAAGCGGGTACAACAATATCAACAGATGCAAGTCCCTCCCCACAGATCCACAGAGCTGACCGCGGGGTTGGCGCACGGTATCGCTCCTTGTCCCTCGATTCCGCAGGGAGAGGCTGCCATTTGTCCTTTGCCCCAGTCTGTTGGGGGTTTCAGTTGTTGTGGGGTTTGCTTCATGGCCCACACCAAGGCTACATTCCCTGTCAGCTGATGTGGAGACTGTGGAGCTAGCGTTTGTGTTGCGCTTGTTTTGTTTGTTGTTTGTGGTCGAAAGTGATGGCATCGTACCGAACCAAACAATGCCTCGTGCGGAAATTGCACAAATCGCCGTGGTTATATGGGATTTGCCGGATTGGGTGAATGCGCGGGCCCCGACGGCCCCGTCGGCCGTCCCACGATGTCAACAACCCCGCCGACCGCGTGCGCCTATACAAACTCGCGCCTTTCTTTCTTATCATACAACTCCTGCGATCACACCTGTACACACCTGTCCGACGACGACGTATAGGTCCACGCTCACATCCGGCCCCCCCTTGTCGAACTGTCCCATTTCCGTGCACCTCAAAGCAATGGACGCTATCATCGCCCTCATCCCCCCCAAGGTGGCCGCCTACGTGCCGGGCCTCGACAACTCGCACTACGTGTACGCCACCGGCACTGCCCTTGTCGACCTTGTCGACGTGTCCAAGCCAAGCCTCTGGATCGCCGCCGGCGCCGTCCTCTTCAACCCCATTTACTGGAACATTGTCGCCCGCAATGGTACGTAAACGACATTGTTAAACCGCCATGACCGCTCCGTTGACACGACCTCTCTGCAGAGTACCGCAAGAAGTCGCTCACCAAGGCCTTTGGCTCCAACTACGCGGCCTGCTACTTCCTGACCGTGACCATCTTCTCGCTGGGTATCCTCCGTGACACTCTGTGAGTAGAACATGGTGGAAGGAGCCAAGCTGTGGGACATTTCACTGACACTCGACAGCTATGAGCGTGCCCTCGCTGAGCAGCCCCACTGGAAGGTCCTTGACGACGACCTCGTCAAGCTCGCCGCTGTTGTCCTCTTCGTCGCCGGCCAGGTCTTCGTCGTCACCTCGATGTGGGCCCTTGGCGTCACTGGCACCTACCTTGGTGACTACTGTGGTATTCTCATGTCCGCCCGTGTCACCGGCTTCCCCTTCAACGTCCTCAACGACCCCATGTACGTCGGTTCCGCCATGGCCTTCCTCGGCACTGCTCTCTGGTAAGTGACAAACGCGACGACGACGGAAACTCTCACGGGTCCCATGGGTATTTTGTGTTCCCCGGAACGTACATGTCCATGTTCTAACACTTGCACAGGTTTGAGAGCCCCGCCGGTATCTTCCTCTCGGTCGTTGTTTGGATTGTCTACGCCATCGCCCTCAAGTACGAGGGGTGAGTCCACAGTTCAGGGTCGTACGACGGGCCAATGTTAACCGTGCAGTCCCTTCACCGACATGATCTACACCAACGCTGCCAAGGAGGAGGCTGACAAGGTTGAGAAGGCCAAGAAGGCCGCTGAGAAGGCTGCCGCCCCCGTCGCCCCCTCGACTCCTCCTCGCAAGTCGAGCCGCATCTCGTCGGCGGCCACCCCCTCGGCCACCACCACCTCGGCGGCCCCCAACGGCGCTGCCACCCCCCGCCGCAGGTCCCGCAAGTCGGGTGCCGCGGCCCTCGAGGACGGTGTCGCCGCGAGCCCAATGCGTGTCACCCGCAGCCGCAGCAAGGCTCGCATGAGCGAGACTGACGACACCGACTAGACGTATCTCGTTCTAGCCCAGCGTCATCTTAGGAAGAAAAGCGGAGGTGTAAGAGCTCGGCTGCGGATGTGCCGAGATCCCCCTGCCTCAACGGCAACTACCTATACCCTATAGCCCCACCTTGTGGGGCCAGAATACACAACCACCAGACCCATTCAAGAGAGGTATACCCGCGACCTTGGCTCATACCCTTTGTCGTCTCCGATACCCCCTTATACACGTAGCTGCTACACATCCCGAATGCTCCGCAGAGTCACTGTCACAGCCTCTGGCGCATTTGAGCTCATTCATCTGTGCTTGTCGGTGTCTATGCATACGGTATTAATGAGCGAAAGAGGTGCACAATGGTTGTCAGAGGCGACGGGAGGAAGGGTGTGGTTGTAGGTAGCAGAAAAGTCATCCATGTGGAGGTCAAAAGTGGAGGGTCGCCACCCAACCGAGTTTGGTTCTACCCATTCCACAACACTTTGCAACATCACCGCCAAACCCAGCTATGGCCCCAGGGCCATGACAGCAGGACCCAGTAGGATGTCCGAGGATACTGCCAACCCCGCACCTCTCCCAGTGCAACGTCTGCGCCGTCCTACAGCGACCCGGCTGCGGTCTTCCCTCGTCGTTCCTTCCATCGCACAGGTCCTCAACGAGCTGGTCCAAAACGCCCTGGACGCTGGCGCGCAGCGTATAGAGTGCTGGATCAACCTTGTTTCGGGAAACGAGACTGTTAGAGTCGAGGATGACGGCGATGGCGTAAGGCTAGAGGATCTGGATCAAGTGGGTGAACGCAACGGTAGGTGTCTTCCTTCCCCCGCTCGCTGCAGTGCCTTCCTTCCTTTCGTCCTCGTAGGAGCGACTGACAATAAGTGACTAGCAAGGAGGTGTACGAGATGGGCGGCAAGGCGGACACGTACGGCTTTCGCGGCGAGGCTCTTGCTTCTATAGCGGCTCTGTCCCTGGTCGAGTTCACCACCCGCGTCGCCGGTGGTCCATCCAACTCGAAGATTATCAAGGTGGGTTATCCTGTTGATGCCGGGTCCTAACCCTCAGAACTCCAAGACCCTCTACCAAGGCGCAGCACGGACCGATCTCTCTCGACCGCACGGCACGACTGTGACCGTCCGAAACCTCTTCAACGCCATCCCAGTCCGGCAGGCTGCCATGGCATCCAGCACATCCAGCTCGTTATCGGCGTGTAAGCGCGTCATCGAGTCCCTGGCGCTTGCGCGACCCCAGGTCCGCTGGACACTGTGGGAGGAGCGTCCGGGTGGAGCGAGGAAGGTGGTTTCGATACAAGGCGGCAAGACCGCTCTGGACGTCTTTCGCATGTTGTACGGCAACGCGGGCGTCGAAAAGGTTCAGAAGGTCCGTGTGTCGGCGGGAGATCGCAGGGCGGACGGCTTTATTAGTCTGGAAGGAGCAGCTACAAAGGTGGGCGGCACCCGGTGGATGAAGCTGACCCAAGCAGGGACATCAACATCTTCGTACGTGAGCGGACGGCAACGCACATCCTAACCTTAGACGTCAATGGCTACCCTCTCGAGTCGTCCGAGCTGCAGCTAGCTATTGCCAAGCGGTTTGCCAACAGCCAGTTCTCCACGATGGTAGGTGCTGGCCGCCTGCAAATGACCTGCTGACCTCAGGCCACCGACCTGATGGACGATGCGGCTATGGGGAAGAAACGCCCGTCGCCTCGCCGTCTCGAGCGTCACCCCGTCTATGTCCTGAGCCTTACTGTGCCGTCACATGAGGTGGACGCGATGTACGAACCGCGCAAGTCGACACTCGGTTATAGGGTGAGCTGTACGGGCTGTAGGGAAGTGTACGTAAGCTGACACGTCAGGACGGGGCAAAAATACAGTCGTTTGTGGTCGCTGTCGTAGACGATTTTCTCCGTCGTAACGGCTTTGGACCACGGCGCGAAGCGACTCTTTCCCCAGGTCCAAGTCCCCGGAAGCGCGCTGCAGCTAACAATGGCTCACCATTATCACGGGCACACAAGAGGCGAGCCACGTCCGAACAGCCTCCGTCCGCGACTGGTAAGAGCAGGCTGTGGGACGACCTGCTCGCAGCTGTACCAGAGGGCCTATCACCCAAGCCCCAGCCCGACCCTTTTGCCCAGCCTTGCTCCGACTGGATCAACAAGCTTGTCAACCAGGTCGACGACGGCGTGATCGTCATCCCTTCCAGGAGGCGATCCGCAGCACCCGTTCTAGGTGACGAGGAGCCGACGAGTTTGACAGGCGCGACGCCCATGGTGGGCCCACCAACGGACATTACCTTCCCCCGAACGAGCCTAGCGGTTCCACTGATACTCGCCCAAGTGGACCGCAAGTTTGTGCCCTGTGTCCTGGACGCCGATCCCGCTGCCGATGGCCAGCCACGCAGTGCATTGGTCGTGTTTGACCAGCACGCGGCGGATGAACGTGCTGCGGTCGAGTCCATCCTGGACACGCTGTGTGAGGGGTTTGCGACGAGCAACATGGCCACGAGCGAGCTGCCGGAAGACCACGTCCGGCTCGTCCTCACACGCAAAGAGGTTGAAGTGCTAGAGCGTGAGGGCGTGCGGGACGTGCTTGAGCGCTGGGGTGTCCACCTAGCTCCAACCGAGAGTGTTGAGACGGACTATGTCCAAGTTGGTGTGGTCAAAGTACCATCCCTCCTCGACCGATTGGCCCGGAAGGAGGGTACCGAGCTCACTCGTCTTCTCCGCCTGTATCTCCCTGTGCTCGCAGATGACATTGGAGAACTGCAAGCCCTTATTATAAGCCTGGAGAGCGAGTCGGGAGGCGAATTGGGCGAGGGTGGTTGGGCAAGAGTCCAGCGCTGGATGCCGCGTGAGATGGTGGAGCTGGCCAACTCGAAGGCCTGCAGAGGTGGGTCCCACTTGGCGCACTTATCGACTTCTGACCCAGCAGGTGCCATCATGTTCGAAGACCGCCTCGACAACGACCAATGCCACCGACTCCTCACCCGCCTCGCAACAACCAGGAATCCATGGGTGTGCGCGCACGGCCGTCCGACGTTCATCCCCCTGTGTACTCTGCCAACGTCGTCTGCATCACGTCCGGCCAGCCGACAACGCATAGACTGGGCCTCATGGAATGAGACTTCATGATATGATATATATATGTTTGGGCCGGGGAGCCTCCATGCTGTATGTGTGTGGGACTATAGTACATGTAACAACAGTGTAATTGTGGTGTGAACAGGCTACCTCTTGCGCTTGGTGCCGGCGGTAGCCTTTGTCGACTTTGCCGTCGTCTTGGGCTTTGCCGCTGCTTTGGGCTTTGCCGCTGCTTTGGGCTTTGCCGCTGCCTTGGGCTTTGCTGCGGCCTTGGGCTTTGCGACCTTCTTCGATTTCGACTTTGGCGCACTCTCGGCCTTGCGTTTCTTGCTGTTCTTGACAGGCGTGGCGACCACTTCTTCTTCTTCTTCTTCCTCTTCTTCCGCCGCCTCTTCCTCCTCTTCTTGCGCCTCCGCCTCCGGCACCTCCTCCTCCTCCTCTGGCTGCACAACAACCTCGGGCTCTTCCTCCTCCACAGGCATCGGCTTGCCATCAAGCCAGCCCCGGGCACACGCTTCCCTCCACCCGGGAACCTCCATGGCCCCCTCGGCCGCCACGTCCGCCTCGCCGCCGGCCCAGAAACCCGCCTCGGACCAGACATACCGCTGGTCCAGCACGCCCTCAATGGTCTTGTAGCTCTCCATGTTGGTATACGGCATCATCGAGCCCGGGTGCCGGTACTTTGCCGCAGTGCCGGACAAGGGGTCGACGGGCGGTTTGCGGTTGATGGGCCGGTTGCGTGCCGGAATGACCTTGACGTCGGACCAGTCGACGTGGTCGCCTAGAATGAGGCGCAGCTCGGCGGGAAGGCCGCCGGGGACCTGCGAGAGGATGAGATAGTTGCGCATGTACGGGCCGGTCGGCGCAGAGTCGTCGTCGGTCGGTGGCGGGTTGGCCGCGTCAGAGGCGGGTTTGGGCGCGTCGTCTGCTGGCTTGGGGGTATCGGCTGGGGCCTTGGTAGTGTCTGCGGGCTGGGACGCATCCTCAGCCGGTTTGGCGGTATCCACTAGGGCAGCTTGGGCCGCATCGGCTGGTGCAGTGGCGGGTGCAGACGCCACACTGTCGCCAGGGGTTGTGGTCGAGACGGCCGGACCATCGCCACCTGGTGTAGACGAGGGAGCGGCCTCCTGCCCTACTGGAGCAGGAGCATCACCAGCGGCTGTAGACGGTTTTGGAGCTTGCTCGACGGGTACAGGCGCGTCGCCAGCGTCGGTAGGCTTCTCGGCATTGGGGGCAGACGCTTCGCCAGACGCTTCGCCAGACGCTTCGCCAGCGGCAGTCGACTCGGCCACAGGCTCACCACTGGCTGACTCAGCGTTCGCACCGGTTGTCGGTGTGCTGTCGCCACCCGCTGCGACATTATCATCCGGCTTGTTCGCCACAAGTGATTCGCCACTTGCGTTGTTCTCTGGCGTGGAGTCTGCCTGGGCGGTACTCGCCACCGGGTCACTAGGTGCTTCTGGAGCTATCGCTGTCGGAGCCGAACCCGCCTGCGTGTCTGGCGACTTGTTATCTGCCGGGACACTTGACTCGCCCGCCTCGACCTCGGGTGCAGCAGGGGTCACTGGAGCTGGCGTGGCGGGTGCAGAAGGTGCCGCCGGAGTCTGAGTATTGGACGGCCCCGCTTCGGCCTCCTCGCCCACGACTTCGACCAGGCGCCCAACAGTACGACTGATCACAGTCCAGCGAGGTCCGCGGACACGTTTACGTCCTACGCGTCGCAGTTCACGGCGCTCCTCTTCACGGCGCAGCCAGTCGGTCAGAGCCTCCTTGTTACGCTCCTCTTCTTCCAACGCAGCCGCAATGAGCTCGTCTTGCGTCATGGGACGCGCGCCGCGGATTTCGCCCGTCTCATGCTGCGCCCTGCGACCCTTGCGCGAGCCGGCAAGGGCGATCTTTTCCTGTTTTTCCTTTTCGATGAGTTCCTCCTCGGTCTTGAGGGTGGATGCGCGCAGGTTGGAGCGGCGGTTTTCGGACCGCTGCAAGCGCTTGGCTTCACGACGCTGTTTGCGGATCTCGAGGATAAGCGTCGAGGGGGCCATCTTGGAGACATCTATGGATGGATCCAGCAGGGCCAGCTGGTCGGCAGACGGCATGGGTGTCGAGGGGGCACCCATACGCACAGTCTTGACTAGCGGGTTGAACCCCGCCTTGGACTTGCCCTATGCACGTTAGAGGTCATGTTGTGGGGCTACGGTACATACCTGCTGGCGCTCCGCCTTGCGCAACTCGCGTTCCTCGGCATCCTCGTCCTCTAGCTCCTCATCGGTGTCTGCAAACTCGTCCAGATAAACGTCGCGGACATCCTCTGAATGTCAGCTTTCCTCCTGCATTTATGTTGACATACGTGGTGCTTCAAACTCTCCATCGTCGGCGTCCTCTGCGAAGAGGGCGTCTTCCTCTGCCTCCTGGTGCGCCTTTTCGAGCAGCTCGCGCATGCTTCAAGTGTCAGGTGCATCCTATGTATAGTACCTACCGGTTTCCCGCGGTGCTGCGTTTTGCTCTCCCTGTGGTCACTGTTTCCAGCATGACGGCGTGTTGTGGATGCAGGTGGACCACGAAAGTGGAGGAAGGAGGGACTTGTGTTGATGACCAGGTGGTCGTTGTGACCGCAGGCGTTGCCGTTTTGCTTCCGCTCACGGATGACGCCGGCCCCCCCCCCCCCCACGCGCGGATCCGAAATCTGGAAATGGCGCGCCCACGTTCCACGTTCCTCGCCGCAACTGCCACATTTTTTAACACCGACGTGGACATGGCTGGCCGTTTTTCGCTCTCTGACGGGCGGTGGGGGCATCCGCCACTGGCTGGCACACCCCCCTGCCCCGCCCGCAGATTCTCTTAGTTGTCTTGCTCATCCATCTCCCAACAAACCTCGTACTTGGGTAACCTCTGTACTCAAGTTTACATTCTCGGCCTCGCCACCCCCTTTAACTTCTTAGAAAACTCGAAAAAAGTCTCCAAGATGGTGCGTAACAGGCGGCTATGAACAATCCTCGTGAAAAACCGATCGCTGACGAATGTGTGCAGGTTAAGTGAGTGTCTGTCTAAAAGTTGGCCCTTCATGGGAAGACGAAATGGCACGCAGCTGGGTGTGGAACCAGTGCTTGGGAGCAGCCGCCCTGTAGCGTTTCCAGCCGCCACTGGCAGCAGTGGAGGTGAAGACCGCAGCGTCTGGTCGCTGTGAGAGAAAGAACAGTCTGTGCTGAATGGCATGACTCCACCTTTTCGACCCGAGCAGGGGAGACCCTTATCGGCGGCCAGCGGAGTCACGCCACCGTGGTGACCGGTTGCTTGTTGTGTGTGATTGTGTCCAGAGACCGCACTCGTCGTCGTGCCCAAAATGGCCGTCGATCTGTGTAGTTGCGGGCCGATCACTCTTCAACATGTGAACCGATCACCACATGGCCGACTGTCTCGAATCTCAAGTCTTCACCTGCGGCTTAATCATCATTCAACCGCCGCCGCCCTCTATTGTCAGAGTTTCCATGCACGTCTACGCCTCCAGCGCAGATGTGTGCGGTCTCTTTGCACTCAGGGGCGGCTGGGTATCGATGATCCAGGCAGCCTCCACATTGGTCAGATTTTGGTGTGGCACTTTGTCCCCCCTCCAATCGTCCAACCGCTGCGGGGCCATCGTCCCTTTCGATCCAACAAGCCTCCTTCAAAGCATGTGCTGACTTGCGTCTAGCTTCACTATCGACGAGATCCGTGAGCTCATGGACCACCCCACCAACATCCGTAACATGTCGGTTATTGCCCACGTCGACCACGGCAAGTCCACCCTTACCGACTCGCTCGTCTCGAAGGCTGGTATCATTGCCGGCTCCAAGGCCGGTGAGATGCGTTTCACCGACACTCGTCAGGACGAGATCGACCGTGGAATCACCATCAAGTCGACCGCCATCTCGATGTACTTCCCCATTGACAAGGAGGACCTCGTCGACATCAAGCAGAAGACCGACGGTGAGTATTAGAACCCTGTGGCTGGTGAATTGCCATTTTTGGCAAGCCCCCCCACCGCCACACATGTTTGTGGCACTTTGAGCTAATGGTGTAGGCAACGAGTTCCTGGTCAACCTGATTGACTCGCCCGGTCACGTTGACTTCTCGTCTGAGGTTACCGCCGCTCTCCGTGTTACCGACGGTGCTCTTGTCGTTGTCGACTGTGTTGAGGGTGTCTGTGTCCAGACCGAGACCGTCCTCCGTCAGTCGCTCGGTGAGCGTGTCAAGCCCGTCCTTGTCATCAACAAGGTCGACCGTGCCCTTCTTGAGCTCCAGGTCTCGAAGGAGGACCTCTACCAGTCGTTCCAGCGTACCATCGAGTCGGTCAACGTCATCATCTCGACCTACAACGACCCCGTCCTCGGTGACGTCCAGGTCTACCCCGACCACGGCACCGTCGCTTTCGGTTCGGGTCTCCACGGCTGGGCCTTCACCCTCCGCAACTTCGCCGGCCGTTACGCCAAGAAGTTCGGTGTTGACAAGCAGAAGCTCATGCCCAAGCTCTGGGGTGACAACTACTTCAACCCCAAGACCAAGAAGTGGTCCAAGTCCGCCGACGGCGGTGCCGAGCGTGCCTTCAACATGTTCGTCCTTGACCCCATCTTCCGCATCTTCGACTCGATCATGAACTTCAAGAAGGACGAGATCCCCACTCTCCTTGAGAAGCTCGAGATCAAGCTCTCGCAGGACGAGAAGGACCTTGAGGGCAAGCAGCTCCTTAAGGTTGTCATGAAGAAGTTCCTCCCCGCCGGTGACGCCCTTCTTGAGATGATTGTCATCAACCTCCCCTCGCCCGTTACCGCCCAGAAGTACCGTGTCGAGACCCTTTACGAGGGCCCCATGGACGACGAGTCGGCCATTGCCATCCGTGACTGTGACTCCAAGGGTCCCCTCATGGTCTACATCTCGAAGATGGTCCCCACCTCGGACAAGGGCCGCTTCTACGCCTTCGGCCGTGTCTTCTCGGGTACCGTCTCGGCTGGCCCCAAGATCCGTATCCAGGGCCCCAACTTCGTTCCCGGCAAGAAGGACGACATGGTCATCAAGTCGGTTCAGCGTACCGTCCTCATGATGGGCCGTACCGTCGAGTCCATCGAGGACTGCCCTGCCGGTAACATCGTCGGTCTCGTCGGTGTCGACCAGTTCCTCCTCAAGTCGGGTACCCTTACCACCTCGGAGACTGCCCACAACATGAAGGTCATGAAGTTCTCGGTCTCCCCCGTCGTGCAGGTCGCCGTCGAGTGCAAGAACGCCGCCGACCTCCCCAAGCTCGTTGAGGGTCTTAAGCGTCTCTCGAAGTCGGACCCCTGTGTCAAGACCTGGATGGACGAGTCGGGTGCCATCATTGTCGCCGGTGCCGGTGAGCTCCACCTTGAGATCTGTCTCAACGACCTGGAGAACGACCACGCCGGTGTTCCCCTCCGCAAGTCCGACCCCGTCGTCGGCTACCGTGAGACCGTCACCGCCGAGTCGTCGATGATCGCCCTCTCGAAGTCGCAGAACAAGCACAACCGTCTTTACGTCAAGGCCGAGCCCCTCACTGAGGAGCTTACCCAGGACATTGAGGCCGGCCGTGTTGCTCCCCGTGACGACCCCAAGACCCGTGCCCGTTACCTTGCCGACACCTACGGCTGGGACGTCACCGAGGCCCGTAAGATCTGGTGCTTCGGCCCCGACACCACCGGCCCCAACCTTTTCATCGACGGCTCGAAGGGTGTTCAGTACATGAACGAAATTAAGGACTCCGTCGTCGCCGCCTTCCAGTGGGCCACCAAGGAGGGCGCCGTCGCCGAGGAGCCCATGCGCGGCATCCGTTACTCCATCCTGGACTGCACTCTCCACACCGACGCCATCCACCGCGGTGGTGGTCAGATCATCCCCACTGCCCGTCGTGTCTGCTACGCCGCCCAGCTTCTCTCGAAGCCCGGTCTCCAGGAGCCCATGTTCCTCGTCGAGATCGCGTGCCCCGACTCGGCCCAGGGTGGTGTCTACTCGGTCCTCAACGTTCGTCGTGGTCACGTCTTCTCGGCCGAGCAGCGTGTCGGTACCCCCATGTACACCATGAAGGCGTACCTCCCCGTCGCCGAGTCGTTCGGCTTCAACGCCGCCCTTCGCCAGGCTACCGGTGGCCAGGCCTTCCCCCAGGCCGTCTTCGACCACTGTAAGTTCCCCTGCGCACCTTCTGCGTCTTTGTGTGGTACTTTGTGACCGTTTCCGATTTTTCGAAACATTTCTTTTGAATTTTCGGAAATTTTCCACCGCCACACTTCCGCTTGTTTCTTTCACTGACATCTTCACAGGGTCGCTCCTCGGCGGTGACCCCACCGAGCCCGGAAAGGTCCAGGAGCTCGCCATGAAGATCCGTACTCGCAAGGGCCTCAAGCCTGACGTCCCTCAGTACGAGCACTTCTACGTGAATTCTGACGTTGCTCGTGTTTTCTGTACGTTTACTGACACTTTCCACAGGACAAGCTCTAAGACATGGCTTCGGTGCAACTTTTATGTCCGTAGTCGTATGGGATCAGATCGCAGAACACCTTTTCTCCGACAGGACTTGCTTTTTTTTTTCGCACAGCTGCTTTTCTCTGTTAGGTTTCCGACTGATGGCCTTTCGGGGCGCACTTGCGTCGGACGGTGGCAGAAGGTGCGGAGCAGCAACTCGTCAGTTTGCGGCGAGTTTTGGTTCCGTCGCCTCTTATGTGGCGGTTGCCCAGTGACGGTTACGGTTAGCTGCCTCGAACAGGGGCGGACTTGAATGTTCTCATTGTTGCTGGGTCGCGTGTGGAATAGCGGCGGTTGGACTGTACTCGTCTCAGACGATGGAGGAAGTTCAGCAACGCTGCTTGACCACCTCCGGTAGCAGCTAATCTGCCGATGCTTGCCTCGTTTTCGACCTCGGACCAGTCCCCCAAGAGGTTCCCATTCGCATCGAGAACATCCAGCTCTCCACCTACAGTCAAGTCCATTTCGTGATGGCTTCCGCTTTTTGAGGCATGCAGATCCTGTACAGAGTAGGCGTCGTCGAATCTCTGTCTAAGCCCGGTCTCAAAAACGAGGAATGGCATCGCTTCCCGAGACGCCGAGTGCAACGAACAACGCTCAGCACCATCCGCCACGACTGGTCTGACGCCACGAACAAGTTTCGCCCTCAACGTGACTGACTTTCCGCGAACTGCAGCAGGCAGCCGGTTGGCACGGCGGGGGCATGTTCCAGTAAGTCATGGCCTGGTATATGGCATATCCCCGACTGATCGGTATGAAACCCGGAGGCAGGAGATACGTCAGGTACTTCGCTGTCAAGCCCAGGACTGATGAACGGTATCTAACAGCCATCGCGAACCTCACAGTAAGTTTAGACCCAGCTCAGGGGCACCGTGTATGCACATGCACATGACTTGCATTCTTTATGTTGTATGTATGTATACATACGGTTGAGACCCGCTGCTCCATCTGGAAGCCCAGGGAAGAACACTGCCACCGAGACCCGTGTGTGCATCTCCCGTGCTGCGTCTTGCGGTGGAGCTTGCGCTCGGTGGTGTGGATCACCTGGATGTAGCGGAAGACCGCCGTGGTGACCTCCCGACTGAAAACGGAACGGTCCAAGTTCCTGTCCATCCAGCAGCTCCCCGCCCGAGGTACCTTGGACCTGGGTGACGGATGCCCATTGCCCAAAGGCAGATGAACGAGTCGAAGGTCGGGCATCCGTCACCCAGGTCCAAGGTACCGCGCGAGAGGAGCTGCTGGATGGACAGGAACTTGGATCGTTTCGTGTTCGGCCCACCCTTGACGAGCAGCTGCGTGGCGTCTGGCCGCAGTTCTCGCCTGCACTCGTCTGTCCCGCATTGGCCATTCTGGAGGGTGAGGGCCTGGTGGAAGAAGCGCGGGTCGGTGGTCGGACTTCGGTCGGCAGGCAGAAGGGTCTTCCACGCGTCCTTGACGATGGGGTTGTTGCGGCACTGTCGACGGTCAGCGAGTGCGCCAATGGCAGTCAGACAGATTCCTGAGACTCACCCCGTCAGTGGAAGTGTGAGAAGTATGGGTCCTCAATGGGAGCCATAGTGTAGGCGGCCAGGACCGCATGGTCTTCTTGGGACACATCGGAGAGCAATTGGTCCATTGCCGAGTCGATGAGCTGGCTGATGGGGACGGGGCTTGACAAGAGCGCTTGGTCGCTCTCGGCGTAGGCGGTCTCCAGTGTTTTGCCCGACGCTCGAAACTGGCGCTGACCCAGTCAGTTGCATTCAACAATGCAATGTCAACTTACGTTCTTCTCCTCTTCCTCGTCCCATGCGACCTTGATCTCCGCCGCAGTCTGGGCGATCCGATGTTCCATCCTGTCGGAAGGAACCTTGACGCTGAAGAACCGCGAGTACCTTTCCCGGGAGAAAGTGCCAAACTGGCGGTGGCTCTTCGAGACCATGTCAGCGGGGTTGCCGACCTTGAGGCTGGCCGCGACCAAGCGGGCGTCCATGTCGGGCACCTGCGCGTGGACCCGGTCGATGAACGGCTGGACGCGGCGGAGAACATGGCGGTCAATGCCCTGTCGACAAGTCAACTCTGAACAGTGGGGCGTATCAAACATGAGACAACAACTCACCGTACTCAGGGCACCGAAGTAACGACCCATACGCGAGATGCTCGCCTGAAAACATATGTCAGCGATGCGGCACCCATCCACTGTTGCGTGCTTGAGAAACTCACAACATGGGAGAGGTAGTCTCCACCGCCGAGGTGGTAAGCCTGGAAGGTCGCTGGGTCCGGCGGGGGAAGGAGGATCTCGGTATTGAGCGCCGAGAACTTGCCATCGTGGATCCGTACGGACCGGTTGATGACAATGGCCTGTTCGACCGCCAGGTTTGTCTGGTGGGTGTGGCGGTCGAAACGCCCATATGTGTGACCGAGCGGGTGAGACTGGGAATGTGTCAGGTCGTGTTTCGACATGCCAACTTGACACTTACGCTGCGGCCAGTGGAGAATTCCACCATGACCGGGTGGACCGCCTGGGAACGGTCGTTGGCCTTGGCGAGGGCACGCTGCGTGAGGGCCTCCGCGATGGAGGCGGTCGCTCCCGACGGCTTGTGGTAGAGCACAGACGTCGGGATGCCTGCGACCGTTACCCTGCGCGTGTAGTGGGGGTTGGGGGCCTGTTCCGGTCAGAATGTGCGCCGTTTGGCGAATGACACTCACCCAAAAGCCCGCATCGATCATGTGCTGACCAATGTATGCCACCACCTCCCACACGCGAATACGGAGGGTGATGTCTTCCGTGATCGAAGGATCATCCTCTGTCTTTTGCGCGAGGTAGGCGGCGTCATTGACGACGTTGAGCAGGATGGGCCCCGTGGTGGGGTGCTGGAACCGCCCATCCGTGTCGTTCCATTGGGTGATGTTGATGCGGGGACCAGAGATTGGAATCTGGCGCCCAGCCCCCTGTTGGCGCGTCAGTACTGTACGATATCCACCAAACATTGACCTGACAACTTACATTGCTCACACCCTCCTGTGCACAGCTCAGGATGAGCATGCACTTGTAGACCAACTCTCTGTTCCGGTAGAGCGCGGACACTCGGGCCACTCTGCTTTTGGCCAAGTGTGGCTCAACCGGAACAGAGAGTTGGTCTACAAGGTTTTGGCCACGGCGGCGACTAGGGATGTGTGGTAGGCCGGACATGTTGGGAGGGGGGAGGAGGAGGAGGAAGAGGAAGAGGAAGAGGGAATATGTGTGTGTGGTTGTATGTGTCTTCGAATATGATGTTGCCGTTCACGCCCTAGACCGTTGGTCGCTGGCTGGCAAGATATCTTTCAGAAGAGGATGGCGATTCAGACACTCTCTGAGAGCTGTGTTATATACACGTCTTCAGGTGGGCGAAGTGCGAGAGAGGAGACCAGAGAAAAAAGGAGAGAAAGCCGAAAAGCACACCATTCTCATTGTCCAGCTGTGCGGCGTGCCACTTCGGGGCGGCAGGGGTGGGAGCCGACGGTGGTGCAGATGCGGGCACACGCTGCGCCCCGTGTCGCTGGGGCGAGTGGCGATGTATAGCCGGCAAGAATCGAGGTCTGGAGATGGGCGATGACACATACATGCGCCTGTGATCCCTGCAACTGCCTTCGCTTCCAGAGCCAAAAGTCGCTGTTCACCGCTAGCAGATTCCTTTTGTGACGCAGCTGAGTTGGGTGCGGGCGGAGGTAGTGGCCGTGCTCGATAAGTGGCGAGACCATGTTCGCCTCGAGTGAAACCCTGGATACGTGGGTGTAACGGCCGCACGTCGCACCTGTGTGCATCGCCTGTGCACAATGCAGCAGGTGCTGTGCGTTCGTGTTCGCCGTGGGTGGAACGTGGGTACGCTCTTCTACTATCGCTGCAAGCAGCTTCCTTCAGCCCCTCCACGGGTAGAGTGCGAGCGAATCCACGCTGCAAAGTGCATTCGCGCTGCGGTCTGATTGTACAGTTGCGTCACATCATCACATACCAGACAATCGGCTGCCTTGTGTGAAAGTGGGTGGGACTGATGAATCCCCGATAACGCATCACAGGAGTGACACCTGCCCCATCCTGCAATGGGCTCGGCTGTGCTGGCCCCTCGGCATCTGGTACCCGACGGGCACGTCGACGACGTTCGCCCCTTGTATGACTGTCGCCAATCCAGCTTTTGTTCAGATCTGGGGCACTGTGACGTCCTCGCCCTTTGTGTTCTGCAGAACCGACGTGCGGATAGGACCGGCGGCCGGCACCTGACAGACAATCAGCCATCAAGCATGCTTGCCACCTCAGTCTTCCTGTGAGAACTTGTTCACAGGGCGGCCTGCAGTCGATTGACTCGTCTGCCAGCAGCAACTCTTTGTCGAGTTCTTGGACGGGCCTCTATTGTGCCCGAAGATTGTGGAATGCGTCATGCCGTCCCCAAAGTGATCAAATACGTGTTCAGACTGGGTACATACATTCCTGGTCACGCAACCCCGTTGCCTCCCCAACCTGTCGGCTGTCGCCATCCGACAGAGATAGGAGGGAGAACAAAGCTATCATTACATGGCAAAGAGGCGCAAGACCTTGGATCGATATTGCATCACTGCGCAGACGTGATGTCGTCGTCAGACTCGTCGTTGTCGGAGACAAAGCCGTGCTTGTCTGTAAAATGAGCAAATGACACTCCAGATCCAGCTTACCCTTTGAGACACCTTCAGTCGCAGTGAGATCCATGGGCTTGACATCGAAGAAGGAGCCGATGGTGTCGCCGGACAGGACGAGGTTTCCGGGCGCAGCCGCCACCGACTCTGCCGCCGTCACCAGAGTCACGGTGAGAGGCAAGAACAGTTTCTTGTCCTCACCACCCTGGTAAGTCATTGGGTTGGACGCCGAGCCTCGAAGATCCTCTCGAGTCTGGAGTGTGAGCGCTCGACTCGCGGCGAAAACATATGTACCCAGCATCCCGCCTTCACCATTGGGCGACCCAGGAAATCGCGCACGGCAGTCGAGTTGACGGTCAAGGTCTGGCCCTCATCAACCAGGCCGTTGCGGATCATCGCCGCACCGGAGTGGACGATTTGGTCGAGATGCCACTTGAGATACGGCACCGCGCAAAAGGCCTCGAACGAGAGGCGGTCTTGTGTCGAGGCGTGACGGGGACCAACAGGGAATAGGTGTCCCGCTTGCGACGCGACGTCCATGGCACCTTGAGATGACAGGCTTGGCTATCAGCAATGCAAACAAGATGTGACTTACAGCCAGTCTTCCGCGCCTTCGTCGTCGATGGCCTCAAACAGCTTGATGACCCGTTCGGCGGTGGCCTTCTCCCAGAGTTCCTGTACCAACTGGTCGTTCACCGAGCAACGGTCGGCCCAGTTGGGCTCGGTGATGTCACTCGAGCCAATGACCCACAGGACCTGGCCGAGGGACACGACGAGGCTGTTGACGGCCTGGCGCTTGCCGGTGATGTCGTCCTTACCCTGGATGCTGGCCGCGTCGTACGCAGCGTCGGACAAAGTGCCCAGGTCGCACGTGAAGGCTGGCGTATTGATCAGAGCCATCCACTCGGCCCCGCCGTCCTCTAGGTTGCGAGGGAGACCGAACATGAGGTTCATACCGACGACCGGGGGGTAGCGGGGCACCACGGTGACGCGCTGTGGTGGCCCAGGGGGGAGCCAGGCGGTTGAAGCAGACATTGTTACTATCTCTATCAGCATCTGTTGCAAAGTACACAGGACGGAAGGCGGGCGGCCGGGGTTTGGTGGAGGCAAGATGAACGAGTCGCACCTTCGAATGCACGACAAACGTTTGGGGGATTATGCCGTCCGTTGACTCACATGTGATTGATAGAGAAAGAGGGGGAGAGTGGATGGATGGAAGCGAAACAGCGGCGCTTCAGCCGCGTGTTGACGTGTTGACGTGTTTACGAGTGGTCGCGAGTGATGAGTCGTGACCGACGACGGGGGCTATCCGGGTGGCCACAGATCCGCGTTTGGTGTCATGAGTGGTACCACTGCGGTATTGGTTGCTGCGCTTGACCTGCCCCAGAGCAGACTCTCTTGAACATACGAGCAGACTGGGATGACCTATGCCTTCGCGCTCGGGGATGCTTGAACATGTATGTACAGCTCTGTTCAGTGTACCAGTGTCTAGCCTGTATCTGGGTCGCACATTGCGGCAACCAAATTGCGATGGTGCTCCTGCCATAGGCGAAAGACATCACACGAGGACTCACGGTGGCATGTTAGGGCATGGCGACACCTTGCCGGCCAGATCACCGTCCGACGAGTTGGTATGGGGTGGTAGCAACGGCACTGTGAGATGTGAATTCTTGTCCATGACGCCGGAGGAGGAGGTGCGCGACCTGGAATGTTAATGATACGTTCAGTGATCAGTGATCAGTGATCAGTGAGGTGGTTGTCGTCGGTGGCTTACATCATGGGCTGACCTTGGTATCTTGTATGAGGTCGCCACTATCGTGTCCAACAGCCGTCCACATTGTTCCCCAGGACCGGACGGCGCGGTCAGTGTCACGCGAACAAGGTTCGCCTCCTAACGCCTCCTTGTCTCATCGTCCTCCCCAGGCCATCAGCAGCCAGCGGGCCGATGACCGACTCCAGACGCTCACAACCATGGAACCGTACGGGGAGGGGCTGAGAATATCAGTTCCAATCGGGCCCTCTGCTTAGGAGACAGCCCCCAACCCCCGTCGTCATTCAGATCATCACAATGATTGCATCTTGCCCTCTCACCGGTCCCAGACCAGCAGGAGTGCTCAACAAGAGGCCACTTGTTGTCCATGGGCGGGAATGGGTGAGTGGCATGCCGAGAGATTCCATCAAGAAGCTCAAAACGCGCGGGTAGTGGTGTCCAATGGCCGAGAGGACGGATATGGCGCGTTAAACGAGACGGGTCGTCGAGAGAGTGTGGAGTCTATTGACTGACCAAACGGAGGAATGGCCTTAACGTATCCGCAGCAGCCAGTGCAGCCCATAAGCTATAAGCCAATGGGAGAGGCCGTTCATTGTCGTCCGGCTCCTTTGTTGAGATTTGTAATCAGCCTCAAATATATAATATTTCCCGTTTGCTAAGCTGTTATAATCCCTAACAATCTTGGTTGTAAGTACGGTGGCAGGGTGAGATTTCAGTGCGTCAGACATTACACGGTTACTAAATCGCGGCATCTTGAACACTCACAAGAGTCGCTCGTCGCCCAGCGATGTGCCCCGAAGCAGTCTGTGTAGCTTTGTTGAACATGCGAGCAGACTCCTATGAGCTACTGCAGATCACTCATCGCTGGGAGGACTGAGGGTTGGCTCCGCGATTCCTTCATGAGATCCACTACGAGCTGATTCCCTCCCCTTCGCTTAATGCCGCAGGGGGGGCGCAATCCTCTTGAGGCTCAGCAGCTCGGCAGATGACGCGACACGTCGGATTCGAAGGAACCGACTGCACCGCACCGATCACTGCTTAAACTGGATGCGAAGGGTGGCAATAGGGCCTCGAGGCCCCCCTTGAAGCTGTGAGCCTCCTCGTCGTCGGTGCCTCGTGCAGTTGCAATTTCTGCCACCCGAAAAAGCCCGCATGCGTCGCCCGTTTGCAGTCCCACGACCCCAGCTCTTCAAAGGGGCCCTGTGTCCTGTAAGCTATGACCAGCATCCTAACATTGGCAGCTCTGGCTTCATACTTCCCCGTCCTTCCAAACAGTAGCCAGCCCGCTGACGCTTTCAGCCAAACATGTGACAGAGAAACCGCCATCGTTGGAATCATAATGAGGCGCTGTAGGATGACGTTAGCAATTGCATCACTACACATTGTTGCCTCGTCTGACCGACGAGGGTTCGCTTAACCGTGTGCCCCGTGTGTGTTAAGGGGTCATGGGTTTGACGTTGTTGGCGGTGTCAATATGACGAATCCGAAATCACTTCGCGATTGCCGTGGTGACGAAGTCTGTAGTTGGGCATTAAAGCCGGTGATGCTTGTTCCCTATTTCTTCCCACCTCATGCGCCACCTACATCGCACGCACCACCTCCTTCATATCCCTCTACAACATCCAGCACGCAACATCCAAGACCAAGTGAGTTGAGACATAGTGATAGCCCAAGTCGTGCTCCCATGTTGGTGGCGAAATCGAATCACACCCTGTGGTGACCTGCCACCAGCTGGTTACCATTTCTCCCTACCCTCCCGCATCCTCGCTCCACCTCGGCACATCTCCCTGGATCTACCCATCTGGCGGTGCGCAGTGAGAGTTTGGGGTCCGAATCTTGTTCGCGTCTGATCGAGTGGCATGGTTTGAATATTCACCACAAGCAATCTGGGTTGACGTAAGGCCACAATGAGCCAGCAGTCGACCAGTGCTGAAGACGAAGACGAAAACGGCTGTGAGCCCGAGTTGACACAGCTGTCGTCGAGTAAGTAAAACCCCTCCATATCTCACATACAACCTGCGCTGACAGTGTTAGATAAGCATGAGCCAAGGTTCCACTTCCGCGCAATACGGAACCCCGCCAGCGTCGTCCCCACCCCCGTCGTCGCCACCCCCATCCTGTGAGTAACTGCGTATCGCACTCGGAAGCACACAGCGGTTGCTCAGTCAAAAGACCCCCCTGGTGCGAGCTCGGACATTGAGCTCATGTCAATGGACACAACCACGGGCGAGGAGGACGAGAACGATGACCAGGGGGAGGAGGAGGAGGGGGACGTGGAGATCCCCCTCGGTACACAGACGACCGACTCCGACTCGGAGCGGTCGCTGTCGTCGCTCGGTGAGTCTTGGTGGCACAAGGAAACTGACCGACAGTCGTCCCACACGACGAGTACTACAACCCGCCCACGACCGATTCGGGCGTGTATGGCGACGACGACTTCATAGGGGAGGACGAGGAGGAGGACGAGCTGGGTGAGTCCTCCCTGTTTGTTGGCCGCAGCGCTTACCATCAGACAAGGTGGAAGAGGAAAAGGAGAAGAGTCAAACCACCCAAGGAAAGCTGGGCCCAAAGAAGAGGAGTGAGTATATAAGTACCGTGGCCGTCAGCGCTAATACGCAGAGCAGTACATGGGCGGGGGAGGGGACGGATGAGCAGGAAAGTGGGGGCCGACACCATTGTGTTGGAGACTCACGATAGCGACCCCAATTGTGAACGATATCTGTTCCATCGAGATAGTCTCAGGGATGGGTCGGTGTCCCGGGCGCCCAGGTCAATGGTGTCGGCGCTTGCCCCCTCTAACGCTTTCTGTAGAGTTGATTGGTGCCACAAATACAGTTAATGCAGTTAATGGCAATCGTCCCCGAAGAGACGACCGTGAGATGTATAGTTATCTGCCACACTCTGACAGCTCGGTTTACGGGGAAAAATACGTCGCCATGGATGTGAACGAAGGGGACGAAGAAGAAGGCGGGTGAGCTTCGCGAGGTATATATTTCATCGTTTGATGGTCTTACGTAAAGGGAGATGAGGACCGTCAAACGGAGACCGACCAAAGCAAGAAGGCGAGTCGCAAGCCTGTGAGGATATACATAGAAGGCATTTTACCCTCTACGTGTTAGAAATTGTATATCGAAGCTATGGAACACGCCCAGTGCATGAAATGTATTCTCTGCCTCCACATTGTTGGGTGATGTGGTGTGTCGGGGATCGAAATGAGGCAATTGTTTTTCATTTTGGGGTTTGTTTTATTTTTTGTCGGCGCATATCTTCGGTCCGTACCGGCTAAGGGGCCGGTACCGACCAGAGCCATGTACTTTGAAGCTGTGCAGCCATACGGCTATGCGGCAGTCGCGTCGTAAATCGTCTGGACTTCCCAAAGCCTGGCTGCCACAGCTGTATCGCCGGCAGCTGCGCGGCGTCAGTCAACAGTCCAGTCAGCCTATCTGGCTCCAGGCAGTTATAAGTCGCATAAACCCATCCGTGGCATGTTGTAACCTGACCATACTTCATCACCCATCTATCCACACGTCCTTTGTCAACCCCCCCTTCCTCCTCCTTCTCTCTCCCGCTCCCTCGGCACCTTGGTCGTCAACTTGACAGCCATGCACTGCTTCTGCTATGTACTATGTACTGTGACTACTACTTCCACTGCCCCTCCCCCTCCCCCCCTCCCTCCCTCCCCCCTCCCCCTCTCCCCCCCTCCGTACAGCCCCACAGCAGCCGTTACGTCAACTACACCAACTCCATCCCCTGGGGCTTCCATGACGATTTCTTCGTGAGTGGAGGTCTTTTGCCACCCTGTCGGAATGAAGAGGAGAATCCGAAGTTCAGAAATAAAGGACGGAAATTACAACTTAAATACTGGAAATGAGGGTGTGTGGCACACGGACCGCCTTCCCTCCACTACATACACCTTTTCCATCCAGCCATTGTCTGTGATTGCAGTGTTGGTCGTATGGTCGTACTGTGGCAGCTGTTGCCCGAATCGTTGTTCTCGCGCTCGGCGGCAGCCAACGCTGTAGACAGCGTGGTCTCAATCGCATTCCTTCAGTGCCTTTCCCTCTGTCCTGCTGTTTGCTGACTGTATTCTAGCAAACATGAACACGCTCCCCTTTTGCCCACTGGTCACTTACAGTGGCCAGGTGGGTACCAACACGATCACGGCCGAACCCGACGGTCTTGCCACACACCGCGCTGCCTGGGTCGCCCTGTGCCCGCCATCCTCGCACCACCTGTTCGACACCAAGACGTTTGCCGACGGCCAGCTGGAGAAGGCGCGCAAGGCAAACGACTACCAGCTGCTTCAGCAGCTCGAGGACCTGCGCGCTGAATTTGACACCCTCATGCTCAATGTCGGTATGTGCCTCTTTGTCCAGCTCGGCCAGGGTGGATATAACAAATTCCCTGCTGGCGAGATTGTGGCGAATTGGCCTCTGGCGTTGAACCTGTGGGGACAGGACGCCAAGGACGAGCTCACCGAGGTCTTCCGCACTGCGACGGAGGCGGACAAGAACCGTCCGACGTCACTGAATGCAAACGTGAGTACCGCCAAACCAGACGGTCTTGCCACCCACCGCGCTGCCTGGGTCGCCCTTTGCCCCGCCTCCTCGCACCACCTGCTGGTGACAAAAACCTTTGCAGACGGCAAACTTGAACAAGCGCGCGACAAAGGCGACGACGCCTTGGTCGCCAAAATTGAGCAGGACCGTGACGAGTTTGAACAGCTGATGCTCAACACGCCAAAGGTCCTCTTCGTCGAGCTTGGTTATGGCGGCTACAACCGCTTCAAGCAAGGAGAGATCATTGCCAACTGGCCTCTGGCGATCGACCTCTGGGGCGAGGAGGTCAAGAAGCTCCTTGTTGGCATCCACGCCTCGGCCACCGACGCGGCGAAGATGCGCCCGGACTCATTCATGTAAGCTTATTTAGACGTGGCTCTCATGCTAACAGACAGTGCTCGTTTCTCTCCGGCGCGCCTTCGAGAGCGCCTCACGGCGATGGGTTGGACCATCCCCGTGGGGTCCATCCACAAGCCCCGGGCCAACGAACGCTTCGCGGTTGAGTACTTGAGTGCTCTTCCCAACGTCGGCCCGCGGCTCACCGAGCTCATCGACGCGGGAGCCTACCCCATGCGCCACGCGCTGTTCGGTATCGAGCTGGTGCCAAACGCGCTGCCGGCTGCGGATTTTATCAAGGACGCCATGGTGAAGGACGAGGTCTGGGTGAGTGTGCCTTTGTGCTTACTCCTACTGAACCAACACTTACCGTCCAGACGCAGGCTCAGGGTGATAAGCCCCGCCTGACGTTCCAGTCGAAACACGGTACGCCGTCCTCACTGATGGACCGCGTCACCGCCGCCGCCATGGCCAAGGCGGCAGACAACAACGCCGTGCTTGTGTACAACCCAACACTTGCGCACCTTTGGCGTCCACCCGTCGTTCGCGGTGCCCCGTCCCGCTCGCACTTCGAGCCGGCCATGGATCTGCCGCCAGTGGACGTCGCCCTCGCCGTGAAGATCCACCTCGACTCGTTCTGCCGCATGGCCGGCATGCTCGACGGCGCTGGCCGTCCTACCCCGGTCGATGCCCCTCGCCGCCACGACCCCACGGGCGCGGCTGACCGCGTGGCCGCCCACGGCGCCATCAACGACGGCGAGGAGGAGGAGGACGACGACAACGACCTCCGCGAGGACGGCGAGGAGCTGGATGATGGAGACGAGGACGCGAACGACGCCGCCGCCGCCCCCAACAACATGATGATCACACTCGCGGCCACTTGCCTGTCGGTGGCCTCCAGTGAGCTGTACCGCGACGAGTGTTTGCTGGCCATTTTTGGTCTCATGTCGATGCACCCCCGTGAGGTGTGGTGCATCGACGCCGAGTTTCTCCCGTCGGCTGCCCTTTCCTTCCTTGACGATGCGGAAAAGTTGATCGCTGGTCTGACCAACAACCCCAACCTCGACACCGAGGTCAGGAAGCGCGTGCCCGCGGCCCGTGAATACTTGGGACACTCGCCCGCGGTTCATTCAGTCGTCGCCTTTGCTCGTGCAGCAATTGTGCTGCACGGTCACCTCCGAGACGTGTACGCCGTGCGCCACGGCGCTCCTCCTTCTGGCGGTGTGCTCCCACGCCCCTCGGCTGAAGACCTTCTCCCTTCACGCTTCCCAGACGTGGAGGTGTACGAGGCAATCATGAACGAGGCCATCATGGTCCTCCCAATTGAGCCGAACTGGGGCGTTGGAGTGGAGGTTGACTGAATCTCGGACGAGGAGGTCCACGACCTCAACAACGACGATTAGGAAGAGAGAGAGGAGAGAGAGACAAGAAGTCATGAGATACAGGACGGAGTCAGAGACACTACCGCCGTTAGAATGTACATAGCCCATAGGTATAGGGAGTTCTGCCATGTGTATAGTGTATCGATGTAAGCACTACAATGACACCGTGCTTGACTTTCTGTCGCATCACCGTGCGCAGCCGGCCCTGGTCCGTTGTGGCGGTTCAAGGCCACTCTGAACAGCACGGGGTCTCAGTTACCACAGGCGGCCGGGTGGCCACCTGAGTGCTTGAGTTGTGAGAACGGGAAGCAGGGCATCCTGATTGGAAAAGGATCCAGTAAAAGGGAGAGGGAAGAAGGACCACAGGCAGGCGACGTCTGGGCAAGGGCGGGGCGGGGCGGGGCTCACATGGAAACAGCCGGGCTGCAGGAGACGTCGGAGGGCGACACGTCGCCCGTCGGGCGCAAGGGCACGTGCTGCAACGACACAGTACTGTCTAAACAGGGCTGAGAGTGGCAATGCGTCTTCGAGGTCGCTTGAAGGTTTGTGCCGGGTCGTCGTTGGTGCCCCGTTGCTGTTGAAACGGTCGATGGACGTGCAGTTCAACAACGCCCCTGTGTGCGGGTCGTTTGCCGCTTCACGACGCCATCTCTTCAAAGGCGCTGTTCCAACTGCGCGAACGTGGTGACCTGCAATGAGGTACCCTGGGCTCCTCCTTGTTTCCAAAACCGACGCTTTTCAGCCGAACAAGAGACGGATCGAGGCTGAACAAAATTGTCGATGGATCGATCGTTGGAAACGGGGGATGGTAGATGAAGTTGACTCGGGAATTGCACCACCGTGAATCATTGCCTCGTCTGACCGGGCGTTTGCGTCTACCCGCGTAACCATGTACTTCTTCCCGTGCGTGTTAACAATGTCATGAATCCGACGTGACACGCTCTGGTTGAAACGCTACTGCACAGTACAAAGGGTCGCGCCGGGGCCTCTGGAAGCGAGATCGCGGCACGGAAAATGGTCCCTTGGTAAAGCCACTGCGGGGCGGCATCTGACAGAACAGGACGTCAAGACAGAGCCACTGTGGATGTGGTTTGAAGTGACAAGTTATTATGTGAATGACCAGTTACTGATTACATTCGGCGCTCACTCATCCTAAATTTGAACTAGAAAGAGTACAGGAGTCCGTGTGCCTGGGGGTCTGGGTACTGTGGAGGGCTTGGAGCTGGTCGAGGACGTGCGTGCTGTCTCACTCGATCCAGTATTGGCTTGACTGCGAGAACGAGCCGGTGGCAATGTTGAACACCTTGGTCTGAAGACCAGTGGGGTCGTGGGTAGTGAAGGAGTAACTCTCGGCGTACGTGCCATCTTCGAAGAACAGAGTGTCCGAGGGGTGGTAGACTTCGACTTCTTCATCGTAAAATGGTGAACGTGGTACCACGGACGATGCCAAAGAACCGGAACTTGGAAGAGGTGACGGTGTCGGGCTCGTTGGCAAAGGTCCATTCTCCCATTGGGAGGGGCAGAGCGGCGTACCTTGCTTGGCGGCCCGTGGGGGGGCGGAACCAGCACGTCTGCGTGGGAACGTCCCAGTGGGTGGGGGCCGAACCAATGACGTCGACGGAGACAAGGTTGGTGGGCTTGGCATTTTCAACGAGGATACGGACGACGGGCTCCACATGCTCCCAACGCACGGCCTCGTCGTTCGAGCGAAGGTAGTTCGCAGGCGAGACACGGATGTATAGGCTGTTCACGCCGGAGATGACGGCGAGGAGGTCGCCGAGGCTCTTCTGAGCACCCTCCCACCTCCTGCACCACATCCTGGCGTTGCACTTGTTTTGGGCCGAGGCCGAGCTCTCCTCAGCCTTGCGAGTGTACGAGATCCGGTTGCTCTGCATGTTGGCGAAAGCGACGTTGTATGCGTGATTGAGGTACAGGTGGGTGAACTTGAAGTATTTGTGCGCCTGGCTGTCTCCTTCAACCTCTTTGAGCAGCTGAAAGGCCTGGTTGAGCTTGGTGACCGATCCTTGGTCCGAGATGACGATGCGGGAAGTGCGCATCAGGATCCAACCGGATGCACAGGCTGGGCACGAAGGAAATGTGGTGTTGGTGTCGACAACGAGGGTGTGTGTTCTGACGGCAAGGCGGGTCGAGATACTGGTCCTGGTTGCGAGAGAGACCTGGCGGAGCGACCAAAGGGTGTCAACGTCACAATATCGACAATGTGGTCGAGCACGTAGGCGTTTCCTGCTCAGTGGGTGATCAGCGACGGAGAACGGAAAGGGCCAAGACAGTTGGTACTAACCGCCAGCAGGAACGTAAGAACTGGCGTGCTCCGTACCGCTGATGGGAGCGCGGGTCGGCATGTTGATTGGACGGTGAACTTCGCGCAATAGTTCGCTCCAACGTGCTGCTGGCTGGTAGTGACCATTGGATCGAGTGTCTTGCTCGTTGGGTGGCGAGTCAGCCGGATCGAGGTTTAGGAGGGAGGTCGGGGGCTGAACCAATCACTTCCGTCCAGAGTGCTTGGGCTAACATTGTCAATGATGAGACGGGCGTGTCGGAATGAAGAATAATGCGGAGTGAAGATATAGCTACGGAAATTACAATTTAAATACTAGTTATTAGGGTGTATTTGATACCGCCACACACCAACACAATGACCCCTTCTTCTGGGTCTCAGAGCGACGGGACAGGGTGCCCCAAAGGGTAAGTTCCATCTAGATTGTCAACTGTTCATTTTCCAGGCAAGCAAGGCTATGTCTCCGACGACGACAAGTCTGACGAGGAGTCTGCCGATGAGTCTAACGACGACATCGCATACGAGCTCCAGATCCCTGAGAGGCCAGCAGCTGGTAGGTCAACTTCCTTGTGCATTGCTAAGTGCGCCAGTCTCAGCGATGATGGCAACGTTGGGTCACACCATCCCCTCCAAGCCCGTCGTTCATAGGGGTGGGGACCCACGCCGTGCGCGCTCCCCGGTGAATGACACTGCCGACAGTTCAGAGCCTGCTCGGAAGCGTGCCAAGAGTGAGTGTTCATTAGGTGTACATGGTCCATCGTCGTTGGAAGCCTGACTCATATTAGCGACCGCTGCCACCGTGCCCGCCGCCACCGCCGCCGCCGCTGCCACTGTGTGTGCGCCTGCTGTGGGAGCTGGCCCAGACATCGCCGTTGAGGACAGCAGCGAGATCCACGCCCTCGCCACCACCCTCCCTGCGACGTCGTCGGTGAGATATTGGTGTTCTCCTTATGTTCCTGTCAGTTGACTAACCACCCAGACGCAACCATGCTCGACGACGACGACGCGGGCACCAGCGACCGTCCGCCGCGCCGTCCGGCCATGGACGTCATCGGTGCGATATCGGCTTTCTTCTCTTGCTCTTTTCAATCGGCTAACCATCCAGACGCGACCATGCTTGACGACGACGACGCGGGCACCAGCGACCGCCCGCCGCGCCGTCGTGCCATGGACGTCATCGGTGAGATATTGGCGTTCTCCACTTGTTCTTGTTAGTTGGCTAACCCTCCAGATGTGTCCATGGTCGACGATGACTGTGACGATGACAACAGCAGCGACAATGAGCTCCGCCTTCCGGAGTTCATCGGTGAGATATGGCCTTCTCTTCTTCTTGTTAGTTGGCTGACTCACCTGCCCAGATCTCACCATGGAGGAGGACGCTTGAGGCGACGTGGGCCGGGGCCAAATTCTTGTACTATATAGTCTATCCAGTAGCTGCCCGGCTTCGTAGACGTGTCCGTGTCGGGGATTGCAAGTCGTACCTTGCAATGATAGTATATGCATAACCAAACTACATACTACGTCTGCTCGACTTTGTGTGTCGTGGGCACACGGTGGAGACGCACTTGGTCGTTTGTGGCAGCTCGAGCGCACTCTCAAAGGGACCCTGGGCACAGTTGCCTACCCGGTTCCACCCAAAATGTGTCATTCATGAGTGTTGTAGGTGCCCTGTTGTAGGCGTATGGAGCTTTTCGTTGGCACTTGGGGGGACGCATTGGGCCTGCAGGTACGAAAAGGCGTTGCCTTTTAGAAGATGAGCGACGACCACGCACTGTACAGGAACCCAAAGAGCCCCTGGGACGTGGTCTCATCCTCGACTACGAGGTCGGGGTCGCCCTCGTCGACGCGTCCGTCGTCCAGACCAGGCATGTGCATCGAGCGCTTCTCGACAATCCTGCCGCCCTGCATGATCCAGATGACATCGTTCCTGGAAAAGTTAGTCACCACTAAACTCGTCGTCGGCCGCCACTCACCTCTCGTCCGGGTAGTGAATCTTGGCGTTGGGCGCGCCGAGTGTGGTCGCGATGACATTCAGGTCGCGGTGCTTCTACATCATGTCAGCATATTCTCAGGGAGACATGCGCTTACCCAGGAGATGAGGATGTCGGCGTCGGAAGTCTCGACAAACTCGGACACTTTTTGGGAGACACAGGAAGGCGAGTCGGCGCTGCGGTTATCAGTACCACTCCACCGCATCAACATTGTCCACTCACCAGCCAATCTCAATCTCCAGGCCCAGGTCCTCCGCAAGCGGTGCGACGGTCGCGTACGTGCGCTCGTCAGCCTTGTTCTCGGGGTCGCGCGGGGTCGCGAAGATGAGCCCAAAGTCGTAGTCCGAGTCCTCGCCGAAGAGCTATCTGTCAGCCATGGTCCACCTGTGGTGGTACATACCGTGCGAAGATACTGCGCGCGCTCCTTGCCCTTCACGCTGAGGCCGTTGGGTGGGCCGCGCCTACCACCACCGCCGGGCCCACCGGGGAACGGCCAGCCACCCCGACGCGGTGGGCGCGGGCCGTCCTTGGGCGGCTCGTCGCCGTGGGGAGGACCCCAGGACTCTCCGGAGTCGGGCTGGACGGCGGTAAAGCCCTTCTCGGCGTGACGGATAAAGATGATGCGGTTGGAGTACTCTGGCGCAGAGACGGGGGCTGCGGGCATGGCGGTAGCGACGCCAGCGACCGCGAGGCCGGTGAGGAGGGCGGCGACGATGGGGGTCTTCATGGTTGGTGTGAGTGTGATGAGTGGGGTTCCTTTCTTTTTGCGTGGGGTTTATGTAGGACTGGGGGAAAGCTGCGCCACCCATGCGCACTGTCACCGAGCTCTTTGAGTCGGCCGACCAAGCGATGATGCACAGTCCAGGGACGGCCACCTCTGCCACCGCGTCACCGCCATAATCGTTCAAGATGGCGCCGCGGGTCCACACTTAATCTGATAAAACAGCTGCGCAGAATTAGCCGATCCATGCGGCCCACTGAGGGCTCGACTCTAGTCCATGTCTTCGCTGCTGCGCCTACTGCGGCGGGTTACTTGGCGCGGCCGCGGGGAAAACTTTTGCAAAAGTCGTCCCTTAGGTGCGCAGTCATCTTGCACCAGTGGGACTGGGGTGGCAACTGTGCATGGTGACCAAGGATCGACCTAGCCTGACGACCCATATCATAAGTCTCAGCACCCGGCCATGCGCAAACACGGTAATCGACTGACACATATGCTCATTACTGCTACCGCAAGATGGAGGGCATAGCCTGCTGAGAATGTCGTTCGCCTCGAAAAATGTCAAACATAAAACGTCACTGGATCACTGGATCACTAGACGTGTCAGTTCCGCATTCATTCGCATCGGAGGGTTAACAGAGGTGGTGGACACGACTTTAGCTCCAGCCGCTTGTGGGGCGGCGGGGGGGATCAAAAAACTGTTTTTTTTTTTTTTTGTATACCATTCCTTGCAGGCTCCTTGGCTCGTCGATGAACTGCTTGGTTGACTCGCGAGTGGGCCCAGGGTGTGCCGTAGCTAGACGACCTTTTACATCCCTGGTACTGGCCGGCTGTCCCATCTCTGAAACTGCCAAACCCACGGTTGCGCGGCACGAATCGAAACCTGGTTATAGTGGGGCCCAGTCGCAGGGAATGAAACCCCTTAAAATCCGCAGTAACCTCTCTGGCAGACGCGACATGGTTGGATGTTGTCAGGATTTGGATGACCGCTATATAAAAGGGTAATCGATACCACTGAGGTGTATTCAATTCAACAGATGTTAACATTAGGAAAGGGACTATTTGGACGTTTCTATTGAGTCAAGCGTCTATTAGACTAGTGCCGTCCATATGCGTGCTATGCAGACTTGTTCTCGTTACTCTATCTTCTATCGACCTTTCCAACCTACTACGCATCCGCTTGCAGCGTCTGGAGAGTGCTACGAGTCTCCTCTTTACATTGGACGGCAGAGGGTTGCTGTGGCGAGGTCTCATCGTCTAGCTTGCCGTTGTGAGGTTGGCTGGAAAGTACAGTTGTAGGACGGGTGGACACAATGGATACCGCCGCCACGGGGCGACGCGCGGCTCCTGTTGAGGGATGCGCCGATACGAGTTCAGAAGCCATCTCGCGGTGCCCAATCTAGAGCCAAGGCCAAACGCCCTTCTGGGCGATTGAACTGAAGTTTTGGCTGAATCTGATGGTAAAAAGCGCTGCATGGCGGTCTCCGTCGTCAGCTCATCCATGAGCGATATTGCCTGCAACTAGTCAAAGGTCTGGTCCTGCAGAAAGTGAGAGCAGCACAGGAGGCGCAGGGCAAGTTAGAGGATGTGATATTCTGTTATGCCTAACGTTGGCGGACATGAAGCGTACACTCGAGGATACAAGTGCCGGGCTATGTTGTTATGATGTGTACCAGCGCCACATCAGCGGGAAGTTGGTGGTGAGTATCGTACATGAGTATGTACCAGGCGACGAATCCCGGCACGGGATACCGTTCGTGAGGCGGCAGGTACCGCCTGGCCCAATCGTCCGGCCCCAAGGACACAAGCTGTCTCGTGGAACACCCCTTTCGTGACCTTCTCGACGATCAGCTCATCAGCTACACAAGGAACACATGGGGACAAGGGCAGTAGAAGGTATGCAGGTCAACCTGCCAAGGTGTGCCAAGGTGTCTGGCCAGATCTCTATCAGTACCAGCCGTTCCAATGACGAATTCCACACAACACGCCCTCAGCGCCCGGCTTGGAGAAACGTTTCACAGAAGGTTGGAAGCCAGGCAGCTATCGCTCACTCCTTGTTGCGGCTGTGTGTGTTGCCAAGCACAGCAACGCACAGTCTGTCACGCCCGTCAGCCTGCCCCCGGTGGGCAAGGCGACCGGGGCGTATGGGATGTCACAGAGTTGCACGTACCTGCTGCCAACTGCTTCACGCACACGAACCTACGCGTCCATGCACACGGCCGTCTTTGTATCCCTCCATCGCTCGTCCCCGTCCCTTCTATCGTTTGCTCTGTCACATACATATTATCATCGCACTTCATCTTTCTCCCATTGTACTCTTTCTTCCACCAGGTCACCCACACGACCCTACCCCCCGAACATGCTGTCCTACGTCCACCTCTTCATCTCCAGGGCTGGAGGCTTCAAAATCCCCAAGGGCCCACTGTCCGAGGCCCAGGCTGAGGCCCTCTTCAAACCAAACAAGGTGCGCGCGCCATCCAACCATTCTGCCTCCCACAGTGCACTAACCAATTCCAGGCCTACAGCCTCAACTGCCTCTTTGCTCCGCTCCCCATTGACGTCTTTTTCTGGTATGTGTTGGAGTAGTGGCCGGCTGCTGCCCTTGCCCGTATGGCCCGTGCTCATCCCCATCCACCAACAGCGGCGTCTTTACCATCATGCTCATCCGCTATTTCGAGTTCCACAGCAAGGACGGCTGGTGGATCAAGGGTGTGGTAGTAGCCTCCGCTATCCTTGCCTACGCGTTCACTGGTGAGTACTTCCTACCTATCGTCCGCTGACGGTCCAGCCTACAACATCTTCTACACGTCCTGGCTGGTATGTTTGGGCGGTCATCTCACATCGCAATCCGTCTAACATGTTGTCCCAGTTTGTCGAGAATTTTGGCCTCTACGCTCAGTTCGTCAGCCCACACTACGAGCCTTGGATTCCCTTCCTGGACGCGTTCACGTCTGGTATCACCCAGACCTTCTTCGCGCACAGGGCTTGGCGCGTGACCAATCGCAATTGGTTCATCTTGGTGATCCTCATGGTGAGCTCGGGTGAGGTGAAACGCCAGCTAAACTCGAGGCTCTCATCCTCGCATCGGTTGGAGCGGCGTTCTCGCAGGCCATTATCATGGCCACCAGGTATGGTAACCTGCTCCAAGCCGGCGCAGTTCGGCCATGTAAGTCGCAGAACTCTTGTTTCTAAGCTGACTCCCACAGCCATTCTGATGTACGTAGCAAATTGACTAGTAGTGCTCACGTCCCAGCTGGCTCTCCACCACCATGGTCGCTGATATCATTATCACGGGCGCGATTGCGTATGGTCTGTTCAAGTCTCGCACGGGTTGGCGCCAGACAGACCGGGTGGGTACCACTTGTGGTGACATTTTTTATTCGCCGATTTACTGACGATTTTAGCTCCTTTTCCGCCTCATTCGTATGACGGTGGAGGCACAGCTTCCGCCGACGGTTATTGCTATCACAATGTTGATCGTTTTCAGTGGGTTCTCATGAGTTCAATTTTCCCACACGAGTATCACTGACAGATTTACCAGTGACCATGACGACGTCCCTGATCATGTACCCGTTCCAGGGAGTCTTGAGCAAGCTTTACTCTGTTGGTCTGCTGTACGCCCTCAACTCGCGCACGACCTTCAAGAATGAAGCCTCGGTCATCACTGTGGACACATCCAAAGTGAGCCTCTCCTTTGCATCGTTTACGTGTGTGTGTGTGCATGTGTGTCCTAACAGTCCCAACAGGCTGCATTCAGCTCGCGCCACGCCACCAACGCCATTCAAGTCAGTGTGGAGACGGAGACGTACGAAATGCGTGCTGCCGATGTCCCCAAGCACAACAGTCTTACTCGTGGCCACTCCGACCTGGAGGAGCACATGGACGACACCAAAGACATCACGTTGTCCAAGTCTGATGCGGATTCGAAGACCGAGGTGGCTGATAGCGAGGTGGTTGACAGCGTCAAGGGAAGCGTCAGCAGCAGCCAGGCGGCGCTCATCGATCCCGCCAAGTCTGCCGTCACTCCTCCCCACGCCGCCGCCCTTGCTTTTGTTGTCACCGAGGAACCCGTCTGATTCCTCCACTGCCGCGGTGCGTTCGGTCATGTTCGGGAGACGGCACGGCTCTTGAATGTCGCGCGCGCCCCAACGGTGCCCTGTTGGGTCTGGCACCCACACAGCAATCGTCACCTTCACACTGTCCATTCCCAGAGATTCAGTGTTCCTCTGTCGCTATCGTTGCCTAATCCTATGCATACAGGTATTCCCTTGATACCATGCTGTGCCATATGTGTGCATGTCTGAGCGCTGTGACGGGGCGTATGTGACTCGACTCGCTTAGACCATGTACACGGATCTGGGGCATATCAGAAGCATCCTTGAAGCGGGGGTCGCCGATCACCCCCCTGGTCACGACGCGACAGATACGCAAAGCACGACGAGTGCACGCACCTACCGCGTGCTTCACACTTTGCAACGAGCACAACCATGTCGAGCCCCCCCCTGCCTCGCTTTTCTTCATCGCAACCCACGCCACTCTTCGTGTTACTTTCTGTCCATCTCAACTCTCATTCCCTTCACCCCGACCCACGCTCAAGATGATCGCGGTTGCTCTTGAACTCATCGTTCGCCAGGCCGCCGCCGCTGGGAACTCCACAGCTAGTGCTGGTGGTACCGCCGCTTCCGCCGTGCCCAACATCACCTACCCCCTCACGTACCCTCTGTCGGAGGTTGAGAATGCCGCTCTCTTTGCTCCCATCAAGGTACGTTATGGACCCTTCTGACTCACCTGTCTCATTGACCTATCTACCCAGCTCTTTTCGATGCGCTGCCTCTTCTCCCAGCTTCCTATCGACGTCTTCTTCTGGTGGGTACTGAATGGGTCTGGTCCTTACGCCGCCGCACGGGTCGGTAGCCCGTGATCCCGTGCGCCGACACTGAAACTGACACTGCGCAGTGGAGTCTACACCTTGATGTTGACCCGCTACTTGGAGTACGAGAAGGACACCTGGTGGACCAAGGGCACCGTGTACGCCGTGTCGTTCATGGCGTACCTCATCTCCGGTGAGACTCCAGGCCACGGACGGCGCACACCCTCAGACGCTGACTGTACGGTGCAGGTTTCAACACGTTCTTCGTTTCGAATCTCTTCGTCATCAACTTTGGTCTTTACTCGCCCTTTTTTGATCCAACCTACTCGTGCGTACACTCTGCATTCAGAAACGTGGTCTGACAGTTACCAGGTCATGGTTCCCCTTCCTCGACGCCATCACTGCCTGTCTCACGCAGTGCTTCTTTGCGTTTAGAGCGTTCCGTCTCATGGGACGCAACTATTATCTTCTGTCGACTCTTGTTCTTCTGATTGCAGCCTCCCTTGGATCCGGCTTCTCAATCCCCATCATCTGGGCCACGCGGCTCCAGAGCCTCCTGCAGGCGACCCAGGTCAGACCTTGTAAGCTTCTGTTCCGATCGTAGGGCCGTGCATCGCTCACCGACTTTCAGCCATGCTCGTCTGGTTGGCATCGTCCATGGTAGCCAACGTGATCCTCACTGTAACCATTCTTTGGGGTCTCCTCCAGTCGCGTACGGGCTGGGCCCAGACCGACAAGGTCATCTTCCGCCTCGTCCGCATGACTGTCGAAGCCCAGCTTCTGCCCACCATCATTTCGGTCGCCATGTTTGCCGAGTTCCGTGAGTTGGACTCAACCCAGTCATGGTACAACCTAACCCTCACTCCAGTCGCTACGCCCTCCTCGCTCCTCGGAAACGCTTTCCAGGGTGTCCTCTCAAAGCTCTACTGCCTGAGTCTCCTGTACTCGCTCAACTCGCGCCAGAACTTGAAGAAGATTGCTGTCGCCGTCTCCACTGCGGTGAGCAGTTGTCCTACTCACCAGTCAGCTCCACACCGCTGACAGCCTACAGAATCAATACACTGGCCAGAACGTTAACGCCATTCAGGTCGACGTGGAGACCGAGACGTACGAGACCCGCACCGATGGCAACAAGTACAACTTCAACCCCCATGTCTCGGACCTCGAGAAGGTGGACAACGACGACGAAGACGAGTGGGAAACCGACATGAGGGCCGAGGCTGGCGGCGACGCGACGTTTGGTAGTATCCAGGGCAGCGTCAACAGCCACGTCCACCTCACCCCGCCCACTCCCAAGTCTGGTACGACCCCCCTTGTCCAATGAGGGGTGTTGCTCCACCCTTTTGTCAGTGCTTGGCGCCCCACCGCTTTGGTGGCGAGCCAAGAACCCCATGTCTTATTCCATCCACGGGCCCGGCCTCGTGCTTATTGATAATGTTATGTAAATTATTTTGATAGGCAGAGCATCCTCGTCACCTCGCACCACCAGGACACAAGTGTTTTGCTTGACGTGTTGCCACTCATAGGGCCGGGATGTGGGCCGACGTGACGACTTCGGTCCAAGCATCCCATCAGCCGCCTTCAGACGTACCGAACGCGGGTGGTGTGCCTTGGCCATGTCATGGCGCGGAATGATGGAACGGAACACGTCTGCTGAAAGGCTGAACTCCTGATCATGCCATGCCGCATTCATGAACCGAATAACGGTCAACGACGGCTGTCAAAGGCAACGATGACACATGCCAGCGCCACAGAGTCATCAGTTCCAAGTATCTGTACCTCGCGTCTATTCTCTTCAACTATCAAGCGATCACACAGGGATTCATACACCGCAGGAGGGCGGAGCTCAATATTATGTACCAAAGTTCTGGGCATCGAAGAGGTTGCACGTAATTTGGCCAAAGCTGCCGTCCTCGTTGAGGCCATGCAGTATCCAAACGCGGATCTACATTTAGTGGTTCCGCGGTATGCAGATATGGAAGGATGTCGTTGTGGTTGACTGACGATGGTGGTTTTGACCTGGTGCCGCCGACAAATAACCAGATCAAATCCCCGAAAATACCCCACACTCACCTTCGCCAGGTGATGGTATATGTATAGTCTCGGGCCATGGCATAGCATAATGGGTACGGAACGTGGCAGCTCGATATCTGACTGGTCCATGCAACAGCTGCGTTTCAGACATAGCCCCAAAGGCTTTGGAGTCGTGTCTTGTTCATTTCCCGATCATACGGTGACCTCATCCGTTCTGTGGCGAATGACCAGCCACGCGCATCCCGAAGGAGGCGCCTTCATGTGTGCCCGGGATACTGGACGGTCGGCAGTAGGGATCAACGTCGTGATTTTAGTCAGATGAGGAGTGAAGGATGGACCCGCTTGTCATTGGATGGCGGTGTCGATCTGGCTCGGAGCGCTGCAGAACACCGCCGGTTTGCTAGGCTGACGGACTCGGTTCCATGTTAACAAGCAAACTGTTGGGTGCAAGCCAAGCCGCCGGCTCTTCAGACCCGGGTGAATAGTACTCTGAGAAAGGCAGTTCTGGACGTGTTGTTTCAACGTGCACCCACAGCCAAGTTGGCGATGAAACTCCTTCGGCCGCACTCCCGGTGGCACTCTCCCATTCGGGCTGCTCTAATTCACGAGATACAAATGGCTGCAAGCTCGCAGCCTGGTTCCTTCTTTTTCGCAGAAAATTGGGGGTTTTTACTGATACGAATGGCCAAATATGGCATGTGCGGCCATCTTCGTGCGGCACCCATGAAACGATGAGGCCAATAGGACCCAGCCTTCCGGTGTTGTCCAGGATGGCCCCCCTCCACCAGATCGGCTAAAGCAAGGCAACTGAAGGGAACAGGTGCAGGTAGCTATTCAGTGGCGGCCTCGCGTGCTCTGGTTACCGGCCCGCGGCTCCTCACAGAGTGATTCCCTGCGACGTGCGCAGTCACCGGCGCCGAGACAGTTTGCATGTGAGGCAGTTCAGCCGGACCTTCATGGTTGTGAAAGGACTGACAACACTGATTAGCAGTTTAGCCGAACGGTTGCCCACCGTGGAGGTGGTGCCGTTCAGCCGGTGATTCCAGCCCCCGTCGTCATCTCGAGTGACTGCCTCCTGACAGCTCCATCGTTATCCTCTGCTCACAGGCAGACGAACACCTGACCGAGCTGGTCGATAGCCGACGCCGATAAGTCTCGCATTCCGAGCTCTACAGATCGCAGCGCTCAGTTCAGCAGAAGTCTGGGGGTCCCGTGGGCACGCCAAGCAACACCCTGTTGGGGCCGACGTTGCTGTCTGTGCTTTTCTGGAGTGTATAAAGGACAAGAGTTGCGGGGCCACTGATATCTCCACAGAACCCCATCTACTAGGGAACCCCACCTCCGACAAACCCTTCAAGACAATATCGCAGCAATGCTGTCCCTCGGCGTGATCCTCGGCTTGTTCGCCTCCTTTGCAGGCTTCCTGTGAGTAGCGAAACTCACAACATTTTCATCACCGGCACAGACGCTAACGAGCTATGCAGATTTGGTTACGACACAGGCTACATTTCGGGATGCAAGGAGATGCCCGCGTTCCTTCAGGTCTACGGTGACCTCCAAAGCGACGGCACCTACAAGCTTAGCACCCAGACCGACTCGATCATCACCTCCATCCTCTCTGCCGGCACATTCTTTGGCGCCCTCTTCGCCGCCACGATCGGTGACGCTGTGGGCCGTCGTCGCGGTATCCTCATCTACCTCGTTCTCTTCGCCATCGGTGTTGCGCTCCAGACCGCTGGCAAGAGCCTTGGTGCCTTTGCCGCCGGCCGTGTCTTGGCCGGTCTGGGTGTCGGTGGTACTTCGACTCTTGTTCCCGTTTACCAGGCCGAGTGTGCCCCGCGCAAGCTCCGTGGGTTCTGCGTGTCCTGCTACCAGTTCTTCATCACTGTCGGCCTCCTCATTGCCGCCGTCGTCGTCAACGCCACCAAGGGCCGCCCCGACGCAAGCGCCTACCAGATCCCCATCGCCGTCCAGTTCATCTGGGGCACCATCATCGCTGTCGGCATGTTCGTCCTTCCCGAGTCGCCCCGCTGGCTGCTTATGCGCGACCGCCACGAGGAGGCCAAGGCGTCTCTGAGCAAGGTCATCGGCCAGTCGACCGACAGCAGAGCCGTTTTGGACGAATACGACGAGATTTACGCCACACTACAGAAGGAGCGCGCCCTCGGTGGTGGATCGTGGATCGACTGCTTCAGGAACGGCGAGAACAAGGCTCGCCAGCGCATTCTTACGGGAATGATCCTGCAGGCCTGCACCCAGCTCTCGGGTATCAACTTCATCTTCTACTAGTGAGTCCACTGACAACGGGCAATGGACGTGGCACATTTGGAGAGACCATGAACTGACACCTTTCAGCGGCACCAGCTTCTTCTCCAACTCTGGCATCGCCAACCCCTTCTTGATCACTGTGATTACGAACGTTGTCAACGTGGTTATGACTGTGTAAGTGGACTACAAACAAACATGGAAGTGGGGTGGCGGAGGTCATGGCGTGCTGCCACACGGCAGTTTGCCAACAAAGTGTCATGACCTCCGGCACCGTACTTCCGCACCTCTCAGACTCCGCTGACCCATCGACAGCCCTGGTATGCTTTCCGCCGACTTTATTGGCCGCCGCCCCATGGTCATGTACGGTGCCGCGGGCATGGCCGTCTGCCAGTTCATTGTGGCGGCTGTCGGTGTCGCCACGCCCATCTCCGACAAGACTAGTCAGTCGGTCCTTGTGGCTTTCGTCTGCATCTTCATCGCCCACTTTGCCGCCACTTTTGGCCCCTTCTCCTGGATTGTCACGTCCGAGATCCCGCCCTACAACCTGCGCACAAAGTCCATGGCCCTCTCAACCGCCTCCAACTGGCTGCTCAACTTTGCCATTGGTTACGCCACCCCTTACATGGTCAACACTGGCCCCGGCAACGCCGGCCTGCAGACCAACGTGTTCTGGATCTGGGGCGGTTTCTGCCTGCTCGCCTTTGTGTTCGCCTACTTTATGATTCCCGAGACCAAGCAGCTGTCGCTCGAGCAAATCGACCTGCTCTACCTGGACTCGACCCCGCGCACCTCCGCAAAGTTCCGCCGCCATCTCATCCAGGACAACGTCCACCTCGGCACTACCCCGATCGCGGTTGGCGAGAAGGCAGACGTTGCCCACCTGGACAACTCCTCGTCTGTGTGAGAGAGTATGGGACAACCCCCACTCTGGCGGCTGGCCTAGGTACGGAGAGGGCGGCGGCTTCTCATTAGCGTCGTCCGCAGGTCCGCAAGGGTCCGCGCAGTCAGTTTGCAGATGGCGAATGGAAAGGGTGTGTTGGTTGTGTGGTTTTTGCGTGTGTTTTAGCTTGAGATCGCGTCGCGTGGTCGCGTCGTGTGGAATGCATCCCTGTCGTGCCCGCTCAATCGTGTCGGTCATGTAACAGCCAGTATTGGCTCCTGGTCTCCAGCATGTGGCACGCCTTCTGAACTGGAACTTGGTTACGGAAAGCGTGCACTTTCGCAGCAGTCTCAGAGTTCTCTACACCCCCCAGCCTCTCTGGTCGGCAAATGATCGAGGCCACGCTAGGAACATTGTGAGACGCCGAAGTGCTGGAGAAGCTGGCCGCTTGGCCGACCATGGTCCGACCAGTAGGTCCGCAGCATGGCCGCTGGCTGGTCGACACGGTTGTTCCTCGTCGTCGCATGGTTGATACTGTCCATTCAATGGACACTAGCGTGCTCCTGGAACAAGGTTTAGAGTCCTCTACCAGGCAGGGGGCGTTTGGCGTTTGCTCTGGTATTGGATACAAGCGATCAAGAGAGAGGGGACATGTATGTCGCCATGCAGGAAGAGTATGCTTATGGCTGAAAAGGGAGTCGTGAGAAAAGAGAGATGTGAAAGGCTCGACATGAGATGCGCAGCAGCAGCAGCAACGGACAGAGACGCCTAGGCACTCAGCGCGGGCGGTGGTGGTTGTAAGGGGAGACATTACGTCATTCTGATCCACAGTTCTAATTGCTTGTAATGGTCCTGTGCCTGGCGTTGGGTGGCCACAACTCTCTCTCTCTGTCTCTCCATCTCTCCATCTCTCTCGCTCTCTCAACGACGACCGCAACGCACACCTGTGCACCCACCTTCACTCTCCCTCTCTCTCTCTCATCCTTTAGACCAATACACCAGCCTGCGGCACGCATCACAGCTCACCCCACACTCGCTTCTTCACACGCATCAGCAACGGGAATTCCATCCGGCCAAACACTTCGCAGGCTTCTTGCCTTCCCACAGAAGAACATCCGGGTTGCAAAAGCCAAACACAAGCCACCCCCACCCTCACCACAAACTACGGCTTCCTTCAGGACCTTGCTGCGGGGTGTGTGAGCAGCGCTAGTGGGGCTAGTGTAGGCATTACCGCGCCTGTGTGTGTGTATCGCCCTTCGAGGTACTCGGCAACCTAGAGACACAGTACATATAGAATGCTCGTCGTTCCGTGCATCTTGGCATTGTAGACATCCCCTCCCTTCTCTCTCCACTCTGGTGTACCCCTGCATAAGCAGGTGAGTGCTCTCTTCTCCGTCGACTCTTGCTCACAGTCCAGAGCCCACCATGCGTCTCCTCCCCCTCATCTTAACGCTCGGCGTCCTCGCCCGTGCCCAAAGCAACACAACCGAACCCACCGTTACCGCTTCGTCGCCATCCGCCGAGTCCTCTCCGTCGGAAACGGCATCGGACACTGCTTTGTGGACCGCGCCCGCATCTGTCAATGAGACGAGCACTGCCGATGTGCCGACTGCGACCGACTCTACAGCCACTGGCTTGGAGTCCGCAGGTAACGGTACAGCGGTTCCTTCGCCCACCGTCACCGATCTTTCAAACGGGACTACTGTTGGTGCTGACACTGCGACGCTCACCACCGCCCCGGAGGCTAGCTCTACGACGGCCGCTGCGGCGGCTGAGTGCTCGTTCTGCACCGTCCCAGCCGGTTACACCAGTGAGGATGTTCCCGCCCCACTCGACATTGAGGACAGCTTCAGTCCTGCGTGGCGCAAGGCCCACCGCAAGGCAGCTGCCTACCTCAAGGGATGGACCAACGAGGACAAGGTGAAGCTTGCAACTGGTGAAGGGTGGATGGTCGGCCGCTGTGTCGGTAACACTCCTCCCGTGGCGGAGCGTAACTGGACCGGACTGTGTCTCCAGGACGCTCCGCTCGGCGTGCGCTTTGGCGATTTCGTCAGCTACTTCCCTCCAGCCATCAACGTTGCTTCCACCTGTGAGTGCTGCTATAACAGCTACGTACTGATCACGACTCAGTCGACAAGTCTCTCATGTACAAGCGTGGATATGCCATGGGCCAAGAGCATCGCGGCAAAGGAGTCAACATCCAGCTCGGCCCCATGACCAACATGGGTCGTGTCGCTGCCGGCGGTCGTAACTGGGAAGGGTTCGGTGCGGACCCCTATCTTTCTGGACATGGCACCTACCAGACCGTCAAGGGTATCCAAAAGGCGGGCGTGCAGGCATGTGCCAAGCACTTTATCCTCAACGAACAAGAGCGCAACCGTACCACCTCGAGCTCCAACGTCGACGACCGCACCCTGCACGAGTTCTACCTCCACCCATTCTTGCGTGCGGTTCAGGCCGACGTGGCATCCTTCATGTGCAGCTACAACCTGATCAACGGAAGCTGGGCGTGCCAGGACTCGAAGACGCAGAACGGTATCCTCAAGACTGAGCTCGGCTTTGGAGGGTGAGCTAATATTCTGTCGTGGACTAGCTGACCCAAAAAGTTTCATCATGAGTGACTGGGACGCCACGCATTCAGGTGTCCTCTCTGTTCAGAATGGCCTCGACATGACTATGCCAGGAGACATTGGATACAGTGGAGGTCTCACGACCTTCTTTGGCGCAAACCTCACAAACTCGGTCACCAACGGAAGCATCCCCCAGGCGCGTCTTGACGATATGGCTCAGCGCATCGTTGCCGCTTGGTACCTGGTCGGCCAGGACAAGGGCAACTATCCGGCCGTCAACTTTGACAGCTGGACGACCACCGGTCCCAACAACAGCCACGTCGATGTCCAGGGCGACCACTACAAGCTCATTCGTCACATTGGTGCTTCGTCCGTCGTCCTTCTCAAGAACGTCGACAACGCCTTGCCCCTCGTCAAGCCCAAGTCGATCGCCGTCATCGGCTCCGACATGGGCCCATCAACCAGGGGCCCCAACGGCTACTCTGACCGCGGTGGTGATGAGGGTGAGTTACATGACCAGTCGCTCCCAACCTAACTCTCAGGAACTCTGGCTTCTGGCTGGGGCTCTGGTACCACCAACTTCCCGTACCTTGTCGATCCGCTCGAGGCCATCTCCCTTCAGGCGCGCAAGGACCACTCGACTCTTGGCTGGTGGCTTCGTGACTGGGAGGTCGAGGGTGCCGCCACCCTCGCCGCTACCGCCGAGGTCGCCATTGTCGGCATCAACTCGGACAGTGGCGAAGAGTACATCACCGTCGACGGCAACGTTGGCGACCGCAACAACCTGACCGCTTGGAACAACGGCGACGCTCTCGTCAAGGCTGTGGCTGCTGTCAACAACAACACCATCGTTGTCGTTCACTCTGTCGGCCCAATCATCATGGACTGGGCCGACCACCCGAACATCACCGGTATCCTTTGGGCCGGCCTCCCCGGTCAAGAGTCTGGTAACAGCCTCGTCGACGTCATGTACGGCGCCTATAACCCCTCTGGCCGCTTGCCATACACCATCGCGCGTAACCGCTCCGACTACCCGGCCGACATTGACTATGTCAACACCAACGACCCCGTCGAGACCAACGTCGAATACACCGAAGGTCTGTTCGTCGACTACCGACACTTCCTCGCTCAGAACATTACCCCGGCATTCCCCTTCGGCTACGGTGGTAGTTACACCAACTTCTCGTACTCGAACATCAAGGTCACCCCTCTTGGCCGCGGTAAGCGCGACTACGACTTGCACGACCGCGAGTCCATTCCGGTCAACTCGTCTGTGATCTCTGTGCACGAGTCCCAGACGGCCGCTCCTGCGACCAACACGGATATCAGCGCGGCTGGGAACAATGTCACCGACCCCGCAGCCACGAATTCTTCCGCGGGCGACAACAGCACCTCGACCCCTCTCACCGCTCAAGTTGGCACCTCTGTCTCGAAGAAGCTCCACAAGGCCCGTTGGTCCGTCTCTGCCGACATTACCAACACCGGTGCCGTGAACGGCTGCGAGATCCCGCAGCTCTACCTATCCTTCCCCGAGGGATCTGGCGAGCCGCCCCGCGTCCTGCGCGACTTTACGCGTATCAACCTGGACGCCAACGCCACCAGCACTGTCACGTTCAAGCTCAGCAGGTATGACGTTTCGATCTGGAACGTTGTCGAGCAGGCATGGACGATCCCCAATGGCACGTTTACCGCCATTGTGGCGCGTCACTCGTTTGACGAGGACGGTGTCTCGGCCACATTCACGCCCTAGCATTGGACAATGAAGAAGAAGCAAGCAAGAATGAAAGAAGCAAAGAAGCAAATAGCACTGTCTAGAGTAATAGTAGTGAACAGAAGTAGCTCAGTTTATGTCACGAACATTGTCTTGTGTCGATGTGTTGTGGCTGTTCGTCCTCTGGACGGATGCTTGACCGGGAGGCCTAGGAACCTGTCGAGGTTCGGCCATATACAGAGTACGAACGGTTCCAGTCGTCTGGGACCATTTGCAGCCGCCTTCGACCACTTCTCAGAATGAGGCAAAGACAGGCAACACATGACAACTACACTGCTTCCATAATAACAACACTACCAGTGACCGCCAACCTTGTACTTCCAGACGCTGTCCGTGACCTGGCCAAACGTACTACGCCACGCCTTGTTGAGCAGCTATTGGCGTCAGTGTACTGTTCCGCACACTTCCGCACAACCTTCCGCGACCGCGCGTTTTCCCACACACTGCCCGACTCACGTGGATACCGTAAACGCCAGAGAACATGAAGACGAGGAAGGTCGCTTCGCCACCGTTCTGGCCCAGTGGCCTGTCGGCAAAGGTGTAGTCGTTATCGCGAGGGGCGTATTGCGGGGGTACCACGCACGGTGGGCCACTGGGGTGGGTTGGAGTTGGTGTTCTGGTGCAGGGGGAGGCCGCGGCTCTCGGACAGGGGCACGCTGGCGATAGAGGCGTCTGCACCGACCTCGCGCGTCTTGACGATGAGGGACGCAAGGCCGACAGACGTGAGGCCCACGGGGCCGCCGCCGCTCTCCTGCTGGGTGGTGGTGGTTGTGGTGGTCGTGGTCGTTGGTGACATTACAGAGTGTACATGAGGAGTGACCGATGCATCGGTCGCTGTGGTATATCAGCGGGTGGGTTGGCTGGTTCGGGGACGGTTGCGGGGGGGGGATGTGGCCCATGTCGGACACTCGGACAGCCGGAGGGGAGGAATCCGCCACGCCACCCGGCCACCAACCGAGCCCCGGGGTGGACGGGAGATGGCGATGGGGGACCCGGTTTTGTTCCCCGAGGTCACGGTGGAAATCCGTCGCTCCGTAACCGGCGTTGCATGCACGCATTATACCGAGCGCAAGACGGTACCTGTGAGCGAACGCATGTCCTTCATAACCTGCTCGCCTGGGATTGCTGGCCCCAACGACTGACTTTTACGATGCCTTCTGAAAGTAAGCTTGGCCGCCACCCACCCACCAAAAGACTCATCGGCTGACCTCTGCAGCAATCTTCCCCGCCTTTTTCTTCTCACATGGCTCGACCGGCATGATTGCCCGCCGCACCGCGCCCGCCGCCTACTGGGAAGAGGTGGGCCGTCAGGCGTTGGCACAGGGTGTCGAGTGTGTGATCATCATGGGTGCCCGTAAGTTGCCAGCTGCTGAAAATACTGTAGTGGCGGTGAGCTGATCGGCGTTCTAGACTGGGAGACTCCCGACGAGACCATCCGCGTGAGCGGCAACCCCGCACCTGCCATGCAGCCCGTCGCATGGGTCCCGACCGAGCAGTACGTCAACTTTGACCTCAACCCCGACGTCAAGCTGGCCGAGGAGGTCCGCGGCATGCTGGACACTGCGGGCTTTGAGGTCGCCCTCGAGCCCGACTTTGAGCAGATCCACGACACGTTCATGATCCTCAAGTGGATGTTCCCCGGCGGCCGCTCGTTGCCGCACTGCGTCGTCTCGCACAATGCCCGCTGGGACCCCCACTTCCACCTGCGTATGGGCGCTGCCCTCCGCCCCCTGCGCAACAAGGCCCTCATCATCGGCTCGGGCGGCGCCGTGCACAACCTCTACCGCAACGCATGGTTCAGCGGTGTCTTCTACCGCGACTCGCTCGCGCAGACCGCGCCCCCCGAGCAGTGGGCCATCGACTTTGGCGAGGCGTTCAGCAACGTCGTCACCCAGAACTCGGGACCCGCACTGCGCCGCGGTATCGCGCGTCTCATGGCCCACCCCCAGTTCCGTGACGCGCAGGGTACCGACGACCACTACATGGCTGCGCTCTTCGTGGCCGGTGCCGCCGGCGCGCTCGAGGACGAGGGCCACGCAAACTATGCCGGTGCCGAAAACTACGAGCTGCAGTCCATGCGTAATGTAAGCTTTGTCGTGGTGACTGTGGGCGGTTTCACACAGCTGACATGTTTCCAGTCCCAATTCCAGTTCGGAGACTGGCCCCAGGCTCCTCACGTCACCCCGGTGCGTGCCGGCATGTGGGAGGTGACAGCGTAGAGTTTAAGATAGGAGCGTGTTAGTATCAGAGGTCTCAATGCAGCTTTGTGTAGTGTACTGTAACGCGAGCGCGGAACACAGCCTTCTGCTCCCCTTCGTTCCGTCGAGCAGCTGGAGTCGGGCTACCGGCCGGTCGGCGTCAAAGCAAGTGTGGACGGAGGACGTTCCGTCCCCTTCCGTTCTCGCGCGGGTTCGGTGGCGGAAGACACATGTCGATGTCAGGCCAGCTGGCATGGGTCTCCATGGGGTCTCTCCATGGGGTCCCATTGGTATGGGAGTGGCAGCTCACTCTGTGGACCTAGGTAGCTCTGCCAGATTCACTGCATGCATCTGATGGTCACATTCGGCTCGCTCCAGAAGGAATATCAAGGCCAGATAGATGACTGCTGCCAATTCACGCCTCCCGGTTGCTGCCACGCCCCTCAATGTTTTTGTAATATTCACTGCGTGCATATATCATCCAGCCCTGTCTACAGACAGTATCAGGCCCCTAGTGCATGACGTACTCGAGGGGCTTGCCGTCGACCTCGATAGGCTTGCTGGCAACAAGCACAAAGACCATGCGCGCCCACTTGTCGGTACGGTTGTGCCAGGTGTGCATGCTGTCTCGCGTCAGCGCCACGCTCGGAGTCTCTGTTCTCCACCACTTACGTTCCACGCTGAACACACACGTCGCCAGGGACGATGCTCCTCACGTGGCCGTCGTCGAGCTCGAGCTCGAGCTCGCCCGAGACCATGATTCCATAGTCGAGCGAAACGGTACGGTGGGGCGGCGAGGACATGTTGGGCGGAAACTCGACGATGCGGCAGACCGTGCCGGATTCGTTGTTCAGTGGGCCGCCGAGCGTGACGGCGTCGGGACCCGAACACTCGGCGGGGAAGGTGGTGGTCTGCCAGGGAACCTGGAAGACGAGTCAGCCCCGAGGTACATAACACATGGCTCCTAGCTCCTCATAGCGAGCAAAAAAACGCACAGCAAAGATGGCCTTGCGGCCCTTGTCGTCAAAAGAGGTTGTGGGGATCTGGCCCTCGAAGCTGAAGACTGCACGGCCATTTTCGTCGTGGCCAGTGACGTAGCGCGAGGGCGAGATGGGCTCGGTGGTGCTGGAGGTCATTGTTGGTGTCGGTTACTGTAATTTGCAGGGGAAAACAAGTACCAGCATGTGGGCGACTGACCTTATGCAGTCCACCATAACCCAGCCCTGCTTGCCGCCATGCTCTGCGTGCAGCGTGGCTGCCAGATGCTGACTTGTCCGCGGCCGGTCGTCAAGACGAGCTGGGTCGGCGAACGGGTCGCCGGAGGCCTGTTTTCCAGAGGAGGACAGGAGGCCAGGAGATTCCGCAGCCCACCGCCGCAGTTCACGGTCCGAGGTCACTACTTCGGTGACCTACGTGTCTCCACCGAAACAGCGGCTCTGGGGCCGGTTCTCCCCCGCCCGGCCGTATGGCTGACGGGTGCATAGGTCACGGCGGTGTGTGCCACTCCATTGGAGCCGCGACTAAAGTGGGCATCGAAGGAACAAACGCGGAAAGAAAAGAAGGAAAGGAACAAACGCGGAACGGAGAGCTGTATTAGCTGCCAGGAAAGCAATGAACAGATAACACCTATGCATTGACCGTATATACATGTCTTGCCCACCCTCGCTTCCCTCGCTCGAGTGCGCAGGGATCATCCCACGTTCATGGCGTAGTCGTTCAACAGCGAGTCAAAGACAAAACCCATGTCATTGACATCGGTGTAAGCCGACGTCGAACCCGTATCCATGCCCGCCGAACCAGGATCAGCCACAAACGGCCTCTTGCCTTCGTGGGGCAAGTCGGGTACCCAGCCTGCGCCGTTCCCCCAGTTTTCGTACAGGAAGTCGCCAAAGTTGCGCTTGAGCGATTTGGACGGGGACTCGGCGTCCCTGCGCCGCAGCTGATTTTCCATCAGGACCGTCAGAGTGTCGGCCGTGTCGTTCAGGTCCAGGCGGCCGCGAGTGGATAGGGAACGCAGCTGCTCGATGCCGTGTTCCGACAGCGACTTGATGTCCTCTACTTCTCCTGGCTCGGCGTATATGAGGTAGATGATGGCAACCATGGTGGCCGTGAAGACCATGTAGTTGTGTGCCCAGAAGTGTGGGTAGTTGCTGCTGAACATACGGTAGCGCTGTTCAGCGCTCAGCATGCGGCGAGCGGCTGCCAGGCAAGACTGTTTGGTGTTCAGGTAGCGCGGGTTGTGGCATGATTCGGGGAAGTAGTACCGGTGCAGACGGACCATGCGGAGGTCAGTTGCTTCGCGGAGGAGGCACGCTTCACGCTTGCTGTGATTGTCAGCTTAAGATCACAGTAATCCAGCTTACATTCTGTGAAGCTGCACCGCATCCTGTGCGACAATCGTGTCTGTGTCGCGGAAGAAGAGCGGGCGCTCCTCGATGCACTGCAACAGCTCGGCGTGGGCCCTGTTCGTCAGCTCAACAACTCTTTTTCGGAGCAAGGATCAGCTGCGCGACTCACTCAGTGACAAACTGGTACCGCATCCTTCCCGCCTTGCGGACCTTGGTCATCAGGTTACGGTGGAGGTACATGAGCTTTGCACGGGCGAGGTGGTGACTCATGTCCGTGTACGTGTCGATTGGGAGGCTGACGACAGGCACGTCCGGATGGATATCCACGTCGTTGATGTTGGCTGGTTCAGATGTGGTAGAGAGTTCCGGGTTGATAATGTACATGAAGCCGTTCTCCATTGTGAAGAGAATATCGTACTCGCACAGGCAGAACCAGATGCGGCGGCCCACTTCGCGGTCGATGGCAGAGCGGAAGCGCGGAGGGATGCTGTTGATGTTCGTCGTGGCAATCTTGGACTCGTCCGGGATGGTTGCGAGGCCAATTGCCATGGCGACCTTGGTTGCGGTGCCGAGCATTGCCCAGTGCTGGTTTGCGCGCTTGACGCTCGAGAGGTACAGGCCGCCGACGCTGCAGAGTTAGCACCTAGGTCCAAGTTTCCAGCTAGACTCTACCCAAAGCGGTTCCTAGCTAGAGTTTACTCACATGAGAGTCTGAATGCCACGAATATCGTGAACCTGCATCCAATCCGACTCGTCAAGTGCCGCATACGCCACCTTCCAGCACTTGGTCGCAAGGATCTGGGACTGATCATTGGTGAGCCCCAAATCGTTGAGCGAGTCGTCGTCGAGGTACAGCAGTGACACCGAGAGGCAGGCCGCGTACAATCCCAACGTGGCCAGTTCGCCGAGGGTGAATTCAGTAGCGCGCGCTCGGATGCGTGAAAAGAGCTCGGAGCACTGGTTCTCAAATGTCGGGCGGTGGAAGCAGCGCCAGTTGTGGTCGATGTTGTCCAGGTAGTGCGTCAGGACGTACTTTCCAATCAGGACGTTGGGGAGGTTGGCCACCTGGGGGAATTCCTTGAGGTGGTCGTGATCGGGACGCGGGCGGATGTGGATGATGGACGAGAGGGTTGGTCCATCGTGGTCTGAGCCAGATTAGTGACACACACCCCGTTTTTAAGGTTCAGCGCACACATACCCTTTTCAGGCGACCTCTCGCCCCACTGTGCGCCACGACCGAGGGCCATGGCCTCGAGCTCGAGCGTCGCGTTGTGTTCCTGGATGCTGGGCACCTTGGACGTTGGCTCGGACCTGCCCTCGGCGTACATACCAAAGTTGGAGGGCAGATGCTGGGCGTGGGGCGGGGGCCACGGGGCATTCGCTGCTGCTGATGCGACGCCATACCCCAAGTCGAGTGGCAGATGGGCGTGGGCGGACGGGTCGGGAGTATCAAAGGACGGCGGGCAACTGGCGATGCTTGCCAGGATGTGAGCGGGCGACACCAGGTCAGCCGGCGGCATTGTGCCAACGGGAGCGGGACCCTGCCCCGCCCCTGTGAGGGCTCCGATCGACCCCGAGTGCGCGTGGGCGGCAGCGGCGTGGGGGAGGTGGTGCCCGCCATGAGGCTGGCTCGAGGGCCCCACAGAGACCTCGTGCGCAGCATTGAGCAGCGCAGGTCCGGGACTGGGTTCGGTTACGCGGCGCGTCGAGCGAGACGCCGAAACTGCGCCGCCCCTTGGTTCGCGGTCCTTGCGCCCCCTTTCGTCGTCTCGGCTACCGTTGCCGGCACCGTTGTTGAGGGAGGACATGTTGACGTCGACGACGCTCATGTCCTGGTCCATCGGCTCCTGCTTTTCGTTCATGTCGTCCTCGCCGTCACGGTTGGGGCGGAAGACGGGCAACGGGTCCTTGAACTCGTTGATAATGTCCCCATAGGCGTCGACGTTGTCGACGCGGGCGATGAGGCGTGACAGGGCAACCTCCAGTTGGTTGACACGGTTGGCAAGGATGGATGTGTCAGAGACGTGGGTGTATCCTCTGCCACGTAGTCAGCACCTTGTGTGGACGCTCGGTAGGGAAAAAGAGGGGACCCAGCAAGTTACTCACGTCGGCCGGTTAGTGGGCTCTCGAACGTATGGCTCGCAGGTGTCTGCTTCGCCTCTGTTCTTGCATGGCGTGCACGGCCACTGGCGGTCACACTGTGAATCAAGTCAGTCACCATCCGGAGCTGCCGAGTGAGAAGTGTATGTTACCTTTGTTTTACGGCGACGACAGGCTAGTGTGGGTCAGCTTGGGTGGAATGTGACGCGCATCAGCCGCACGCTAGTAGCGGCAAAATTGGTTTGGCATGGGATGGGAAGGACAACGCACTGATACAGCTCTGAACCGACTTGTTCTTGCGGAGGGCGTTGCCAGCCGGCAGCGAGAAGCTGAACTGAGCGATGGGCTGGAGAGGGGAGGGTCAGTCCAAGGGTGCCAAGAGTGCGCACGAGGCCGCAGGAGGGTGGCTAGAGCTCACGTTGAAGACGGACACTGCCGACTCCATGTTGGGACGATATAGCGTTTGGTTAGAGGGCGTTTAGTCTTTCGGGTGGTCGGGAATGAGATAGTGGTAAGAGTAAGGAAAAGAGACGATAGCGAATGGGATGGCGGACGACACAATGCCTATGGGGCCAGCAAACCGTACGTGCGAGATGACTCCGGGGCATATGACTCCGGGGCCAAGTGTGGGGCAAACTGGGGCCGATGCACGCGGAATCGACACGGAGGACGCGTGTCCGGCAGCCCGCTATTGAAAGTTGGGTAATAATATTACAAAATACATCCTAATCACCGCCGAGAAACACACTACGCGACCATTGCAACCTCACTGAACTGCGATAATAGGTTCACATTCCTTGCCCCCGCACAACATGGCCAATCCTTCTCCACTGCGCAAGCCCCACGAAATAATTCTACTACAGGTGCAGCCATCCACTGGCCTTGAGCGCAAGACCTCCCTTGACCAGACCGTAACCCACACCGCCGACAATCAAGAGGAGGACTGGCAGTGCAGCAGACAAGACACCTGGATGGATGTTAGTACGACTCCCTCTCGGTGAATTTCCAACTGGACCCCGTTGGGGGTGTTACTCACTTCCGCCAAAGAAGTCGATGCGCTGACCAGGGTGCTGGTACAGCTTGCGGGCCTTGATCTTGGCCAGCTCGTCGAGGGACGCCGCACTCTGCGGGGGCTGGACGTCACCGCGAAGGCGGCTGATCTCGACGTTCGCCTGCAGCGTAAAGCTGAACTCGTCCTTGCCGTTGACGTAAGGGCCGAGAGCAAGCGCCTCGGCAGGGATCGAGTTGAGGTAGACGTTCTGGACGTTCTTGAGGAAGTTGAAGGCGTAAGAGCCAAAGGAGTGGGCAGCAAACACGTAGGCGGCAGCGGGGGCGGCGACGTCGTCGGTGACAAAGTCGAGGGCCTGGTCGATAGAGCGCACAGTGTAGACGGGGAGGAAGGAAGGGAAGCCGGCGCGCTGGCCAGCAAGGAAAGCGCGGGTCGAGGGCTTGTTCTCGAACAGCTCGGTAAGCTCGGGCTTGATGTGCGACGGGAGAGCAGCCGAGAGAGCAGACAGGAGCGGCGCAACGAGGTTTTCGTGGGCGAGCACATAAGTGGGAGTGCCGAGCGACGCGCTGCGCACAGTCACGACAGCAGCAATGTTCTGGGCGACGGCAGTAATAGAGCTGGGGACGTAACCGGCTTCCTGCTGCTTGGGGGTGAGGGGCTTGGCGCCGGGAAGGGCACTCTGGTCCACAATGACGGGGACGGGGGCAGTGGCCACTGGGTGGACCGAGACGGGACCGGAAGAGGTGGACACGGTCAGAGATGCGGGCAGGCGGTCAGCGGGTCCCACAAGGGCGGTGAGTTGAGGAAGCTCGCCGTCGCCCAAGAGCTTGGCGGGAGACGCGGTCCACAGAAGAGCGTAGGCTTCCTGGTCGATACGGGAGGTGAACTTTGCAGGAACGATGATGGAGCCAGGAGCAGCAATGATGACAGCAGGGTTACCGTCGATAATGGCCTCAGTGAGGGGCACAGCCCAGCTGGCCAATGGGTCTGGCAGTCAGTTAGTATGCGGGTCCTGAGCATTGTGTGCGTGGCTGTACTCACGAGCAACATCACCGACGATAGCGACAACTCCGGCCGCGCGCTTCCTTCCCTTGCCACCTCGTGTGTCCTTGAGAGTCTGCTCCTTTGCAAACTCGCCTGGGAGGTCGGTCGAGAGACGCAACAGCGTGGCGGAGATGTATCGCAGAACCTCGGCCAGCTCGAGACGGAGGGATGCATCGGCGTGCGCTGCCTTGGTTCCCTCGGTTTGGAGCATGTCTGCGATGCGAACGTGTCAACGGCTGTAGGGCGAGGATGATGAGAGTCAATGCTACCTACCAAAGATGGCATACAGCGTCTTGTGCTTCCAGGCAAGGTTGTCACAGCGACCATCGACGTATGCGCCGTGCGCCTGGGCAACCGCAGCCTGGAGTCCCTCACGTGTGGTATTGGACATGATTGATGTGGGTGGGTTTCGTGTTGGAAAGTGAACAACTAGAGAAGATGAACTAGGGAACGGCAACCAGCGAGCGGGGAACTATTTACATAAACCGCAACCCCGGCACCCCGGTACCCCGGGCCAACCATGCATGGGACAATGCGCTCGTGGGCACTCTCGACCTCGGTCGGTGTCGGCTGGAGAGCTGTGGTGGAGCAAAGGCGTCCAGCAAGCCGACTGCGGTATATGCCGGAAGTCACCGGATGCCTCACGTCCATCCCGCCGAACAGCGAGAACCTAACGTTAACCACTCCATCGGCCATCGCCCGTGCTTTTGCTGACCGAGCAGCGCGCAGGCCGAGTCGTGGGTTAGTCGCCCAAAAGTCAGACAATGCATGCGACGATGACAGCTGTGACTTCCGACAACGACTACTATCTCAGAAAACAATGATTCTGCGCGTCCGTTCACCGCTCGGTATGGCGCGTTTTGACGTTAGCGAGGAGGACAGCGTGACCGCGCTCCGAGGCAAGGTGAGTCACTGGATCACTGGTGTCCAACCAGGCATGTCGAATTCGGTGGGCCGTCCTTCCTTGACTTTGGCTGACTCTCTGTAGATCCTGGCGCAGTGGCCCGACCTCGCCTCCTCGTCCTGGTCGCTCCGTCTCGAAGGCCCACGAGGCCAACTTCCTTCCGCGCGGGGAAACACCAACCTCCTCGCCTCCACTGCAGCGACCGCGCCAGTCTCCGCTCTCGATCTGCGCCACGGCGACATGGTCTACCTCGACGTCCAGCGGGACGCTCCCCACCCAGTCCCTGTGGCAAGGACTGCGCCTGGCGAGGCGGTGGTCTTACCCCGTGCCGCGTGGTTGGGGAGCCATGCGAATCTCTGGGCGTTCATGAGGGACTATTTGTTCTGGAAGTAGACGTCAACATCGCATTTTCATGTCCGAGTTTCTATATAAATAATGTTGTATGGGTTAACAACTGTGTGTTCTTTATGAGGGTGGGTAATGGTGATGTCACGATGTAATGTCTACATGCCTACGTATGGACCGCTTTGCAAGCATGTGAGATCAGCGAGGAGTGGAGCGGTTACAACGCGGAAATCTCCCGGAACAAAACGTGTAAATTCCTACGAGCATGTGTGCATCACCAATGGCATTAGAAGGTCAAGGAGAGCAGGGGCAGTGCAAGGCTTCTTTGAGTTGCAAATGAGTATACATGGGCATGATTGTGTACCTATATGATGTCTATGCTTGTGGGTCGAACTTGTGAGGATGGTCAAGGTGTGGGGCGGGCAAACGACCAACGTGACATAACCACTACAGCCCCGCATGAAGCAACCCGCCATGATTCCAAATGCAGCACATTGTAGACAGGTCTTGGTTCGACAACAATGCATTCAACTAATCCGAGATCTAACCAGACACTTTTATCTTCTCTAGACAATAGGCACCTTGACCCACGACTTGTCCTCGCCACCGACGTGCAGGACGTTGACACCGCCCAGGTCCGACTCGTTACGGTCCTCGGGATCCTTGTGCTGGAACAGACCCGAGCCCTGGGTGTCGCCAGTGGACACCTCGAAGACGAGCTTGCCGCCCTTGTCGATGACGCATGCAGTGGGCCAAATCTCGACCAGGAGCTCGTACTTGGTCTCGGGCTCGAGGTACGAGACGTCGGTCGAGCGGTACTCGCGGTAAGGGAGGTACTCCTTGTGCACTGGCGATGCCTCGTTGATCGCACGGAGCGAGCCACGCAGCCAACCCTTGGCGAGGGGGACCGGGTCACCGGCGGTACCGGTGTAGAAGACCTCCTTGCCGTCAGGACCAATGTGGCGGAGGGTGACGAAGACGTCAATGTCGCGAGGGGCGGTGCCGTCCGCGCGCTTCTTGACCGAGTAGACGAGGTTGGCGGTGGGGTGGCCGGCAATCTCGGTCTCCTTGTCGAACTGGACCTCGAAGGAGATGGGGTCCGCCTTGCCCAATGCCTCGAGCTCAAAGGTACCGGCCTCGGCGACGGGGGCAGTGGTGAGGCCTCCCGAAGGGGTGAGGTTGAACTGCTCGTACACGGTACGGGCGATGGGCCACTCGTTCTCGTGACGCGCCTTGAAGGTTGCCTCGGCCTCGTTCGAGTTGAAGCCAGGGTTGCCCTTGCGGACCAAGAGCGACACGGCGGGCTTCTTGGCGTTGGGTCCCTCCTTCCAACCCTCGGGGTCCTCGTCCCTCAGCCAAGCGTCCAGGAAGGACTTTTGCAGTTGGACGTAGTGGGGAAGGTAGAAGGGAAGGTCGTGACGGCCCGAGATGAAGTGGAGCCACTTGTTCTTGCTGCCGGCCTGCATGTAGCCCATGACGTTGCCACGGAGGTGGAGGAGGATACCGCCCAGGTTGGCAACCGAGAGGACGGGCACCTCAATGTCGCTGAGGTTGTAGACACGCGAGTTGTGGTACGGCTGGTCGAGGTAACGGTTCACGCGGTTGTCGACGGTCTGGTCGTTGCGGAGGGCGACGAGCTCCTCAGTGCTGAGCTCGCCCTCAAGGCACTCGGGGCCCACCGCGGGGCCCTCCCAGCCGTGGAAGCGGCGAGGGGTCTTGACGCCGTTGCCGTACTGCATGATGCCGACCTGGTTGTTCCACCAGAAGCGCACAAACACGTCCGAGTAGATACCTCCGTGACGCACACGGTCGCGGTAGTAGTCGGTCATGCCCTCCCATGGGATGATGCAGGCGAGACCCTTGGGCTTGCGCGCAGCGACGCGCCACTGCGAACCGCCGTAGTACGAGATACCGACGAGACCAATCTTGCCGCTCGACCAGGGCTGGTCGGCAGCCCACTCGATGACCTCGGCAAAGTCAGACGAGGTCTGGTCCGACATGGTGTCGAGGTATCCGTAGGAAGAGCCGAGACCACGCTCGTCGGCGCGCACCACGACGTAGCCGTGCTTGGTCCAGTACTCGGGGTGAGGGGTCTCCCAGGCCGAGTTGTGCGACTTCTGCTCGTCGGGGATCTCGTTGTAGGAAGGAGTGTGGAACGACGAGTAAGGAATGTCCTTGCCGTAAGGTCCGTCTACAGTGTGTCAGCTAAGTGCGACTGGGAAATGTCTGATGCTCTCGAGCCACCAGCCCTTCAACAAACTCACAAGTCATGAGGACGGGGTAGCGGCCGGGGGCCTTGGGGCGGTAGACGTTGGCACGCACGAGGCCCTTGCCGTCCTTCAGGGGGACATCGACGTTCTTCTCAACAACCATGTCACCCTCCTCTGTGACGGTAAGGAGGGCGTTGGCGCCGGGAACAGGCATGGGGATGGGCATTGTGTAATTGAGAAAGGGGTGACTGGAGGAGGTGACTACTCTATCTCGGAGGGGTGTGAGGCTTACAAGTGTCCTCCGTACGGCCCACATGAACTATAAGTACAACTGATACGTTGTGGCCGAGCTCGGTGCTGGGCGATGCCCGGGGGACGCTGCGTGTCGGACTGATGATGCCCCGAGCACCGAACATGTGGTCGCCTCGGTGACTTTCAGCACAGCGGATCGGATGTTCGGATTCTTCTTGTCCATCCACCGAGGGCGGTTATCTCAAGAGTTAGATTCCCGGACTCCCGGTCCTTGAGGACCGGTGTGTGCCCCACACCGAGCGCTCGGACGGCTGTATGCTGCTACACGCCCCCACAATGGGAACACGCGTGCCATATGCTGCTGCATCTATATAGCCGCAAGAGGTGCATGCAACCAACTATCTCCCAACACACACCGAAACTTCCTGCTGCAATGACCAACGAAACCGCCCCTCTCAAGGTCACCATTGTCGGTGCCGGCCTCGGTGGCCTCGCTGCCGGCCTCGCCCTCCGCCCATTCTGTGAGGTGACCATCCTCGAGTCCACCGCCTTCCTCGGCGAGATCGGTGCCGCAGTCCACCTCGGCCCCAACGCACACCGCATCCTCAAGAAGTACGGTGCCGACCTCATCGGTCACGGTGCCGTGCCTTGCAGGTCGTTCCAGGAGTGTAAGTTGCCAAGAGAGGGAAAGATGGGAGACACTTTGGCTGATCCTCATCAGGGCGTGCTAGGGATGACAAGCTCATGATGGCCTTCGAGCACGACCCTCTGGCCCAAGTCGGCATCGAGTGGGCCCTCTGCCACCGTGCCGACCTTCAGCAGGAGTTGTACGACCTGGCCATCAGCACCACTGGTGAGGGTATTCCCTGCAAGATTATCTTCAACACCTCCGTGGTCTCATGTGACGCCGACAACGCTACTGTCACCACCGCCGACGGAACGGTTTACCAGTCCGACGTGGTTGTTGGTGCCGATGGCATCAAGTCGGCTGTCCGCCCCAGCGTCATCGGCGACACCCATTTCCGTGCCGTCCCCTCAGGTCACTCGGCGTACCGTGGTCTCCTCAAGGCCGAGCACATCAACGCCAACCCTGAGCTCAAGGAGATGGGTCTTCTCAACGGTCGTCTGTTGATCGTTGACGGCGGTGACCACCGTCTCGTGTGCTACCCTACCCGCAACCAGACTCTGCTCAACTACGTTGCCATCCTCCCCGACACTGGTCTCCACGAGCTTTCGGAGGAGAAGTGGAGCGCCCGCGGTGACGTTGCTTCTCTTGTCAAGTCGTTCTCGAAGTTCCCCCAGCGCTTCCAGGACCTCCTTTCGTGAGTTCCCCTGGGGTACCCCATCACCCCCGCATTCCGCAACCATCCTTTTCTTCCCTCCACACTTCCCCACTCCTCCGCTAGGAGACCCCGCCCACCGAACAGCAGCTGACATACCAGCCTCACCGAGACCTGTGGTCTCTGGCAGCTCCGTGACCAGGACCCCCTCGACAAGTGGGTCAAGGGCCGCACCATCATCATCGGCGACGCCGCCCACGCCATGCTTCCCCACCAGGGCCAGGGTGCCTCCCAGGCCATCGAGGACGGCGAGGCGCTCTCGGCGTTCCTGCGTGGCGTCTCGGCCGCCGACGTCCCCAAGGCCCTCGACCACGTCTTCAACGTCCGTTACCGCCGCGCAACCTATGCCCAGGAGATCTCCAGGGGTGCCGGTCTCGGTGAGATGAGGAAGAAGTATGTCGCCAAGCTCGGCCAGCCCGAGGAGGACATGGACGCACCACTCAACCCCAGCCAGCACCAGAAGTTTGTGTGGGGCTACTTTGGTGCCGCCGAATGGGAGAAGACCAAGCCCGACTGGGTCATCACCGAGTAAATGGGGTCAGCGGGGATGGGAGATTCATAGCGATCATGCAGCTGGGTTCTTGTGCAGCTTTTGGCGTGCTCGCTACGTGCGCTGTCGTTCATCAGGCGTCGAGAAAGTGCACCTCGGTATGTGTAGACAGCCAAGCCCAATAAGACGAAGTCTGGCACAGCCGGTTCCGTGCGGCGAAAGGCAGATCTCAGAGCGGGAACTGAAGATTGCCACTTGCGTCAAGAGCATGTTAGTCTGTTTCACTTTCGTCGATCCCGCCACAATGTGGCACTCGACACTCTTCATCGACGATCTCTGACATCTCAACTCTTTCAACATCCTTCTGGACGATGCACATGCAAAAGCACAATGTAGCATGGCAAAAGATATACACCGTAAGGGAGTCGAACCCCTGCCGCGTCGAGATTGCACGTGGCAACGACGCATGATACCGTTTCACCAACGGTGTTTTGATATTCTTGCATTTCGCCATATGTGGATGAAACTACCTACGCTTTCTTCTTGTCCTTCCTTACAGGAACAACACATTTTAAGCACTGTGGGTACTTCAGGAACAACCCAGAGAGTATCTAATGGCCTGGGCACTGAAACAGCCCGGCACTCATTGGCTGATTGCCATGACGAGACACCTTCACGAGGGGCATCACGGGGGGCACCCCGATGTTGCACCTTTCGCTTTTTCCAGCCCCTTATCTTCACGAACTATGACATCGTAATGTAGTAACGGCAAGTCATGCAGCATAACACCAGGAATGTCGATGACTGGTCGGCCCATTTCGTTTCACACAATCATTCTCAAACTCCGATGGCTTTCATTAGTTGGGGCTTTGCAGCCGGCACAATTGCAACTCTTGCGCCTCTATAGGGAGTCTGGAAAACAATTGTTCTGCATCTGCATCGGCCTACATGTACATTGCCAACAGAAAAGTCCGTACCGCTCGCTGGTTTGAAAGGTGACCGCTAACACGTGTGGTGCCGTTGTCGCCCTTGTGACTTCCGTCATTCGTACCGTGGGGCGAGTAGCTTAACACCAATTGCACGAGCCGTGGGGGTTGTAGTGGGGAGGGTACCCCTCTTCGTGCCAGCCAGCATAGTTCTGAGAAAGATGGTGAGTAAATGGAAACTATACTGCATTTATCGGGAATTTTTCAGTATTTAAACTTACCCAGTAGCCACCGCCGGGGCGGATGAGGCAGCCGCTCCAGCGACGCCAGCCGTGGAAGAAGGAGCCACCCTTACCGCCGATGAGGGCACCGAGAAGGAGGCCAAAGGTACGCTCCTCCTGAGGCTCAGTGAGGCCGTCCGCGTCGCGCTTGGAAGCACCAGTGTACTCTCCCTCATGGAAGTTGCCAGACTTGTCCATCCAACCGCCAGGGCCGATGAGGACGTCACCCTGGACCTCGAAGAGGTCGTTCAGGCCACCAGCAGCAGCGCCGAGGGGCGAGTTGTCGCCGCCACGGGCCGTGACGGCCGAGTCGTCCATGTCGCGGCGCCACCACGACGAGTGACCGTACGGGTTGTAGCCCCAAGGGTAGCCGTACTTGTGGAAGCCATAGCAGTCCCTGGTGTTGTAAGCATGGCATCCTGGAGCGCTATTGAAGTGTACTCACCACCAACCTCCCCTAGGGCGGATGATGCAGCCGTTCCAGTAGCGCCAGCCGCTAAGGCAGAAGCGGGCCTTGCCGAAGAGGAGGGCCCCAAGAAGGAGGCCACGCTCCTCGACGTTAGGGGAGACGTCCGCCTCGCGCTTGGCGACACCGGTGTACTCGCCCTCGTGGAAGTTGCCCTGCTTGTCGAGCCAGCCCCCAGGACCGATCAGGACGTCGCCCTTAACCTCGAAGAGGTCGTTGAGACCGCCAGCAGCGGCACCGAGAGGCGAGTTGTCGCCGCGGGCGTCCAGGTCGGCGTCACGAGCAACAACAGCATTGTCATTGAGCGGAGCGGCGCTCGTGAACGCAAGGAGCGGGAGAAGGAGAAGGGCCACCTTGGAGGGAAGCATTGTGTCAGAGTCGAAGTTGGTAGGCGAGAAGATAAGTGTGGTGTCTGCTGGAAAGTTCTTGATGGGATGAGGGCCTCCAGACGTGCAAATGGACCCCTTATATACCTTTCAGAGCAATGAGATGATTGGCAACATGTGTATCGTGCTAACGGTGTCGGAACATGTCATCAGCAACGACTGCTGCGCCCCCGTCCAGTGACTGTCCACTACGCGTTCTCAGTTCCGTCCGCCATTGCCAAGCGCAACAGTTGTTTCCAATCGCTCTCCCGCGAGATGAGGATGTACCTTCTTGTTGTGGGAAGCCGTTCCCGTGGTCCCCGGAAGTCTTGACCTGAGGCTCGCTGACCCGTTCGAGGAACAACACATGGATGATGGAGTGCTGGCCGCTGCGGCTCGGTGGAGCCACAATCCAGCCTTTGCGTCGAGGCCACAATCTCATCTCTCCCGCGGCCGTAACAGCGAAATACACCCTATATTGTCTGTAACTGCTGGAAACCGCTTGTTCAGGTTAGACTGGTTCGCCAATATGTGAGGCAGGCCAGGTGAAAGTCAGCAAGACCAGTGGAGTAGTGGCCGAACATTGACGGCGATGAACACGGCGGACGGCCCAGCAAATCCTAGGTACCCGATTGCAGGATTGTACGAGAGACACACCTAGTGCCTTATCGCGTGTAACAAAACCGATACCGAGAACGGGACGCGCGTCCGCGCATGCAGACTGGTTAGCCCGATGTCCAAACAGCGGCTTGCTTGGCACGTTTCAGTTGTTGCTACTGGGCGCTACTCGCCAATACACCATCGCCCACTAGTGCTCCCAGCCTTTCAGGCGATGAACACGGACTGTCGTGATCATTGCGTCTCGGCGCTCCCCGCCGCTTGGCTCCGATAGAAGGCGCGTAATGAGACTAGAACCGGCAACGCAGACCCCTAGAATATGATTGCGGCCGACCAGTGCAACGGTCCCACTGTTATCGATATGGAGCGCTTTTCAGGCGGCCAGTCTTCCTTTACTGCGCACTGAAATGCCTGGTGATCTTGCCGGAGACTCGGGCTTGAGAATACAACAGCGTGACGATCCGCATACTTTTGTGTTGTGAGGGTATCTACGATCCGCAGCAATCCGCAGTTCCAGCACCAGTGACCGTTCACTGACCAACCTTGAGGTCTGTCATGAACGTCGACCCTCCCGTCTTTCCGTCCCTTGCGTTAATATGTAGCAACCATGAAGACGGCGTGCTTTACATTGTCCTGTGCACCACATGACGTTCATTGCATATCCTTCACTGTTACTATGCATTGCCACCAGCTGAGCGCCTGTCTTTCCAAGAGCGTTGTGTCAGACGGAGGTGCGGGCGGGAGTGAAACTGCCGTAAACAGCACTGTTCCGTCTAGATCCGCCAAGATAACGGCACAGTTCACTGGAACGAAACCGTATCTGCATATCGTCCTGAACCTGTCCTGTTCTTGCCACTAGTGGTCTTTGAGGGATGTTGTGCCAGACGGTCTGGGCGCAAGTGTACCTCGCAGCCCCCAAGCTAGCCAACTGGCCCGTTCCAACGTAAGGATAACGCTGGAATACTACCTGCTGTGCCTGCTGAAGGATCGGATCTAATGTTCATATATGTGGGCAGTCATGTTCAGGTGGACATGCGGTAGCAGGTTAACGAGTGCTGCCATCACATGGGCCTGGCGAACGTTGAAGCCCACCCAGCCACCTTGCCCAAGGTATTTTGCAACTCCACAACTGCCAAACAGCGTGCCATCGTCAGCCGAGATCGTTCACCCAGCCATCATAGACGTTTCTCGTAAACAAACGCCACTGGCCGCGAGATATTGGGTCCGCAGTGCCAACTAAGAGCAACAGCGACACCGACCTCCTTGATCAATGTATCACATCGCAGCTCACAGGATCACAGACCACCACACGCAGGTCACCATGCCATCCCCCCACCCAAGTACCTTTGTGCGGAACCCCAAGTCATGAATGATGATCAGGTTCGGGATCGGCTCCGACGGGCACCGCCGGCAGCGGCCTGCTGGCCGTTGGCCGGATCCTGTGGCGTGCACTGCAGGAATCCGGAGAGTGCGTAGAATCCGGAGGCGAACGGTCCGGAACTCGGAACTCGAAACTCGGGAGCGAGGAGTGTGAGCGACCCGAAGAGGCTGGAATGGTGTTTGGCATGCCATCATGACGTGGTCAGGGAGCTGGGGTTGTGCCGTTCTCGCTTCGATGATGGTGTTGCTATCAAGTCTCCGCGGTACGGCCAGCTGCCACCTCGCACCTCGTACTCATTGGGTGCTGCGGTGGCTGAGGAAGAGCAGGTTGTCCACTGCCCACGGGCGATGCCACCTCACCTACAGTCCGGAGCGGAGATTGGGATCCCTGCGAGAGACAGAGCATGCCGAGTACGAACGCAATGGGCGCTGGGTTCCTCCGGGAAACAGTCCGCATAGGCCACGGGAGAGGTGGCTCCCACTGCACGTGTGGCTCCTTGAGCAGCACTTGGTCAGGGTGAGAATGTCGCTCCGTTTTAGAGTGATGCTGAGATCCATGTGCCCCATGGGAAGATGGCTGATGAACCACTACAGCCACGGGCGATTGTTGTAAACACGACAGCGCGTGGTCTGTAGTGGGCGTGCGGTAGCCAATGTGTGAGACAAGTTTCCCAGATAGTGGTACCAAACAGACAGGAACAGCATACCAGTGGCTTTGGAAACTGCAGCCCCGACGTTGTGGACTCAACCATAGCCCACTTGCGGTTCTCATCAGCAGGAGGCACTGCATTGTTCATGTCCATAGCTTCCTGTTCCTCGAGTGCTGTACCGTTGCAGGAGCAGCCCGCCCACTGGATGGACGCCATCATGTGCAGTGAGCAATGCGACCACATATCCGGCAGTGATGACGATAAGGTTTGCTTGGCGCCTGGGCGAAACACACCGGGTTTTGGCTGGGCTTCCTCCAACGGCAACCATCGGGACCACCACATGACACCCACATGTCAGAAGTAGCAAGTTTGGGCTGTCAGGTACCCTGCATGCGCTGCCGATGCACTCGTCATCAACACACCGAGCCCGCTGAATCCATGCCGTGCTTGCTTGATTGCTTGCTTGCTGGACACTGCGGGATGCGGAATGCCGTACACCCGGGATCAAACCTCCAGCATCCCGTTGTGGCGGGTCATTGTTAATGTCCCGCTCAAGTGTGAGAAGAAATGGCTAGTCCTCCGTTCAGACTTCCCGGCTGCGCGGAGATGTGTGCGGTGGGGACTCATTGGCAAAGAAATGGAGTGGTCGACGTCAGCTGCGCTCCAGGCAAGTTTACGGGGTCTCCATGGTCGCCGATATGAGCTGCCACATCGCCCACCCTGCTATAGAGATTGCGCATGCGTTGTCACCAGGTTGTCAGAGTCGACTTGAGTGAGTCAAGAACAGTTGCCCATGGTTCCAGGACCTGGAGTGGCTGCATATACTTGCTCCCTTCTCTTCTTCTTCATTTACAACGCCGGGCCGTACTCGCACTGCAAGTCCGTTTGCCGGTTCTCGTGACCCCCGAAAGAGACATCGTTTAGATACCGAGGAGGTTGGCCACGTAGTCGACGTCCTTGTCACCACGGCCCGAGAGGTTGATGAGAATGGTCTCGTCCTTGCCGAGGGTAGGGGCAGTCTTGATGGCCCAGGCAACGGCATGGGCAGACTCGAGGGCGGGGATAATACCCTCCACACGCGACAGCGTCATGAACGCGTCGAGCGTCTGCTTGTCGGTGGCTGACTGGTAGTCGACGCGGCCCAGGTCCTTCAGGTAACTGGACGTGAGTCAGCACATGCTTTTACGAGGTATTTCCTCCACAGCTCCTCTCTGCTCACCTGTGCTGGGGCGCGACACCAGGGTAGTCGAGGCCAGACGCAATCGAGTGGACGGCCGCAGGGTTGCCCTCGGCGTCCTCGAGCACGTAGCACTTCATGCCGTGGATCGCGCCGGGCTTGCCCTTGGTGAGCGTGGCCGCGTGTTGACCGAGGGTCTCAATGTCCTTGCCAGCTGGCTCGACGCCGATGAGGTGCACATCGTCCTGGAGGAAGGCGGTGAACATGCCCATGGCGTTGGAGCCACCACCGACGCAGGCAACGATGTGGTCGGGCAGCTTGCCGTTGGAGGCAAGGAACTGCTCGCGCGCCTCGCGACCCACGATGGCCTGGAAGTCGCGAACCATGGCTAAGGACGTCAGTCACGGGATGTTCCCTGTTCGCAACCATCCAGTAGACTTACCAGGGAAGGGGTGGGGGCCGACGACACTGCCGATAGCGTAGATGTACTCGGTGGGGTCCTTGAGGTACTCCTCAAAGGCGCTGTCGACGGCCTCCTTGAGGGTCGCCTGGCCAGCAGTGACTGACACGAGCTTGCAGCCCAGAATCTTCATCTTGGTGACGTTCGGGTGCTCCTTCTCAATATCCACAGCTCCCATGTGGATCTCGCAGGGGATACCCACAAGAGCACAGGCAGTCGCAAGGGCAACACCGTGCTGGCCCGCACCAGTCTCGGCGATCACCTTCTTCTTGTTCATGAACTTGGCCAGGAGAGCCTCACCAAGGCTGTAGACGTCAGTAACAAAAGTTGCAACACACAAAGGACATACCAGTGGTTGATCTTGTGCGCGCCCGTGTGGTTGAGGTCCTCGCGCTTGAGGTAGATCTGGGCGCCGCCGAGCTGCTCGCTGAGACGCTTGGCGTGGAAGATGGGCGAAGGGCGGCCAACGTAGGTGGCATTGAGGTCGGCGAGCTCCTTCTGGAACTCTTCGGTCTTGGAAATCTTGTCATAAGCCTATTTTGGTGTGAGGGTTAGCGAATGATAACAAAAACAAATGGGGTGTGTTGTGTTGCCCACCTCGCTGATGTCGTCCATGGCCTTTTTGAGATGGGGAGGGACAAGCTGGCCGCCGTAGGGGCCAAACATGCCCTCCGCATCGGGCATAGCCGCAAATTCAAACTTGGCTTGGGTCATTTTTGCAGTGTGTCCTGGCTGGTTTAGAAGGTGGACGAGAGAGATGAAGGGTGACGCGACAAGCGCTTGCACCCAGCGTGGCTGGGTCGAGTCGTGTGGGTGAAACGGGCCGTCGGGAAAGCTCCCGATCCGATCGAGCCGATCAGCAGCAGAGAGAGATCCTGGGTCCGTCTTCCTACGAATAACCTTTAACTGGTAAGTCCCCACGGGGAGCCGTGGGGAACTGTCACAACCCCATCGACGCGCCTATGTCCACACCCAAGCCTTCAGGCCTACCCACAGCTTCAGGCCTGTAAGTTGTAGTCTGGAAGCAGCCTAAGAGCCGCGTTGTCTTGTTTGGATACATGCCAGGAGCGTTTGTTTGTGCATTTCCAAGAGCTGATCGTCTAAACGGAACCTAAGACACTTAGGGCCGTTATCGTATCCCTGCATCCTGTGCACACGCGCAGGAGGTGTTGCCTCGCGCACATGCGGAAACCAGTCCGCCATATGCGCATATGCCCTGTTGGAGCACATGGGTACACGCAGGTCTGACGAGAACAGTACAATAGCCTTTTGGTACTGAGCAACATCGCGGTCGCCGTCATCGCTTTATGGGAAGTCGTTGGGGGACAGTGCGCTGAAACTTCGCAGTCCTTTCTCAAGCCAGCCCGCATGCGTCTCGAGAGCAACAACACCACGCTCCTGTACCACCTCCTGAGGCGTTCCAACGCCGTTCCAACGCCGTTTCACAGCCACTTCTCTCTCGCTGCATGTCTGGTGTGTCTGGTTGGCCATGGTAGGACACTAGCACACTAGCACGACTGATTCCAGGACGTGTTGTTGACACGACGCGTTGATGTTTACAGCATGTACTGTATACATGTTTGAGCAATACATTCCCGCTACTGGGGCTGGCTCTGATATTACAGGAAAAAAAGTTGGTCGTCCCTGTTGTTGTTGTTGATGTTGCAATTCAAACGAATGATGCTTGTTCTGTCGGCTTGCCGCCATCCCCCACGGTACCACGGTCTTGGCACGCTAGGCTCAATGATCAAATGTCTAGCCTAATCTCATACGCTGAGACATGCTAACCCTGGGCTCACCACAGCGACGGTCTCACCACACTGCTCCAGCCTCCAGCCCTGCTACCAAAAAACCGCCACAGGCACTACAGCGAGAAGCTCCAAATCCGGCTTCTCAATCGTCCACCAAGTATATACACCCTACTGCGAGGCCGCATCCGGCTGTCCCACACTGCCTTTCACTGTCTGTCCTTCTCTCTCCCATCGACTCCCATTCACACCTTGATTTCTACCACTCTTCTTTCCACACGGGCCGATCTGTCTCGAGCTCGATTTCTTTGGCAACAACAACATGACCTCCCCGGCTACTTGCGTCACACCTTCTTCCTCCTTTAGCTTCTCACAGCCCCGCCCCACCTTGCTCGACACTTCTCCGGCAAACGAGCGCCCCCGTACAATGTGGACACGTCTTGCTGGTGAGCATCCATGCACACGCACTGTCAATGCGCTGGGCTACATGGTTCTTGCACATGTCCATGCCGCCGCCACCACCCCCCTTGCGCTGCAATGGTCGCTCGGTTACCACCGCCTCTACGGCCCCTGACCCACTCCCAGAACGCATCGACGGAGCAATGGTCGTTTCAGCACCCTGGCTTGAGCGTCGTGAGTACAATCTCAACGGGTTTTGGGGGGAGACTGTTAGCAACATGCACGCGCTGACCATCAGACTGCCTGGGAGTGTATGTCGTCACGGCCACGGCGGGCTGGCTCGCTGCAGGTGCGCTCTGGATGGCGGCCTACTGCGGATTCGTTCACCAACTGTAAGTAACTCTGGCTCTGCGCTGCACAGGGGGGGGGGGGGGGGGCGTGAAATGGCTGTCTTCCCCCCTCGGTGGCCCCGGCGACTGCTGTGCTGATACGTCTCAGGTGGGCGGCACCTGCAGGAAACATGGCCCTCGTCGGTGCGCTCGGTGCGAAGGGCCTGCTCGTGCTCGCAGCGGAGCGCCGCAAGGCGATAGTCTACGCCCTGACAGCAGTGCTGGGCTGGACGGCGGGACCATACGGCCTCTACCTCGCCATTCGCGACGAGTCTCTCATGTAAGTAGCAGGTAGTAGGCTGACTAGGATTGAGATCGTCCTGAGCTCCAGCTGACCACAACAGTCTTCCTGGCGCCGCCTGCCTGCTCCTCCAGCTCGGCTACCTGAGCGTGCGTGGCCTCGTCAAGCTTTCCATCTCGCCGTCCGCCTCGATCCGCCTTCCGGATGTCGAGCAGCCCGCTCCGTCTGACAAGGGCGTGGAAGTGACCGTGCAGCGCGAATACGAGCAGGACCCGCTTCAGTTTTGGACCAGGATGGCGCAGTAAGCAAAGCGAGAAGGCAGGCGAAACTCGCACTCTGGACATTTCATTCGACTTTCTGTAACATGTACCCAAAGGACACTCATTACGTCACACGCTCCCCATTCATGTAGACAGCCACATGCTATAATTGACTATTGTACGAACTCATGTTCCCCAGTACCTCCGCCGAACCTCACGGATCACCAAAATGTTTGAGTCGGGTGTAAATTCTTCGGGGGCGTCACAGCCAAACTTTGTGTAGCTCTCTCAGCCGGATGGCATAGTGCTCGCCATCTGCTGTCACCCCACCATGTCTCGCGCGTGCCGCACGCTCAATGCTGCCTGGCGACAAGTGGGGGAACATGAATGAATGCGACTGCGGCCTGTCTCACGAGCGGTTTTGGTGATCGCAACTCACCGCATTCGGCGTGGTGACGGATGACGTCATGAACGGAGATGATCCAAAGTCCGAAAACCACAGGTCACGTGATTTCCCCTGGCGTTGCACGTTGCCGCCACAAGTCTCCATAACCAGGCGTACAGGCGTGCGGGCGCGCTGCAATTGTTGCATGGTGTGTGGCCCAAAGCTCGACAAGGTAAGCTCGTCGCTGTTCGTGGCCTGTTGGTGACCCATGTTGCCCGAGGCCCTTCGAAAGGGCTCCCCTGGGGGAAGTCCCTAGAACAACAACTACCCACTATCTCTTATAGCTCGACGCCTATCCTATACAGCCTGGTCGTTGCAGCGGACCGCACATGGTTGCTGGTGGAGCAGAACATGGTCGGCACTGACTGCTACACACGCATATAGGGTACACAGGCCATGCTGGCCACAAGTTAGGCTTCTGTCATACATCTTGCTATCATTACTAGCTGCGACAATACGGTGACTAAGAATTCGACTGCAAATTGGCCGCGGGCGACTTGCCACACGGACGATCTGTGGTATATATGGTGGTGCGCTCTCTGGCTTATGCCTTCGTGTAGACGAACGGCTTGGCAATCGCGTCCCTGCCCTCTGGCAGTTCAGTCTTGCCGTCACCGTGCTTGGCGAAACGGGGGTCGGTGGCGGGGTAGATGGGCTGGTCGCTGGGCCACGGCCAACCGCCAAACTGGGTGCGACGGTACTCTGCAAAGCCCTCCTCGAGCTCCTTTTGCGTGTTCATGACGAACGGGCCGTGCTGGGCGACGGGCTCGCCAATGTCCACACCCTGGAGCACGAGGATGCGCGCCGGCTTGGGGCCGTTGGTGATGGTCAGGCGCTCCTTGGGAGCCTCCTGCAGGAAGCCGTTGTTGTCCGAGACGGCCGTGCCGGAAATGTCGACGACGGCACCGGGCTGGTGCACGTACAGCAAGCGCTGGGTGGTGTCGAGGTTGCAGGCTGGGAGCTTGATGCTGGAGCGCGGCTCCATCTCGATGAGCCAGATGGCGACGTCCGACTCGGGGTCCGCGGCGTACGAGTTGACGGGTGGGGGTGCTGGCTCGACGTTGTCAAACTTGCCGGCCATGACACGGACGGTCGCGACGCCATAGTTGTTCTCGCGCCTGACGATGGGGGTCTTTTCCTTCCAGAGCATCCAGAATTCCGGTGGCGACAGCTTCTTGGCACTGGGGAGGTTGAGCCAGACCTGATACAGCTCGAACGTGTTGCCCTTGTCCTTGTGAACAAGGGGGAACATTTCAGAGTGCGACACTCCGCGGCCGGTAGTCACCCATTGGGTGTCGCCTGCGCCATAGCGAGCGCCAGCGCCAGTCGAGTCGGCGTGGTCGACGTAGCCTTCCATGCACACCGAGACAGTCTCAAAGCCGCGGTGGGGGTGGGCAGGGAAGCCTGGAACGGTCTTGCCGTGGTACATGTTCCAGCCGGTACCAAGGTCGTTGCTCATGTCCATGCCGATGTTGCGGCCCTTGAGGAGGGAGGGGTCGGGGCCAAGGTTTGCCTCACCCTTGGGATAGGTGTCACGGTGGTGGACAACGAAGATGAAGGGGCCAACTCCACGCCAAGGATGTCCAAGGTCGACAACCCTGCCGAGGTGCTTGGTTACGGGGTTCATTATGTTGAGGTTTGGGTGCTGTGTGGGTTTGGTGGGGATGTGGTGGGGTGCTGTGGGGGTCTGCTGGTGATGTGTTCGAACTGAGAAGATGGGATGTTGTAACAAACGTACACGTTGTATTTATACTGCCAAGCGATGCAAGTGACCGTTTGCCAGTGTGTTCTTTTATCTTTTCTGCTGATGGGAGTATGGGAGCGGCGCGTCATCCTGGTTGCCGAGCTTTGCTTGCTAGGGGCGGACTGGCCAATGAATGAGTCACCGTTCCCGTGTTTGCCAGATCCGACGGAAGCACGACGGTATGTCAACGCACGCGAGTTTTGCGTGGAAGCCACACGTTCAGGAACTTTTGAAAAGGCCACCGTCGGAAGGGGTCCCCAAGTTCATGGCTCGCGTGAACCATGACAAACCGCCAACAGCTTGACACCTGCACCTAACAATATGAAGGACAGTCCGGTAGGCTACGAGGTTTAATAGAAGAGTGAGGTGACCACAATGTTCCCACCTAAGCGTAAAGCATGTACGACAACGAATGCTGTGAGCCTCACCTCCCAGCTGACGTCAGACATACGGATGGCAGGTGGGTCGTTCCAATCTCGGATCTCTCAAGCCGATATACCGAGTGGCCGTTGTCAGCTCCTCTGTAGCCTCCGTGTCCGTGTCCGTGTCCGTGTTCCCCAGTGTCCTTGCGTCCTCGACCATCACATCCCACACATCATTGTGGAGATGTGAAGCGCGGAATATCCATGCTGAATGGACATCGCAGCCACAACGGCTATGACCGAGACTGCCCACCTCGGCAACCAACAACGCCGCACATCCGGCACGGGCGTCTCGGTGAGCACACTTCCCGGAGTCCGCCTTTGTACCCCGCCAACATAAAGGCTGGGGAAAAGGGCCCCGGCGTTGTTGCACTCTTCGCTACCTTCCCACCAGCCAACACGATGCTCCAGCCGTGCACCTTTGCCGATCTCAAGAAGCGTGAGGGCCCTCCTCTCAACGCATGGGGCCTGTTCGGCGCCGACAACGAGTATGGTTGTCTCAACTTCATCACCGATGTGGCCGTTAAGCGTGGCCGTGACTCGGTCCAGCATGGCCTCCCAATCAACCTGAAGTGAGTGTCCGTGTGTAAATGAAGGGCTTGGTCGTGGGAAACAGTCGAATGCGCTCTCGCCAATGGCACGACTGATTTACCGCGCAATTCACCGTTTGCACGCTTTGCCGGCGTTCACATCTCCAACATCCTAGCGCCGTTCGTCGAGAGAGACACTATAGCAAAGACGGGGGACAGTGCTGACTACCTAGCCTCCCCCTCACAAACTTTCCCCCCGTAAACCCCAAACGCGGAGGATGCACACACAAGATTCTCAACTACCACAATTACATGGACGATGAAGTCAATTTCAACACGCAATGCTCTACGCAATGGGACGGGTTTAGACACGTCGCGTATCAGAACTACCCCGAGGGCTCCGTGACATTCCACGGCGGCATGACGCCCGAGGAAGCTGCCGATCCGAGCAACATCAAGTATGGAACTGGCCGTGAGTTACCACTGAACCAGCTCTCAACTGGGAACGAGCGTAGCTGACAACCCACCAGTCTTTGCCAAGAAGCCGATCACGACCCGTGGCATCCTGCTCGACATTCCTCGCTGGCTGGTGAAGAAGGGCCTCCCCCCTCTGGACCCGCTCACCCAGAAGACGCCGATTACTCTCGAGATGCTCAAGGGCTGCGCAGCCGACCAGGCAGTCAAGTTTGCCCCCGGAGACGTCCTGATCGTTCGCTCGGGATGGACTGAGGCCTTCCTGGCCCTCACCGACGAGGAGCGTGCCGAGTACAACCCTCTCCTGGGTTGTATTGGCGTCCAGGCCTCCGAAGAGGTCATGGAGTGGCACTGGGAGAATGGCTTCGCGGCCGTCGCCGGCGACCAGTGCGTACATCCAGCCCCCCCCCCCCCCCCCTCCCTTGAGGGATGTAATGTTGACAAAGACCCAGGTTCGCGTACGAGAGCTGGCCGCCCAACATTCCCAAGGAGCTGGCAATCCACGAGGTGTTCCTTAGCGGCTGGGGATGCCCGCTCGGTGAACTCTGGGACCTCCGCGAGCTTTCAGCAAAGTGTGCCGAACTGAACCAGTACACCTTTTTCCTGACCACCATGGCCCTCAACATTGACGCGGGAATTGGCACTCCCGTGAACGGCCAGGCCATTCTTTGATTGTAGTGATGCTGTATGCTGTGTACCAGTGACACATCCCGGGTAGTTCGTATTAAGAAATGTAGACAAGAAGTCCAAACGCACAATGGTGCACGTCGAGCCGTCCCATGGACACCCGACCACACAGTCAGGTAATTCCTGACCCACAACCATTATGACGTCACGGCCAGCTCTCCCATAAACTGTACATTGTCAGTCCATTCTGCGGCTGTTGGTTGAGCATGTTCAAAGGGCTCCACGGTGCCATAGATCCAGAGACACAGCAGATATCCCAGGGGGACCAGAGGATGCAGCGGAGACACTTTGCGGACAACGGCACACGAGTGGAGTTTGCTCCAAAAGTGACTGTGGCCCGCTTCAACCTTCGGAATGTGCAACGCGCTAAATGTAGCACCGCATCGTCCACATTCATCACATGAGTGGCATGAGTGGGCAACGACGCGCTAGCAGCTATAGCATACAGGCCAAGAGAGCTTCAGCGCTACGTAACCGTCCCGCACGGGCCTCGCATTTGATTATCCACAGGCCACAGATCCCACAAAGCAACAAGACCATGGCGCCTGTGCCAAAGTACGCCATCAGCTCATGTCAGGCTGCCAGGCCTGCATTGTCGGGATGGACGCCGAGAGTTATGCGCTGCACGTTGTGCACAACACAGATCACGAGCTTGGCGCGTGTGTCTCCCCGGTTGCATGTTCCGGAATGCAACACGGCACTCGTGCCGGATGACCCGGATAAGGACACGCTGAACACGGTTCAACATTCACCGCCGTCGCGGCACCACACTTTCAATCCAGAAGCATAAGACCCCCCCAGCACACGAGATCTCTCCCGCATCGCACCCTTTCTCCACCTGTTTTACCATTGCTCACATCATCTCACTCATCCAACATAGGTAGCCAGCCATGGCGAAAGCGCACATGTTCTCATCGGGCCTAGAGACGCATGGGAACGCCGTAGACAACCCGGTTGTCGTGATGGAGCGGAACGACTCGACGGACAAGCGCGATAACGCTGATATCGCCAACATCCACGATGCAGAGATCGCACATGAAAGCGAGCTTCCCGAGGGCCCGACTGTGACACGCTGGGAGGAGTGGTCGTACTATCTCTACTACGTGAGTGTGGTGAATACTCAAGTTTGCCGCTGACACCTCAACAGAACGGTGATAAGTGAGCGTCACACGCGTCCGTCCAGTGTGCTAACGAGCAGCGGTGTTGGACCCATTGGCTATGCTGCGACACAGTTCCAAGTAAGCATCTATGCACCGGAAGGATCTACTCTAACAGCGTAGAACCTGCTCAACTCGGCTGGACACGACCCCGCCACGGGCGAGGCTTGCAGCACTGAAAGCTGTGTTCTTCGCTTTGCTGGCAAAGACCAGAGCATTGCCAGCATTGTGCTCATTGCCAACGGCATCTCGTTTGCAATCATGACTGTGCTTCTTACCACCATTGGATCCTGTGCGGACTATGGAAGCTGGAACAAGTGGATCCTCATTGTCGCCTCTGTCGTGTGTTGGGCCACCCAATACGGATTCCTGGGTGTTACCGACTCGAGCCAGTGGAACACGGCCATGGGCCTCTACATTATTGGCTTTATCACGTATGGTATCACTCTGGTCTTCTTTGCGAGTGTATTCCCAATTCTGGCTCGAAGCACCAAGCGCACCAAGGACGCGCGGCAGAAGCTGGACGATGGCCTGAGCGATTCGACAGAGTACGAACGCGTCGAGATGCTCGAGCGTAACCGCCTTTCGAACATTTCCACTGCCCACTCCAACTGGGGTTATCTCTTCACGATGGCCCTGAACCTCTCTCTTCTCCTCCCGTCCTCCATCGCCAACAACCCAAACGTCAACAACTACGTCCTCGCGTTCACAAACTCGTACTGGGTCGTGCTCGGTCTCCCGTGGTTCTTTTTGCAACAGAACCGCCGCGGCCCTCCTCTTCCCAAGGGGGAACACTGGCTCACCATCGGGTGGAAGCAGATCTGGAACGCGCTCAAGCAGTACCGCCGCCTCCCATTCACGTTCATCTACCTCTTCTCGTTCTTCCTCCTTGCTGACGGTACGTCGTGCCGGATCCTACGTTGTTGCTGACGGATACAGGCCTCAACACGACTGGAAGCATGGTCTCGATCGTGCAGAACGACCACATCCAGTTCTCCTTCCTCACGAGCACGTACCTGGGTCTGGCTCAGGCGGCGACATCGATCACCTCGTGCTACGCTTACTGGTATCTGCAAAAGTGGAAGGCCATCAAGACCAAGCGCATGTTCCAGGTCACCAATGTCATCACCGTGTTCATCCCATTTTGGGGCATGCTCGGACTGTGGACTAACAAGATCGGTTTCCGCAACACGTGGGAATTCTACGCCTACAACGTTGTCTTTGGCCTCGGCCAGGCTCCGTACTATGCCTATTCGCAAACAATGATGTCGGACCTCACCCCGCCCGGATTTGAGGGAAGTGAGTAGCTCGTCGACCCCGCTAGCGTCACTTGAGCTAACTAGGGCAGTGTTCTTTGGCCTCTTTGGTATCACCAACCGCGCTTCGTCTCTCATCGGCCCCAACGTGTGCAGTGCAATCATCAACCGCTCCGGCAACCTGCGTGACCCGTTCATCTTCCTCTTTGTCCTCTGTCTCCTTGCAGCTCTTGTCATCACCTTCTTCGTTGACATGGAGAAGGGCCGCGCTCAGGCGATCGCCTTCTCAATTGAGGAGCGTGGTATGACCAACGAAGTACGTGTCGAGCAGGTCTCGGACGTCATTGGTGCGGGTGGTCTTCACAAGCGCGATGCCGAGGTCCACCACGATGACCAAGTCTCGCACCCAGTCATTTCCTGAGCTCCTTATGTCGTGAATGGACACTGGTTAGGTATTGTAGTGGAGAAGTCGCTTTAAACGTCGTGCTCCTCTGTAGTGGATACGAAATGACATGGAATCTACCTCTGTATCGGTCATGTTCGGGGCAACACCTTCCTGCCGCCGTCCCAGTATGGCGCTTGCCACCTCTCGAGCCCAAACCGCTCGTAGAACCCCTTCATCCCAACCCAGTCGATAAAGCAGCCATCTGCGCCGCGAGCCTCGAGGTCCTGCAAGGCTGAAGCGCATATGCCAGTACCAGCTCCGGTTCCGCGAGCCTTGACCGACACGCCAACACACGCGATAGCCGCACATTGCTTGCCTGTTGCGGTCAGCCTCCAGATCCGGCGACAAGTCAGAAATCCACGCCGCACTGCTCACCGAGGGTTGCAGGCCACGCGAGCACGTCGTGGAGTGGGGAAGGAGCGAGCGCAGCCAGGGTCGCACCAATGACCTCGCCGTCGCGGCTGAACGCCAGGTGGATGTCGCCGGCCTTGCCGGCCGCAAAGAACCTGGGGAACATGTCCGGCCATCCCTGTAGTTAGTACGACAGAGCAACGGAGGTCGAACTCACAGTATACGAGTCAAATTCCTTCTCAAGCACCATGACTGCGGCCTCGTCATCGGGGTTGGCAGGTCGGAACGTGATCCCATGGGCCTTTGCGTCCTCTTTCCACTGCTCTTGGTCGACGCCAGTAGGGACGCGACCGTACAGGTCGATCGCCTGGCTGCCAGGGAACGTCCAACCGCGCTTGGTGAACCATTCTTTGGTTGGCTTCAGCTCATCCAGCACCGGGAGACCGGGAAAGATGCGCGGAAAGATGGATCCGAGCTGCAGTTCCCCCTCGGTCGGCGGTGGTGTCGAGCGGGCAAACGATGACTGGACGCTCACCTCGAGTGACGTCAGCGCTGCGTCGTGCAGCGCACCTCCGACCCCGCAGCCGCGATGGCGTGGATGGACCACGAGCGCCGCCAGCGAGCCCTTGTAGTGCTGGGCAGCGGGGTTACCTTCGCCTCCTGATCGGATGAGGTAGGTGAGCGCAAAGCCCACTGGCTCGTCGGATGCGTGGAGTCGCGCGACAAAGACAGTTGCAAGCGGAGCTGAGAGCAGCGACTCAAAGGTAGCGGGGGGCAATGAGTAGGCAGCATTCACGCTTGCAAACCCTTTCTCCCAGATATCGTGCAGCGCACTGACGTCGCCTGTATGCTCAGTGACCGTGATGGACATGGTGGATGTTGTAACGAAGCAACTTCTACGCCACGCCGGTTGAGTGTCAATATGGTGTGTTGCGGTCAAAACGCCGTCATCGCTCGACTTCCGGCAAACTTGTCCGGCAATTTGAGTGCTGGACGCACTGCTCTGTCCTTTGACTTTGCACATTTCCCAGACGTCGCAAGCGGTATGGAACGCCTGCATTCTCGGACCGCGTCGATCAGATCTTGTCCACATGACAGATTGGCCGCATGCGGGAACCGACGCCGCCCCGTGGCCGCCTTCGATAACAATGGTGAACCTGACATGGAGGGTCGTGGCTGCTGCTCGCGAACAACTGCTCTTCTGAAGACATGCCAATCTCTATGTTCCTTGTCCTAGCCGTGTCTGGAATCCACTATTGGAGAGTCTCGGCCATGCCAAACCAGCGCATGCTCGCCAAGACGTTCCATAACCAGTTCTATGCCAATACTTTCCTGCACGAGTCAGCTCGGAGCATCGACAGCAGCATCACCTGGCAGCATCCCAGTATGCGCTCTCCCATTGATGCAGTCCAAATCGCTCGTAAAAGTTCTTCATCCGGACCCAGTCGACAAACACGCCATCGGCTCCACGAGCCGTGAGGCCTTGCATTCCCTCTGCAACGAGAGTGACACCGGCACCCTTGCCCCGAGCCGAGTGGGAGACGCCAACGCATGAGATGGATCCGCACCGCTCGCCTGACGATACAGATTAGCTGATGAAGGCGCTCGGAGCAGCTGAACCACTTACCCAAAGTGCATGGCCACGCTAGCACGTCGTGAATCGGAGACCCAGGCATGGCCACGATTGCGCTGCCTATGATGACGCCGTCTGTATCCACAGCGACGAGGATATCGCGATGGAACCCGCCAGTGAGGAACCTGAGGAACACGTCCACCCAGCCCTGTGGTCAGCCATGATCGCCTGGCACCTACTCACCGTGTAGTCTTCAAAGTTGTCGCTCTGCAGAGCCATGATCGCCTCATTGTCGGCCGGCGTCGCTGGGCGGAACGTGATGCCGTTCTGCACCGCAGCCACCTTGAACACCTCCTGGTCCACACTCGTGGGCAGCTTGCCGTACAGGTCAATCTGCATGTCGCCGTCGAGAAAGTTCCACCCGCGTTTGGTGAACCACGCTCTTGCGCGTTCCATAGCCGGCATACCAGGCAGGCCAGGGAAGATGCGGGGCACAATCGAGCCAAACATGATCTCGCTGTGCGCGGCAGGTGGGGTGGAGCGAGTGAGCGAGTCCCGGACCGCTGGCTCGAGGTACGCCAGCGCTGCATCATGCAGTGCCGTGCCGGCCCCTTGGCCCTGGTACGCATCGCTGACGACGAGAGCAGCTAGCGTGCCCTTGTAGTGCTGTAGCTTTGGCGATGACGAGCCGATGCGCACAAGGTATGTCAGCACAAAGCCCGCCACCTCACCGCTTGCAGCTGTAGATATGAACACCTTGGCCAGAGGTGTGTTGACTAGTTGGTGGAGTTTGGCTGCTGGAAGGGAGAAGGTCGGGTGTAAGCTAGCGTAGGCCGACTGCCAGATGGCGTGCAGCGTAGCAGTACTCGCGCCAGGAGTGTACGTCGAGATCGTAAAGGACATCGGATGGGGAGAGTAGTAGAGGAAGTACTGTTGTGTATGCTGAGCGTGGCAGATTGTAAAACGATTCAAAACGATGGAACTTGTTCATCGACAAGCGGTTCTTGCTCTCCATCGGCTCACGGCTATAGTGACATCGCAACCGACGTCATGGGGTACTGGATACCCATCTCCAAGCTTCCAAAAAGCAGGTCTGACTGGGAATCGAACCCAGATTACAAGAACTAACAGATCAGAATCTTGTGTACTAGCCTTTATACGATCAAACCTTGTTGATGTTTTCAAAACGCCCTTTTCCAACGTCGCTGCCTCCAGAAATTTAACCCAACCTCGGCGCGACGCGCCTGGTTTGCGCCTGATTTGTTTTGCATGGTTAAGGGTTACAGGCTGAACGGCAGTGACGGACAGAAACTTCATCGTTCGCGATCGTTCGGCCCTGCTCCGGCCTGGGGCCCTCAGGAGCCGCCGGAGCTGCGGCATGTTGTCAGCTCTTTTGGTCAACTCGTCTCGTCGGCCCGGCGTCGTCGGCCACCAGTTGCGCCCGGTGGCCCTCTCCAGAGATGACATGCCCCATGACCGCAGGGAACTCTTCGCATACGCCACTTCGACCTTCAGAAGGATCGGAAGTGGCTCCACCGCAGCACCTCCTCCACAAAACCCGGCCGCCACCTCCGCAACCCCGACTCTAACCACCCGACATCCTGAGCTTGGCAAAGGGAAAACAAACAGAAAAATCACAAGTTAATGAGAAGGGTTTTCCTTGCGGGCGCTCCCCGAGTCATGCCGGGTCACGCGCCATGCACATGCTCGGGGGTGAAAGGGGAGGTCCCGACAGCTGAAGCGACAGCACGCAGACGCCATCGCAGTTTCACCGGCAGTGACCGAGAAACTATGGTCGCAAATGCCCACATGTCAAGTCTGGAAGCGTGCCACTTCTCAAAAATGCGTCACTCCAGGGACGCGACGACGGCCTAGCCACAAGCATGGGTGCCTACAACTTCGAAGGCGAAGTTTGCATGGCGATGAGAAGTAACCTTTGATCCCCTTAGAACGGAGACACACATATGTCAGACAAACTGCAAGCAGCATTGGACTTTTGGCTTGTATCGTGAGCCTCGAAGCGGGTCAGCATCGTTATGGAAGAAGTAAGTGCTTTCCAGGTCAGCTGACGTTTTCTCGCAACCGACCGGTGAGATCCGTACACTGAACGTGCGCACCACTACTCAGCAGGTTGGCCTTGGCATTTGGAATGAAACGTCCGTGAAAGAAGAAGAAGGAATGAAACAACACGGGCTCCGTGTCGGCCTCCTCTCCGACACTTTGGCGTGCGGTCGTCCTGTCGCCATCCAATGGAGCACCGGCGGCGGTGTCTCGACAAACCTAACACGCGCCATCCGGACACCGGGTGTTACTGAACCGTCAAGCGGCAGGTCGGTGATCGGTGAACAGTTCGGTGCACACCGAGAAATGGAGAAAAGTACGCGTTCCTGGGCGGACCTCGTGGTAGGGGACACCATGGGGTGTGGCTGTTCTGCGCAGTGACCATGTGGTCTAAATGACATTACCCGACCAGGCTGGCCTTGTGCAGATGGGATGCCCAAAATAAGCATTCTTCCTTGGATCTCGGCCTCCCCCTCGATGGCGTCTGGCGTGTTTTTGAGGGGTCGGCATACAAGGTTTGGCCTTCTTGGCCCGTGACAGCTGGCAGACGCTCACAATGTCGGCGTTCCCCCGCGACTCACACCAAGCGCGTAATAGGATCACAGGCCACCAGCCGGGGCATCCGCGGAGCATGCAACTGCGGGGCACCTCTTGTTGGCATATAAATACCGAGGTTGGAGGACACGATGGATACCCAGACGACAAACAACTCTCTACTTCCTACCCAACCTTCCTCTCACATACCTCTCGCACCCCAAGTAGTCCACTCGCTATGCGCTCGTACTCTTCGCTCCTTCTTCTTGGAGCCACTGCCCTCAAGGGGGCAAGTGCCCTTCCGTCTCGCAACGTTGTCGGCGACAAGCACATCCAGAAGCGTGATGTTGCGTCGTGGTTGACCACCGAAGTTCCCTACGCCCAGGAGCGTCTTCTCTGCAACATCGGTGCCAGCGGATGTGCGGCGTCGGGTGCCTCCTCGGGTATCGTCATTGCCTCACCTTCCAAGTCCAGCCCCGACTGTGCGTGTCTATGTGGTCTCCCTGTCCGCGCTGACCCATGAAAACAGATTGGTATACATGGACCCGTGACTCTGCACTGGTCTTCAAGCAGATTGTGGACCAGTTTGTCCAAAGCTACGACAGCAGCCTCGAGACCGAGATCCAGAACTACATTATCTCTCAAGCTGCCCTCCAAGGCGTGTCGAACCCTTCGGGTTCACTCTCTGGCGGTGCTGGTCTCGGCGAGCCAAAGTTCAACGTCGACATGAGCCAGTTTACCGGTTCTTGGGGTCGTCCCCAGCGCGACGGTCCTGGTCTCCGCGCCACGGCCATGATCGGCTATGCCAACTGGCTGGTCGACAATGGGTACACTTCCACCGCCCTGAACGTTGTTTGGCCCGTCATCCAGAACGACCTGGCCTACGTTGCCCAGTACTGGAACTCTACCGGTTACGACCTGTGGGAGGAAGTTAGCGGCTCGTCGTTCTTCACCACTTCGGCTCAGCACCGCGCCCTCGTCGACGGTGCCGCCCTTGCTACGGCACTTGGCACCTCGTGCTCGGCTTGCACGACCATTGCCCCGCAGATCCTCTGCTTCCTCAACAGTTACTGGCAGTCGAGTGCCGGCTACGTCGTCGTCAACACTCAGTCTGGCCGTACTGGCAAGGACTGCAACTCGCTCGTCACTTCCATCCACGCGTTTGACATCAATGCGGGCTGTGACGCGTCGACGTTCCAACCCTGCTCGGACCGTGCGCTCGCCAACCACAAGGTCGTGACCGACTCGTTCCGCAGCATCTACTCGCTCAACTCGGGCAAGGCCGCGGGAACCGCCTGCGCTGTCGGTCGCTATCCCGAGGACTCGTACTACAACGGTAACCCCTGGTTCCTCTGCACGCTCGCCGCCGCCGAGCAGCTTTACGACGCCATCCTCACCTGGCAGAAGCAGGGCTACATTCAGGTCACCTCGACTTCGCTCGCCTTCTTCACCGACCTCGTTTCGGGTGTGACTGCTGGCACTTACCAGTCGTCGTCGTCCACGTACACCTCCATTATCAACGCCGTGCAGACGTACGCCGACGGCTATGTTCAGATTGTCGCCACGTATGCCGACAGCAACGGCGGCCTGTCCGAGCAGTTTGACAAGTCGACCGGTGCCCAGACGTCGGCCGCCGACCTGACCTGGTCGTACGCCGCGCTCCTCTCTGCCGCCAACCGCCGTAACGGCATTGTGCCCCCGGCATGGGTGGGTTCGCTCGGCACCTCGCTCCCTTCCACTTGCTCCGCCACCTCGATCTCGGGCTCGTACACCTCCGCATCGGCCGCAACCAGTTTCCCTGCCTCGCTGACCGCCACCGGCACCGGCGGTGCGACTAGCACGACGCCCACGGCGACGTCTGCCACGTCCACCAAGACCACCACCAGCACGACCGCCTCGGCAACCTGCACCGCCGTCGCCGTCACGTTCAACGAAGTCGTGACAACCGTCTACGGCCAGACCATCAAGATTGCAGGCAACGTCACGGCGCTCGGTAACTGGGCGCCGAGCTCGGCCGTCGCCCTCTCCGCTGCCAGCTACACGTCCTCGAACCACCTGTGGTTCGCCAACGTCAACGTGTCCCCCGGCCAGACCATCCTGTACAAGTTTATCAACGTCGCGTCAGACGGCACAGTCACGTGGGAGAGCGACCCGAACCGCTCGCTCACGGTGTCGAGCTCGTGCACGGCCGTTGTTGTCAACGACACCTGGCGTTAAAAGTGGAGTGAATACTCTTCACAAAGAGTCACTTTTAGCTGCCCCATGCACAGGTGGCATGGTGAGTGGGAGCGGGGAATGGAAGAAATCGAAAAAAAAGGCTGGAAAAAGTGGCACAAAATTGGAAAAAGGGAGTGTTCTCGTTGGAAAGTGTCGTTAGTACTGCATGCACTGGTGCTATGCACACACGTGGGGTAGCTTAAGCCCTCTAGCCCTCTGTACATGCTGCAATCTTCCCGGATGCCGAGTCTGACGGTAGGTTTAGGCTTTTCAGTTCCAACACGCCTCGTCCACCCTCACGGCGCCACCTCCGACGCCCATCGCCCCTCCGGGAGAAACACCGAGGTGGCAGCTGTGCCGCCGGCAGTGATCAGCCGTCAGAGAGGCCCATGATCCCATGACCTCGGTCCGATGTGGTTGCCAGGACCGCAGTCTGGAGTGTAGGCGACATGTGACCCACTGGCCACTGGTTAGCTTGCGCGGGGCATATCACTCGGCCTCGCCTCTTCGGTCGCGTTCCTGCTGAACCTCGATGCATTCTCTAAAACCTAGCTCCACCCTCTCAACATGCCTACCACAGCCCACACGCCGCGTTTCACCTCGTCGCCAGCCTTGTCCCTCCACTCTGCCTGGTCCTTGCATTCGGCGGCCTCGCGCCAGCGTTCCAGGTCGTCCCACTCGACATCGAGTGCGCGGACCGCGTTGGACAGGTATGCCAGGTCGGACGCGAGCTGCGCCGCGCCAGAATTTGAGAGGGAACGGATACCGGGGAGGGTCGAGCGTGTCAGGTGGGAGAGGAGGGAGAGGGCCAGAGACGACACCCAAGTGGAGAGCACGGCCTCGGCGCTGAGGGCCGGGAGGTGCGGGGTGCTGGATCCATGTGATGGGGATGCTGTCGTTAATGCGTCCTTTGTCTCGCCCAGGTTGCCCTTTGGCGGGTTGAGGAGGTCGCTCAGCGACTCGACATCGACAAACGGCAGGGTCTCGATTGAGAATGCCAACGCGTCGTCGTCGGCGTACACCTCGAACACACGGAGGAGGTTGAGGAGACCTTCGGAGACGCGGGCAATCGTGTCTGTTGGCGAGAGGGAGAATGTGGGGACTTGCAGCTCGCCACGGCGTGGCGCTTTGTCGGGCTGCGACCAGACGGGGAGGGCGGGGTATCCCTCCAGCTGCGCTTGGAGAGGGGAGAGGATGATGGATTGGAGGAACACCTGGGCGGTGCGGGTGTATGCCGACACGGCATCACGGGCGCGGATCAAGCGGTGGCCTGGGGGTGTGGCGTTTGTGACGGTCGAGTAGAGGACGGCCGAGTTGAGCGTCGACTGCTGCAGGAGGGTGATGGCGCCCATGGTCGTGTCGTGCTTGGACGACATGATCGACTCGAGGGCCGATGTATTGAGCACTGCTGCAATGCCCGTGAGCGCGAGGTGGAGCTTGCCCTCAAACGCCGTCAAGCGGTCACGGATCGAGCGGCAGACTTCGAGAACGTGCAGACCCAGCTGGAAGGCGCCCCAGTCCTCGGTTGAGTAGTCGAGACCCTCAAAGTCAAGCTCGTCGGGCGCCGCACCGCGGTGAGCGGCACTGCGTGCGGCCTCGAGAATACCCGTGTTGTCCGTGAGGAACGAGTTGACGAGCTCATTAAGCGCATCAATGAGGCCTAGCGCACCATAGCCGTGAGTGAAGGCAAGGCAGCGACCAATAGCGTCCTCGGCAAAACCAAACACGACGGCTGCGCGCTCGTTGAGTGTCCGCGACGGGTCGTCCTTGTTCACCTCGCTGTTGAGCACTGGGTCTGACCGCAGCAGGCTGGAGAGATACCTCTTCTCCAGGGCGGGGTATGTGGTCTGGATGTCGAGGAAGGGCTCGTACAGGTTGGTCTCCCAAGGCGAGGCGGCAATGGCTGGTGCCTCGTGTGACGAGATGCTGATCGACCGCGAGAAGCGATGCGAGATGGATAGCCTGTGCGAGTGGGCGTGGGTCGCCGGTGTGGGCCGCAGCTTGACGGTAGCCACGGCGGGAGAGGAAGGTGACGAGCCGCCAGCAAGGGAAGCGGGGGACACGACAGCGTTTCCACTGCTGTTACCGCTTGGGTATCCGCCCTGGGTGTTGAACGCAAGCTTGTCCATGACACCCTGGACAGAGACGCCGAGCTCCTCCGTAGCCTTGAACGCGCGGATGAGCTCTGGCAGCGCCGCAGCGCCGTGGTGCTCGGCGACCGACGAGAGGCGGTTGTGGAACGAGGGCGACAGCTCGTCCAGGGTAGTCTGGAAGAACTGGGCGAGGATGGACGACGCAGACTCGGTGGGGAAGATGAGGGGGATCTGGGAACGTTCTGAACTGAGGGTCGAGAGGACGCCAGCGTAGAACTTTGGCAAAAACTCGGAGAACAACACCGGTTCGACGGTGGAGTCGACGGCGGTCTCGTCTGTAGGCGCGTCCAGCAGTACGGCATTGGCCCACTCCTCTGCAATGGGTGCGCGGCGGGCTGCGAAGTAGTAGTTTTGAAACTCGTGTCCGCGGTCCATGAGGCGGAAGATGTCGTGGAAGCTGGCACATGCGGGCGTGTCGACGCGGGCAATGGCGTCGCGGAGAGCAGCGGACAGTGCCGTTTCGAGCTCGTTCTGAAGACTGACCAGCAACGAGCGCTTGGATTCGTACTCGCCGTCGGCGGACTGGAAGACGACGAGCGACTTGCTCGCCTCGGCCAGCCTCTCGCCGGCCTTTGTCCATGCTTTGTCGGCAATGAACGACGTGATCTCGCTTTCGAGTGTCGACCACGACTCGGCCTCGGCGAGAACGTCACGTGCCGACTCCATGCGTGTCTTGAGCTTGTCGAGGTACGCCAGCTTGTCGAGGGCACGGTGAGTGCGCGCCTCGTCGGTCTCGGGGGTACCAAGTGCAGCTGCAGGGTTGGCGCCAGCACCGGCCGTCTGGCGAGCCACGCGGTCCTGCACGAGCGACAGAGACGACTGGAGGGAGACGGCAGACTCTCGCATAAACTGCAGGTCGTATGTGAGGCGCGGGACAGTACGCGAAATGTCGTGGATCGACTGCTCGAGGGCCGAGCTCGTGTCCTGGCTCAACATGTTGAGGCGGGTCAAGAGCTCGCCGAGCTGCTTGTCAATGGGTGCCAAGTCTGGGGTCAAGCCCGGCTGTGACGCGGCGAGTGCAGGAGTGAGATGTGGTGCAAGCACCGTGTTGAGGAATGTGGGGACATCCTCGTACGCGTCCAATGCTGTCGCGAGTGCCGAGAGGGACGACAAGGGGTCGACGGGTTCGTCCACTTCGTGTGTTGTTTCCAGGGAGAGGCCCGAGATTGTTGGCTCTGAGAGGTCGACCACCAGGGCCCCTGGCTCCTTGGGGCCTGCAGTCTTGCTCGCCATGCGCGGAGGTGGTGTTCTATGTGGTCTAGGTGGGATTGGTGCAAGAGACAGGCGTCCCAACTGCCATGGCTGCGGCGGTCATGGTCCCTCAACACGTCGGAGGTGGACGACCGGGGGACCTGGCCGGAAGCAAATGTGCCACGTGAGCGATCGTCATGGGCCATATGCCAAGATGAGGAGACGCGTACAGCAACAGGCCTGTTGGCTATAACCCATCTTGCGTTCATTTCAGAACCAAACAATTCATTCTTGACACTTTCCGTCACCCACCAGACGTCCGAGGACACAATGTCCATATACAACGAGGTAGATGGGAAGGGGATATCGTCATCTGACAACCACAGCGCTATGACGACGCTCTGTCCAAGACATCCTGGGTGTCAAAGACACTGGGCAGTGGCCGAACCTACCTGTTTGTGAGTAGCCCAGTAGGCCAGTAGCATAGGCTGTAGCTAATCGTTGCAGAAATACGCGCCCCACCCAGAGCGCTCGGGGTACTTGTTTGTGGCCACCGACCTCGAGACCGTCCACTTTGAAGCTCTGACAGCTACGTCTATCCCGACGCGTATCGGACAGGTCGCATTACGCGATGGCGACTATTCAGCCGCAGAGAAGGTCAACGAGTTGGGATTTGACGAGCAACAACGTCAAGGCGAGACCATTTTGGCATCGCTCAGTAGCGTCTTTGATGCGGGGTGGGCCGACGCCAAGGTCGAGGCCGAGTCGGACGACTACTTTGTGAGTTAGCTGCATTGGAACCGAACTGACGCCAGGACGCAGTGTTTGCGGTATCGACCGGGTCTTTCTCGTGGTTGTTCAACATGACGTGAGCATGTGTATTGGTCCCAAACTGACGCAAAGTGAACTGCGAGGCCGCCAGCCTCTCACGTTCGTGGCCAAGCATCTCCTCACGCCGTTTGTGACGTTAATGGGCCAAGACCGGGGCGTAGAGGTGAGTTGTGTGTCCCCTAGCCTAGCCAAGGCAAACTAACTCTCAGATACCATCACACGGCACGCGCCCTGTGGACGCTGTCGGCGCCGTCGTCTCTGACCAAGGTGTCGCGCGTGCCCTCCGCCGTGTTGTCGGAGCACCGCCAGCGGCGTCAACGCGAGCTACTCCAGCACCGAGGCTGTCTCGCCCGTCAACACCGCCTCCCAAGCACGCGGCGCCCAAATCCCCGACACCACCACGCAAGACCACCCCACGACCGCGGGTGGAAGACTATACCCCTCGGCCACCCACGCCACCACGTGCGAGTGCGTCACAGACGCTAAAGTCTCTCATTCCGCCCTCGTCGCCCACACCCATGGCGCGGAAACGGTCATACAACTACCTCACGGTCCCCGAGTCTGAGCTGCCCAACTCGTCTGCCCCCGAGAGCCCCAGCAGTCCTGGTCCGGGAGCATTTACCGATAGCTACAGCCATGCGGTCCCCACTCTACTCATACCGGACACGGAGCCGGCCATGCCCTCCTCGGCGCAGCCGCCATCGAGCGACGCGGGCTTTGGCTATGACCGCTCGTCGCCCGGACTGGCGGCCTACCCATCGGGTTTGGGCGCCGACTTTGTTTCGTCATCTGCCGCGCCCGCGCCGACGTCCACGCAGGACCCGTTAGTCAACACGCTGCCGAAGCATAAGAAGAAGAAGAAGGATAAGAAGGCCGAAGAGGCGGAAGAGGAGGCCGAGGCGGAGCGCCGAAGGGAGGAGATGAGGCGGAAGATGGCAAAAGGTGCGGGTGGCAGGCTGGGTCGGAGGCGGTGAGCAAGGTGGTTGTAGATCGGTTGTCAGTTTTAGGGTTGTATGTCGTGCATGTCACGGTGTAGAGAAACAAGGCGCTATTCTATTGCTCGTGGTTGTGACTCGAGGACGACGAGTAGATGACTGGGTGTCATAAAAGTATGTGGTGGAAGAGGAGCTAGCGTCCAATCTCCGCACCACGTGCCTGACAGTCGACATTGCCAGAGATCCGCGTCCGGTTCGTCATCGATCTGCAAACCCCAACACACCGGTCAACATATCCACAATCTCCTACCACACGTTGAACCACCATGGCAGCCCTCCCGCTGTCGCTGCGACCCACCACCGTCGCGTCCCTGTCACCGCCTCCCGTGCTCGTCCCGCCCATCAACTTTGCCCTCGTCGCGCCGGGCGTGTACCGCAGCGGCCACCCGAACCGGCGGAACTTTGGCTTTCTCGCGAGGCTGGGTCTCAAGACGGTCGTGTGAGTTCACACTGCCGAGCCATGCCACCATGGAATCAGACAATAAGACCACGTAGCTGACATGGGTTGCTCGCCCAGGTATGTGGAGGATGGAGACGAGTACCGTAAAGACGGCGCAGACTTTGTCGCGCAGCACGGTCTGACGCTGCACCGTTTCGACCTGAGTGACGAGGAGGTACGTCCGCGGCATTTCCCCCCCCCCCCCACTAACTCTTTCCAGGCGCTGTTCACACCCTCGGGCCGCGCACGGCTGTACCAGGCCCTGGCGGTGCTCCTCGACACGCGCAACCACCCACTCCTCGTCCACGACGACACGGGCAAGGCGGCCGTCACGCTCGTGTGTGCGCTCGTGCGGTGTTTCCAGGCGTGGGCGCTCACGGCCGTGTATGCTGAGGGAGACATGTTCGCCGGTGCGGGGGGCAGCGAGGGTGGAGGCGTGGGCAACGCCGGGCGCGAGTTCATTGCCATGTTTGACCCCACGAGCGTGGTGCTGGACCGCGGGCATGTGCCGCCGTGGGCGCGGGCGCGGGGGTTGTGAGTGTGAGACCCGGAGATCCGATCCCAGGCAGCGTGGGCGTCCGGGAGCCGGGAGACGACGAGGTTGCGACACAGCCGGTGGATGGAGCTAGAGCTGGAGCTGGAGCTAGTCCGACGCCTCGCCGCTGGACACAAGCGCGGCCGCCATGGATAACGAGGTCGACGTCCTCCCAGTGGCACGAACGTGCTGTTTGTGTGTGAGCCCGGAACAGGCTTGCACATATGCCGCGGCTGCCGGACGGCATCTCGTCACGGCTCATGGCGTACGGCGTCGACATTGTCCACCCACCACCTGCGCCGACCGGCAAGAGACCAAACGTGTTTGCCTGTCTGTGTAGCCGGTACGGCTAGTGCACGCTTGGGACGATATCCGATATCAGTCCCTATCGCAAACGTGCAACATCACAAGACACACCACCGGTTATCTTGAAACAGCAGTCGCCTCACCTCTGCAGCCGTAACCGCCACGACCACCCACCCACAAACGTTACCGGTGTTTCCCGAGCCGCTGGCGCTGCCACTGGCCACTGGTGCTCCACCGGGCACACTGTCCGGTCAAGTTGAGCGGAGCGCTCTGCACCGCTGTGCGCCGCGACGTTTCGCAAGGGAGTGTGCGGATTTGATAGCGAGGACACGGGACAGGAGGACAGGACAGGAGAGGACAGGACGCAGAGCGATCCGTGCGGCCGCTGGGTCTCTGGGCAGGGCCGTAGCGGCGCGACGTGTAGCGTATAGGGTATCATGTCATGTCTCGGACCCCATCTCCAGGTACAGTACACCAGCAGGCCACCAGGCCACCCGTACGAGTACACCCACCAGTAGTAGTGGCCGTTGGCAAGCTGGCAAGACAAAGTTTGGTTGTGTGGGAGCAAGGCGCCAGAGGCTTTCCTGAGCAGCAAGCAGAGCAGGTTCACGTCCTGACATGCCATCTGCTCTTCCGGTGGCCGGCATAGAAACCTGGTGGGACGCAGGACAGCGCCCTTACTGACGCCTCTTGTAACCCGAAGAGAACAGCGACGCACTCGACTCGGACGACTGACAGATCACAGGATCACAGGATCAGAGGGCCCCGCGACTGCGTACCCAACGGTTCTCAGCGACGTAGCAACGCGCGCCGTGCGCACACCCTTTTTACTGGGGAGGAGGTTGGCCCGACCCTTAGCGTAGTTGCACCTTACTCACCCGTCTCACTCCTCTCTCACGGACGACGGGCGCGACCGACAGCCTGCAGGTCTACATACATACAGGTCTGCAGGTGTGCAAGAGGCCTGCAGCCTGCAGCCTGCAGACCGCGCCTGAACCCCTTTGGGAGCCATCTCACCACGGCCCCATGGCCGATGACCAGCGGTTCGTTGCCGCGATCGAGCGACTCGCCGCCTGGCCGCCTGCCGCCCGCCGCCGCCGCCGCCCAAACCTGTTCACTCGAGTGGCTGCTGTACTGTACGCCATCATGCCGGCCACACAGGTCACGGGGAGACGGGTGAGGATCACGGGGGGTGTGGTCGATGCGTATCACGGGTGCAGGTGTTGGGTGCAAGAGCCAGGACACGTGCGGCCTTTGTGCTCACCGTACCACCGTTGCGAGTTGCCGGTGCCACTCCCGTCGCGTTGATGTCAGAGGCGGGCGGCGGGGGCGTCGTTTGTTTCTCGTTTCCAATACGGGCTAGTCGCGCTAGTCGGGATCCAGCTGTCGACCTCTGTACTTTAATTTTCCTCTCGGTTGCTTCTGACGGTGGCGCTGGGACGGGCTCTTGCTCCTCGTCCTGCTCGTTGTCTCGGGGGGCCGACAGCGAGGGCGACCGACGGACGAGAGAGCCGTGGCGCATGTTGGTGGGGGCCGTGTTGCACTCTGCGGGCCTGTTGGCGTCGCCGGCCCACGGACATGGCCGTTTGGGAGGACCCTGGTGCGCAAGCCCCCCCGCACCCGCTGCACGCCAGCGCCAGCGCGCGCGCGCGCGTCTACAGCGCTGCAGCCTGTGCAGTCTCTCTGTTGCTGACTCTGCTGGCGCGCTGTTTGCTTTGAGGCGACACGGGCGGGGTATCTGTGGCGCCGCTGCTGCTACGAGGTGTGCGCGGATGGTTGTTGCCACCGACCCATCCGGGGGGTGTCGCAAAAACGCAGGACGCTCGGACCTCCAAACCCCCCCTCCATCTCCCTTGACCTTTCTTTCTACCTCTTGGCCGCGGCCTCTCTGTCGCTGCGTCTCTGCGTCTCTGCGTCGCATTGCGAGCGTACGCGCACGTCGGCGCTCCCGACGTGCATGAGAGCTCCATTCCCTCCATTCCCTCCATTCCCTCTCGTCGCTCGGCCCTGCTCGCCACCGTGCGCATAACAGACAGGATACCGCACAGGCGGACCCCCGGGGCGCGTGCTCGCGCGCGCGCGCGCTCGCTCGGGACAAGTCGTCTGGCATGTTATTGTGTTCCTTTTGCTGACCTCTCTGTTCGACGTCGCCCTTTGCGGCAGCAGCAGCAGCAGCAGGAGCAAGTGCTCACACCGTTTCTTATCCGTCACACTGCTACATCGCTCACACACACACACTCTCTCTCTACACACACTCTCTCTACACACTACACTACACACCCTCCTCTCGGCTTTTGTCCTCGTCGCTGTCGACTGGTGAATCCCCTCGATGGCCACCGCTGTGGCCTACCCCTCCTCCCCCTCCCCCCTTCCCCCTCCACACTACTCCTCCCCCGTCCCCGTCGCTATCACCATCGCCAACATGGCCCACGCGAGCCTCCCACCACCGCCGCCGCAGCCCGTTGCGTCGAGCAGCTCGAGCCGCACACGGCCCACAGCGTCTGCAGTGTCGTCGTTGTCGTCCAAGCGCTTCCTGCGTTCGTCAAAACAGCGGCCCTTTTCGCAACCGCCAGCTCAGCACGCCTCGTCGTCGTCGTCCTGGGCCTTTCCGCACTTTTCACATCGCCTTGATGTCACGCTCCTGCCAGCATCAGCAGCAGGGACAGCGGCAACAACAACAGCAACAACAGCAACAGCGGCAACAACAGCGGCAGCAGCAGGAACAATACCCACGACGGAGCAGGTGACGATTCCGACAAGACCGCACACGTACATTCCCGTCGCGCCGCGACGTCATTCTGCGCTAGCTCATTTCTCGCGCAGCGCGTCGCGACATCCCATCCCGCGCGCGCCGTTGCCGAGCTCACCGGTCGTGAGCCGCGCCGTGGCGACGCGCTCGACGTCAGCAGCAGCAGGACCGACAGAACACGCCGCGGCCTACACGCCGTACACACCGTACACACCGTACACGCCGTACACGCCGCCGCCGCCCGTATCGACACCCTCGTGCGCGCCACTAGCGGCCGACGAAGGGGGCCGTGCACGCGCGGGGGCGAGCCGCAGCTCGAGTCCGGCGGCGGGGTTGGGCGGCGCGGGCGCGGGCGTGGGCCTGGGGCTCGGGTTGGGGTTGGGAATGGCAGTGGCGCACGGGCCCGAAGCCACCACCACGAGCGCCGCAACGAGTGGTGCCTCGAGTACGGTCGCGTCTGGGGGTTCCGCCTCTGCGGCCTCTGCCTCCACCCACGCACTGGGACGCAAGCAGGGCCACCGGCGTACACTGTCGACGAGGGTGCGGTCCCTGTTTGGCAGCTTGAGCTTTATGCACCAGCGGCGTCGCGAGGGCGACGACGAGGGCGACGACGACGACTGTGACGATGAGCATGGCTGCGGCGTGGTCGTGCCCGACATTACGTTTGGCGCGCCGCTGCGTCCCCACCGGTCGCCCGGCGCAGCGAGCTTTCTGGCCACGACGTCCATGACCTTGACGCCTACGCGCTCGTCGTCGCCGCCGACGGCGCGGACACGCAACAACAATGCCAACGACGCGCAGCGGCGCGACTCGACAGGCTCGATCCTGTACTATGCCGACCACCAGCCGCCGTCCCCGACAGACTACATGCGCAGTCGGATCCGGCGCGTGGCGCGGCTACGCCTGAGCGGGCGGCTCAGGTTGAACCTGCACCCGACGACCCAGCGCTACAGCCACGCGCAGCCGGCCGAGACGGACGGCGATGGGGACGGGGACAGTATCAGCATTATCGAGCGGGACATGGACGACCAGCTGTCGCCGCTTGACAGGCTGCAGTCGCGGTTCTCGGACACGAGCGTGAGCGACCTGGGCAATGACGATAACGACGACGACGATGACGATGGTGGTGGTGATGATGATGACGACGACGACAATGTGAACGACAAGGACGATGGCAACGAAAATGGAATAGACGACCGCGGGGACGCGATATCGACGTGTGGCGACCTCGTCGACATGGACGCGCACCGCACCAGCCCGCACCGCAAGTCGGGCTGGTCCTCGATGCCCGACATGGCGCTCCTGCGCCGCCTGCGGCGGCTCAGTCACCGCTACAGCATCTCCACCTCGGGCGCCACGGGTGGTGCTCGTACCGGTGCTGATGCTGGTAGAGGGTGGCGGCGGGGACAGCGGGGACAGCGGGGACAGTCTTGTGAACTGTAGTAGCTAGCTTTTAATTTCCGATCAATTTTCTTTTATTTTGTACGACACCGATGTTAGACGAGCCTACACACGGGCACACATGACGGACTTGGCAAGGTGTGCTGTACGCTGCTGCTGCTGCTGCTGCTGCTGTGATAACATGAGGACATGAGAACACGCGGTGTTCGGAGGCTACGCGCCGAGCTCATTCACGCTTCACTGCTGGAATGGTGCCGGGGAATGTCCCGCGAATACTGTACCACCGAGCGTCACGCGCGGTGGACGTAGAACACACCACAGTGGACGGAGGGGGGAGTACTCCTCCACCTCACGTCTGCGGAACAGCGCAGCGCCATGTTCAGTCACAGGCCGTGGGGACCTCCGGCCGTAGGAGGTCGTTGCCAGCGACACCACCCCCAAACAGGCTCTCCCTTCCCCGGCGGCGCATTCGCCACGCAGGGAGCGTCCAGAGCGCCAGAGCCTAGAGCGTGACACGACACCAAAAACGGCAGTCCTGGAATCTGAACCGTGGTGGGTGGGGGTGTGCGGGGGGGCGAGATTGGAACATGATCCGGGATATTACTCGGTGTCACGTCGCGTCGAGACGCGTCCGTGTCTGTGGTGGCTCTGGAGGCGGCAGCTGGCATAGGGGGTTGTTTTGTTCCGGAAAGGGCGCCGGTGGCGCAGGCTTTTGGCCCGGCACATACCGTAGGCCGTAGGCCTTGGAGCCACCAAATGGCCAAATGTGGCCGTGGGCTGTGGCAATACCAAATCGCTGGTGTGTGGGTGGCCGCGCAAAAGTGCAAACTGCAAACTGCAAACTGCAATCTGCAACTTGGTCTGCTGATGGAGGAGATGGAGGAGGTGGTGGTGGTCGTGACTGTTACGCTCGTTGCTGCCGTGTCCAGCGCCCAGCGCCCGTTGGCAGCGTGACGACAGGCGGTGATCAGTGTACTGGTGTGACCTGGTTGCGTCACTGTAATGATATCATTGCTGATGGGTGACTACAAAAGTGTTCTTAATGGGTCTGTATGCCCTGATTACAAATAGTGTCTGTCCGTCAACGAAGACATCCATTGTGGGAAAGAGGCCAAAGAGCGGGGGGAAGAGCTTTGTTTGTTTGGCCTCGCTTGTGCACAGTCATCTGCAGGCGAATGGCACGCGTGGGCGCGTTGTTTGGCCCCAAACAGCCAAGCAGCATTTGCACTCTCTGTGATCCCCCAGCAGTGATCCCAGAGTGATCCCAGCCAGCGCCCGCTCCCCCCTCTGGCCCCTCTGGCCCCTCTGGCCGTCCGCCTGCGGTGATGCGGCAATACCAGGCTGTGGCGACTTGCATTGTTTATTTTCGCCCCTTTGGGAAGATAGTGCACCCAATTTGATCCCGCGCACGCACCCGTCAGCTGGCTGGCCGCTCCCACACCTGCGCGCCCACATAGTAAGAGCCCGCGCCTCATCCCCCACCGTACGCTCCCACACTCCATACAAACCACCCACCCACCCAACCACCCCATCCACCAGCCAACGTTCACCAGCGTACAGCTACCACCACCCAGGCCCCTCCATCCACCCACACCCTACACCCAACCAACAACAACTTTTACACAGTGAGCACACACTCTCCTCCCCCAATCAAACCCCCTCCCATACACCCCCAAAACCTTCCCCCGCTGCTCGCATCACTCCATCGTGTCTCCCGCCGCTGCTAGAGCTCGCCGTCAGTCGCCTCCTTGTTGTTGTGGCCCAACTCCCTGGACCTGAACAGTGTGGCGACTGATTTCCGAGGTGGAGGCCTGCACAGCGCGCTGTCCACCCCCTCGCACTGCACTCGTCCATCCTTTCTGCGATGGATGCGTTGCTCTGACGCCGCGGGGGCGCGCTCAAAGGCCCCCCCACAGTCGCGGCAGCGAGACCCCCACCCACCCAGCGACGCGTATATGATGGGCAGCGGTGGTGAGCCACCCCTACCCGACGCGTCCAGTGACACATCCATCTCCCCCTCTTCCATCCTCGTCCTCGGCGGTCCTCTAGACGCTGTTCTGAGGTGGATGCGCTCGTCGCTGTCCACAGGCTCGTCTGGGAAGGCTGGTCTGAAAGCGCTCCTAAAGTGTCTTCCCTCCTTCCCTCTGGACTTGGGGGGGACCGCGGCCGGGGGGGGGGGAACAGAATCATAACCTCCACCACCGGGGGGTTCCTTTTTCCACCACGTCATGACAAAAATACACACAACAACAACCCCTCTCCTCACCACCACCACCATCCCACACCCACCATACAACCAAAAGCATGCGCTAACCACATTTCTCCCCCATTGTTATTCAACCCAATCACCATTACTGTTACGTGCAATTGCCCTTTCTGTCACTGCCTTCCCTCGCATCCAACCACCTTCCCCTCTGCGCCTTCCCCACCTTCCCCACCTTCCCTCCATCCAGATGCCCAAGGCTTCCACCAAGGACTCGAAGAAGGCCGTCGCCGACAAGGCCAAGCGCGGCAAGAAGGACCCCAACAAGCCCAAGCGCGCCCTCTCCGCCTACATGTTCTTCGTCCAGGACTGGCGTGAGCGCATCAAGTCTGAGAACGCCGACGCTTCGTTCGGTGACGTCGGCCGTCTCCTCGGTGCCAAGTGGAAGGAGATGTCCGCCAACGAGAAGAAGCCCTACGAGGACAAGGCCAAGGCCGACAAGGACCGTGCCGCCAAGGAGAAGGCCGAGTACGACGCTTCCAACGGCAAGCGCCCCAAGAAGACTGCCTCCAAGGCCAAGGTGTGAGTAGAGGAAGACAATGTCGTTGCAATACAGAGACATGTTGGCTGACCCCCGTCTGCAGCGAGGAGTCTGAGGACGAGGACGAGTCCGACTAAACAGGTCGACCTGGTCCCCCCACCCAAATCTCCCTAAGTTTTCTCTAGTCCGGCTATACCCCACCCACCACCTTTCGGCTTTGCTTCGACCTTCGCTCTGCTGGCGCATCTCGTTCGCCGTGCCTTCCGTACTTTTTTTTTTTCCTTCTACTTCTTCTCTCTCCTCTCTCTACCGTTGCTATGTTTGGCTCCTAAATCCTGCCATTCCCACCGCGCCCTTCGTTCCCTCCTCTCTGATTCCCGCCTTAGCGCGCGGTCATATGCAGAATGTTCGATGAAAGTTGTCTGTGTGTGATGTTTGGCACTCTTGTTGGCGCAGGTCGAAAGGAAGCACCGCTCACGCATGTACACGTACTGCACCTCGTCTTGTGTCCTTGATCAACGACGCATCCACTTGCCCCGTTTCAGACGAGGCCAGACGTGGTTGTCCCCACAGGGTATACGCGGTGCGACAACCAACGATACCCCCTTCCAACCCCGCGGCGGCATTTGGTTCCGCCGCTCAGACACACGACGTCAACCCAGCTGTCAAGAACGCACTTTTCGCACCTCCTCGACCACTTGCCCACGTCCCCCAGTCCCGCCAGACAGCCCGCTCGCGTGCTACCAGCACAGCGCACAGCAGCGACCCCCCCGCCCCGCCCCGCCAGCGCAACACGACCCCGTAGTGCCCCGCTCGCGACGACCTCGTCGGTATCCCCCGTATACACGCGACGAACTCTTTTGGAACCAAGGCTCTCTCTTCGTTACAGTTTCAGTCAAGATACAGCCCCGCCCCCAGTCCCTTCGCTTTTTTTCCCTGTTGGTTCTAGCCTAGACACAAGAGAAGCAGCAGCGTCCGTCCCACCATGCGTATCACCCGTGCCCAGTTTGACGGCCTCGACAAGTACAAGTACTCTGGTATCGACAAGAGCGTGCTCTCGCGCCACGTCCTGACCCCGTACTGGAACCTGCTCGTCAAGGCCTTTCCCCGGTGGCTCGCGCCCAACGCGGTGCGTATTGATGCTCGTTTACAGAGAGATGGGAGAGGATACGGGAGAGGATACGGATGTGGCAGAGCGGACTGCCACCATGCCATCGCGTGCTGTCGCCGCTGGCTGCTGGGTGTCGGCCGACGGTGTGCTGCGCCGGCGCGGCGGCGGCGGCCGGCTGTTCACCCTACCGCAGCCGATGGGGCCCGCAACCCCCCGCAAGCGGCTCGCGGCTTGGTACTTGCCATCGGCGGCAGTCTTGCTCCCCTCTGCCTCTGCCTCTGGCCTTGCCATTGCCTGTTGTCGTCGTCGCCGTGACACCTTTGCTGGAACGCTGTACTGATGCTTCTTCCCAGATTACGTTTATCGGCCTGTGCTTCGTCTTCTCCAATGTCGCCACCCTCCTGTACTACGACATTGACTACACCGGCACGGCCCTCCCGCCATGGGTGTACATGACGTGGTCGTTTGGCCTGTTTGCGTACCAGAGTACGTGCAGCTGGCGCTTGTGCACCGATGACACCAAAGCTGACCGGCAGGCATGGATGCCATTGACGGCAAGCAGGCTCGTCGCCTCGGCATGGGTTCGGCCCTGGGCGAGATGTTTGACCACGGCTGCGACGCGATCAACACCACCCTCGAGGTGATTCTCGCGTGCCACGCTCTGGGTCTCACCAACTCGTGGTGGGCGGTGGCGTCGCAGACTGCGTCGCTGCTCAACTTTTACTCGTCGACTTGGGAAGAGTACCACACGGGAACGCTGTACCTCTCGGCGTTTTCCGGTCCGGTCGAGGGCATCATCCTCATCGTGTGCATCTACGCCATCACCGCGTTCCACCCCATGGGCTCGGCGTTCTGGGCCCAGCCGCTCGTCTCGCTCATCCCCGGCGGTGTCGGCGTCAAGGTCGCCGAGGTCATTGACTCGACTATCGGTCTTCCCTCGGCGTACACCTTGTCGACGCTGCCCATCAACGTTGCGTTCATGGTCTTTGGCGCGTTTGGCACTTGCGCCAACATGGTCAACTCGTACTACAACGTCATTGCCGCCCGCCACCGCGACAAGAAGCCCATCCTCTCGCCGCTCCTCGGCCTCCTGCCGTTTGGCGTCCACACCCTCATCCTCGTGGCATGGCTGCACTCGTCGATCCGCGGCGGCGTCGAACTCGTCCACGACGCCCGTCTCCTCCCCTTCCTCCTGTACTGGGGCATGGCCGCAGCGTACCAGGTCTCGCAGCTCATCCTCGCCCACGTCACAAAGTCGCCCTTCCCGTACTGGAACGGCATGATGGTCTACTCGCTCTTTGGCGCCGTCGACGCCAACGCCCAGTGGCTGTTTGACCGCGAGCCCATGGTCCAGTCGTCGCCCACGGCCGCCACCGTGTTCATCTGGATGTCCTTTATGATCGCCCTGTTCAACTACATTCGCTTCGCCCGCGAGGTCATCTGGCAGATCTGCGACTACACGGGTATCGCGTGCTTTACCGTCCGCAAAAAGGACCCCCAGGGCCAGTGGGTCGAGGACGAGGACACTGCTCGTGCTCTGAAAGCATCCATTGTGCACAAGAAGAACAACTAGGCCGGCCACGACGGACGAGGATGTCGTGGCGGCGCAGCCGGGCTTGGGCTCCGGCTTTGGCGTCTGGCGAAATGGGTTCTCGAGCCTAGCCCACACACCAGTACCCGGAGGAGGGTGGGTGAACCACGAGACCCGACCACCTAGACTTGGCGTGGCGTGGCGAGGCGAGGCGCGAGGCGAATGTGCAGGCGGTGTTCGCGTACGAAAGTAATGCTCTGTCTCTCTCTCTCTCTCCATACCAAGTTACCATGAGGACTACCCCGCGAGGATAGACGAGGAGACAGGCTCGTATCTATAGCTGCTATAGTGGATAATTCATTGCTCCTCCCCCCGCCGTCCGTCCAGATACCCCGCATAGCGACGCAACTGTATGCATCTCGGAGCTTTGACAAATGGCTCTCGAGCGTCGAAATTCTAAATGGATTAGAAAGTCAAATGTAAATGCGGGCTAAATGACACATTGACGTGTCATTTATCGCGGCCAAGTCTCCCGTATCACCGCCCGTTCCAAAAGTTGCAGCCAGGAAGTGGAGGCTCGGAAATCTTGCAACGGACAACGAGCGACGGGCCTGTATTGATTGCTGTAACAACACCTGTTCACGGCGACGCGAACAACCCCCCACCACTCCTCTCTTTCTCCCACACTCCCACCCCCACCATGCCCCCCGCCGCCAAGAGGACCAAAAAGGCCGCCGCTGCGGCCGCCCCCATCGACGCCGCGCCCGCCGGCTCGCTCCCGGCCGACTTCAAGCCCGCGCAGGCCAAGCAGGCCGTCACTTCGTTGTTGGCCTACCACGCCAAGGTCACCAAGGAGCGCGAGGAGACCGAGCTCATGCCCCGCGAGGAGCACGTCTGGCTCACTGTCAACACCAAGACTGGAAGCACGCACAAGAAGCTGATGCCTGTCAAGATGTGAGTGGCAACGGGAGCGTGACCGTGGGCGTTGGCGTGAGCGCACGCGACCGAGAGACGAAGGACCATGCTGGCGAGTTGAGCGTAGGGGAGATGGGAGGATGTTGGGCGGACGTCTCTGGGTCGGGAGGATACTGGATCGGCTGTAACTTCTTGGTTTGTGCAGCTGAACAGCCCCCCTGGCCGTCTTCATCCTCCAACTCATCGCCATGCTCTGAGCTCGCAAACAGCTTGCCTCATGCCTCAAGCTACCTCTATCCAATGCTGACATGCCCCCCAGCCAGCTCCCCAACGCTCCTCTCCCCCCTCCCCCCGCCACCTCGGTCTGCCTGATCTCCAAGGACCCCCAGCGCGAGTACAAGGACCTGCTCGAGGCGCAGGGTGTCAAGTTCATCTCGCGCGTCGTCGGCGTCGACAAGCTCAAGGGCAAGTTTAAGCCGTTCGAGCCCCGCCGCCAGCTGCGCAACGAGCACGAGCTGTTCCTGTGCGACGACCGCGTACTCCCACTCATGCCCAAGCTGCTCGGCAAGATGTTCTTTGACGTCAAGAAGCAGCCCATCCCCGTCAACCTCCTGCGCAAGGACCTCAAGGCCGAGCTCGCCCGCGCCATCAACAGCACCTACTTCCACCCCTCGACGGGTACCTCGCACTCGATCAGGATAGCCACTCCGGGCACGACCACGGCCGAGCAGACGCTCGCAAACTTGCTCGCGGCGGTGCCTGCGGCCGTCGGCCAGATCCCCGGTGGATGGGACAATGTCCTCAGCGTCGGCATCAAGACCAGCTCGTCGGTCCTCCTGCCCGTGTGGAACGCCAAGCTCGACGGCCGTTTCGCTGCCGCTGGTGCCGCTGAGGGCGACGTCGCGATGGAGGTCGTGGAGGAGGTCAAGGAGGTCAAGAAGGCTGCCCCGGCCAAGAAGACTGTGGACAAGGCCCCCGTCAAGGCCGCCGCGGCCGCCGCCGAGACGCCCAAGAAGAAGTCGTCGACAATCGGTTCCGGCGCCGTCAGCAAGCCCAAGAAGGAGGCTGTTGGCAAGAAGCCCGCCGCCAAGGGCAAGGCGGCCCCCAAGGCCAAGAAGGCCGCCAAGTAGAGTAGGATAGGATTATACCCTCGTACCGATCGTCTTGTCTGGGTCTGGGTCTAGATGTACCATGCATATACCATTCTTCGCACGCAGAGAAGGTTGACATGTCTGTTGGGTCCTTGTATCTGCTGGAGGAAGATGGAAAGAAAGTAGAGTTGCATCGAAAACGCCGACTTGCTTGGATGCCTGCTCGTCCTCACAGACGCACGTTGCGCCACAAATCACTACATGCTACATCATGGCCACACTCAATCCAGGTCCACCATCCTGTCGTCGTCGTCTTCCTCCACCTCCTCGGCGCTTGGCGCAGGCGCACGCACAGGCGCAGGAGGAACAACGACGTTCGAGTAACGCTTCGGCCCCGCCGGCCGTCCAAGTTTGAGTGGCCGCCCCGACGCCTCGCTCAGAGCCTTGATAGACGCGAGCTGGAGAACACCAGTGTCAATACCCTGCCCCACTTTCGGCCCTACTGCGCTTGTACTCACTCGCTTATCTGGATCCTCGTTGCGGCGCCCACTGGGGTCGAACCCAATCGACTCGATCATGGCAGCCGTGAACGCGCTTGGCGGACGCTGCTTCGTCTCGTCGCGCTCCTTGGGGCGCACTTTGCCGAGCGCAAAGAGGTACTTTGCGCCCACACTACCGTTGTCGCCGCTCCTGTCAAACAGGCGTTGGAGGGCCGCGTCGCCGTCTGCGAGCTCTTGCTGGCGCTTGCGTTTCTGCGCCTGGGACCGGCCGACCTTTTCGGCGAGGTGCGAGTCTCCGGGAGCGCCGTGGCCGGCGGGTGCGTCGCCGGTGCGTGCCACGCCCCTGCCGACAATATACGTCGCGCCGCCGCCGCCATTCTCGGATCCACGGGGGGCAGCGCGGCCACCGCTGGATGGCAGCAGGCCGCGTTTCAGGCGCGGGTTGTAGCTGTCATAGTCGCCTGGAGCGCCGCCGCCGCCGCCGCCACTAGAGCCTGCTGGGCGGCCAGTGCCGCCCGTCCTCCCGGCGGTCAACTCGTACGAGGTGGTCGCAGAGGCAAACTCGGCGCGGGTGGCACGACCGCGCTTGACGGCCGCGTGGACGTGATACTCGCACACGGTGCCAAGACGCATGTCGACCCAGGACCGGCAGCGCTTTCCGTCCTTTTGGATCGCGGTGCAGACGCCGAGATCCATCGCGTGGCCGATGAGGGATACCGAGTCGGCCGAGGTCGGGTTGAGCGCCAGCGGGAGGGTGAGCGGGTGCGGTGCGCCGCCGCCAGTCTTGAGCGGACGGAGGACACGCGGGTTGAGCAGCGCGACGACGCTGCCCACGGCCAAGTTGCACCACTTTTCATACGCGCCGCCCGATCCACCGCGGTACTCGCGGACCACGCCGCCCTGGCCGTCGTCCTTGCGAACGATGGCGTCCGACTCAAAGAGGAGGAGCTGGAGGTACGCGTCGCCGCCGACTGACGCCGCGCCGAGAGACTTGTTGCGCGGCGGGAGGGCCACGAGCTTGAGGTTGATGTACTTGCGAGGCGGCCGCTTCTTCTTGTTCTCGTATTTGCCCTTGCCCTTGCCCTTACCCTTTCCAAACGCCTTGGTCTTGGCTTTGGGCGGACCGTCGCCTTCTTCATCCTCCTCTTCCTCGTCGTCGTCGTCGCTAGCCGCATCACGGCTGCCGCTCACGCGAATGTCTCCACGCTCAGCCACGACGGCAATAGTGACAAAGTCGCCGTCCACGGGAATGTCATATGTCGCGCCATCACGCGACAGCCGCGCGAGGGAATACAGCTGCGGTGGTTTGAGAAAGTAGCGTCCGTACAGGTGGTCCTGCACCTCGTCGTGTGGGAGAACGCGTTTGCTGAGGACAGGGTCAGCGGGTAAAACTGGGCGCAAAACGTCAGTTACCCACGAGAGACGGATACCCGAGTTGGGCTCCAGCGAGCGCCACTCCTCTTCGCCTTCTGGATCCAACCCAAACTCGCCAGGGCCAATCTTGAGCTCGTGTTCGACAGCAAGGTCGGCGTCGCGTTCTCGTCCGTCGCGGACCACCTCCAGGTCATCATCGGCAGCCTTGCCCTTGCCCTTATCCTTGGAACGGTCTGCAAACGACGTTGTGCGGTCTGGAAGGGAAGGGAGGTTGGCTGGCTGCTTGGTTCGGCGCTTGGCCAGCGCTTCAGAGAGGGACGAGGCGCGCGGAGGAGGAGCAAACGCGTGCTGCGGGGCAGGTTGCACGGAGGGGCGAGCTCGGCTGGGCCCAGGTTGCGGCCGACCAAAGTTGGGCTGGACGGGACGCTCTGGAAGTGGGGCAGGCTTCGGCGTGACTGCAGAATGTCAGCGCTGCTGTCTCGTGCACTCGAGTCAGCAACGTCAACATACCCTTTGTCGGCGTGTTGGCGACCAACACCTCTGCGGCCTTGCGTTGCTGCTCGCGCGCGACAATCGCTTGTCTCTCGACAATCGCCCGCTTCTTCGCCTGAAGGGCCGCAATCTGCGCGTCGAGGTCGGCCGTGTCGGCCATGGTGTTTGTGATGAAGTGGACGAAAAACGCGTCGAGGTTGTTGTTGGCGGGTGCGAAATCAACTGGTCGCGTCTGAAAGCCGTGCCTGGAATTCGATCCCCTTTCGGTGGCAAAACGTCGAGTGGCAAAAGCGGATGCGGTGAGCCATTGATTGACCTTCATCTGCACAGCACCAGTCGCAACTCATCAGCGAGTTCTCAGAACGATCATGCACACGGAGCTTCATAGTTATCACTTAACAGTCTAATGATGCCGCTCATCTCCCCCCTGCCATTAGCGCACCCTCGCTCGCGATGGCGGCGCAGGCAGGCTTCGCCTCGGGTGGCGTAACTTGTACGGTCTGCCACAAGTCAGTACCGGGACAATCACGGCCGCGGTCACGTACACTTCACTGTCAGGCTCCGGCTGCATATCCACCAAGACAGGACCTGTGACATCGGAGGCCCCAACGAGGGGAGTCGCCGTTGTGGGACTGCACGTAGAGGATAAAGCAGCAGACTCCATGTCCGCATCCCCGTCGCCACCGCCGTGCTCACCCTCCACGCCTTCAGGCGTGATCGACCTCATCCGCTTCAGCCTCCCATCGTACCAGGGAGTAGTCAGGGGGAAGTGATCCAGCAACGGGTGTGGGTGCGGGTTTGTGGGGGTAGGACTTGGCGGAGCTACAAAGTCGCCAAAGTCGAGGTCGGGGAAGGACGGACTGCACTCCCGCGGCGTGTCGATACCGAGGACCGCGGCGCGGTACGCAGTCATGTTCATCTCATACTCCGTTTCCCAGTCGACAGCCTCAATAAGGGCTGGAGGCGGCGGTGGAGGTGCAGTGAGGGCCTCGAAGAGGGGATAATCGCGCATCCTCGTCGCGGGTGCATATTCCACATATCTCCAGTCTGTAATACGTCCGTGATCCGCGCGTTCGTCCCAGGTGTTACCCAGTCGTGGAAGCCGTGTATGGTAAGGCTGGTGTGTTTGCGACGTCCAAGTGTTCCGATGAATAGCTGCGCTCAGCAACTCGTCGATCTCATGGTCACTGATAAAGGGGAGGGCAGGGCCAGACTGCTGTCGGTCGAGTGGAATGTACGTGCTGCCGCTGTAACGAGGGGGCAGGACTTCGCTGGCTCTTAGAGGTTCACCTGGAGTTTTGCTTTGAGATGGGGGAGCAAGACGTCCGAGAGCTGCGGCGACAAGATTAGACTGCTCGAGACTGAGCGTGCTCGCAGCCAATGTCTGATTCACTCTCAGCTTGGCCTCAACACAGTCTCCTGCCTCACACTTGACCGGCTGTGGTACCACATCAGGTGCAGGATGACTGGGTGCTACATTGGGTGGTCCAATTTCCCCGATGGGAGGAACAACGTTTGGGCCCAAGTCCTCAGGTGCTACGTCGGAGCCAGCCGCCCCGTCGCGGTGGTCAGCGTCCTGGGAGCCCGTATGCGAGTAGGGGGTGTTGACAGTGGTGTCTGTATATTCAGAGCCTTCAGTTAACCCGTACTCGTTTGTGTGGAGGGTACTGGTGTCGCTTGCCGGGGATGCGTTGGACATGTTGCTGTGACGTAGGTTGTCAGTTGCGATGTTAAAGACTAAGTGGTTAAGTATAGGCATTCGTCGGTATCCCCCCTCCTATGACACAGAGGCCGGGGGACTGGAGAAAGGGGCCTGGGTTAATGGGTTACACTAAGCTACGTATCACGTTGAATGGACACCGGTCGTCAGATCAGGAAAAGGGCGAATAAGGCGGCCAGGCCCGCTGATTATGTGCGTTTATTCCATGTATTTTCCGCAATTTTTGCAAGTTCGCCTGGCATCGACGTTTCTGGGCCATACAACAAGCATGGGTGAAACCGTTCGACCCCTTTAAGATGTTTCCAATGACCTCATCACAGCCATGTTTGGCATCGACTCTGATGGTGGATTCCTGACTGGTCCGCTGAGGAATGCGAGACGTCCTCGTCAAGGGGTGATGGGTCTTAGATCACCACATGTCCCAGCCTGGGCCGCATACACTGCATAGATCACAATGCCATAACATGGCCAAAGATATCTTCACCGACCTGACGACGGTATTCCTCAAGCGATATGAACCGAATCTTCGACATGATGCTTTGATACTTGGGCTGGTCGGAGGCGCATAAGATGAAATCAATGAAGTCGTCCTGGACCGTGTCGAGTGGCGTGTCACCAGGAGCCAGCCAGCTCCGGCTCCATTTGGTATTATAATAATGAGAGTGGTTGTCATTGGCGACCCAGCCAGGTTTCCAACATTCGCTGTTGACGATGGTCCACATCCGCTTGTTGTTGGTGACGACTTTGTGGTAGCGGATGATTTGCTGAGCTATGCCATTGAGCCGGGGCGTTTTGACTCCAGACAAGATTCGGCTGCCGTTCCATCGTTCGTTTTGAGGCGGGGGGCACCGACAGGGTTGTGTGGAAGGAGAGCAAAAGAACACCACCTCGCTGTCCCAATCAAACCGAAGGCCCACGAGGGGCTGGCCCTTGGGCACGTGTCTTTGGCAGACATTGATCTTGACCACCTGAGTGTGCGCGGTGAGAAGGGGAGTGTGCCCTTGTCCCCACCACTCCCTGTAGACCATATCTGGCTGTCTCGGTGCATCGCCCTTGAGAAGATAGACTGGTGCCGCAATGGCGAGTTTCCAGTTGACGTCCGTAAACTGGCGCAAGACATCCACGTTGCGGAATCGATCCGCCAAATGTTGCAGCTGCGCCAAGGAATACCCTTCTGGAGTGCCAACAAGGTCCAGGACTCGAGTTTTGTCGAGGAACCGAGGTTGAAGGAGTCGCTTCGGCACGCGGGAACCGTCGAGGAACAGTATCCCTTCACTACCAATGAGTAGGTGTCGGACCAACACCTCGTCCGCTTGATGGCGGAACTGTCTGGAGACTTGGCGAAGAGCGAGGAGAGTGTCGTTGGGTGAGTGGTGAAAGATAGTGGTGAAGATGTGTGGGTGGCTCGAAATGTGGAGTGGAAACATGGTTTCGGTCTTGGGCGGAGGGACGCGAGTTGAGGACAAAGTCAAACTGGCCATGGTGTTGTCGATATCGTGTTGATGGTGCCGTTTGGACCGCATGGTAAACTGAAATGAAAAGTTGCACCACAGGGCGACTGTGATGAGAAGAGTGCAACAGGGGACTGCGTCCGACATCTATTTGCATATGCTGATGTTAAATGGTTGATGCAAGCTCCGCCGCATCCGGAAGCCGGCGCTAACCGCATTCGCACTATGGAGGGTTTTACTCCATTTTCGTCCGTTTCGTGTTTTAGAAGATGTTGGCAGAGATCCACGGTCCTCCAATATCAGCAAAGAGCATGGAGAAGACCATTCCAGCCACTCCTGACAGTCCGCTAAACCCGAGGAGAGCACAAGACTCCCAGCGACTCTCCGGCTTGCGTTCAAAGCCCTCCCTTGTGGGTTCACTATTCCGGCTCGAGGTATGAATCGGCCGCTTGGAGGGTCCCATGGTGGTCACCCTGGGCTTCGACATCACAGACTTTCCAGTTGAGATGCTGACACCGGTGCGGAGTGCAGGCACCCTCACGACTGAAACCACCTTTACACGGGCGCTAGGCAACGAGATGGCGCTGGACAATGGAGTCTGAGCCAGGTGAGATGAAGCCAAGCCTGCCAACCGGATATGTTCCAGCACGGCGGTACGCTTTGGATACGTCATGGTGCAGAGCGCGCCATAGCGAATGCACGCACCCAAGCGGTCCTGTACTCCAAGCATCGAGTACTCCGACCGTGGCAGAGGGTTGGTGGCGAGAGACTGAGCGGAGGTCAGCTTTGTGTGTACTGTAAGCTCCAGCGCCACCCACCTTGAGAACTGGAAGCAGCTTTGCGAAGTAATCTTCCGCGTCACTTCCCTGGGGTGAGGCTGCGGAGATATGCTTCTTGTTCAGTTGGCCGTCAATCAGCTTGGCGCTTGCAGCGAGCAAGAGCTCCGCCTCACGGAGGGTGTGCTGGTTAACAGGGCGAACGGCGGCTTGAATGGACGGGCGTGCCTTTGGTCAGCAGAGGTCATTGGTAAAGTCGGCATACCTGGGTGGAAAGGCGTACCCTGGAGGTGAGGCGAGCAGGAAACGTCATGTCTAGCTTGGGAGTGCTTTGTCGGTTGAAACTTGGGTGTCAAAGGAGATGATAAGTGTCATGAATGACGCCAACCACGTCCTTTTAATCGGGGAGCTGCCTTCACAAGCCATTCACTGCGGCTGACACGGTGGGACGGAATGTCGTTGCTGATGTCACAGGACGAAACAATCACCATCGACTCCAGGTCTCTGCCATCAGAGTGATGACAAGTCATCGCCCACTATCCATCTCGTCAGGCAACGTCATTGTACTTACAGCTCGTACATCGCTTGTGAAGCTCATGACTCACCACCCGTGAGTTGGGCCCAGTTTGTCCTCACCCCACGCAAAGCTGGGCTCGAGCTTGAAGGTCTGGATCACCCAGAGTATCCCAACATCTTTGAGATGTGTGAGACGAGGTCTGGGATCGTTTGACACATGTTCTGATACAGTGCAGCGAGTCACTGAGAATAGATTCATTCATGTTCATTGTTCACAGCCGTTTCTATGTAGCCACGCCGGGTGGCTAAAATCGCCATCGATCAGCTTACGCATACAGCCCAGGCATCATGGTCCGAAACGACCGGGTGCAAAGGACAGCACGAGCAGTGCGAAGTGTAAAGTTGCTGGCGGCGCCATAACCCCAGCCGAAACCGCAAACAGCGCCAATGACTCCGCCAAAGATTCCGGTCCAGAAGCGCATGTTGGTCTCCTGTCTCATGAGCTCATCGCGGCGAGCTCGCTTGGCCTCCTTGGTCAACTGACGAAGAACCTTCTTGCCGGCACGAATGACCTCACCAGTGCTCGAGGAAACCGATGGAGCCGTCCAGGAAGAGTTGCCGTTGTAGAGAGTTGAGTCGCTGGAGTCGGACTTCATGATGCTAGCGGAATCGCTGCTGGTGACCGAGTGAGCACTTGCCTTGATGTCGGAGACTTTGGCGGGGGTGACCTTGGCATGGGAGACCTTGGCCGGAGAGACCTTGGCGTGGTATACGCTGGGTTCCTCCTTTTCCTCAGCAGGAGACTCGGACTGGGAGTCTGACCAGTTGTCAAGAGGGCGGTGCTTCTCACCTTCCGAGCCAGAGGACGGCGAGTCAGAGGACGGCTGTGACGACAGAGTTTCGGGGTAGGGCACCAACTCCTCTTCAATGGCCAGGAGCTCGTCCTCAAACGAGACTTGCTCTTCCGGGTGACTCTTGTCCGACTCTACAACCATGGAAGCCTCGGCCTCCTCACGCTCGTCTTCCTGGACGCGGGCCAGATTCTGGCCAAACAAAATGTTTGGCTTGCTGTTGATATCGGCCCACTTGAGCTCCACGCCGACGATCCCACTCCCCTCCAGCCCATGGACAAACAGGTCCACATCAGTGCGAGACTTGCCCTCCTCAAAGTCGGTGGGCAGGCTTAGGTCGACGACGACTTGGGCTGTGAGGTTGGGGGAGAGGGTTTCTTGAGTCCCTTGAGCCTGAGCTCGACCTGCCAGTGTCAGCCTTGTAACCTTGACACTCCAACCACTCACTGAGGCCACAATGATCTGGAAAACTGCCTCGTTGAGTGTGGCGGTCGGGATGAGGATGCCGTGGGAGGAGGCAATGTCCAGGAGCTTGGCGACACACTCGGGAACCTTGATGTCGATGTTGGAAGTGTACATGCGTGAACCCAGAACCTCAGTCTCGGTTAAGACTGGCATCAACGACACCGACGATTTAGGCGTAGTGGGCTCCACAACAATGGTCCTCGCGGGGTAGGTATCGTGTTGCGCGACATCATAACCCGGGACGGCAGCATCCGAGCCGGCACGGCTAAGGGTGTGGCGAGTGGCATGACCCTCGCGCGCTCCCCGATGGGTTGGGGTCGGGGTCAAGGGAGGGGTGTTGATGGCAAGCCTGTTCCGCTTGGGGGAGATACGCATTGTGGGAGGAGTTGCGCGAGGCAAGAGTGTGGAGGTGTGAGGAGCCATCGCTAAGTTCTATGGGATGGTGTTGTAGAGTTGTTGGGTGGTCCTTTGACGGATGGCATGTTCCACCCTTATAGTGTCATGCTGAGGGTGGCGATATGATCAGCCGAACCACATGTTCCCTGTGAATGAATCACCAACCCCGTGCAACGATGTCAGAGGACCCCGTTTGGGTGGGTGATGAAAGTGATGGCACAGGGTCCGTGTGGCAGAGTGAGTACAGTCTGTGATGGGGTTGAAACTAGAGGATCAGAGGACTTGAAACGGTTGATGGACCACAATCAGGCCTGCAACGGGCAGTCATCAGTATAGAAAAGTAGCAGAGCATCACTAAGGCGATGCGATGCATTATTGGCTCTCTGATCCGAAGGTCGCCGAGTGTCATGTTTGCAGCGAACAATACAGTGGGCCACGAACACGACACACCCTTCCGCATTCTCCTGTGTACCTCGCCATCACCCACGTCCCCAGATATCTGAGTTGGCTTTGGAGGCGATGAAGCTCCTGTTGATGAGAGTGACACCAGAGCCCCACTCTGCCCCGCAGGTCACACATACTCATCGAGAGGTATTGTTCACTTCACCGGAGAACTCGGCCTTCTTGCCAGTTACGCGAAGGACTCTGTGACGGCCGAAGGATTTCGGTGCGGCCACGTATGGAGTGAAGCTAGGGCATTCACGATAACACGCATGTGTGCTAGATGTACGTAGGATGTCCATGTGACTGGAAGAGTTTCGTCGGGTGGAGACTGGGGAGGAAATAGGATTAAAACAGCCTAAATTCAAGTGTTAACGTGTCTGTGTTATCGCGTACTGAAGCAGAAGATCTGTTGTACTGGTCATCGGCTACGGTTAGCGCATGTAGGCCTTGGACGGGTCGCTCGTATCTCGAGGTACCGCCCTTGCGAGTGTCTCATGTGCGGCCATGATCCACCGTGGCCCAGACTTCGCTGCCTATGGGCCTGCCGGGGAGCTGAACGTTGTGTACGTGAACCATGTTGTGGGCCAAGGTGATAGGGGATGATACGGGTGTTCACCAAGGGATCTCTGTACGTTGTCCGCCGCCGAGTTGGGTCTGTGCAATCGTCCCTCTCCGGCTATAGTCTGTTGGGTCTTGATCAACATGTCGGAGAATGAACACGTCAGATGCGACGAGGGGAATGATTCTGCAAACCGTCAGCGCGAGGTGATAGTGACAGCCCGGGAGCGACACATTGGTATTATAGGTGCTGGTCACACTCAAGCGGTCGCGGTTTTGGTGTCTTTTTGGATGTTGCACGCGAGCAGGTTCAGTGGATGAGTTGCTCCAGTGCTGACATGTATTGTACATGCATACGTGGCGTCTGCCAATACTGTCGACACGAACATTCGCACACTCGCACACGAAATATATGAGGCAAGAGAGGAAGGAAGCCGGATCCTCAGACACACTATTACGCTCCCTCATGGCTGGCTTACAACGACCCCGCGCTTCGCGTCAACCAACATTACTGCGAGTAACGGGGACTCGAGCAGTCGTGAGCACCTTCTAGGCGGCATCACCGTTGGCGAGCTCGTCGACCTCGACCTCGGCCTCGGGCTCCTTGGCGGCCGCCTTGCGCTTCTTCGCGGGCGGCTTGTCGGCCTTGGGCTCCTTGACCTTCTTCTCCTTAGGAGGCGCCTTCTCCTTCTTCTCCTTGGGCGGCGCCTTCTCCTTCTTCGCCTTGGGCTCCTTGGGCTCCTTGGGCTCCTTGGGCTCCTTAACCTTCTTCTCCTTGGCGGGGGCCTTCTCTTTGGCGGGGGCCTTCTCCTTGACGGGCTTGTCAGCCTTGTCGACCTTTGCCTTTTTGGCAGGCTTGGGCTTGTCGGCGTCTTCAGTGTCGACGTCTTCGGCGACAGCCTTGGACTTCTTGGCCTTGCCGCTACCCTTGACAGTGACGTTGACGGTGATCTGGAGACGAGATCAGCACCAGTTCAACGTGGAAGCATCCCCGCATCCAGGATGGATTTGACTTACCACGACATCGGCCTCGTCGTCGCCAGCCGGGACGCGCGCGTTCTTGGTTCCGTGCCAACCGTAGCTACTGAAATCCAGGGGTCAACAAACAATGTCTAAGGCGACGGAATGACGCGTCGCGTCATTGATCGTGGATTGCCCGAACAGACTCACCCAGTCGCCATTTCCTTGGGGGCAGCGGTAAAGTCGTGGCCACCGACGGTGATGGAGATCGGGGCCGCAGCGGCCAGGAAGGCAGCGGCCGCCTCATGGCCCTCCTCAACGGTGGCCGCGTCCTTGACCTTGGTTGCGGTCGATTTGGCCTTGGGTTCCTTCTTCTCAGCAACGGCCTTGGGCTCAGCCTTGGCTTTAGCAGCGGCCTTTTTGGGAGCTGCAGCTGCTGCCTTGACGACCTTGGGCTCGGCAGTGGTGCTCTTAGCCGTCTTCTTCTTGCTGGCGGTGGTGTCTTTCTGATGGGATGGGTGAGCCATGGCCAGGGGCAAGGGTTGTTTAGGGAAGGGAGCGGGATGCCCGGAATCAACAACACATACCTCCTGCTTATCGGCGGCCTTGGCGCGTGCCATTGTACAAGTAGACGAGGGGTGTAACGGGGTGGGTGGATGTGCTTGCTGGCTACCTGTGGTGGTAGAGGGCAGATGGATGGGGATGATGGAGAAGCAAGAAGGAGATGCAATGTTTGTGTCGTTGTTGATCACCAGCGGTGGGTGGACAAGTCAGCGGCCCATGCGCGCCGGTCGGGTGGCGCAATATTCCCCCCTCCCTCCCAATCCTCCTTGACCCACCGGCCGACAGCCCGACCCCCCACGCCATTGTCATAAACACAAAAATATCATTGTACTGTATACATGCTGGAATCGCACTCGCCAGCACTCTAGCGATACAGATGTGGAGTCAATGCATGGGCGGAATGGATGCCAGTGCACTCTCACATGTCAGGCTCAATGGGCAAAGACTGCGGGCCCACGGGAGACGCGGTCCGGAGGCAGCAGCAGAGAACACAGGGCGGTGCCGATGTAAACAGCCGTCGCGGTGATGAGTGGCAACTCGGGCTTGACGGCCAGCAGGAATCCAGCAATCACTGGAGCGACGACACCTGCTAGACGTGATAGGGCCGCCGAGGTACCACAGGCTGTGCCGCGGATGCTGGTTCCAAAGGTTTCCGGAGTCATGCCGTCTGCTCAGTCAGCCGCTGCAAAACAATGGCGAGGAAATACGCACAGAGAACCGCGTACATGGCAGTGCCAGTGAGCGAGACAAACATGGAGCTCACAATCACCGCATTGTTGGACCGCACTCTGATGAAGACAAACATGCACAGACCAGTCGCCACTGTGCACAGTGCAAGGCTCTGGCGACGACCCAGCTTTGTCTGAATCATCCAGGCGCCAATCTGGACCGTTAGCAGTGACCGCGGTCAAACGCATTAAAGCTACTCACAATTGACCCAGGACAGCCTGCAACAGAGTACAGGACCACATCCTTGAGCGCGCCGTGGATGGCGTCGTCACTCTCGCCCTGGCGGCTCTCAAGAATAGCAGGCAGCCACACGTTGAACATGGTATACGCTGCGTGTCAGGCCAAACAAGGGACGGCTTGCTCACCAAATGCCATGGCACCCCAGATAATCCACATGAGAATGACGGTCCTTCGCCACTTGGGCGAGAAGAGTCTGCCCATCTGCGCCTTCCAGCTGTGGAACCACGCCCACTTAGATTTGGGACCGTGGCGGCCAGGAAGGTGATGACGGTGAGGAGAGCGACCGTGAGGTGAACGGGGGGTAATAGGAGATGTGGGGCTTTCGGGCATGAGGGTACGCTGCTCCTCGTCGATGATGACACTCGAGTCACCAGCCAGGAGCTGTGGACGCACGTCGACCGGCTCAATGGTCATGGACTCGTCGTTGAAGGTGGCAATGGAACGCAGGACGACTACAGCCTCGTTTGACCGTCCGTTGGCCACGAGGAAGCGTGGGGACTCGTGCAGACGGAGAACGATGAATCGGGCAAGGGCACAAAGAAGGTTCTGCGAGTCAATTTTCAATTCCAACAGATGCAACTCACAATGCTCCCCAAAGCCAGTAGCACATGCCTCCACCCATTGTTTGCTCCTCCATCAATATCGCAACCTTCAAATGTCTTGCAGCTCTTCTTTGGCAAGAGGGCGAATCCTGTTGTGGCTGAGAGCACAGCGCCAAATGAGAAGAAGACGGAAAGGAGCGTGAGCAGGTACTGCTTCGAGTGGGGAAGGTTCTCAAGGAAAAGCGTGCCATCTGTTGGCATTGAACCGCTGGAGAGGTTAGTTACATGTCCTTTATACTCTGGCCGAGGTATGGGTGTAATGTGACCCTCTCAGACAGCCGTGGTACACTCACCCGACAGCGGTTCCAAGGCAGAAGAGCCACGTGCAGAGGACCCAGAAGTTTGGAGAAAAGCTCGCAGCAATGCCAAAGATGGCGGTCAGGAGAAGCGTCGAGTGGAAGGGGAGCGCACGACCGACCAGGTCCGACACCACACCCCAGCCAACTGCACCGACCATCATCTGTGGACCTGTCAGCCTTGCCTTTAAACTTTGCAAATTGGACGTGGAGCGGCTCCCAAACATGTAGACGCAGAACACAGCTGAGACAGACCGCTCCAGTGTGGTTCAACATGACGTGATATGATTGCCGAGAAGCTCAGCTGCGTATCGCCCTCAACGTCATGGCGCCATGCGCATCTGCTTTGCCGCTCAGCTGTTCAGTAGACTCACGCCTGCCATAGTGCTTGCGCTGAGCACACCAACGACCTCGCTTCCCAAGTTCCAATGTACTTGCACACGAGGAAGAATGACTGCAATGCACGCGAGTGCACTGTTATCCGACATCCAGCCGCAGCCGCATAGCGCAAAGAGGCGCCACTGATATGCGCCTGCAGGGGGGACAGCAGGGACGAGGTCGAGGACGAACAATGCGGCGAGAAGGGGCAGAGTGTGTAGGGAATGGACCGGGATATGGTTTGAGGGTGGCCGCCGAGGTTGAGGACAGAAGAAGGAGCGTGTCAGTACGTTCAGACGGATAGTGAGGAGGGCAGGACGGAGGGGCCGGAATACAACATGCCAGCAGCGGCGAGGCGGGCCACATGTCACAAGACAGCCTGCCTCAGCTGAGCTCGAAGACCGGCCAAGAGACGCGCAGCGCGTGCATGACGGGGTCACAAAGTGCGTATGCTGTGACGCGGCGCGACCGTGGACGGCAACTGTTCCTTCGTCTCGTGACTCACCAAACCCAAGCTTCTCGAGTGTCTCCTCGAGTCCGCGCTCGGCCTCGTCGCCTTGGGACGAAGTGATGCTGTCCTCGTCCTCGCTGCTGCGCGGGGAATCCAAGTTTGGACTTGTAACCAGAGTAAGGTCTCGGGGCACCATGTTGGAGTGTGGAGGATGATGAGAGGGTTGGAGAGAGGAGTGAAAAGGAGATGCGCTGTTGCATACGGAGTCGCTGTCGTCTCTCTCAAAGACGTGTTACAGGCACCACCCCGATCCTAAAACGTCAGCGGCGCAGCAGGGGGGTTTGGCAGCAAGGACCCCAGAATACCGGGATTAACATTGATTAGCGACCAATTAGAGATGCGTCCTAACATGTCAACATTCGGAAGCAACGGGGATTTACAATATCTGTTCCAATTCCTATATGGACCTTATCGCCAACTGAATTTAAATGATGGCGTCGTCGGCGCTATCGGTGACCTGAAAGTGGGTTGGGCACTGACATGGGGCGGCGACATGCTGGTGGCCAGTGACGCCTTGCTGGTGGACAGCGGGGCCACTCTCATATGCGGTTGGATTGGACGTCGCTCGTTGCATCGTTTGGAAATGACAGCAGCAATTCGGCGACGATCGCTCTGGCCGTCCTTCCCCTGGATAACGCACTATCGCGCCGATTTCTTCGACCATCGGTCCGATTGCTGTCATAGTGTGTTTCTTCGGCCCTCGAAAAACACACTACGCGAGGAAAATAATATTAATAATGCCTGCACGGGATCTATGGAACCGATTTACGAGAGGGGCTGCCCAGCCAATGCATCCTGTAGAGGCCGGATGTACTTGTCTTTTTTCACCGTCTCGGCAACCACGCACGCACTTTAGCTCTGGCTCCAGTCCTCTCATAACCGTGTCAGTCGACACAACCATGCATGGGATTACAACATGTACACATACGCCTAAAGAGACACGAGGCTCTCGGGCTGAGGTAATTAATATGGTTTCTCGATGGCTCGTGTTTTCATGATTCGTGGTTCCCGTGTATTTCGTCTCAGAAACGCAAAACGTCAACCTAGTCGACATACTCCTCATCCTCATCATCACCAAGCACGCCGACACTGCGAATCTCGCCGCCGGGGGTGTACAGGACCGTAGCGTTTGCAGCTCCGTCCTCGAGGTATCCCTCGACGAGGTGGAAGATGTCCGAGTGGGACTGGCTGCGGGTACGGGTGCTTGGTGTCGTGGGGTGCGACCCGATAGATGGCGCACGGAGGCGACGACGAACGCTCGGTGATGGAGAGGTGGGGTTGCTTGGGAGACCTCCAGCGGGTGAGACGGGGGAGGAAGACATGTGGAGCGCAAGGTTGGCGTGTGTGCGACGACGGCGGAGCGACGCGCGCGGGGAAGGAAGACCGCTGGGGTCGTCGGGTGATACGGTTGTAGAGTGCAAGGGCGTAGTCGTGTTGGCGCGGCGCATGGGAGGACGCGGGCTCGGGGAGTGAAGCGAAGCGTCCTGCTCCAACGCCGACTGCACATGAATGGCAGATGCGCGGCGTGGGTCGACTGAGGATGGCAGAACCGTGGCGCCTGGCGGCAACGAGTCGACATCGATACTGGGGGCGCTCGTACGGGGTGTGCGGGTGCCAGCGACAGCAGCGACAGACTCGAGAGTCGCACTGGGGGAAGGCGCAGGCGAAGGACGCAATGTCTGCTCGCCATCCTCAGGCGCGTCATGTTCAGCCGCCCACTGGTCGTTCTCCTCAGCTGCCGCCTCCATCTCGGCAAACTGACGCTGCTCCCACTCGATGCGCGGAAGAGTCTGGCGAACCCAACGTCCAATGCTGTTGATAGCCGCATGTGTAGCGGGCAGCCAGGTGAACATTTGGAACACGTGGACCATGTCTTCGTACAGCTCGTGGGTGACGGGCACGCCGGCGAGGGTGGCCTTGTGAGCGAGAAGCGTGATCTCGTCACGGAGGACCTCCGAGTCGCCGGACTGAATCAGGAGTGGCGGCAGGTTCGACAAGTCACCAAAGAGTGGTGAGGCGTATGGGTGGGTCAAGTACGCCGCGATGCCCTTAGGACCGAGGTAGCAGCCAACGGGGTTGAGGTGGTCTTCCGCGTGAGGAACACAGATGACATCGTATTCACTGTTCTCATCCCAAGATCCGCACGACATGGTGAGATCGACCCAAGGTGACATGAGACAGGCACCAGCGGGCATGGGGTAACCATTGTCGCGGAGGTACATCATGAGGGCGAGACACAGACCTCCACCGGCCGAGTCGCCCATGACGATAATGTTCTCCGGCGGGATGGAGAGGGGAGGAGCGAGGAGGCGGAGATAACCCTGGACTACGTCGAGGAGAGGCAGCGGAAACGTAAACTCTGGGGCGAGGCGGTAGGTAATCGCTGAGAGGTGAGCAAAGACTGGCGCCTAAACGTAACACCTACCAAAGACCCTCGCGTTGCAAGCCTTGCTGATACCAATCGTCACGAGGCGGTGGGTAGCGGCGTTGCCCACATAGTACGCGCCGCCATGGACATAGTAGATGACACGTTCACGACGGCCGGTAGTCGTGGCAGCCTCAACCTCGAGCTCGGGTTCGGGCGTCGAGCGCCCCTGTTCGACCGACATGCCCCTCACGCTCGCCATGGGGCTCGACATAGCGGACGCGTCGTCACGGAGCCGGGACGGGCCTGCATGAGTGCGACGGCGCATCTCACCATGCCAACGCGCGCGGCGCTCGGACTTGAGACGCTTCCACACATCGTTGCCGACAACCCACTCTCCTGTGAGCTCGCGCGTGCCTGTCTCTTGAATATCCCATTCACTGTTGCCTGTTAGATCCCGCTGCTGTCTCCTCAGGCTGTTGTTGATAGCAACTGTACTCACCGTAAGAATCCCCTACACGCGTCCGCGGGCTTGCGCTTGGGGACGAGGAATGTGATGGGTGTCACAACCGCGTCCGCGGGGAGCGGGATAAAGTATGTGATGGAAATGAGATGGCGGAGGAGGACAATGTCTGCAAAGTCGGTGTAATTGCCGACGTTTCGCATAAAGGATGTGATCTGCCATCGTTAACCAACACGTTTTGACGGTCTGGAGCGATGTGCACCGGCTATGACGTGCGGAGCTGAGCACCCAAAGTAGACGATCGCCGCCAGGCCGTAGCGAGGCGCGGACGACGTCGTCACGTTGAGAAGCAACGGCGAAGACCGTTGGCAGCGTGTCGCGGCGTCACCGGACCTGGCTTGTCGGCCAATGCCGGACAGGTGCACGGACGCGGTCATCCTCCCAGCCCATGCCGCCGCCTTGGCGCTCAATAGGAAGTGATGAGGTGGTGACATGCCGCTCGTCGCCGCCGCGCACGTATGCCAGCATCGTCCTTTGCGCGGCCCAGTGCGGCCAGTACAGTACTCACAAGTGTCATGCGGTAGCCCCACGACGGGCGCTGAGGACCGAAGAGGAGGTGCTTCAAAAGTGACCAGACAATGTGGAGGCCCTTGGCCATGGAAAACTGGGCGAACGCGATCCATGTCGAGAGAGTCCAGAGGAGAGGGGACGCCGATGTCGGGGGTGCCGAGCGCTGGGTCGTGTTGGTCCCGAAGCGACTGCTGGGGGGTAATGGGCTGGGGGAACGGAGGGGATGTGTCGACGTGTACGATTTGAGAAGGTGCGCGAGCCGGCCAGTGTGCGGCGCGGTGTCCGCGTGCAGTGTCGACGACATGACAGCAGTGCACGGGGCCGGTGCGCGGCGGAGTGTCCGCGACCGGTGGCAAGTGGTGGACGGCGACTGAGTGACAGGAAGTTGAAGAGACAAGACACAGCGGAAAGAAGAATGAATGGAGGTGGAATGGGCGAGTCCGGAGAGATGCGTTGCCGATGCCGGGAATGACAACGATTCATTGTTTCTCGCTCGGGGTTCAAGATGCGGCTCAAATACATATTCTGTCTACCAACTCTCCTCCCCGCCACGTCCGTCGTCAAACATCGTCTCAACGTACGATGCACTCTCCTCCGGAGTCATGGTACCAGAGCCCTCTATGCTGATTGCCCATGCCAGTGCTTCACGAACCTCTCGGGGCATCGCGTTGGAAGACCTGTGCCCGGTTAGCCTCGCTCCGGTGCTCAAGCAAAACCCTAAACGCAAACTTGTGCCCTCTCCTTTGCGACTCTGCCACAACAACACCATTGTAGTTGCGCCCAGCATGCAGTGCAAAACAAAAGGACTTACCCGCAGACATAAATGTGCCCCCTGCGACGTACGATCCAGTCGTTTAGCCTGGCTGCATCCTCGCGCAGCAAGTGCTGAACGTAAACCTTCTCCGGCCTATCGCGGCTTGGGGCGATCCGGACGTGTGCGCCCTCTGCCCGATGCTTCTCCCAGTCCTCCTTGAAGTAGAGGTCCTGGTTGACAGAGCGGCAGCCAAAGTACAATGCAGTGTCTGACGTCAGCAAAGGACAATACTGTCGAGCTCACCCTGTGCTGCGCCCTGTGCGACTCGGGCTTCCAGGAAAGCTCGCATAGGCGCCACGCCGGTGCCGGGGCCAACAAGGATAACCGGTGTCCCCTTGTCGGGCAGTTCCAGCGTTGGGGGAAGGATTTCGTATGGAATCCGTGTACCTGCGAGTTTGTCAGCCGTGTCCCACCAGAGCCCCGCAAAACTCACCTTCAGGCATGGTGCTGAACCACGACGAGCACAGGCCTCGACGCGGGATAGAGAGGTTGGTCTTGTATTCGACGAGTGCCACGAGGAGCTGGATCTCGCCCGGGTGTGCATCCGAGTCGCTCGCGATGGAGAACTGTCGCCTACGCAGAGGGGGGAGCGCCTCAAGAATGTAAGCAAGAGGCATCTTGGTGGCGCGGAAGTCCGCCAGTGTCTCCACGATGGTGCGCTTCGGGCGCGTGGCATAGTCGTGGATCTCATCGGGATCCGCAATGAACTCTTCCAGTCTCTCCTCCTCGCGCTCGTCGTTTGAGAAGCGTCCCAGCCACTCGAACAGCGACTTGCGCGGTGGGCAGCGCAGGTCAAGGTGGTATGTCAGAAGGATGCGGAGGGTCGTGGGGCCGCGGGGAAGGTGAGGTGGGAGAGGCTGGTCTGGAGAGAGTTAGTGACATATGGCACACAGAATACGCACCTGGGATGGTTGACCTTATCACAATTGGCCTGTCAGCTTCGGCCTGGAGATCATTCATCTCCAAAAACGTGTCCACTTCTTCGGCCGAGCAGCGAGGGTGAATGGCACAGACAGATCCGGGAGGGTAGCTCTCATGGCCATCGAGCTCGAGGTCCAGCTCCCGCACATCTTGGAACCATCCTGAAGCAGTGACGCGCTCATTCTTCGTAAGGGTTGCCATCTTCCACCCCTTGGGAGCATACACGTCCGGGACTTGGCTGGATGATGAACCGTTCAACGAGAGCTTGGCAAGGTCATCGGCTGGGTCGGCGGGGACGGGGTCCAGAGCATAGATGGGATCAGGAAGAGCATTCCAAGGCAGAGCTGGGGCCGAGGGGCCGGGGAGGTAGGGAACAAAAGTGTCGAGTGCTTGCTTGAGCCATGGAACAAAGGTCTGCTCCACACTGGAATGTTAGCAAAGCAGAGGGATCCTTAACATACCCATCCGGAGCACGCTCGTCGCCCCACCCAGGTTCGCACAGAGCGTGCGCTCCTAGGCTGTGCATACGGCGCACGAGCATCTTTCCCGCAAAGCAGTAACGCTCGTAGGAGCTATCGCCAAGACCAAAGAGGGCATAGTGGACGTCTGCGGTGTGTCAGCGTATGTCGAACCAAACAATCAGGACGCGTGTCTTCCTTCCTCGCCGTCCTCGCCTTCCTCCACCGTCTCACCCCCGTCCTTCCAAGCCTCCTCCGTCTGGACTAGCCCCACCACGAGCCCTCCAGGTTTCAACATGCACTCACCGTCGAGAATGTCCTCTGGAAGTCCCTTGCGGATGAGCTTGCCCCACAGGCCGCGCATAGCGGGAGGTGGGTCGCCGCGTCCATGTGTGCTGGTCACGAGGATAAGGAGCGGCTCATGAGGGAGGTCCACGACATCGTACTCGTCCATGCTCACGCACACCGCGCGGCGATGGGCGGCACGGAACGCGCGCGCGATGCGCTCGGCAATGTCTTGTGCGTTGCCCGTCTCGGATGCGTACAAGACGAGCACATGCTGCGGCTCGACGGCGGAGACTATCGAGTGCGCGGAAGGCGTGGGCGAGGGCGCGCGGAGGGCGCCTGGTGTCGCCATGTCGGGTGCGCGTGCTGGACTGAGGACGAAGCGCGAGACAGGTATAGGAAGGTGGAATGGAAATGCTGACTTGGCCGGATCGCTGTGGAATTCGACTCGGCCGTCGCCGCCCCGCCGTCCGATGTCAGCGACAACGCGGGGCACCGAATCTCGGCGCCGAACCAACAGCCGCGCCCAGCCGCCGGCATGGCTGTCACGTTCTTCCTCTTCAACAGCACACCCTCCTTGCTCCACAGTATCCCAGTTCCAACATGGTCCAGCTCTTCAAGCCTGCCCACGGGCGCTACACTCCGCGCGACAAGGACAGGTGAGCGTGAAGATGTTCAACCGTTGCAGCTCGCTCTAACGAACCCATACTGACGTCCCAGCTTCTCGTGAGTGCAGCTACTACGTGCCCCTCCGCCAAGCTGCTCGACTTTACTGACTGGCAGGTACACCACTGTTACTCACAGGTACGTGCTAATGTGGAAAATTCTGACCGTGCAAGCTAATGGCCAGGTGGCCCGTGATCATCACCAACATCGTGTCGACCGTCAGCTCCGAGAACCACAAGCTTGCCAACGATGACCCCCGTCTCGCCGAAGGAAAGGCCATCATCTCGGAACTCAGCGCGCTTAAGCACCAAATGGGACGCAACAGCGTGTTGCAGTGAGTATCTATGGTACAAAGTGCTCTACAAAATGCCCGAGGCGCGACCCTCTTGGCAGCTCACCTTTGAAGCGAAGCTGACTTCAGGCCCATCCAGGACGACGGCGGCGGCAACCTCGCCTGCTACAACGATGAGCTGGCGGCTACCCCTGAGGAAGAGAAGAGGTGGTTTACCGCCAACTGGCTCTTTGCCGAGTGTTACCTGTGAGTAGAATGTTTTTCTAATCTGTTGCCAACCGCTGGCTGCGTCGTTCGTGTGTCGTAGCCAGACTCCGCACTGATACAATCCTCCAGGTACCGCGTCCTTCGCTCGCTCTTTGCCCGTACGCAGCACTGGGCCGACTACGACCCCTTCTTTGAATCCAAGGCCGAGACCTACAAGTCCAGCTCGACCGCCATTGTTCACTTGGCGGAGGCTCTCAATGCAATGGTCACCGACGAGCGCCTCCAGGACGGGTGGGAGAAGGAGGGAAGCAGGCTGGAGATTGCCTTCTGGTGAGTCCTCGACAAGCTACGCCATCCCTCCCACCATAGCTTGCACACAGATAGTGATAGCCGGATTACTGACACTGCAGGGAGATGATCCAGGCCGCGCTCTGGGGCAACGCCACGGACCTCTCGCTCCTTGTGGACCTTAAGTACGAGGACCTCCAAAAGCTCCAGGCGGTCGGCAAGGCGGCTCAGGCGGCTCAGGCGGCCAAGGTGCTGCGTGACGACCTGCCCAAGGTCTGGGCTCTCCTCAAAACTGTCAAGGACGGCCAGGTCGATATTGTGCTTGACAACGGTGGGTCGCATGTGAATGCGGGGGAGCTGATCCATCAGCCGGTTTTGAGCTGTATACCGATCTGGTGTTTGCCGACTTCCTCATCTCGTGTACGCCGTTCGTCAACAAGGTCGTCTTCCAGTAGGTCCTACATTCTGGTGTGCGCTGACAGCAGCCCCAAGACGGTTCCTTGGTTCGTCTCGGACGTCCTGCCCTATGACTTTGGGTGGGTGATATTCCCTGGTGCGGACTGACCCAGCAGATGGGCGATTGACTCGCTCCTTGACACGTCCTTCTTCGCCAGCCACGCTCAGTTGAAGGACGGTGACACCGACTCGCTCACTACCCTCGCGCAGCGCTGGAAGGCACACGTCGCCGAGGGCCGCTTCCATCTCTCGGTCCCCGTCGACACCAAGATGGGTGCCGACGTCCCCGCTGCCAACTTCTGGTGCACGCAGTTTGCGTACCAGGACCTGCCTGCCGTCGACCCCGAACTCCTCGCCGCCCTCCAGAAGTCGGACCTCGTCGTGTTCAAGGGTGACCTGAAGTGAGAACAGAAGATAAAGCGGCGTCAACAATCAGTGGTGGCTGACAGATAGCTACCGCAAACTGATCGGCGACGCCAAGTGGCCCACGACGACGCCGTTCGAGGAGGCCATCGGCCCATTGAATGGCAAGATCAACCTCGTGTCGCTCCGGACGAACAAGGCCGACACTATGTGAGTACAAGCCCAGACCCACCCACGACCGGCCATACGCTGACAACCACCACAGCTGTGGTCTTCCTGAGGGTACCGAGGAGCGACTGGACGCCGAGGACAAGACGTGGCGCATCTCGGGGAAGTACGCCATCGTGTCGTTTGCCGCGCGCGCGTAACCGTACCCGAGTCCTACACGGCGGCCGGTGACCAACGAGTGGGGTGGCGCTCTGGCTCATGGGCCCATGGGGGAACCGAAGGACCTAGGCTGGACTTGCTTGTCGGCATTGGCGCGAAAAGCGGCACAAGCTAGCTTGGTCTGGCTAAGGACGGTGACACAGAGCTATAGATGACGAGAGACGGCGATCACACAACATCGAACAACAGGCCCAAGGAACCGACTACTGGATCACAGCATGCGGACATTTATTGGTACATTGGTGGTAGCTAGAAGTTACGTCCATTTGTGCCGAGTTGATTATCGCATGAACTTCCCATCTAGGTGTGCACCTACGAAATTACTGAACAGGAGCTACAGGAGCTAGCTGCGTACTACAAATGCGCGCGCAAGGAGCAACTTCGCTCACCCACGTGCGCTCTACTGGTGGTCTGGTTCGGAAGGGATGTCAAGGCGTTCCAAACTGCCGTTGACGCTAGCTGGTGAAGGCGAGGTGACACTCAATTGCTCCAGACTGGACCCTTTAACGTCACCAGAGGATGCGAGCGACGACCGGTCAATGCTCTGGCTGTATGTAGCTCCGGGATAGGCGGTGTACGGGTCGCGCGCGTCGCTGCTGCGAAACGGCATAAACGAGCCGTGGCTGTTGGTAGGAGTCTCGCTGCGGGTATGCACGGCCGAATCCAGGCCCGCTGCGCCTGTGTTGTGTGGAGAGAACACATCCACGTTCGAGCCAGACCATACTGCCCCGTGCCGTTTCCATGCCGACCGCGGTGACATGGGGGTGGGCGAGCCCGCATCTGTTGTTGCTGGGCTGGTGCTCGCACTACTGGCGTTGGGCGGTGTTGTGGTGGAGGGTGCCGAGTTCTGCAGAGCGGCACTAGCAAGACTTAGAGAGGACGGTGGGACTGAGGTAGCAGCAGTTGGACGTGGTGGTGCCGCAAAGATCGAGCCGCGTGGACTCGACACGGATGACCTGGAGCGGGTGCGGGTCGGGGTGCTGTGCTGATCTGGGAGAGCGATGAAGACGAGCTTGCCGGTCGGGTGCTCAGTGTCCAGAGCCAGGGAGAGGTTTACGCTCGAGGCCAGCGGCGGTGCGTGTGCCAAGCTCGTGGACGCGACTCCTAGATCTAAAGGTCCTGCGGGTTGCGGCGGATGGTTCCCGCTGGTACGCCGCACGACCACCTCCCACCGGACTTCGTCATCTTCGGCGTGCGGCAAGCACTGTACGCTGACTTCGTACCCACCTCCACCTCTCCGCGTTCCGCTCACGTCCGGCGTGCGCGGGCGGAGATGTGGAGATTCAACCAGCGATCTCTGTCGTTGATGCTGAGGGGGAGGGGAACCGTCAGTTTGTGTGGGTGTTCCGGGTATGACCTGGGGAACGAGCGGTGGAGGTAGGACCGCAGCCGTGCTGAACCGCGGGGACACAGTCACCGGGTGACTTCTCTCACTGTCTCCTGACACGCTGGCGCTGGAGGGCTCTGGCACTGGCACTTGGACGGATGACGTGAACGGTTGATTGTGTAAATCTGGTGTTGCTGGAGTGGAGGACGCTTTCCAAGACGCGGCAGTCCAGCTGCCATTGATGGGTGCTCGGTGACGTCCACTCGGCTTGCGCGCAAGCCATGCCGCGGTTTCCCTGCTGACTGACCCGACGTTCACGACTCCGAGACCTGCAGCAGCCAGTGGTTGTGCACTGTCACTGCTTCCGCTGCTCGTGGGCGAGTTGGGGCGCGAGCGTAGCAAGGGTGTAAGCGGGGCTGTTGTCGAAGCCGGCGATGCCGTCGCAAGCGCCCCCTGGCCGCTATTACTAGCTGGGGCGGGGGCGATACGTGGAGGCGGTGGGGGTTTGGGAGACCTCGTTGGCCGTCGTGGCGGCGAGAGTGGAGATGACACGTCGAATTCAGGAGGCGGAGGCGTCGCTGGACGCAGGAGGAAGGGATGGTGGCCAGGTGGGATGTGGTTGAGTGAGCCTCCCGGCATGTCGGGAGTAGGGTTCGAGAAGACGTTTGCGACGTGCATCCCGCTTCCACCGTTATCTGAACGTAGGGAACGCAACGAACCGGTATTGTTGTTGCTGCTCGTCGTCACGGGCGCCGGGGGGACACCTGTGCCCGAATGTGAACGCCCAGTGCGTGTGCCGCGGACAGGACTGCGGTCTCGTCGTTCGTCTCTCATCCGTTGAGCATCTGTACCTGGCTCCGGGTATTCTCGTTCGCCGTCACGGTCAAGACCTCGATGTGGAGAGGGGTCCTTGGGCCGGCTCTGGCTCAACCCTGCTCCTAGACCACCGTGCATGCCTCCCAAGGCGGACAGGAGCCCATGGCTGTCGCCGGTGTCGAATCGCTCACGCTCAGTGTTGCGCTCGCGCTCACGGGGTTCGCGAGTAGACTTTGTCGAGTTCTTTCGTCTCAACAATCGTGTTGGATGATAACGCCCAGGCGACCCATGAGGTGGTGACGATCCTTGAACACCTCGGTGGCCAACACTTGCGGAACGACCCAGAGATGTCGCCGAATCCGGCAGCAGCGGCGGCGGCGGCGGCGGCGTCACTGTTCTGCCATTCCTGGACTCGGACTCGCAAGGACCTGTGCCGGGTATGGGAAGGGGAAGGGAGATGTCCGGACGTGCGACATGGGATGGGGAGGAGCGAGCGATGTCGGCCCCTGAGGCTGAGCTCTGGCTGAAGCCGTGGGCTGGCGTTGGTGACGACCCAAGCAGCGTCGATCCGCCGCTGGCACTGCCCGCGCTGCCCGAGCTGCCTTGCCTGAAGAAGTGCAGCTGTGGCATGGCGCGACCACCGCCGGGGCTAGACGGAGTGTGTTATGTCCGGTGTTGTTGTTGTTGTTCTTGCACAATGGCGGGTTGTTCCACTTCGGGAACGGACGCGAGGGAAGATGGACTAACGGACCGACGCAGCTGCTGTCGTTACTTCGGGATAACCCCGGCCCGGGTGGCGTTGAGCAAGGTGACGGTGACGTCGGTGGCCGGTGGCGGTGGTGCGTTGTTGTGGTGGTGGTGGCTGTTGTGGCTGTTGTTGTTGCTGTTGTCGTTGTTGTCGTTGTTGCTGCTTGTTGATGAGCACTGCATACCGTGTAATGTATAGGGAGAGTGACGCGACGTGCCGGTCGAAAGCAGGGCTTGTCACGGAAGAAATGGGATCCAAATCCAGGACACCGCAAGACGATGACTGGCTGCGACGTCGTTTCAACACCATGCTAAGCGCAACGGACCAGCGATCCAGTCGGGAGTCGGGAACCGCAGTCATTTGTCGCCACCCATCCACAGCCCCCGCAGGCCGAACACCGCAACGGCAACATACGGCTCTTGACATTGACTTTTGACACCCGCAGAGTTCTCTTTTCGGCATCCATGTCCCCGTATCTGCTACAGGTCTCCTTGGTCTTTGTTGTGGCCTTGTTTTGCCTTTCTCGGAAGGCTGGTAGATTACACCAACCCCTTCGTGTTAGGTGACATGACGTGAACACGTCATGTATGCCGTTCGTTGCTCAACAATAGTATCAGCACGCCCGTTGTCGCTTCTCTAGATCCTCCTAATTTCTCGTCGTTGCCTGTCGTCACCTCATCGCCGCCTCCCATCGCTTGCTTTCTCGCAAACAACGCAGTCGAAGGGTTGAAACGAACGCGTGCGTCGTCTGGGAGTTGGCCAATCTCCGCACACGGAGAACCTTCCAAGTCTCCAAGAAAGGCCCAGCGCTACGCAGACGAGTACCCAGGCGTCTCAGAAACAGTGCCCAGCAACATCCATGGCGAACCAAGGCCAGTTACCAGACAACAATAAGGATGTCGGAAGATCTTGGGGGGATCTCCACCACGTCCCAACGCGATAGATTCGCCAGCTCACTGTTCAGACTAATCACATGACCTGGCACTGCAGACTACGCAAGCCCACAGCCGGCCATTCAGGCCGCAGGACCTGCAGGAGTGCTCGACTCAAGGATGACTCCCGAGGTACGGCATTGGCGGTTAAAAACAGCCCAACTCCGCACCTTTGCTGACGACATGCCACACAGGTGAAACAAACGGCCTACAAAACGCCCGGTCCTGGCCCGTTGGGAGGCAAGACTGCGGCTGGTGCCGCGTCGGCGGGCTCCTCTCTCTCAAGTTGTTGGCTGTTAGGTTGACCCGAAAAGCGTGTTCCTCGCCTCCTTCCCTTGCTCTGCACCGACGGCTGCCAAGTACGTACTCGCCAGCCTTGTTTCCCTGGACCCCGTGGTTCGTGGCGGAAGGTGCGGAACCATCGCTCACCTTGCCGCAATCTTGTCCAACTAGCTTTGGTTTTGCTTGCAGTCCTGATACCGTCTCGTGGCCCAGACTCTGATGATGGGCCAAGCAAGGTCTTGATTGCAAAGTGGCGTCTTTTGGCTCATCGCATGTGGCGCTGGCGGGAAGGTGGCCTTTTCCTTTCTGTGACTTTTGTTGTATTTGTTGGGGCGTGCAGATCACGTCGAGTACGATGAAGTCTGGGAGCACAAGTAGAGGACAATGGAATTGCGGGAATACATTTGTTCGGAGATTGCGGACTTGTTCATCATGACTCTACATGAAGCCTGGTCACGCTGGGGAGGTAACAAGTGACGCCGTGAACGTGACGGTCCAGTGCATAATATTCCAGTATATGGTAATAGATGAGGCGCACACTTGGAGCTGTTGCAGATCAGCAAAACCCCTGGCCTGAGCTGATGGTGATCTTCGACATCAATTTCTTGGGGATGTTCATGTCACAGTCGTCACATGGAGCACAACAGGGGATGTTCAAGTTGTCACATGGAGCACAATGGCTACCACCTGCCACCACACCCTTCCTCCAATCCAACTCAGAGCTGCTGAGCCTCGAGGGCCTTACATGAAACGCACACGTTTGTACGTACAGAGCCACTGCAGCCATGTGCTGTGGCCGCGGGGCACGACGGGCAACTAGGCGCCACAAGGCATGGTGCAGCGCGGACTGCATCGACGCAGTGAGGGGCGGCTCCAACCTTCGGCTCCGCGTCGTGCGGACGCCTTTGTCCGTGCACGCTATTGTACATTGCGTTGGGGTTGCGGTGGGGCGCTGGTGTGTGGAGCGTCGGCGGAGGGTATCCTACGCTGGCTGGCTGGTACGGAGACGTGACCCCCAGGCTGCTTTCTTGTCAGGGGTCACATGACGGCAGTGCTGACGGTGGAGCAGGACCCAGGGTGCCGCGTACGTCGTTCAAGGTTTGGCTAATTGCGCACGATCAGAATCCTCGCGATCACTAACGTGCCGCTATGGCGGCTCGAGGGTTCCAGAGGCGGCTCAAGGAGCGTCTCACGCAAACTAGCGGTGCAAAGCATTCCTGAAATGTAAAATGTGGTGCTGCCACGAATACCGCTTCGAGGAGACTAAGGACGTCTCATGAGATGAACCGAGGCAGCCGAGATTGCAGCGCGGATACCATTCCCGAGGGTCAACGTTGGGGAGGAATGAATCTGGCGAAGCGTGCGTGGTTGCAAACGAGGCAAGAGGTGGGTTGTAAGGGTTTCATGGTACTACATGCATACTATTCAATGTATCTACGGTGTGTGCTGACTGCTACAACCGTCCTCACGCAACGGCGAGGTACGGATTTACTACACCCTCTCGTACTCCTACAACTACTCGTTCTTTCTGCGTGTAAACCACTTCGTGTGGTGATGGTTGATGTAATGATGATGCCAAAAGTGGGGTGGTGGTGGATAATGAGATAAAAATAACCAAAAAAAGGAGATTGCCGTCGCAGACGTTAAAGGAACATGGTGGGCGTGGCGAATGGAACGGGGCTGAGGGGCTGGCCTTTGCGCTGGCTGAGGACCTCGAATACAGGTGTAGAGAGGCTCGAGTCCGAGGCAACGCGCGGGGCAGTACCGGAGCTGCCGAGACGTGGTGTGGGGGGGAAGGGGCCATCGCTGGAACCAGAGCTCGAGCGCTGAGGTGGCGGAGAGCCGGAGTCGGCGCGCAGCTGCGGGGGTGGCGCATCGTCGAGGAGGTCCAGCTCGGGGTCGTCAAACGAGAAGACGGGCTCGGCGTCCGGAGACGGCGAGTCGTAAACCTCGTCGGTGTAGTGGGCAGGGACGTGCACAGGAACGTTGTGGTGGTGGTGGGCGGCCTCACGGCGGCTGGTAGGGACATGAGCGTCGTCGGTGAAGAAGTCAATGTCGAGAATGAGCTCGCGAAGGCGATCGAGAGTGATGCGGTGCTCGGGGTCGAGGGTGAAGATCTGGGTGAGGATGGAGAGGCATTGGTGCGAGATGGGGAGGATCCGGCGAAGGAAGAGGGGGTCCTGCAAGAAGGCGGCGAACGACTCGTCGTTGGGCGACGCACACCTCCAGGGGTTGCGGCCACAGACGAGGTTGATCAAGATGACACCCAAGGACCAGACGTCGGCAGTGCGGGTGGGGTAGGACGTCGCTGACGCCGACCACTCGCCGAGGCACTCTGGCGCAATGTAAAAGGTGCTGCCGCAGCCAAACTCGGACGATGTGGACTCGGAAGTGGCGAGGCCAAAGTCGACAATGCGCACGCGGGTACCGTCCTGAGAACACACAATGTTCTCTGGCTTGACGTCGCGGTGTGCAATGCCGAGCTGGTGCAGCCAGTCTACACCGTCAAGGATCTGAAGGAAGACGGAACGAATAAGGTCGTTGTCGCTGGCGTACTGTATGAACGCGTTAGTAACCAAGGCTTCTTCGGGCGATCATTCATGCGGCGGTGGCTGAGGCAAGCCACACGCCATGCCATGTTGTTGATTACTCACACGCTGCTTCTCGGTGATCATGGCAAACAGGTCACCCTCCTCGCCATAGTCCATAACGACATAGACGCAGTCGGGCTCCTCGATCAGACGGTCCATGTGGACAATGGACGGGTGGCGCGACGCACGACGATGGAGCGAGATTTCGCGCATCTGGAAGCGGCGCTGTCGCTCGTCGATACCATAGCGACGCAGCTGCTTGACAGCGCGCTTGATGGGACGACCATAGCGGTAGTCGAGTGCGTAGAAGACGACACCATAGGCGCCGTTACCGATAACAGAAATGAGTTGCACGTAACCGTTGTCGATGAAGCGTGGGTGCGTCGAGCACGAAGCGGTCATGATGGTTGGCACAGGGGGTGTGCGGGGGTTGGGGGCTGAGGGAAATGAAGAGTGTTTTGAACGCGGGATGACAACGCCCTGGTCAAAGGACGAAGCTGGCGGAGTAGTGGCCCGAAGTGCGACACGGGTGGTGTGAGATGATGCCGGAGTGGCGAGTGTGGAGAGGATCGGCGCTCAGCGGGTGTGGGGGGGGGGGGGGGGGGGGGGGGGGGGATGAAGTGTGCTGTGCTTTCGTGCGACAGCAAAAGGAATTAAAGAGAAAACGAAACGAGAACCCAGTCGAGATGAACAGAAGAGATGGGAAGGGGATACGGGACTGGAAGGTGAGGGGAGGTCGTGAACGATGTACTGAGCGGATGCAGCTCAGTTCGTTTTGAGTGCAAGGTGATGATGGCGGGAACGCGCTCTGAGATGGAGACGTGCAGTCGTTTTTGACCTCGATGGCCGTGCTCCTGCCCCATGTCTCTCCTGTAGAGGCTGCACAGGAGGGATCTTTGGCGCACGCGGCCCAGGATCTTGCTCAGGATCTTGGGAGTCGTCTTGGTGCCAAGTCGGGGGGGCGGCAAGCCCACCGATTACGTCTAGGCCCCCTCCTCCCTTGGCCTAGATCATGCACAGGGGAATCCGCCGCTCCCGCATGGCTGACGTGCGTCTACGACGCCATCACAATGCGTGCCACGTCGTGTGATGCCCGCAATACCCAAGCAATGCCCGTCGACCCCGCGGTCCGGTGCCCTCCCACAGCAAAGTGGGGTGCGTGCTCCCTGCTGAGGGACCGACCACGCCGCCCCCCCGAGGGCGAGAGGAAACGACGCGGTCCTGTGACCACGATGGCCAGTGGCCAGTGGCAGGGCAGGGGGAAGCGGGGGCGGGGGAAGGGGCGGGGCAGCAACGACCAGGACACAAAAGGCGGCGCGGACGTTATACCGTCGGCGGTCGGGTACGGCATGGTGCAGCAAGGGCTCAATTCACGCAGGCAAGCGGGGCTTCTAGGCACTCGGTGAAGTCACGTTGGGCTGCGGTGCGTTTTTTGGGCCTAAGAGACTTGGAACTTGGCAGTCACAGCCCAGAGTACCTCTGCCTCCGACCTCTGCCGGACTTGGACACAGTGGCAAGTGTGGGCAATGGATGGACAGAGCACGACACTCTTGTGCATGGAATCCGTCGCCTGGGGGGCAGCAGGGCTCATCCGCGATTCGACAACGACCAGCCCAGCCTCATCCGCGCCACTGTTGCGCACTCTCTAGTGGTTCTGTCATCGCCACATGCAAGGACAGCCCTGAGCAAGACATGTTGGCGCAGAAGGTGGCAATTGTATATGCATTTTCCAACTGTGCCAACCCAGGGTAAACGCGTCACTTGTTGCTGGGGATGGGGGGCGAGAGGAATCATCTGGGAAGAGGTGGGGAAGCGCAGGCCAGCGAGGTGTCCCCATTCTTGGAAAATGTGTGTGCCTTGAACGCTTTACGGTTTTGTCTGAGGCTCGTCGACACACGTTTCAATGTGCGCATGAGACCGCAAAAGAGCGCCTTTCGCGGCAAGACAGTCTTTGACAGGTGCTTCAGGGCCTAATTTTACAAATTATTTCTAATAGTGGTAAATGCATTTCCACGTCGTCGACGAATAAGGCAGAAGTCCTGTACGACTATCTCAGCGCCGAAACCCTTCAGGTCTTTGACCGGGTGAAAAGGCTAACGACGGCTCCCCGTCGTCTGCCAGCCTGCGATCGTAACAGATGGCAACGAAGCGGTCCCTTCCACATGTGCAGGGTTGCGTGGCGGTGACTGGGTGGCACCAGTCCAGTCCAGTGTCGACAATGTTCCTTCTTGCGCTCGCTGCGGCGCATGGCCACTCCCTGCGAGACCTCTCGTGCTTGTTGTATGGCATCAATACCCTGGACTGTACAACCTCACTTCCTAGGCATTCTGCCTGCCCTGAAACGAGCACACTGCGTGGAGTGGCAACGCGCGTTTCCAGTGCCAACCCGCTGCCGTCATCCCATCGGGCGGCTGCTCTTACCATTAGGTTTCCGCAAGCGGCGTCCCCTATGAATCCGATTCTGCGGGCTTCCCGGGTGTGTCAGATGTGCACAGACCTCTTTGCCGCGGCACATCTTTCGAGAGACGTAGATACGTATCTCTTGGTGCGTTGCTGCCCGCCTCCTAAGCCACCAGCCGCTCCCGCATACCAACCTCCAATGGCCTTTTCAAAGGATCCGATGAGTGGCATGTCCGATGGGGTGCCACAAGCCTCCCCAGCTCCGACGGGACGACGCTCGGCTTGGAACCAATTGTCGTTGTTACCAGACTGACGAGCTGACGTGTACAGATGCGATGCTTACTTTGTTTTGGTATATGCAGCTAACGGGCAACCGTAGTTACTGCATTACAGCACTGCTGTACTGCTTGCCCCGCTGATCTGTGGCATGTGCGTGGCTTTGATCCCACGACTTCGCTAGCTGAACGCCCCTTCACGCCCCCGGGAACGGCAGCTTGATGCCGGACCCCATTTGCAAAATTACAAACTAGCATTCGAGTGGCCCGCTGTGTAATGCCCACCCATTCGGCGGCGAAGGCTAGGAAATACAAGCCACACTAGTTTCATTTACTTTCGGCCCCGGCCGATCCTCCATTGCACACCTGAGTTGACGGGGGGACGGGGGGGTTGGCTAGTTCCTGAACCTCTTTGCGCTGGCACAGACAGAGGGTGCTGTGGTAGCCGCGCCGCAGCGCGCCACACCCCCTCTGTGGACGGAGATCTGCGTGCGTCCACTTCCCTGGTACATTTGACGTTCCCTGTACCGTTGCTGCTTACGCAAGCCCAAGGAAGGGACAAGAAAAAAAGCTTACCGCAACAACAAAGAACGTATGCAAGCTCTATGGGGGGCGGCTCCACAAGTCTGATCCTTGACTCATGACTCAGGAACCACACGCAAGTGGCCTCCAGCGGCCAGCGTGCCACCGAATTAACATCCGCTGCTGGCTGCTGGCAAAGCACCTGGGGATGCTTTCCATCCTGTGGCGCTGCGGGCATATTGCGTCCGCAGGTGGTACACGCTAGTGATCAACCTTCCTATTCGTCTACACCGAGCCCACCTCGGAACGCACTGCACAAATTGCACGCAAAAGGGTGCGTAATATGCTTCAGGCGTCGTATGCCATTTGTATTGCCACCCGCCCTTCCAGCCGGCAGTAGACGAGACTGATGGAAGACGGCGAGCATATTTCCGCCGGGGTATTTGATGACAAGCCTGCACGAACTGAGCTTCGTGAGCAGTGGTTGGTCCAACACCTGCAGCGGCGGGTGACGCGGAATTGTGCCTGTCCTGTCGGCAGACTGCAAGTGAGGCTTGCGCAAACAGGCCCAGTTACACACTAAAGCCACATGCTAAAGGCCCCGCCCAGCCAGGCCGTCCTTCACGCCACATTACCTCTGTGTCAAAGTGTAAGTCGCGCGATTGAACTGAACCATCACTCTTGAGGGCCACATTCGGATCTTCGTCTCACCCCGCCAAAACGATGATCAACAATTTGGCACTAATCATTGGCAGCCGCGGCTCCCCAGCAGAGCACAAACAAGGTGTCGCTTAACCGCGGCTCCAGTCGGATATCAAGTTTATGAACGCCAAGCACAGCTGAACGCCAGCGCACGACTCTTCAAACGACATGCCCGCTGCACTATTTACCCCAACGACTTACATATGCCCACCATCTAACAGCGCTGTTACGTGACTTGTGCTCCAGCGTCAACTCCAACACCAAGGTCCGAGGTCCATTCCGTGTCCAGGCCCCAAGGCTACGACGACGTGCTTGCCGGAACATCGCCTCACGGTGGTGTAAACACCGAGCGAGCCGTACGTCCCTACCCGCTTGCGAGAAGGAATGCAATCACTAAAGCAAGCGAACGGCTATGTAGACTAAGTAGACACTAATGGGAGACAGCAAGTGGCGAACACTTCTAGCACGATAATATTGACTCAGCAGTTCGACTGAAAGCAGGAAAATGCAACCCAAGTGCGCACAATGCCACAACTGAAACAGATCTGTCGAGCATGGGAACTTGTGCTACCTACATTCCAGGTCGAGGTGAACCTAAAGGCATCTGTGCAGGATTTTCAAGCAGCTCTGAAGTTTGAACGACTGCCGACTGTTCGCGCAGGTCGAGTCACACGAGCTCATCTATTGACGGAGGTTGAAGCCGGGCGCCGCTTGTCAAGAGCTGACGACGTTTGGGCTCACACCAGTGATCCAGCGACCGGAGACTTTCTGTTCTGCGCTTGCTTTCAAGGCCCACTGCGCCGAGGTCCGTCGTCAAGGAGCAGAGTGGAGACGTGGGCATATTGACGGATATACTGTAGTGTGGTTGAGTTCTATTCACGTCCACGTAGGTAAGCATGTACGTTGCATGTGGCGTACGTACTTTAGGTAAAGCATACGGACGTCGCCTCTGTCTTGCCCACTCTAATCAGTGGGGTTTGCGGGGCTCTAAGTGTGGTTTCGACGAACATGGCGGTTTGGAACCATGGGAACCGGAATGTGAGCGGCGAGCGTGCGCGGAATGGTGACAATCCTGTCTGACCTTTGCCGGATGCTTAGATGCTCTGGTGCTCTTGTTCGCCGCCCTTTATGCCACAGACGTCGTACCGTAAACTCAACACAAAAAGCCAAGAGGCCAAGCCGCACTGTAAACACGTTGTAAACATAAAACTAACAGCAATTGTTCCCACACAAAGCTCCTAAACCTTTGGGTGGAACAGACAGTAAGGGGAACTGGACGTTAACCTACCCATTTACCCTATGCACTGTACACTTGACTAGTCGGAATTTTTCAGTTAGAAGAGTCGGACCTCTGGCACAAGCTCCGAAAAGACACCCGCAAGACAGCAATTGATTTCAATGTGCGTCAACTAAGGCAAGCGGACGAGACACAATGCAAACGCATCTGACAGCACACCCGGGGCCTGGGGGGCCTTGTTGCCACAGTGACAGCCGAGGGTTTGGGACCTTGGCACCGACGGAATGCTCTGTCAGCTCCTATGAGATCCAGTGGCCAGTGGTCTAACGAAATACTGCAGCAGCGATCACGGTAACGAGAAATGAAGACGGCGCTGCCTCAGCATGAAACGGTCGCCACCTTAATCAAGCTCATTCCCGCCAATATTATTACGAGCCTATCCCGATGCATTCTTGGTCTGTCACACCTAGTACCTGCCCACTTCGTTGCGGTCTATGCCGCATCACAGGCAGAGGAATTGTGAAAGACCAAGGGGGTACCAAGGAAGCGAGGATGAATGCATTCCGGGGGACGTTGAACCATGCAGTCCGCATGTGGCGATTTGTGCCGGAATCTACGTTTTTTTATGGTTTCCTTGCGCAGACGTGTGGGATTTGTGACTGCAGGATCCGGTCGTGAAGACAGCAGGCCTCATAGGCGTAACTGACAAAATCACACGGCTGTGCCACGCACATACAGCATTATAGTATGACGTGCCCATGTCCTTCATAACCGGAGCCTCTGGAACCAAATCCTATGGACAGAGTTCGTGCCAACGTGAACGTGCACAGCCGTGCCACACCGTGCCCCAGTTCCAGGCTGCGAACTGCTGTGAGGGGTGTGTTTTAGCGAGCGCGTCTCACTGGGCAACTGGGAACTGAGAAAGATTGGGACGCGTCGCGGTGGCGACATGGTCTGAGAATAGCAACTCGCAGGCTCGGTGCGTGTCTGTTTACGATCACGACCCCATGCGCCAGTTACAAAATGACTCTGTGCGGTATTGTTTCTCAAACAAGTGTACCAAGGGCCAACGGAAAACCGGGTACGACTGGATGCACAGCACGGCTGAGCTCTGTAAATACATGCCACAAACGAGATCGCGACGGGCGCCACCACGAGTGCCACTGATCATGGGAATTGGCCGCTGCAGTGAAACATCTTGCGCACGAATTGTTGCAAGGGAACTGCTGTATCGTAAGTGTGATTCATTATATGTTTAGGTATAAGTGGCCTCAACTGAGAGCCCGTCAGACGGAAGAGAGATAGGGCAAACTGGATTGGGTTGGGTTGGATCAAGATCGCGGCGATGACAGTAGGGACCAAGAGGGTTGTGGGCATGAATGGATGTGAACAGCCGGCGAACGGCTCCCGAATAGTGGGCAGTCTCAATTAAAAGACAGCGGCTCTCGTCGTGAAATGCGGTGTGCTGGCGAAGTCCAGGCCAACAAAGACACCGTTGAGATCGGGGGTGGCATGGTCGAGATCCGGGGCCGCGATAACCCATGCGGGCGAAACAAGATCTCACACATGAGAACCACGGGTAGTGCGTAGTCACAACGGTATTACACCTCAGCCGTACCAGTGTCGCGGCCCAGCGACTCGTCGACTGCTTTGGCTAACAGCTCATTGGCGACCACCTGATCGAACACTGCTTCGGCATCGTTGTCGGCTAGCCACGCCACATCGGCGTGCGTGGTTACGTATGCGTTAATTTCGGCCTCACTCGCAACGTGATTGTCCTTCTGAGCACGCCTGTCCCTCAGACTATGGGCTGCAGCCACCAAGCGGTTGACGTGCCGGAGTCGACACTTGTCGAACAGTGACAGCGCAGTGGCAATGTCGTTGCCCTCCATTGGTCGGCCCTCCAGAGCAGCTCGCTGTGCCACTTCGTCGACACAAAGACCGAGCGTGTATCCATCCTCAATGGCAAGCGTCCCGCCCGCTGCAAACGCGCCGCCATGACAGTGTCCCGCGTCCCCGAGGAGCGCAACGCGTCCTCCAACAGTGAGTGACGGCAATGTTGGGCCGTTCCAATCGGGATAGATCTTGAGAGGCGGCGCAACAGCACACAGTTTGGCCAGCGGTGGGTACCAACCCTTGAAGACTGAGGCGAGATCCGTGACCTCCGTGGCTGCACCCCATCCCACAATATCGGCGCCGGGGATTAGCCTGGTGGGGACAAAGGCGACGAGGGTGAAGAGACCGGGTTCTGTGTGGGTCAGCTCATGTACATTAACGTACGGGACTCACTTAAAGGAGACGTGAACAACGAGCGGTCGGGGCCGGGCCAGTGGCATGGTTCTGGCGGCAATTGAATGCCAGCGTCCTCGAGAACTGACGTTGGGAACACGCCACGCAGGGTGACGCTCACGCCTCGTCCAATCTTGTAGTCTGGGTAAAAGCTAGCGCGAGTAGGTGAGCGGATACCGTCCGACTGTGACTTATCAGCGACACAATTTTCTGTAGAGAGCCAGCTAAGACTCACGCCAATAACCATGTCACCCGACCACTCTGTCCCATCCTCGAAGCGCACCCTGACACCCTCAACACTCGACTTGACTGCAGCAACACGTTTAAGGAGACGGACGGGGCCGGCTTTCTCCTCTGCGTGCTTCACAAGGAGCTTGTGTAAGTGTGCGCGAGCAAAACGTGCCATCTGTAGGTGTTCCGGACGCGAAGCCTGTGGGGGTGTCGGGTACACTGTTCCCGTTCTCCAGTGTCGATGGATCTGTGGCCCCGTTAACAGCCGCGCAAGTTGTATATGGGCTTACCAGGGGGTACTCGCCGTGTCGGTAGGCTAGGGCGTCCACTTCCTGGCCGAGCCCCAGCTTCTCAAGGCATCTGAGGGCACATGGCTGGATACCAATAGACGCTCCGATCTCGCGCAGCTCACTTGCTGCGTCAAACAACTCGACATGCAGTCCTGGGACTTGCGAAAGGGATATCGCGGCTTGGGAGTCAGAGGATGAGTCCAGCCCACGGAACTCACCAGTTGTACCAGCATATCCCACTCCAAGGATGGCGATGCGCACTGGATGCTCCTGGAGACCGCGATCCCGAGCTGACCAGCGAGGTCGCCCGTGTCGGCCCTCCGTCTTCTCGCTGGACGGCTGCGGCGCGGTATGGGTCATGTGAGCTGTGGGTTAGTGTATCCAGAGACGATGTTACTTACCAGACGTATCATACGTAGATGTATTAGAAGGACGAGAATGTTCAATGACGACGACGACGACACCTGGCCATGATCCTCATGTCTTGCCTGCATGGCGTGCTTATCGTGAACGGTGCGGGGTCTCCAATCCAACACTCTCGGATTATCGGTGTTCACCGATCACAGAGACATTGCCATGGACCGTCGTCTCGGATCTCGGATCAATCTCAAACAGCTGGTAGTGGAGTCTCTGTAATCTCTGTGCGATGAGAGGATAAACAGAGACCTATCATCATGCATGGCCATACAGAAATACTTGCCAGTGGCCAGTGGGGCAGAGGCAGTACTACTCTGGCCCTTATTAGGAACTGTGTCCTCATTAGGAAAGTGTATTGGACAATGACGTATATTCGACCGGCCACCTTAAATTGGTCCCGCCAGACGCCACCCGGTTGCTCATACGGTGACGTCCGGCTGCTGCTTTGGGGTTCACTGATCGCCTTGACGCTTCCTTCGTCCATCTCATCCATCTCATCAACTCCGCATAACACCACTCGCATTCATTAGGACCTCTGCGCCCACGGCGAACCACATCATGCGGTTCTCCCTCTCCGCCATCATGTTCGCGGCCATGGCGTCGGCCAGCAGTGCCCCCAAGTATCGCTCTGTGGGGGGCATCGACAGACGCGTTGGCGCGACCGCCGAGCTGCGCGATCTCCGCGACGTCGGCTCCTCTTCGCCCCAGGTTGCATGGGGCAACATGACAACAGTGAGTTTAGCGATACCTCGCACGTGTTTGCCGCCCGACAATCGGCCGCGTCCGCCGGTACCTTCCTCCTCCTCTACACGTCGGCTGATCGGTGCAGATACCGCCCAAGCGCCCGAACAAGCCTGGAGAGTGTCCTCCGTGCTTCAACTGCCTTCTTCCTGCATTCAACTGCGGCCAGTTTGGTGACTGTAATCGCTATGACGGGCAGTGCAAGTGCCCGCCCGGCTTTGGTGGCCAAGACTGTCTCACACCACGTGCGTTGGGCTCAGTCGACAAGATATGTGACATGTGGCTGACGTTTGGTAGTGTGTGGTGCCCTCACCGATGGCGACGCGCGGTTCCCCCGCCCTGACGGCAAGCTGTGCGAGTGCAAGGATGGGTGGGGCGGCATAAACTGCAACGGTACGTCCCGAGAAGCCTGGTTGGTAACCAGCGGTTGACGGAACGCAGTGTGTAAGGACGATCAGTCGTGCGCCGGGTTCAAGCTTCGCAACCCCATCGACGGCGTGGTTCCACCATCCGGTGGCTCTGTCCCCGACGATGATGATGAGGAAGAGAACCCGATGGTTTGCTACAAAGGCGGTCTTGCCATTGAGCAGAACTTCCAGATGTGCGATGTCACCAACCGCAAGATCATTGACACGATTCCCGACAACAAGCCTCCCCAGGTCACTTTCAGCTGTACCTCCGGTGGTCCCACGGGAAACGCGTCGTTTGTCAATGGAGGACTGGGCTTTGGATTCCTCGAGGACAACATGGAACCTAGCGACGAGCTTGGCTCGTGCAGTTTCCAATTTTGGGTCGACCGTATCGAGTCGTTCTACTGCAAGCTTGACCAGTGTAGCTGGTCGTCCGTGGACAATGCCAACACCAACGAAACTCACTACGCATGTGAGAAGATTGAGTGCGCGTGTATTGCCGATCGCTTCCTTTGTGGAGAGAACGGCAGCGTCAGTGAGTTTGCATGCTATTTCGCATCCCTAACTCCCAGACATTGACGACTTTCTCAACGAGGAGGTCAAGGGCCCTGCCGACTTCAAGTGTATCACTGGCCAGGGCTGCTCATTTGAGGAGCCCGCAATGAACCAGCTCATCAACGACATCTTTGGTGACAGCTCCATTACCCTCGACTGCGAGTCTGGCGAGTGTCTCCACTACAGCCAGGTGCCAGGCTACAACCCGCCTCCAAAGCGCGACAACTCGTCCATGGTTGCGTTGAGTGCTGCTCTGGCAGTCGCTGTATTCCTTGGCATGGTTATCAGTGAGTTTTCCGCCATAGACCGTTTGCAACAGGCTAACAGGTCCAGTGCTCTGGTACGTGAACCGCACAAACGGCCGTGGTGACGGTCTCGCCGGTGTCAAGCTTCCCGAGGACGAGGCAGCCAAGCTCATGTCCGACCACGTTCCTGCCACCCTTCATTTCTCCAACATTTCCTACACTCTCCCAACTGGCAAGGCCGTCCTGTCGCATGTGACTGGAACCGTTCGCCCAGGAGAGATTCTTGCCATCATGGGTGCGTCGGGCGCGGGCAAGTCGACTCTTCTCGACATTCTCGCCCACAAGGCCAAGACCGGCAAGGTCACTGGCGACATGTACGTCAATAGCCGCGAGCTTGACAGTACTACTTTCCGCCGTGTCGTTGGTTATGTGGACCAAGAGGACACACTCCTGCCCACTCTCACTGTCTACGAAACAGTCCTCTACTCTGCGCTCCTCCGTCTCCCCAGGGACATGAGCTACGAAGCAAAGGTCTACCGCACCCTCGAGACCATGAACGAGCTCGGCATTCTTGGTATTAGGGACTCGCGCATTGGCGAGAGCGGCAAGCGCTCCATCTCTGGCGGCGAGAAGCGTCGCGTGTCGATTGCCTGCGAGCTTGTTACTGGCCCATCGATCCTGTTCCTCGACGAGCCCACTTCGGGTCTCGATTCGTACAACGCTTACAACGTGATTGATGCTCTCAAGACTCTTGCCAAGCAGTACAACCGCACCGTCATCTTCACCATCCACCAGCCCCAGTCCAACATTGTTGCCCTCTTTGACCGCCTCCTTGTTCTCGCCAAGGGCCAGCTCGTTTACTCTGGCGAGGCAACCAAGGCTGTGTCTCACTTTGAGGCCATCGGCTACCCCTGTCCGCCAGGCTACAACATTGCCGACTATGTCATTGACCTCACTGTCGAGGCTTCGGGTGACGCTCGCAAGCCCACAGCTAGTGGATCGGACACGCCGGCAATTGAGCCATCGTCATCTGGCGGTGGCAACGACGATCCCGAGACTGGTTTTGCTTCGCCTTCAACTGGTGTTGAATCTACGGAGCGTCCTTCTGGTGTCCAAACCAAGGCAGCGCGTCTCCTGGGTGCCTTCTCCACGTCATCGGGTGCCAGCACGCCGGCCACAGGTGCCGACCCGAATGCCATCCCCGAAGCTCTGGCTGCTCTCGTCCTTGCCACCCGTGCCAGCGACGGAGCAAAGATTGTTGAGGCGGAGATCACCCGTATCGAGGCTGGTGAGCCCGCAGACGGTATCACGACTGGCGATCGCGATGTGGTCGAGGAGATGGGTCTTCTCAGGGGCTACAAGAAGGCGAGCTTTTGGACCCAGTTCAAGATTCTATCCAGCCGCGCGTTCAAGAACTTGTACCGCAACCCGATGCTCATGGCCGCCCACTATGCCGTGGCTGTTGTTGTCGCGCTCCTGTGCGGTTTCTTCTTCTATGGCGTCACAAACGACATTCCTGGTTTCCAGAACCGCCTTGGTCTCTTCCTCTTCATCCTCTCGCTCTTTGGATTCTCGACCTTGTCGTCCCTGGGCATCTTTGCAAACGAGCGGATGTTGTTTATGCGCGAGCGGTGAGTTATTCTTTCCATCGTCCCTCACTAACTATTCAGTGCCAACGGCTATTACACCCCAGCTGCCTACTTCATCTCCAAGGTCATGTTCGATATTGTCCCGCTGCGTGTCGTCCCTCCGTTTGTGCTCGGCTCCATCGTGTACGGCCTTGCTGGTCTGAACCCGGAGTTCAGCTGCTTCTGGAAGTTTATCATGATCCTCATCCTCTTCAACCTAGCGGCCGCAAGCATTATTCTCTTCCTCTCGGTCGCCGTCGCGGACTCGGGCGTGGCCAACCTCTTGGGCTCGCTTGTCATGCTTTACAAGTGAGTTGCTCGTCGTAAGGTGTGGGTCACTGACAATCAGCCTTCTCTTCGCTGGTCTCTTGATGAACTATGACCGCGTCCCGGACGGTTTCAAGTGGATGTTGACTCTTTCATTCTTCCACGCTGCGTACGAGGCGCTGCTTGTTAACGAGCTGCGTTACCTCCAGCTCATTGAACACAAGTTTGGCCTCGACATCCAGGTGCCAAGCGCAACCAGTGGGTTCATGCTTCTGTATATGCCACTAACCCACACCAGTCCTCTCATCGTTTGGTTTCCACGCCCAGGCCTTCTGGTTCCCAGACACGGCCCTCCTCGTTGTCGTGTTTGGCATCTTTATTATCGCCAGTTTCGTCGTGCTCCAGCTGTTCGTCAAGGAGCGCCGTTAAAGATCCCCGCACCCACCACGAGTCGTTGGTCACGATTGACCACATTTTTACACTTTCTTGCGACCTAGCATAACTGTTTTGATTAGAATTGGCGGCGAGTATGGAGACGATGCGCATAGAATCTAGGCATGCACGCACCTTTCCATGTTTGTGGGCGGTTGCATACGCCGGCGGACTGCCCACATCCGTCAGCCGATCAACAGACAGCTGTGTCGTGGCTGATTTTCGCAGCCGTGGCGATTTGCCAGCGCGCCACCGAGTCAGCGAGGTGTGGGTACTTCGCAGCTTCCGCAGGCCCGCCGAGGCCACGAGTTGTCAATGGCGCACCGTCAACGGCGGCCGTCCGGATCCCCCACTCACATGACCTCGCGTCGTGGCGGAATCCGGCATTCAAGCACACGTTGCCCCACACACCAACCGTCGAGGACCCCAGGCTGGTCGGTCCAAGAAGACACCGAACCCCCACGGGTAAACGAAGATAAGTATATATGGGTGTGTGTGAGCTCTGCTCCTGTTCCCCTTGATTCAAGCTCGCACTCTGCAGTTATCCACCATGGGCTCCATCTCTGAGATACCAAAGACCCAACGCGTCGCCATGTCGGACACGCCCGAGACAGGGGCCAAGATTATCGAGCACCCAGTCGTGCAGCCCGAGAATCTCAAACCAGGTAAGCGGACCAGCTGGGCGTGCGACCTGACCAGTATCACAGGGGAAGCGCTCGTTCGTCTGGCATACTCGGGAGTCTGTCACTCGGATACCCAGCTCCTTGGTCTGTGCTTTACGCTGAACGACCCAAAGGTCGTCGGACACGAGGGAGCTGGCGAGATCGTGGCCATCAACGACCCCCTCTCCAAGCTCAAGGTGGGCGACAAGGGTAGGTTGCGTTGCGCCGTTGCGCCATTGCGCCGTTAAATACCAACTGACTCCTCCAGTCGGCATCAAGTTTATTGCCGATACCTGCAACCAGTGCGAGTTTTGCCTTGATGGCCACGACATGCTGTGCGCCCACATGAAGTGGTCCGGTCGGCATGTCGATGGTACTTTTCAGCAGTAGTGAGTTGGCTAACCGACGCCTCTTCATTTGTCTAACGTCACAGTGCCGTCTCATACACGTCCCAGCTCACGCCTATCCCCGAGGGCCTTGACCTCGCTCATGCTGCCCCGATCCTGTGTGCTGGTGTCACAACGTACAAGGCGGTCAAGGAGATGGGGTGCAAGGCAGGTGACTGGGTCGCCCTCCCGGGTGCCGGTGGCGGTCTGGGGTGCCTTGCGCTGCAGTACGCCAAGTATATGGGTTACCGCACCATCGCTGTCGACACGGGCGCAGACAAGAAGGCACTTTGCGAGACGCTCGGCGCCGATGCCTGGGTCGACTTTAAGCAGACTGACGATATCGTCAAGGCAATCAAGGCCGCCACGACTGACGGCCTCGGCCCACAGGGGGCGGTCATCACCTCGCCCCGGCCAGAGGCATACGAGACGGCTATGCAGTACATTCGTCCCACGGGAACCGTAGTGGCTGTCGGTTTGCCCCACGGAGGTGCCAAGATCCACTGCGATGTGCGGGACACGGTCATGCTCAAGAAGAAGCTCAAGGGTTCAAACGTCGGAAACCGAAAGGAAGCTATCGAGGCCCTCCAGATCGTGGCGTCAGGCAAGGTCACTTGTCCTATCGAGATCAGGCCGTTTGACCAGCTCAACCAGACGCTCGATGACCTGAAAGCTGGAAAGATATCGGGCCGTGTGGTTCTGGACTGTAAGTGCGACGTGTGAGGCGCAGAGTTGGCGGTTGCTGACTTGGCGAAGTGCACAAGTAGGAGGATCTGGACGTATGTACCTGCGAGTTGACGGTGACACGATGAATGATATGCAGTACTAGGTAGACGCAGGATTCACCAGACCTGGAGGTACGTTGGAGTGGAATACCCGCGGCGGAGCAGTCAGGCGCTGGGACGCTGGGATAGGATCCGTTCCATGTGTCCTCTGCTCTGGGGGGACGATGAGATCTCGGTCGCGGATATTAAGAGGAAAGTGGGCCGAAAATCAGGAAAAATTGTTCCTCTATGTACACAGCTTGATTAACACTGTCAGTTGGCCGGTACAGTATCGATCGCTAGGACAGTGCAATCCCACTGTGGATGAAGCGAGACGGTGACTCTTGGCGTTCTCCTTGCTCCAGCGTGAAAAATAGTAAATCGTTAGACTTCGACCTTTCGCATCCACAACTATATTAACACAACAGTACACGTCTCTCATGGGAGGGACGGACAAAGTGTCCGCCTCCAGCCGTCATCGTCAACAGTGTCCAACCTGCCTGTTCAGGAGGCGGCCCCGAGACCTGGGGCACTACATGGTACCCTCGACATCGTCCATGTTGCGGTGGATGATATAGTGCTTGCGCCCGGAGATGAACCAGCACAGCAGCCCAATGAGCATGACGCCCGGAACAATGGCGATGTTGTAGTTGAAGTACTCGGGAGTCCACCTCTTGAAGTACGGAAAGTGGAAGAAGATGACGACAAAGAGCATGTACACGACAGCGGCAATGTTGACGAACCAGCCCCATTTCCCGAGGAAGAATGCGCCGCGGGGGAAGCGGCGGCCCTTGATCAGACTCATGACAATGAGGGGCACTGCGACGAATGTCAGACGACAAACAACGGGAGTGGGGGAGGAAGTTATGACGTACCGTAGACGACCAGTGCGAACGTTCCAGTGCAGTTGAGGAAGACGTTGAGGGCCGTCTCTGAGCCGAGGAGGATGAGGGTAAGAGCGCCGCAGAAGAAGACGTTGAGGAGGATAGCCCAGACAGGCACCTGCAAACGTCCTTGGATGGAGCCGAGCCTTTCCTCATCAGCTTTTATCGTCGCCCTGATGGACTGGCTCCAACTCACCACTTGGGCAGGAAAGCGCCACCCTCACGGGCGAATGTGAATATCACACGAGACGACTGGTTGTCAGATAAGTGGGAGGAGCAGGATGTACGCACGGCAAGCTGGCATTGGAAGCAGGCCATAAACTGCGAGTAGATGAGGATGACGGCCATGCAGACGACGCCGGCCTGGTTCTTGACGGTCGCCTCGAGAAAGTCAAAGTAGGGTGTTCCCGTCTGGTTGAGGGCCATGGTTATCTGCGAAACGCCACAGAAGAGGAAGGTGAGGCACATGGCGGTGGCACTGCATGTAAGCGGGGGTGCCGCAGGAGTCAACTTGTATTGTACTCACGATACGAGCGAGATAACAGGTGACAGCCACATGACGCGCGGAAGGTCGACGGCAGGGCGGTTCGTCTCCTCTGCGAGATGGGTGACGGCGTCGGGGATGCCATAGCCGGCCATGATACCTGCCAGGCCAATCATGAAGGCGACAAAGTTGCTCCATCCTGAGAGGTTGAGTTCTCCAGTGAAGACTTCTGCCGCCGTGGCCTTGGTGGGGGAGAGGGAGATGGGCACAATGAGCCAGATAAAGAAGCCGCAGATGAACCAGACCAGACTGAAGATCTGGAGGTGGTCCATCGCCTTGACGCCAAAGAGGTTGATAAGGCCACAGACGACGAGAATGGCCATGTTGACGGCCCAGATGTGTGCGGCCGTAGGCACGTAGTCCTTGTGCATGAACGCCGCGAGACTGATGACCTGGCGGGCTGCGGGCCGGTTAGCAAATGCGGGCCGCGCGTGGTGTGGGTGTGGCTTGGAGCCTATATCGCTTCTTACCCAGGATAATGGTCGAGCCCATTGTGGCGAACAGATACAAGCACGACAGGGCCCATGCGACACCGTACGACTGCTCTGTTCAGCATGCTTATCTCCCAGCTGGCTTTACAACTCACTGCAAAGCGCTTGAATCGCCGCGGGAAGAGCTGGAAGGCCCATTCCTGTGGACCCGAGGATGTGGGCCAGGTACTGGCAAACTCGGCAAGCTAGGCACGGTCAGTGATATCTCCACCGTCGAACGCGTTTTTTTGCCACTCACCGAGAGGTAAATGAGAATAGCTCCAAAGCCGGTCACCCAGATGCCGTACAGGAGCAAAACAGACTGGAGAGCGATCAGCAAAACCTACGTGTTGACGAGCCCAGGCTTACCCCTCCAAAGAGAATCGTCTGCGCGAGTGTGTTGAACTGTTGGGCCCCGGTCAGCCTCGTACGTCACCCCGCCGTTCCCGTTCTACCGTACTTACGAGGTTGGCCCACGCGCCACCCAACATGATGGCCACGGCCAAGAGCGACGGGACTGGAGAGAGCGTTAGTACAGCCCATCCCGTGATCCAGTGACATGCGACGACCTACTGGAGAAGCCTTGGTGCAGCTCTCGCTCGTTGGTCACTGCGCCCTTGAGACCATGCGTATCGCGAATGTGGCCAAGGCTGTGGTCCACGCCGAGTTCGGTGATGGTCCCATCGAGGTCCTTCTTCTCGATGGTCGTTACGTTTGTGAGGTTGGGAGCGAGATCATGGTGCTCCTCGCCGTGGTGCAGTTGAGGGGTGGACATGTTGTGTGGGTCGTAGTGGCTCGGCGCGACAGGGCCCTGTCTCGTCGCTGACCTGTTAGGAAAAAAGGTGTGAGAGATGCTGAAGAGAGCAAGAATAAGACGATAAACGCGAGAGGGGTGGGGGGAGGGAGTGATCACTGTGGAGAGAAGAGTGGGGAGGCGTTGTATGCGCCGCCGCCAACATGGCCCACATGCCGGTTAGCACCTGTTGCTACAACAACCGACCGACCTGGGCTGGGCGTTGGATCTCGTGTGACCGTGTGGCCACCACGCTGGCTTCCATGGCGCAGCGCCTAGACGTTGTGTTACTTACTGCAGCGGTCACTCACCCTCTGGCCTCTGGCTGCAGGCAAAGTCATATGACAAGGCCCAAGGTCTAAGACAATGGCGCAAGCCCGCCAGATGCGCCACCCAAAGATGCGGGTTCTGCTCTCTCGCCGCCCCCGGGCAGTGTGTTCGCAGACCACACACCATGTGCACACTCTAAACGGCATCGCGGCATCTCGATTCCAGCGGGCCAGCGTACCAGCGTCCTGAGCCCCATGGGGCCAGGGCTGTTCCATAGACCCAAGATACAAATGCAGGCGCCCAAGGAAACGGGCCGAACGTAATAAACAACAATGTTCTCGGGGATGCCCTGGTGACCCTCTCGTGAGCGCTCAGAACAGAGAGAGGGCGGCGTCCGCCGCGGTGCAAAGTTGGATTCACCTGCCCACCTGACTCATGTCGTTCTTCTGTATTGGACCCACATGCTCTGGGCCTCTGGCCGTGTCTCCGCCGACGTGGCTGTCGGGCGGTCGGGTTACGTCTATAAGTGGAAGCGGCGCGAAAGAGCCTTACGGCGGACACGTAATGCGCACACGGCCTAGCGCCGATTAGGCTCTACGACGGTCTGTGTTCCCATCACCTGCACACTGTTCTCGGCGCGTCGCGCTCGAGACTCGGTTCGTGTTCGGGCGCGCAGCATCGAGATAACAGCGTTGTGATGACCAGGGGCGCCAGGCGGTTGTATAGACCTGAAAGATCGACGTGCTGTGTGTTGCTGTCGTCGGTCAAAAAGGACGACATCGATATCCAGTCCACGGCCTCGACGCACCCAACGACGGCACTGCCCATGGTGGAATGTACCATGTGATCCTCCCTGCTCTGGTGACCTGGGTGACGGACACGGGCATTCCACAGCTCCCTAAAGGCAGGCTTACGCCGCGCCGCCGCATTCACCCACGACTGCTTTCGGGCCATGCGGCCAGAGCTGCAGTGGCCGAGATTTGAGTCCCCGCTGTACCGTTGTACTGCTGTTCGGCAGCACCGGAGTTCGGCGTGGTTCGCAGACTTGTTCGGATAGCTCTGACCTGTCGTTCGGGGTGTGTCATATTCATCACACACTCATATAACGTCGTATCCTGCGTGTGTACCGACACCAAGTCACCTCCCTTGCAAAAGTGAGTGAGTGAGTGCAAGTGCTGCCCACCCGGTACCCGTACGCCCCACCGTGCGCTGCAACATCGCCGTGCACTAGCCAACAGTCCCGCCGACCCGCTACATCGGTCCACAGGCGCCCAGCGACCCATGCTGCCCAACTTTGCTACCTTCTCCTTACAGTAAAGTGTTTTGCTGCGACACCTTCACCTTCCAAATAACCTGTACATTTTACGAATAGTACAATCTAGTATGTGTTTTACCTACAAACAGAAAAAGCAGCTCTTCTCGTCACACACACACATACACACACACACAGACCAAAGCGTCCGTCGTTCTTCATGTCCTAACGCGGCGGTATTTACATGGTGGCTCCAGCCCAGCCGTTGAGCCGTTGTTGGCCACTTAGGCCGCCGAGTGGTCGCTACTCGGGTTCGTGGCTGGAGAATGGGATGGGGAGAGGGGCTCGGAGCGGGTGGTCAAGGCCGTCAGCTGGGTCAAGTGCGAACGCTGGGACAGGGCCGACAGCTGGGTCGGGGTCGGCAGCGTCGAGCTCGAGTCGGTGGCGCGGTACGTCGACTCCCATTCGGGGTTGTACGAGGGCGGGAGGAGCTCGACCGTCTCGTCGATACGCCCTGCGTCCTGGTCAAACGCAACGCGCTGTGCGGACAGCGGCTCGGCCGGGTGGTGGTCTTCGAATGACTCCTGCGGCATGCGGAGCACGGGAAGGATGGGACGGACGCCCTTTGGCGTGACCGGCGAAGGACCTGGGCTGTCGCTGTATGGCTGCGTAGACGTGCCCTCTGTCGGGCTCGCACCACCACCTCCACCAGAAGTGTTTTGGCCGCCATAACCGTTCTGAGCCATGGCAGCAGACAAGAGCCTCTCGTGCGACTCGCTTCCCATGGGCGAGAGGGGCTGCGACCTCGGCGGCGGGATGCCCAAGATGAGCTGCTGCTTCATCTGGTGCGCGCGGCTCAGTGTCGCCTCTGACGCCTCGCGGTTGAGTGTCGCCACGGACGGTTCGCGGTGGAGGGCCGGCTCCGTGGGTACTGGCGAGGCAATGTGCTCAAAGGGGACAACTGTCGCCGGCACCTGTGCGGCCCCGTCCTCGACCACGGATACGCTCCGGCTCTCCGACTCGACGCTGTGGCGGGGCTGCTTCTCCATGGCCATGCCGTCCTCGGACTCGGCACGGCTGACCGGCCGACGCCGCCGCCCGAGGAAGAAGACCAGACCTAGCAAGAGCGTAAGGGCGACCACGCCGCCCACGACACCGCCAGCAATGGCCCCTGTGTGAGACTTGCTGGGCGGGTCGCTCGTCGTGTCGGGAGGGACGACAACCGGGGTCGTGTTGTTTGTCTGGGTGGTGGTGGTGCTGCTAGGCGTCAGCATCGGACTCGGGCTTGAAAGATACTCACTTGACAGCAGAGAACAGGCCGATGCGGGTCAAACGGGCGCCAAACGCAGACGGCGCGGACTGTGTGCCTTCCCACAGGGCTGGCGTAATTTGCAGCGTGTACCTTTGCCCCGGGTCAAGGCGGGCATTGAACAGCCGGGTCTCGGGAATGATGTCGTCCCAAGTAATGTTGAGGGTGACGGTCCCATTGTATTCCGGGAGGGGCGGTGTCGTCTCAACCTTGATGGAAGTGTAGTTCATCCCTCGACCGCCCCACAACACAAAGCGCGTCGCATTTATGGGAAGAGCCATGCTGACGGAAGCACCCGTCCCGCTACTTGCAAGGCTCGTGTACCGAATTGTGGTCGTGTAGTCTGGAAAGTGTCAGTGCCTGTAGGGGGAGGTTGCCAGCGAGGACCTGTCTCTCGCTCTGGGTGTAGCTCAACCAGTAGCAGACGTACCAATGTTCGCCTCGAGTATTTCTGGCTTCCACGTCCCCGCATACTGCATGGAAGCGTTTCGGCCGTTTGCCTGTGTGCCGTCCAGAAAGCTCCAGGTCTCGTTGGGTCGCTCCTCGTCAATGGTCGCAGACGTGCTGCACTGTCAGCATGTTTCCGCTTCCTGGGTCACACGAATGGCTCACTTGAGGGTCTCGGTGTAGGACGTGTACGCAAAACTCTTGAAGACAATCTTCCCGACAAAGTCCGAGTCGACGTTGAAGGACGCCGTGTGGCCACCGTATGCCAAGCCGTCGGTGGAGATCAAGTCGTCTGTCGGGTCCCACGGGTCTGATGCGTTGGCGTACAGCTTGCCGTCGATCATGAGGTAGCCGACCCTGTCGCCCGAGGTATTTGCGGGTGTGACGTCGGCCGTAAAGTAGCAGTCGGTTCCGTGGTACGCAATGGTCACTTGAGGCAACGTGTCGTTGGATGCTGTCGCCGTCACCGTGTCGTTTGACGACAAGGTTCCGTTTGTCGACGAGCTTGTCGACGACGCAGTGGCGTTTTTCACCAAGACCCACTGGCCCTGGAGAACTGCGTTCTGAGGGGTAGTGAATGCGACATTGTTGACACTGGACAGCGGGGTGGTAGTCGCGTTCAAGGCGAACACCTTGTCTGGCGCCACATCCCACGTAGGGGAGAGGGACGAGAGGCTAAAGTTGGACCAGACCCGGCCGAGGCCGTCGTCAGAGTCGGGCATGTTGCCGTCGTTGCCGTCGCTGCCGTCGTTGCCGTAGCGCGCGAGACGCGGGGGGACGAGGTGGTGGGAGGATGAATGTGTATGTATTATGTGAATGGTGGATGGAGAGATGGGAAGAGGGAGAAAGGGAGGGTGAGTGTGAGATTCACACATTTCATGTTGCGCAGTGGGTAGGACAAGAGAGAGCGGGGCCAACGTGCAAGGGAGAGAGGGGGAGCGTGCGCGCGTGCGGGAATTCCCCTGGGCGGGCGGGCGGGGACCGTGGGTGGTGGGCCGTGGCGCCGTGGGATGGCTGTACGTCATTCACCCCCGTTTTGCGTCCATTTCATTGTGCCGCCCGCAGTAACCTTTTTAAACCTTGCACACATCAACACCTCCTGTATACCAGGCTCATCAAGTGACCCCGCAAGAGAGAGCAAAGTCAAAAGGGTAATCCAACTGACACGCGCGTCCCATGTCACATTTTTTTGGGCGCGTTGGCTGACGGCCTAGTAGTAAACACGACAAAGGCGTTCTAGGAACCCTTGTGTGATTGGTCTCTCCGTGGCGATTGGGCTTTGCGCAGGTTGCGACAGATACAGATATGCCAGTATACAAGAAGAATACAAACGTACAAACAGGACCAACTGAGACTACACTGTCAGGTCTAGTTTATCACACACCCTCTGCCCGCGGACATTGAACTGGGTCCCATTCCGTTACCCTCGACACCCGTGTCAATGTCGAAAGCTTCACGGACAATCTGCATTTCATGGTGCCAGCTGGGCGTCTTTGTTCGGGGTCAGCCCCCAGCCACCACCTGCCACACACACAACTCACGCTGTGCTCTAGAGTAGTCAGTGACCACCGCGGCTGCCCTCGCTTCTTGTCGAGAACCTGGGGCTCGATGTAGGCTCGTATAATCGCTATTGCCTCCTCGCTCGAGTGGGCGCGACCAAGCTTGTCGAGTGTCTCCCCGCATGTCCTGATATAGGGAACGTGGGGCTGCACAGTGTTAGTGATGGAGCCGCCGGAAGGGGTACGGTGGGCAAATGAAATGCTCACCAGGTTGTACCGCATGAACACGAGCTCTGGCTGGGGCTCGCCGTGGGCCTTCTCCCGAATCTTTGCCTTTGCAACACTGGAGATGGCGCAGATACCGGTCATGGTGGATTTGCTAGAGTTGTCGAGTAGAGACTGAGGATGAGGATGACTGAATATGGTGTGGTTGGGTCTGAGCAGGCTGCTTGCTGCAGTACTTGTACTTCACATGGATGGTAGTGCGACGCGCCAGTCGACTATGGGTTGGCACACAGCTTGCACCAGAAACGACGTCAACGAGAGCATCCAGGACCGCCACCCCCTAGTGCTACAGACAACCGCACCGCCGGGGATCCTACCCATATAAACGCAGCGGGTCTGCCGAGTGAGCGGGAAAAGGCGGTTGTGAGGACCGGTTCTCTCGGCCACGGCCTGTGGGCCTTGGGGGACCTGTGACGGCAGAAGCCAGTGCCCAGGTGGATGATGGACTTCAACAACGAGCAGTTGTGTTAGCCACACAACAACAACTGTCGTTCCGTGCACCCTATGATGCAATTCGAGTGCACTATACGCAAATGTCCATCAAACCAGTCCACCAAAGGCTGCCCAGCTGTTCAAGTGGCCAACTGGACATGGTACCAACGAGGCAAACGGCAAGAAAGGTGGAGACCAGGAACCGCGCAGCCCGCCCCTCTGCACCGCCTCGCCACAATCTAAGCTCCTTCCAACGGAATGGATCAGCGCCCATGTCTCCTCGAAGGATCGACGGCGGTGGAACAATCTGAGAGGTCTTGGCAATGGACATTCTGCACGGTGTGGAGGAGCACCAGACGATCAGATGAGTCCGTGAGGTTAGTTTGCCGAACACCGCCGTTGCTCGTTCAGCGGCGAGCCATTTGGCACGGCGGACGGTTGGGATCGAGGTTGATGAGGACAAGGTGTGGCTTACCCCGTAAAAGTCTCGCCCGCCAGGGAGACCGACCCGATCGTATCTCAAGGTATCTTAGATGGCCGGGTCCGGCGAGGACCCGGGAACGAGGTCCAGCTGCAACATGCGATGACAGTGCATGCATGTGCAGTACAGCACACCTGTACACTACTGAGGGATGCACGCTGAAGAACTTTCCCCCAGTTTGAAAGGCCACGCCCAGGCCTCGCGACATCTTAGAGGACCCTTGGTTGTGCCTGAATGTGTGATGTTATCCATATCCGGAATCTCCCTCAAGTCCCTACAGTTGCTGTACTGCTGTGGACCCCTCCCAGCCATTCTCGTAGACTGGTCCCAGACGAGAGGGCTGCACCGACAAGGATGCTTCTTCTGGAACAGGTTGGCCATGGACACCCACGTGGCGATCTGGTGACATCGCCATAAGGGTCAGCGACGGGAGACCCGCCGCCAACGAGCGCGCAAGAGGCAGGCAGGGGATGATGCTCGGTCCAGCAAAACCTGGCTGCACTGCTATCTCTCTGTACAACCTGGTGTCTGCGGTAGAGTCGGTCGGGGGTGGCACATGGTGTGTGGTTGCGGACCTGCTACTGCGGGTGGCTGATGTCGTGGGCGCCATGTCTTAATGTCTTCCGAGGCGCGCGAGCGTTGCTCACAATGTGCGTAACGAGGTTGTCAAGCATGTCTCGTGGATGCCGAGCTTGAAGCTCTAAATGATGTTGTAAATGCGAAGGTATTAGGAGGAGAACCGGCAAACCCGCAATGAGCCGCAGGCCGCCATTCTATTCACCACCATCCCGCTGCGTTACGATCGCGGATGTCGTAATGCCCGCTACGCCTCATGACAACCGTCCCGGCTCTGGATCTCCCGCAGGTGCGCACACCGATGCCATGATCGACGAGGACACTGGATGTGCTCAATCGGCGTCCTCGGTGGCATAGATCGAGCAGCACTCGACGTCGGAGGGCTCGTCGAAATCCTCGTCCTCGTCCTCGTCCTCGTCCGAGTCTGCCTCGGAGATCAAGGTGGTGGTGGTGTCGAGGCTGTCGACGTCCCCGGCGTCGTCGGCACCGAGCTCGAGGAGGTAGCGAAAGGCCGGATGCAATGCTGTATCCAACTCAAACGAGAGCGAGTGGAAGGAGAGCGCCGTGGGTGCCCGCTCGCTCTCCGTGGGGTCGCTCACGTCCTGCTCGGCGGTGTGGAAGGCCGATTCATCTTCGCCCATCTCGCCCTCTGGGTCGCCGTCCTCCTCGGTAGCTAGGCGGAGTGCGAGCAGCTGTGTGCTTTCTGGATCTGGGTCCTCGCTCGCGTACGGCGGTGGTGGATCGGCCGTTGGCGACTGGACGCGGACAACGGGCGCTCGGTCGAGGTAGTGAAACCCGCAGTACAGCGTGGTCGGCCGGCGTGGGACTGTGGTTTCGCGCGGGAGAGCACTGAGGGGGAGCGGCAGGCGATAAGCTTTATGGATGGCTCGGAACTCTGGTGCAAACTCGGGAAACAGAGCGGCGAGGACCTGGAGCTCGCGCTCGAGGTCGGCTCGAGCTCGTGGCCGCCATTGTCGTGGCTTGATGTATGATTTCAGGACCTGGAGGACGTATCTGGAGAGCCGGGGGTGTCAGTCAAAGGTTTTATGCTCTCTGGGGTCGACGCTTGGGACATACGGTGGATCATATTGCGCTCTTGGCGTGGACAGGATGCCTAGCAGGTCATCAAACCCGCTCACAGGCGGTACATAACCCTTCTCATGTCAGTAAAACGCTTGGGGACATGACGAAGGCTGGGTGACTCACATCTCGGCCCGTCGGTCGCCCTGGCATGCCGACCAGGAGGGCAATGTCGTTCATGAACATGGATGCTGCGCGCGCCATCCTGGATGCCGAGTGTGATGGGTGTGGCAAGGCGCTATGCACAGATGTCGCGGGGGAGTGGATGAGGAAGAGAGTGCAAGCACGAACGAGTGTGAGGTTTTACCAGAAGAGGACCCAGGCATGATGCCGTTGCCCGGTGGTTGCCTAGAAATACAATGAATGTCTCGGGCTGGGCGACGACAGTTGCTTGGACGGGTAACTATAGCCCAACAACGTCTGCTCCTGGCACCAGGTCCAAGGCCCGCACAACGATCCGGTATCCCCAGCCGCGGAACGCATCCAGTCGCCACACAAAAGCACAATGTTGTGCAAGCATGCTACAAGACGAGCATTAACAGGCGCGCGCGATACATGCACAAGATTACAACGGTTACGAGCCACAGGAGTATCACAAAAGCCGCCGGACATGGCCGCAGCCAAACCTCGCACGACGTCATTACACGACGAATGATCCAATGGATGTCTTACACCCTGCCTTGGGTGCCCAGCTCGAAAAGTCGGCCCAGCTTGGAGAAGAATCCAGGCTTGCCGTGCTCCTGCTCGTAGAGCGCTTTGGCCTCGGCGTTCCTCTCCTGGAGAGACGGGATCGTGGGGTCAAACGTGCCAATCTTCCAGATACGACGGACGTCGTTGATTTCGGTGCGGAATTCGGGGAACTGCAGAGAGAGAGAGTCAAGTGAGCTTCTGCTCGTCCTCGTCGCGGTCAAACACTGCTACACACCTGTTTCTCGAAAGACTTCATTTCGAGGTCGAGGTCCCCCACCTTGCGGCCACGCTTGGACTGATCCATAACCCACTGGGCAAGGGCGGAAGCCACATATCTGTGTCAGAGTCAGCCAACGCCCAGCCTCAAGAGAACACACTTGTTGTTTTGGCCCCTGCGGCTCGATTCTAGCGCGTGGTAGATGGCATCATACGTCGGCATCGAGTGGACCGCGGGCTACAGTCGTTAGCGGTGGTGGTTGAGGTCGAGGTACACATACAAGCTTCATTACGATGACGCCGCCGTCGCCGCCGTTGGCCCCAGTTTCCATGATGAAAGTGTTAAGAGTGGTAGCTTCAAAGTGCTGAGTGTGCGAGTGTTTTGCCCTGCGAAAGTGGCAAAGCGAGGAAGACGTAGGTTAAAGGGGGTGATGCGAAGAACGAGCTGGGAGATGTCGCTTGTCCAGTACGTCCACGGAGTACCAGAGTTCGGCCAGTGCCTTGGTAATGTGCACAGCTTGCCAAGAGTGTGGCTTCGCTTCGCCCGGCTACACACCCACCATCCCCTCCAACGCTGCATTTTCGGTGCATTCTGGTCCCACCGTCGGGAAAGAAGCATGCTGACAGGTAACATGGGTATGATGAAGTTGCAGAGGTTGCCTACAATGTCCCAAGGATGCCTTGTGGGAAGCAAAGTGTCGAGCCAGAAACTGTGCTGTTGTGTTGTGTTCTTGACCAGCGATCCCGCGTGGAGCTGAATTACACTTTCCGCTGGAAATCCATTACAACACTGCGGTACGGCGGGGGCAATTCAATTCTAAATAAAGCACAAAGCAAACAAACAAGACAGTAATTTAAACAGTACTCCCCCTTTCGCATCTTCACGGAGCCTAATTGACGCGCGACGCGCGACGCGACTGACCGCGGTCATGTTGTCCTTCCGCCAAGCTGATTCGACCTGCACATTACCCACACACACAACAACTCATACCACCATGCCTGCAACACGCGGTCCAGGAGCAAAAGTTGACCGTCTAGCAGCGCTGCGCGAGGCGCGTGAACGGGGAGGTCGTCTCTCGCAGTGGAAGGTATGTCGTCTCCCTTTGCATCTCCCTTGGCAGCGACCGGGCGAGCCGCAGCAGACAGGTTTACGCGTGATGCCGTCCCCTCCGTCCGCTGTTGTCGTTTCCACCACTCTTGCTGACACATACTCCAGACCGATGATGCCCAAATCTACGACGAGGTTACAGACGAGCAATACACGTCTATTGTCGGATCGCGTCTTGAGGAGGACGACTTCATTGTCGATGACGACGGAAGCGGATACGTCGACAACGGAATGGACGACTGGGGAGGCGGTGAGGAGGAGAGTGAGGATGAGGACGACTTTGAGGGCGAAGATGAGGAGCTGCGCAAAGGTAAGCTGAAGCTCCCACTCCTGTAGCTGACAACAGCACGCAAACAGAAGAGAGCGAGGGCACGCGCCAAGGCGGCCAAGGACGGTAAGGTCAAGGCGACAAAGGCCAAGCCCAAGTCTGCTCTCTCCGACTATGCACGCTCTGCACAGACTGGCGCGTACCGCCCGGCACCGGCCAACGAGGACGACTTTATGGCGTCTCTACTCTCGACCGTCACTGCCGAACCATCGCGCAAGCGCAAGTCGTCGCCCCCCGAGTACCCCAGCAGTGATCCCGCGGCGAGCTCCGACTCTGCGTGGTCCCGCGGCAAGCGGTACGGCGACGACAGCGAGGACGAGGTGTGGGACCCTATCCGCGGTTCCATGGGCAAGAGGCCCCGCGTGAGCGAGGCCACCATCAAGCCCTACGACGGCAGCGAAGACGAGAATGAGGGTGTCGACTTTGGCATGGACATCGACGACAACAACGATGACGACGCGGTTGTTGTCAAGCGCGAGCCCGTTGACGATGGCGACGACGAGATTGCCATCAAGCCCGCCGCCGCCCGTACCGCTGCGCGTGCTGGACCCCGCCGGCGCGTCAACAACTCGACCGCCGTCAAGAACCTGCTGGCCAAGCCTGAGCCAGAGCCCGAGATGGAGGACGAGGTTGAGGTCAAGAAGCCCGTCCTGTCTTCTCGCAAGCCTCCTACCGACCGTACCCACTGGCAGGCTGTGCAAGCATCGCTGCTCCCTCCCAAGAGCGACTTGGACGCCGTGCGCGTCCCGCAGGGCGGCGCTGTCAAGTCTGAGAACGTCCTCGAGGAAGACGGCAGCCTGCGCATGTTCTGGCTCGACTTTTTGGAGCAAGACGGTGTGGTCCACCTCGTTGGCAAGGTCCTTGATCGCTCCTCGAACAAGTACGTCTCGGCGTGCGTGAGCGTCAAGGGTATCCAGCGCAACCTGTTTGTGAAGCCCCGCGCCAAGCGCTTCTCTGGTGGCCGCGAGACCGACGTCGAAGTCACAAAGGCCGATGTGTACCAAGAATTTGACTCTGTGCGGTCCAAGCACGGCATCGAGGAATGGGCGGCCAAGTTTGTCAACCGCAAGTATGCGTTCGAGGACCACTCGATCGACCGTGGCGAGAGCGAATGGATGAAGGTCGTCTACCCGTACGACCAGCCTCAGATCGGTGAAGGCTTGACCGGTCAGACCTTTTCACACGTCTTTGGCGCCAACACGACGGCGTTCGAGCTCCTTGCCCTCAAGCGCCGTATCATGGGTCCATGCTGGCTTAACATCAAGGACCCTGTGCTCTCTGAAAAGGCAGCGTCGTGGTGCAAGATTGAGTTTACCGTCACCAACCCCAAGCACGTCAACCCCTTCAGCGACGACGACGAGACGGCCCCCAAGGACAACCCGCCTCTCACGTTTATGAGCATTGCCTTGCGCACCATTGTCAATCACCGCGAGAACAAGACTGAGATTCTCATCGCTACAACTCGTACCTGGGAGGGCCTGAACATTGACGACCCCACCCCACCCGATCGCCAGGTCAGCACCTTGTCGACGATTGTGCGCCCCATTGAAAAGTTCCCTCCAAACCTCGAAACCAAGGCGCGGGACCCCCGCTCTCCGTTCCAGGTCGTCAAGGCCGAGCGCGCTCTCCTCAATGCGCTTCTTGCCACTATCAACCGTCACGACCCCGACGTCATTGTCGGCCACAACTTTTTGGGCAACTCGTTCGAGGCGCTCCTGTACCGTCTCAAGGAGCTCAAGGCTGACCACTGGAGCCGTATTGGCCGCTTCAGGCGCAAGGGCTTCCAGATTACCAAGGCCGGCAGCAACGTGCGCCTCCTTGCAGGTCGTCTTGTTGCCGACCTCTCCAGTGATGCCGCCAAGGGCATGATTTCGTCGACTACGTGGTCTCTCACGGAAATGGTTGCCACCCATCTCAAGATTACGCGCGAGGATGTCGATCCCGAGGACACCCAGACGTACTTTGACCACACGGTCTCGTCGCCTGACAAGCTCGTCCACTTTATCCGCCTGGCTGAGATTGACGCCTACTTCCAAATGGCCATTGCAGCACGCGTGCAGCTGCTTCCCCTCACCAAGCAGCTGACCAACCTCGCCGGTAACAGCTGGAACCTGACGCTCAACGGTGGTCGTGCGGTGCGCAACGAGTACATCCTGCTCCACGAGTTCCACAAGCTCAAGTATGTGACGCCCGACAAGTCGTTCAAGATGAACAAGGTCAAGGTCATCAACGACGATGGCGAGGAGGAAGAAGTCACTACGGGCCACAAGCGTGGCAAGGCCAAGTACGCCGGTGGTCTCGTGTTTGAGCCCAAGCGCGGTCTGTGGGACACGTACATTCTCGTCATGGACTTCAACTCGCTTTATCCCTCCATCATCCAAGAGTACAACATCGACTTTACGACCGTGGAGCGCGACGATGTCGAGGACGGTGACGAGGAGAAGATCCCCGAAGTCCCAGCCCAGGAGACTTCGCAGGGCGTGCTTCCGCGTATTATTGCCAACCTCGTCCAGCGTCGTCGCCAGGTCAAGGGGCTCATGAAGGACAAGACCGCCTCGGCAGCCAAGCTCCAGCAGTGGGACATTAAGCAACAGGCGCTCAAGCTTACCGCCAACTCGATGTACGGTTGTCTTGGTTTCGCCGGTTCTCGGTTCTCGTCGCGTCCCCTCGCCGCTCTGACGACGTTCAAGGGTCGAGAGATTCTCACGCACACCCGCGAGCTCGCCGAGTCGCTCTCCCTCGACGTCGTTTACGGTGATACCGACTCGGTCTTTGTCAACTCCAACGTGTCCAACTACGCCGACGCGGTCAAGATTGCCAACGAGTTCAAGCGAGCTGTCAATGAGCGCTACAAGCTCCTCGAGATTGACCTTGATGCCACGTTTGAGCGCGTCCTTCTCCTCAACAAGAAGAAGTATGCGGCAGTCAAGATTGACGAGGCCGGCGAGCGCAGCACCGAGGTCAAGGGTCTCGACATGAAGCGTCGCGAGTTCTCCAAGCTGTCCAAGGACGCCAGTGGCGCTGTACTCAAGGAGATTCTCTCGGGCGAGGCCACTGAGAACGTTGTCACAAAGGTCCACGAGCTGCTCACGGGTCTCGGCGACACTGTGCGCTCGGGCGCTGTCCCTATCGACGACTTTATCATCTTCAAGCGTCTCGGCAAGAACCCCGAGGACTACCCCGACAAAAAGTCTCAGCCGCACGTCCAGGTCGCTCTGCGCATGAAGGCTAAGGGTGTGGCGGTTCGCGCGCACGACGTCATCCCTTACATTCTCTGCCTGGGCGCCGACGGCAAGGGAGCGCGCTCGGCGCAGGCCGACCACGCGTTCCACCCCGACGACCTCCGTCGTGCCGGCTCCGACCTCAAGATCGATTACGACCTCTACCTCGATGCCCAGGTCCTCCAGCCCGTCCTCCGTCTCTGCGAGAACATTGAGGGCACCGACCGTGCCCGTCTGGCCGAGTGCCTCGGCCTTGACCCTTCGCGCTACACCTCGCAGCAGCATGAGGCACCGGAACGCGCCTTCTTCACCCTCGAGTCGCAGACGTCTGACAAGGAGCGGTTCAAGGATGCCCACCCCTTTGCGCTCAAGTGTCCTGCGTGCGAGGCAGGGTTCACATTCGAGGGCCTTGCTGCCGCTGCCGACGGCTCCGAGGGCGTCACCACCCTTCGTGCCGGAGCGGGCATCACCTGCCCGGCGTGCTCCACCGCCGTGCCTCCTGCCTCGGTCACTGTCCAGCTCGAGACCCAGATCCGCGCCTACATTGCCCAGTACTACCTCGGCTGGACGGTGTGCGACGGTGAAGACTGCGGAGCGCGCACCCGCGCCATGGGCGTGTATGGCCGCCGCTGCCTCGGCTTCAACCGCCCAGGATGCAGGGGCAAAGTGTCGCTCGAGTACACCGACCTCGCACTGTACAACCAGCTCCTGTACCTGCGCACCTTGTTTGACACGGACAAGGCTCTGGCAGACACGAGGGGTACGGGTCGTCACGAGGACGTGCGTGCCCTTTCGGCGGGCAACGCGGGCATCCTCGGCCAGGGCGTGAGCGTGGTCGACAGGTATCTGGACAAGAATGGCCGGCGCTGGGTCGACATGCGCGGCCTGTTTGCGTTCATGGAGAGGATCACCCTCGTGTGAGTGTGGCACGGGGGTACGGGGTACGAGAGGAGGAGGAGCTTTTGTAGGGTTTGTTCTGTAGGATATAGACGCGCATGGCATGCACTGTGACAAGATTAAGAAAACAGAATGGGTGCGTGGGTGCAGTCGGTCCACGCAGTTTAGCAGTTTAGGTGCCACAGTTTCGACTCATTCAGTATGTACCTGCAGCGTCGGTTCAAGCTGTCCCATTGTGCGGCTGGGCCACCAGCATGGGTATCGGTAGGCGTATATCACCAAGACTCAAACGCCAAACAGCGATCTGTTCTGGGCCCAGAAGGCTTCCTTTTATTGATGCATTCAAAAACGCGCGGCGGGTGGACGATCCGTCCATCGGCGATTTACGAGTGAATTTCCTTCATTTTTGTTTTCGATTTGAGCGGGAGTGCCGTGTCCGACCGACTCCCCCGTTAGCGTCCCACAGAGGCGAACCTGCAGTGGGTACAATACCATCAGTCAAGGAGGAGTAGAATTGATTTTTTTTTTCGGGAGAACGGGGCTGTGCTGAGTGACACTGCAAAAGTGGCCACTGCGAAACGGACTGTGTTGGGTCGGTGGCGCCACCTCCCATCTGGTAGCTCGCTGCCCAAATTGATCGCAGCGAGGCAACATGGGCCAGATCGCGAGTGTGGCATAGGGAAACGCACAAATCAAATACACAGGGTGCGTTGGGGGGGGGGGGAAGAGTTTGGGTCTAGCATAGGGGAGTTTGGTCTATCTAAAGTTTCTTGTGGGCAGCAAACGGCGTGTGTATGTGCCATGGAACGTGCCACGCGGAGGTGTTTGGTATAACCAGTCACACCTAGAGCATGCCGGCGCCAGCGAGCGCGCCAACGAGGCCCATGACACCCACCGCGACCTGCGCGCCGCCCACGAGCGGGACAGCCACGCCGCCGGCCGAGCTGGCCGTGCTGGTGCTTGAGCTTGCGGCGCTCGTCGACGACGCGGCCGTCGTGCTTGCCTTGACGGACGTGGCGGTCGTCACGGCCGACGAGCTCGCAGCGGCGCTCGTGACCACAGCGCTGGACACGCTTGCGGTAACGCTCGCGCTCGCGCTGTCGGCATAGCTGTCGGTGGCCGAGTCTGTCGCGACAGAGTCATAGTCGTCCGTGCTGCTGTCGGTTGCCGATGCGTACACGCTGTCGGTGCTCGAGTCGGTCCCGCCGCTGTCGTCGGCGGTCGCGGTGGCGGTTGACGAGCCCGACGCCGAGGACGCGCAGTAGCTGTCGAGGTAGGTCTGGGCCTCGTCCGAGTCGGCCGAGTCGCACCTGTGAACGTTGGTCAGTGGCGGGCGGACAACAAAAGTGGCGCGAGTGGGGAAGGAGGTCACTGCACTGCGCAGCGCAGCTCCTTCCCACTCCCACTCCCTTGCGCACAGCCTTCACTCACTCGTCAAAGCACGAAAGGAACGCACTCTCGCCGTCAGTGGTGCAGAGGTCGTCGGTGAGCTCGGCGTAACACGTAGTGATACAGCTGGTGGCCGAGGACGACGAGGTCGAGTCCGACGCCGTGGCGGTATCGGTCGAGCTGCAGTGTCAGCAAATGCAGATCGCTGGAGGGTCGAAGGAGGGTGCAGAACGATGACACAGGGGTATGGAAGACGCCCACGACGCCTCCCGCGTACGGAAGACGGGAGACAGGCCTGCCAGGGAGAATGAGGGAGGAAGCAAAGGACTCACTCCTGGGCAACAACAACGGCAGCGAGGCCGACAGCAGCGAGGGTGTAGAACTTCATGGTATGTGTGGTTGTGGTGGTGGATCGGGGATGTTAGTTGGTGATGGTATCGAAACGATGCGCCGTCGAGTAGGACTGGTTATGTACTTGTTGTCGAGGACGACCAAACATACGGCTAACCCCTCGTCGTGGTGCTATTCTCTACCTGTGGCTCGCAGTAGTTGACTGCGGCGCGAGGCGCGATTCACAGCCAGTGCTGAGCGCAGTTATGGGTTGGTTGGGTGCAGACCCGGGCCGCGGCCCCGCTCGCCCCTTGGCCTCGTGTATATACAGAACTTGCGCAGACATTCAATGCACAGTTACCCACCGGTGGCAGTGTCAGTTGGGTCTCTTGTTTTGTTGACGCTCGCAACGCAGTGTACATCTTGCCGATTACGGCTAGGTGACCCCTGTGGGCTCGCAGTCGCGTGCAACGCGTCGCGTGCGTGCACTTGGAAAGGGTCCGAAGGTCTGCAGCGTGGTTTGTGTCGTGTTGCGCAGACCGATCAATTGACAGTCCATCGATTGGTTTGTGTGGTGTGGGCTCGCGACTGTGCAGCATGTGTTAGGACATGCGTATGGTTAGTTTGTGGCACTAGTCATCGCTCCGTACGGTCCGTCTTCTGCCAGCTCAGCTCGCAGCACCGTCGACATCGAAAACCGATGCCACAGCTCCTCGCAGTGACTTTACAGGTCGCAGACGTCATAGCCACATGCAGGGAGAGAGGCAGTGTCCAGCACGCGAGGGACAAGGCAATGCTATGCAGTCATCCCATGTCATTTGTCGAAACCCCCAGCGTCAGAGTTAATTCCCCCCTCCCCCGGTCTGGACCTTTGCTGGCGTTTTCTTTCACTTGATGCCCCTGCGGAGGCCCCAGATGCCAGGACACCTCTCTCCCTGCGTGACGTCTTATGCGCTCCCTCATGGACATTGATCGATCCGGCGTGGCGGTGTCCCAGGATTTGCAGGTTGCAGGTAAAAGGCAGACCCGCAAAAACGGGCCCTACGAGATCTGGCCCAGCGACGAAAAAAAAGACACACCTTTCAGGACAAAAACATCGGCATTCATAGGTTTCTCGCCCGTCCGCGATCCGCGACACGACACGACACAAACAATGGGCGTTTTTTGTGTCGTATCGTTCGGCTCAGTTAGGCGCATGGCTTATACAACAATGGCGCTGTGTAAACGGGGGACTGGGCCATCCCGATACAGTACAGAACCCCCGTTCGGTCGTCCTAGAGGGCGTGCGAACACGGCTAGGAATGCAGGTAGAGAGCGGTCGTCGTTTGCATGGCAGCCCGTACTAATTCCAGACGCCTGTTTTGGACAACCCAAACACACACACCCAACATCGGCAATTTCTCGGGCCGCGGCGGGCGCCACATGCAGGACGCAGCGCGAGCCAGAAGGCACACACACGTTCAGTCTCTTGAAACTGTTGCTGGACCCACACCCTTCGCTGTGAGAGCCCTGTGTCCTGTGTCCTGATGGTCGCCCAACTCATGCGCTGCGTACACCAGACTATGTACATCGACGCCGTGCCCCCTTCAGAAGCATGGCGACGGCGTCCATGCGTCGCGGTTTGTGTTGCTTCACGCGAGACCCCGTTCTGCTATGCCCTCGCTGCTCGCTTCTAGACGCCAAGACTGCGAGTCCCCCCCGGTACATGTGTGGAACGGGGGGTCGCTATGTGGCGTCAAGGCGGTGCTGTGAGGCAACGGGGACGGGAGAGAGTGTACTGTGGGTGGTTCGGCGCCGGTCGCCGTTCGCCGTTCGTTTGGCGGGACGGTGTCAGCTGGCCTGGCCCAATGACTCTTGACTCTGTGGAGTGGTGCTGCGCAGTACAAAAAGCTGTGCGGGGCGCCATGCGCCATCCCATCGCGATGCTCGTGGAACGTCGAAGCCTCGCTGGGCGTGGTACATCGCGTTCGCCGGTGTCGCGTTCGCTTGCGGGATATTGGGCTTGGCAGATCGAGTGTGTGTTTTTGCCCGCAACTTTCTCATGGTCTCATGCCTGCCTCCGATCGACTTGTAGGCAGCACCGTGACGCCGTTGACAACCACGCCAAACGTCGTCGTCAACGACGACGACGACGACGAACAACGACCACCGAACAAACCTTGGAGACCCACCCTTTGGTCGTGAAACCCACGCGGCCCCCGTCGCCAGTGGCCAGAGTATACGCTCGTCGCGTCTGTTGAGCATGTGCAGCGGCCCATACCGCCCAAGCGCTGGCGCCACAGACGCCACTCGCTCTACACCCTATATCCCCCACTCTGGTTGTACTCTTGGTCTCTCTGGCCATTAGCCTTCTGGCCTCTGGCGCACGCCGTGGCGGGCGATTCAACCGCCGCGCGCCCAAAAAAGGATAAAAACGCCTCTTTGAGCCTTATCCTTTGGCCTCGCGGGCCGTGGAGATCCGTGGCAGAGAAGGGCTCTCTCAGCTCTCAGCTCTCCTCACTCGGGATCACTCGTCCTTTTCCCGGGCACAGACGGCAGACCCCGCCCGACTCAGTTCCGACAGCAAAGAAAGAACCCGCCGCGGCAGAGGCAAAACCGGCGGCTTGAACGGCGGATGGGCGGTCTGGACGCTGGACCATGGCACCACGGCACCATACACGGCTGTCTCACCATATCCGAGCCGTACCCAAGACACGAACACCGCTTTTTCGGGTTGAGAGCGGTCGGCAGTCGAGCGGCCCAGCGATGGGAATGGACGATGGATGGGGTGTGCGTCTAGCAGCGCGGGGCTCTAGCCAGCACCAGGCAGAGATTGGGGGGGTCGTCCACAGAGCAGAGCAGAAGGAGCGCAGAAGGAGAGCAGAGCGGTTCCTCCCTATCGCGATGGACATTGAATGCATTCTGCGTGCGCGAGACCGCCGCGGCGCGACCGGCGGGGGGGCGTACGTACGCACATGCGCACACCTTGCAGCGACCGTTTCTTGGCACAAGGCGCCATTAAAGTGGGCGCGCGCGGTAGCTAGGCGGGGCCGGTAGGCGGTATAGCGCGGTATAATGTAAAGCCCGGGTGAAAAGCCTGGGTTGGTATTTGCACCGCCTTGTGTGAGCTTCTACTGTGCGCAGCAGGTGGAGTAAAAGTGCAGTAGGCAGAGTTATACCAAGTGTGCATTGAATCGCGTTAGCGTCAGAGGGAGAGGGTGTGTGTGGGAAACAACCAAACGAGTCACAGTGGGGAGCGGTCGAGAGACATTTGGAGTGTGAGTGGAACGGGGGTCGTGTGGGTTTAGGCTTGGGCCAAGGGAGCGCGCATTGTTTGGGGGCGCGACGCGACGAAGAGAGATGAAAAGTTTAGCACGAGAGAGAGAGAAGAAGCAGCGATGTGGGTTGGTGGTGAGGATGGTGAGGGGTGTGAGCTGGGCAGAGAATGAGAAGAACAAGTGTCTTGGAAGGATGGACCACCCCAGTGTGGAGGTCTTGAAGCACCGACGGAGCGTGTGTACCACACTGCTGGCTCGTGCCTCCACCCACTGCCGACGGAGCACGCAACCAAACACCATCCAAGATACCATGTCCGTCGCCAGGGGTATCCGACAATAAGCATATACTGGGTGATAGACATGACATGAGAGGTGTAGGGTAGATAAGGAAGCGCGTGAATGCTGCTGTCCCGATATCGGGGGGAAGGAACAGGAAAAGAAAAGTGCCAACTCGGAAGCGACGGGCCGCGACGTGGTTCAGCCTCCATTAACCATTGATCTGTCCGGCATTAACCCCCTCATGCATGCGGATGGCATGTGTAGCAGAGCACTGCGGTGTGCATACGCCCACGCCTCCCGTCCTTCCACTGCTGCGAGACACACCTGGGTGTGCTTTGACTGCGCAAAGGGGGCTGTAAGCATGACATGAGTACGATGGCTTGTGTTTTATTGTTATTTTGTTTTTTGCTGCTGCGTGTGGCAGGATCAACACAGGTCCACCCCGCCCCCACCCCCACCCACCTCTCTCTTCCCTGCCATCGTCATCTTGTGCATTCTTCCTTCTTCTTCTCCTCCCTACATTGCTTGGCAGGCAACCCGTGCTCCGCTCCCAAAACGGCCTTCTTGGCAGGATACAGGCCTGATACAGGAGGCCCAGTGGAAAAGAGACGTTCTGTCAGCGGATCGGCGCTCGTCTTCCTACACCGCGCCGTGCCCCTTCCCTCATGTTCTGCTGCCCGCTGCTCCTCTGCTCATCTCATATTTCTGCATAAAGTCCATCACCACCGCTAGACTAGAAAACAATTAAAGTGGAAAGAAGGTGCGGAGGTGTGGAGGGTTTGTGGCCGAAGAGCAAAGGGGGGAAAGGAGCTTTCCACGCTTTACATAGCCATGGCGACGGCGCCGACAAGGGCGAGGCCAAGGCCGGCAACCGAGCCGACGAGGGCGCGGCGGTCGCCCGAGGCCTTCGAGGTGGTGGCGGCGCTCGAGGCAGTCGAGTTGGCGGTCGAGGTAGCGTTGGCCTTGACCGACGAGGCACCCGAGGCGACGGAGCTGGCAACCGACGAGGCCGACTGGGATGCCGACGAAACAACCGACGAAACAACACCGGTGCCGCTGGTGGCAGCCGACTCGACGGCGGTGGTGGTGGGGGCAGCGGTGGCCTGAAGAAAAGGTCAGCAAGATGTTCAAAGAAGAAACGAAAGCGCCGCCGTCCAAGGAGACAGTCTGGCCACACTCACGGAAGCGGTGTCCTCAGCAGCCGAGGTGGTCTCGGCGGCGCTGGTGGTCTCGGCGGGGGCCTCGGTGCTGGCAGCGGACTCGACGGCGGTCGACTCGCCGGCGGCGGTGGAAACCGAAGCACAGAAGGTGTCCATGATCGAGAGGGCGTTGCCGGCAGTGGTAGCGTCACATCCCCTTGAGAAGAGCGTCAGTGGGAGCGTTCCTTTTCAAGCCCCAGCTGGTGTTCAGCTACTCACGAGGCAATGCAGGGGGTAGCGGCGGCAACGAAGGTGCTCGACGAACAGATGCACGCAAAGTCGGTGCTGCCACAGCCGACGGTGGTGGCGGCGGTGACGGCGCAGGTGAGCATGCACGAGGGGATCGACGAGATGCTGGGGCAAAGGTTAGCATTGGGCGTGGGCTGGGTGTGCTGGGGATTGGGGATGACGTGAGGCCAAGGGTCCACAGAACACGGTGGGAGGGACGTTCGGTTACGAGGAGGGTGTACGCGCGCGCACCCAACATTCCGGGCAAACGGGGCACAAAGTGCCTCACCTGGGCCTCTGGAGGCACCGACAAATGACCATGAACACAAAACCAACGTTGCGCACGATCGCATCCGCCGTGTGGTAGATGGGAGGGGTATGGGCACGGATGCCAGGATGGACTTGACCGTAGGCGCGAAAGAATGGACGGGGGAGGGGAGAGGAGAGGGGGACAGCAGCAAACAAGACTCACTCCTGGGCGACAACGGTCGAGGCGGCGAGGGTGAGGGCAGCGGCGGCGGTGAAGTACTTCATTGTGGATGAGGTTTGTTTGGGGTGTTTGTTGTGCGAGAGAGCGAGGTGATGCGCAGTTGAGAGTGAGAGAGAGAGAGACTGGGACTGGGGAAAAGAGAATGCAGATGGGACCAGTTACTTATAGCTGCTCACTCGCTGGCTGGGCGTGCGCGGGGGGGGGGACGGGCGGCTGGCACGGAAAGCGGGTCTGGGCGCGCGCGTGTGTGTGTGTGGGCGCGCGCTCGCTCGCGCGGGGGGCGCGCGCCGCCAGAGGCATTCCGCCCGTGTGTGTGGCGTCGGGCTGGCTGGCGGCTGACGATGGCAGTCCCTGGGCGGGGGATGTGCGCCGGTCCGGGGCGACGTGGGGAAGGACGGCTCGAGGGACAATGCCGCAAGGTCGGCCCACGCTCTCGCTCGTGCATGGCCTGCAAGCTGCATGGCTCTTCCTGGCCGTGGCCGTCGCTTGCCGTATGCGGGGGGAGGATGTGGCCCACGCACGCACGTACCCGGCAACCAGAACAAGCTGCAGACCCGGGTCGTCGCACCGTCGTGTGCTGCCCAACGCCTCTGTTCCCCCCTTGTGGCGCAACGCTTGCAGACACTCCAAGGACACACCACCACGACACAACCACACAACCAGGGTGTGTGTGTGTGTATACACACACGCCAGCTGACGACAGAGTGTTTGTGTGCAGCGACGTGCGGTCTTCCTTTCTGCAAAGACAACAGTGATGCATGAATGACCAACCCCCCTCTATGTGATGTCGCTTCATGGACCATCTGCATCCACATGCCATGCACCCATGGGATATGGGCCAGAGGGGCCAGAGCCCAGAGGCCAGCACAGACACCCATGCACCCATGCACCCACCCACCCGGTTAACTGTACAACCTTTTTCGCCTCTTGTCCTGATATTTTTTCGACGCTGAGCCCTGTCTGCCTCTGGCCTCTGGATCTCGGGCGCCTCCTGTCTAGCGCCAGGGCGAGGGGGTTCGCCCACATGCCCCACCCGTCGTCACTGCCCAAACAGGCAAACCCGCCCAGCCAGCTGCAGCCAGGCCGCGGGCTCTGTCTGTCATCTGTCATCTCTCTGGCCCAAAACCTTGTCTTGCATCAGTCGCGCATTTTGCGACTTTCACGTCTCGTAGCTTTGTTTTCTTTTTTGTCGGCGCCCAGTGCTCCGGCCGCGGCCCTTTTAGCCCATCACCGTGTCCTTGGCTTGTGAATGGCACAGGGAGAGAGCAAGACTGGAGAGAGAGAGAGAGAGAGAAAGAGAGAGACCAAACAATGCCAATATACCCCGAACACCCAGGCCACAAGCCAGGCGCCCACAGGCCACAGGGCCAGAGGGGGGAAGCTCTAATGAGCCCTTTCCCGATCCCGATCTCCTTGCATCCGCGTCCCCATTCTCCCATTTGACCCATGTGTCCGTCCCCTTGCTTGCCCATGTTCTCTTCCCCGCGCCAAGCTACAGCGCTATTGCTCTGTGTCTCCTTGTACAAGCACATCTCAGAAGCACGACACGGAACCGAGTATATCCGCTGCTGCCCATGTACTGTATGTATCAAGCAGTAAGACACCCACCCACAGGCCACCGGGGGGCCACCGGGAACGTCCGTGGCCATGTTTGCCGGCTCTCTCTCGCGATCTCTCGGGGGCCCTGGCTGCCCTGGTCCCTAATACAGGTGGGGGACGCCGCCTGCCGCCCGTGTCATCAAACGGTTTTGGTGGTTGCGACGGGTGCGTACCGCGTACCGTGCGTTGCGTTGCGTCGCGTATTGGGTGTATGTGCCCATGCGCGCCAGAGTGCCCATGCGCGAGCGCCATTCGCCCAGCCATGGCTGCATATGGGCAGCCATGGCAGCCATGCGTGGGCTCTAGCTCCCAAGCTCCCATGGTCCCATGGCGGCCATGGCCCCCATTACAGGTGCATGCAGGTGCCCGGCTTGGCACGCGGCGTCACGTTGCCGCGGGGCCCAAACGGTAAAACGGATACCTCTCAGCGCGGCATTTTCGTGTGTCTGGGCGCGGCGGAGACTCGTAGTGTCACGTCCAGTCTAACTCGTCTCGTGAGGTCTTGCTCTTGGACCAGGTTACAAGCGAGGTGGGAGGCCAGTATCTCGGCCTCTGCCCGGACCGACGCTGCGCACGTTGGTAAGGCCCGGCGCGTTGCTGCTTCTGGTATCGATAGTCTTCTGCCCGGTTTTCATGAGTTGCCGAACGAAAAAAACAAAAACAAAGTGGGAGTAGGTCAGTCACTCACTCGGACGCGCCCAACCCAACCCATCGCGAGACGCGTCCCAAGCTCCCCCACCCCCACCCCCACACGCTTCTTTTCTCTCCATCTCTAGCCTTACCCCCACGCCCAACAAGCTTGTAGTAACCTAACAGATCCTGGTGCATCACTAACGCGTGTGTGGTGCACGTACAGCACACTAGCCTCTAAACCGCTAGCCCTTCTATTACGTGGGAGCGTGTCTCCCCCCCCCCCACCTCGACTTTGTTTGTGTTCTCGCTCGCTCGCGCGTTCCCCGCCTTTTCCCCTAGGCGCCAAAGCTACGCAGCTCGATACCGGGCGCGGCATGCGCTGCAGCCTGCGTCGCGCCCTTGGAGGCCGCGACGCCGCCGCCGCCGCCCACGGCCTCGCGCACTGCGCGCTCCAGCCCGCTGCGCTCGCCCTCGGGCATGGCCTGCGTCGCGTCCTTGAAGGCCTTGGGACTGGCCGCCGCCAGCTGGAGGAGCGTGTTGGTCGCGAGGTTGTGCAGCTGGCTCGGGGCTGCAGGCGCCGCCCCTGTGGTGGTTGCCGGGTCGAGCATGATACACAGCGTCGGGACGAGGATACCGTATCCCCGTGGCCGGACAGCCTCGGGCAGGCCATTGCACCACGCCGCGAGGCCGCGCACAATCTCGCGCGCGCCGTCGAGCGGGACGTCGGTGCCGTCCGGCGCCGACGCCGCGGCCACCACCGTGTCGGCAATGTGCGCGATCATGGGTGTCAGGACACACATGGCCGCGTGCTGCAGGACCGGCGAGGGGCGCGGCGGGGTCCCCGGCAACTGGCGCAGGGACGCCAGAAGCAGCGTCGTGGCGCAGTGAATCGGCGTGAGGCCGAGCTCGGGCCGGTCGCTGCCAGTAGCCATGTAGCGGCCAATGTCGGCAGCAGCCTGCTCGATAACCGGCTTGGACACGCGCACTGACGCCGGGAGGGCCGTGAGGATGAGCACGAGCGCGAGCAGGTTGTTCTTGATCTTGATGCTGGCAACGGGGTTGACACGAGCGCTTGTCACGTCAGCTTGGCTCCATCGCATGAGGGGGGTCTTCAGCTCACCGCATATCATCCACATTGCTCAGACACGCGCCGAGCAGACCGTGCAAGACGCGGTCACTCGTGGCCGTGATGGCTGGTACCTGCGACGCGAGCGTCTGGTCCAGAATCAGCTTGAGAGACGGCAAGCAGGCGCCTGCAAGGTCCATGTTGGGCGTTTCATCGTGCAACAGGTCTGCAGAGGGTGGTGGCATCAGCAAACACAGTTCAAAGATCGTGGTATGGAGAGCCGGCGGGGGTGCGTGCGCGGTTGATCCGGTAGAGTGTGGCCTTTGCTTTCAGGTCTCTTCACGCTGCAGCTCGCGGCGGAGGATCGGTGAGGACCAGCGCCACATCCGCAACACGGCAAGGCGCAGCGCATAGGGCCCGAAATGCCCACCCGACCCGGTCCAACCGTTCCGCTCGTAGCTGATATATGATCTGGCACGAGCTTGGCGTACCGTATCCGACGGCAGCCAAGGATCCAGAGAAGAACCCGGCCCGCGGCTACTCATTCCACCTTTTGATACACGCCAGAATGTTGTGGCCAGGGGAGGGTAGCAAGCGACGACATACCTGAGAAAAGGTGCACGGCAACCGCACACAGATCGGCGCGCTGGCCCAGCTCGATCACGTCCACGATGCGAGAGTAGGCTGAGAACGCCGCCTTGAGGAAGACGACACGGTCGCCCGCGGCGTCGGCATGTGAGACTGCGAAACGCCCGTCAGTACAAAAAAAAAGTTGGCTCAGAAGAAAGCACATAGCGGTGCTGCGCCACGGAGCCACGGAACGCGTTACGAGGACGCGCCGACGCGACCGTTGGCAAGATCGGGCAAGGTGTGGCTTGCACGTGTGTGATGAAACACCCGCACACACACAAAGCCGAGATCGCGCACCAGAGTGCTTCACCTCGCTCAAACGTTGGGAGACAACAAGACCAGGTGTACTCACAGTTGGATCCCACGTCCCTGCTGGGGATAGTCTGGCGGAGGACGAACGCAACGATCGCGAGCGTCCTGCGAATCTGGGCACTGTCGAGACCGTCCGTACCCTTCCTGCTGACCGCAAACGCCGCGACCAGCTCGACCATTTCGCCCTTGACGGCCGCTCCTTCGCTCATGGCGATACGGTAGCAGACGGTGCAGAGCTCGTCAAAGAAGGCGCCTTCAAACACGCGCGAGCCCGCGAGCGACGGGCGGATGAGCGAGCCCATGGCCTGCAGCGACACGAGGGCGAGCTGCGGGTCGGTGCCCAGTGCCCGCGTGAGGCACTCGAACGCCAGGCCGTACAGGATGTAAAAGTTTGTGCTGGGCTCGGCGCGGATGCCAGGTGCGGGCGGTGCAGGCTCGGCGGCCGACTGGAAGGTCGCGCCGTCGACGGCGCCGACGATGAAGGGGTCGTTGGCGGCAAGACCAATCGCCACGGCATGCAGCAGCTTGGGGACCGCGGCCTCGTAGTACGGCAGCAAGACGTCGCGGCCCAGGCCAGAGCTATAGTCCATTCCGGCGGCCGCGCCCATCTCGGGGTCGGTGCGCAGCTGAGCATAGTCGCGCAGCGCGCCGACCCAGAAGGGGCCCAGGAGGTAGCGGTACGGCTTGATGACTTGGACGAGGTAGCTCTGGCGCGTAGACGAGACTTGGAGTTCGGCCCACGCTGCCAGGATGGAGATTTTGAGCATGACACTCGCAGACGAGCTCAGCTCCTGCACGTCACCGAGCTGGAGAAGCTCGCCAGACTTGCACTGTTCCAGCGCCGATGTGAGGAGCTTGAGGATACGGCCCATGCGCGAGACCTCCTTGACAACACCCGAGCCCACAAACACGGCACACACCTGCACCGCCGAGGCGAGCACTTGCGGGGTCGCGTCCGAGCCAAACGAGGGAGTCAGGGCGGCGGCGATGGGAGCCTGGTGCTGCTCGAGCAGAAGCGCGCCGTCAAAGTCCGGGTCAGGGGACGCGGCAAACTTCTCCACGACATCACGGAGGACCAGCAGGCCCTGGAGACGGACATCCTCGACGAGCGCGGCCGACGCCGAGAATGCCATGCGGATAAGGTCCCCGACACGCGAGAAGAGCATGTGCTTCGAGTTGACGCCGAGGCGGCGGGCGAGCACGGGGTCAAAGTGCTCGGGACGGCCGCCGTCAGCGGCGGCGACGACAATGTTGTGCAGGCACTGCAGGGCGAAGAGCTGCGTGCGCCAGCGGGACTGGAGGGCGCCAGAGCTCGACATGTCGGTGCCAAGCGACTCGACCTCGTCATCGAGGAACATGGGGATGGCCGACTTGGCCTTGGGCGCAGCGCGGGCCTGGGCGGCGGTACGCGTCATGATACGCTGACACAGATCGATCCATCCCGAAGGGAGGGCGGCGGCAGTCTGCAGGAGCCACGAGGTGATGACGGCCTTGACGCCCTCAATGGTCGGGTCGCCATCGAGCAGGCCAAAGAGCTCCTGCACAAGCTGGTCGCCTCCAACCTTGGACATTGTGACGGCATCACGCTGGACGATCTGGTAGAGCGCCGTAATGGCCGCGACCTTGAGTGGGCGGCGCGCACTGGCGAGATACGTGCGGAAGCTGGAGATGAGCTTGGGGACATCAATCTCCGAGGGGGCAAACATGAGGAACTGCTGGATACACTTGATGGCCTCAACGGCGAGACCTTCGTCCGTCTCCTCGCGGAACTCGTGGACCAGGAGGAAGACGAGCGAGCGCACCTTGCCGGGCTCCTGGAGCTCGGGGCCGAGCACGCCAATGAGCGCATGGAGCAGTTGGCAAATGACCTGGTACGCTGGAAGGTCGCCGCGGAGGTTGACCGAGCCCAGCGAGCCGCCGTCAGGCTCGTGAGTCTCCAGCATGTAAATGTTTGCGATCATGCCAAGGGTGGTCTGGACGTAGGGCGAGTACGACAGGTTGGCAGCATTGACAATCTGCGTGAGCGACGCCAGGGCCCAGTAGTGAACAACGGGGTGCGGGTCGGTCGCAAGCGACATGAGAATGTTGACAATCGTCTTGAGGATGGGACCGCCAGAGAGGCCTCCGACGCTGCTGTAAATGGCACCAAACGCAACCGCGCAGCCTGCACGGCTCTCGGGGACGCGGTTATTGACGACCTGGTCGACAAGCCACTGCACCTGCGATGAGAGGTAGGCAGTGCCGGCCAGAGCAGAGATTTGGCCTATGGCCTGGGCAGCTGCGCCACGAATGCTGGGCTGAGGGTCAAGGACAGCGTCCTGGAGCAGCGACTTGATCTGGTCCGAAACCTGTGGCGAGCCGAGGTTACGGCGCGCCTTTATGCCAGCACCTTCGGCGAGGAACAGGGAGCGGCGGAGCGCCTCCATGGTGTTGGCAACGACAGCCTGGCGACGTCCCGGGTTGCGCTCGAGCTTGGAGCTGCGGACGTGGGAGCTGAGGGTGGCGAGACTCTGCACCTGGCCCTCGAGAGTCTGGTGCGCAAACAGCGCGGCAAAGAGCTCGACACCAGCGTCAATCACACCAGTCTGCGATGGCACGGGCTTGGGCAGGTCGACAAGTGGCGCGGCAGCGAACAGCTCGACATAGTCGTACTCGATCGAGCCGAGGATTGGGCATGACAGCTGGCTCTCGATGGCCATCTCAATCTTGTCACGGTTGAGGAAGACGTCCTCGTCGGTCGCGCCGCGCTCACGCTCGCGCGCAGCGAGCAAGGACGTGACGCCAAACGCGTACCCGTCCGTAGACTGCCACACGGTGGTAAACTGGCCAGCCTGGGCCTGGATCGCAGCCTGTGCGGCCGAACCAGAGTAGTTCTCAGGGTCGGCAAACACCGTCACAGCAGCCTGGAGGAGCGCCGGCTGCATCGACTCGGTGGCCGAGCTGGGACCCAAGTCGGTAAAACACTGGAGAACACGGCGACGGAGGTTGGCCTCGCGGTCGACGAGCGAGGGACGCATAGTCGAAATGGGAGACGTGCCCTGCGGGTTGGCGGACTGTTCCCTCAGCAACTCTGCGTAGGCGGTAGCAAAGCCGTTGACAAAGTTGAGCGTGTTGGTGAACAGTGTCGCGAGACGGCGCGCAACGTCAATGTTGACAAGCGCCTGGTTGTGCTTGAGGAAGTTGTGGATCGCACCCAGAGCACACTCGCGAACGACAAGCAAAAAGTTCCACTCGGGCTCGCCGCGGTCGCCGACGACAGTGTCCTTGCTCGACGGTTTGGGGAGAGCGTTGCGCCACAGGACAAGAAGCTGGGGGAGGTGGAGCTTGACAAACCCGGGACCAAGAGACATGAGCGCCGCGATCAGGTACCACGCAACCTGCACCTCGATCGTGGCAGGGGCGATGTCGTGCTCGCCTGCGCGCTTGAGAAGAGACACGGCGAGGTCAAACACCTTGGAGGGAATGTCGTTGGAGACATACAGGGGACGGGTTGGAGACACGGCAACGAGGGCCGAAAGGGCAAACGCGCGACCAATAATACGAGTAGGTAGATCCTTGGGTGCAGTTGGGGTAATGAGCAGCTGGAGATCCTTGTTCACGTCGGCCAGCAGGCCGCCAAGCAGACGAGGGAGCTGTCCGGGGTTCGTAGAGGTGAAGCGGCGGAGAGTGTAAGACGCAGCCAGGCGCACCGAGTACGATTCGTGGGACAAAAGGCGGACAAGGGGCTCGGCAAGAAGCTCGTGGACCGATGGCGGTGCGTTGCCCAGCTGACCCAGGAGACCAGCAACCTCGCGGAGGGCAATGATGATAGAGTGCTTGGTCGGGTTCCTTTCGCCCTTGAGCGGTGTGGGGTTCCATTTACGGAGGAAGCTGTTGGCCCACTCACGGATGGCGGCGACCTGGCCACCCTCGGTGAGTATCCTCACGCCAATGAGGTCGCGGAGGAGGATACCAACCGAGTCGCGCGTCGCGACCACTTCGTGGCGGTTGACAGTGGAGCGGGGCGAGTTGACAATGTCCGTGACAATGTGCTGCACAATCTCGGCATAGTGTGCCTCGACATATTCGGAACCAAGTTGAGTGAACAACGTGGCGTACACGTCAAAGAGTGCGTTGCGAAGCTTGCGCGGTGTCTGAATGCGATTGTAAGGGAGGGAAATGTGCTTGAGCATCTGTTCAGTGGTGAACAGCGCCTTGGCCTTGTCCTCTGGTGCGCTGGTGATAATCTGCGGGTCGGCGTCCTCCTCGACCTCCTTGTCCTTGTCCTTTCTGGGCGGCTGCTTCTTGGGGTCAGGAGCAACGACACCAGAGCCGGGCACCTGAGTCGCAGCAAGGAGGTGTGCAAGAAGACGGGACAGGGAGCGGCGCGTGAGATAGTCGGCAGTCTCGAGGCTCTTGAGGACGAGCGGTGAGACAGAGTCCAGAGTGGGCTGCAGCGCCAGCACGGGGCTGTACATGTGCAGGTTGATAAACGTCTCGGCACATGAACGCTGGATAGGCAGTGCCTTGTCACCGAGGCCGGAGCGGAGGTGCTTGAGCAAGTCCTTGACGAGCGCGTCGGGCAGTGCGCGGCCAGCAGAGATGAGCGACTTGGCAAAGGCATTCACCGCGTGTGTGCGCAGGATGACCGACATGTTCGAGTTACGCAGCACCTTGACGGACAGCGTACAGATCTCGGCCATGAACGACATCATCTGCCAATGTCAGCGCGCACGTCGATAGGCAGTGCCAGGGAACCGGGCCCGTGCTCTGACAAGTGAACGAGCACTGCGACCTGCTCCAGCAAGTACTCACGTTAGAGCCATGCTCCTTGATGACTTCTCCGACAGTGTACCAGCTCGCGACGCGTTGGACATTCTCCAGCGGTGACATGCGCTTGTCGCCTCCATCGACGCCCTTGAGCAGCGCCTGGATGAGGTCAAAGAGCGCGCGGCTCTCGACACGGCCGTGGAGCTTGACAATAACACGGGCAACAAGATGACGAACGGGGCGACCAGGTTTGGGCAGAGCTGTGGCCGGACTGACGGGTCCGGGGACCAACAGGCGGATGACGAGTTTGTGGATTGCGTCGACGTGCGGGAGGATGGCGTCCGGGGCAAGCGTGTCGAGCGCCTGGTCCGCGCCGCGCAGCCATGAGAGGAGGGACAGGTCTGCTCCCTCGCCCGTAAACCGCCCCGGGTCGACGTTGAGCACGCTCGCGTCTGGCTCGGACATTGCGGCGGGGGAGATGGTGCGGGATGTATGGGTGATGTGGAAGTGCGTCTCGGATTCACGCCCTGACGTTGAACGCGGCACGAGACGACAGCGGTGGAGGCGGTCTCGTCGGCGCCAGGAACGAAACAGCGGTGAATCGTACACAACAACACATTTTGCACACGGCTTCGCTACTCTATGCATGGCTATTGGGGGCTACAATGTATCTCCACGGAGTGGTGTCTTGTGCCGCTGCGCTGTAGGCGCTGCGCGGGATCACAGTGTGTCGGTAATGGTCGTCTAAGACGAGAGCCAGGCCCGCTATTCCTGGCCCTCGTTATGCTTGGCCGCACGTTTGGCAAGTCGGCATGAGCTTCTACGCAGTCTTTTCCGAGGCGCCGTCGGCCTCCTGGAGCGCCGACACCTTCTCGCCGTCGACGCTGGCGGCCAGCTTTGTCATGCGGACCTTGTTGCGCTTGACCAGAATCCGCACGGTACGTTCCCGCTCGAGTTCGTTCATATCCGCCCAGTTGGCCACTCGGGAAAGAGTCTGACCGTCGTCAGTGGGGGTTCCAGCTTTCAACTTTTATGTCGTCTGGGAGACAGAGGACGTAAGGCGGGCTAGCGCAGAGGCGCCTCCACAGACAGCACCTGCACCATGCCACTCCGTCCGAGCCCGCCTCTCTTTCCGGTTCCCAACTCACGCCGTCCGAATTCACGAGCACGGGTCCAAGCGCGTCCAGCTTGACGGCCATGCCGTTGACCTCGAGGGTGGTAGTTCCCTGGTCCTCATTGTGGGCGTGGTCTTCAATGGCGAGGGGCTGCTGCTGGCTCATGGTGTCACGATATTGGTGTGACACTTCACCACCTGGCAGACAACATGACCACCTCCATTGCGCACAAATTGCCTCCGCCGCGTCCAAACTGTGCGTGGCGGCTTTTTCTAATTTGCCTCCGTTACACCTTTTCCAGCTCTGTCCACCAGTTGCCTTCGTCGACGAGCACGCCGTGAACAGCGAAGACGGCAAACCAGGTCTACACCACCACCAATAACACATCCAAAATGTCGCTCGACGCCCCTTCGTCCGCGATCCACCTCAACATGCCCCCCAGCAGCAGCTCGGCCATGTGCGTCCAGTGCCCCGCGCGCGAAAACCCCCAGACGTTACGAGTGGAGATTTCTGACAACCTCATCACAGGCGCGCGCCGACGCTCATCACTGTCCACCCTTCCGTCGTCGCCTCGATCCTGACCCACCACTCGAGGAGGCCAGCGGACTCGAGCACCCCTCGCGTCATTGGTACTCTTCTGGGTACCCGCTCGGAGAACGGTCAGGAGGTCGATGTGCGCTCGTCGTTTGCCGTCCCCCATTCGGAGGGTGAGGACCAGGTCGCGCTCGACATGCCTTTCCAGCAGGGTATGATGGAGCTCCTCGCCAAGAACGGTATCAAGGAGTCGATTGTCGGTTGGTACGCTACCCACCCCGACCTCAACGCCTACTCGGCCCTCATCCAGAACTACTTTGCCGGCGAGACTGGTGCCGCCCACGCCATCCACCTCACCGTCGACACTGAGCTTGACCCCTCGGGCAAGAAGGGTCTCGGCATCAAGGGCTGGGTCTCGACCCAGCTTGGCCTCAACCACAAGGCCGAGAACTGCGTCTTCCTCCCCGTCCCCGTCGTCATCAAGTACTCCGACTCGGAGCGTGCTGGCCGTGAGTTTTGATTGTCCGATGACCAAGGCAACTGTGACATGACGACACTGAGGTTACAACCCGCATTGTAACCTCGCGTTTGTTCTCGTTTTACCTTTATTTCTCCCCCTGGCATCTGCTAACACCTCTGCAGTCGACCTCCTCACCGCCACTGGCCCCACTCCTTCCCCCGCTCTCCCCCCTCTCCCCGCCCTTTCCGGCTCGCTCAACTCGCTCTCCGAGCTGATCGAGCAGGCTCTCGCGTACGTTCAGCGCGTCAACGCCGGCGAGAAGGGTGACCCCGAGGTCGGCAGGTACCTCCTCGAGGGTGTTGGCCGCTGGTCCGCCGAGGGCGCCGACGAGGGCGTCAAGGAGGGTCTCCAGGACACCCTCACCGTCAGCTACCTTGCCAACCTGGTGCGCTCCCAGGTTGAGCTCGCTGGCAGGCTCCAGCTCCTCCCCCAGGCGGCTCAGCAGCAGCAGCAGCAGTAGATAGGAGATAGGATGGTGTGATACATAGGGCTACAGCATGTACACATGGCTAGAGCGGGTGAGGGTGGTGGCAAGTTGTTGGACTGTCGCTTGGACGCCGCTTTGAATGCTCGTGTGGTGAGTTGCACGGCAGTGAATGGGGAACCGGTATACACCGTGACCACTGGCAACCGGGGTGGCCCAGTGTAGGTCAATGGAGCACAGCCATACCTGGTTCTGCGCGGTCAACGACACGGTGCCCCATGAATGCAACCAGAAACCAGGAGGTGTGGCACGCCGCATCTCAGAATGGATGAGATGTACGTGCTGCTCCATTTGCATATACACATCGCATCGCCTGACAAACCACTATCGATGGCCCGGAACAGCAGTAAACCTGCAATGGCATGTATGAGGTGCGTTTGGCTGTGTTGCCCAAAAACACACTATCCTCACAATGCAGGAGATCACATTGACCTCTATTGGTTTTCGGAGGTGGCCATAAACACACCATGGCAGGCTACAATATTGCACGGTCGGGTACAGTGTGTTTTTCGTGGGAGGTCCACTTGCACCACTTTAGTGAGAGACTTCATACATTAGCTGTGCGCTGCTTCGAGGGGCAAGGCTCCAATACTCCAATCTGCTCTATCCTTTGTTGACACTTTAAAAGGTCAGCTGTGCCCCTTCAGGCAGTGTGTGTCGGTTCTTGCCACCCGGCCATACATAGGAGGTGATGTCGCTGACTGGCCTGTGTTGCTGGGCCGTCCACCATGTTCCTTCTTGTCGTGGCTTGAGGAGACGTGCCATATTGATGGCAGAATAATTTGGCAAGTGGATGTGAATATTCAATACATGTTGCCCAAACAACCCCACGCATTCTCACACAGCACATGATGTGGGTTATGATCTTCCTGTACCGGATAGAAGAGGAGTGAGGCGATCTAGCCCTACGTTCGTCGGGTAGGCATACAAAAGGCATCGCCCACCGACAGAATGAATACTAAAACACAGGCAGACATCTTGCCACACTTGCTTTTACCACATTGTTCAGCCATGGGGCTGATTCCGGCGCCGTTGGTACAATCGGCGCCCCAATACTCAAAACCAACTCAACTCCCAGTGCCACGACGCTAGACCCATAATTGCAGTTTCCTCCCGAAGGACCAAAGGACAGCCAGCCAGTCTGCACGGACGGTCGATCCTGGGCTGTCGGACGTTAGCGGGCCAAGCAGTGCCACCGCAATTCGAGCCGCCGGCCGCTGCTCAACGAGGTCACGTCTTTGTTTATAATCAGCCAGGTCATGCTGTTAGTGTCCTCGTGTAACACTGTTGCTGCAGCCGATGTGCGTTGGCATAGTACATCGCCCGGACCTGCCGGCCAGTCACCCGCTGACGTCGCTCCCACAAGCAACCCATCGACATGCTAGTACCCATTACCGCTTCCCCGCAATACCCTCGGGACCGTGTTCACGCGCATAGCAGTTCTTGCACCACGGCTGTCCGTCGCGGTCGGACACGCGCGAGGGGTCGATGGTTGAGCGGCACGACGAGCAGCGGAGGCATCCGCGGTGCCACCTGCAGAAAGTCAGCTCAGAAACTCGGTCCTTACCGGGTGTCGCAGCAACTCACTTGTTCCCAATAGCCACTACCTGCTCGGCGGCATACACCCTCTTCTCACACCCGGCACAGCGGTCCTCGAAGTCCGGCCTCGTACCGACTTTAGAACGGGGGCTGTCCGTCCTCCGCAGGAGGCCGCGGTCGCTCAGCCCACCCGCAGCAGCGACAGCTGAGACGCCGGCGGGGATCGGGCGCTCGTTACGAAAGTTTGGACGCTTCCACTCCGTCGCCGGGTCGGCGACGACAGCTGCTCCAGCGGGAGAGTCAGGCAAGGGTGGCTGGGCCGATGTCAATGCCGGAGCAACGGGACTGGAGAGGTCCGGAGCGGTGTAGTAGTCCATCGGAGGGGGCACGGCGCGGGCTGCTGGCGCACGCGTGGGGGTCGTCGGCATGGGCTCATCCTGCGCCTCCCGGCGCTGGGCCGGGGAGTGAGCTGGGGATGAGGTGGTGGGAAGGTGGTTGGCGTGTCGCAGGTCTGGAGAGTCAGCTATGCGTGAAGGGTACAGATGCAGCTGGTGATGACCACAGTGGGTGTCTCGTTGTTACGCACCTCGAGTACCGTACAGCTGCGTATGGCAGCGTGCGCAATATGGCTAAAGGTGTCAGCGCATACACATGGAGAGAGACCTGGAGGGGTACGGAGAGCATGTCCCTATCTTTCTCGCACCCAGCACCGCTTGGCCCCCGTCTGTCAACGCACCATGTTCTCATGTTGAACGAGGTTTCCAGGATCAAGCCTCTTCCCGCATTCTTCGCACTTGAGACAGAGCTTGTGGTAGACCTGGGAAACAAAGTCAGTCGCGGGGACGAATCTAAAGCCACTAGAGCGTGGTAACGGGCGGAGTTGACGACGTCACGGCCCGCGCGCGCCCGCTCAATGGTGAACATACCTTGCGGCCGGGACCCATGACTTGCTCAGCATGGTATACTGCACCGCCGCAGCGCTCGCAGCGTGGGGTTCCGCCGTACATGTCGTATTGGAGGTTGTCGCTGGGTGGTGATAGAACAAAGAACGGTCCAGAAGAGGTGGTGGATGAATGGGTAATGTTGACACTGGGACAGGAACGCGCCTGGGTTTGGCGGTCGTCGCCCTTACTGCTGTCCACCGCCTGCGTCTGGATTCGCCACCGATACGTCGGGACATCTTGCGCCGTACCCAACACACGCTGCGTCACGGTCTGGAGGCGACGTCATGAACCTCCCGCCTCCGTGACTCCTTCACATGGGAAACAGGCATGCATGCACGCCGTTGTCTCATTGCCAAAAGAGGAACTCATCGCGGACCGTGGCGCCGTCATAACCTCGGATCGCGCACCAAGAAAGTCATTCACGTGACCTCCACTTAAAATTCGGTTTCAGATTCCAACGTGTCACCAGATCACCAGCCAGCGCCAACCGCTCCCTCCACCTATCCATCTGCAACTGCAACGCGTACTTTTTGTTGTTTTTTCTTCCTAAAAGGAAATCATCACTAACATGCCAACTACAAACTCGTCGCTTAGTAAGCGGCGGCCTTGCGGGCGGCGATGGCGAGGTGACCCGAGAACTCGTCGTAGGGGGTCTGGCCAACGGGGATGACGGTCCAGAGGTCGGGGGACTGGAACTGGTAGGTCTTCGAGAGGGCGGCGACGGTAGCCTTGAGGAAGTTGCCCTGGGTGGCAGTCGAACCCTTGGACTGGGTGTAGCAGTCCTGGATACCGGCCATCTGGAGCATGCGCTTCGAGGCGGGGGCGGCGACGATGCCGGTACCACGGGGGGCGGGGATGAGACGGCACATGACCGAACCAGACTTGCCCGAAACCTTCATGGGGACGGTGTGAGGCTCAGCAATGTGCGAGCCCCAGTAGCCGCGACGAACGGGGACGATCGAAAGCTTGGCGAGGATGATGGCACCGCGGATGGCGGTGGCGACCTCCTTGGCGCACTTGACACCGAGACCAACGTGGCCGTCGAAGTCACCAACGGCGACGAAGGCCTTGAAGCGGGTGCGCTGACCGGCCGAGGTCTGCTTCTGGACGGGCATGATCTTCATGACCTCGTCCTTGAGGGTGGGGAGGAAAAGGTCGATGATCTGGTACTCCTTGATGGGGAGCGAGAAGAGGTAGATCTCCTCCATGGACTTGATCTTGCCATCCTTCACGAGACGGCCGAGCTTAGTGACGGGAACCTGTTCTGTTAGAAAGGCGAAAGATTCGAGTTGGTTGCCCCAAGTGGGTGGTGGGATCGGCATGCCGATCTCTGCCACACTCGCCCTCGGCCAGTAACCCAGCACAATCTCCCTGCTCGAGAACATCCACAGAGGTCTCCTCGCTATCAGGAATGCCAGAGCACGTCCCGAAGGCCAGACGAAAAGTCCCAACGAGTCCACTTGGTCGTGCCATGTCTCGATTCCGCGATATTTTTGGTACTCACCCACTCCTTGTCCTCGTCGCGCTTGCCGCCACGACGGGGGCCACGACGACCACGGGGGCCACCACGGCCACGACCGAAACCACCACGCTGCTGCTCAGTGGACATTTTGAGTTGATGTGTTTTGAGGGATGAAGAGAGAGCGTATGGGGATGGCGAAGACGACGTGCAGTAGCTCCTGGGTGGCAGAGGCCGGGGGCAGCCACCTGAGATTTGGCGGAGAAATCTGATGCCGCTATTTTGAAGTCGTGGAACGCCGCAAATTTCCGGCGTGGCACCCCTTGGTTGGTGAATTGCTTCCGTGTCAGAAACACTAATGTCCCGAGATATTGAAAGCGAAAGCCCCCTTTGTTAGCAGGTGTATGCGTTTCTTATTCGTAATGATCGCGAGAAAGGGGTGTTGAGATTTGAAGACCAGCGGCCAGCGGCCTTCGGCCGTCCAACATCATGTCGAGCATCGCCTCTCCATCACCACCTCTATTCTCACGGCCCATTTGCTTTGTCCATAAACGTATCTGACACTTCCGTCAAGTTGCTCCTCCTGGGGTGCTCGCTGGTTGGGGCTAAGGAAATGTGTGCAACGCATCGAACGCGATTAAAGCCTCATGTGGCGTGGGCGGCAACGTTGTGCCGGGGCTGCGGCGCACACGAACCCTGTTGCTGAAGGCTTGAGTGTTAGAAGTTGATAGGCGGAGACCGTGTCGTGGTATGTACATATCTACTGCGTGCCACAATGACCTGTCTGCCACTTATTAGTTAGTGGCAGCCTACATACTTCGACCGAGTTGCCGACCGCGAAAAATGTCAATAAATCGGTCATAATCCCGTACTTGAAGTTGACTTCAAACATTCCAGGAATTACAGCGCTCTAGCAATGCATGCGTGTAGTTTTAGACAGTAGGAATAGTGCTGCCAAGTTCATGCTCCAGGAAACCAAGGCGACTGGTTGGGAGCGTAGCACCGGCGACGTTGTTCGGGAGTATCTTGTACCATGTGGCGCGCCTCTGCCATTCCAGAATTGTGGAGTTGGTTCCATGCGAAGACGAGTTCTTTTGAGCTTCTGGAGGCCCCGGGAATCGGAGGCGGCCTTCTTGTTGAGGATGGTTTGGTGGCCCGCATCTGTACCCTCCTCGCCGGCGAGGATACGCGTTGCCGCGCTTGGCGCGGGCCTCGGGGCTCTCGTTCTCGGGGATGCCTTCACGAATGCGACGGCGAGCGAGGGGCCTGGAATGGTGGGCGACGGACCCGCAACGGTGGACGAGGATCCGGCAACCGCGGACGGCTTGGTACGTGGCTTGAAGAAGTTCGCCTTTGCGGTGGCAGCCGCAGCCGCCGGCGCAGCCTCACGCGCTACACGCGCGACGCGGCGGGCCTCCCACTTACGGGCGGCATCATTGGCGCGGTTGACTGCGGCACGCGCGTCCTTTGTAGCCTCGCTCTGCGCCTGGCGAGCCTTCTTGGATTCGGCACGGGCCGCCCTGCGCTTTTCTTGGCGCTTGTCCTCCGAGATCCTGTACGCAGGGGTGGCCTTGAAACGCTCGTTCTTAAGACGTGTATTGTCCTGGCGCGCCTGCTTGTCATCCGTAGTCTCGGTGGCGCGTTTCTTCTCGGCGCGGGCGTCGGCGGCGGCCTTCTTGTCGATAATGGCTTGACGTTCGGCCTCGGTGCCTTCATAGCCATCAAGAATACGCTTCTCCTTGCTACGGAACCTGGCCATACGGGCATTCTGGTTCTCATGGAGTTTCGAGCGGGCCTCGGCAGTCTCGTCCTCCGGAATGCCCTCGCGTAGGCGACGGCGAGCGAGGCGGCGGGCGCGGGTTTCGGGCGACTCGTTTGCTAAACGTATCTTTTTGCGGGCATAATAGGCGGCCTTCTCGGCCTCAGACAGGCTGAGCCAGTATGAGCAAGTGCGCTGGCGGACAGCGACCCTCTGCTGTGGGGACATCAGGCTCAAAGCCGCACGGCGCTGCTGCCTCTGCCTCTGGGCCTGCTCCTCGGCAGTCAGAGCGCCAAACTTGGTTCGGAGTGCTTGGCGTAGCGGGCATTGTGTGTTCTGTGGGGCCATCCAGGGGAGGATACCCCACACGCCCGTGGTCGCCCAGTCTCGACGAAAGAAGCAGCCCAGCTGCGACGCGACCAGGGCCTCGGCCATGATTGAGGAGGAGCGAGCGACATGCAGGGCGACGTCCTTGTTGGGTGACTTCTCGACCGCTCCTGGACGGCGATGGGCAGAGCCCACGCGCGTTTGAAGGCGATTGAGTACCGAGCCTTGTCCGCACGGTACTTGCCGTAGAAGGGAATGGACGTGCTGGCCTTGCTGTTATTGTCAACATCCGCCGTTGCCAGTATTTTGTCATAGCAGTGCCCTGCGATCCTCAAAGTAACAATGCTTTACCTGCCAGTGTTGCTGTTGAAGTTGGAGACGTGCGAAGATTTGGGGGCAGCCAAACCACCGACTGACTTCATTGCGCCGGTGCGCAAGAGGAAGACAGGCATCGACGAGCCACTTCCTCCGTACATGTGAATCTCACCACTGGTCTTATCTTTGACCAGGATGAGGTATGCACCCGGCTGGGTCTCCTTGATGACGTCGACGTTTGGGAGGTCGTACAGGCGTTCGAGGTTTGCGAGGGTGTCATTGTCAAAAAGCTTGCAATACTGCGCCTCCCAACCAGGCGCGAGACGAGCGTACCAGGCACCCTTGGTTTGGGGCGTGGCCTCACGTTCCCAGAAGGGCAGCGTGTCGCGACTGGTGATTGTGTTGAATCCTTTGTTGAAGGCGCCAATAAAGCGCGCAGTATTGGTGTACGAGGGCGGGTCGAGCTTCTCGATACCGGCATACGCGTCGGCTGGGAGTTGGGGTCCGATGCACTCCTCCGAGTTCATGTCCAGCGCGTCATACCAGTGCTGATCGTTAGAGTCTGATCTGCACGCGCACGGTGCTTACCTTCTTCTCAACGTTGGCAGTTCCAGCCTTGAGGGTCGCAACGTCCTCGCCGTCGTCGGAGCCACCATTGATGGAGCAGTCGTCGTCTTCCTCCTCGTCAACGCCCTCGCCGTCGTCGAGACCCAGGTGGTCGGCGTACAGCTCGAGCTCGGCCTCGTCGTCCGTGTCGTCGGGGTACTCGTTAACATCCCACTCGGACTCTGAGTCAGAGTTGTCCGGAGAGTGCCAGTCGCTTTCGCGCTCGTCGTCTGAATCAAAGTGGAGGCCGCGGGCGAGGGGCTTTGTGGTGTCGCGAGCGAGCTCCTCAGGCTTGAGGTTGAGCGGGTCGAGCGCATTGGCTGGGCTTGAGTGGATGAGATCGCCGCCAACGGCGAGGCCGCCGGGGTCGTTCTTGGGCTGCTGTTGGTGTGTGAGTACCTGGTACCCTGTCTGCTCAACAACCTGTGAAGAGGTACTCACGTTGCTCTCGCTCATTGCGCTGGGAAGCACGATGGACGAGTTTGGTGTGGTTTGTGGAGTGGTGGGAGAGGATGTTGGGAGGGAAGACTTTGTGAGAGAGCGGGGCGGTGTACTGGAAGGGGGTTGACTGTACTTTGCGTCACCCCACCAGGACGACCACTGCGCCCTCTACGGGAGGGGCCGGCCACCGCCGATCAAACAGAGATCGCTCCTTTGGGAGTTCGATTTCAGTCCGCATGGTCGTGCCCCCCTATGAAGGCCGTGAACAGCTCTACACGCGGTGTCCCTTTCTGACAACACCCCATGCAATACAGTGTACAGTGTACAGTGTAAGACGAGCCACTATGCGGTACTTCTGTACTTTTGCATATCAGACGAAGATTCATGGTATTTTCTGAATTATGACAGGTTTGTTCACTTTTCCCAACAGCCACACATGCGTGCTGGTGGGTGGTGCTGAACTCTCTCCGATACCGGAGATGGCATACGCGCGCGCGTTTTCTGCGCTCCTGCAGATCGCACCTGTTATTCCGACATTTCACGAGACGGAAACTCACCACCGGCCACCAGCTACCGGGGAACTTGTGCGGCCGCAGTTCCAGCAAGTGCATGGCGGAGAGGACCAGCGGTAACGACTGGTGGCACCCACCACTCCACCCCACCTACTGCCAAAACAGGCCGACAACAGTCCGGGATACTGTTACATGGCAAACGACGGCGGGCTACAACAATCTACTCGGCGAGATCTCAACAGCAAACACTAAAGATGAAATATCCTCTTGACAAAACGTCTCCTCCTCCTACAACTGCCCCCAGTCCCACCCAAGCGTCCCATCCACCACCTCTCCAATAAACTGCCGATACCCTGCCTCGTCATCACTCTCCAGCAACGCGGAATGCACAATCGTGACTTTACCCGCTGCTGCTGCCGGCGCTGGGGGCGGGGTGAGTGGGGCGAGCAGGTCAAGTCCCAGGCCAACCTGTCCCCCAAACACAGCGGGCCCTGCAGCAGCAGCAGCACTAGCGGCTGCTGGCGGCGTGCGAGTGTTGAAGCCAAACGTCGGGCGCAGTTGCTTGATTGGGGACGGCGTGGCCACAGCCGCGCCCATGGCGGCGAAGCGCCATGTGGTATCGGAGGATCCGGGCGTGGGAGAGAGTGGCGGAGACGGAGGCGGGGTGTACAGCGTGTCCGTGTCGGCGTCAGGCGAGCCGGGAGTCTGGGGCATACCTGGGGACGAGCCCAAGGACGATGTGGACCGGAGCGACGATCCAAGCGACGACCCGAGGCTTGGCGTGTATGCCGAGGTTGGTGAACTGAACGTGTATGTACTGGGAATCGGGTACGGCGGGGCACAAGACTCGGATGAGCCTCTGCGCTGTACCTCCCAGTGCCGTTCCAAGTCTCGCACGTCCGCGCGCGTGAGGTGGTCGATACCGACCAGTTTCACTGTCGACAGGGGCGTGCGCTCCTCGTCCATTGTCACACGCATGGCATACAGCGCATCGAGGGACAGCTGCTGCAGGCCCGTGAGGTCGAGCGTGTGTAAAGACGGTGGCAACGCGGCCAAAAAGCTAGCGAGCTTGTCCTTTGGTAGCAAGTAGCAGGAATGCAGCGACAAGTGCTCCAGGTGCGACCACGGCATGTCGCTTGGCAGCGTCGTAATGGCGTTGGTTCCCAGGTCGAGTTCCCTCAGTCCGCGTCCATTCACACCGATACACCGCATCCACTCTGCCCACGCGTGCCCTCCCAACCCTGCACGACGGAAATTGAGCCGCTCCAGTGTACCCCCGATACGCTTCAGTTCGGGCGCGAGCTGGTCCCATGCCATGAACGTTGACGAGCAAGGAATGGACAGCGATAGCAGACGGTCGGCCGGGATCGCCTGGAGTAGAGACAGCAGAGCGGTTCCCGGGTGAGCACCGCTGTTGGCGCTGTGGGGTCCACGGCCGGGCCGGCGATGCCATTCCGGCGGCGAGGGCGCAAAGTGGAGTGCGAGGTGACGGACGAGGGGGAGCACACGCTCGCGGAGGACGGGTGGGAGTGGGCTGAGTGGGAGGTGGAAGAGGGTGAGGGAGCGGTGGAGCGGCGGTGAGAGTGCGAGCGCTGCTACCCGGCGCGAAACGGGCCGGATGGCGAGCACTTCTTCCCATTCGAGATACTGGAGCACCTCGAGCCAGAGTTCGTCCGGCAGCCTCGCAATGGGGCACTGACCAGCTGGAGGTGGATGCAGCAGAGGGTTGCCGCTCCTGCGCAGAGCAATGTCCACGGACGTGTACTTTGTCGACATTGCAGGTGCGGCGGCATTGTTGGGGACAAGGACAGTGGAGCGGGCCCTGGATGTTTGACGGCGGTGGTGGCGTGCATGTGTATCTGATGGAGCGCGATGCAGAGGACGAGGGAGGGGAAACGTCGCGTGAGCAGCTAGGGGTGGGTGGCAATGGGGATTAGGCATCGCTGTGTATGGCTAAGAGATGATGGATAAAGGTTTGGTTGGAGATGTTTGTTGTTGTGGCCCATCCGATAGCATCGTTCTTGGTTCTGGGGAGAATTGGCCACCCGAATGAGCTGAATTACCCGATTAGCAACGAACCGTGTCATCATTGCTTTCCCACGGTCGGATGCGGCGACTCGAGGCACACGACCGCCTGTGGCCTGTGGGGGGTTGGCTGGACGAGGCGCCGATCTCCTACCACGCAAACATGTCGAAGATCGGGGAACAGAAAGAGATAAAAAGAGAAACCGCAACAAGACTCATCGTGGTTGACAAAAGTACGCGTAGGACTGGACCTAACCAGAGACGTCCTGAGATGACCGATGGACGCTATCTGATCAATCTGATACGGGCCGCAATGTGGCTCGTGTGAGCGGCATGGGGCAGGCCGCCACCTGGCGCGGGTGGGGGCAGGTTAAGGGGCGGCGCGGGCAATGTTGGGATGGAGAGAAACCTTGCCTGTGCTCGATGTACCCAAGGTTTCCTTTCAGGATCACGCACAGACCACAAAGTGCAAGCTCGACGGATCAATGGGCGCCTGGGAGATAAAGGTCAGGTAGCTGCTGTAAGGATATAAGGGGTGAGAGAGCAACGTGGTGAGGTGTAGATTCAGTTTCGGCGGAGTCCGCTTGCTGGTGCCGCCCTCGGCTCGCTGTCACTCCCCTGCGTGCATATGCCAGCGTAGCGTGGCCGTCAGGGCTTCGTTTACTTCGTTTGCCCAGCTTGCCCAATTCCTCTGGCCTCTGCCGTCATCTGGGGCTGCGGGTGCACTCTCTCCCTTCGACCATGATGAATAGATGATGTCTCCCAAAACCCCCGAGATGGACAAAAAGCCTCGTGCGGCATGCTTTCCCTGCTAGCTCGCATTTCTACATGAGCAGAGTTCATCGGCTCCCCTGTAAATGCAGCCTCCTCCGCGGCTGACTCGGAACCACCGGCCACCGGATACAGAAGAATGGCTGGCTGGCTGGCTGGCTGGTGGGCGTGTGTGTGTATGTGTGAGCCATGTTCTGCTCTCGTACAAAAGAAGGATGAGAGACACCAAATGAGTACGGCAACGCAAGTCGCCTGCCGACACCACTGAGTTCCGCCCTTGAATGACGAGATATTGTGACCCAAAACAACCATCGAGTATCTCACGCTCTGTCTGACAATGACGAGCGATGTCTAAGGCAATCAAGGCAATCAATCATATTTACACTCACTGCTGAGCCAGGGTCGGCGCCGCAGCATATCTTGGCTCTGGCGTCGAGTTCCTTGGGCATGGCTCACAGGCCACAGGCCGCAGGCCACCCACCACCAGCACGCGAGACAAGCGGCAGTTGACCGCATGGCCTCTCTGTGAAACGTAAAAGAGATCTTGGGAGCGGCTGCAGTTTCAATGCCAGTCTCCAAAAGGAAATACGGCGACCTCACAGGCCGGCAAAATGGGATGGTGCCGACTCTCGGCTGTGCTGGCTGTACGACAGAGCCACAGAACACACGACCGCACAAGAGCGCGGGAGCCGTGGGGGTAATGCGTGGGCATAAAGAGAGATTAGACTGCGCTTCTCTGACGTCTTGCGGCGGGGGGTTGCAGGCTGCGGAAGGCAGGTCGAGCCACTGGCCAGTGGCCAGTGGCCAGTCAGGACGGGGCCGACGTACTCTGCTGTACCAGGCCAGGTGAGAGCCCCCCCCCCCCCCCCCCACTGTCCGGTGGCCGGCTTGCCTGTCAGGCAAAAGCGTTCCCAGGTGAATGTCAGAAAGGGTACAACCGGGCCCAGCCAGGGGGTGGTGCGGCAGTGGTTGCCATGGATGAGCGCTGCAGAGCGACGGAGGCGGCCACCCACACAAGCAAGGCCGGCTTGTCGGACGATGGTGTGTTTTACCACGCGGCTGAGCTTGAATGCATGCATGCATGCGTGCGTGTACGTATGTCGCAGCCCATTTAGCAGCATACCGTTGTTTCGATCGAAGCAGAAGAGAGCCCACGGCAACGGAAACGAGGGCGAAAGCGAAAGCGACTGAAGCCAAGAGAGGAGGAAAAGACACAGAGAGCACACGGCACCGCAGCCGAGGAAGGAACGCAGCGCACCCCCTCGCCGCCGCCGCCCGACAATGGGGGACAAACGCCTTTAGGAGACACGGCAAGTGCACAAGAGTGTGTCCTTTTATAACTCTTTCCTCCATCTCAGTTCTCCTTCGTTCACTGCAAGACTCTCCCTCCCAAAACACTTCCATCGCCTGCACAGCCCACTCACTCACTCGCTCCTCCCCGCCGCACACACCACACATCCCTCCACGCCCACCAGCCCCTTGCATACGCCCAACCCCCCCCCCCTCCGCCCAACCGGCGTCCCACAAAAGCCGAGCTAGACCTCCGCAATCCGTCCAAAACACACACACTGCATCCTCCCGTACAGCTAGCTACTCGACCACGCTGGCGCCGCCCCGCTCACCATGTCCAACAACGTCCGCGCTGTGAGTTATCATCGAGACCGTCCAGCCCACATTGCTGACAGCTCCTCTTCCCTCAACAACTGCTGCTGTTCCCACCTCCACTCGCTCCCCATCAGATCCGGCGAAAGCTCGTCATTGTCGGCGACGGTGCTGCGGGAAAGACGTCGCTGTTGAATGTCTTTGCCCTGGGCGAGTTTCCAGAGTTCCACGTACGTTGACGACATGCGTCGCATGGGCATCATGATAGCTGACGCTTGCGTGCGCACACGTTTGTCACCTCCCCCCCCCCCCCCTCTCCGATCCCTGCGAAACGTCTCCCCTTGTCCTCTGCTCCGGAATAATGTCGCTGCGCATCGCCATTCGGGTCTCTGACGTTTCGGCCGTGCCAAACCTCCACCCCTCTCCCCCTCGTTCACACCCCCACAGGAGCCAACCGTCTTTGACAACTATGTGACCGACATTGAGCTCGACGGCAAGCCCATCCAGCTGGCACTGTGGGACACTGCCGGTCAGGAAGAGTACGAGCGTCTCCGGCCGTTGTCGTATTCCAAGGCGCACATCATTCTCATTGCCTTTTCAGTCGACACGCCAGATAGCTTGGACAATGTCACGCAAAAGGTGAGTAGCTGGGTGGTTTGGTGTGTTACAACATGTGACTGACCTATGCCTCTCCTGCAGTGGATTGAAGAGGTGCGCTCCATCTGTGGCCCATCGATCCCAGTCATCCTGGTCGCATGCAAGACCGACCTGCGCGACAAGGCCATCCAGAATGGCACGTACAGCCCGGACACTTTTATCGATGCCGAAGTGGTGAGTATCTGCTTGGCCCCCACTACTTTCCAGTCGCCCCCGCAGAGTTTGCGCGAGAACAAAGCATGCCTGCTTGCCTTGGCGAAGGCGAGTGCCTGGCTGACGCTTTCGCCAGGGCCGTAGGGTGGCACAGTCCATCGGCGCACGCGCATACTACGAGACGTCGTCCCTGCTCAATCAAGGTGTCGACGCCGTGTTCGAGGCGGCTACGCGTGCAGCAATGGTCGTCCGCGACCAGGGCTATGGCGGTATCGGCGGTGAAAACAAGCGCGAGCACGGTGCCGGACGCCGTGAGAAGGACGACCACGAAAAGATGGGATGCTGCGGCTGTGTCATCTGCTAAACACTGGCGATGCGGATGACCGAGCCTGGAGGCAAGAAGCAACCTTGCAGCGACCACAAACACCCCCACCGCCGCCGCCGCCGCCCACACACACCTTCCCAACGCACACTCAAGGTTCCCATCTCACCGTCGCGCTGCCATGTTTGCCGACTTTTTGGTTGCCGCTTCCTTCCCCCGCTCGCCCCTGCGCCACCCCGCCACCAACCGCCATCCTCCCTCACATCCACGACCCCAGCAACACCCAGCTCCTGATGACACCTCCGAGCCCAAAATGTACCATCGGCTTCACTCACAGGCGCCCGTTCACGATCTACCGATCTGCGGCTTGCGGATCTACGCGTGAAGTTTCTCCATCAGCCTACGCCACACCGGGTGCGCTATTCCCATCCGTTCGCGACCGGCCTGGCCTGGGCGAGAACAGATCAGACGTTGATGCTTCGCCCCCACCCATACCTGATACCTGACGCCTCTGTGCGCCGATGACGCCCGTACACGCCCCCATGTCCCACTGCTCGCGCACGGCACGCCGATCGACGAAACCATTGTTCATCAGACCCGCACAAACATCCCTTCCGCCACCCATTCCGCCTCCGCCATACTCAGCACACACATACACGACATTGCCCACACACTCAAAAATGAACCATTAATCCCGACTGATTCTGTCGGGGCTGTACAACTCTGTCCTGCTAGGAGACACGGCCGTGAGACCCATACAACCTGTTCACGATTGTTTCCGTCTCTCTCTTCCATCCATCGACGCTCGCTCCGCGCGTCTCTGCTGCCTGCTCCCTGGACGGTGGTTCTCTCTCCGTCCCTCTCCGTCTCTTTCCTTTGCATGCATTACGTTCCAAAAACACGGAGCCAACATGATTGTCACGCGTCCGACGTGGAAGGTTGAGGTTTGTAACTCATTGGCGCCGGAGGCAGAGCTTGCAGTGGACAGCGGTGGCGGGCTGGGCAGGCAGGTTGGGCGACTTGGGGGTGTGTGGCATGTGAAGATCGGGCTTCGTGGGAGACGTGGTGGCCAACGGCCATGGCGACGGGCAGATGACCAGATCTCGGCCTGTCCAACGTCCACCGCCGCCGACGCACGCTCTCGAGGCCACGAGGCGCAGTCAAAAGGTTCAAAAGGAACACGGCACGCGGCAGTGTCGTTTGGGACCTTGGACACAACGTCCAGGGCCGTCTCGGGGCCTTGGAGCTGGCGGCGGCGAACATTGGTTTCAACAACGATACCATGTCGCCGGCCCCGCGCGCTCTGTCCCAGCGAGACATCGGGCATGCGCGTGCATAGCGCTAGCGACACAGCAAACGTGCCGAGCAACAAACGTGCATGCTGTACGTTCCACACGGCACGGGGGGGCTTCGGCATGCGGGACGCAGAGCCTAGAGCCTGATTCGGACAAGCAGCACTGCCCCGCAACGTCCAGTGGTCAGTGCTGAGAACCACCAAGAATAACCACACGCGGAGCTTAGGAGACCGATGGTGCCGTCGGCGGAGATGCGTCGAGATCGGGGGGGCACGTGCAATCCAATCGCGCTGTTAGTCGCTTCCTCGGAGCCTTCGAGTCGTCGGAGGTTTGTGGCCCTGTCCAGCCCAGCGGCAGCGGCCAGCGACCCACCAGGACTGAACTGCCACGGCGCCGTTGCGCGATTACCGTGCGCTGCGCTCGTCTGGACCGCCTGCAGCAGCAGTCTAGCCGAGTCAGTACGATCAGTACCAAACTCCGGGGCCATGTCATGGTGATATCGTGCCCGCCGTCGTTAGGCGCAACGGCGAAAATGGCCGAACGAGATCAGCTGCGTGCGCAGTTGATGTCATGGTCAGACTCAGACTTTGTGGCAGTGCTTTCAGCTTCGTTGTCATGGTCACTTGTCCTGGAACAACCCGTGCCGAGTGCTGCCAGGCTCTGCATCTGCAGACTGGGATCTGACTCTGTTGCTCGTGTCCCTCGGGACCGTAGCGATGGGTTGCCCGTGGGCCTTGGTCGTGCTGCTGTGCCGATGCCCGAATGCATGTTGCCCAGGACCCGTGGTGACTATACGACTCTTGATTGCCGAGGTGGCGACGTTCCTCTGCCCACTGGTTTGTGGCACTGTGTTTAGAAACCTTTTGCATACGGGCTGGGCGATTTGTTCCGTGTATCCAGACCACAGCCGCCTATCAATGTACAAACTGTCGAGACGGGGCAAAAAGGGGACCCTGTCAAGTGCCTGAGGCGGTCGTGGCGAGGCGATACTCTGTCCGGGGAACTCGAGCGCGCCACTCGCTGCCAGTCTTCATGCCCATCGTGTCGATGAGGTTGCCGACATAGGTTCGGATGTCGGGGATGTAGTGAGCGAAACTCTCGGCCTTGCGAAGCATCTTTTGCTTGAGAATGACCTTGAAAGCCTCGTTGGTGGGGATTGACTTGCTACGGCTCGCAGAATGGGTGACGCGGCTGATCATCTTCAAGGCGCCAACAAGGACGACGCTAAAGTTGGAGAGGCGAGCGATGTGGTCGGCAAGGCGCCGCTTGCCCTCTTCATCTTGAGCAGCGCGGGTGTTGAACGCAATGCGGCTGGCAAGGAGGGTGACAAGCGAGTCCATAGCGGCAGTCTGATCCCAGCTCAGACCGTCTGCGGTTGAAGTATAAATGTCGAAATTGCTGACATTGGCGGGATTGGGCGCCCTGTTAAAAACGACCACCAGCTCATCAATGTTCGCCAGGTTGCCATAGAATTTGAGGTCCATACGACATCGGACATGGTAACTCGTAGAAAATATAACGCGACGAGTGTCTGGAGGTGGTTGAAGGCGGGACTCGGAATTGATCACATAGACTGGGGCCTTGAGAAAGACATGTGGGTGTGGTGGGCGGGGGAGGTACCAATGTCGCGGGCTATATCGCATGTCGTTCGAATCTGGGATGGCACGGACATAATCGAGATTGGGCATCAAGGTGGCAAGAAGGGAGTGGTCGAAGGCGACGCCCACAATGTCGACAATGCGAGTAAACCGAAGCGCGCGCTTGATGCGGTCTTCATTCTCGTAGTAGTCCGCCAGGGACGCTTTGTATTCCTCTTCGCGGTCACGGAAAGCAGTGAGGTAGATCTGCTGCTCAACCTTCTGGAGGTGGAGACGAGCTTCTTCGAGTTGCTTCCACTGGGATTCCTTGGCGCAGAACGGGGACGACCAACCGGGGAGGTGTTGGCTTGGACGTGACTCCCAAGCACCTTCAGGGAGTCGGCCACGCGCAGAAAACGGACGCTCCTGAAGCTCATCGAGCTCAGGCTGCTGGTGCCGGGTAGTGACTGGATAGCACCGCGGCGGAAACAACGGTAGACGAGCGTGAGGAGTGCCAATGGAGACAATTTGAGCAATCTCCCGGCCAATGGAGGCGATTTGAGCAAGCTCCTCGCCAGACTGTTGAAAACGCTTGATTTCAAGGTGACGAAAGAGGAGTTCGTCAGCACGGTCCCCAAATTCGCGAGAGAGAGCGCGAACAGCCAAGAGCGTCTTGACGTCGAGGAGCGGAACGATCTCATGCAGAATATCGGGACAGAGCTTGACACCGTTGTATTCGACTTGCTGCTTTGTGGTCGTGACGGACGTGCTATTGCTCGATGTCTTCTTGTTCGTGGTGAACGTCTGTGCCCAGTAGTCGGCCAGCTTGCGTTTCATGGTGGATAGGTTGGTGATGCGTGAGGATGGTAATGGGCGAGCGAGGATGGTAATGAGCGAGTGGGAAGAGTAGTGGTGATGAGTGAAAGTTGGCATGTGTTTTTTTGTGCCTGCCAGTCCACACACGCACCGGTCCAGTCAACCCTCCACCTGCGCCCGCGCACGGATTACACAACCACGCTAGCCACGCTCTGGCCTTCCTTAACCTCCCCCCGCTTTGGGATATCCACTGTCTCTCTCCATGCATATTGTATACTTATTAGGACCCGGGGAGCATCCCTTCTCCTTCATTGAATGTGCCGGGCATGTATTTGGCCCTGTTTAAGGTAATTGCGCGAAATTACCCAAAAATGAACAGACAACTTGACTTGCATGGCTTCTCTCTCTCTGCCTACCTACAAAAACGTCTCATGGACTCTCTGCGACGTCTCCGACTACATGTACTCTACAAGTGACGTTTCCGCTCCATGCAGTGTTCTGGTTTGACTAGACTAGTCGGCGTCAATCTTGATGGGCGAGGTTGCCAGGTCGTACTCGACCTTGGGAACGCGGACACGCCACTCCTCAACCGTCTCCATGAGCATGGTGTCAACAAAGTTTGAAGCGTTGGTGACGAGGTTGGGGTCGTTCATCCAAGAGAACGTTCTAGACACAGCTAGCATCCGCTTCTTGAGGACCTCCTTGAATGACTGGGGAGTGAAGATCTTGAACCAGACCGGTTGGGTTGCTCCGTATTTGGGTATGGTATCCGTGATGGTGTTGATCATCTCAATCGCTCCGACGAGAACAAAGCGGAAGTTGACCAAACGAGCGACATGATCGTCACGCTTCTTCTTACCCTCGTCATCCCGGGCATCCTCTTGGTAGTTGAATGCAAGCCGGTTGACAAGGAGTTTGGCGATGGACTCGACCGCATCAGCCTGGCTTCCGCTCATGCCGTCGGACGGAGTAGGGCTGTGGTACTGGGGCTTGTACCAGTTCCAACAAGACTTTGGCTTATTCCAGACCTTGTTGAAGACGACAGCAAGATCATCGACATTCTTCAGGTTGCCAAACTTGGCAAATTGGACCTTTGTTCCAGCAGAATAATCCTCTCGGAAAATAACGCGGCGCGTTTCGGAGGGTGGGTGGAATCCGACGTTCGGCGAGACGACGTACGTCGGCGCAGCCAGGGAGGAGGCTTCTTGACGGCGTCCATCCGGGTACCGCCATTGTCCTTGTCCGTGGTAGCGACAGTCTCCCTGATCGTCCACAAGGCGTACGTATTCGAGGTTAGGCATCAGAGGTGCTAGAATGGAGTGGTCAACCGAGAAGCCGATAATGTCGATAATCTTGGCGGGGTTGAGCATTTGTTCGATACGCTCCTCATTCTCGTAGAAGTCTTCAAGACACGCCTCGTAGGCATCCTCGCGGTCCATGTACGCCTCTTCAAATATCTCCATTTCAATTTTTGCAAGGCGGAGACGAGCGGCTTCGAACTTCTTCCACTGCGATTTTCGAAGCACAAATTGCGCCGACCATCCCGGGCGGTTGCGGTCGCCGAGCTTCTTCAAGGCCCTGTCCAAGGCGCCCTTTGGGTAAACCTTGCGTTTGGGGAATGGACGCTCGCCATCGAGGCTGATGTTAGGAATCGGCTGCCTGGGAGTGGTCGTAGGGTACGCTCTGGGCTTGAAGGAAGGGAGGACACTGGAGGGTGTGCGGAGGGACACGAGGGGCGCAACGTCGTCACCAGCTGCGTACATCTTGCGGTGGAGACGCTGCAAGACCACATGACGCGCGAGGAGCTCGTCGGCGGGCTTGACAAAGCGGCGGCTGGTTGCGCGGACGGCAAGAAGTGTAGTATTGTCCAGGTATGGGAGAATGTCGAAGAGGATGTCGTCGCAGAGGGTCACCAGAGGCTGGGTTTCGTCGTTGGCGCCCCCAGAGGTGTCGCCAGTGTCGCCCTGCGCGTCGGCGACATCCACGTCCGTCTTCTTCTGCTTCTTGGTGGGTTGCTTCTTCTTAGCCGCAGCCTTCGCCTTGCGTTTCATGTTGGTGGGGTATGTGGACGAGGGCCGACTGAGAAAAGGTATGTGGAGAGAGAGAAGAAGGACGAGGGAAGGCGAATGTTGTTGTTGACGAATGTTGAAGTCACCTGGGCGCGGTCTAGTCAGCTAGACGTCACCCGCCCTAATCCCGCCCCTGCCACAAAGATCGCCCACGGCCTCCACCACGGCACAACCTGCCCATGCATAGCTGCGCTGAAGAGACAGATACTCTGAGAGGCAAAACGTGAAGCTTCGCATATCTGGCCTCTCTGGATGCATATCTGATCTCAGACTCAGTAGACCAATGCAGAGGGTGCACATAGACTTGACATTGGTGTGGTTCGAAAATGAAGCAAAATCGGACATGACAGGGAGTCCAAGTCCATGTGAACAACTGTGCATGACCGTCTCCAACTAGCCTGCCATGGCTGTATATACAAAACTTGAGGGGAGACTGGCTACAGGCTACCTAGCTACCGACATATAGGACTCTTCCATGATACAAAAACGGAACTGCTGTGCACCAGGAATCAAGCCTTGATGGGCTCAGTGGCGAGGTGATATTCCTCCTCACCGACACGACTGCGCCACTCGTCCATCGTCTGGAAACGAATGTTGTTGATACATTTGGTTGCATTCTTACGCTCTTGAGACGTTGTTGAAGTGCTTCTCATGGCAGGAGCCGTCATCGTGTTGGCAATGAGAAGTGTCTTGATCGAATCGGGGTCCGTCACGGAGAGGGTGGAGGAAGTAGCATCGCGGTCGGTGGGAAGGGAACTGAGCATCTCCAGGAAACCAACCCAGCGTGACGTGGGCATGGCTTGAGCGGTTCATGGCTGCCTCAAGGTGTACCCAGTCGGCCTCCTCGTAGACGTTGGGAGGGCCGAATCGCTTGGCCAGGTAATGAGCCAGCTGCCGGATTGCGGCGGCCTTATTACCGTAGAATATGGAAGACACAGCAGTCGTGCTCTCAACAAAGACAAAGACGAGCTTAGTGATGGTTTTCATGTGGGACATCGTTTTAAAATTGACGAACCCTCCGTTGTAGAGGACTTGGACAATGGCTCGATGTGTCTCTACTGGCGGAGAGAGATGAATGTGGTCGTTGGTAAACACGTAGGTGGGCGCCGCTAGTGGAACATGAGGGTTATTGCCGCGCCACTCATCACGAGAGACATTGTAGCCGTAATCCTTCGGGTCAAATACGAGGCGCACATAGTGGAGATTTGTGAGAAAAGGGGCGATTCCAGACTCGTCAATGGTCCTGCCCACGAGATCAACGGTGCGGACCTTGGCAAGGGTGCGGCGGATGTGCTCTTCGTTGTCGGCATAGTCTTTGAGGTGAGCGTCGTAGGTGTCTTCACGATCCTTCCGTGCCGAGATCCAGATCTTCTCTTCAAGCTTTTGAAGGCGAAGGCGCATGTTCTCAAGCTTGGTGAATTGCTCTTTAGTCGAACAGAAAGGTGCGGACCATCCAGGCTTGTTCTTGCCTACGTTGTGTGTGAATATACCTTTACGCTTGATGTTCTTGAGCGGATACCCGCGAGGCTTGGCAGAGGTGTCGGCCTTGGGGATAGATAGACGCGCCTTTGAGACAGGGTAGGACCTTTTCTGGAAAGTGGGCAGGCATGTGGTTGGGGTGGTGATCGCGATGGTTTTGGTTTGAGCGACCTCCTCGCCGACACTCCTTCCCACGCGGTGAACTCGGCGGATGACAATGTGGCGAGCAAGCAAGTCGTCTGCACGCTGGCGGAATTCACGGGATACAGCCCTAACGGAGAGAAGGGTGTCATTCGAAAGGAGGGGGAGAATCTCAAAGAGGACGTCGTGGTTGAGGGTGACGGGCGGTGGCGTGTCGGCCTTGACCTTCTTCCCTTTGCCCTTGCTCTTAGCCTTCTTGACTGGCTGCTTGTTGGGCTCGTTCTCGCGCTTGCGTTTCATGATGATGTGTGGATGAGGATGTACTGTGAGGATGGGCGATGGATGGAGTGGGTGGAAGAATGTGACACAGAGGAAGACTGTTGTCGAGTTGAGGTAAACACACAAACGCAGTCCAGTCACCCCTCTCCCATGGGGCGCACGGACCTATTTCAATCATCCACACACACACGTCTCTCATTCACTCATTCAGTCTGCAAGCGGGTGCAGGCGCACACATACTGCCTTGCAGCCCAATAGCTGTCCTTTGAGCACTCCATGAGCACAGCCTTTGAGCAGCCGACAAGACATCAAGGCAGCACAAGCCTTGAAAACTGGTGTAAAAGGCGCCGAAATTCCATTCCCTGTGCAAACAATCCACGGGCCACGGGCTCCCCTCTTCAATCCGATCGTGGTTCAGCGCTTCGACATGGCGGACAAGCACCCGCGGCAGTCACCCCCCTGGCGACGAGACACTGCACATGCTAGGTGGCCAGAACTTTCCCAAAGACGAGCACCTCAACGGTGTGGCGGCCGCAAGTGTATAGCGTGCCGAGATCACACGTCCCCGCCGTGTTCTCGTACCTCCCAAAGGTTTGGGAACGTCGACTCTCTGATGTCTCGGCATTCCCTGTCGCAAGAAGGAAGATGTAGGCGATGTTAGTCGACCTGCCCCCACCGTTTTCCCCGATCTCCCTCGTTGAGAGTAAGCCGGCCGGCCGTACTGCAGCTGGCTGGAGACAACTGTGTACATATCTATATCTACGGCAGCACGGATGCCGCAACGGGGTAGACCTTCTCGTAGACCGAGAAGACGATACCTCCGGAAAGCTGAAAAAGGCGTTAGTTGATATACCAAACGCGGAGGCGCGACAACTCACAACAAGACGACCAAGACGCGGGGTGGTGCCCTTCCAGAGCTTGCTAACACCCTCCTCCTTGATGATGCGGGATGCGCAGTGGAAAGCGTTCTTGTATTCCTTCTTGGCCTCCAGCGACTGCATACGGGTCTTGACAACGCTGAATTTGGTCAGTTGGGTCGCTGGAGATATGGCTTTCGCAACTCACTCGAAAGGCATGGTAGTGTACACGGTAATGACACCTGCGCACGAACCAATACCAAAGGTCATCCAGCCGGGCAGCTCAGTGCCGGGAGCCATGCTACCCTGGGCGAGCTGTTTGAGGGTGGAGTAGGACGAGAAGCGGACAGCCGAGTTGGCACCTTGGCGCATCATCTGCAAAAGTTTAGCACCGAGTTGGCAACCTGCAAACTTACCACTGGGCCAACACCACGGTAGACACCCCTCCAGCCCTCCTCCCTGACAATCTGGCGTACACCATCGACCATGCCGTTGAAACGAGGCTGAGCGCGCTTCGAGTCCTCGATCATCTTGGTCTTGATGGTCTCCGAGGGGGTGACGGCGATGATTGCCTCCATCATACCAGCTCCAAGACCCGCGAGCATGGAACGAGGGGCAGTGAGCTTGCCCTGTAGTTGTTAGCCGTGGCCTCTCTTGTTGGTGACATGTTTGTGGACAACAATGACGCTCCATTTCACAGCACGACGACATCGGCACTCGTACACCTCCACCAGTCTACCCACCTGGTCGTCCGAGAGAATGCTCTTAAAGTGGTCGTAGGTCGTGAAGCGCACGCCAGCCTTGACCGCGTTTCCAATCACGACGGCACCGACACCGGCATACAGGCCTCCGATACCGCGCTGCTGGATAGTGTCCTTGAGAATGCCATAGGGAGTGAGTTTCTGAGCAATGTAAGCCAAATGCCACTCCTCTAAAAGCGATAGAACAACATGGAGAGGTGCTTGGAGATATATCCTGATCCTGGACCAGGCATGTCTCTTCCTTATCGCTCAACCCTTCGATAGCCGACTGACCTTGCCCGAAGGAGCGCCGAACTGGAGCTGGGTCTTGAGCGACTCGAGCGGATAGGTGATGAACGCCTCGATACCGCCTGCGGTAGCGCCCGCCATGAGCGAAGCAATGGGCTTCTCCTTCTCCTTGCCCTTTGGCGACATTGTGTTTTTGATTAAAAGTAGAGAGAGATGTGAGTGAAGATGTCTGGTCGTGTGATGTCGTGACTTTTGCGCTCGGCGGCGTCGGGCCAGATGACACCCTACTCGAACCCCCGGCGGGATCAAATTTCCCCACACCCAGTCAGGCCCAGGACCCAACATCGGTTTCCAGTCAACAATCTTGCGGCATGTCTGACCTTGCTCTCCATCCCTCACTCCACATCCACCATGCAGGCAGCTGAAGACGCCGAGATCCGCAGACAACTAGAAGAGGGCCCGACGCTATTTGGCTCGGGATGGCGCTGTGTCGACTCGCTCGAGGAAGTGGATGGCGAGTTTGAGAGCGACGAGGAAGAGGTGGGTTGTCACTGGAGGTCTGCCGCCACTGTTTCTGACCCACGACCTCAGGAATACATCGTCATGGACCTTGGAACGGCTATGGACGCTCGCACACTTCAGACTGAGGCCACCTACCAGCTTATTGTAAGTTTGGGTATGCGAATGAGTGCTGACCATGGTTACTAGGGAATGGACACGCCAATGCCCTTCCTCAAGATCGGCGAGCACGTTTTCCAAGGCGCCGTCGCGCCGCTGATCGGCGACGAGGTCATCTTTGATGTCGAGAGACGTGAGTGTTTACTGCCCAGCGTTGAGACCTCGAGAGCTGACTTGTGGCAGAGGAGGATGACCCTCAGCGCCCACACCACCGTCCAGCGCACAAGACGACGCACCGTGTCGAACTGCACGCTGTCGGCCTCACCCGTCGCCCATTCCCCCAGCGCGCACTGCAACCAAAGCACGAGGACGTCGAAATGTCTGACGGTGGCCCCATCGGCTTGACTGCCGACATGGTCCTCGCCCAGGCCCCAGAGCTCGGCACGCCCGTCGCTGGCCCATCCCGCATTCGTGCCCGTCACCTCCAGTCCCTTGCTGCCGAAGCGCAGTTTGACTCGCCCATGGTCAGCCCGTCTCCAGCTTCCAAACCCGCCACGCCCGTGGCTGCTCCGCCTTCCTCGCCTCCGCTAGCGCCGTTCGTCTCCGTTACTCCCGCAGATGGCGCCGAGGGCCCCGAAACGTCCCCGAAGCGTCGTATCGGCCGGCCCCGCGGCAGCGTCACGCGCACCACGCTCCCGATCAGGACCATCAACGACCTCACAGACATCAACCACGCAGGCGGCCTTGGCGAAGTGCGACGTAAGTGAAGCACCACTGTACCTGAACACCCGCAACTGACAATGGTTCCAGTCGAGATTGCAGAAGACGCCACGCCAGAACTCCTTGCCGCCGTCTCGGCCGTCCGCGGCAAACCCTCTGGCCCAGGCGCCAAGCTGTCTCGCGCGCAGGAAGAACGTCTCGTGCGCGGCCTCCCCGCTGCCGGACCCGGATCGCGCGGTGGTCGTGGATCACGCATTGGCACGCGCGGCCGTGGATCGCGCGGCGGAGCAACCAAGCGCGGCCGTCCTCGCGGCCGTGGCGGCATCGTGCCTCCCTCGGGCGAGGGCCTCGCAGATGGCTTTTTGGGAGTTGCGGGCGATGACGAGTATGACGACGGCGATGAGGAGGGCACGGCTACCGGAACGGGAACGGGGACCGGTACGCCTGCCGAGGGGACCGAGGCGGGACCGAGTCGTGCCGAGGAAGACGGCGACTATGAGATGCGCGACGTGAGTGTGGCTCAGCACGTGCGTGATTCGGACGACGAGCTGCGCGAGATTGGCGATGACGAGTAAGGTCGCCGTGTGGCATGGCTTTGTGGGTACCTGGCAGAAGACTGTAGATACAGATGACACACTATTATTATACCACCCCTGGCGGCTTTACATGCCCTGTCCAATCTCTGTAGACAGGTGGTTTTGTCGTGGGCGCTTGGTTTTGAGGACCATGCCCGAAGACTGCAATTGGTCTCGCACTCGCTTCACCCTAACCCCAATCACTTCCACCCCTCACCCAGCCCCATCAACAGAAGCTGTAAAACTGTGCAACGCCAGCATGCAAAGAGATCCATGGAATGAAAATTGGGTATATACAGTGTACATACACGGCGCGGTCCATCGCCGCGCGGTCTAGCTCTCGTTCCTTGGCCGCGACGGTCTGCAAGCTTACTCGATGATATAATCTTGACACGCTCAGAACGCCCGTCGCGACCGTTGTAACAGCGACGACACCAGCTACAGCCACTGCTACTGCTACGCAGCAGCTGCCGTGCGCCGCATTGTTCTTGGGGCAGTGCCCGCCGCCGCTTAACGACGCTGGGTCTTGCCGGCCTTGCGCTTGCCGGCCAACATCCACTTGGGGCGGGTGATGGGGACGTGACGGTCCGACTCGGAGGCCTTGGCGAGACGGTTGGGCTCGCGCTGGGCGAACATGCGGAGGGTGTGGGCCTTGTCGAGCTGCTCCGAGGTGGTGATACCGGCGGGGAGAGCGCCCTTGCCCGAACGGGCAGCGGCGCGGAGGGCGCGGCGGCCCTTGGGGGCCTCCTCCTCCTCCTCCATAGCCTCGTCGCCGTCGACATCCATGCCGCCGTCCGAAGCGCCACCGTCCGAGCCGCGCTCGGCCTCGGCAGCCTCCCAAGCAGCCTTCTTGGCCTCGACGAGACGCGAGGCACGCTTCTCGAGGACGGCCGGGTCGTGGCCGTGCTCGCGCATGCCGTGGGTGAACTCGGAGAGAGTGACGTGACGCTTCTTGCGGGGGATGAGGGGGCGGTTCTGGAGAGTGTTCTTGTCCTGAGACATCTTCTTGAGGACGGCCTTCTTCTTGCGAATTTGGCTGGCGGCGTCGAGGAACTCCTCCTCCTCGCTGTCGAGCATCTCCTCCTCCTCGGAAGCGTAGAAGCCCTGGGCCTCGAGCTGCTCCTCCTCGCGCTCGAGAGCCTCGAGCTTCTCGGCGATATCGGGGTCGATAAAGTCGGCAACGTTCTTGCCGTTGACAATCTCGGGCTGGATGTCGTACTTCCACGAGTCGTCGGCAAGCTGCCAGTCGCGCCTGAGGTCCTGGGTGTAGATACCCAACCATGGGTTGAGGCCAATCTCCTGCTCCTTCTCCTTCTCGAGCTTGCGGCGGTTGGGGTCCTCGGGGTCGTACTTGACACGGGTCTTGACCGCGTCGGGGATGAAGGGAGTACGCTCAACGTCGTCACGCTTCTGGGGCATGGCAACGTGAATCTTGTTGGCAACCGACTCGATGCGGTGGCCACGGAGCTTCTGCTCGACACGGTGGGCAAGGAGGAGCTCACACGACTTGTTGCGAACGTCCATGACACCGTCCTCCGAGTAGGTCGAGGCCTGGACAACGGTGACCGTCTTGTCCTCGAGAATAGTGTCAACAAAGGCACGGTTCTCGGGCGAAATGTCCTCGAGACGGACAATGTCAATCTTGTTGATGACAAGGACAACGGGCTTGTTGGCGAACAGGGGCTTGATCGAGTGGAAGAGCTTGCACTGGGCCTCGATGGTGTAGCCACACTGCTCCGACAGGTCCATAAAGTAGAGGACGGCGGCGCGGAGGTGAGCAAGAGCAGTGATCGACTGCATCTCAATGGTGTTCATCTCCTCGAGAGGGTGGTCGAGGACACCGGGGGTGTCGACAACCTGCCAGCGGAGGTACTTGTAGTCCATGTGGCCGACGAAGAGCGACTTGGTGGTGAAGGCGTACGGCTGGACGTCGACGTCCGCGCGGGTAACCTTGTTGACAAACGACGACTTGCCGACGTTGGGGTAACCACAGATGATGAGGGTACGGGTGTTGGGGTCGATCGAAGGGAGACGCGAAATGTGCTGGCGAACCTGCTCGAGGTAGGCAAGGGGGTCCTTCTGACGACGCATGATGGTGGCCATACGACCAAGGGCAGCCTTCTTGAGCTGCTTGCAGCGGTAGAGCGAGTCACCAAACTTGAGCAGACGGACATAGTCCTTGGCGACCTGCGAGATCAGGTGACGGGCAGTCGAGATCTGGCCCAGAGCGAGCTTGTAGTGGTTCTTGTCGTACAGAACGTTCAGGAGCGACGACAGGAAGGGGTGGAGGTTGTCGAGAATGGGGAACTCGGTGAGAATACGGCCAATCTTCTCGTCAAAGGTGTCCTGGGTGAACTTGACCTTGCGCATGTAGAAGTTACGGATACGCGAAATCTTGAAGCTGGAGGGGCACAAATGTTAGTAGGTTGTCGTGTGATAGAGCCACGCGGGGTTGCTCACTTCTTGTGGATGACGGTAGGCGTCTTGCGCATAGTCGAGTTGAGGACGACATCGATGAACTCGCTCGAGGTGGGCACAGGGGCAATGCCCGAGAGGGAGTGAATAGTAGAGGCCATGTTGACAGGTATGGGTGGGCGGTGGTAACAGACAAAAGGAGGGGGTGGTGAAGTTCTACCAAGCGAGAGCTAGAGAACAAACAAGACTGCCGAGAGAGAGCAATCAAAGGGAGCGCGATACAGGCGCTGTCGACCGGGAGCTGGTCGTTTTGGTTTCGAGAGAGAGAGAGATAAAGAGGATTAGGAGGCCGCACGCAAAGGGGAGTAGGCGGGGCGTGGATGAGCGTTATGCAACAGGCAGAGAGGACGCCCAGACGGCCTCCTCGTCTCTCTCTCAAAATCTCAAGCGGCGGCGACGGGATCAAATACGCACGTGCCTGGATATGGACGCGGTGGCCATACGGGCGGGAGCAAACGGGCACAATTTTTTTAGGAAAAGGCGGACGTTTAATGGATCTCCGTGTTTTCTCAATCTCGGCCAGGCACACACGCACCCGGCGCGTGTGTACGCGCCAGCCTGTCTCCGCATGCAGGTGGGCAGAGCAATGTGTCGGGCCGGCTGTGTGTCGACAACGTTAAGCGATGCAGATTACATTCAGCAGAGAGGCATGGCATTCAAAGGCAGAGGCGGTGGTACAGTTGGAGCGTCGCTTAATAGACCAAGGCAGAGTTGGCGGTTGCAGAATAGTTTCGTGCTCGCGGATATCTCTCCGGAAGAAGGAACACCACGGGCCACGGGGCGGCGGTCGGGTGGGGGGGGGGCATGACGACGGGGTCCCAAAAGGAAGGCTGGATCCTCCGCGATGCACAATAACGCGTTGCCACTGGCTCTGCCGTCCTCTGTAAATGACGCCTGACATGCACATGCATGCGGGGGCTGCCGAGGACTGGCCCAGAGGTGTCTCCCTTGTGGAGGTAAAGGACCAGCATGCGCGGAGTTTTGGTAATGTGGCAGTCCACACACCTCTCTCGCGGCCACACCCCTGTATCCTCCAGCACTTACGGGGCCTCACAGCGTGGTCCGATTTGCTTCCGTTGAATCAAGTTGGCCGCGCTGGGCTCCTGTTCGTCGCGCGACACCTTGGCTTCTTGCTCGCCATCTCACTACGACTCATACTCATCCCCCCCACTTCCCTCCCTTACCTCTTATCAGTCTCTACCTGCTTTACAGCATCCGGCGCGTAAGGTTCGACTCCACACCGTCAAACCGTCGTCTCTTCCTAGTCAAGTAGGAGAGATTCCAGTTCCGAACTAGGCCCCACGGCAAATCTCTTGTGGTCTGCACCGATCACGAGGCTTGGCCCAAGAGTCGTCTCGTTCAACCACCCTCCCCCCACACCCAACCCCATCACCCTTCCCCCCCACACACCCACACACACCACTACCACCATGTCAACCGTCGGAGAGCTGTCGAAGAAGTACAAGCCCGAAGTGGCCCAGCTGCAGGCAATCTTCCCTTCCTGGGACGAGGGAGACCTCGTCTTTGCGCTCCAGGACTCCAGGGGCAACCTCGAAGAGGCCGTCCTTGCCATCTCTGAGGGTAAGTGCTGATCGCTTGGCCAACTGCCAATGCTACCCCCGAAGACCATTGTTGCTGACACGCCTTCCCTTCTGGACCACCATCTACACGCCCCGTACTCTTCACCATATCCACCCGTTGGCACTTTCAATTGCCATCAACGCCATTTTCCTTGACCTTCCATTCGCGTTACCCCCACCTTTCATCAATCAAACAGGCCGCGCGTCCCAGTTCACCCAAGCCACCAAGAAGAAGCCCGTTAAGACTGCTGCGTCCAAGTCGCACAGCAGGAACGCCGACGCCGGCGGTTGGGAAACCTCGGACAACTTTGCCGCGGGCGGTCGCGGCGGTCGTGCCGGAGGACGTGGTGGACGTGGCGGTGCGGCGAGGGGTGGTGGTGCGCGTGAGTCCCCCGTTGAATGAAAATGGAAGGGCAAAGAGCTGACTGTTTTACAGAGGCAGTGCGTGGAGCTCGAGTCGGTCGGGGCGGTGCGCGCGGTGGTGGTCGTGGTGGCTTTGCTGGCGTGAACGGCAACGGTGCCAAGAAGTCTGATGGCCCCGCCGACGCATGGCCGACTACTACTGCGACGACCAGCGAGGAGTGGAACAACCAGGTCGAGCAGTCCGAGGCTGCTTCAGCGCACGAGGACGACGGTGGTTGGGGCGACGAGCCCGCAAAGGAGACTCCTGCGCCTACCAAGCCCGAGTCCAGCAAGGTTGACTTTGCGGCAGCGGCCGCAAAGTCGGTGGAGCAGGCCAAGAACACTGCAGCCGGCGCGTGGGGTGCTGGAAAGCCTAAGAGCCTCTCAAAGCAGGCTCCTCCTACCCCCGCCGCCGCTCCTGTTGCCCCTGTGGCCGCTGCCCCCGCAGCTCCTGCCCCCGTCGCCGCCGCTCCCGTCGCCGCTCCCACTCCTGTCGCAGCTCCTGCTGTCCCCGCAGTCCCTGCAGCCAAGCCCAAGATGACCTGGGCCCAGATTGCCAAGTGCGTACACCCGTGTTTGCTTTTTTTTTTCTTGCTTTTCTTGGCTGACCGTATGCAGGCCCGTCGAGCAGCCCAAGCCTGCCCCTCCCCCAGCTCCCAAGGCCGAGCCCGAGCCTGTGGCTGCCCCCGAGGAGCCTGCTCAGGAGGAAGAGGAGGAGGAGATTGAGACTGCCCCCGAGGCCGAGCAGGAGGAGGAGGCTGTCGTCGAGCCCGCCGAGGAGGTTGCCGAGGCTGCCGTTGAGGAGCCCGCTACCACCGAAGAGCCCATCGAGCCCGCCAGCAACGGCGCTGCCGAGGTCGACGCTCCCGAGCAGACCCCTGCCCCAGTTGCCGCCCAAGAGTCGTGGGCTAGCGACCCCGCAATTGTCGCTTCGACTGCTCCCGTCCCCGCGCCTGCTGCTGAGCCGGTCACCACCTACACTGGTCCTCCTGGCTTCAACACCATCGCTACCAAGGCTGTTGGCGGTACCACTCCTCAGCCCCGCACCAACTCGCGCGCCGCTCAGCGCTTCAAGGCCGACGGCCAGGCCGTCGTTCTCCCCGCCCAGGCCAGCGGTGTGTCGTCGGTCGAGGTCCAGTTTGGCAGCTTGAGCTTTGGCGGTCTCAACGGCGACGGCGTCGAGGCGCCCGTCCAGCCCGAGGTCCCCGCTCAGGCTGAGGTCGCTCGCGCTCCTTCGCCCGCTCGTGCTGCCCCCGCACCTGTTGCCGCTCCTGCTGCCCCCGTGGCCCCCGTCGCCGCCCCTGTCCAGGCGCCCGCTGTTCCCGCAGCCGCTTCGTGGCAGCAGCAGGTCCCCCAGCAGCAGCCTGCCGGCTACCCTCCCTCGCAGACTCTGCAGCAGCAGATGCAGGCCTACCAGTCGTACGGCCAGCAGCAGCCCCAGCAGCCTCAGCAGCAGCCTCAGCAGGAGGCTCAGCAGCACCAGCAGTCGCAGTACTACCGCCAGGACTACTACAACCCCATCGGCTCGCAGCCCCAGGCCCAGCAGCAGCAGCCTCAGCAGCAGCCCGAGCCCCAGCAGCAGCAGCCCCAACAGCAGCAGCAGCCTCAGCTCGCCCAGCAGGCTCAGCCCCAGCAGCACTCGTACGACGCCGCTCCCTTTGGCAACTACGGATCGCAGGGTGGTTGGAACCAGCCCGCTGCTCAGGAGAGCCAGTACGGCCACGCCGGTCGCTTCGACTCGTACTCGTCCGGTGGCTACCCCCGTCCTCCCGCCGAGGAGCCCAAGCAGGCCGCTCCTGCTCCTTCCCACGCCGCTGCCCCCGGTCAGCCCCAGCAGAACCTGCCACACCAGCAGCACCAGTACTACTCGGCTCTCGGCAACATGGGCTACTACCAGTCGGGTCCCTACAACCCCTACTACCAGTGTAAGTCGAAACGTCTATCAGGAGCTCTTGGGTATTCATCATTACACGACATGACAGCACCCAAAAGTCGTGCACCGACACTATAACTGTTGTGAGACCTTTGCTTACTCCTCCCAGACGGCCAGGCCCCCAACCCCGGCTTCCAGCAGTACTACCCCATGGCCGGCCGCAACCTTTACGGCCAGCCCGCTCCCCAGGCTCCCCCCGCGCCCATCCCCACCAACAAGCCCACTCCTCCTGCCGCGCACCACTCCCCTTACGGCGCGCCCAGCTACCCGTCGTCGTCGGGCTTTGACGACCAGTCGTTCGGTCTCGGCCGTTATGGTGACTCGAACAAGGCTGCCGCCGCTCCCCAGTCGGGTGCGGGTGCCCAGGGTCAGCAGAACCCCCAGCCCATCGGTGTCGGCGCCGGTTCGCTCCCCCAGTCGTACCCTTCGCAGCAGGGTATCCACAACTTCCTCGGCGGCCCCGCTTCGGGCTCGGCGCAGCCCAACCGCCCCCAGGCCGGTACTCCCGAGGACAGCTTCAAGGCCCAGGGTGCCGGTAACGCCGCATCGACTCCCGCCGCTGGCGCTCGCGTCCAGCCTCAGCAGCCCCAGGCGCAGGCCTTTGCCAGCTACCCATACGGTGGCGGCTACCAGAGCCACGAGTGGTCGCAGTATGGCCACTCGCGTAACGGCGGCTACCAGTCGGGCTGGCAGCAGTAAACAAATATCTTGTGCGCACCAGGCAGCGTGGCCAGGGCGTGAAATGGATGTATCTCGTTACGAGCATCCCTCCTATTCTGCTGTTCTCTCTCTGTCTCTCCTATCTCTCTCCACTCCCAACTTACTCTCTCTCCGAATTTCAAAATCAAAACGTCTCTTATTATCCGTGCGCACAAAACGTCAAGTCTTTCGATACGTTTTACCAAACTTCTCGACGCTCGCAACCGCAACCAAACTGGGGCGCGCAACCCCACCTCCTCTCTCCTCTCACGTTATCGTCGTCGTTCTCTGGAAATCTCAACACATTTTGTCATTGTGCAGTAGGGCTTGATATTGGAGTTGATTGATGCACTTGTCGATGATGGGTTTTGTGCCACTGCCCGGAGCCGCGTGTGCTGACCGGTATGCCGGGCTGTCACCGACTGACTAGCGCAGCGCGCAACGATCTGGGGGCGTCGCCTAGTGCAGCGGCAATGGTGACTACGAGGTATAGAGGGAGTTGCACAGGCCTCTCTCTGTACGGCTGTCTCCTCGGATCACGTGCCAGGACTGACTGCACCGACGGTACTGTCTAACCATGAACGAATCACAAGAGAGGACTGCGGCACTGTTGTGAATTTGTGTGCGGATATCGCGCGTATCTGGCACTGCATGTTGACATGGTCTAGCCATGTGCTGCGGATTCGATAAACCGATAAAGGACAGCTTTATTGGCGATGTTGGTGCGCCACAGTGAAAAGTGTGGCACGCATGCGCTCCCTCCGACGATCCGACAGCAGCATTGACCCCATGTCTCTGCCGCCTCTGTGACTTGCTCGGGCCCCTAGGAGTCGTCTGCATCCCCTTTCGCAAGGAGATCTGGACCCAACGTCGACAGCGTGCGCCGTCGCATCGCCTCTTGGCCATCGCTTGCGACTAGCGAAATCTAACAGTCCCACAGCCGACAACTAGTGGAACCAGTTCGCACTTGCAAACCCCGCGCCCGTGGCTGGTAGTTGCCATCCACACGCCGGATGCGCGATGTCTTGGAGTAGACGCGGTCTAAAGCGAGCTTGCAGGACGGGGTGGGGAAGGGGATCTCAGACCCATGTGAAACGGCCAACGTCTGAAATAAAAAGCACAGAGCGAGTTGCGAAGCGACCTGGAGCCGCCAAAAGGTGGAGGTGGGTGACGTCAGGTCCAGTCAACTGGTTGTGCACAATGCCCGCCGCATTGGTGTATTTATGTTTTGACCTGTGCTCGACCTCTTCTGCTTCTTCCCCATCCCCCTCGGCTCTCCCCTTCACTCCGCTCGCTTCTCACTCCTGCTGTTTGCCAGCTCTTCGCTCTTCGCTCTTCACGCGCACAACAACCCCCACCAAAGCAACTCGAACACAATGTCGCTCGACCACGTCGCTATCCGCGTCAAGGACTACCCCGCCGCCAAGGCCTTCTACACGACCATCCTCGCGCCGCTCGGCAGCACCATGCTCAACGAGCCCGCCCCGCACGTCTGCGGTTTTGGCAAGGACGCGCCCACCTTCTGGATCTCCACGTGCCCCGAGGGCAACCCCGGCAACATTGACACTCCCACGCACGTTGCGTTTGCGTGCAAGAACAGCCACGAGGTCGATGCGTGGTACGACGCCGCGATCAAGGCCGGCGCGACGTGCGATGGCAAGCCCGGCATCCGCGCCCACTACCACCCTGGCTACTATGGCGCGTTTGTCCTCGACGCCGACGGACACAAGATCGAGGCCGTCACTCACACCGGCGTCGCCAAGTAAACGGATCAAACGGAGGCGGGCGTTTGGATTCGCAGGCGCACAGCTCGGTCGCTCGTTAGTTATGTCTAATACGCAGTCAAGTCAACGCGTATGGTCATGCAGGACATGATGCAGGTTGCTGGAGAGGGTTCCACTGGGGATCAACTCGAGTCGTGGTAATTGAGCTGTTCTGACGTTCCACCGTTTCTCGCGCCTTTTGACGATCACTCCTTCAGCCCCGTTGGCCAAGCCCACATCCATCCATCCATCTTGCCGTCCAACACTTGGCTCCTTGTGCTCCGCCACCGGCTTGCCATTGTGCCAGACGCATTGCCACGCGTTGCCCAATACGTCGGCCGATCCGTCGCTGCGCTCATGGGCACGGCGAGACGTTCGAGCTCCCCGTGTTTGAGCAGAACGTAGCAACGCAACCCAGTGAGACAACCTCTTGACAGCAACCACCGCCGTCAGCACATGGACTCAAGAATCAATACTCGTGACATCTGTCGTCCAAGTCGCTGTTCCCGACCACAGTCAACAGCCAACTGCGCCGCGTCTGGTGTTCACCTTGCGTACTTTCCTGACTGGGGGCTAAGATCCATTTATAGTGCACTGAGTGTGAGCACGTGCAGACTGTATCACTAACCATGCACCTGGTGAGGTGGTCCCGACCAGGCTCGTAGGGCGCGAGAAACTGACAGGCCTCTTGCAATGTATGTGGCAGAATTACATTCAATAATACCAACAGGCGCTGTGGGCGTACAGAGACAACCTCTGATAGGGTTGGCCCTGTAGAGCAATGCAGAGCACAGGTGTGCGACTGCTGTGTCTGCCAGTGGCCAGTGGTAGTCGCCCTTGCATGGAAGGTGGATACCGGGCAGTATGTCTGATCGTATCCGTGTCCGTATCATCCGCCACTTTCAACAAACTTTTCGACAACTGCCACAGACACCTCCAAAGCATTGCGACCCCCGGCGAGCGTCCCCGTCCCCGTCTCCGTCCCCACCCCCGTCCCCGTCCCCGTCCCATCGCCGAGCCCTGTCTTGTGCACTACTATCACCATGCCCTGCTCGTGCTCGGCCATGCCAAGGACCGCTCTCATCAAAAATCTCGCTACTCGATTGTGATCTGACACCCCCTTTACCCCTCCGGATCTGCCACAGGGAGGTTCTGGCCCTTCGTTGCCCACCCGGTCCGACTCTCCGGCGCCGAGACATACACATCTGTACGCAAAGACTTTTTTTTTCTTTCTTTCTCTCGGCGTGGCGTTTGACCCCCGGCGCCAAAGCTTGCTCGGACAGGCCCCCCTGCACAGTACATGCTGCCGCGCGCACCAGCGATCCACCGAGCGTCTGTTGCACGGGGATGGTGGGGGATGTGTTTATCCCCGTTCCCCCGGGCCCATACCCAGGGGCGGTGCAGGCTGTCGAAGATCCCCCCCCCAATCGAGACTGTGGAGACAGGAGGCTTGGACGATGGATAAATCTCGATCTCGTTGCTTTTTGCAGAGCCTGGGGCTGTGGCAGGGAGAAAGGAAAGAGTTTTCCCGGACTAAATGAGCGGGTGATGTCAGTGGCGTGGCCACTTACACTCTGGTACTCTGGCTGAACGGAACGCCTCCTTTTTCGCGGTTTTTTATTTTGCCGTCTGTCAGTTTTTCTTCTTCTTCTTCTTTAGGGCCTCGCACTCTTTTGACGCATGTGTGCGGCGATGGCGGCGATACGGGGCACACGGTGACGTCGAGCGCGGCCCTATGGGTGGGGTGGTGGGACCCGCCGCCGATCCAGCCAGATGTGGCGCCGATCCCACTGACACACACCCCACCTTCACCATGACACCAGTTGGCGTCGCCGCCCTTTGGTCCTGATGCAGAATGTGCGCACTCTGGACTGCCGTGTCTCGGCACCAAGGCTCTGAGCACATCGGGTGGTCGTGTGCGTCGACCAAGGTCAGAGAGAGGCGTGTGTCCATGAGAGTGGGACTCTAGGAGGCAGTGGCGCAGTGGTTGTGTGGGTGGGTGTCTTGGACAAGGCCCACAGCGCCACAGCAGCTGGGCACTGCGCTCGACCACTAGTGGATGACCGATTAGCTCCACTCGTTCATTGCGCATCCAGTTACTACAACGAGGCCAAAGAGACGGACTAGCTCTGCCGGCGCCATCTCCTATTGAATGCAGTACCAAAGTCTAACTTCAACATTAGGACCAAAGGTACTCACAATGGGGCCTGTGGTTTGAATTGATGGCGAGTTCAATGGCCTGATGCTCTAAACTCAAAATGACCCCACACACTTGGTCTAGTGTAAGGCCTACGCAACTGCCTCGCTTGGCAGCATGAGCAACATGACACGAAGGATGTAACTGTGCCCAAATTGCAGCCAACAATGTGTCAATGTCGCACGTACAGCATGCGTGGAGAGGAGCAGGACAGTGGTACAGTGGCGGCGACGCACACCAGTTTATGACTGCAACCCCTTGCCAGCCCCTTGCCACCCCGTCAGTGCCATATATGTGCTCATGCTGCCATCATCCTTGTTTCTGTCCCCCTTGCGTCTCCAGATGATGCAGACGGGGTATTCGTGTCACAGCCAAGGCGTTTACGTGGGCTGTGTTTGCTCGTTCCCTATTGCAGAAGCCGAAACCAAAGCATGTTCAAAGGAGAACGTTAAGAGTAGTGTCACTGATCCACCCACTCACTGCCGAATGCAGTTCGACTGGAAACCAAGTTGGATAGTGCACTCTAATAGGCATTCGTTACCCGCCACATTGGAATGGTAATGCAAAGTGCAGAACGACGGCGAGTTAGTTAATTGAGCTTGCAGCTGTACCGCAACCTGGGAGCAGGGCTTCTGGCGGCGTGACCGTGGCTGGCGGACACGGGGCAGTGCGGAACACACTTGCTGCGGGCCTTGGGTGTGGTGGGGACGAGTATCTCCGCTGCCACAACAGACGCAGCACATTGGTGCCTCGGAAACTCTGTCGATCTCCACATGTCGACTGCCATCTTTGGCTTTCCGTCGTGTTCGTACTATAACATCCCATGCCGAAGTGGCACTGTAACGTTGCTGGCTGTGCGTGGGTGCGGATGAGCGAACTGACGGACCGCCGACGACAATCGCGACGGTGCCGGCAACGCAGTTGCGGGCCTGAGCCTTCAGACTAGGGGATTGCGATGTGGATTCGCGGTTACTTTCTTTACGAGATAACGTGTCTTGCGGAGGAGTACGGCGCCCATTTATGGCATTCATGCCACCGTGCCAATCGATCAGAGAGCGCGTACGGCCCAGCCCGCCGAGCCAAAACGTGCCCCCTCTTCGCAGCCGTCGTGAACTGTCGTCCGTAGACAGGTGTGCGCCGCGCTCTGTGCGTAGCATGCGTAGCCAACGCAGTCCAACGCCGCCGCCAACGACGCGCCAAACCCAACTCGCGAATATACCTAGCCGTAAAGGGCCCACAAGCGTGCGTTCCTTTCATAACGTTCAAGACCATACGGCCTGGAGGCTGGCAGCCACGCGTTACACGCTCCTGGGCCGCTGGGCGGACATGGCATGGCTGCAAGCTCGGTAGCCCCGACATCCCGACACTGTCGAAGGGAGTGCGCAGTTTGGGGGCGGCGCTACTGCGACGAGCCCCATGTATCCAGCTGCTGTCATCGCTACTCAGGCCCCCCCGGCCCCTCCGTGGTCCCCTCCCTGCTGTACCTCCGTATTCGCCGCGTCGCGCGTCGCGTAGCGGCCAGCGGCCTTCGGCATACCTGCCCCCTTGGCTTGCATCAGCTTGTCTTGCATCAAACCTGACTCATTATAGCCTCATGTTCGTGGCGTGTGGCCTTGGGCAAACGCCACATCAGCCACAGTACACTGGTACACTATACACTGGAATGCTGGCGCCGTGGTCGCGGCCTTGATCGGGATCTGTTTCGCTGGATCGGAACGCCGTTCTGGATGCTGACCACTGGCCAGTGGACAATTGGACCATTGGACCACTACTGTGGGCTCACGCACGGGCGGGAATCCGGGACGAGATTGCGCCACGGGCACCACACTACTTTTCAATCGGCCATCTAGCCACATCTGCATCGTCGTCGTCGTCGTCGTCGTCGTCGTCGTCGGCGGCGTCGCATGCACGCCGCATCGTCATTGGGATCATTGGGGGGGCGATTAGTGTGGCTCCATATGGTGTGTGTGTATTTTGAATTGGGCCTCGGGGCCGTAAAGACAGTAATTAGTGAGAGATTATCCGACGCTAATGGACCGAGTGATCGGCGGACGGCGTGGGAGATCCCCATATGGTCCCATGAGGAGCCACATCTGATCCCCATGGCCTCCATATGATGGCCGACGGGCTGTGGCCTGGGGTGTCTTGGGTCCTTGGAAGCTCAGGTTTGAGGAAAGCGGACGAGTGCATCGCCGAAGTAGGGGACCGGCTACAGAGCTACAGAGGCTTGGGGGGTCAAGCGCCATCTGGCCATGTGCGGAATTTGAGCAGCAAGCTCCGACGTGGGATTCTAGGATCCAAAGGGAAACGGGGGGGGCTGTGAGTGCGTTGCGTTGTACCGAGTGGCGGCCGGTATGCTCGGGTGCGGATAGAATGACGACGGAGTTGGTCCGACACGCACAAATGGGCGTCTGGCGCTCGCCTGTGCAGCAACGGTCTCGGAACGACAAGAGGGGGTGTGTGTGGCCAGGTCGTATGGGTTGCGGGGGGTTTCGATCGATCGGCCGCCACCTGGCGAGGACGCTCACTTGCCCTGTACTGCGGCGGAAACGTTCATAGCCGGAAAAGGAGTTAGTTAGTCACTCGATGCAACAAGAGGTCCTCGAAGTCTGTGCGTCATCCTGCAGGACACAGGCCGGTATCATAGGAATCGGGTGGTTGGCGTCGGTCTGCTTTGTAGGAGCGGCCGTCAGCCATGAACCAGTTGTTGCTGTAAAATGCCCGCAAGCCCCCGAAATCGGTGCATTTGGTGCACCCGACAGGCGCTGTTGCTCCTCAGATCCTCAGGCGGCGCCGTCATGCCTGG